TACCAGGGATGGCGAAGACATCGGACACCAAAAGCTCTACGAGTTGCATCTCTCAACACGCGGAGGTCCGGTGGCTCACATGACGCATTTCTTTAGAAATGCTTTGAGAATAACATAGACCTCGCGGTCGTATAGGAGCCGTGGACGCAAGATGGTAGCCGGACGAAAAGCCACCCGGCATGGGATATGTACGCACCGGTAGACCACTGGAGCACGATACAAGACAGACCAAGGGTTCTAACCTATATCCGCCGGGGGAAAAAGCTCAAAGCTACCTAAAGGAGACCGGTACAAGGCCGAGATATGCTATGGCTAGACGTTAACGGTATTATAATCCTAAACGCATATAAACAACCGGAAATGGAGGCGGTTATAGAATACGTCACCAACCTGCAACCACCGCCTAACACGCTGGTCGTAGGGGACTTTAACGCTAAACATGTAACATTCGAACCAGGGGTAATAGGCGCAGGAGGGGGTGTCCGCCTGGCCGACTGGTCTGTGGCGGCGGGAATACCGTTTATAGGTAGGCCTGGGGAAGCTACGTATAGGGAAGGGCACACCCTCGATCTGGCATTCTCCAACGTGCCGTTTGCGGAGTCGAGAGTCGATAAAGAACTGGATGCTGGGTCAGACCACTACCCCATACTGATCATAATCCTAGGGCGTGGACAGGAGGCACTCGAACAAGTGAGATGGAGAGTCCTAGAAAACAAGCTTGAAAGCTTTGCCGAGCTGGTCGGGATAGGAACGGCAAGACTCCCAAAACTAGACAAGATCAAAAACACGGAATAGTTAGAGGCGGCGGTGGACGCCCTTACGGAGATAATAGAGATGGCGATCGGCGCGGTGGGAGAACAGGACAGGACGACTGGGCAATCGGCGCCGTGGTGGTCGGAAGAGTGCCACCAGGCGTGGACAACATACCGAGCGGCGGAAGACGACCCGGAGAAGGACTGGGTCCCAGAGTTTGGAGAATACTCTCCACAGCACAGGGAGTTTCTTAAGACAGTCCGACAGGCGAAGAGGCAGTACTAGCGGGACAGGATAGACGCCGCGACGGACGGAGCTAAGCTATGGAACGTGGTTAACTGGCACAAGAGCACCCCAAGACTCAAATCACCTCCCCTAAGGGACGGGGAGGCGCTGATTGAGGACACGGAGGGGAAGGCAGCCGCGCTGCTCCGCCTAGTTCTGCAGAGATTCTCGAGTGGAGATGACCTAGAGTATAACCCTATAGAAACGGAGCAGGCGCCCGAGACCTTACCCTGGCACGCCACGACCACCGAGGAAGAGGTGGAAAAATACACGATCGGGGTCGCCAGCACGTCCCCAGGAGTAGACGGCATTATAGCACGGCTGCTCAAAGCCTGTTAGGAGCATATGCGAGGACCCGTCAAGATCATATTCGAAAAATGCCTACACTTGTCCCACTTTCCTCGCTAATGGAAGAAAGCCGAGGTGGTAATGCTGCTAAAGGCAGGCAAAACGGACTTCTTAAGCTACAGGTCGTGGAGGCCGATAGCCCTGTTGTCCTGCCTCGGCAAGGGCCTCGAAAGGCTGATCGTAGGACGGATGGCCTGGGTAGCGCTACAACACGGACTGCTCAGCCCGCAACACTGCGGCGCGCTGCCCACAAGGTCTGCGACGGATCTGGTGGTAGCGTTCAGCCACGACGCAAAACTCGCCTTGGCTAGCGGGGAGAAAGTGACGATGATAACCCTCGACGTACAGGGAGCCTTCGATGCCCTGCTTAAGAGACGACTCTTATAAAGACTTATACGGCAGGGCTGGCCAATAGGCCTAGTCAGACTGATACGGGGCTTCCTGTCCGATAGGGAGGTTCGGGTGAGGTTGGAAGATATAACGACTGGCTACGTGGTGTAGGCCTGCGGAACCCCCCAGGGGTCGCCGTTGTCGCTAGTGCTATATATGCTCTACCTAGCAAAGCTACTTAAACAAAACCCAAAACGCTGGTTTGGATATGCGGACGATATCTATATCTATAAAGCGTCCAGGTCCTTAGACGACAATATCGCTACGCTCGAAACGGAAGTGGACGAGATCTGGGAGTACGGACTGGCAAACAAGATTCACTTCGCACCGGACAAGGTGGAAATGCTTCATATTACCAGGGAGAGGGGCGGACATAACCCAAGACTAACGACCAAACACGTCACGATTGCGCCGGTCGGAGAGCAGGAAGGAGAAGGTGTGACACCTCTTCTCAAGTGGCTCGGCGTATGGTTCGACAGGAAGCTCAACTTTAAAGGCCATATAGAGAAGAGGGCCGCGGCAGCCATGAAAGTAGCACAACATCTACGAAGCCTAGCAAATACAGTACACGGGCCGCTAGCGGCCTCGATCGCCAAGGCCACGTTGGCATGTGTCCTCCCGGCGGCCCTTTACGGGGCGGAAGTGTGGTACGGAGGCAGAACGTCACTGGCAAAAAACGTAGCACAACAAAAGGCGGACGGGAAAATGAATGAAGTGCGTACCAGAATAGGGACCCACGTTAAGGCGATGGAAAGGGTCTTTAAACTGGCAGCGAAGGCAACTCTCCCGGTCTGGGCGACCACGCCGATCGACACTCTATTCCGAGATAGCGGGCTGCCTACGGCCCAGATGGCCCTAGACCAGGGACGATATCAATTTGCTTACAGACTACGGACGGTAGACGAAACACACCCGCTCGCGCCAAGGATTGAACCGAGGCTCAACCACAGAGGCAGGGGTAGCGGGGAATACCAGAGACTTAGGACGAAATTGTAGCGGACAGCCCGGCTCTTGCCTCACATTAGGCGGCCAGTGCTGTACGCACCCAGGTACGGCCCGGGATCGAGACGGGAGCCCACCATGGGGATCCCTAAGGAAGATGCGGCCAAGGACTTCGAGGCTTGGGCGAAAGAGAGAGGCGCCCACGAGCTCCTCGTCTACTCAGACGGGTCTAGGACGAAAGATGGCATAGGCTACGGCTACGCAATATACCAAGCAGGAGAGGCGGTGGCAACAGCCTAAGCCTCGATAGCAGACGGCAATTAGGTATTCGACGCAGAGGCGTATGGAGCCCTGAGGGGGCTAGAGCGCGCACTAGACATCGACCGGACGGCGACAATCTGGCTCTGTATCGACAACACGGCGGTGTTGTGGTGTATTCAGAAAGATGCATTAATATCGTCGTAGCACGTGTTCCGAAGGATACACGCACTAGCAGAGCGACACGAAGTCAAGACAAGATGGTGCCCAGGGCATACTGACATCGAGGGTAACGAGGCCGCCGACAAGCTAGCCAAAAGCGGAACAAAATTGGGACCATACGACGACAAGTCGGAAACGTCCTCGTCGGGAATCAAAGCGATTGCAAGAAAGGCGATCCGGGACCAAGTAGATGACTGGTGGGAGAAGGAAGCGTACCAGCCAAAGCGTTATAAGTCGATCGGCTTCGGGTACACGCCCGGGAAGCCACTAGAAGAGCTGAAGAGCCTGACAAGAAGAGGGCTGCACAGGTATCTGGCAATGAGGTCGGGCCACGGAGACTTTGCCTAGTACCACAGAAAGTTCGACCACAAGGATGCCGAACTACGATGTTCCTGCCGACATCTAAAAACGGTAGAGCACATCGTCTTTTGCGTAAAAGCGAAGAAGACGATAGAGGACTGGCCGAGGCCACCGGTGCGGGTAGAAGACGGGGAACCCCCAAGGACACCGCCGGTCCCGGAGCTTATAACTTAGAGAGACCATATGAGGTACTGGGGATGGATTATAAAGACCCCGGAAGCCTTTAAAACACTACTCGACGTAACACAGTTTTACAGCGAGATATGCCCTCGGTAAAACCGGGGCAATAGGCACTTATATAGGCTAGGAAACAACAATGCCTAGCCGATAGCCTATAGCCATTGTCTACAGGTCCTGCCTGCGCAGAACAACCGGGCCACGCTGCCCTAACCGGCGAGGACAGAAGGAACGGAGAACACAAGTCATAAGGCGGAGAAGCTGCTAGATAGACGAGGTCGGTGAAAAGGGGGCTGAGGAAGTCGACTGCAGATAGAGGCTCCCAAGTAGCATACCATAGACTCTAGCCTAGCACGTCAAGTGCCCCAAGGGAGGCCCGCGGGCCTCGTTATACGAGCCTGCCACGACGTTAAATACAGCTACTACTAGCTACTACTACTGATGTCCTGGCTTACTGTCCTTGGCAGTGAGGCTCACGGTTGGCTCACCGTGATCCCAAGTGATCCTTATAGTATGGCTCACTGTCCTTGGCAGTGATCCAATGTTCGTCACGTGACCTGAATCCTTTGTCTCATTCCCGTTTGAGGCTCCAGCTGTCTCCATATGGCGTGCCCGCAGCTGTGCCACTTAAGGTCGCATGCATGGCCTGCGTTCGTAACACAGAACAGTGGCGAACACTGCTAATATGCTCCCACCAGCGCCCACAGAACATAAAAATGTACCAATTTTCGTAGCTGCCCCGCAGACTCATAAGTTGCGAGCGATAGACAAAGAGAAAGCCGGAAAAAGACCAGAAACAAGAGGAGAAGTCTTAATAAGACATTAACCGTAAATGATTCCCATTTTCTCACAAAAGCACTTGCACAAACAAAAATGAAGAGCTCTATTCATGTCAAGACAAGAACCAACAACCATACTTCCCCGAAACGGATGTCATGATTAAGAGCCTTAAAGATTGGGAGTGAGATGTAGTCCAATCAAGCTTCAAGGCAATACCATTGTGTATTTCAACGACAGCCTAGGATTGAGTAATTGAGCAATGGTCACATCCCGGCCAAGTAGCTGCTCGGACTTTGAGTTAGAAGTGATTTACCGGGCGCATATGTACTACCTCTATCATGGGGTATTGTTGAGTAATCACACGCTACGATGATGCTACCTGGTGTAAATACCCAAACAGGGAGGCTCCTACTCAAGGTGATCCACTAGTTAACTGTGGCGGAATACTGATTGGATCATTCTGAAAAGGTGATAGAACATACTTAATTGAGGATACAGAAAATGCATAGTCACGCCGCTAGTTGGTCGACTTACGTCTCCCCCACGCTGACTGTACCAAATACAGCGTAGATTACTGATCCACTCTTGTTTACTGATCCACTCTTGTTAACTGATCTGTCACTGAATTATGAGGTCCGAGGTTCGAGATGAACTGAAGGATACTAAACAACTTTCGGGAGCGATATAAAATGAGAAGAAAAAGCTTCAAGAGCAAATAAGTCTAACAACCTCGATCTACTTTTATACTGTGCACAGAACGCTACTCTGGAGTCTTTTCAACGACGGGAACCACTAATCTAGTCGCTATCTCAAAATGTCATTCGACTTACCTTTCACGAAGATTCTGGTGATTGGAGGGACTGGAGCGCAAGGTCTACCCATTGTGCGAAGCCTGACCAAGGATGGTCGCTACCGATGCCGTGTGCTGACAAGAGACATCTCTGGGGAAAGAGCCCAGACACTTGGCTCTTTACCTGGAGTGGAACTGTTTGGTGGTTCGTTTGAAAACGAACAAACCTTGCGTGATGCGTATAAAGGTTGCGATGCTGCCTTTGTCAATATTGACGGCTTCAATACTGGCGAGAAAGGGGAGACATATTGGGCGATCCGGGTCTTCGAGCTTGCGCTAGAGAATGGTGGCATCAAGTTCTTCGTCTATGGCAACTTGGATTATACATACAAGAAGTCTGGGTATCGTCCAGAATTTAGATCTGGCCATTATGATGGCAAGGGCAGGATTGGAGAATGGATCCTTTCTCATTCACCCAAGTTGCCAGGTGGATCTAAGACATCCAATATGGGAATTGCTCTTTTTACGACTGGTCCCTATCTCGAGATGATTCTTTCGGGAGGAACAGTCCTTGAGCCACGCATCGAACAGAACGGAGGAGGGGAGCAAGTTGTGACTTGGAGAGCACCACTGGGAGACGGCGCCGTCGCACACGTCTCTCTGGAAGACTGTGGATATTACGTGCGATGGCTGTTCGACAATGCGAAGGAAGCCGATGGCATGGACCTGGAGGTGGCAATCGAGCACGTGCGCTACGATGATTTCGCCAAGGCGTTCGAGAAAGTTTCTGGTCATCCTGCACGATTCATCGACGTTGATCTCGAGACTTGGTGGCGCGAAGGCCCCCTGCATCATAGAGCTGAAAGTCCGGCTGGATACGGCGCTAGCATAGATGACCCAGCTTCAATGTCCATCAAGCAGAATTTCAGCGGATTTTGGACGATTTGGCAACACTCAGGCGGGAACCAGGGTGTCATCAGGAGGGATTACCAATTGCTCGACAGGATACATCCCAACCGTATACGGTCAGTGGAACAATGGTTGGAGCGCGAACAAAAGCTTGGCGTCGAGTCTGGAAGAGGTGATCTATGGTATCGCGTGCAGCCCGATAATTTGCAGCCCATACTTAAAATCCAAGAGGATGGATTCCGTGATCCCCGCTAACCTCGTTAGCGGGGCTGGCGTACTCGGAGTGGAGTACTATTACATGCTGCAAGCAAAGTAGACGCTGTGATCCGACGGGAGGATTGAGAACTCATTGGCTTAGTTAGGACTTCTGTTGATTATGGGGCTTTGAATTCTTTCGGGTAGATCGCTTTGATCTGCTGCCTAGAAGTTAGCACGCAGAGCAAAAGATAGCTTAATATATGGTGATACCATTTTACATATCTTCAGCTTTCGAGCAACATGGGGCGCCCCACCTTGCCCCCCACCCCCCTAGAACTCAACCACCGAGGGTACTGAATTATCGTTAGTGAACATTTGCCAAGTTTAATAATCACGGTATTTCTAATCATCAAAGATTATTTTTGGAATATGCCGGGAAATTTTCTAACCGAGGGATGCAACATCTAATACGCCTCACTAATATGGCATATTCTAAGTCAAACGGAATAGACTGTGTATTTTCGGGGTTCGAGAAGCAAAGAATACCAATTGTGTCTTGGTCATTGGACAGGATGGGGCGGGCCACGAAGGTACAATGAGAGTTGTAGTCCTCTATCTGCCTGGCTAGCTGAATTCGCACGTCGAATCTTTCGTTGTTATACTCTGGAAAGTAAACTGATTATTTCATTTTGAATTGCAACTCATCACAATCATTGTTTTCGGTACATGCAGCGAGCGGTCTTGAATTAAAGTGGCGATAAGAGCCTCTCCATGAAAAATGCAGCGAGGATGACGAGTGCTGTGTATACTGCGCTTTGTGGCTGTGGAGAACAGCATCTCAGTTTGTTGCCGTATCTATGCTTGGTCGATCTACCATATTCTTAAAGACCCTTGGATGCTGGCTGGGCAAGCCTTCCCAATGCCTCAGTCCTGTTAGTGACTTCAATTCGCTTATCGAGAATGTCTGCGAGCTCCTGGGTATGACTAAGCATAGGCAAATGCCCAGAGTTGAGCTTTAAGACTTCCCACTTCGCTTCTGCAGCAAACGTTTTGTGCATCTGAGGTGGTATGGTTCGGTCGGCTTCGCAAATTATATATGTCGAGGGTACGTAACGATAAGTTATAGTCATTATTTCAGTCTTTTGTACTGCAGAAGACTGATCCATGGCTTTTCAAGCCTGATACCCCGCTTCATCAGATGGGAAATCGTGACACAGGACTTCCGCAACATTCTTGAGGCAATACCGACCACCCGCTTCTACATCGTCGTTTGGTAACTCGTTAAATGCGCTCTTGAATGAATTTGCCCCTGGGGAGTGATGAATCCTGCCACGTATATGAGGTGTGCGACGCCTCTAGGAAGGCCTTGCACCTTCCGGTGTAGCCGAGACAATGACCGAGGCACAGCTTCGGTGCCCACCGAGCCGCCGTATGAGTGCATCAGGACTACGACGGTCTTTCCCATTTTCTTGGTGAGGTGCTCAAGAACTCCCCGGATTGTATCGGCATAATCGGCAAGACTGTTGGTCGCAAGGTCGGGGTCGTCCTGTCCTGTTAAGCTCGGGATTGTGGGGTGAGGGATATGATATCCTAACACTTCAAGAGCTTGGGCCAGCTTGATGTATATGAGAGGTAGCTGGAAAGCGCCTTGGACTAGGACGATGACGAGTATGTGCGGTTGGCGGTTCATTGTGATGGTCGTAATGATGGCAATTGAGTGGATGCAAAGTACCAAAATGTGTCTCGTTTTTCGCACGCAATATAAAGAGTTGAAGGAAAAGTATTGTATCTATCGGCCACGCACGACGCACTAGCCCTTCAGCCCGTCGCAGTGCTTTCACCAGTACGGTAATCATTTCACTCTCGTCCATAGAAATGTAGCGTTTCGATGACGGATGACGACAGTAGCGAGCTATTTTTAGTGATATATATTTATTTGTAAGTCGCAAAGCTACCTGCGCTGAAATACTACTAGAATGGTTGACAAGTGAAGTGTTTGGCAGTTTCCAGCTGTGATCTTAGACAATAGTATACGTTGGTAACCTAGTAACCTATGTTATTTAGGATTGGCGCTTGCTTAGTCATTCCTTGTGAGGGTCATATTCGGCTTAATTAGCCCCATTTCATAGGCCCAGAAGCACTGAAACTGGGTAGTAGCGAGAAATGAATCAAAGATGCCGCAACAACGTACAATGAACGTCATTCTCGTCATTTCTTGACAATCAATTCACCGCATGACCAGGACCTGGAATTTGCGTTGCATGAGCGCCCATATGCCAGCAATCGATGCTTCAAACTCACCACAATTCTCAAGTGTCAATACCGAGAGGCTTGAGAGTTATTATCACTGCACCAAAATAACATTCGCGCCTGACCACTTAGTGGCAGCGACTATCAGCTTTAAAAAGTTGCAACGAGCGCAACTTTAGCGCACACCTAGGTCGAGGTAACTGTTGTACCAAAAGGTTGTCGTCATTGGCGGAACAGACCCACGTCAATAGCCAGCGGCGTGCGGATTATTCACATACGCAACACTCATACGACATTTTATCTTTCGCTCAGTTGTTAGTAATATTGAGATTTTCATTTATCAATCGTAGCAAGACTATGGCGGCTGAAGGAGTCGTCCTACGGGATTTGGTCAACGAAGATCGTTCCTTGGATCCCGACTCGCGTGCTGATGACAGACATCAACCGGTGCGTGCATTTGGTGCAGCTGGCGCAGCACCTGATGATAATGGTCCGAAAGGACCAGCGCAGACCGAGCATGCTCACGAAATGGACATCGGCTGGGGCACAGATCCTGAAAAGATCACGCAACCTTTCATAGAAGGTGTCGACAATGAAGATGTTTGGCTGTGGATCAGACGGTTTAACAAAGTCAGTCCCCAAGAATGAAAACTTCCATCGCGAAGCCCCGTTAACAAAAAACCAGCAAATCTTTTGTCTTAAACGGACCTCTAAGCCACTCATTGGCGGCCTGGATTTGAACGTCGCAGAAGATGAAGAGTTCTCACCCAACAAATTACGAAGTCAGTTTGAGAGGCTTTACATGGGACCAGTATGCTACTTTTCAGAAATCATCCATGTGCTCATTTACTAATACCTACATAGATCGTGGGCGTTCTTGTCTTCTGCAAGCATGTTGCAAGACTTCGTTCATGGAGGGAAACGCGGAGGACGGCTGCTTTGTGCACGGTTAGTAAATCTACCATCTGCATACACCATGCTCTACTAATCATACTAGATATACTTCACAGCTTGGGCTTTGGATCGTCTGACTGCAGCGCTTCTAATTTTCTTCGTCGTCCTTGCTGTTTTGCCCTCAACCAGAAAGTTATTCTTTCCACCAGCACCATTGGCACTGGTCGATTATAAAACAGGTGGACCTGCGCAGCCAAAAGCTGGCACACTGGGCTCAGTTGGCACGACGACTGGAGCGCCTGAGAACTTGCGTGGTGAAGCTTTAGAGAACGAGGCAAGTAATTTTGTTACAGGTATTGGTGCGATCGCTGCCAATGTCATGGCTGGTGGTGATCCTCATGGCCAGCCTGACAGTGAGGGAAGTGGTCTTATGGATAAATTGCCAGAACCCAATCAAGTAGCTACGATGATCGCGACAGCAAAAGACAAAGCAGAAGGTGTGAAGGATCCATCTGGGGATAAGTCCAAGGCACCTATGGAGGAAACAATGTGGGCACAGATGAAGCCACTCATGCACTTGTTGTGTCTTCTCAACGACACATGGGAGCGATGCGGACAGTAAGAAGTTTCCCCGCAAAATAACTTTGGTAATTAACAGAACACTAATAGTGACCAGTATGCTAAATCCCGTGTACCCTCTTTCTCAAGGCAAAAACAGACTTCGAGCTATTAGCATGTTGCTCCCACTGCTTGTTATTTCTTGGTTCTTCACCGCACACTTCATTTACAGACTCACAGCATTATTATTTGGTATTGGCGTGTTCGGCGATCCCATCTTGAGCAGAGCATTTGAATGGTTCAAGCGCCGTGAACCTGAGTGGAAGTACACCTATCACATGGCCAAGTATGAAATCAGCTCTTGTTATGAAATACCCACTGACCATATTTAAAGCACTTTCTTCAAGGGTATTCCGACCGACGCCCAATTGGCTCTTACCCTCTTGCGACTTGGTGAGGCGAACAAGGCACCACTGCCGCCTCCGCCAGTTAAATGTGAGGTTCCCTCAGCACAGACACTAGAACTAACAGGCGATATTCTCAATGCTGGAATGGGAGACCAGCCATTGGGTGCTTCCGACCATGAGCTTCGTGACGCAGCAAAATACCGTCAAGACGCAACCGACCAGTCCGGTGGCCAAACAAACGAGATGACAAGTACCACTACAGATAGTGGCAAGAGAAGCAAATTCTTGAGTTTCATTAAGGGTGGTGCCAAAGGAGCTGTTAAAGCAGGCGTTGCGATTGATAAGATGCGAGCAAAGAGAGGTACAGATAGTGCAAAGCAGCGTGTCGGCGTCGTTCCAACAAGTAAGAACGATAACCCAACTCTCTCCCGAACGGAGTTCGAGGGTAGAGTAAATGGAAGACTGGGAACCGTTCATCTGGATCTCGAGGGCCCTACACCACGCATCTCATTCCAATCAGAAACACATGGTACCAAGGAACGAATGCATCTTGAAGACAAGGCTGGATCTCCTGACGACTTTTCCGTGCCGATCAATGACATTATTAGTTTGACAAAGCACTCTGGCACAGGTTTCAAATCTAAGCTTTTCTCAAGTTGGGCCACCAACCGTGAGACGCGCGACAGTATCAGGATCGAAGACAGTATGGGGCATGACTACGTCATTACAGCCATAGCGTTCAGAGATGAGTTGTTTAACAGGATCTGTGCCATTGGGACTCAAAGGTGGGATATCTATTGAACGCGTCGAACTTGAACTGTAACGACTTTAGCGCTTTTGGAGGTTTCTTTGTCAATACTAGGATGGGTCCATGAGCAATTCATGAGAAATTTAATTTTGACCCCCATCTGTCAACTCTTGAAATGTTGAAGCCCCGGAGTAATGAACACTTCTCTATCCCAATGCAGAAACAATGCAGGCTCTAGTTATGAGTTCCCTTCCAGGCATCAAGATTTCGAGATCCTCTCTGCGATTTCATCGTGGACGCGGAGAATGACGTCCCACCTGAAGCAAGCAACACAGTATTTTATCATCTGGATATACTCCCTATTCTACTTTTGATTTTGATATTGGGCATTGTAAAGTAGCCATATCAAGCCTGGTGAAGAAATCAAGAGATATAACCAACGTGGCACGCGCAATTGAACTGCAGACAAGGTTAGCAACTGATCATGCTTTAGTAATCTTCCCGCTCGTGAGCATATACTGCATGACATTGCATTTATAGATCAGCAGCAACTTGAGAGTTTGAGCACTTGATTGAATTGACACCTTGTGCATTGCTCACACCTATGTCCGATCTTGCACTTGCCTGGAGGCTGTAGTTTTACCAACGAGTAATCCTTTTGTCGTTTGTGTAGATAGTTCAAGCTATATCTACCAAAGTTATGGAAGCCTATGGCTGAGCTAAAGTTGCTGAATTTCGCCAAGATGCCCCTGTGATGCACTGTTCAACTCTGCTATGACCGCGAAATCAGGACACCACTGTAAAACGTCATTGTTAATAAACAATGCCGACTGCCAAGATTTGGTTCATCAGGCAAAGGCGTGCGGGGCCATTACTTAATTGGTCAATGTCTTCCATGGGACGATGCACGCATTTATATAGCAGCAGGTATTTGATGTGCAAGTGTCCAATATGCATTTCTCACTGCACCAATTCATTAGGTTTATAAAAGTGCCACTTATTCGTGGTGTTGGTTCGTGTCTAGCCAGGTCCGGCTTGGCACTCGTTTATTTCGTGATGACTGACATCATCCGTACTCGCCGATAGAACTCGGGACACCGTTCACAAGAATCGGATAGAGCCGTGATTGGAAAAAACACTATGCATCGAGATGCTCCAAGTCGGACTAACGTTAACCACCCTGCGGTTGTACATGCACCTGTCTCCCCGTAAGCACAAAAGGGGGGCTACGGGGCACGAGCTAGGCCTCCGCTATACCACTAAAACACCAGCACCCGTGGAACCTGTCAAATACTATTATAGCGCGAAGTGACCCATGGATCATGTTTGGCTTCCAATCACTTTTTTAGATGGGGTACAAGGCACATATCATTTCCAGCCTTTTCGCTGGCTATTCGGTCGATGTTGCTGGTTTTCAACCGATCTGAGCACTGGCGGACGTCAATCTACTATCGTGTAAAAATTGCGCAAGCCACACAGGCGCATGAAAGGATCGTAACTTGACAGAACTCGTTGCCTAATCCCCAAATCTGTTTTCAATCCACACTAACCTTAGCAAGATGGCGCAAGAGTCGCATAACGTTGGTCCCGCGGAAGGGTTCGATCACAGGTTTACGATCATTTTCCTGCATGGAAAGGGAAGCGACTGCGACGAATTTGCCAGTGAGCTCTTCGAAAGTGAGGTCTCGGAGCAGCTGTCGCCGCAGAAACCACGAACTCTCGACACGTTGTTTCCTTCCGTCCGCTGGGTCTTTCCTTCGGCGCCACAGACACACTGTGAGCGCTTTGGCGGCACAGAATCCCAGTGGTTCGACATGTGGGCCGTCGAAAACCCAAATGAACGGTTTCAGTCCCAGGTGGAGGGATTGAGGCAGAGTCTGAAGATGCTCAGGGAGGTTCTTGCGAGGGAGGAAGCGCTGCTGCCGCGGGAGAGAATTTTCCTTGCTGGCATCAGCCAGGGATTCGCCACCGCCGTTGCGGGCGCTCTCCTGGCTGGGGGCACCTTTGCAGGGCTCGTAGGCCTGTGCGCGTGGATGCCGAGGCGGGCGTATGAGGCCATCCAGGCCTCCAAGGGACCCGATCGCGCATCATATGCCTTGACGTTGATGAAAACGCCTATCTTCCTTGGGCACTCGAAAGGTGACGGCGTGGTCCCCGTTGAGAACGGGCGCGACCTTCGAGACTACCTCTCGGAGAGCAGATCCGCAATACAGTGGCACGAGTACGAGTCGAATGAGCATTGGGTCGTGGAACCGGAGGGCGTTGATGATCTAGTCATGTTTCTCAGGTCGCACATGAGACGTTTATCACAACCCAGAATTGACTATTCAACCAGTGCGTCTTATTCCCTCACAGCGATGACTGGCGCAGAACTAGGTTAGATTAAGATGGACTTGGTTGGTGATTTGCTGTAGGCATGGTTAAGGTTATGGAACTCTTTGAAAAGCTCTACTGCCAAATAATGTAGTTAGTTTGAAACATAAATATTTGTTTCAAAAAGGAATTTGGGCTTGCGATACGACTTGAGTGCAAGAAGGTAGCGCCTGGGTACAAAAAGTGCCTTTATACTGTCATGGCGACGAGATCGATGCCAGATTCCTCACCCGCCCCCTTTTTGAGTGCCAGGACCAGTTCATCGGCTTTGGTAAAGAGAGCATATATGCACCAAGGATAATGGCCTATTGTCGACCGCTGTGGCTGATCAACACATCGCAGGCAGTCAATTCGGTGTCGGCAATATGACGGACTGCGGTTTGCCTGTTTTCAGAGACCTTTGTACCAGAATTAAAACAGCCATCATATCTGCAATGTGTTTCTAATTATTCGCCCCGGTGACCCGCATAAATATCGAGCGTAGTTTCGGTCTGAGGCAATTGATATACAGAACAAGTTGTATCATCTGAGTGTTCATTTCGATGCACATGTTGCAGACCCTCAGCAATGTGGTCGTGTCGATGGCGCTAACCTTAGTCTAGAAGGGAATTTAAAATTGGGTAGCCCGATGGGTTGAATTGAAATTTCAAGCACATTCTGGGATGAGAGGACTTTGGTCTTAAAAAGAATCCACCAAGTCAAATGGCGGAGAACTCCACACAGAAACAAAAACAGTGTAGCGTTCCTTAACTTGGTACAATCAGCTTAACAGAAGCACCCTGTAATTAGTATTTATTATCTGACGGCGGCCAAGGAGATGTGGTGTGGACTCTGGGGCATAGGGAACTAGAGACATTTGCCCGATTATCAAAACCCATTGCTGTGGGCAATATCAAAGCCTTCAGAATGGTTTATTGAAGAGTCGGAATCAACGACGTATTTGTGATATATGTCCTAGCCATTACCATAGAAAAGATGCCGACAAGAGTGGGTTTAGGTATCGCGACCCGTACTCGTGATTATGCCCCAATTTCCGAGTTGTGCAGTGAAAATTGCACGATTGGGAAATTTACACTAAGTATATGAACAACCCCATCATGCAGAATAATATGATCGTTGCACGTGTATCCAGCATATATCATTTGTATATCACTACCTAGAGAGCAGGGGTTTAGCCTGAAGCTTGAACATACACTGATGCACAAGTTGTTAAAGCTCGGCGTATTGTAAATGGAGTTCAGATTGAGGTCTAGTCGCTAAAGCCGCTTCCATGGTTATATTGCCCCTTGGTTTTCCCGTGTAACTCCCATACGTACCTTCAAGCCTGCAATTACATGGATGAATACTACACCAGAGGGTGGTACAATGGACAAGACAATGCTAGTGCTCAGTATGATGGGCAGAAAGGGCAATGTCCTCTTTAAAAGTAGTTTGAGACCCTTCGCAATTGAAGTGGTCAAGGCACTTTGATAGAATTTGAGTAGCCAATCTACGAAAAATAACCCTGCAATTCAATGATCGTGTTTTGCTATGTTAGTCTCATCACGTCTAAGCGACTCCGTTAAGCTTTTGTCCACAGACATATTGACTAAACTTGCAGCTCAGAGCTCTACGCATATTTACAATGCGAATGTATTAGCACAATGAAAAGTTATGGACACAACCTCTACCAAGCATAAAGCTCCGCGGCTCAATCGCTATAAAATGTCAGACCATGCTCGATTGGCATTTTTGTTTTCGATAATTTAACATCCTGGTACTAGTTTGACGAATGATCTACGGGGCCCTACCGTACCGGGTGCTTTGACCGAGACCAAACGATAGAAGATCTACGCAAGCACGAGCCAGCGTTTGTGACGTGCTGTACATAATTGCTAAAGAACGTGCTAGTTATAGCCGCTCCGGGCTGCATAACTTGGAGCTAACCCAATTTATTTAATAGGTGGAAGAACATACCTAAGTTCTTGGGCGCCAATTTCATGTTGCAAATAACAATCATAAGATGCACAAAATAACGATCAAGGCAAAGTAGCTTCAGGCTTGTTAATAACAAGTGGGCGCTTCAATTCTCCTAGTTTGTATCAAATGTGTAACAGGATGACATAAAACCTCGAGGCATCTAGATAAAAAAAAAAAAGAGGAACAGACCCATTACTGACGACTTATGAAGTATTTTTTCTTTCTTTCTTTCTTTCTTTCTTTTTCTCACAGCCATTACGTTATACCCGGGATACGGCTAGGAATCAGAGCCCAGAGCCAGAGCTGTTGTTATCTTCGATATTCGTTAATTTGAGTAGCGTGCTTTATGAAGAAGATCCGGAACTCACCATATCCGTCTATGCTAAGTGGTGCATGGAGGAATAAGGATTGAGACCTTTTGAAGACCTCGCGCTTCGCAATCCCGTCATTGCGCGCGAATCCCATACTGTGGCAATGCAGTCGTTAAACCCGCCTCGACATACCAGCATTGTTCTGCAGTACAGCATACTGGATTCTCTGTAGCATTATCGGAAATTATGGCAACGGCGCAAAAAGGCATCAAAGTAAATATCAAAGAGATTGGTGACCATTCTCGAAGAACAATAAATGCACCATGTTACGCGTAACAAAAGTCGTGCATTACTTGGTTTTTTCAAGCGGTTTAATTGCCAGCTCTAGCAGGTCGTCTCCAGGCCGCCAAGGCATAGGACTGAAGCAGTACATTCATTGATAGTGTCGGATCCGTATTCTTCGGCCAACGGAATCTAACACAAGCCGAAATCCGATTGACCGCTAAAGCATGCGCCGAGAAAGTTCTGATCCCCTATTTTCAACTGCCGCACGCGTGGGTCCTCGGTGTAAGTTATACTAAATCCGGCATCAAAATCTGCCGAGCATGCCCAATTATACACTACCTGCATGGGTATAAGGCGGGTCTATTAAGAAGTGGCCAATGAGATCTCGTGTATTATCTGCAGCATTTTTGATGTAACTATGGTATGGAGACGCCATGCAAAGCTTCAAGACGAGCGGAATTCCCGTCGCAACCCACGCTTTAAAAGCTTCTGGTTTCTTTCGAAGTATCCTGATTGAAAGTTACTCATGAGAAATTCAGTCTTTCAATACGATACTATGTCTTCTTATGCTTCTTTTCAAACGCAACATGGCCAGTTAGGTTCGTTTCGTTTGAACTACGCCAATTCTGCCATCATTGTATTGAGCTCGGTAAGTTGAGCCATTGTCATTCAGAAAGTGTAACGGCTCTGACTATGTCATTAGTTTCTCTTGTTTCGAGTTGGGCTTGTTGCGTATCGACTTTGGTTCCACCCATTGCGACGGTTTCCCGGGCCAAAAACATGGGCTGCGTCAGATCTTCCCTACATATACACAGCCAACATTACAGGGACTGGCATTCGCCAGATATCGGACTTCCATAGAAAGTATGGTCCAGTTGTTCGAGTTGGTCCTAATCGTCTAGCTATGGACGGAAGTGTAGGCTGGCCGCAGGTCTATGCCCGTCGCTCCGCAGGGGAAGCAGAATTTGAGAAAGCGCCCGGTCACTTTGCGCCAGGATTCAGTAAATCAATCATTGCATCCCCAAAAGATGTCCATCGCAGACAGCGACGGCAACTAGGTTATGCCTTCAGCGACGCAGCGATGCATGAGCAAGAACCCATCATCGAGCAGTATGTTAGGCTACTGGGCGATCGTATCCATGAGCATGCAGCCTCCGGAAAAGAGATGAACATTGTTCAGTGGCTAAACTTCACTACCTTTGACATTATTGGCGACCTCACCTTCGGGGAGTCCTTTGGTAGCTTGGAGAGCAGTAATTATCATCCATGGGTCTTAAGCATCTTCCAAGGTATCAAGGGCGATTCTTTTCAGCGAGCTTGTAGGAACTACCGTACCCTTGAACCTCTGCTTCGATACGTCTTTGGCGACAAGAACTCAAACAAAGGTGATGAAAATCGAGATTTGTCTGGGAAGAAGGGAAGAGCACGAATGGAGCAGGGCCTGGAACCTAAGGGAAGAAGGGACTTCATAACGTATATGATGCAACCAAACCGGGACGGCCATTCCGGGTTTTCGCTGGACGAGATCATGGCTAATGCGCCCTTGCTTGTCGTTGCCGGTAGCGAAACCACTGCCAGTGCACTATCAGGGTTGTTCTTCTACTTGAGCCAGACGCCTCGGGTGAAGCGGATCCTTGTGGAAGAGATTCGGTCCGCATTTGACGATGAGTCAGAAATCACCATGGTGAGCACAAACAAACTCGAGTACCTGCATGCTACCTTAGAGGAAACTTTAAGGGTATACCCACCGGCTGCAGGCACACCACCTCGCGCTTCACCTGGTGCCGAGATTGAGGGCAAATTTGTACCTAAAGGCGTAAGTCATTCCAATAAAGCCTTGCCTCATGTACTGATAGTGACAATAGACTGTCGTTCATGTCACCCAATGGACAACATTCCGCAACCCTGAGCATTTCTTTGCTCCCGACTCTTTTTACCCAGAACGCTGGTTGAGGAAGGACCACTCGCTTTATGACCCCAAGTTCGACAACGACAACCATGCCGTGTTCAAGCCATTTAGCCATGGACCTCGAGATTGTATCGGCAAGAACTTGGCATACTCTGAGATGCGACTGATCGTTTCACACTTGCTGTACAAATTCGATGTCGAGGCACTACCTGGACAGGATGATTGGCACGCAAAGCAGACGACCTTCAATATTTGGGATAAGGGCCCTCTATATATGAAATTCACAACCAGAGAGAGACAGTGATAGAAGACGATTTATTTCATCCAGTATGTTTGCTTTTCCCTGGAGGTCTTTCTGGTCAGTACAACATGTTTCATGGTGTCAAGCTTCGGAGCAGTGTCGGCACGATCATTTACGATCGCGGAATGAAGCACTCTTTTTAAGTTTGGCTATGCGGTGTGCAGAAGCTGGCACAAGTACAATATCGTAATCAAGAGACATGTTTTCGAACTGTCAGCACTTGACCGGATACATTTATGGCTTTCAATTCTTCTTGGAACTTTCGATGCCGTGAGAACGTTCAACAACCCGATACACATCCTAGATCCAATGCAAAACGCCCAGTACAGCATGACAAGGGTCTGCTGACTCATTTCGACGTTCGGGCGTGGTCTTCATTTTACTGGCTTTTTAGCGCCGATCAAAAGTTCTGTAATAAAGTTTCGGGGCATTCTGTTGGCACACCGTTTCGCAGACAAGAATTTAATTAATTAGATTGAGTCGTGGTTGGGACCAGGTGTAGCCAATTTCGATCTATGAACACCCATCTTCCTTGGTTTACCCTCTCTTTGTGACCTTCAACCCGGTTGTGGTGGATGTCGTCGGGTCCTTACCGCCGAGAAATTGTATTAATATTCAACGCTTAAGTAATTACGAAAACCCTTTCTATTAAGCACTCCTCGAAGATAACCCTTTTATTCGTTATATTTAAGTTATATATGTCGCATAATATTAAAACTAATTACTAGTTAGACTTATCCGAGCTTCTTATTTTATTATAATGTTATTTTTATTTTTGTGTAATACTAACAGGGTTAAAAGAAAGAAAGTGTATGCGGGCCCAATAATTATAATAAAGAAAAATTCCAAAAGTGTTGGAATATATTATTCGCGGTCTCGTACGACGGTTGACTACGTAGTATAGGTAGTCACGCAGCGTGCTGGCAGTAAGCCACCACAGCCACGATGTGGCTGTCGGCAGCCAGCAGCCGTACGGGTGAACCCCTTTCTATAGACCACGTACGAGGGGAAGAATCCCTTCTTCTCCTTCGTACGAGAGCGCTGAATAGATCTATTTGTCGCCCAAACTGTACGGAAAGAAATGAATGGAGAAGCCATTCCACAAAAAGTCGAGAATATACAATTATCTACCAGACGCAGGAAGTAGATATTAGTACGTTCGTTACACGTTTAACTACAAAGGCGCGCGATACAATATAAGATAAATAGCTTTAATAAGTGTCTAAGTGCAAGTCTTATCTTGCATTCAAGCAAGTGCTCGATGAACTCAAGGGGAACGGGACTGGTTCTGGGCTCAGATTCACCAGCGAACGGAAGATATCCAGTTAAGATATCTAACGACTTACCGCTGATATCTATTCAGAGGGACGATATCAGGAGGGGTTCTTGAGCGGCCTGATGTCGCGGATTGTATGTCCCTTGATGAACTATGTCGGCTCGCCCGTATTGTACTCATGAACGAGGATAGAGGAAGTTAGGAAGTATATATCTTGGAAAGGCTTCTCAGTTACTAACCGCAGCATGGTGACCAGAAGGTCAAGAATGAAGGCGATGGAGTTGCATCGAGCCGTAGGTGTCCTGCTTGTGGTGCCGCAGATAACCTTCTGAAGATACAAGTTAGCTATCCGTGATGATGGAAAAATTGATATTGATCTTGACTGTCTCGATGATGAAGACCCCATCGTGCGACCCGGTAACATACAACAGAAGGGTATAATTACTTTCACACTGGCCATACGTGTTTAGCTGAGTGGAACAGGGAGACTCAAAACTAGCACAGAAGAGGGTTGAATCACTGAAAGTCTCCATCAAAATGACACATATTGCATATATTTCAGCGGAACCTTGCTAGCTTGAAACTACTTCAGGTGATCCAGGACCAGAGGGCTTGTGTGGGTTGCATACGTATATAAAGTAATCGAGCCTAACTCCTTCTCTCAGAACCGCCATGGGCCTTTGTCGTATCCTGAAGCAGCCCCAAAACATCCATTCACTTAGGCTAATGGCGTTCAACAACACAGGTATCAGTCAATTCCTCGCCAGGTCAACGTATCACCCACTAGCACTTTTAATTATCTCATATCATCGTCTCGTCACTCCAAGGATGGAGCATTACTGTGACCAGATCCGGTTCGCCTGTCGCAGCGTGCATTGCAAGCACTTTTGTTTGTGTCTTTCCATCAACGGAGGCTCATCACGTGCAATATAATGGCGAAAAAGCTAGTCGACGGACGGTGCAGCAGATGGCATGCATACGAAGCCTACAGTTAAAGAAGGTCATCGAGAGCTATATACTTATCGACTGTACAAAATATAGGGGGCTTCGGAGGATGTCAGGTCTGGCCAAAGGCCTAGCTAGACCGAAGCCCACCCCCTACTAGCACAAAGGACATTTGGGGGTTTCGCGCAAAGAATCAAAACCGCTACCATTTTCGTGCTCCACACCGGTCTTCTAGGACGGTTTACACGTGCTGTGATGGAATTTCCCCCAAGATGCCTCCTGGTGCCCGGAAGCAGGTCTGAGGGGCCTGAATGCAATAGCACACGGTGAATAGGAGCCACTACAGAACACGGAAGCCATCAATACGAAGACACATCCACTAGCCAAGAAACTGCCCACTATGTTCGGGGCTGTTGTCGATCGATCGATTTAGTTCAGTTGATTGTCGGCCTGTCGGACATGGATACGAAGCCCCCCCTGGCCACCAAAACAACATCCATTAGTGGCACACTGACGACTGTTCGTTTATAGCACACTAGAAAAGCCAGCTTTCAGCTGTTTATTAGCTGATCACATACACCCATCATTGGACTGCAATTGCGGCTGCCAAACCGTAGTGGTAATCCTGAGGTCCTTCGACATACGCGTCCAGAACGTCCACGAAGTCCGCCATATACAGCGTACCATCCCCCAGAACACCCGCTGAACCACGTCACGGGTCCCCCACCACCACCACCACCACCAACAAGATCCCGATCACATTCACTTCGCTTCGTTTGTCAGCTTTAGCTTACTCATTTAAATTAATTGCAGATTCAATAAAGTAGGTCGACTAAGCGACTTAATAGTGATGGCCGGCTAATCCGTGTATATGAGGAAGCCGATGATGTACCGTGGGCAGAGCCTGAAGTTATAAGGGCTCAATAGACTGTGCACGGGACGTGCGCTAGAAGAGCGCTGGAGGATGGCCACTGAAGCGCTGCAGGAGTGTATTTTAATAGTTCATAGCATAGGACCGGTCCTCATATGCCTATTACAGGCTTGCGTCGGACGATAAATTGATATTCGTCACCATCACCATCAATTATCATCTGTCATGAGCATGCAACCGGCTTTCTGCATAATCAAGCCAGCCGCCACTCTTTGCCCAATGACCAAGGGAGGTTGACAAAGGCTTCCAGTGTTCCATTGGCAAACCCTGTCGCTGTATAGGCTATGATCAATGCGATGAGAAGTGTCATGATATTAATACGTAGAAACTCTATCTTCCCTTCTCCCCTTTATGGCGAGTCAGTGACTCGCCGAACCACCGTATAGTTCTTGCGGCGTCGCAGGCGGCGCGGCGTTCAACTCGGACAGTTGTCCCGGTATATGGCCCTCCATAGATTTCTGGTAATCGGGCGCCTGAGTGTGATACATTGGGGCTTGGTATTGCTGCTGTTGATACTGCGCCTGCTGCTGCTGCTGTTGTAGTTGTTGTTGTTGGGTAAGTTGCTTCTTCGCTCGATGTCTGAAGAGGAACCAGCCTGCGACGACTCCAAGCAGAGCAACTGCAGGAACGGCGACGCCGATACCAATCTTCGCGCCAGTGGTCAGCCCGCCGTTTTCATTCCTGTCTGAAGCCGGCCCTGTGCTTGACGTGGCTGTCGTGAATCCGTCTGTGCTTGATGTCGTGGAACTCATCCTAGTGCTAGCCGCAGAAGTGGAACTGCTTGTGGAACTCGTCGAACTAGTGGTGGAAGTTGAGCTCGTGTCTGTAATGTTGAAGGTCTCGCTAACGGCAACAGGGTTGATCTCTCCGTCGTAGAAGAGATTGAAGAGGAACAGATGCGAGAATGAGAGGTTTTTGTCTGTACTGACAGTCCAGTCCGTTGATTCTATATTTGTTCGGCTTTCGGGGAAATATGTAAGCATATTATGTCCAAGGGATATCACAAATGATGGCTGGTCGGGGAACTATGAGGCAAGAATGTAGAGGACACTTACGCACGACATATTCAAATGGATATATTAGCTCCTTCCCGTGGTACTGGAACAAAACCACGGATATGGATCTTGTAAGATTCGTTCCCTCCCAGGCAACATGAAATCTTGAGCGTAAAGGGTGAATAGCATTTCCAGTTGTCGGATTGTTCTGAGAGACTGATGGACCTGGGCTGACAAATATTTCGTCTGCACTGACTATGGCTGCTGTAAGAAGCAACAACAAGCTGAAAATTTGACGCATTCTGGCCTGAGATCGCTAAAATCGAATAGAAAAGTCGATCTTGTATGTCGGAGCTATGTGAGATCTCTTGTAGGTTTCCCGCACCTGGGGAAGAGCGAAAGAAAACAAATCACCAAAGAAAGGAGATCTGGACAAGGCTTATGATTTGGACGGATTTGGGCCGACCGAACCGACAGGCTTGCCGCTCATATCCTAGCCGAGAGCGGAAAGCAGGGAATAACAACCTCTCCAAATGCGCCCATGCGGCGCATATCACATCATTGATGGACCGGGGGTGGAACCCCCTTTTTAGGCGCCGTCCTTCACAACCCACCACATCGAAATGATAAGCACGTTAGATCAGTCAGAGCTTGAGAAATATTATGCTTTACCAGCTCAAACATCAGAGTCCGGCTATAAATATGCATATAGACAATCAAAAGTCAATTGGTATTAAGATTTATCCCTTCAGGGCCTTATATAATAGGAACATGTCTGTATAAATGTGGTTTACCGTGGGGATCCCTAGGGCAGTATCCACAGTGGAGTGCTTTGACTTGCCTGAGAATGGTCGTTTCGGTTCTCTCCTTTGAGTGGTGAAATCGCGATGCATAAACTGCTTGCTGATTGGCCATGCTGCAGGTCTCTTGCTTTCATTCACCCTTTCTGTCTTAGTGGTGTCTAGGGTCGTACGGCGAAATGTCCTATAACTCGAAGTGAGATGGTTCCTCGATTGCACCAGAAAACCCTTTTCCTCCGGAACCACTCCAGAACCCACACCATTTGGGGAGTGCGCGTCTTCGCGACCCATGTTCAATTCTTACTTGCACCATCTCAACATCAAAATATGCATTTGCCTCTTCGTCACTCAATAGTATCAAAACTCCTTGGAGGTGCTGGCATCCTTGCAGTCTGCTACTATGTCCTTCAGCTTCAAACCCGCGATCCTTCTGCGCCCGCACCGGTGGCTATGACACCTCCCCTACAAACCACTCCCACTGCGAAACCAGAACCCACACCAGACACAATACCGAAGAAACTGTGGTACAAACTTGGGCCCAACGGCCTGAGTGAGCAGCTTCGAAGATATTCCGATTCCTGCATCACTATGAACCCAACCTTCCGACACGAGTTTATGACGGACAGCTCCGGCGACGACTTTGTCAAAGACAAATTCGGCGCCTCTCGCCCTGATATAGTTGACAGTTTTCTCGCTATAAGTGTTCCTATCATCAAAGCGGACCTGCTTCGTTACCTTGTACTCTATGAGTATGGTGGGGTTTGGAATGATCTGGATGTCTCTTGCGAAGTACCTATTACTGAATGGATCCCAAACCGATATAATGGCAACGCAAGTGTAGTCGTCGGCCTGGAGTTTGATGTTGACATATGGGTTCGACAATTCGCTAGTTGGACGATTATGGCAAAGCAAAAATCACCGCATTTGCTAACTGTCGTCGAGGACTGCTTGGAATACCTTGCTCAAAAGGCTAAGGAGTATAACGTCGGAATACATGACCTAAAGCTCAATATGATTGATGACATTGTCGATGTCTCGGGGCCGCGGAGGCTGACGCGTGGGGTTTTGAAAAGCTTGAGTAAGAAACTCAACGAAGAGATAGGGAATAATGAGATATCCCATGTTTCGGAACCACGGCTTATCGGAGATCTTTTGGTGTTGCCGGACTTTGCATTTGCCAACTCAATGAATCAACAGTATGGAGACAAGAAATCTGGCCAGGTATTGATAACTCATCATTACGCTGGCTCATGGAAGAACACAAACGGTGGCGAAGAGCATGTTGATAGATAGAATGTCTCTTCCGATGCATCCATATAATGATGAATCCATAGTGGAGTATGTAGTGGTCGTGCTTGCGGTAAAATTGTTCAAGTTTGTTGGATTCATCGGTGGTGATTTTGTGTAATATTGTAGGCTGGAAGCCAGTAGAAACTTGTAGAGGTGACGCGGAAATCTGGGAAGCAGAGGCGATGGCTACCTAGGCTTAGCATACTTGGGTGCTAGAGACAAGGGCAAATGGCTTGACAGCCGTTATGGGTCAGTAGGTGCCGAGCAATCTAAAATACTTTTTAGGCTCAGTTTCCGTCATTCAGGACTTTTCTTCAATAGACACAATATATATAATTACGGATTTCTATGCTCACCTTTATTCGCCATTTCTTCAACTCTTACGTTGTACTTTTAACTGTAGTCAATGCTTATAAGTGCTCTTATACCTTGTTATAATTATAATCCCGGTTTTATTCTACCAACCACTCCGTTATAACTAAGGACTATATATTAAAAAATAAATATTCTGAAAGTTTATAATTGAAGCAGTGAGTGTTGGCTGTACCAGCACAGCGGGAAGTCTAAGTGGGTTATGACGGCCTTTTTCGGAAATATTCTCGGACTGATCATTATAAGACCTGAGAGATAAGATTCATAGATTGCTCTCCTTTTGACACTTTTCACACTTTTGCACAGTTAGTCGTTAGTTTTAGTAGCGGTGTATTTTGAAGATAACGAGAATGGCTCGTTGTTGCTAATTAATAATATTTTGGTTGTCGGACTCATCCTTTCCACTCTTATCTATTGATTAGTCTACGAAAGAGCCTGAGAGCTCATCGTCAGGCCTTTAACCAAAGGACAATACAGTGGTCCTGGTTTAGTACATCGACTTCGCGTCGAGTTTCAGCGTGAATATCGTGATTAATGATTCGAGGGTCGGTATCACGGACCTAGAACCGGGTACACAAAAAGGTGCAATCTTGGTTGCCCAAAAAGACCAAGGAACGGCAGCGGCTTTCGAGGTCTCGTCCCAGAGTATTTAACTATGCAGTGTATAGAGATTTCTCCATCTATCAGGAGAGGACAGCTGCTTAGATTGATCACTGAAGTAGAGACTGTCTAGGTAGGAAATATACATAGGAAATAACCATTCTTATATATCCGTCTTCTTCACTATTCTCCTGGATCACCTTCGACCACTCTGCATCCTTGGTGATCCATCGTGATCCCAGGTGTTGGCTCACTTGGATCATTTGGATCACTCTTGCACTTTTGGTGATATATCGTGATATATCACGTGATCCTAGACCCTCCAGTAGTCTGTGTCGTACAGTTCTGCTTCAAACTCCTTACACCATGTTCGTAACATATCCGTACTTTGTTTCTTGGGTAGATGAAGTCCTGAATCTCCCTGACTTTAAACACGCAGAGGAAAATGGTCTGGAGAAGCTATACAAAATATCCCCATCAGGACTGAAAATCCTTCAGCTTCAGTCCTTCTATGCCGTCCACCAAGCTGCTAACAGTGGGATCCATAAAGGCAGCAAGAGTACACTGGTGTGCGTTGTTAAAAGATCTCCCAAAACCGTTCGATGTCCTAAGACTACACCATTTCGGCGACGTGAAATCTCGTACAGTCATTGTTGTCCTCGCGACACTATACCCTAGAAACGGTCTTGTAGGCTTTGGATCGAGAAGACCATTAGAATGCATCTCCTTAGTAAGTGCGCCTAATAACATTGAAGAACACTCGAATGAGCAATTGTCTCGTCGATAGAAGTATGAGACAAGGTTATGAAGTCCAAAGATAATCTGTTCTACGAGTTCTTGTCTCTGTTGATCAACGATTTCTACAAGGTTGGTTAGCTCCGCGAAGCAATTTTTCGTTTTATCACTTACCAATTATACGTTGCGGAATCGGGAGATTTAATGTTTGAAATGGTTCGTCGCTCTCTTTTAGAATAACTTTCGTTATAGTCTCGAACTGAGTTCCTAGGGAAAAAACCCAGGAAACAACAAGCCACAAAATAAGATCTCTGCAGTACTCCTTTGGAATGGTTTCCAGGTTTTGGACCCAGACCTCCACGAACAATGTAACCACTTCATGACAGTCATAGTAGTCAACGAGGACGGCAAGCTTAGCAAGCATCTCTAGGCTGATAGTTCTGGGGACCCTTCGGGCACGGCCATGAATGATGTTCATCAAGATCAACATTGCTTCAGCGTCCCACTCAGACGCGTCGATCGTATGGCATGAGTCGGGCGAAGCAACGCTTTCTTTCCATGGGCCTTGAAGCATTTTCTTAAAATATATAGAAGCCAATGTTAAGTGTTTAGAGGAAAGTCGTATACGCACTTCGACTTCCTGTTCTGAAGGAAGTTCCTCAGGGATAGAATCAGATGGATCGTTGTCGGCAGTAGTAGCATCAGGGGCGGGTACGTCTTCAGGCTCGGGTGCATCTTCGGGGAAGGGTGCATCTTCGGGGAAGGGTGCATCTTCGGGGAAGGGTGCATCTTCGGGGAAGGTTGCGTCTTCCGGGAAGGTTACGTCCTCAAGCGGAGGTTCCGCGGGTGCAGGCTCTTTAGATAGAAGCACAGGTTCATCACCGGGATCCAGTGACTTGAATGGGGGGATGCCTCTGTTTTTCTTCTTCTTCTTCTTCTTGTTATTCTTACTCTTCTTTACCCCCGACGCCCAGGTCAGGAGTTGAAGGTCAGATGGATCAAATGCTGGAGCGGCAAGCGGCTCTACAATTTCGCCCCAAACCGCGAAAGGTGCGTTGGGATTCCGCAGGATCAACACAACATCTCCATCTGGATCAATCTCGTGAACTGTACTGCTCATATTGCGTATTCTGTCTACCGAGACATGAGGTCAAGAAATGATTTCCACTGCTGGGAGGAATAAGCGGGGTTGACTCTCGGCTCAAGCTCGGAGTCGATTTTACCGACGATGTAAGGTTCACAGGGCTGACAATTACGTGGTCAAAATATTTATATATATACAAGAGCTCATGCAAATAATCCATGATCTTATCGGGGCGCGATATTGATCGCAGTACTTCCAAACTGTAAAATGTTTAATTGTGATGACTTTGAAGCCATTTCCGGGTTTCTCTTTATCTTCATTAACCGGCTTGTACTTTGCCCGGCTTTTGTTGTACAGTCGGTAACGTTATTGGCTTCCGGTTTGCGGAGCAGATTTTCAATTCCTGACAGCCAATTTTGGAACTTTAGGCTGACACAGTACCACTCTATGGATTAACTAATTGCGATACTTGTCCCGCAGTCGTACCGTACAGTGTCAATAACCCACTTCCAAAACGAACACAGCATTTAGGGCCACATACGATATAATACAGTACAATAAAGTAGTAGCAACACTGAACAATATGATATTGGAGTCATTTGTGACATTGTAATTATATCTTGCTATTATTATGTAGACTATAATGTCTGTCACTATGAGTTACGATCGCTATAATCTTAATGCGATACGGCAAGGGGACCCCTAGGGCATACGGCTGAAAACGGATGGAAAAACTCAACTGATCGATCAGATTTATAACCACATGATACTGTACTGTAACAGAGATATTTAGTGTATCGATATGGTACCTCTTCCAAAGGCAGATGCCCCGGACATATCGCAGCTGCAGCCAGAGAGTCCCGCGGATACAAGATACTTCATTCAACACATCCCGGGTGACCCCGCAGTTGGTCTGGCGCACGACAAAATCCACGCACAATTAAAGAAGGAGTTAGAAACGCCGATTTTAGCTCAATATATCCGAAACTTTGGCTAGTGGCTAAGCAATCTGGTCGGAGTATTGATACATTGCATACACAGCTAGTCAAAGGCCGAAAAATCACTGCCACTGAGGATCCTAGACTGCTTCTGCTTTGCACTCTAAATAGGACATACATGAAAATTGTTTTAGTTTGTCCACCAATCTATGAGTCCTGGTTCGAGAATACGGGGTGACGCAGGGACGACAGACATTCAACGAATGTGTAAGCTTCAATCTTTCCTTCTCGGACCTGATGTTTTCCTTCTTCTTTTTCCTTATTACCATCAGTGATCCCATCTGGGAGTGCTTCGAGCCTAAGAGCTACTTCACTTTTAAATGCAACCTTATAGTTGTACCCGAATAAGACACCATAGTATACCCTAAATAACAGTTTTATTACGACGGACCACGACTAACCATTACTCACGTAATCATATATTGTAAGTAAATACTGATCTGTAATACCAGCCAGGTACTTTGAAGTATAAATCAATCAAGTGGCTGTGTAATCTTGTGCTACCCAAGTTGTGTAAGTGATTGGGGTAACCCCGCAATTACGACACATCTGAAGCCTCACTTTACTTAGTATATACTAAACTTTGGACTGGAGCTCTGCCACTCTTTGTTTTTCGCAGAATGTCAATTTTCAAATTTCGGCATAATCCGAATTATCGCACAAAAGACTTGATGTGGCTAATCAACTGTGCCACAGTGGAATTGGCGTGGTTTCCTGATAAAACTCCACCATACGCTATCCTCTCACACACTTGGGATCGTGACGAACTTAATATGGATGCACGCTTTGGGAGTATAGCACCACGCGTGTAACTCAGGTATCCTTAGGTAGGCAGTATTTCGAGACGTGATGTATGCAGACCATAGATTTCATCTTTAGACCACGTAGATCTGGATATGCCTTACTCGCTAGAGACGAATAGTCCTTGCTAGTCATAATGTGACAGGAACAATTCCGCAGGTAGTGCACTAGCTTTTAGAGAAACAATATCGACTAGGTAGCGGTAACGTACTAATGATCCTACCAGAAGACAGCATTAGAGTACGCCATCTGTCAGGTCTGGGTTTTCTCTGTCATAATAGCACGTTATGGGATCAATCAGTTTTAAAAACAAGTTTAGAGCACTATGCGATAAGTATGTAGTTCTTGATAACAGTTAAACGACAGGTATTTTTCTCTAGAGTACATGCTGTGTAGGCAGTCAGTCAGTCTTGAAATCTGCGAAGCTTCTGGTCTGGCTCCAAAACTCAGTGTTCATTTTCGACTTCCCGAGAAGCTGTCCTTCGCGTCTGACGAACCAAGGCCAGACCCTGGCTGCCATGTAAAGTTGGCTGTATAAACAGTGCCAGACTGTAATCGTAAGCTCACCACGTCCTGCTGTACTAGAGGCACGTGCTTCTGAATAGTTGACATCCCACTTTGTGGGACAACACCTGCACCTCATGATCTTCTCCTCTCCTAAATCAAGGGAACGAAGCATCTGCTCTTCGAGCGGCGTCGGTTTCCGGAAAATCTTGTTCGGCGGGACACCCGTTCTCTGAGAAACGGGGAAGGCATACGCGATGGAATGAGTAAATAGGGGACCGTTCGGTGATGGGTTCCTGGTATACCGTCCGGAAGGTGGAGTCATGGTTGTAGTAGATTGGTGCGGGCAAATCCTCAGTGGAAGACCCAGGACATCTGTTACTTTCAGAGGCATTTTAGGCGAAGAAGTTCGAAATACGTAGTCGTGTCGGATGATGATGTTGCCATTGATGCGGCGGCTGGAGGTAGAGAGGGTGTAATGAAGATTGGGATTTGGGATCTGGAAGGAGCCAGAAAGGTACTCGATTGGACAGCTAGAGTTAGGAGAGGTGGTTTCTATAACATGTTTGATGTGATCAAACACGAGACTATAACCGCCAAGCTCGCTTTTTGGGTAGTAGTCGATAATCGCATCTTGACCCCAGCAGTATTTGGTCAGTTTTGTCTCTCTGTGTGCACTTGGCCTCTTCAGGGGTCTATGAATCGTGGTGCATCGTTCACAATATATCATATCTAGAGGTCTGAGGTCGTGAAACAGGAGTTCTATCAATGACGACCGATGGTGTCTTCCCATGTGATAGTCCAAGTAACGACGCCGGCGGACGCGCTCATCGTTCCAGGATGTTGTGCCTAAGGTCTGGACGGCGAGCTTACATGTCAAGGTAAGACAGACAGCAGACGCAGGCGGAAGGTGGGATGATATTGCACGCAACATCTCCACAGGCACAGTAAATAACGCCGCCCGCCGGTTTGGGTCAGAGGCTTCATTCTGGGATGGTTGAAAATATGAAGCCAAGGCCTTCTTTGGCTTTCGACCAGCACCTGGCTGTGTCTGGACATGACCTTCCTTGTATTGACCTTCCACGCGAATGTTTCTGGTGCGACGTTTCCTAGAAGTCGGTGGTGTGCTCGGTTTCTGAACACCAAAACTCCGAGTGGAGCGGAGAGCCCTGTTGGAAACAGACTCCTTTGGTGCGGTGCGCGGCATGTTGTAGTGAAGCGAAGGTAGATTCAGTGAATAAATTCCATTCTCAAGCACCAAGACGGTCAAATTATATAACACTGAAGTTGCCAAGCTTCACTGAGCTAGACGCAACTAAATCGGTGCTAGGGGCATGGTTGCCTGGATATCTGTGGGCCTATGATAAGCTTGCAGAATTGCATATATCTAGAGACGTGAATGTTGCTTCATTGCATAGCCTCTCGGAAATTAGCCATAATCGCCATTTGGCTATTCCCTAGAAACTCTGTTTTAAATTGTCATCATAACGGTGGGCTATGGCCACCTCAATCCAGTAGCACTCTAGGCATTGCGGAACCACGCCGCAATCACCCAAACCCACTCACTAAGGTTAGCCCACTTAAAGTCTCCGCATTTACCGAGGCGCATCTATTACAAAGTATAGGAGCAAATCAGCGGTTGTGTTTCACATTATACACCGCGTCGTCGCCGTGTGCCTACGATTGACAAAGGCCATGGCGAGAATCTGGTCAAGTTTGACGCGTAAATTGAAAAGACACTTAGAGCTAATGAACAAATGGCACAAAAAGTTTGCAAATATTAGTTTGTGATCAACCGAAGTTTAGTTACAAGTCGCGAACAAATCCTACAGAACTTGTTCAGACCAAGTCTATGTCTCAGTAACGCTCCTATTATGAAAGCAGCGGTATGCATAGATGGAAGAACTCGTACTTACAACCTATTAATATAGGGTGATGTACACGAGTGATTAATGGAACAAGAGAACACTGCATATAAGATAATATTGTGTTCATGCCAGACGCCTAACGGAGGAGTCGACAGTCTTTCCGAATACGATCATATGTTTACTAAGATATAAGGCCTTTTGAGATTCCATGTTGATGGTAATGGTGATGGTTGGATCACTTTTGCTAGTGGGTGCTGGGAAATCCAGACTTCGGGACGGGTCAGGAACACTTTTCGCAGCACTAGATTGAGTTCAGGTCCATTAATGTTGTTACGGCATCAACTAAGAATGGGTACGCTCAGTTCAAATGCTTCGATTATAAAAGTGTTAATAAATAGAACGACTGCGGGATATCTATGATTTATATGAAAGCCGTACATACCAATATACGTATATATATCTATTCTCGGACCTCAAAATGTACACTTGCGAGCTAACTAGAGATAATCTGGCTGTATATTGAAGAGTTTATATACTTCGCGTCTATTTCTTTATTCAGTAGACAGTGAGTGTCGTCAACTAACAGGAAAACACTGCTTAAGACGTCCCAACGTCACAATCTCCTTGCGGCAATCAAAACACTTTCGACTGAAACGTTTTACTCGTCATGAACTCCGACTAGTTCGCACGAGACTTGCCATAGCTTTGAAGCCTTCACGTCATCATATGCCCACGGAGCATAGCCGAGGTCCACCATGCTCAACGGGGAAGTTCCGGCTTTCATCGGTCCTTGTTCGCGACATTCGGCCAGATAGCGGCCACCCCGTCCTTCCCACTCCTTGCTAATGGCCGCAAACACGGAAGTAGCTGCACCCTGAGGAATGTCGCTCATGTACCGTAAGGAGCTGGTGTCTTTCTTCATTACCTCGATCACCTCCGGATCAAGGTATTGGCCTAGGTTGGTAGCGATGCTGTCGGGGTGCACTGAGATTGCGTGCAGACCTCGAGATCCGTATCGTTTTTCGATCTCGTTGGCCATGTAGATGGAGGCTGTTTTCGACTGGCCGTAGGCAACCCAAGGATCATATGAACCTGGCTCTTCGAAATTTATATCTTCAAATCGGATCTCACCGCCACGGTGTCCCATAGATGTGAGGTTAACAACGCGTGAGTTGAACATAGGAGTGATAGCATCCAACAAGGCTGGCTTGAGGAGTTGGAACAGGAGGAACTGGCTCAAATGATTGACACCAAGTTGGGTCTCAAAACCGTCTTTTGTCTGGCTTTCGGGGGTAGCCATGACGCCTGCGTTGAGAATGAGAATGTTGAGCTTAGGACAATTAGCAAGTAGAGCCTTGGCCGCTAAGCGCACTGAGTCAAGTGAGTCGAGAGATATCTCGACCAGGTGCAAAGGTGCCTTCTGATTGGACTCGGGAGAAGAACGGATCTCGTCGATGGCCTTCTGTCCTTTTTTCAAGTCTCGAACGCCAAGAAAGACTGTGGCGCCAGCTACGTTGAGAGCCCGAGCTGTTTCTAGACCGATGCCCTGGTTGGCGCCGGTGATGAACACGGTTTTGTTTGTTAACTTGCCGACAAGCCCCTCGTCTTTGATAATCTGTAAAGCGGTAGGTCGAGCATCGCCGGGGCCTTGCGGGCTTGCAAAAGCAGCTGAGTATTTGGACATTATGGGTTTGGTATTTGTTTGAGATGGGTTATGTAACGTCTGTCGAAATTCGATTGAGTTATCTTCTCTCTTGTAGGAATGCTTTCATGGGTCATGCTACACATTATATAACGAAGAACCAGGGAGTCTACGGGCTTAACGGACTCCGTGAGCTTTATGATGGAACGCAGGATGCTCTAAGCAATGTTCCGCTGGTTTTAGAGGCATTGGAACTTGTGCTCGCCATTACGAAACTCTGGTACAACCCCAGCGCGGGCGCCCGGCATTAAGAGTTTTAACTCCAAACCCAACTCATGGTCGATACAATTTGGGACAAATGCAAAAGCCAGCATTGCGCTTCCAAAAGATGCTGATGTGTTGACGGAACATTTGCGGAGCTTTTATTACAAACTGTTCCGTCTAAGTTCCGCAGCTACAGTACGTGTCAAAAAGTTTGCCACCCTGTCAAGTATCGCCAAGGCGCCAAACCAGATAGGGCAATCTGCGTGATTCTAAACGCTGATACCACTTCACCATAACAACACTCTTTTTTGAAGCTCGCCGAGCTTCTCATACGACGTGAGATTTAATCGTCGAGAGCTTGATTTCGAGGTGCTTCTTTTGGGTCCGATTCGGCGATCAGCCCAAAGAACGAGCTTTAAGATTCGGGCTTTCATGCATTCTGAAAGTTTTGGACCGCGCGCCATCTTGTAACCGTGAATAGCTAAAGAAGACGATTCTACTCCTTCGATACTACCTGAATTGGTTTGGCGCCTTGGCGATACTTGACAGGGTGGCAAACTTTTTGACACGTACTGTAACGGCCCAGGTGGGGCTGATCGTCCAAGCATTTCAACAGCGCCAACAATCAAAAATGCCATGCTTCTAGTGAGATGGCTGTGTACGTGACTGCGGTGGGGTCAGTAAATTATACAGGGAAACAATTTGGGATCGGGTTGGACCGGCATCCTTGGCCTGAGCAAAAGAATAATTGTCCTTGTTTGAACTTTGGTCGTCTTCTCGAGGCCTTCCTTCAGACAATCTTCTCTAGCGTGCGATCCACGTGACGGATCACGTGGCAATCGCTTCAGATGGCGCGAGAGAAAATGGTCAAGTCTCAATATTCAAATCACATGACCTGCATCGAGAAAACGAGCGCAAACGAGCATTACAATGAACAGTGACAGGGCAACAACAGGCCTGCGCGATCGTAAAGCCTGCATCGCTTGCACCAAATCGAAGCGAAAGTGCGACAAGGGAACACCATTTTGCCAGCGCTGCTTAGAAAAAGACCTGATATGCCAGTATCCTAACATTCGGCCGTATACCCGTGTAAAAAGGCTACCTCAGACAAGCCCGCCTGCTAGCGACGCGTTAAGCTCACACGAAGCATCATCAGCTCAGTTGGAAGCTCGCGAAAGCGTGAGTGTGAGCACCCGGGACGACTCTCCGCATGTACGGACGCCAGTGGTGTCGCCATGTTTCGCCCATCAAAGTGGACATGTACACGGGACAATGGCTGAAACATCATCGACAACTTTCTCCCAAGATCCTTCCCTATTGACCGGATCCTGGTTTCTAGGACCTGAAACATGGTCGATCGATCATTCGTCAATAAACTGTCCACTTCCTCCGCTTTCTGCCTCCATAATGGAAATCTATGTTGACCAAATGAGAGCGTGGCTGCGACAGTGGATCAAAGAAACACAGAACGGATTCATACATGGACATTTATACTCGGTCACAGGTCTTCCACATTGCTTGCAGAACGCCTGGGCTGCACTCACGGCGTACTTCTTCAAAACTCGCGAAAATGAAGTTGCCACCATGAGCATGATACAAGCTCGCGCTGAAGAGCTTATAGTGCAACAAAGCCATAATGAAATTTGCTCGGCCACAATGTCCCTGCTCGGAACTGTCGAGCATCTAGCACGGGTGCAGGCGCTCTTCGTCTACCAGTTTATCCGTTTATTTGATGGGAATATCCGACAACGAGCGTTAGCAGAAAAAGAAATACCTGTTCTGTTCAGTTGGTGCAGAGCACTCTGGGAATCAGCTACTTTACACGCAGACAGCGAAAATTTCTCACTGCCGAGTAGTCCATTTGATGGAGCGGATCCGATCGCTCGTCTCTGGAGAAAGTGGGTGTTGAGCGAAAGCATTCGCCGTATGTGGATCATCACTCATTTCACACAGTCCGTGTACTTCACAATGAGAGATGGCTGGACAAACTGTCCCGGGGGTGTCTGCTTCACGGCGCGGCAGGGCCTATGGGACGCGTCCTCTTCAGATGCGTGGGCAAATTTGCTTGGTACCCATGACCCCTGGTTTTTCTCATGCGCCCACGCGAACCAACTCTTGATGATTGCGGAGCCGGGTAGAGTTGACAGTTTCTCGGAGCTCTTACTAAAGATGCTTTGGGGTAACGAGAAGATCGAGAATTGGATGAAGAATGGTTCGGCCGTGTCCAATTTGACTTTAAATTAAATATTGAGATTGAAGTGAATTATCGTCATCGATAGATTACATGATTACGCTGAAAATGTTTTGAAAAAGCACTCTTAGCAACCCCAGTTTATACCACTGGTGACTAACCAATTTCCACGTTTAAGTATCTCCCTCTTGGCGCATTGTTGCGTTGCGATGGAGATTGGATATGCTCCTATTATTATATCACAGTTTATCAACAGCCTAACTTGAAATTATTGATATAAGGGGATTACTTTTTAAAAGAAAAAGAGATGTATGAAAAAGAAAAGGGTGGAAAGTGAGGGCGGTGATGACAATCGGTTCAAATTACGATGGGGTTGTCATGTGGAAGCTGGTCATGTATGCAAAGATTAACTATGTCAAATAACGATCTTGTATATGAGGCAAACTTCATGGTTGCAGACTATCTATGTGATATAATACAAAATAGGTGCTGCCTTAACGCTGGAAATCGTGGATGGCCCAACCACGAGTGTCGTGCTTCACTTCTGTCCCTTGGCAATCAGTTCTAACGTCGTTGGATGGATCGAGGGACAGGTTGACATGGTTCACAACTCACCGATTTGATGCTTTATTACGTGCTAGACTAGGATGCCGGTGGCCGTATTGCATAAGCAAAGCATCAGTGGGCATCGATAGTCCACACTGGCTATGTCCACAACAGGCAGGTGCTTGGACCATATAAGCTTCTTCGCTTCGAATGTCGCCGCGCGCGCTCTATTCCTGAATCATAGTGGTTCTAATCAACCATTTCATGCCAAACCCTCTTTTTCTGGGAACGAATGACCCCGCAGTTTCTATTTCGGTCCCGAGTCTTGACTAGCCTAGTTAGAGGATGCGAAGCGTCGCTTGTGCAGCCCCTCTAGTATTGTAGGCCCAGGACAATTGCTGGGCGAAGGATCATATCCCTGACCCTCCATGCCATGATGCAAAATTTGCATCCAATTTGATCTTGCATCCTTCATAATTGCGTTCATCCATACGATGTCGAATAGATTTGCTTCGTCTCACGACTTCGCAAGCCGTGGTGCTTCTTTCCCTTTATCACGCACTATTTCGTTACTTGTCATGTCACCGATTACGCGACAACATGAAAGTCAGAGCGTTGTTATAGCGAACGATTCTATTGAGTTTATTTTCCACTGTGCATGATACATCTCGCATCCCCATGTTTGTCCAGCTTGGCAAAATTATTATTCACTGGCTTGGCAGTTGGTCAAACAAACTTGCCTTGGCCGATTCATCCATAATTTATTGGCAACCTATCATTCAGTTAGGAGCCGACAGCTCAGGAGGAACATTGAATTTGGGTCATGACTAACCCTATACTCTAGTAGGAGTTGGAAGACTTGATGATGAGATTGTCCTTGGCCAACTCAGCGTAGTCCCGCTTATCTTCGTCGCGTTTGTACGAGTTGGATGATTTAATGATGAGATTGTCCTTGGCCAACTCAGCGTAGTCCCGCTTATCTTCGTCGCGTTTGTACGAGTTGGATGATTTAATGATGAGATTGTCCTTGGCCAACTCAGCGTAGTCCCGCTTATCTCCGTCGCGTTTGTACGAGTTGGATGATTTGATGATAAGTGTGTCTTTGGCTAGCTCGGCATAATCGGGGACAGGAGCAGCCAAAACCGCAGCAGCCTGAACGGCAACAATGACGAGGTTAGAGAGTTGCATCTTGAAGGAGCTGAGCTTCGTGGTAGTGCTGAGTGTGAGAAAGACCAAGTAATCTAGCGGTTTCTTAACCTGTAGGTAAGGGCGGTGGACGATCTGGACTTCTTAAATGCTCCTCTTGATGATTCACATCCCTAGCTATAATCACTGTACTCTCGAACCACCACCATATCGCGGTTAATACTCCTAATCGTACCATATCCCCGGTAACTATTCACCAAGCTAATGCAGGTAAGGTTCCATTTTATCACTGAAGCACGATGCTGGGACCTTTACACCACTAGCTCAACACCCACCATGGCGTGAGCCGAGGACTTGGCATTTTGGCGAGCTCAGAAAAGCCTCGAGACCACTAAGCACATTGATAGATTAAGACAGGGCAAGATGCATGTAAGTACAGCGGTTGCGAGATATTTAATTTGCGTTACTCAGCGACTGGCGAACGAGTTTGTCGTTCCGATATATTACTGGGTACCTGTAAGGCGGCCCCCACAACAACTAACTCAATGAAGCAGGTTACAAGTTTACCGCCCAAAACGTCGAGTAGCGCATCCTTCTGAATGCTATCAAGAAGATGTGACGTTTTCAACCAGGGTTTGATATTCAATGTCACCACACCTTCGGTTCTTGGGCTTCCGACAGACTAGAAACTAGTTCGTTCTCATTGAACAAAGATCCAACGCTTCTTTCAAGTGCTGCTCAGGACAAGCAATCGCCTTGCGTTAATGTCTAAAGCGAAATCAGACTTAATCTCGATTTGAGCCAACGAGGTAGAGGACAGCGTAGTGGAAAGGCTCTCAAGTAATTGCCCTCATTCCATGCCGTCGTGATGTGGCCGAAGCTCGGATTAGTGTACGAAAGTTTACCTCAATCGGAACTTGGCAGTTATAGAAGGGAGGTGGGTGTCCAGTCAATACTCTCCCAGTTGAAGTTCAGGGTACATCAACACTTGACCATCATTCTCCTGTGTACCAATACCGTTACGTTCCTGGCGCTTTTGTACAGCTTATGGGGTTCTACCACATATAAAACTACTGCTCAAGAATGTCTCAGGCATTACTCTACTCCTTGTAGGTCAACGAGTTCCGTCCGAGTCACGCGGAACATGTTAACGATATATAGCCCCGGCATTAACATCAGTGGAATACAAAAAACCTCAACTATATGATGCAGCATTCAGACAAACGAATAAATGGCGAGCGGAGCCGGGCGTGCACTCAGATGAGGTTGATGTCGCCTGGCACTACATTGAACTTGGTGCCGGGGGTATCCGAATTACTGAAGAAGAAATGCTTGCCTTGAATAAGACAGAGTCACCAGATCAACCGTGGCACAAGGTTCCCGAAGAATATGGTGGGGGATATCTGGCCATGTTGGAGGTCTTTCATCTAATGCATTGTTTAGTAAGTAACGAACATTATCATATCATGCTACTCAAAGCCATACTCAACTAAGGATCGTTAGAACACTCTAAGAATGGGATTGTTCTATAATTATAAGTACTATAAGCAGTTCGACGAAGGAGTTCATGATGAGAATCTTTACACCCACTTTGGTAAGCATATTGCACATCATAGCAGGCTTCCTCGATGAGCGGTTCTAATGATCATCCCAGATCATTGCATAGACATGCTACGCATTAGCCTCATGTGCACTGCAGATGTGACGCCGGCACTATTTTACGATCCAGTTGATAAACCACAACGTCGAGATGCATTACCCGACTGGTCATCACAACACACCTGCCGTGACTTTGACGCCATATTGAAGTGGAACAAAGAAGGACCACGAGCTGTTCGTTGGCGCGACGCAGGCCCAAACCCTTCTTGGGACTCGTCATTAGAAGGGGCTGATCCGCCTTTCCCTGCCGAGTCAGGGGATGATGGTCACCACCACCATGGCTAGGTGGCGAACAGTTCCAAGCTATTTCTACAAGTTCTTAGTCTTGAGGACGCGACATTGTTGAATGAGATACATTCAATTACGCGGCGGCATGAATGATATATTTACAGACTTTGAAGCACAAATGGAATTAGGATTTTTTTGGACAAATTCCAATGTCTCTAGGATAATTCATATTAAACTGGAAACATTTTATTTTGTGACGTAGGTCTGGAGCGCAACCCTTATGGCCCAACTTGATCGGTTTGGGGACTTTATTAAAACGGGAGCGGAGCTCTTATACACCCGCTAACTTGGCTTTATTCTTCTGACCATATTTTTGACAATATACCTTCGTTAAAGCATCGAACCTCTGTATCGTGGTTTGTTTTCAACGGTGATCATCTTACATAATTGGGGGTGCTCTCAAAACCGCCACAATCTTTGACGTAGCTTTAAGCGGGATGTTTACATCAGTGCTCGTCATTAGCCCGACTCCAATCGCAGGCAAAGTGCTTGTTATATGCATCGTCACCATCGCGGCCGAGATGATGCTATACTTTTCCTTTTGGCAAGCAAATCATTTGCACGTCTTGGCTGCCAATCGATTCTTATGTGTCTACATCAGGATCCTGAGGCAACTTAGACAGAATCGCGTGTCGCAGGTCTAGTATGGCGCCTGCCGCGGTTTGTTCTTTCGGGAATGCGTATATTCATCAAATCTTGTGTTCTCGCTAAAGTCCACTGAACTTTGAATATCCCTTTCGTTATAATTGGCCTTTTTAGGCGTGCATGTGAAAAGACATCGTTGCATGGAGCTTGATAAGTGCGCGACATGAACTGAGGCAGAATGAAAAGACCACAGGACGTTTGGTCAGCGTCGGCAGGTTGCGCACACTGGCGCCTATGTGCGCTGAATTGGGGAGACGCGTTGAGGGGCAGAGTAGAGGGACATCCGGTAGGTTAATTGGTTGCTCGTCTTGATCGATCTCGATGAATTAGCGCTCCAGAAGTGTGCTGGCGGGGCTGCAATGCTAACTGATTAGAGCGTGCACCACGCCAAGTCAGGCTTTACTATGCGGTTCTCGAAGTGTTCCATAGGCAGAACGGCGATCTTACTAAGCCGCACATATCGCTCTACCAAGTATTGCGCCGGTGGTAACCTTGTGAACCACCTCCGCATTTCCCTAGGTTAGAGAAGTCGAGGACCACATCGACTCGACCAGCCCGGAGAAGTTTATCTAGACGTCGTTCAACCATTACAATTGAAACCAGAACGATCGAAGATTGAGGAATCTGTACGCGCTGCAATAGGCAGAATATTTATTAGTAGCAACCTTTTCCTATCTCAAGATCCACCCAGCCACAACGCAGAATCTGCACAAAGCCAACATAGCTGAACGTTTCATTGCATTCCTCCATAGCTTGCCTTAGTGCGGATTTTCGCTGCACGGCGTAGCAATTAATATTTAGTCTTCGACTTTTTCGGTGTATGCTGTCTTTGGTGAAGGGCACATTGATGCTTCCTAGATCTGAAAGGCAAGCGCAGCCTGCGGTTAAAGTTGTACCTGTACGGGGCTGCCATGCTCAAGCGGTGACACTCTGAGAAATTCGACGTGGTGACTCGGTTAGCGTAAATGTATCTCTATATATATGTAAAAGCGCAACGGATAGGACGCCTTTTGTATTGCCTCGCGCGGCGTTATGACTCCTCACGATGGCATCCTATACCGCGCTCATTGAACTTCAATTCAGCAGCGTGGATTAAATGTGAGTTCTTTGACAAATCACGATAAATCGTACAGTTATCGCGTAAGGCACGGCGCTGCGCCTTTCGTGAAAGTGTGTCGTTTTTCAACCAACAGAAGACCGGCAGCGATGATAAACCAAGGTTTATTAATGCACCTTTTCTTGCAGTAGATGGTTCATAGTTAACACCACGATCTGTACTGTTATTTGTGGCAATCATCTTGTGTCTGAGATATCAACGGTGCCAATGTAGCCGACCAAAATTAGGTACGCTACAGGCCACAACGTGGAGGATTATGCTCGGTGGTTCCAAGCTTTTTCATGAAAGTCTTTTAAAAACAGAAAAGGTACACTCTTGTCATATTACACAAAATATAAATCTGATTGCCTAGATGTTGAATCTAGCTACCACGAGTAATATCTGCCATATTCAAATGCACCTAGAACCGCGAATTCCCAAAAAAGCACTAGCAGCCGGCTTAGTACGAAGACATAGGAGCATCTTGCTCAGCCATAGCACAAGCAGATGAAGAGGTTTGTGAAGTAGACGCAGTTGAAGGTCGGAGTACAGCAATAATACCCAGCACAAGGACTGTTGCAATAGTTGCAGTCTATAAGTGTTATTTTACACTCTGCCGTGGAGGCATCGGGTCAGGGAGAGCATACCGGCTGCGAGCACAGTGTTCTCGTCTCCAGCCTTGGCTGGAACGAGAGACTTGTTCTCTAAGGTGGATATGACGTCTATTTGATTGTTAGAAATGAGGCAGGCATGCTATAGGTCAGCGCAGTAACGTGCCAGTCACATCCCGGGATGCCTCAACTGGGGTAGCTTGAACTTGGAGACAATGGATTGCGAGGATGAGGGAAGCGAGTAAGGAGCGCATGTTGTCAAGATTCAATATATTCCTCTAAGTAGGAGTTGTCTTACTGAAGATGACAAAGAGAATGTTTGAAGAAGGACGTAGAAGAGACTTGGGGCGAGAGAGGTAATTAATATACCTTGCGAAGTAATCAGAAGAATGTGGGTTCAGAATAATAGAAAAAGATATCTATCATCTCGATTTGAACAAAATTGACTTCTAGTTGCTTCCTTAGGCCGCTGAACGAGAGCATCAAACAGAGGGAAGTCGTGAAAAGGTGAATCAGCCGAATGCAGGTGTGGGTGCTGGAGTGAGTCACATGCGAATTAAAGATCAACCCCAATAACGTCCTTTTACGAAAGTCAACTGTTTACAATAAATCAAATCAACGGCTTCGTAACTACGAGTATCTTAGTAAAAGGAGGATCAAACACATGACCGACAAGTTCAGCCGATGTTCGCACACCATTACATGTCAATCATGCCAGTATGTCTTGGCAGACTTGGTCGAGAAGAGTCTGTAGAGCTACTGATGGACTCTTTGCAAGCTCGGTCAAGATTTCAAATATTTGATGCATCTTATATACTTCGATTTAGTAATGCACTCCACAACTTTACTTAGGAAACGACTGGTTTAAACCTATCTCAACGTATGGAGTGTTTCTTTCACTACATTGCTCACTAAGGCGTCCATTTTTGGATCAGAACTAGCCGTGTATAGCCCTCAGAGTGGTGTAGCTAACTAGATTGACTACTGACAGACGTGCTAACGTACACTTTAACTTTATTTGAGAGGTAATTGGCCGAGAACGCCTTCATTTTGTTTACATCAAGGGGACATAGTAGAAAGCGGTACCCTTGTCCCAATCTGGGGCTATTACCACTGTCATAGGGTCAAGTTTTCACCGACCTTCACCAAGCCAAAGACTTGGATACCAAGCTGGCCTACCGCCTCTGTGACAAATTTACTCTGTTTCTACAATTAACGTCCCACCAAAGGGAATTTTCATCAACTATAACACTAACAGTATCCGCCAGATTAACTTATGGCAAACACCTATCACAAATCGACATATCTTCAACTGTATACAAGCCGTCCCGAACAATCCGTAGCCTCCATAATAGCTCAGACCCGGCTGCTCGGGGAGAATGAGCATTGCAATCATGTGCCCTGACCATTACAAAGGATCAGGTTCGGGCTTCCGCTACTGAGACCCGTAATCATGTCACTAGTAGCGAGGGATTTGATTCTTGCAATCACAGCATCCGGACCGCTCAGACCCTCAAGAGCCATCAGGTACAAAGCAAGGCCAGTCACATGAGGCGTGGCCATGGAAGTACCAGAATCGATGTAAGTATCGGTATCAGAGCCGATCCAAGCAGACAATATCTCCGTACCAGGAGCGTAAATATCGAGTATTGGACCATAGTTGCTATAATCAGCCTCCGACCAGTTGGAATCGAGGGCTCCCACGGTTAGCGCATGAGGGGCTGAGGCTGGCGACACAATGGCAGCGTCTGTGGCTTCATTGCCAGCAGCAACCACAGTTAGTATACCACTGCTATAAGCGACATCGATCGCATCATTAAAAATGGCAGAATATCTACCGCCTATATAACACGGATTTGAGCTATAGACCCACTTAACATTTGTATAACAAACTGACTTACTTATAGATATGGAGATAACGGATTTGGATTGGCGGCTTTTACTCGTTATGTCATTTACAGCCCAACTATAGCCGTCTAAGATGATGGATACAAGAGTAGATTCGCCCTCGAAAACCTTGACGGCGATGTCTTTAGTAAGCTTCGAAACTCCGTAAGTGGCACCACTGATAATACCGGCCACATGGGTGCCGTGACCGTAACTATCGACATTTGGACCACCGACAGCATTATATCCGTATGAGGCTCTACCCCCGAATTCTATGTGAGTAGTCAGAATCCCGCTATCGACCTATCACACGAGTCAGTGGTCATCCCAGATAAACAAACAGAAAGTTTTGTTATGTGTTAAAGCCGAGAGATGACTGATATTCAGTCGAGGGCTCCTCAGGCGCTTACAATGTATGCATAGGTTCCGCTGCCGGCGGTTGAGTCATAAACATAGCTGGTAAAATCGGGCTCACGATGAGAGACAGTTGCCAAACCCCAAGTGGTGTTAGTTTGAGTAGCCAACGCACGAGCGATATGATCTGTCTTGCTCGATCCGTTGAAGATGTACCAGACCTGGTCCTCCTCCACACTCGCTACCTTGAATTGAAATCAGTCAATGGATAATTATAAATAATTATTACAGAGGGAATCTCACAGCGGCGTCAGACTTGATTTCCTCGATAGTATCGCTGTCGAATTCGCCAGCATACGCGTTCCAATCTTGGATGTTATAAGTCTTGTCGACACCGGCAGCTTTTCTCTTGCCAAATTTAAGACTATGCATACTATCCACCCAGTCTAAATGATTCCTGACGTCGGCAGTGCTGATGTTGTTTTTCAGAGTGACAATATATCTGTCTTGAATGACTTCGCGTTTTTGCTGCTGCCGTTTCGGTACGGCGGAAGTCAAGGGCGACAGAGCCGCCACCACGATGATAAACTGTTGGAAGTTGACCATTGCAAAGGGGTGGGACTGGACTAATGCTTAATGAAAGAAAGCAGTCACGATAAGCTGCTTTGGCTGCTGTGTTTTAATTGTGTGAGGATAATACCGCATTTCGTTCTATATCATTAACCATGCAGTAATTGCCGAGTGGCACTGCTAAATGGTCAACGTACACAATCATTATAAAGTAAATCATATGCTAATCAAAATAATAATAATCTTTCTGAACAGATACGCATCAGTATTAGCTAACTTAGACTAGTGATATTCAGTTACAGAGGACGGAGCTAACCTTCCTCATAAAACGCAAACCTACGTTTTGTAGTTTGACAGAGGGTTAAGAAAGTAAGAATTCATCGTTTTGAACCACTTGACTAGTGAGCTCGTTATTTTCTCACTTGAGAGGATATACATTTCTTTTATCGAGTTTGAGGTTGAGGGAAACTTTAACAAATAAGCAATTAAAATACAAGAGAAGCATTCCAATCCAAGAAGTTACGAGATCCGTCCATGTCGCCGGAGCCAAAAAGAAGCGTTCCGTTGAAAATGGGCAGCAAGCGCAGAGTCTCCACGCTTGGCGATGATGATGTACATGTGAAGCAATAGCTATGCTTCGGATTATTATATGCTTTACATTTGAGCTTGAATAACTGGTTCTAAGTTTATCTACGCTTAAAAAAAATACACTTTTCAAGGCTAAAAACTTTATTTGTAGACTTGATAAACTTATTTTCATACGTGCCGTTCTAACTTGTGTGTTTAAACGGTGGAAATTACGGGCTTAACAATCTTATGATTGAAAGCGAAAAGCTTTTTAGAGGCCATAGCATATCAAGTACACAAGCACCACTAAATAGGGTAAGGCGTTACTCAGCAAACTACTGTGGTAATGGGTATCATAAAGATATACTTCGGCTGGAATACCACAGTACTAGCAAAACTTTAAGTATGGCTTGAGCTACACAATCTTGAATGTTTTACGTCGATAACGAATCATTAATAGTAATCTAACGGTACGCAACTTATAGTACGGCTACGTCCGCTTTCCGTTCCTAATTAGGCAATCTAGTTTTAGCCTTCTTTTATTCTAATATGTGATGTCATATAGGATAAAGGCTACTTATCGCGAGTCACTTAGAGCAGGAACAAATCTTTTGACCAAAAAGGGCATAATCCTTTTATATTAGATATAGCAAGCGCATACACATTCCCGTGACTGAACAATTGCCATCCTCTGGTTTGATCATTTACGCGAGCACGTTGGCAGGTTCGCTGCTGCAGAGTTTGGATGAGAATACAGACTACTTATTCTGCACCGCCACTGGCGTTCATTATTTTGGTGGTCTTAATCCTCCTAGACTACTGCATATGACGCGTTTTAGGTAACAACCCCCCATTCTGTCGCCAGCTTTCCAGATCTGTTGCTCCAAAAGCGTTGGAATGCATATGAGTAGAGGAACAGCGACCTGTGGAAGAGCTTGCCTTAAATTCAGCAGGCTATTCATACCCACTTCCCCAGAAATCCCGTATATACTCTAGATCGGTATATTCTGAGCTAGTGTGAGTACTTTCAATACGGAGATCTGAAGCCTTCAAAGTATATTGTAAAGGAAGCCGTTAATCGACTCTTCCAGAGAGGCCTGTATTTGCCACCCGAGCAATAGGATCTCTTCGCACTTTGGCGCGCGACAGAGAAACGGCAGTGAAGTGCGGATCGTTACTTTGATTGCCATGTAATACGCCTTGAAAAGTACTCATGCCGTCTATCGATAGTTTGCCTATGCATGCAATATCTCAATACTTGCCTGCGTCACACGTCCCCATTTTTAGTTTCAGTCTACTGTGGTAAAAAGTTCACTCAGATCATTTGTTTCCGCTCATATTCCTCAAAGTTTCGCCATACTCAACTTCGTCAGTAACCGTAGTAGGAAAATTGGGTTATACCAAGGAACTAGTCGACTTAGAAATGATTCTCAACATATATCATCTCAATAAGTACAAGTCGTTATTTAGGAAAGTTTGCATGGATGAAAAGGTTAAGCTTGACCGACTGGCTCAACTACGATGAATTAGGCTAAGCTGAACCAGAACTCTGAGTGGCTGATATTACAAAGAAATGAAAACACGCTTCAGCTCAGTTCCATCTTCCAAGCAATGCTTTTTGAAGCCCCTGCTACGAATACCACTCTACTTGCATCCGCCCATCGACATGCCAATGAACATAGTAGGGCTTGTGCAATTCACACCAACGGCTCCAGCTTCCAGCTCTTTAGCGACGCGCATGGATCGCGATAGATAAGTAGTGAAGACACTTGCATAGAGACCATAGTCTGCATCCTTCACCCTTTTCAGACCTTCGTCCTCGTTACGAAATGTATTGATACACAACATAGGACCGAAGATCTCCTCTCTCATGACTCTAGAGTTTTCAGGGGCATTGACAATGATGGTCGACTCACAAAAGTAGCCCCTCTGAACCAATTCTTCCGCCACCGAGAACGACGTGCAAGCTGCTATCTTTGGTATAGTCCACGTATGACTAGACTCGTTCGAACTGGAGCTTGTCGGCCTGCGGCCCCTTCGTACTCCAGGACTAGAAGGGTCCGATTCGCCACCTTGCTGGATCATGGCGGATTTGATTGTCTCGATAAATTGTGCTGCAATTCCCTCTTGGACGTAAATTCTTGAAGTAGTCATCCACGTTTGGCCAGAGTTTGGGAGAATAGAGAGCGTGGCTGAGGACACAGCCTTTGCAATATCGGCGTCCTCAAAGATAAGCAATGGGCTCTTGCCTCCAACTTCTAAGCTTTTACTGTTGTTCATGGTGGAAAATCTTCTAGAAACGAGTGCCAAATCTCATTTTTATAAGGCTTTGTCTTTGAATGATTTCGTAGTGCTCGTAGTTGTCCCATTTTGCCAAAAGCGTCCTTTGTTTGAGACGGACTAAATCGCTCTAGTTGATATGAATTACACATATCCGCATGAAACTGAGTCCATTAATCTACTGACATATTTTCCACTGTGAATTCCTAGCGCATGGCCTCGCTCGCGAATTGGGGGCCAATGCCCGGCATCCATGCCGATAGTTCTTTGCCAAGCCCAAGGTATATCTTTCAGATGGAGACTAAATTTACGGCAAGATGCCCCTCCTTTCATTATCGGTAGTCGGTGGTAGGATACCCCGATATGGCAAACGTGTGATGATACTCACAAATACACAAGATAAGATCGGTGACGGAAAAATTGGTTTTCCATTAGTGTATCTAGATTCAGCTTAGATCTGGATTTCCAGGGACGGCAAAATTCCTCAACGGTGCTGCAGCAGCCCCGGTGGTCCACTTGTTGATCAATGATGCTCAATCAGTCAGCGGAAAGTTTCGTCAAAACCGACGGTGAATACAGTGACTTTATGGATTTCACAGTTTTTCAAGTGCCTTTAAGCTCGGCCCCGACCGAAATTCATAGGCACACTCTTCATTAGTCCAATGGAAATATAACAGTGTCTGACAGATCACCTCTAATCCTCACCAATATGGCCACGAGCTTCGTCTCAACACCGTCTTCGAAGGTTGGAGTCAAAATAGTTTTGATAGCTACCACCTTATTTTTTGCGTATTCAATCGGATATCCGGTCTATACATTGTTCTTCTACCCACTGAAGAAAGTGCCTGAGCCATTCCTGGCTAGATACACACGCCTTTGGGAGTTGTGGACTGTTGCTTGGGGAAATTACAATTTGGAACTCACCCAGCTACACGAGAAATACAGTCAATGAGATCCTTTCAAGGCTTTCGCAGTATTCTGGAACTAAACAAAAGTCGAAAAAGGCAACGTTGTGCGGCTAGCACCTAATCGCTTCAGTTTCAACAGCATGGAGGACATCAAATTTAAGAGCACAAATTCACAACAAATATTACCTTTTTGAAGATCGTCAAAGCCTATCTCAGGAATGATCATTGATTCAAATCTGAGGTCAGATGCGAGCCGTGTATTCAATGATGGGTATCATAGTTACAAAAGTCGATCATGCTGTTCCGTAAGAGCAGGGGGTGTTCCGTAATCCTTGTACGTGATACGAAGCGTCCTCTGTAACGGTCCTAGTGGTCTGCATGGACCAGAACTGCTACTGAACCGTTTGTAGTATGATATCTGAGGATGCCTTTTCATTAGAGTTGACATTGCCACCTGAGATCGACTTTTACGAACATTTTAGCAAGGCTCACTCCATCATAATAACGTTTTCTCTTTGCATTTGGATAATATCCTCAAACTGCGGTTATGAGGAGGAGGAAAATCCCAGGATTAGCTCCAGACATCAGCAATTTCCATCCGCACTGGTCCGTTGTAGGAGAACATTGTTGAGTCGGTACTATTTGGTACGAAACCTTTGTTGTAGATCATTCAGTAAGATATATCCATGTCCGAGAGGAGTAGGTCGCATACCATACAAAGCCTATTGTCATTGCGTCCACGGCAGAAGTCAGTGATAGACATAATACACTCTCGAGCAGACCCGAGGCATTTGCCGATGCATTTGCCAACGATATCTCTGACAGCACTTGCATCCAATACCTTGCGCTTTTTACGACATCAATTAAAAATGGGCGAGTCATAACCATATGAAGATGCCACGATCGCCACAAAAGAACCTTTCGAGGTATATCGAACCATGCAGTTTCGGCATTGAGAGTAAGATGGTTGAAATAAGAAGGTACATTATGCATCCATGTTTTAACCCGACCATCAAGGGTGAGTATCAAACTTGCATCGGGAGGTTGTTGTTCGAGCAGCATTGGGTTCATAGGATTGCTAATTTCAGCTAATTTGATTGGACGGAAGGCATCAGAAGGATCGATGGTTGGAACGAATTTCTGCCATGCGTACTGGTATAGTCGTGGGTCTTTTCTCGCCTGGGCGAGCTGCCTAGAACAAGGAATGGTCAGTGCTTCCCTTCCAAAAGTGAAGATCGCATCTCAAGAGGCAGTGCAGTAGTCGAGAGGCTTCATGGGTGAGGAGGTTCAACATTACTACTAAGCCATTGGATTACAGTACCCCAATAAGCGTAGTTATATACGCTCCATATGGTGGTCGTGCTTGGCTTTCTCCATAACCTGTGTCAGAGTTTCGTTCGCCAGTATAAACTTCGATCAGCCTAGTAATTTTCAGCGAAGGCTTCTGGGAAGATCCCGCTGTTTCGGCAATTGGCCCGATATGTAATAAGGAGGGTGAAACCATCTGCAAGTACCCCTTGCTGCCCCTTAGTCCAGTGTTGCAAGGTCGAAAAGACAATAAGCTTCATGTTAGCCCACTTGCGATTTGGTTAATTAATTGACAGCCACAGGGTCTGATAGCTGTTTTTCAGACTGAGGCATTTGGAATCATGCACGCTAGTTTTTGTGCTTTTTTCAGCTCAGTGGAACGATTTAACAATATGGCTCAACTCGCCCAATCACCCATTGTAGTCACACAGTGTCTTTGCCACTTGGAATGTTGACGGGGCGTCGGGTGTTTGCTCAATAAAATTAGTGAACCTCAGGGATTTCGCCGACTATGGATCGGCGGGACGACCGACCGTAACACCTGTAGGGCTCAGGGATGTTGATTTAGGATTCGATGCTTGGCAGTGAGACTCTGTGGTGGAGTAGAGTATAGCTTGTCATCAAATCTATGTATGTAGGGGGTATAGCGTTCATGCATTGGCTTGCACGTGATAGTGTTTCGGTCGAATGGCCCTAGGCTTTGTCATTTGGCTGACTCAGTCTGCTTGTCTTAGTGGCCCCTAAAGCTTCGGTGGCCAGCCTAGCAAGAAAGGGACGAAGGGAGGAACACAAGGAGATGGGATGGAGATTTTCACGAACCACAGAAATAAATACAGCCATGCGTATACCAGCATCAGGATTTCTGCTCGACCATCACTCAACAATCCGATAAGTACAATTTACTCACCATGGCCGTGAGTCGCCCCCCGGAGATGGTGGAAAGTTCAAGAACAAATTATAACTAACTCTCTTGCACGGAGAACTCATCTTTTGTACTTCGTGGCGTTAAAGACGTCGTTGTCGAGGACCGACCGAAACCTAAGTTTAGGGATCAGGACGACGTGATCGTACACGTCTCGCAAACAGTAATTTGCGGTAGCGATGTAATATAATACTTGCCTCGAGATGGTACACTTGCGAAGTGTTATGTTAATGCGTCTGACTTTTGTTACAAAACTACTGACTCAATGGACTTGGAGGAAGGTGCTATGGTTGAGCCACTATTCGTTGTAGTCGCAATTGCTAAGACCATTGACTTGCGGGCCCATCAAGCCGTAGTAGTCATGGGATGCGGGCCAATCATAATCCTTCCCCAAGCCGTTGCGCGGACCGATGGTGCTCAGAAAGTGATCGTTATTGACGTGGTTCAATCCAGGTTAGATCTTGCTCAAGGATACGGTGCCGACGGAACTTATTTGCTTCCGCGGGCTGGACCAGTTGTTGACTCAATAGACCATGCCGAGAACACTGCCGGTGAGATTAAAAAGATGATGGACTTGGGCGAAGGTGCCGAAGTTATCTGGAATACTCGGGAGCGGAAGCATGTATTCAAATGAGTGTCTTCCTTACCAAAAAGCGAGGCATGATTGGATAGGCTGGCATGGGCAAAGAGGTTGTCAATTTTCCCATCACTGCTGTGTGCATTCAGGGATTGGTTATCATAGGATCTACCAGATATTCAGCTGAATGCTACCCCGCAGCCATTGATCTTATTGCTAGTGGCAAGGTTGATGTCAAGAAGCTGATTACAAACAGGTTCAAAGTCGAGCAGACCGAAGACACGTTCGAACTGGTCAAGAAAGGTAGACAAGATGTCTTCGAATTTATAATTGCAGGTGTTTAATAACCATCTTACTGAGCTTACTTGAGGTTAACACCTTGCCTACAATAACATCAGAAAGCTTTAAACCATGATTCTTTTTGGAATTGTAAAAAATCAAGCTGATGAGCGTGACTCGCGTCAAGAGCCCCTCAGACCTTCGGTACTAACAGATAGATATGGGTCCAATCCATCATCATCCTGTAGAAAATGAAATTTTGGTCAAGGCTCCGATAAACCCAACTAGCTAACCCAGCTCAACCCATTGCCGATCTCGATATCTACCACCGAAAAGGTTGACTTGGTAGTGCAGTCACTATATGACACTATTTGTCTAATTTTATACTCGTCGTGGAAGTTTATAGAAAACTTAGTGTGCTATTCTCAGTTAGGCAGGTAAAAGCATGTGTATACACATTTAAAATAACAGAATACGAGCATTAGGAATAAAGGGAAATTGTTACGGGTGCAACAGATCACGAAGACTTGGCAGGTATTGTGGCTCGAAGATGGCCTTCGAATCAGATTACAGTGCCAATGTTCTTGTCGCACGATTGGATAGATAAAATAGACAAGGAGTTAACCAGGACATGGTGGTGACCCCTCAGGGCCTTGTAGAGGTGCATTGCCCAAGGTCCCACAAGTCCATTATTGCCACACCCAGAAGGGTCAATTCATGTCCGCCGCACCCCTCCACCAATGCAAAACCAGCCTCCAATGACCGAGAAAGAAATTACAGGGATATCTTCGTGACCTGATACACAGAGTACGTACAATTGGGTTGCCCTACACGTCCACCTGTGCTAGCTAGTTTTCCCCAGCCCAGAAAACCCTGATCTACGAAAGCATGTTCTGCATACTGTGGCGCATGTCGCCTTTTCCAAAAAGCTTTCAAAGTCCATGCAACAATCCGGCCTGCCTAGTTGCTGACTGTAGTAGTTATAGCCGCCTAGGCGGCAGGAATGCCCGAAATATAGCCCTATCACTAATCGGTTCCATCATCGACGCTTTAGTTCGTCCCGTACCGAGCGATCCCAAATTAGGAAGTTGCGAACAATACGAGCCGATGTTACATAACGACCGCGGCCTATATCGAATAAGAGCCCTAAGAAGAAGATATTGATGAGCGTGATAGGCCGAACCGCAATTGATGTTGTATTGCTTCGACTTGGCTTCGTATTCAATCTACAGCCTGTTGAATGATGTTATCACCTACTGGGCCCTTGGTTCATGTACATATATATATATGGCAAAAACCATATTTTTGACACATTTGCACAACTACTAGTATTCTCAGCAACCGTTCTGCAATCAACAAAATGAGATTTTCGCTCCTTGCAAGCCTCGTCTCATTCGCCGGCTATGCTCTGGCTCACGGTGGTGTACAGAACTACACTATTGACAGCGTAACCTACTCAGGGTAAGGCTATGCTCCTTCGGATTGCACCGGTGGCAATGCTAATAGGAAATCTAGTTACCAATGGTTCGAACCGTATGAAGGCCAGACTGACCTGATTCAGCGATCTTGGCACGCCTACCCGATCACCGACCCGGCGTCTAGCAACATGACGTGCAATTTCAGGGGCGCGGCCGTGCAGGGCGCGTACCATGCGCCGGTCCAGGCCGGTAGCAGCATCTCGGTCACTTGGTCCGAGGATGGGTATGGCTGGCCACACACCGTCGGACCCATCATGGCCTATATGGCCTCATGCGGGGATGACTGTACGGCCATAACCGATATAGCCAATCTGGAATGGTTCAAGATTGCCGAGGAAGGACTGCGGGAGGGCCATGCGGTAGGGGACGAGACTGGTTGGTTCCAGGACGACCTGTGGGAGAATCAGATTACGGACCACTGGGACGTTGTGGTGCCGGCGACTCTGAAGCCAGGGAAATATATGATCCGCCACGAGATCATCAACCTGGCGCTGAACCCCGTCCAGTTTTATCCGGACTGTGCGCAACTGGAGGTCAACGGCTCAGGTTCCGGCGTGCCTACTGCAGAGTATTTGGTCAAGTTCCCCGGGGAGTATTCGGTGACCGGTACGTACCTTCTTATTTCTTTCCATAAGCCTAGTGGAAGCTGATGGGAGGACAGATCCTGGTATTGCAATATCTGGCAAAGTTTATGGAGACACGGTTACAATGGTTGGTATTTCATCCCTTCGAAAATAGTTCTCATCTTCTAACTACCTTATCAGAACTACACGGTGCCCGGGCCGAAGGTTTGGACAGGATAAAGGCATGGGATCGTCATTTAATAGGGCAGACTGCGCCTCGTAGAGCCATACATCGCATTCTAGCCTGCGCACGTGTTAGTCCAGGCTGGTGCAGAACCTGACTGGAAACACTTAGTCCGTTAACTCAAGCGCCTACTCATTTCGGATATATCCTTGTAAAAAAGCCACTAACCTCTATAAAACGCGCCCATTATACAGTTTTCTCTCCCAAATATAGACTATAAGCCGCCCTTGGCGTTAATGCCTGGGCAGTAGTGTATATCTTTTCAATTACCTATCAATAAAAGCATGCTTTGGTGTCTTTCTCTCTCCTGAAATATAATAACCATTCATGTCCTCTTTTGAAAAAGATAAGGTTCTTTGAGACCGCCGTATATAAGTGTTCATCTTTGTATCAAGATTCCCCTTGCACCTGCCACTAACGGGAAAATTCGTCTTTTCTCTTTTCCGTTAACTATAGCCAAGCCCATGCGACCGTAAGTAGTCTATCTGCCTTTGTTTCTAGCGTTGCGCTTTGCTTAGTAACATGGTAATATTATTAGCAACTTCGTTTCCTTCGATCTCTTAGTGTCCCGAAGTCTACTTTTCTATCACCTTTGGACTTTACACTAATACAAACTCCTGGAAACGCAGAACCTATCTTGCAATGATTCCAGTGGTATTCTAGTCAACCCGTCAACCACAGATGTGTTACCTAAACAGACGTGCAGTCTTTTGTTTGGTATGATCACCCTTGCAGGGCACTATACACTTCGGTGTCGACGACTTCTGCCCTGTGCAGCCCATCTTTGCTCCGATAGACCCTTTAGGTGGTTCCACCGCTCATTACGGCGCAACCTCAGTCAGTACGGAGCCGCGCTTGTACTTGAATCTGTGAGTTATCTGGATATACTACCAATTCATTCTTCTTATTTCCACTGCAAGACCCTTCGATCAAATTCCGCTTCTCGGTTTTTTTCACCCTGCGAGGCGGTTCCTTGAAAGATGGTCACACTTAGTCTGATCTTTACGTCGGGACCACTTGATAGCATCTCTGGAGTTTTCCTGGTCTTTCCTTGCTTGTAGTGGAAGTCGCCGCACTCGTGGATGTTCTCTGTCGACCCGTCCACGCCGGAAACCATGAAGTGAACCAGGGTCACTGTCTTGTCCCTTAGTTATGAGCCTCACGATAAGCTCGCAGGCTCTTTCTTGGACTGATTGAATGATAAAGAGTGGAAAGGATGAGTTCGATGACCAAAGTATTACTAATTAGCGACAACGAGCCATTCTCGTTGTCCTTGAATACATCGCTACAAAATCAACGACTAACCGTACCAAAAGTGTAAAAGCATGAGAAAGAAAACTATCTGAAAGGCCTATATCTCGAGCCTTATATTGATCATGCCGAGTACAATTCTGACAAAGGTCGACACGATCCACTTAGCCTTTCCGCTGTGATAGTACAGCCAACGCTCACTACTTCAGAGGTCGGTGGAAGAAACTCGGCTGGGATCTTAGCGGATGGAATCTGTTACTCGAAGTGTACTACATGCCTTAGATGCGTTTGCGGCAGGGGTGGAATGACTTTTTATTGCTATTTGTAGAATAAATTATATCTACCGGAGCAATTTATTGACACGACAAGATGAGGTCGCGATGTAGTGTCTCTTCGTCTTTTCCATGTTTAGAATACTATCCCTTACCATGCATAAGTATTGTTAGCACACAAGATATCATGGCTTTCCTCGTCGACCCCGATGAAAGATCTCTGACTGTGTTATACAGACTGCGGATGTGATTCGCCACTCGGCTTGGCTCCTTGTGCCCAGCTTTCCACAGAGAAATTCTGTAGAGGGGATTTATACTATTGGAGACGCCGGTGAGTCTTGTGGTACACCGCATTGAGATGAGACCTGCTTGCTCTAGTAGCTCTCTGTTGTACAATGTCTTGGCCGAAACGCTCTATTGTCAGCATTATGAAGGCTGTGGAGGTCGCTCTCAATGTAAGAAAAATGATAAAGTCCTTGAGGGCAGAGTTATATCTGGTTATCCATATAAACCTGGTACTCTATATGGCTTATACTCCGTCTTCTGACAACGACATATTGATAATAGTACTTCCAAGTCTGCCAGTCGGTCCGGAACTACTAAAAGCTATTACATTTCTAACACTTCCCGCAGTAACCTCCAGAATCCTACCGCTACAGGTAACGATAGGCTCAGCTGTGTCTTTATTCTGAAGACTATCTTCTACAACCAATCCAGACATAACTGTAACCTAGACACTTCCTCAGGCTTTATCCATTGATCTGTACCGTCTTGTGCCGTTGTAGACTTGGAAGTGTCCTCGGTTCACAGTGGTGTCCTGATAACTTCGGGGGTACCAGCACTCACTCGAATTCCAACTTTGCTTTCTAGTCACATAATCATTAATTGCATTTTTCGTAGCAGTATACATGGGTGCTGCTAATCGGGTTTTTGTCCCGCGGCTGATGAAGTGAGAAGAACATACTTCCGATTGGTAGTCGATGAGGAACCCTCGAAGCGAGAAATCGCCAGGCGTGTCAAGCGAATAGGATGGGTCATGCTGATATTGAGTAGCGAGTGGTACACGCCATCCAGGTGGTTTCGAGAATGGGGCTTGCTTGGTGGAATCCAAAAATTCGAGAAGTCAGCTCATAAATTTCAGCTCTGGGCAAACTTTGTCGACGCCTTCGAATCCCTCATCATCTGTATCGAACAAAGTGAAGATTTGCAACCAGTTTCACACGTCGGCCTTCTGGAAGATTGCTCGAGGTTGAGTCAACACGTGTGCATCTACGAAGTTTTGAGCCTCGAGTAGCAAGGATAAGTCCGAAAACGTCATGTTGATGCCATCGGAGATAATGACTCGGTCAAATGGAAGGCATATACCTGTGACGCAGTTTATATAAATTCCCTTCTTACAGTGAAGCAGTCTACTCATGCGCAAATGTTACAGTCGCTGTCTTCTTCCTCATTTCTTGTGGCATAGTTGCTAGATATGTTCTTACCAATCGATCACTCGCTTGCGACTGGAGAAAATCTCTACGGAAATGCCATGGTAGGATGATAATTTCTAACACACTCAGTATTTGTGGAAATCTGTTGAATCGGTATCGAGCTTTCATGGACCGCAGCCTCATCTTACGTGTCGGTTGTCTGATGGATATATTCATAATATTGGCGGCGATCGCGATAAAGGCTTCTGTGCGTGTCTCAAGAACCTGATTCTTATGTTGCTAAAGCAAAGGAGCCTCTAGGGGTATCACATATTGTCCATGACCATTCAGACCTTCCCCGGGATGCTTGGAGATGCTCTGCCGTATTGACCACTTATAAGGTCGATTCAAACCTCATGACAGCTTTAGCACTATTACGCGGGACTGGTACACAAGATCTGTGATATCATCCAGGAAATCACTATAAAATTAGCAAAGTGCCGTCATTTACTATTTGCTGCCTTCACGGCTTGAAAGCACGCTCAGCCTTTTAATGATTAAAAGGTATTGAAAAATTAATAGAAGACTTGCAATTCTATAGAGCACCTGATCTATATTGACTGCGAATGTATATACGTAGTCAGATCCAACCTGTATCAATTACAAAACTCTGATTTTCAACTCCTAAACTATCATCTACAACCAGCCAAAGCGCTAATATCGCAACTTCCCCAAGTTTCAATATCATATTTATTGCGAATCGTTCTTAGACATAACATTTGCACTCGGGTGTAATAGTTCCCTTATTCTGTTGCTCATTTGCAATAATCTCAGTCATGATGCTATTGACTTTGACTCTCATACGTGAGCCAACGTTCTCGTGAGATCCATAATCGCCAATTTGCTCGCTACATATCATATGAGTCCTTGTTTTTATCGCTCAAGTAATACTGCTATCCATTCTGATGACGGAATTCATTACTTCAGATTAAATTATGCACCCAAATTGCTACTGTGGCTGCTGAATCCAATGCATATTGAAAACAACTTTGGGGATCTGGGCTTAGACTGTAGGTCAGTGGGTTTTCCTAATATCTAAGTATCGGCATAGCTGCATGCTCAGCTAACTAGGGAGAAGGACCACGAATACGATACACCCAATAAATCTCTCGTGCGATTCATCGGGTAGCCGACTGGTTCCCGATCGACGTGGTTGGCGATGGCTTTATCACCCGCCTGATTTGATCGATTACAATCCTACCTCATCTTTATCACAGGATTTTACATTCTTTCAATCGCTTTTTTGCCCAACAACTTTTCGTCCATCACAATTTATGGATATGGGAAAACTTAGCGGGCTCTCTTAAGATCAACATCAACGGTTGTATTGACAGTAAAAACGCTTGCCTACCATCGACACTAGATACTATATCACCGCGTAGTAGCTGATACCCGATGTCACCATCAGAGATGCCTTTGATACATATAATGAGGCTAAGTTTTACTATGGTATCTAGTAAGCCTTATTTGCAAATCCGTAAAATATGGAATAAGAAACAGCTCATCGGTAGAGTATCTTATTAACATCTTTGCTCCTCGTACCCACACCATGGGATGAATCGATCACCCGAAGGTTACGGAATACGTAATGCATATTAGTTAGAGTATTTAGCTTCACGGAAAGTTAGATCAAAGAAGGCTGTCTCCCCGTCAAATTAGACCTTCGATAGAATTGTGTATTTTACTTAAAAGTTTATCAGAAAGGATACATTATCCTTAGTATAACATCAGTCTTGTATGAAAGATCTTGCTAGACTGCTCTTCTACGATCAAAATGTGGGGATTTCATGCACCTATATACTCATAGCAGCCACTTGTGATGACTTATTATTTTTCGGCAGCCCTGGAGTTCTATGAGGCAGTTAGCAGTTTTGTTCTCCGCGAGATGACAGAATCATTCCTCCAGATTGAGTGCAGGACGAAATGATCACAAGCCAAAGTGGGTCAGACCTGGGCACGAAATTCGATCGCCAAGATTTGTAGGATTTAATTTGCATATAGCATTTCAGGCTAATAAGCTGGGCATCCAGGGCAGGATCAAACCCGCTAAAAAACCAAAGTCTACAGGTAGAGACTCGATTAGAGATCAGGTAAGAAATAAATACACAAAATAGCCACTGAGAAGGCGTACGTAAGACAGCGCATGTGCTGTTGAGAATCTACATGTATGCGAACGTTACGTCTATCCACGTACTCTGCTTAGGCTCAAACCAGTCAGAGTGGGTGCATTGGTCGGCTTCACTGCTGTGATTTTAGGTCATATTCGACCTGACAATGAGTTGTGATTGCGCATTCTGTTCCGTACTCTTTCTGCATGGTAGCACCCGTGCAGGTGACAAGTGAAGAATTTGATTGCAGCCATCCGTATATGCGCCTTTCGTATACTGGGGACTCCACCCGTTTGACCCCATCTTCACTCAGGGGCCTGAGAAACCAGGATTACACGTATACTATTATGTCATATCGCAGCGGCTTTGTGCCACCAATATACGAAAAGACATATATAAAAGAAAGTTTCTGACGTCTGAGTAACAGTCTGTCCAAATTCAAACTTGCAAAAACATTTATCATACACTTGCTGAGCGCACCAATATTTCTTAGATACTTCCTCCCAATCTTAATACCGCAATCATGCAAATCACCGCAGCCACTTTCGCTCTCTTCGCTGTCTTCGGTCTTGTCTCAGCTGCTGCTGTTCCTGAGCCGGAGCCCCTCAACATTGTTGAGAGAGATGTGAACGGACCAGTTCTGCTTGGCCGCGCATTCACCTGCGGTGCAGACGACCCTGCGATCTGTTGCGCCGTAAGTTCACGGATTCACCTCATTTCATTTCGTAGATCCGGGCATGTATCAATCGATACCGTAATTGAAACAGTGGCATCATGGTTCAATGAGAAAGGGATAAATACTAACGTTATACCTCTAGTGCCGTGGTGGCCAGGGAATATGCGTCAACCTGCGTTGTGAATGCGTTGGCGGAAACTGTTAAATTATTTATGAGACAGAGAGCCTATATTCGTATATAAGGAGAACGATCCATCACGAATCACTTTGTTGGGATATGGAGAGTCACAGGGTGAAGGAGTATTACTCAAGCCACTCGTTTAGCAGGTTCTGACCGATTTCCAACCAAAATTTACATATTCTTTTGCCTCACTCCGCGCTTTGCTAACTTTTATGCTTTCAATCGGACTTGAACGGAACTGTGGAAATGCATAACCTTAGTACTGTAAGCTTTGCGCGTCATCAGTGATTCTGCATGATCCCCACGTTCTCTCGTGGCTTTCACAGGCGTAAAGGACTGATTGCCATCAAGGCGATTTAATAGAACGGCACTAGTAAGGGTCTTTAATTATAGGCGTTGTTGTACTAGGGAGGAAGAGGAAACTTGATCTTATCTTGGCACGGATTATGTTCCAAGATAAGATACCAAGATCCGTACCAAGATCTTGGTACCTTCTTATCTACTAGGGTTAGGACGCACTAGTGGCACTAGTGTGCATGCAGCGCGAAGACTGCAACACACAGATCGGCAAGTATGTGGCTATGATAGTTGGGTGCTATTATAGGTACGACCAAAGGCGCCGACTGTTCAGTCACTGTCATCGTCTCGGTTAGCCTGAGGTCTATACGTGATATACATAGCAACGCCGGAGTAGTAGCTCGTCAGCCCAGGTCCAAACTGGACGATGTCCAGCAGCTGCTTAAACGGAACAGTCCCGCGCTCACACATGGTCAGCAAAGTCTAAGCCGCATAATTTTGGTCAATTCGTTGACTACTGGATGTATAAATGAATGGTTGCCGAACAGAGCTCTGATGTTGTTATCAGCGGCGCGGATATGGGCGGTTTTCATAGCCGAATGGAGCACCTGTAGATCGCCCGAAGGAGAGTGTCGAATCTATGTCCCATGCCAGTGGATCGCTACAGTTCACTTGGGCTTAGCTTCGATCAAGCAAGTGATGAATCGTGCATACTGTATATACTATCAGATCAGAAGGACTAGTCAAGAGTGGGACTGTGGGGTGGGACTTGGGTAGTATAGATACCTGTTTGTCTCCGCTATGAGGCATTTACGGATTAGCTTTTAGCTAACCATCAATATACATGGTCACGTTTGCTATAATCACTCTGATCAAATCATGATCTATCATAGTAACGGAGCATCTGCGGGACGGGCTGATTAACAAATCTCTCGGTGAACAATAAGCCATGCCGTCAGCGAAAACTCATGTGTGACGAGGTGAAATCGATATGTGGCTTCTGTCAAAAGGCGTGGCGGGTATGCATCACCACCGAAACCCCAATTTTACGTGTTCACTGAATTTCAAAGGTGACAGATACCATCACGATGGATCAGCCCATGCTCGTGGATAGCTCCGAAGCGGATCCCACGGCACAATCTGTGTTTCGAGAGAAAATATGGCATGTTCTTGTGCCATAAATCGCAAGTTTACTCCGATAAGCCACCTTCATCCAGGTCTCGCAGCCAATTAGACGGAAAATTGATGAGGAGAGTGCGTCCATCTCGTCAAGCTTAATCAAAGACAATGATGACAGCCAGGGCTATGCCAAAGCGGCAAGGGGGTCTCTGCTAGATGAAAAAGATTCCCCGAGCCCCCCAGCTCATGATCGACATGTACACAAGATAATAAATTACAACCTAAATCTTATACTCAGTCGTGGGTTCCTAAGCTAGTAGTTTACTAGCTCAAGGTCAGCCAGGTTTCAGAGCATTGTTATCCAATTACTCCACTGCTATAACGAAATTACCGGCACATGGTCAGTCAAAGTCATCGTACCCCAGCCATTGTCAGCCGACAGTATTAGAATAGAGCTTTTTGACGTGACTGCATACCTTACATAAACGTCCCCTGGTCATGGCTACTAAACTCCTCCTGCGCTTTTGCCTCCAAGCACATTCATCGCCTTTTGCAATCATTGTCGTTACGAAACAATTGGGCTTCTGGTGCATTCTATCGGCGGCCTTCCTAGTCCCCACGGGTCCTGAGCGGGAAGCCAACTTGAGTGACTTGCCTCTACTCGAGATCGCTCTCATACGAATCTGAAGCCCTTCGTCTCCTTCGGCGATGACTGGAGCCCCATTTCAGCGCTCAATCGTTTAAAAGATTGTCCGATAGGACTCTTGACATGCCTGTAGGATCATGTATGTGTCTGTTTACCACGACGTGTTACAAGCCCGCCCAACCTTGCATACTGTGACTGAGGTCCTCTTAGTGGTCCAGCTTGTAGGAGAAGAAAAGGCCGATCTTGGCGGAAAACAATATGGTCGTCAGAAGAGTATTACGCATTGCTATCATAGGTATCATAAACAGCGGAAAGTCAGTGCTCCGCCTTGATCTACTAGACCAGACAAACCTCGAATAGAGACCAGCATTCTTAGTCTAATCGAAAGACTATATGTGTATGTTATAATAATTCGGGTATTTGGAGATTACGCTGTCAGTTATGCTACATGTTTCAGTCTGATAACTATATATCGTAAGAACGAATGACCTTCTGTTACATGCTGAGTTAATACTCTACCCATCGCATATCATACTCGACACAACCTGCCATTCTGAGTTGGATAGTAATCAATCTGATCTGTGATGTACCAATCTTCCGCACCCACGGCTGTCGCTGCATAAAGCACACCCCAAGGGTCATACTGCTGTTTCAGGCTGTACAGGTACTGATAGTTGTCACCATAGAACGTTTGCTGCAGATTTGGCTCATTGATGTCCGCCTCGTTGAGATATGCGCCAGAGTCAGGGGCCATCTCGCGCCATGGTTGCAGTCTGTCGACGAGTGCCTTGTTAGCCGCAGCGATTTCGGCAGGTGTTGCTTCTTGGGTATATGTTGTGGAGGCCATTAGGAATAAACATGTGTCTCTCCAGGCGGGCGTGACGGCATTCGTCTGGTTGACAACAGAGTTGGCTGCGGGCTGCAGATTATAGCCAAAGATTTCACCATATGTCTCCGCATCGTGGCGAAATAGAATCATCTGGGCAGATAACTTTTGCGGATTCTCCCAATTAGCCACGGGAAATAAGCGCGATGCGGTATGGAAGTTCCAAATCCCAGCTTGGTTGGTACTTTCCGGGAAAGTATCGTCGAAAGCCGCGAGATAGGTATCGTATTCGGTCACTGTTAAATTTTCCACAGCAACAATAAGCTCTGCTAGTCTGTCGAACAGGGGTTTGGATAATGCTTCTGCTTCCTTGGCACGTAGATCTGGCGCAAACTGGGATGTCATAGAAAATACGCAACCAGTCGTGTTGGCACAACTGATTGACCAATAGCTGTATAAGCCAGCTTTGGGCCAATGGGGAAACTGCGCAAATAGAGCACCAACCCCTGCCCAGAAGGAGTTGGACGATGCTCCCGACCCAAATGTGTACGCGAGCTTAGTTATGGGTGTTCTGGGATAGGCCCGGAAGACTAAGGACGTGACGACGGCCCAGGTGCTGCCGCCTCCCCCGCGAAGAGCAAAAAACAGATCAGAGTAGTTGTCCTCGTCAACAGAGACAAAGCGACCATCTGGAAGAACAACCTCCATGGAAATGACCTGGTCGGATGCCATTCCGTACTTGGATATCAGCGGTCCGTTGCCGCCGCCAGCAGAGTATCCACCTCCAATTCCGACCGTCTAGCATATACCGGCATATCAGCGACGATTAACATGAAAATTTTGTACCGGTGAACATACATTGACAAGTCCTCCTGTGACTTGAAGTCCTTGCGCATCAGCAGCCTTGTACATCTCACCCACGGTTACTCCAGAGCCTATCTTAAATGCTGCACCGACCCGACCTGACGTATCTGCATAAGATTCGCCCAGGTACTGGATGTCACGTAGGTTGTGTGTCCAGATAGAAAGCGCCCCTGCACCAGTGGACTTGGCGCTAAAATCGTGACCTGTGTTCTTAATATTAAAGCGCAGATTTAGATTCCGGGCGAAGTTAAGCGCGAGCTGTATCTGTGCAACTATCGAGGATCATAATCAACTTATGTACAGAATTTTGGTGTAAATAACCTACCAGTCGTAATATTGACGATGTAGGCTGGCATGCCACCAAGCGTACACGTTGCATTTGCCCGTGCATATATTGGGGGAATACAAGTCACACCCTCGAAGATGGGAAAGCTCAGGCCTGTGGGCTGATTTGTTCTAGCATTTTATTAGCCCGTTCTCCATCCGACAGCATCGAGGAAAGGGAAGGAGTACTGCCAGGTAGCATTTAGCCAGAGCTCTGTGACCTTATCACACCTCTCCTGGTCATAATCAGGCCAGTCAAGATAACATACCGAAGCCGAAGGGGTACCCTCGAGCAGCGCACCTCCGAGCAAGGTGTCAAATTCTTGCCAGAGATCTTCCGATGGCCATTCAGGATCCCCAGGCATCACCTTGCATTTCAAGCCCACACGTTTGCTTTTAGCTGCCGTATCTGCACTTGGGAAATCGAACACCGATGGATCGCTGATGTTGTAACGGCTAAGATTGGCTACCACGTTTGGAGTAAGCTGAGCAGACTCGTACGCAAAATAACCAACCCCAGATGATGCGCTTCCATTAGGGATGTACTCTGCAGCTTGTGATATTGCTTAACGAAACAATCAGAATTAGCCGCGTCATGAACACCATATGCGATTTGACGGAGGTCGCTCCCAAGATCGGTACGGCACTTACGCAATTCAATGCCTACTCCCTGGGTAGCCTCAGGAAGTAAGGGCAAAATAATAACTGAGACTATCCAATGAAACATCATTCAGTTACTGAGATGCAATTCAAAAAGTATGGCGGGTGGGGAAAGTCACGAAACGGCAGGTTAGGGATTAAGACAGTTTATCAAGACTATTTCGAGGACTATCGTCATAAAAGATTCCCCGCGCGACTGCAAGTTAGATTGGAGTACGGAGTTTAAATGCTACACACCAAAAACTCATCCAATCACGGCAGATTCTATGTTCACTGACGGGATGAGATCCATGCAGATAGCGTCACACTCGGTTATTTCAACCTACTTCGAAACAATGTGTTGCAGTATTCAAGAACTTTAAGGCTAGGAGCTACGACTGATTAGCCATTCGCCGGCGGAGCTTATTTTCACTTGAAGCGTCTCCTTGTCTGGCTTTATAGACTTGCAAAACCTGGGGTCGAGCATTTACAAGATCGCACCGGTCCTAGAACATGTATGATTTTCAATGTTACCGTAAGCTACAGGTGCTGGACCCCGTGTCTCTTCTCGCTATTAGAACCTTACACTTGCTTCCCATGCAGCCAACACCAAGACCTATCGGCCAGCAGGGGCCGTCAAAGCTGTTTTCTTCTGAAAGTCGTCCGGCAACAGCCCCGTGGCATCGTATGTTATGATTATGGAACGAAGCGCGGTCCAATTATTAGTCCATGTAGGTATATCTGAGAAATCCGTTTGAAAGCATTTGCCCGTTACCGTGTATCCTGTTTCGCGGTAGTCGTACGCTAATGATTGTTACGCAAACCTTTTACTAACACTACCATAAGATCCGATGCCATAGTTCTGTTACATATAAGCGTAGCTTATTTGGTGATATGTTCGAAGAAAGCAAATTCCCTTATGTCATTTGTCAGTGCGAGCTAGCGTTTCTATAGGCTGCGCCCATGACTATGTATGGATGACGATGATGAGGAGTAGCGCATTTAAGTTGTGGTACAAACAATTGTCAATATTCCGTCACCAGTGCACTAAGCTGATAGAACCTGTACTTGAGCGTGATCGGTCAACTCGTACCTGTTTAAGAGCCTCGATGCCATCGTTGCCGCCCTGACGTCTCAGCTGGGCTTCATGTCCAGACGGCCAAGATAGGCGACTAGGCCCTCGTGATGTCAATACCATTAGAACATTCCAATAACACGAGAGCCCTCGGGCGATATGCGGGCTCGAAAACTCCGAGCGGTCTCGTTGAGTAGCAGTTGCGTGCTCGTCATCGCAAGCTCTCATGCGTAAACGAGGAACTGTTAATAATTACTATTATCAATAATCCTTGAGAATCACGTGTTTTAAACCTCTAAAAGGACTTGAGGGCATATCTTCTGAGGCTGCGAGAGAAGAAAGTAGGTTTGAGGGTGGAAGCCAATCGGTGTTTGACGGCAACAACTCCATCTCACACATCGGGTCTACGATACCAGGACCTTTGTCACAGGCCGTAAAATGACAATGCAAGCACATGCGACAAATTGAAATTTCGCAGTAATAAATTAATGCTATTCAAAAATTTATATCACCATGAGGTCGCGAGAGAGGCACAGTTACTTTGTTACGAGACGGATGTGTCCCTTTATTATTAGACATGAAACTGGAACGTCTTAAACATCGCCAAGCTTGAATAGATGAGTCACTTTCTTGTGGCACATCCTGCCCTTCATCTCAGCCCCCGTCCACATTTAGACATACCCCAACGTTTGGTTTGAGTTTCTATGATTTCTACCGAATAGCACCTATGGATCAATGTAGTATAGGTTTGGTCAACTACTATCATGAACGTCAGGAGAAATCCGCTGCAGACGCAAGTTTACAATGCTAATCAGAGCCATTGTTTGTTGCCCAGGTGAGACAGGAATGCGCCCCCATGCCCCTTCTCAAGACTGGCATTCTCCCAAACTTTGATCACATCTTGCACGGCTAGTTCCCGGGCTACTGGACCCTTGAAGTTTGGTGCATACTTCTGAAAACCTGCAAACATGCTTTGCAATCCCTCAATCTCCTGTGGAGATACTGTAGAAATATCATATGGTCAGACTCGGAGCCATTTCTTTTTCAAATACAAGAGGCAAGAAGAATGAAACAGGAGGAGAAGGGAGGGATAATTCATACGACTTGCAGGGTTAAAGTTGCCCGTATCTACCACTCCTGGACTGATAGCAATGAACAGTACGCCCTGCTTCTTATACTGTGCGCTGAACTTGGCAACAATAACGTTCAAAGCTGCTTTCGAGGCCGAATACAAAGCTCCAATTTCTATGTCGAACTGATTGATAAAGTCAACGTCCGCCATCCCGGAGCTTATAGCTATGATCTTCTTGGCCTTTCCTTTAAGAATGAGAGGCAGGAACACATTGTTAAGGTAAATACTGCCAATGACGTTGGTGTCGATTGATTCATGAAAGGCGTTCGCTGCGTCTCTAGGCGATCTGCTCAACATATCAGTTCTACTCCCGGCCTGAGGGGGCGAGGGACGTACATTTGTCCAATCGGGGAGAATCCATCAACTTGTGATATGATAGCGGCGTTCGCAACCAGGTAGTCGAGACTGCCACCCGTAATGGCTGAAGTCTCGTCGGCAGCAGTCTGGGGAAGAAGATGAGTCAGCAAATATGTGTGGATCGGTCTCCGTTGGCATCGGCTTTCCCACCTTCAGACTATCGTAGTTTGTCAGATCACCGGCAATGATGTGAATATTGGATCGGTCAGACAATTCCGCCGACACCTTTTCCTTAGTGCTGGACGGGTTTCGAACCAAGCCGACGACTGTATTCTTGGGGTCGCTCGACAGCTGGCGAAGCATCTCAAACTATTGATAGGTATTCATCAGACTGGACCCGGAATGCTACACTTGGCTGAACCTACCCCTATCCCTCTCGAGGCTCCAGCGATGACGTATGTTGACATAGTGAGTAATGTTTCCTTTGGAAATTGATTCTAGAACAAGTCGCCTCTGGTATCGTATGGCCATGGCATTTAAATAGCTGGCAATTGTTGAACGGAGTACTTCGATTACAAATACTTCAATTACAAATCAAATACAGGAGGCTACATCGGTGACTTGAATTCTGCAACTGCTTTGTCTGCTGTTTGCAGTTCAGCTCGGAAAAAGTTTCCAGTTGGTTTATTTTTGCGCCGAACCTGCGCGATTATAGGTCCGGCGAAAATACTGTGGAACCTTGGATTCATGTCAGACCTTCTTGAAATGATTCTTGGCATAGGATGAGGTGTATAATCGACTTTTGAATCTTACATGCATGATGCGAACCGAGGTCATATGATTGAATTAAAGCAGCTTTTCATGCTCCGATTCACGCATTAGAATCGACCCTCGTCAACGCATTATGGCATTCCCGGACGGAGTCTGTCCTTATTGGATAAGAGTAGTCACAACGGGGCGGGCCAAGTCGCATTGCAGGGGGGTACGACGTCGGTAAGCTATTGCTTTGAATGGATCTTGCGGTCAGATATCGCGAACAAGCTGCTCTGGCAGATACTAGAAATCTATCCATACCCTGCCCGTGGTCAATTCTCGCCGATGCATGTTTGCTATTTATACTTGTCGTCGCATCTATCTATCACATGTGCCAAACGACAACAGCTAAAGCACTGTTCGCAGCTAAATTGGGCTCTGTATCCATGTCCAAGGGCTCGGGGTTGACGAAGCGCACGTCCATGCCCGGTCGAAAACAATGCAGCGCGAGCTGCCACCAAGGTGGAACATGGCAATCAGGTCACCCTTCGTGGGCTCAGCACCGGGGCTGACGGTGAACTCGCAGCTTGACACCTCAGCCATGCCAATGAAGGCCATGAATATTAGGCAGATCTTTGGGGTTACGAGCCTGGATTAGAAAACGGCGCGCGAGGCCACGGCGCTGATGTACGGCTGCGAGTAGTTTGGGGTCGCCTGATCCAACCTTCGAAGTAGTTCTGGACTAGTTCGTCTCCTGCACGACCCCGATCGACTCAACCCACCCGCTGACCCGCGCATGCCACCGGTGGTAGCTCAGCACGCTCAGAAGCGCCTGGTAGACACTGCCGCAGGCAAAGTGATGGGCCCTCTGGTTACCGTCCGGCATGTTGAGAAGCGAGTAGGGCTGGCCCTTGAGCCAGAGCGTGTCGAGGAGCTTCACTTCCCGCACTGACTGGAGAAATTCAGACTCGCAGGCATTGGTGATAACCACCATCGGGTCCGGGTATCGAGGTCGGTCGGCCCGGTCTCAGAGGCCTCGATCGGTCGTTTGCCGTCGTTGATGATGCGTACGAAAAAGTGGTCCCGGCCTGAGCTTTGTAAGATTGTGAAAAGTTACACCAGTGTCGCTTATAGCATTTGCTAGAGTGAGATGGTGACCATTAATATATGAAGTCATGACTTATTATAAAGGTTCTTATACTATAATATACTTGTTAAGTGGACTGAAGGGATCGGCGTTCGAAACAAGACCTGCTGTGCCTCTAGGTCCCATAGAACCGTATGTTGCCAGATTGTGGTCATTTGGCGCTAGCCAACCGATGATGTCCATTTTCGCTTGCTGTTCAGTAGTTTTGAGTTTCTTGTACCTTATAAATGCGGTCACTGAGCCTTGACTTCCTCGACCGGTGGCTTCTTGTATGCTTCTGCGTCGTTCTGGACTCACCCCCATGCTTCGATAGCCTTCCTGATCTGATGTGGTCGCCTCAAGTCCTAGAGGCGTGACCGTGGGAACCTCTTTCGTTTTGTTGTACTTCTTGAAACCTCATGTTTCGAATCGTGCTGTGTATTGCCATGCTTTATAACCAAAATGTCAGCCAGACAGTAAGAAAATCAGGACTCCAACTTAGGTGGCCTCGAATCCATGACAGGTCTTGATACTCCCCTTTAATTGCTCCAGTGCCATAGAATCATACATCTGTGAAATGTTCTCTCTAAGTTCCTTCTATAGTACATTCCGAATTTATTTTGCCTTTATCCACTTCGGGCCACTTTTCCATCGTAGTTTAAGATTTAGCGCCGTAGTACAATAAACAGCATACGCAACAACAAGGTTTGGCCTTTGAAGTCCAAACAGATATATATGGATAAACATCCAAAGAAAACCTTCAATGGGGACGGTCTGCCAACTCTAGGTATTTTGCTGTAAAACTCTTTCCAACAAGGAAAGCAGATACGCTCTTTTGGAGGAGCCAATTCAAATCCAGCGGACTGAGACAAGGTTCAAGTACGAGGAACTCCGGACGGGAATTACTAGGAGGCGGCATTCGATGTTATCAGCAAATCACTACGTCAGGGTGATGCTACGCTGAGGCTGCTTGAGGTCGAGTGAGGTTATTAACGAAATGTCAATGACTATGTTGAGATTAGTCCAGGGACAAAGCTGTCTGTGGTTGCATTCAAAGCCTGGTTGGCTGCCCTTAAACACAACGCTAAGCTGTATTTGGTGTTTGTAAAAGCTTGGGCTCTGTGGGATATATCGTCAGTTTAAGATGAATCGGCTTGATATCTCACCTGGGCTTTGGAAATGGGAATTGATGAAAAAGGAACGCCATTCACCATTTCTCGTATTCAAATTGAACGAGGAGATGATATATAGACACGCCTGGTATAGGGTAGAAGATAGTACGGATCGACGTGTCGGGTGCGCGTTTTACAGTGCAGTCGACTATAGGGCCCCAAGCCCCCCATTTTTCAGACCTCCATCATTTGCTCATAATGCTGATATCACGCTACTATATCCCGGTTAGGACCCAAGCGAAATCCCAAGGACCTGCAAGGCATTTCCTAGTATGGCCATGAAAGTAATCATGAGGCTGGGAATCTTTTTAAAAGAAATACGTAGATCAGTAGGTACACAAAAAGGAAAATGTAAAACAAAGGATCACCCGAATATTTCAAAAGTCTCACAGCCGCAACCTCCTCGACCTAGCCCAGTTCCTAACATATGCTTCGTAACCAAGGAAAGCCCCACCAACCGTGCTCGCCCTGCTATCATTCTGGTCCGCCGTGCAGTCCCCGACGCGGGATCCCGCGGGCATGAAAAGCACCCCAAGCCCGACCACCACCGCCTCTATTTCAGCTCTTCGGCATCTCAAGCCTGCTTCCCAGCCTCTGCTTCTTCGCCTGCCAGGCCCTACAGCAAGCCGGGGCGCTTCGGCGTCATGTTTTGGGCGCGGCGCCGTCCCACGCGATGAGCTCGGTGGGTATTTAGTCTCGCGACACGCTGGGGCTGGCAGCCTGCGCGGGTGTCCCGGGGTGGTACAATTATCCGGCGGCGGTCATCGAGAGGCGGCAGTCTCTTGGGGATGGGGAGATCGTGGGTGGGAAACAGGTCAAGATGGAGTGTCAGGCTTACCCGCGGATTGTGCGGTCAAGGTTCATTTCGGAGCCATCTGATCAATGATACACCTGGACAATTCATTAATAGCATCTGGAAAAGACAGCTGTGCTCTGAGTTAGAAGCATGCTTAGTGTGGATGTATACAATGGCGCCGAATGACACGGATTTCTCATCGAAGTGAACAAAAGCAATGAAGTCTATTCAATGAAACGCTATCCATTACAGGAGGGTATATGTGTCTACAGAATGACCGAGATCCACGCTGACCAATGCAAGATGCAAATGATCCCACAAAGCAATTTTTCTCCTAACGCCATAAATGAGTGATGTTGTATGAGAGTTGTAATGCTGCAAGATTCGAAGTGATGGAACGCCACAAAATATTGAGCCCCCATCATGACCGATTCGTCGATGTCGGTCTCGTCCATATCATATCTGCGCCGCGTCCTAGCTCGACTACCCGGGAGAGAAATCCACAAGACCTTCTAGTGGGGCAGCAGCAATAGTGCTAATATCCGGGACTGTTCATACCATGTTGATGTGTAGGGCAATGACCGGGACCACTCTGTCTAAACCATTCTGTGATACAATCATAATGGAAGTGACACCAGCACTCCAATCGCGCCATTTTGACACCTGGTCTGTATTCTTCGAAGCAGATGGTACATTCCTCTACATTACCATTGGTGTCCCGCTTGCAGTCCTTCTCAGTCGCAACATACGTGATCATACCGGTCAAACGTTGTGCGCGTGCAGGTGCAGGTGCAGGTGCAGGTGCAGGTGCAACACCCGGTGCGCCTGCTTGGCCGGCAGGGTTTGGAGGTCGCGGCCTGGACGTGCTATGCTCTTCGATGCATGATGTGATGTGCTCCTCGCGTAATCTCTCAAAATCTGACAATTGCCGCGAAGGCAGCTCATCATGGCAAATGGGACATTGGTCCTCTTCTGGGATGTCAGGTGCAGGATGCGGCGGCAGTGGTAAGGGACGGTCAATGTCCCTGGCACGTGGTGCGGTTCCACTTCTTGGGCTCAGAAAGTTGTAATCCGACGGAAAATATCGGGCTGCTTGGGTATTCGACTGGGATCGGGGGGTGTCAAAACGTTGAGCGCTTGTAAACGATCCAAACGTCAGTCCAGATGGCCTGCTACCGAAGCTACCAGTGGAGCTTTGGGCAGAGAAAGAGGAGCCAGACGCAATCGGAGGCTCGCGATACCCACGTGAAGCTAGATGATGATTAGCAACCGCCGTGGGCAGCTGCTGTGAAGGCAGGTGGTTCTGGCATAAGTCAGTGGGGTGTGGGAATCGAACAGTGGATGGGATGACTCACAACTGTAGCACTCCGACTCCTAGGCTGGGTACCAATAAGTGATCTCGTAGCTCCCGCGGGAGGAGGTGAGTGTAGACCAGAAGCTCCCCGAAAGAAATAACCGTTGCCATCAGCACTGCTTTGGGACCTTTGATGCCCTGACCTGGGATGAAAGGCAGAAGAGCCAAGTGGGGAAGGTTGGGGTTGAGGAGGCGTCGTGTTGGGATCCGGCACACACGGGTTGCATAGTCGGACCCTTTCACCACCACCAAGAGAATGGCCAAAGTCAGCTAGGCCACGTTCCCCCAGATAAAACTCCAACGGCATCTCGCCGGGGGGCCGCACGATGTATTGGTTTGGGATGACGATTCGATGAGGTGAGCAATTGTTGCAGACCACTCGACCACATTTCCTACAATGATGCCTCCTAGTCCACAGGGTGAAATCGGTACGGCAAATTGGGCAACTTGCCACATCTGAATCGTCTTGCCAAACAGGCAGAGTTACATCGTTACCCCGTCTTCTGCCATCTCTTGCCAGGGCGTGTGGATTTGCGGGGCTCAACGGGTGCGCATCATCGGGGCGAGACATGGGGTTTTCTGGGCGCAAACTAAGGCGTGAAGATGCCCGGGAACTCGAGGCTGATCCGTGAGTGTTCCGGGCAATACTGTTGCCAGTCGGCTGGCCGTGGGTAGCTGTAGCTGTGTCCGTGGCCCTGTTTGTGCTGGTCCCTAGCATTCGCAGCGCCTCAAGTGCAGTAAACACGTCGTCGCTTGTATGCGAATCATTCGAAACAACCGCATGGGCCGTGAGATTGACAGCCGTGGGCGGGCTGGGTTGTTGTGCATTCGTAGTAGCGACTGTCTCGTGGCGTGTGGATGGTCCAACAGGCGAAACTTGATTCGAGGGGTCAGCATCGTTTCGAAGAGGCGCACTTGGGTCCGAGTCGGAAGGCTGTTCGTTGTTGGGGGCCAGATTAGCTGCAGGGTCCAAGTTCTGGTGGCTGGTGTCGACAGCATCTGCTGGTGCCCGTTGGATCTGATGTGTTGGGCAGTCGAAGAAAAGCGAACACTCGTCGTCGTAGTATTGTGAGTTTCGAAACTGACACACGGGGCTCCTCGTGTCTGAAGCTGTACCGTCGTATGAGCTACCAGACTCAGACTCAGACCCGGACTCGGGCTCGGGCTCGGGCTCGTAAACGGTCGTTCTCGGCTGGTCGGTCTCGGCCTCGACGGTCCGTGTGCTGCTGTCTTGACTGCCGAGGCTAGATGGCGAGCCTCGATCGAGATGGCTCGCCATCTCGGTGAAAGAGAGGTGGGAAATTGGGTCAACGCAGCTCAAGATAAGCTTGCGGGGTCCGGGTCCGACAGGTGACGGGTTACCATCGGACTGTATTCGCGGCAGAGTGCTACTCGGAGGCTGAGGCAAGAGTAAGAGGTTACCACCACTATCACCAGACTTGGAGGAGAGGAGAGGGCGAGGGCGAGGGCGAGGGCGGGGGCTTCCTTGCCCACAGCAAATGTGTGGAATAGCGACTTGCGGTGGAGAAAGATTACGAGTGAGTGAGAAAGGATCACAGAGAAGCGAAAGAGAAGATGATGACTACAAAGTGAAGAGAACGTATCACGAGAAGAGAATTGCGTTGTGGTTGTGCTTCTTGCTCGTGCTTTGATGTTCCATGCTTCCTCTCGCGGTGGAGTGCTCGTAGTGCCCGGCCTGCCTCAGGTCATGTCATGGCTCGACTTAAACTTAGTCCAGCGACTGTCTTTAGCTTGAGCCTTGAACCTCGAGCCTTGGGGTGGCAGGGTGGGTAACTTGGGTCTGGTAGGGGTCCCTTGAAGTTCAAGTCCCTTGGGCCCTTCTTGGCCTTGTCCCTTGTACCTTGTCCCTTGTCCCTTGGGGGGGTCCCTATCTTATCGCTGTTCTTATCGTCGCTCTTATCACCCAGCAGTGAGCCGCCCCTTCCTCCTTGGCGCGCTAGAGGGGAACGGCTAATAATCATGCTGCTTGGACTAATGATGAGCTTAGTGACGTGACTGGAACAAGCCAATGGCAGCAGCTACCAAACACGCTAAATCCCCGATGCTTGCCTGCTTGCGAGCTGTACTGTGGTAGTTATCCCGGATCCCAAGTCCTCCAGGCTATCTATGCCTTCTGCCTTCTGCCTCCTGCGAGGCCGATCAATGCAAAAATCCACAGTTCATGGGCTCTAGCACTGGATGCAACGTCAACGCTGATTGTTGCCGTACCGTTTGCTGCTGGAACCAGCGTCTTGGGCCTCCAAGATAAGAATGCAAAAGACGTGATGCGGAAGTACATGGTAGGTACCGTACTCAGCTCCATGCGACGCCACAAACTCTTGTCTACTGGTTGCTGGGCTGCTACTGCCTGCCACCTCATCAACCTTCAGGTTGTTATTATCACTCAATTCCACATCGCTCTTGCGCCACATGCTTTCATGCTAGCCTCGCCAATCACTTGCAATGTCCATGTAGTTATCACTTATCACTCACAACTCTGATTATGCCGCGTCACGAAACCTTTAGCAACAATCACGGAAAGGGGTACTCAGCCAAGTAAGTCGGAAATACAGGTACATGTAGCCAATATTGTTCATTACCACGCCTGAAACCTAGCAGCTCTGCCCGCGGGTTTCTTATAACTGCTTGCTCAGTATAAATTAGCTCCGGGATTTGCACTCGAGCAACCAGCAAACTCCACGACACGGAGCACCCGCAGCTTCTACCAATTGAGTGGGTATTGGTTGGGAGACAGGCCAAAGTAGCCCGAGCCCGGCAGAGGCAACAGCGATGCATTATTGTTGTACAGCTGGTAGTCGACGCCCCGTGTGGCAACGTCGTTACCCCACCAGCTGAACGACGCGTTTTGGCCTGCACCAAAGCTGAAGACCAGCGTGACTATCAGACCCGAGATGGCGATACCGACGCTGAGGCCCGCGAAAATCAGGTACGCGTACTTGCCCCACCACGCAGTATAGCGACGCTTGAGGTAGAATTGGAAATACCAGGCAATGTAGATGCCCAGCGTCGCGTACGTCAGGTTGGTGTTTCCTGCCCAGTTCAGGGCCCCTGATAGGGCCACTGCGGGGTTGATACAGGCGAGGACGCTGGCCGTCGGCTTCCACACATACCTGTCGAACGAGGAGAACTGCTTCTCCTCCATTCGCCCCTGGACATTTCGGCGGATACGGGGCGCCACCTTCTCACCAAGCACCCATACTGCACCGAGCACTGCGCCGATCAGGAAGCACCAAGGTAGGCCCGGATACAGCCTGAACATGTTGTTCGTACCAAACGCCCCGAAAAATATGACAGAGGAGTAGACCGAGTTCGCGTAGTTGCAGACCATGTGCTCCTTGTTATCCCACTGACATAGGGTGTTGTCCTCGTTAAAGTAGATCATCATGACCTCGAGAATGGCGCAGTAGATGAAGCAGTTGACGATACATGATGCCACATGACCCCGGAATACTGCTCGAGGAGGAAGTTTGGCATAGTGAGCGTATTTGAGATCTTGCGTGAAACCGCCGGCCATCTGCTCGAAGGCGCCGCCAAGCATCAGGATGACCAGTTGTGGCATGGGCCGTCCGGGCCACCAAAGACCAGGGAGCACCTGCCAGATCACATTTAGCGAGATACCAGTCGCTGCAATCGATTCAATGATGACCCAGGGAATTGTCAGTAAGCCACCGATACCGGTGATGGCGAGAATCGAATACCACGGTGTCTGTGTTGGCCACGCAGTCACCGCAACAATAGATATGACAAATCCAAACGCAAACACGATGCCGTACTAATCGAGGTTCAAGGTCAGTCACTGCTTACTCTCTTTGAACAGACCATGTGACTTGGAAACAGTACGCGCCGTCCAGCTAGGCGACCTTCCACTTGGAAAGCCGGCCCGGCGAAGGCTAGGGGCTTGGACAATTACTTACCCACCACTCTGGGACCTCCTTATAACGCCGCATCATTCGCGCGTTTCCATCCTCGAAGCCGGTGTAGACAGACTGGCGTTTGATGGTGTTGACCACAATGCCGACAAACGCCTTCTTGAGGGCGCCCCAGTATTTGACGAAAACGTACACGATCGAGAACGTGTAATACACAAAGTTGGCACCCGTCACGAACAGGTTAGCAACCGCGTAGTAGGGTGGGCCGTAGTCCTTGTAGGCTTCGACATTGACCTCGTTGTCCGCAGTGAGCACCTTACTCACGTTGTACGCATGCATCTGGTTGTCGAAGGCGCCATTCGAGTTAATGGGCATGAATGCGGACCAGAACGCGTTCTTGTAGTACATTATGAGAATGAGAATGCCCGCGACGACGCGCATGACATATTGTTGGAGTTGACTGGCATGTTGTCAGCTGCTTCTCTTCAGTGCTCTGACCAAAATGGAAATACGCACGCAAAGAACGGCGAGTTCATGGCCAGGGAACCGGAAATGTTGGGGTCCCAGCTCGAGAACGGGTTGAACCCCATACCTCCATAAGATCCGGTGACAATTGCGAGATTCGTGTTACCCGGTGATATCCAGGTCATCCAATTGAACAGCCTAAGGGCAGTGAAAAACTGGTTTGGGATCCAGTAGTAAACGAGGAAGACAACACCGAAAATCACAAAACACATATACCGGGTAATGGCCCAACCATTGATGGTCTCGCGCTTGTTGTCATTATTGATGAGGGTCCGGTTGAGTGCCAGAATGGGGAGCGCCTGGGGCCAGACCGCCTCAATAGGATAAACCGTCAGACGACGGAGGATACCAGCCATGCCGAGGCCATAGATCTGGTTCGCCAGGGCCAGGCATATAGCGAACCCAAAGCTGGCCCACTTCTGGTCGAAGAACACGGGCAGTCGCATGACTAGCAGACCTGTAAAGTTGCCAATTGTCGATGCACCGGAGAAGATAATTGTGGCGAAGAGCTGTTCTTTCGACGTCCACGGACCGGGATTGAGAGTGTAGCGCTTGCCGCGAATGGTGAACCCCCAGTCCGGGATCACAAAGGCCATCGCCCGGCCCATGGGAACAAGAAGCAACTGTACCACCTGGTTAGGAATGGATATGCCCGGTTGACGAGGGGCGAAGACTGTTGAGGATTAGCAATTGAGCACATCACTCCGTACGCAACCCGGTTGCACGAATCGGACCACTTACATGTGTTGACTGCTGTGCAGACACAAACCCAAAAGAACCCCAGTATATAAGCCCGAACACTCTCGCAAGGCTCCTCCGGATCATCATATGGCAGGGTTACGGCTCGGACTTCAGCGTAGGGAGACCAGTTGTACATGAGGCCTGCAGTCTTGCATGTTAGATAAGCCCATTCCCCGTATTCCATATCGCATGCCTCATTGCCCTCAACAATCTCCTTGAGGCGTTGCATCTGGGCATGATCAAAGGTATAGTCTTGATGGTGATCATTAATGATAGATCTCAGTATCTTGATCGACTCCTCCTCGTTCATGGTGAAAACCGCTGCAGCGACGCGATTGGCATTGGATCCGGCTGGCAACGTTTCGGTATCCCCGCCATGCCTCCCGCTGTACTCCTCCACAAGACGCAAGAGCCACTCATTTGGAGGCGTCCATTGGTCGGGTAGCGAATCTGTCTTCTCGTCGACATCGACGACCTTCACGTCACCGATCGAGTCCATCTTTTCTTGGCCGGTATTGCGCAAGCTCTTGGCTGCCAAGACTTGTAGGAACTCAACTCCCAGGTCATTAGAGCTGGGGACAATTCACGTCCTTTTTGAACCATCGGTGGCAAAAATGGTTCCAAACAATAGTATATACAAGGTGCGGGGAAATATCCTACGGTATTGGGAAATCACATTCGATAAGCATGGGCCGTATCAATGGAACCCGACGTTGTGTTGATCTCCAAGGTACCCTGGATGCCCATGCCACAAGCTCGCATATTAAGTGAAACCCCATGTTCTGATTATCAACCGTTGATGTTGTGGGGTGGCCAATCAAACGCCAAACTGACCTCGATTGCTTCCACCCAGTGCACCCAAAAGGGAAACAGGAGTCCAAGCAAACAGCGGGGTAACTCTTTTGGTAACGTTACACAGTACAATCGTGCATTGCGTGTACACACACGGCGACGGTCGGATAAGAGATCGCCGGCTTTAAACAACAGCGACAGCAGCGAGGTACCCAACAAACTCCCGATGCAATACTTAGCTCTTCTCGTGACCAGTAATCGCGGCAGACATGATCCGATCCTCGGTTTTGCTACCAAGGAACACCCACTGGTGACTGATTCCGCCCCTGCCAGCCACGCCATACTCGGCACAAGATATCTGTTTACTTGAAGATCGCCGCTATTGATTGAAAGATGATGTTCCGGCATTGTCACGCATCTTTCCTGTTATAAATAGCTGTACACGTCGCAATTGTTGCGACATCAAAGTTTTCAAGGCAGACTACGCGGTGCTGGTGATCACATTGGACTATAGTAGTGCCTCAGTAGTCCGGCGACTGTCATAATTTGAACCACGGTTGTCGAAAACTCAAACCATGACACCTGCAGTGGCAGTATGGAAACTCGAAACTACCAATAAATCATAATTACGGCGAAACGTAGTTCAACAGTCAACAACTCTCGAGTAGGCAACACACGCGCTGCCGAAACAACCCTACGCCGAGATGTGTCGGTTGCAATATAGTCAAACGCAAATCAAACAAACACCAGTGGCATGAGGAATGACTCTAAGATCAATGACTTCGGACCATGGAAAATGCGAGTATCCCACGATATCATGTCTGAATCTTATGGTCACCACTGTGCCTGGCGTTCGTTCGGGCTGACTAACTCATCTAGTAGCAGTAGCAGTAGCTGTGCTGTCGAGTCGTCCGTCAATTTAGCTTTCAGGTCCAACCTTCTCCTAAAGCAAACAATAATTACTTGTTGCGATTATATCCTCATGTCTTGCCCGGATGACATATTCAAAGTAGGTTCAGGAATACCTGCTCGTAGTCCCAATAAGAGCTCTAACCTTAGAAGCTCTTAGAAGACCAGGCACGCCTTCAGCCTGTATGATGTGTTCACGGAGGGCTTTCTCATTTATTTTGGAAGGTTTATTCATTAATATATAATGGTCCCAATAATTACTTGAACGAAGACGGCCTTTTCATTTCGGACTATATAAGCCATACATGGCAAGAGGGCAAGACATTCATACCGGATAGCAACAAAGACTGCATATCATCTCCAGACAACGATGGTGATGTCATGTTTTCAATACACGAGGTCATCGAGTATATCATCGATAGCCGAAATAAATTATTACCCTGCACACACCTCATGCAACTCTCGAACCAATCAAGTTTCAATTCGCAAGCAATACGCGAGGAACGCAGTGAAATCGCCACGGCAGACTGCGGCATCTTGCAAAAAATGGCTTCCATCTAAGTGAGATGAGCTTCAGCCGTATATGGTCCCGAGGCTGACCATGATTCATCAAACACGAGAGCTCATTCTGAAAGTTCCCAGATCTAGTGAGACCATGTTTAGCACACGTCAGCTAAACTCGTATCTGCCTGAGATGCTTACTATGAGTCCAAGATTCCAGGTATCAATCTTGTAACACCCAAGCCGCCCCCAAGATGACTTCAGGAGCGTGAAGCAGCTGAGGTTGTATCCACTCAATTCTGACGTGTGGACCAGCTCGCTGCAACTCTTATTGATAAGGGGAAATGTAATTAAGGCCTTGAGTTCGTCACCTGTCCCGAAATCGGCTAGTCTGACAGAGACATCCATAACATGCGATAGGTCCTCCTCTGCCGAAAAGATTGGTGACGATTCAACTTAGAAGTCGCTCGGTGCATCTAAAACGGGACGCCGCGCAAGAAACGCCTCTGGTAGTGCGTTTCCGAGCATCTCATCAATATTTGCAGTGTCAATTAGAACAATATGTGGCTTTGATTTCTAAAGCTCATCTCAGGATAGGCATATCATGAATATATAAAAGGCAGAAACGTACCCGAATGAACAATTTGGCAGGTGTCGTGAAGGAAAGCAAGCGCGAGCAAAAGCGCCCTGATATGCTCTTCATGAGGGGAACTATTAGCACGCAAGGATGCAGAAGCGAGCTTGGGGACTTACCCCGAGTCGAAAGCTTGCCAAACAGTTGAATTAAGGTCATGCCCGAGTTTACAAATAACCTTATGTTTACAGTTCACAAAGACATCTCCAATTCTGACAGCATGATATCCGCCTTGGCAGTACCGACTGAGGTTCTCCTCTAAGACGGCGGACCTGAGCATCCCATTAACTTTTAGGAAAGCTGACGGTGGGCAAAGCCGATGGTCGATAGAAGTGATGCATAGCGATGACTAACAAGAATGGGAGAAAAGAAATTTTTGTTTATGCTTGCGCGGTACGGTTTGCCAGCCTCCACGAGCTATACTAGTGGCAGGCAAGCGACACATGTCTACCTACTCGGGGAAGGAGAACAAAATTTGAATTTATTCTGTGACAACAGGTACGCACATCTTTTTGAATGCACCTGTGTCATTGGTTCCAATCGTTTCATGTATGCTTCACTATTGGTGAGATGGCCAGATCCTCCCGATTATTCAAGTCCTTTTTACAAATCCAGTTTCCCCATTAACGTGTAAGCCTTGAACGTACACATCACTGCCCACCTGCAGAGATATATCCAATTACCAGCTGCACTGCCCGCCCATCGATGGAGCACTTCGCCATGTTCGGAACGGGTCTAAGATTGGAACCACAGGCGTCAATGTCAAATACGGCACGCCCGGGTATACGTTATATCGAGGTAATATTAAGCATTAATAGTTCCGACAAGATTCGCATATCGAAGAGAGTTGAGTGTCGCTGCGTACTGCTCCGCTGCGGGTGAGATTGTGACAATGATAGCAGCGGTCCCCTTTTGTGTGCTCGTAAAGTGCTTCCGCAGCACCATTGTCAAACTGGATGATCGAAATGGTACTCTGCTTTTACCTTGAGACCCAGCTCGCATTACCTCTTTCAGTGCCAGCAAGTCAGTATTGATTTGGCGGCCTTCTTGGCGCTCCTGGGGAGTTTGTTTTGTGCTATGCAGTCGAGATCCATTCCCTTCATGATACTCCGCACCAGCAAGATCCGCACACACCATCCTTGCCCCCAGGCACGGAGAGGTACTCGACTTAAGAATCTCTTCAATCTCTGCTTCCGCGGCTGTTACCCGAGCCTCAAATCGAGCCTTCTCCGTCTCGGCCGCGTTTATCCGCTCGTGATTCTTCTGATAGTCAGGGTTGGGTGCCCAATTACCATCTGGTGTGCGTATAATGCTTTTCATCTCCTCTTCTACCATAATATCTGTCACATGCTTCCCAACAGGTACGAGTTCAGACTGTCGGTCAAACAATGCATGCCGCGCATTGACTAATGATCGGTTTATAACCTCTAGTTCAAGCACGGCGTGAGTCCTAGAACTTTGGTCGTGGACGCCCGACGAGCCTGTTGTGCGCTGGCTAAGGGCTTGGACAAGATCTCGTCTGAAAGACTCAAACTCCCAGCACTGTCGCTGAACGATGGGACGAACTCGAACTTTGCCTTCTTCCAGAATCTCGGTTTCTCCGCGGATATGGACTTCGCCATCGGGACCTTCTCGAACATAGCATCGAGCGCGGTGATTAAGGAGATCAAAAGCTGTTTTGTTGCGCAATTCAAACAAGCTGAATCCGATGCCCATCTCCTGGTTGTTCTCCTCATTGATACGAAGTAATGCATCGAACAGCTGCTTTGCCGCGGCGAGACACAATCCCAGCTCTTGACTATGCCGGGCGTCGTAGCCTAGAATTGTGTGCGTCTTGCCACTGCCGGAGTGGCCGTACGCGAAGAAAGTGCAGTTCTCGCCACATAAGATCCTAGGGATATTAGGCGCTACAACGGCGTTGTACACCTTTTGGTTAACGTCTTCTGGGTTGAAGATGGCATGAAATGCGGCTGAACTTGTCCACGGACGATCTTGAGTCGATGCTTGAGGCTTTATAGACAGGGACAGCAGGGGATGAGAATCTGACAGCGTCCTGCGATCAATTTCTGCAAGCCCAGCCTCTGACGGTAAAAGCGGTCGCCATCGGGCGAAGACGCTGATGGGTACCGCCTTTGGGGATTTAGCGGCCATAAGAGGAACAGCACAAAGAAGGGCGGGAAGAGGTCAGGTCGTGGTAATTACAAGGCAGAGTTTCCATATCTCGAGTGGGAAGCAAAATCTTTTCTTTTCTTTCCAGCGTGATGGCTGATGTATGTTGCTGCCTCGAGACTATGGGAGCAGCAGGTGTGGATCTGTCAACCTTGTCAAGTCCTCCCGTCCCTAATTGCATTTGTTTGGCTCCGGCCTAGGTTTAGCCTGGCGGGTATCTCAGAGTGCACGGGCTCGTAAACTTCCCAAAGTGGCAATGGCTGTTCTTTTATGTCTGCCTATGTATATATAGCCCCGTTTCCCCACATTTTCAGCAATCAAAATCCCCTTTTGATTCTGCGGTTATGGCAACGTACGTCAGCATCAATAGCCTTCTGAAAAAGATACCATTGCCTTTTTCTTCCAAATGGAACCGATTCGACTCAGCAAAGCAAAGCTCTCAAGGACAGTACGGAGAAAACGAGAACAGGATGCATGACATGCAAAAAGCGCCATGTCAAATGTGACAAAGCTAGACCGCATTGCACCAATTGTCTGAAGAGACGAGGATACTACGAAGGGTATGCCACTAGATCGAAGAAGAAGTAGAAGAAGAAGTAGAAGAAGAAGTAGAAGAAGAAGTAGAAGAAGAAGTAGAAGAAGAAGTAGAAGAAGAAGTGGAAGAAGAAGTAGAAGAAGAAGAAGAAGCTGCCAAGCTGTTGCCTACTATTGCCGCGCCTTAAGGCTACATTAGCAGCATATGTCTTCACAAAGTGTGATTCCATTGTCGGTACTGCTGCTCCTGTTTGAGTTGCTTGGGGGTAACAGGAAGGCCGCCTTCGATCGTGTTAATCAAGGGATGACCCTGACCATGCTAGAAGTCATGCAAGCTTCCGACATACCCGGACCAATCGATGATCACTATATCAACCGCTTCTACACCGACCTGTGCAAGAATTCTCGGATCCAAAAGTTCTGTAGGAACTCAAATGAAGGGTAATATAAGAGCTGTACACCGCATTTTTGCCCCTGTTTACCCTGTTTAACAGAATCATCATGGGCGATGTTGGATCTTCAGGCTACCTGAAATCAATCTATCTATGTCTACGATTATTAGGGGTTCAACTTTTTGAGAACCCTCCACAAATGCTTAACATCGAGTCGCTGCAATCACAAACGCCAAAATACCACGAGTTCCTGTCTCTGACTGGCATCGCCATTCAGTCAGCTAGACAAGAGATCACCAACCCAGCCCACCAGGTATCTTTGCAATGCACATTGGCGTGGTATCTCTTGATAATATCATTATTTTGTCGTGACCTCCACGCGCACGATGAGGCTATGTGGATGTTGAGAGATTACCCTGGCAAAGATAAATTGTGGAACATGCGTAGTCTTTACACCCAGTTCAAAGAAATTGTGAGCTGAAGCGAGCCAATACAGGCGAGTACACCTCTAGAGAAATAGCGTCGGTTGTTACTTCCCAATTCCTTTTCGAGTATGGCGAGGATTGTGTCGTCGTCTGTTATCTCATTCAGTAAACTCTAAGGTCAATCTTCATAGTAGTTCTACCTTTGGGGCTAGCATGCCTTGTAAACATAAACCTAGCCTGTTATATTAGATGTGGTTTTGCAACCCGATAGTATAATCGTCATATTGAATTCTAAAATAGTCACAACCAAATCAACTCTACCAACCGTTTCGTATTCACAAAATACCAATGTATTCTACACAGCGTAATGGAACAGAATTTATAATCCGTGCCCTACACTACTTTTCATGCAAGTCTCTAACTACTGATCGATGGCCTGACTTTGGCACTGGAAGTTATTAGCACCCGAGAAAGAGCTGGAAAGTCGAGCTGGGAGAACTTACCATATCCCAATAGCTGCCACGTTTCTGCACGAGCTCACTATGCGTACCCTTCTCCACCACGGATCCTTGGTCAAACGCAAAGATAACATCAGCGTTCTGGACTGTCGAGAGTCGATGGGCCACCGCAATAGCTGTACGGCCATGACGCATGTTGTCAAATGCCGCTTTTCACTATCTTTTCAGAGTCTGAATCCAAAGCCGACGTAGCTTCGTCCAATAGAAGGATATTAGGATCTCGAATCAAGGCGCGCGCAATTGTGATGTGTTGCTTCTGGCCACCGGACACGGAGACGCTTTTTCCTCCTACATCGGTATCATGACCCGGAACGCGCGGCGGACAACCGCCCTATCCTGTACCCAAATATCGGCGAGGAGAAACTCGAGTTTCTGTCCTCCCAAATAGCTAACATCCTACTTCAATTATCTTCCCTGAAGTTTCCTCGAATCGGCTCGCTCGACGAGAAAGAGGGTGGGATTTCTACTTCCGTCGAGGGGTGTCCCTCGATCGTCGATATGAACGACCTCGTCGTACAAACCAACGCACCAGCAAGCATCCTGCCATCTCAGACCTACGCCTCTGCGGACGAGTGGTACAGGGCCCTCGCCGACATGCACATATCCCAGCTAGCGTTCCAACACAACAATGCCGTAGAAGACGAGGGCGATGCCCGCGATAAATACGCTGCCGAGAGGCGCCCCGCGTCAGAGCCGGAGTCCGAGGGCGGTTTCACGCGGTTTTCAGAGGACTTCAGGCCGGCTAACATCCTTCTCGACAAGGACCTCTGGGTCGTTGGTGTCATCGACTGGCAGTTCGCTCACGCCGCCGTCACGCAGTTTAGCTTCGATCTCCCTTGGTGGCTGCTCCTGGAAGAACCCGAGTACTGGACCGGCGGGTACCGCGCGTGGGTGTAAGTTTACAAGCCTCGGCTGCGGACGTTTCTGTGCGTGCTGGAAGGGGAGGAGAAGAAGATGGTGGCTGCAAACATCGCCAAAAAAAAGTCGGCCGCCTGTCGCCAGCCGGCGATGGAAAGACGGAAGTACCGCTCTCTCAGCGTATGCGCGAGAGCCGAGAGAAACGGGCGTGAATGCGCAACTACGTTGCCAGGAAAGGCTGGGCCCCTGATTTCATTTGGTGGAGGTTCCTGGACGAGAGCTACTTCGGGTCGAACTAGAATCAATACTATCAAAGCCCGGCTAGAGCTTCTTTCCGAGTCGCAGAAATAGATTATAAAGGCGTTTGTGGCGTGTAAGATAGAAGAGAGCAGGAATCCAGGGATCGTCAAATGGGGGGATAAGCATGCGGCAGATCGTTTGGCTCAGCTGCTTGTTCAACGTTAGTGAGGCTCACGGATGTTACACCATGAAGTTGCGATTCACGAGTTCTGAGACTATATACGGCGCGATTACACGAATATATCCCATTCAGTTGAAAGGGACTTCCACACCAGTTTGGCGAAGCCGACCTCACCACGAAGAGCAGCGTTCCGGTTCTTCTCATTTATTATGTTTTTGTCGCGTTATACACGTTTCTTAGCTTAGTTATTTATTTCTTTAATGATTAATACCTCGCCGAACTATAATACTTCTTCGTTTTCTAACGTCGTTTGTCCTTTTATTTACTTATTAACGAGCTTTTAATCAATTTTACAATAATCATTTATTAAAGATTATCAAAAGATGTGGAATGGCTTCTCCATTCATTTCTTTCCGTACAATGTGTGGGCGACAAATAGATCTATTCAGCGCTATAGTACGAAAGGAAGAAGGGATTCTTCCCATCGTACGCGATCTACAGATAGGGGTTTGGCCTATACGGCTGCAAGCTGCCGACAGCCACGGTGTGGCTGTAGTGGCTTGCCGTCAGTACGCCGGTAACTAGCTAGACTATATGGTCGTGCGAGACCGCGGATAACCATATTCCAACAAAAGAGTTATTTGACTAAAAAGAAAAGTAAAACTAGGACTTTCTTCACTGTAAGCCAGTCGTCGTTGACACTGAACCTTCGCATGAACACCAGATCGACTACGGCGTGAAGGAAAACTTTATAGTTCTAATTTATCTCTTCACTGGCTAGATGCAAGATTTATGAGCCACTAGGCGATGTCCGTGAGCCCAACGAGAGCGAGCCTAACAGAGTCTTGTCGAAATTGTTATGAAAGCTCAAGTTGCACCTAACGCCATATTTTCCCCATTGATCACAGAGAAAATGAAAAGCTCGAGGATGAAGCAAGTTTGACGATTGTTTCTTGGTGTCCAACACTGCAAAGCCAGGTTTCATGGCAAAACGATGCGCAAATTCGTGAGAATCCTGTTGTGAGATGTCTAGTATTTTTTACTACAGGGTATACGAGGTTCCAAGGCCCAGGGTCAGTGCCTAAGATGAAATAAAAGACAACAATTAAACAGGAGGCTCTGGAATGACCAGGGTCGGTTTTGTCTCCCTAAAACAATGTATACAAATGTAGTGCAACATGTTGGTAGTATGACACTGTCCAATTCGCCATTCCGGCATTAGGCCACCTGTTCTACGGCAGGCGCGATGCAGGACAGACACAATCGTGGTTGCGATTGTCGTTGCGGGATTGGTTGGGCATACTCTAGAGCCAGTCTTCTGGGTAAATTGAACAATTTGACAAAGACTCCTATTGCCTCCGGATAGGTGTCTTCGTAGTTTGGATTGGAACTGTCATGACGATATCACCTTTTTTCTTGGTTCAATAGGCGATGCCGGAAGTCAAATGCCTCATGTCGGAGTTCATATCCCAGCAGATGTAACGTGCTTCTTATGAGCTAACATCCTGGTAGAAGGACCTAGAAACAAGCGACCACGATCTCTGCAACGAGTCCCACATCATATAAATGGCATGGTGGCAGGTTGACAGAGAGGGGTTTCCCAAGGCGACACCTAGTGGTCGGAGCTGGACCACCCTGTTGAAAATGGGGTTGGAAAGGTCGGCGAAACTGCGAAGATCCCTTGGTACGTTGCCTGACAAACCTCAAGGTCTGGCACCTCCATCGATCATCGGGGGCCAATATAACAGCTCCTGAACAGGTCTCGATCTCGATCCTACGACATATCTTATCCACATGCAAGCACGACAGATTTGGTTCTCTTTCGCGCAGAGACTGATGCCGAGATTAAAAAGATTTACGGCGCTACAATCGGTTCAAAAATCTACGCCAAGGTGTTGAAACGCTCGGGCAATTTTCTCCGGAAGGTTGCGCCCACATTTGTCGCGACTTATTGTGACTTTGCGCTGAGGTCCCACCTCTGTTAGGTGTATGTATGGTCTCGATAGGGCTGTCGTCCCACCTGCCCGTCGGTGTCGAAGAAACAAGTTCGAGGGCCGAATATTGGCACGGTGTACGGCGTGATCGATGATTAGCCTTCGGGGTTGAGTAGATGAAGAGCTCAAAGAAAGCGACCGTGTCAAGCTTGACAGCTCGTCTACTTCGGAAGATAAGCTCCTCTATAAATAACCCTCGGACCCTAGACATAATTATGAAAGCAGTGTGTAATATAACAGTGCCGTAAATATCTTTTTCTTATTATTATTCTTTTTTCAGCTCTGGGGGTTTGCACACACGTACAGGGCCCGACGCTCTTGTGTTTTCACACTGCCAACGCGTTTAATTGCAGATTGCGATTACGCTGTAGCAATATCCTATGACGCAAACGAACAAGACAGAGCGAGTCGGTGTATGCGATTGGTTGTTGTCACATCCAAAGGTGCCCAAAAAGGCATACCTTGGGCCATACACCAACCTACAATGAGGCAAAGCCCAGCCACAAGGTATGACGAAATTATGTGATGAGCTGCATTCTGAACGCCTGGAAGCGGGAGCTAAATCCAAAAGCTAAATCCAAAAGATGGGGCCGATAGCACTTACTGTGGTATAGTCAGCCGGAGATTGACACCCGAAAATCATTGGTCATCAGGTAATTTTTTTTCCCCTACAGTAGTATGGATTGTATGAGGTGCGCGTGGAACTTGCAAATAATTCTAAAACCTCTGTTTCCAAAATTCGATATAGTAGGCTATGGCTTCAGAAATGAGCAATTTTGTATTTACCATATCTTGTTCTCTTTTTAATTTCGTAGGCACTTTAGAAAACCGTGCTAACACGAGTTGATGAGAACGTTAGCAGAAGCCTCCTGAGAGAGTACCATTGCGCCATCCCAGATAGTGGATGGTTTGAACTTGGCCTAGTCTAGGAGGGCTTTCAGGTTTACGCGCACCTATGTGTTAACCATTCAAGCACAGTATACGTGTATTGAACCCTTGGCACAACTATGCAGGCGGTATTTACCCGTCGTCTAGGATAGCCATAAGTCCAATTAAGGTCGTCTACAGGTAATGTATGGTTCCTTGGCAAGTTGATATACTGGGCACAAATTCTTCTGAGATTTGACGACAGTGCCGCCTTGTACAATGCCGAATGGGTATCATAATTCTACAGCCTGTAAGGGCCGTCCATAGCTCGGACTGGTTCAAAGTTACCAATGTGGCAGCAACAGCCCACACCTGACGGAACAGGGCCCAGAACTGTGTAGGTGCGTTGATAATAACAGTATCAAGGCTTATGCCGGGTCCGGGAGATCGAATCACTTTGGTCTTATCTCGAGAAATTCTGCATCTGATGTTTTTACAGTACAGATAACATCTGGTTCCTTTGAAGATGATTACTCGTGCTGTATAGACGCTAGTCTAAGTAAAATACAAGGACTAGAAGATCTGTTGACCACTTTTTGTCACAAAGACCATACATACTATGCACAGTTCAGACCAACATGAGCCTCAGCTCATCGTAAAGCTGATGGTAAGAGCTAGGCAGTCCTTTAATAGCATTGATTGGTCTGAGTTGTGTTGTTATTATTCTTTAGATATTTCAAAGTGTAACTTAGGGTGCACAAAACCAGTTTGCCCCTCTTAGCCGCTACGCAAACGGAGCAAGGTGGAGTCGGCCGTTTGGAGCATTGGACCCTTTGACATGCCACTTATGCTAGGCTCTACTAAGTATGCTCAAGTTGGCACCTCACATAGAAACGTGACTACATACAAGCCCAACCTACCCCCTTCCTTTCGTAAGTTTTAGTTTGGTAGTCAGTCTAGTTCTAAGAGATACCTCGTTGTGCAACCTTGACCACTTAACGTACCCTTAGTGATCTTTACATTTTACTCGTAATAAAGGTATCTTTATTTTTACATAAATGTATCGCAAAAAATGTCAAGCAATTTAAAAGCAATAATTATAGCTAATTAAAATCTTAGTAACCCCCTTATAGCGTAGCTTAGTTACGGTATAGCACAGATCACTATGGCTTGGTTAATGTGTGAATTCTTATGGCGCCCCACTTATAACTGACGATTACAAAGGGGGACCCAAGTTGTCTGATTCACCATACCAACCTAAGCTGATTGGATCTACAGAATACTCTGATAACCTCACCTATCTCCTCAAAAGCCCAAACTGGTTAACTTCCAATTTTTTTGGGCGGCAGGGTGCATGCATGTGGATCTAAATCAGAATCCCATATCGAAATCTCATATGGAAACCGCATTTCAAGACAGGAAATCGAGATCTCGCATGCGAGCATTCTTTCTACGCTTATAGAAGCCGGGCTCGGAGAGAATGCTCCGAGCACAACTTGGGAGCTAATACTCCGGCCTTTGTGGATATGAGAGCGGGGTACATGACGAAAAGAACAGCGGACTGCAGGTTGTCCCTGATCTACAAAATAATCAACGAATCAAATGCCACAAAGCTCTTCCGGTAGCATTCCGACCCTAATGAGCGGACTAATGTCTCCGCGGGGGGAAATTCAGGAAACAATGGAGGGAGAAAAAAAAATTGACGAGGACGAACAGCTTTTGTTCCCGACATCGAAGCAGGGTAAATACTCGCCACGCCGCCCTTCAGCCTGCTTCCGCTATGTGTTTGGCTGATTTAGACTACACGACATGACCATCAAGGTCCGGGTTGGATTGATGTTTGGCTTTAGTTAAGAGCGCCTGCAAGTGGGTTTTCACCGACGCATAAATTGCAGCCTATCAGCGTTAGGATTTGACAGAACAGAAATGCATTGGAAGTGCCTAGCCCAGCACAAGTTCCCTACAGTACACTAGTCTAGCAGCAATAATAGGGAAGTAATACATTTTTGTGTCAAGTACGGCTCAGCCGCATAATCATGTACGTGGGTACATACACAGTACCGTCTTATGATCCTTGGCTCTAAGTCCGGGCTTGCTCGTGGATGGCGAGGTGTTCTGCTTGGAATTTAAACTCGCTGCTAACTTCAGCCGCGCCGCTGGTTGAAGCCAGCGTCCGTCCTGACACCATACCTAGTACTGAGGGTATCCAAGGCAAACAAGGTATGTCAGTGAAAATTCGACCAAACGTTGAGAAAGAACTAATTGGCTCCCCACGACTCCCCTCCACAACCGAGCATCCGTCGCATCCTGGTGACTGGGAGAAACCTTTCTATCATGGTGCATACTTAGCTCTGGAAGCTTTCCTGATTGAGTATACCCATAGTTGACATCACCAGGACCCGTTAAATAGGGACCATTGATCGCTGGTGTGTGTCGTACCTGGCTTGCCTGGTCATTGCCGGGGGTTCTTTCGACGGTCCGCTCCTCTTCAATGGTAAACTTGGCGGACGAAACACTGGCAGCCCGCCACGAGAAGCAAAAGGCGTGTTGCACCCCACTTACGGAGGCAAAAGAATCGCTGATACCAGCATTCCTCATACACATTCACTTTCACCATTCCGACCCATCCCATCCCCAGAGCTAGAACTAGATATTCTAACCCCAGCTGCTGCAGTGGAGGTAGAAGGTGCGCACCCGAACGCATCACGATCAAGCGCCCTCGCCCCCCCCCCCCTCCCCTCCCGTCCACTGCCCTCCCCCCAATTCCCGTCTTATCCCACGCCCCGAACTTTGCAGAACTCACAAGAACATACCGTAGCTGCCCACTTTCTGCAATCAATTCGTCCATCGTTTGCCTGGACAATGCACAACACGGCAAGCATCAAAGTACCAAAGGCCCCCGCGACTTGAACCAAGCTCCCAGCTCCTAGACTAGCTCCTGGCATCTTGACACGCCAGGCACCTCAGCTCTGTTCTCTTTTTCAATAAAGCACCTACAGAAATACGTCACATCTCCACGAACCCATCCACTTGTTTTGTTTCTGCAGACTGCCACAAACTCTTACACCACACGCCCTTCTAAGCTTGGTCCTCATTTGTTGAACGACTTGCAGTCTCTTAGAAAATCTCGGTCAGCTCTTTGAGCACCTTGCCCACGCCTCCGCTGCCGTGCCTTTTCGTTGCGAACTCACCTCCACCATGAATTACTGGTCTCCCGACTCTTCCACTAGCAATCACGACCAGTCTGAGCGATTACAAGCATTCACCACTGACAATGAATTTTCTGACCCTTACGGGATGAACGTCTTACCACCCTCCGATCCATCTGCAATGCAACATTCCTTGCCGCCTAGCGAATTCTTCACCGATATGGCTGGCATGGCTGGCATGGACAACATCAAAAGTGAGATGCCTGATTGGGATATGCGGGCTGGCAGTGTATGTATACCACATTGCCACACATTTTGACTTCTCCCATGGTGGTACTGTTGCTCATGCTAATGTTCTTTTTCGGTTGACAGACACCCAATTCAGATGTCACACCCGATTCCGACTTGCTGTTCACGGCAGCTTCCCGCAAAGTACGATCAGCCAAGGGTCGGCGTAACAACTCGGCGTCGACTGATAGCTCTGGAATGGGTCCGTCAACCGACCTGAGCAGAGAAAAGAATCGAATAGCCGCAAGCAAATGCCGAAGAAAGAAGAAGGTCGAGGAACAACAACTTGAGGAGCGTCGTCGAATGCTCCAAGTACAACATGCCATACTCCAGGACTCGGCGGCACAACTCCGCAATGAGGTGCTGCACTTGAAAAATGAGATCCTGAAGCACGGCACTTGCGACTATCCTCCCATCCAAAACTATATCAAGCAGGCCGCATCACAACTTCGATAAGAATCTTTGTGCTGATAGACATCGCAACCGGGTTGCGGTGCGCGGTTTTATTTTGGAGATGCTCTTGCCCACGTGTAAAACGCACTGTTGTCGACACATCCAAGCGCTGGCGTGTCGCACACTTGTTATTGATATTGTACTGCCGGCATTTGCGTCAACCTGAAATGTTGTGCTTCGGAAGCTGCGGGGCCTGGAATGCTCCTCAGTCGAGCTTGAATTTGCACCGATGCGGAAATGGAAATGGGATGATACCGAAGGAGTCTTTGCTTTCCAGGCGTTTGGCAAGGCGCGGATGATATGGTTTATGTGACGATTGACGATATATTGAAAAGCGACTCTTTTCCCTGTTCCCACGTGTCGTGGACAACTCATCCATGCTTTTGCACCTCGCTTTGAGTCGACGAGTAGCCCACGATGTGGTGGGAAGAACCAATCGACGCAGATGCGAATATAAACAACATAGGCGTGTATATTCTTCTGTCAATAAATAAATAAAAACACCATTTACCTATCAGACTCTCGTCACTGATATCGCCTTGGTTGAATCCAGGTTGATGTTAGTATGCAGCTGGTCAGTTGACCGATTTGTGTGGTTGGAATCGTGTGATCAGACGTGGTATACGTTGTGATGGCGGCATGCGATAACTCCATGAGACAGTGCGACTTGATAAACTAGTCCTATATCATTGGGCGGGAGTCGGCAATGAGGGTCATTCCTAGCAAAATGATTGCGAGAGTAAAAAGGGAGATAAATATGAAAGAGAAACTAGTTCGGTATGGGTTGGAAGATTAAGGATAGGTAAATTATCGTGTTGGACGGCAGGACTGTCTGTTGCCATTGCATTTCGTACTCGAACCCAGTTTCTTGTGACATGCCTTCGACGTATATTTACGATGCTTGTGCATCATTTCGCCCCGCCTGCTCATCATGGCAGCTGCATAGCTAAAGTGGCAGGCAGGCGGCCCGCAGAGGACAAAACGAACCGGACAAATCTCGTTTCGTAGTATTACCCTTTCGTATTTATTTTAATAACACAACATAATAATGACTTTTACAGAAATTGAAAGTATCGTTGTGTTCGGTTACCAATCGCTATTACTGCCCTAAGTTTATTGACTTCTGAAATTGTTATATATGGTTTCGTATGAGCCTAAACCAGAGGTCCAGTTTATTTCGTCCTCTACAGGGTGGTAGACACAAAAATTGCCGTGGCGGCCACCCATCTCACTTGTGTCCACCGCCTGGCGCTAATCTAGGCGGCCACTCTACGATGCAGTCATGCGAAGAAGCCCCCCAATCAAGCAGACCATTTCTCCAACGGGCCCCATGTTTACGTACAGCCCCTAGGTGTATAAACAAACAAGCTATATTATTCACTATATGTTCTGCTGTCGACTGCTATCGAGGGGAAATGGAGGGTGCTACAACATGACATGCATTGGGATCGGGCCCCTCGTATTATTTCAGATGGAAGTTACTACTATCCCAGGACTTTTGCCACCACAGGCCCTGGCATTCACCATTGTTTCCGCCACTCGTGATCGGCATGTTGTTCGATTTTATGATGTCAAGCCCACACGCTCCAAGGTACATCTCTGCGCGATCGCCATAAGGGATGTTGATACCATAGGCCAATTCCTGCGACGAACCTCGAACTCGTCTCGTTGACACGCCACATAATCTGATTGACTGATTCATGAATATATTTGTCTTTCCGATCGGTCCTAGCCTTGTTACTCTTGCGTACATACGTCAATATCCATGCGCATTAGCCCTTGTGTTGCGTATACACGACTCTCGGGTGTGTCACACTGGTAAAAACTCGCATTTCACAACGTCAGCCAGACTCCCAGACCTGTGCAGTCGTTCCCCCCCCCCCCCCCCCCCCCTTTTTTTTTTTTTCCTTTTTCTTTTCTTCTCATTTTCTTCTTCTTCTTTTCTTCTTTTCTTCTTTTCTTTGTGCATTGTTCGTCTCCATCTCTTACCAACTGTGCACAACATCTACGGAGTAGGCCCCACGACTATTACGCAGTGTTGCGGAATAGACTTTCGGCAAACCATGGAAACTCCCGATACTGGGTAATTTAAGCAGAGCAAGTGGTGTCAACTGAAACAGCAACTGAAAGAGAAAGTGATCATGCACGGTAATCAGCGAATGTATCTAGCATCGGTTCATTGCAATAGTCAACTGCAAGATTTGGTCATATTACCATTTCAACAGACAGACCACAGATTCAATGCCCGAGAGCTCCTAGCATAGAGCAAATGCCAACCAGAATGCAAACCCTAACCAGGCATGATATCTTCACGCAAGGTACAATGCGTAGAAAGAACCCAGAAGCAAGTGATCGGCTTGACTGAACCACCGCGCAGAACATCACAAAAAAAATGCAGAGCCTTCCGATGTAGAAACTTCCAAACCTCATCCGACTGGCCATTGCTCATTTCATGCTCCTTGCACGAGCCTTCCCAGAGCTCGAGGAATGCGATGGCCGATCATCATGTCTCAATATCTAGAGTAAAACACATGTCCTCGTTCTCGTGGCTTTCTACTGTTTCACATTCAGGCATCCCCTAAATACATAATCGATCACACCACGGCGGGCGCGGCTTCTTAGGCAAGCCAAACGGGTAAAATGGCGGAACTGGCCCAGAAAACGGCCTCGGACTTCTTCTTGGCCCAGCCCAACAAGCCAAGGCTGTCGTGTAGGCAGAGAGCATCGCGGAATAGGCTGCAAGCAAGAAATGTGAAATTACGGCGGTACAAAACCATGCGAAGACCGTGAACGCTCAGACAGAAATACGGAGTTCAAGCTGGATTCTGGATCTGACCAGTAGCGTATCCGACGGGCTCCGAGCTATGCACTCCGTTCGACCAATCAGTAAAGATTCGAATTACCAGATCTGGCAATGAAGAAGGAGCTGAGTCCGGCTCTGCTAGCTGTGGGCCAGGGCTTCCCCGGGCCCGATCGGAGAGATTGCCCGGGTTGGTCTAGATTCTTGGTGGTGCACATGAGGCAGTTGCAGAGGCCCATTGGCTGCTGCCACCCACACTCATCCACCGGTTATTGTGTCCCGTCTATCATACAAAGCGGTTCCGTTTCCTAAAAGTTCCAGTGGTTAGTCCGTACACCACGCACCATCCAGCAGAGGTTCTTCTCCGACCTGCCGTCGCGCACATGGTCGGTCGTGAATGTAATTCTTATCGGCGATTTCCAAAATGGACGAGTAAATTTCGCCTTAAGCCCCGAGCCGACGAAGTGTAGATCGAAGCATTGCACTTGAGCCCCCGGGCCGGCTCGAAAACGTAGTCGAGGTAAACTCGGAGTACAAAGTCGGGCGCCCCTTCGGTCGATCTTACTTTTATTGTTGACATGTGTCGGCGGCCCTGGCAGCTTTGCATGGTCTTCTAAACATAGTCATCAAGCCATCTCACCGATTTGGTCCGAGAACACTAACAGGTGCATGGGCCTATTCAATGAAATTTGATTTATGGGGATATTATAGGACACGCAAGTTCATAGCACTTTCGAATGTGCTGAGTGTCAGGGTTGCTGTCGCAAAGAACTGCAAATTCTTTGGCAGCGATAGATACCTCGGCAGCTTTGCTAACCTAGTCCACTGTGGATGACAGCGAATGGGACCTAGTTATGCTGTGCATGCTCCTACATAATAACTAGTAGTCACTCGTATCGAAAAGGCCTTGGATAACAGCAATCCATACGTTGAGCCGTACTGCATCTTGTGTTTTATGGCATTGACCGGGTGACGGATCACGAGTCTCATTACTTCACGTTGTGTTGTTCGTTGCCCGTACGACTATCAGAGGTGCGCTCATCTGGGTGGGAAAGGGAAGATTTTAGGCTAGGATATCCACCGGGCTCTTAAGGTAATTTGTAGGGTGTAATTTCTAGAAATTAGCAGCGGGGGAACCGGAGCCCATTTATGGCGGGGGAGTATGGAGCAGTGACAGCATTGGAGAGCTCGAGCTTCCTCCCTGTTCTTAGCGCAACCCCCAGACATGGAGTCTCGAAGAGCTTCACGGTCCAGAGAAATGCCTCAAACCGGGGTTTCGCACTTTACTCGAAATATGATGGCCTGCCCTAACAAGTTTTCCACACTTTTGATTTCCTTCGACGCGATATCTGCTCTTGGGAAGCGGAATTCTTTGCGGGAAGCCTGTCGTCGGGGGGAAACGTGCCATCGTGAAGTGAAGCGGGGTTAACGTTAGTTCATCGACCGACTCCTTGGAGAAACAAGAAACGAGCGGGGCATTCCGCGGGGTGTCCAAAAAGGCCGAGCATCGTGATCAACCTCTTGAACTCGAATCACATCACGCGACGAGCGCAAACAATAAGAGACGAGACGAGACGGGGCAAGACGAAGAATTTGCAACTCCCATCATCATCGTCCACATACCATACACAACCGTCAACATGTCAGGACCAGTGCCAGAAGTCACTGCGCTGCAGGAGGTCTACACCGATCACTCGCTACTAGACCAGGGCAAGCGATGGAACAAGCTTCTCGAAAAGTTCCAGAGCACCTATGGCAGCCCGGCTGAGTTCGTCGCTCGTTCGCCCGGTCGTGTCAACATTATTGGCGAGCACATCGACTATTCCCTCTACTCGGTCCTGCCCATGGGTATAACGCCCGATGTCATCATCGCCGTCTCAACCCAAGTCGACACACCCGCCGCCGAGGGCTCATACAGGCTGAAGCTGGCCAACCTGGACGAGGCCCGATTCCCCACCCGGGAGTTCGAGCTCGCGCATGGCGACGTTGAGATAGATGCGACGAAACATGAGTGGACCAACTACTTCAAGGCTGGTCTGAGGGGCGCGTTGCAGCTGCTCAAGAAGAAATATGGTCCCGATTTCAAAACCAAGAGCATGCAGGTGCTCATGGACGGAACTGTCCCTGCTGGCGGTGGTCTCAGCTCCAGTGCCGCCTTTGTGAGTGCCAGTGCTCTGGCTGTCATGATCGCCAACGGTGAGAAAGATGTCGATAAGAAGGACTTGACAGAGGTCGCCATCGTGAGCGAGCGTGCGGTCGGTGTCAACTCAGGCGGGTAAGCTTTTTCCTAGCATCGTCTCCTGGCGAAAACGTGTGCTGACCTAATTCAAGTATGGACCAATCCGCATCCGTCTTCTCAGAAAGAGGTTCTGCCTTGCTTGTTACATTCTCGCCGTCGCTATCAGCGCGACCCGTCTTCTTCCCCAAGACCAACCCAGAACTCATCTTCGTCGTTGCACAGTCATTCGTCACGTCGAACAAGCAGGTGACTGGACCAATCCACTATAACCTCCGCGTGGTGGAATGTAGCATGGCAGCTGCCGTCCTAAATGCCAAATTAGCTTCTGGTACCGAGCTCCCCAAGGACGCCGGCCCGCTTGGCGTATCTCTGCGCGGTTTCCACTCCAACTATTTCAAAGACACTCAGAAGTCAATGCCGGAGCAACTGTCTGAGCTCATAGAGCTGACAAAGTCCACTCTTACCCAGGAAGACGGGTATACGCTTGAGGAGGTCGCATCCGCTGTGGGGACGACTGTGGACGACATCAAGGCCAAATTCATGTCGAGCTTCCCAGTTCGTGGTGAGCGCTTCAAGTTGAGGCAGCGCGCACTCCACGTGTTCACGGAAGCTGCTCGAGTGTTGCAGTTTCTATCACTGCTTGAGGACAAGTCGCATCACTCAACTGCTACTGACACTACTGAGTACAACCAAAAGCTCGGCGATCTGATGAATGACACTCAAGACTCGTGTCGCGAGCTGTATGAGTGTAGCGCGCCAGAAATTGACGAGCTGTGCAAGATTGCTAGAGATGCTGGCAGCTATGGTAGTCGATTGACAGGTGCTGGCTGGGGTGGATGCAGTGTCCATCTCGTACCGGAGAACAAGGTCGATGATATCAAGAAGGCCTTCCACGACAAGTACTATTCGAAGCGCAATCTGAGCAAGGAAGATCTGGAGGCTGCCATTGTCGTTAGTCGTCCGATGAATGGAAGCGCAGTCTTCAAGTTGGAGGGCGGCAAGCTGCCATAGCTTTTCGTAGGTGTTTTAACCAGAACATGGACAATGAAATGAGGTTCACCCAACTGTTCTCAGGGCTCGCCGTCGACCAGGAACGACATTGCGCATGGTGTGTTGTTATCGAGTCGACCCAAGATCGCTGCCAGGCCACCAATCAGTATTACGGTGGATTCAAGAGTGTAGTAAAGCTGAAACATCCGGTTTGGGGAGTAAGGCTTTCAAACCCATCCACAACAGTTGGGTATCTGAACTTGGTGGTCGTGACCAAATCCTTCCCATGGTTAGTCGCAACTGGACGGACCATGCTGCGCGTGTTGAGGTTACACCCACGATGTGTCAACGTACCAAGAGGTTGCCATGTCCAAGTTAGATATTTGGTTTAATTCATGACCACGGCCTTTTTAAGAAGATTCGATGACTTAATCCTGACGTCTGCGGAGTTTCCCGCTTATGCTTATTTCGGGTAGGGGGAAACTCATGCATCCAGGCCGCTGGGTGCGCCGCTAGGGTGGTTAGTGCTGCATGTCCATGGATCCTCTGGGGCCACTCTTCAAACTGCTTCAGCATGGTGTCCAATGAAACCAATGTTATAATTAGCAATCTGTGGACTGGCCAAGCAGAAGAGCAGAGGCGCAGCTCCCAACATGCAGCCTTTTCTGCATAGTAAGGATTTCATGACCCCCTGTCAGGGCCAGCGGGCGCTGATCACTCTTCAAAATTGGCTTTCCGGCCAGGGTTGGCAATGCGCTGTCATCTCTCTTTCTCCTTCGAGAGAGCAATTCTCCGTCGAAGCAGTCGTGCTATGAGGCACAGATCCTACCACGATGGTGTCCCATGAGGAGTCGTTATTCGACAACAACAAATACTTCTTCCCCGAGGGCGCCGCCAAGGTCAGAGAACAGCGCGCCCAGGAGCAGCCATGGCTGGAGGTGTCGGCCCTTCGAGACGAGGAGCATGGGACACCCGGCCTACAACCCGTGCCTAATGAGCAGAAGTACGCGGTCCACGAAGACAAAGGATTATACGGAAATTACATCACCCCAGCGTTTCTATCTCCACAACCGGCTCCAGTGCTATCGCAGGCAGCATCGTTTCAGAATGAATCACATACAGCCGATGCGCTGGTTGCATCTCACGACGAAGAGCTCCTGACATCGTCGCAGACCGAGGCCTGGTCACAACCAGCAACATTAGAACCTCCACCACATTGGTCGCAACCAGTCACTGCACCCGAACGACAAATCCAATGGCCGCAACCAGTGACAGCGACAGAACCACAACATGATTATCAACATTCAATAGCAGAAAATTCACATCAGGCCTATTTGTTTTCTGCCGGCGCTGACCCCGGTCCCCAACCTCATTCGCAATGGTCACGTTCTACAACTGCAGTCGCGCCGAGTGTTGCACTGGCGCCCAGTAACTATCCCGAGCAAACATACTGGGCGCAGTCCCATGATCCGTACGGCCACGCTACGCAAAACGGTGCCGGCCAGCAGCATTCATACTGGTCCCTTGAGATTTCATCACAATACTCCGACGGCCGTGCATCCGCATGGACCCACGGCACAGACGGGCGACCGACCGTTATCGGAAGTCCTGATATACCTCTGATAAAGGAGAACATGGCATCGACAAGTCCGAACAAATGGCTATCGGGAGCGCCTGGAAAGAGTCGCCAATGGTGGATCGCAGGCGGCATCCTCGGCCTGCTGATTGTGATTGGCGCCGTTGTGGGAGGAGTTGTTGGGGCCAATGCCCTTAAGAATGCCGACTCGATGGTCGGCGGCGGCCAGACACCCCCCAGCGGAAACACAACAATCACGACACCAAAAATTATTAGGCAGAACTCGAGACTGGCTGTTACGGGCTACCGGGGTGCCAGCGGCAACTATACGCTCAGACTCTTCTTCCAAGACCCAGACAACCAGCTGCGGTTCATGGACAAGTCGAGCGTCGGCGGGATTTGGACGGATCCCGTCACGCTGGATACGCTGGACTACAAACCCATGCCCAACGGGTCTATCGCCGTTGGGTCGTACCTGGGCCATGATCCGGTAAGTCATTGATGTTCCGGTTGTTTGCGGCTGCCGATCGGCCATGTCATTATGAAGTCGTGCTGATTTGTTATTGGTGTTACAGCAACTACTCGAGTTCTTCTACGTCGACACCAACAACATAATCCGCGGTGCCAAGTTCAACTTCTGGAACATCGGCGAGCCCCCGAAGGGCGAGGCGAGCAATATTAACGACTTCCCGCTCAAGGTGGCGGAGAACTCCAGCATATCCTGCTACTTCCCCCACGTCGTCTCGCAGGACGCCGACGCCACCGTCCGCTGGAGCAAGATGATCGGCAACGGCTCCGACGAGTCGCGGTGGTACTGGGAGAACGACACCTCGGTGCACGTCGCGGGCTCGCCGCGCTCCGGCCTAGTCCTGCTGCCCGTCGCGCAGACGTACTGGGAGGACGCCGGCTTCGTGTACCGGGACGGCAGCGGCCGACTCGCCGTCGCTATCAGGGACTACGACTTCCGAGGCAACGCGACCAGCGCGTACTCCTGGACCAAGGGCGCGCTGTCGGCCCCCGTCATACCGGCCGGCTCGGCCATCGGAGCCTTCGCGGTCGGCAGGCCCTACACCCCCGAGGACCTCAACACGTACATACTGTACCAGGACGACGACGGGGTCATACAGGTCGTCTGGCAGGACGGGGACGACGGCTGGCGCGGTCCAGAGACGTATGACGCGCTGGACGGCGCGGAGGTGGGCACCGATATCAAGTGCCTGACGCAGGGGTCGTGGGACGCCGTCAGCGTCCAGGTCGGGAGGGGCCAGGACATGAATCGCTGCTTCTTCCAGGAGAAGGGGACGCGGAGGTTGAAGGAGGTCTGGTTCGACGGAAACGAGTGGAGGGATCAGGGGTTTGTACCACTGGATTGATTGATCGATTGATTGATTTGTGTATAGATGATGATTGACGTAGATACCCCCCAGCTTTGTATGAATCGAGAGATACCATGAGTAATATAATGGAAAGAACAAATTACTCATGTAAGCAAGATTTGGAACAAAATGCAGATCCAGGTTCTGTTCAGAGGTGAAATTCTCGGGGCAGGGGTAGGATGGTGAGGAATATGCCTTCTCAATAACCCTCCATGCACTAGCTGGCCTGGGATCTCGCTGCTGTAAATTAAAGAATAATATAGTACCTAGACTTTAGTATTTAGATCTCTTTTTCTATTCGTCTGTTTCACTTTTCCTCCCTTCTTTTCTTCTCTTTCCCTCCCCCCCCCCTTTCTGTGTCATCTCCCGCTCGCAAAAAAAGTTTAGATTGTTTAGCGCCTGGTTTTCAAGACTGGCCAAACGTAGATCCTGTTCTTCACCTTTTTCCCACTGTGCATTTGAGCGACATTCGTGGTCGAACCAGACCAACTCTCCGAGCAGTCCCTCTTCGTTGGATTCTACATGACATTGGCGAATATTACTCGAATCTGGCGTCATGCTCTGCCCAACTCTGATGGATCGCTTCGTCGGGTGAACGGCCCAATAGTTCCTCCCTCGCGTTGTCCGCGGACGATGAGTCCCGGTGAAAAATGATCCTGGAGCTGCCGACCTCAAGGCCGAAAACTTCCTCGGTCTGCAGACGGTAACAAATACTCTAGGCGAAGGCGAAGCTCCCACACTGGACCGTGATTCCCTTGTAAATCTATCGGCAATCTAATTTTGCCCCAGGACCGATGCTCTGAGATGGGGCCGAGAGGAAATGTCTTCCAACCATCTTGGGCGACGTTTGCATAATGTCTGGTACGGTCCTAAGTAACCGTACCCGAGAGTCCGAGGATTGATTTTTCAATTATGCGTCGTTCGGAGCTAAAGGGGTACGAGTTTCTGGCACCTTCGCAACATCAAGTGATGAGTTGGAGGGTGTTGTCAATGAGCCGGAGAACGAATATGCTGAGGCAAAACCATCACGTACGCGATAGCCTGTTTGCTGCTAATGCAGACGTTTTCTTTTTCTCTTTTTCTTCTTCTTCTTCTTGAAACCGTGCCACAGCCAAACCGGGTTGAGTCGCTTGAGGTGCTGCTATGTTTCTTAGTGAGGGCAAAAAGCGACGAGTACACTATTGGTCAGAAGGAGCTGGCAGTAGCAATCAATTGGCTAATAACTATATTGAAGGAACATCCTTAATGTGGTTCGTACCATCAGCCAACGTTAGTGTTGATATTATTCCCATTGCATGTAACCGGCTGTTATATAAGCAGCAGCCCAGTTACAGGGGATAGCAGAGGATCAACAATGACCGTATGAGTGAATTGAAAATGAAGAAGACATCGTAACTATGTTTAATCTTAAGGATTTTTGGAAGATTTTCAACATGAGATATTCAGCCTACTCAGTAAGAAGATGGGTATGGCAGTGAACAGCGCAAATATCATTGGATGTCCATAATGGGAAGAAAGAGACTAATGGTGTGATGGAAGCCACCAGTTGTGATCTTGTCCACGGATTCTCTTGCCACTGCAACGATATACAATAGCTGGGATGGCCACAATGCGCCACCACAACAGCAACTTCTCAGAGAGAGACAAGACCATCATACACTGGCACTCCACTCCCACCTACCACGCGATTTCCTGGGAAAAGTACTCTGCTATAAAATCAAGAACATCATCTGATGCCACCGGAATTGCACCGTATCCATCACCCAATTGCATCGTTGCTTTAGATGCATCACTACTTGGTTCCCACTCCGTCAAGTTACCACCATTCGGGTTGCCCGTTGCAATGAAGTTGTACCAATACTGGGAGATTGTGTCCTGAATAAGATAATCTTCAGCAGTCCAGTTCAATGCCCGTCCCGTAAGGGTTGTGCCCCAGGGGATGTTATGGAAAGCATAGTTGATTTCACTGCCATGAAAGGCACCTGAACTCTGGCCCGGCGGCGCGTGCGTCCAGTAATAGGTATAGACGCTACTATTGCCGCCACCTGCGGCCCAAGCGTTCGCCCAATTCCAGACCGAGGCCAGACTCTGGTTGCGATAGAAGTTGTTTGTCTGGGTGCCGGCCTCGGAGTCAGTCGACGCCGGGAAAAGTTGGAAATACCGGTCCTCAAGTCCAATGGGCTCGAAGATGGCGCTGTTGCTGGTATTGTAGTCGGCTAGGGAAATGGTGCGCGGATCAGGCGTTGCCCCGCTCTCATCTCTATTATTGCCTGTGAGAATCGGCACATCGTTCTGCAAATGGCCTGCCAAAGTAGCTTCGTAGGTATCTAGCAGTACAAAGCCATCAATTACAGGACGGAATACTGGGGGAGCCATGTAGGCCGAATTGTTTGCGAACGGCGTCCCAACGAAAATGGGATCCGACTGCGGACTGGCGGCCAGAAGTGTCTCAACCGGGAGCAGTCGTGCTTCCGCAATGGAGCTCACATTGAGCGCTTTGAGAAACTCAACACCTTCAGCCTCGGCATCGGTTTTGTTGCGGTGGCTTGTAGCGAGCGAACCGGTCAGGGGGTCGTGGGGAGCTCGTGCGCCGCTTTCTGCTATGGCTCCCTGGAATAGACCGGCTGCTAGAGGGGAGTAAACCATGCTGAGGGCAATTCCGGATCCGGCAGATTGGCCGCCAAGGGTGATTTGACTCGGATTGCCTCCAAACAGTTGGATGTTCTCGTTTGTCCAATGCAAAACTGCGATCTGATCCTGTAGAAACCAGTTGCCAGTAGAGTTGCCTTCAGCCTCGGCGCTCAGCTCCGGATGTGCAAGGCCACCAAGCACACCGAGCCGATAGTTATATGTAATCACGACAGCGCCTTTGGCTGCAAGCCCCGAGCCGTCGTAAGTCGCTTGCGAACCCGAGCCGCCGCTGAAGCGGCCGCCATAGCTCCAGAGATAGACTGGATAGTTGGTCTCGTTCGTGAAGTTCTCCGGTGTCCAGATGTTCAGGAAGAGGCAGTCCTCGGAGCCCTCGACGGTGCCATTGAATCCCAGCTGGGCACAGTCATTGCCGAATTCAAAAGCATCAAATGTGTCGTTCCATGAAGTCGGGTGCGGAGGATGCGCCCAGCGGTAGTCACCCGTTGCGGGATCTGCAAAGCGGATGCCTTTAAAAACATTGACCGCAGACACGTACTCAGACACGGTGCCGCGGACGGGCCCATTGTGGAGAGCGACGACAGGATTCTGCTCCGAGGAAGCTAAAGAAAACAGCAGTCCGCCGAGCAAACAAAGTTCACGAAAACGGGTCATGGTGACTGGTGTAGCTTTCTTGGCATACTTCTCCCCAATTATAACGTGGCCGAGGGCCAGTTCTTTATACTAGTTACTAATAATTTCAAATGTTGACTAAGTTGCACGCCGCGTGAGCTCGGCATATCAGCATTTGTTGTCGGGCAATGCAGGGGTTTTAAAATTCTGTGGTGATCGTATGAGTAGAATTAATGTTTTGAAACGATGATCTACGTAGCACCTACCTTATAAGGCTACTAAAAGGCTATACAATCCTCATCAATTACGACGTCCCCTATTTGGCGTAGTTACATTTCCGATATGTCCGAGTTCTAGCTCCGCGCACTTTTTAGGCATTGAGGCGAAATTGTGGGGTTTCGCACTAATGAGTAGATACATGTCACCTCGGCACTTGTTTCCAGGAGAGTAAAACGCCACCCAAAAGGAACAGCTCTTTAAGCCGCCGTTTCGACCGCCGAGTCGTTCTAAGTAGCGTCGGTTATAGCCCATTGACGACGCGTCACGGGTAAGGCGAGTGTGACTTGCATGCGTAATGAAGATCCTAGTAAAGCGAGAGCGAGCTATGGTGGGACGTACGTCTGGTTCGCATATAGGGCAACCTCATTATATCAATCATCTACAATGTACCCTTCTCTTGGCGTTGTAATCATAAGTCCTCGATCTGCTCGCTCTTTGTTACAGATCATTCTCTAGATCAGGATTTTATTTACAAAATGCCATCTTGGATAGTTGGCTCTGCGTGGTCCTCGGCACTTCTGCTGCCAGTGGCCAGAGCAGCGCTCTATGATTCAATTCTCCAGACTCCCAATGGCCCAATTCAGGGCTACCAGGCCTTTAACGCCAGTCCGGCAAATATGAACCTTACCAACTGGCGTGATGTTACTGTTTGGTGAGTACTCATGAGAACTTACCGATTCAAGAAATAGTATTTGGATAAATTGATGCTGACATTCAACGTCCTTAGGAAGGGCGTCCCGTTTGCAGCCGACACTTCTGGCGAGAATCGTTTCAGACCTCCCCAGAATGTTACCGCTTGGACTGAGACTCTCGATGCTAAGGACTATGGTCTTTCTTGCCCATCGTCTGGTACCACATATGCGACTATTGGTGAGGACTGCTTGAACGTCAACATCTGGAGCGCAGCAAATTCTACCGACGACAAACTCCCTGTTGTCATGTGGAGTTACCCTGCTGGAGGATCTAATGCTGATCCTCGCTTTGACGGTGGTGGCATGGCTGACAAGGGAGTTGTCTTTGTCAACTACAACTACCGTACTGGCCCAACTGGCTGGCTTGTCACTCCCGAGCTGACTCAGGAGAACTTGGCCACCGTCGGTGTGAACAGTTCTGGAAACTATGGTATGCTGGACCAATTTGCAGCCGTGCAATGGATCCGTGACAACATTGCCTCTTTCGGTGGTGATCCTGATCATATCACGGTCATGGGTCAGTCTGCTGGTTCTGCCGCTACATACCACATTCTTAACAGTCCTCTAACCAAGGGAAAGATCGTCGGAGCTATCATTCAGAGCGGTGTTCGCGATCCTCATGATCCGTCTGCCGTAAGCTTGGCCGAAGGCTACCAAACCTACAGCGTTTCGGAGGAGTTCAGTTTGGAATTCTTGGCCTCTGTGAATTGCACTGATATCGCCTGTATGAGGTCTTTGCCCATGGAGACTCTCGACGTTTCGTCAACCCCTGGAACAACCAGTGCGTCTTGGAAGGCCACTCTCGATTACTATTGCATGCCCGATACCTATTTAAACACGCTGGAGCTAGGTTTAGCTCACGATGTCCCAGTTATGACTGGTAACACCAAGGACGAGAGCGGTGCTTCGTATGGTCTGAACATTACTCTTGCTGAATACCTGGCCGATCTCAACTCAACTTACGCAGACGAGTTCCCCGCCAAATTCTTGGCTGCTTACCCAGCTAATGACTCGGCCACCGCCTCGGCCGCTGAGAATGCCCAGTACACCGACAGATCCATCATCGGCACCCAAAATTGGGCGGCTTACTTTTTGAGCAACAGGACCAGCCCAGTCTTTACCTACCTTTGGGACCACGCCCCGCCAGGACAAAATGCAGGTGCCGCCCACATGACTGAAATCCAATACACGCAGAATAACCTATACAACGTGTACTATGGTGAATGGGAGGCGGAGGACTACCAGATTGCGACCAAGATGAACGACTACTGGGTTAATTTCATCAAGTCCGGCGACCCCAACGGCGCTGGCCTGGTTCAATGGGACAGCGTGAACGCCTCTACGACAGTAACACAGGAACTTGGTGATGGTTGGGGTCCTCTAATCATTGCGCATGATGACCAGGTTGCCCTGATGGAAGAATGGCTTCTCACGTTACCGGCCATCTAAACCGGTATTTTAGTTTCCAGCCTGAGTTGCCTCGATCAAAGCTGGAGTGAACATTGTGCTCCTTGTTCTATATTCCCACTACATATTGTACATACATTTACATTGGAGTCTGAATGTGTCATATAGTTCTTTATCTGTCTAACCTGCGTTATCCCACTCATCCTTATCTAAGCTGTCGAACGGTCAAATATTGGCTGATGCGATGCCAAATTTCTAAATTCTGAAAATTGATGACCACACTTTGAGATTCAATTCGAGTACAACAAATCCCAAGCCTGCAGATTTCCAATAACGAGCGCTTAATATTCTAGTATTCTTTGATCTAAAACTGAACTTGTCATTGATAATGGTTTTTGTAAGCGACATCAATACGTCAAGCCTTGTCAGCAACCGCACCTGAAGCAGTGCACCATTCTCACTTGCAGAATTGTAATAATGACGGCTACATTTTAATCAGATTTGCCAGAGCGATTGCCATGGCTCGATCCTATTGCTTGGCTCCCAATAATCACTGCTTCCAGAAACAGGATCAATGACGATTTAATTATACAGCAGCCTTTATATGTGCCTGGGCTCTACGGCTATTCTATCTGTATAGAGAGACCGGATGCCGAACGTTTTACTCACGGGGACTCTGATTGATCGCAGCCATGCGTGACATTGTGTGAACTGCAGATGTTCCGTATAATGAACCAGTTGACCAACCTTTGTGAACGGGGCATGCCTCCGTTCGTTGATCCGTGCTAGAGGATGCTTCCAAGATGAAACCTGTCACCGAAACGTCATGGGGATGATGTCGCTGGGAAACGCTGGGTTCGATAGACAAATATCGGCTAACAAATTTATCACAACTTTTGACAGCTCTTCCCATGTCTGTAAATCTGATATTCTCGTATCGCCCCATATCCTGGCAACGCTCCATTGAGGAGTGACGAAGCTGTAAAACGAGTAGTACAACAGGTTTTACGAATCGGCATTTAATCAAGTAGTTTCCTCGACGTTTCCAGATGACCTTTGGTCTGAAGAACTGTGCGAAACTCACCGACGCGAGATGGCCGGGCACTTGCAAGATAATGCTACAAAATACCGGGTTCTCCCGCTCCTTCGAGCGACTCGTGAGCGACAACCAAAGCGGGATGGAGATCCAGTCCTATATCAACAGTCTCCACCCAGAGAATCATCAATAGTTTTATCGAGTGATTGAAAAGGTATATCGCTCAATATAGCACATTTGAACGAGGTCCTGGCGTATACAGGCAATCCTAGGACGCCGCTGTGTATACGAACCGATGGAGTAAAGTAGGAGCTTGAGATGCCTTCGTAAGCTGATACAAACCTTTTGATTCGTCTTGACAACATGACAAAATACAAGAAAAAGACTAGCCCAGAGTCTCAAAGATGCTCGGGCTTGTCGAGTATGTAAAACAACTCGACCATGAAGAGTCCCGTACAATAGGTTATGACAACGGATATCAAAAACAGAGCCTGTTTCGAGCTACAGGCAATTGCCAAACTCGATATAATTGGGAAATACTGAGCCAGGTGACATCTTCACATACAGCGAATGGAAAACGGTCAGCCGGGAAGACCTATTGTTGGTGGAAGGAATGGAGACAATCATTTGAGCTTCCACCCGGGAAAAGAAAATGAGAGGAACCATTTTTTTTGGGTTACTATACGATGAGTTCATGGAATCAGTATCCGAGAGAATTTCAGGGACAGCGGTTTGCAAGTGTTCATTCTTGTTGTCAGCCTTGACGTGAATCGGGAGGCTCCAATCTATTTAGGGACTGGGTTGCAGATCAACGGATTTCTGAACCAGAATCTGGTGACGACGTTGTTGATGTTTTCTTATATCAAAGAGATTACATGAAAATTGCTATCTACTAGACTAAAGTGGAAGCAGAGCTCGATGCAACAGAATATCCATATGCGGATTTAATTTCCACAAGATCATGGAAACATTCGAGACCGAGTACGACCATCTAGAGGGTGGTGATGCTCTATAGGAATTGGGACATGTGAGAATTGATCAAGGTCGAACGGCAACACGGATCCGTATACCCAAATCCATCACATCACAAGTGGATCACAGTTGAACTCACCCAAGGGACAAGCACGGGACCCATGCGTTATTAAGGAATTCACCTTTTGGACCCGCGCCATCGTCTCGTCAACACTGCCAATGTGCTTTCCCAGCAAATGACTAGTGGTCTGAACAGGACATGGAAGGATCGATTGAGCGGTGTATGGGAAGCCTCGGGAGATTGTCCACATGATCGTTACCGAGGTGTGGGAGTAACCGCTGAGTGTAAACGAAACTCGCAAAATCAAAGTGAAATGGACGAAGAAAGCAAGACTGTGACGGAGGCAGGTATGAGAAGGTGTGGAAATACTGCTCCCTTTGGTAAAGAAATAAACTGCCCCTGTTATTTAGATTTTCTTGAAGGAGCTTTCAGCTGCGAACAATATGACTCATGTTATGATAAATCAAGCATACCATCTACATTGAACAGCAATATCATTGCCATAGAACACCAGTGTCCATGATCTTCGTCTTTCCGTTTGGTTCTCGTAATGCGCCTTGTGGCTTTCGTCGAAGGTAGTGTGCATGCAGATCGTGGTCATGTCTAGAATATGGGGCTTTGATCAATGAATGGCAGACTCCTATCCCTCAGCCCTGAGGAGGCACTTTAACAGGCTTACCTTTGGTCCACATGACCGCGAACGTACAAACTCTCAGCACTTGGATTGGGTTCGAGTGGTCTGTGTTGATACCACCTTTTTCATGCACGTATCTACCAGTATATGCGGAGTTCAAAATGAGCCATTCCTTCTCAATTTTAGCAAAGTCTCTCATGATTGTAAGGCCTATACGGAAGTCGCTGCCAAGAGTCTTCGGTTGCTCTAGTTTGTACAAGCAGCTGCTATTGGTCCGTGACCAGCTGGAGGTCAGAGTACTGATTGGACCTTGAGCACTATAGCTGCTAGAATCAAGCTATAAGCTGATTGCTATTGACCAGTAAGGCTACTGAGGATAGCCCTATACAGATACAGATATATAAAATATACTTAGCGATCATGCCTAGCGGCAGCTGATATCTCATTGTCGCAAGCTATCAACCAGTTGCTAAGGTACGTACCGAAGTCTTGACGACCGAAGACTTTTGGTAGCGACCTTCGTATATTGGAGACATAAAACTTAGCTTTGTGTGGGGCCAACGGTAAGAAGGTAATTGTGCCACGGACTCGTTATAGGTGCTCCAATCAAAGTATCGGGAGTCAGGCACTCTTTGTCCAGCACGTTTAGAAGGCCACTTTTAGGATCTAGCGCATTCGCCCAGTCTTATCACCAGGCTGACTGAAGACCGGTGTATGTTTCATATGTCCAATTTGCATTTGAAGAGCTCAAGTAAGCGTAATGACTGTATCCGCATTACGCCAAATGTAGCAGAAGATGTGTGGGGTCGAAAAAAAAAGATTAATATGGAAGGTTTCTGCTTTGCCTCAGTTCTTCTCAGAACAGTTGTTTTCGGTGAATAAAAACCTTGGCGAAACGATTTGAACTTATTCCTCAAGAATGCAAGTAAGGATTAAGTATAATTTTGTAACTCTAATGCTCTTTATGGTCATTGAGCAGCAGCTTTTCTCTAAATTTGGCTAGTAATCAGATGTTCCGGGCCTATTCCTTTTCACCGGCTCCAACTCAACTGAGTAACTATAGTCAGCTCTAATTCCAGCACTCCTTCCATCAAGCAATATGCCTTTATCTGAATCGTCGTCGTGTAGACGCTCCCAGTCACCCGCTCCACCGCCAACACACGCTGTAGTAGTGGCTCGGTCAGTGGATTTGGCGAACGCACCCCTGTTGCCCGATGAATTATGGCCTCCTGCAATACCACCACCGATGGTCACTAAGGATTTCGCGTTTGGAGTGCTCGCTGACTTTTGTGTGTCTTGCTTCCCACGGATGCGCAAATAGAGACCGCGGACAGAGGGCAAGGAAGCGGCAATGCAGCCGATGCCAGTCTCGATAGAAGACAAAAAAACGATAAAACCAATGTAGTCTAAAACATGATGAGTATAGTCGTCGAGATGTGATGGGAGAGTTAATGCAAACGTACACATGAGATTGTCAGTTGGCTCCTTATAACGAGAGATGAAGGGAGCTCGAGCAATTGTCGTAAGGGATGCACTACGTAGTCATATCAGTTACTAACTAAGGCTATATTACAACCAGAAGATCAGTCAAGAGAGCACTTACACCGAAGCAACAGACAAAAGACCAAACACTCGCAACTTGGCCCTTGTTCTCATCTGCGTCTTCCACAATAACAAGCCCGGCAAAACCATACAGCCAAAGTCGGTAGCAATACTGGTGCCAGTGTTTGTGTGGCTTATGCCGATCAGCGTTTCTGTACTCGCACAGGTGGCTTTTCCTTCTGTAACCAAGGCTGTGTTCCAGTTGGCCTCGACGGGTCGACAGAAAGTTAGGATGCCAAAGAATGTGACACAAAACGACGCCCATGTTAACCCGAGAAGCCCCCAAACGGCAATGCGCATAACGCGATGGGCCTTTGCTGCAATACGTACGAGGGTGGTGCACACGGACGACTTGATTAAGGCGACTCCGATCACGTATATCGTAATCCAGATAATGTAGAACTTCTGCGCCTCAGCCTGCAGCCATGAGTTGAGGCGGTCGTTCTTGGAGCCTATACCCACAGTGACACCACGCACCGCGAGACTGGTGTCGATAATGTAGACGAACTGCGTTGAATAATCGTATCAGTGGTATGTTTCTGGATCGAGGGCATGTCTGAAATAGTGCAAATGAGAAACTTACCAAGCCGGCCAGCATCAATGCATCGTCCAGGCCGAACACCTTGTCAGTGAGCCGGATGTAGGTGCGGACCGCCACGCTGAATATAGCGAAGAAGAGAAATACCAGTGAAATCAAGATGATAGCAAGTGGGAAACCTTCAAGCGGGACAGACCTGGCGTTGGCGTCAGCCATACTGAGGACAGAAATATCTACGGGCTTCGGATAGATTAGGGATGATGTTCGAAAACAATGAGTGAACTCCAGGCTACCCGAACATCTCGAATCGCAAGAGTATTGTTGAGTTTATCAATTTGTGCAGAGTTTTCCTGCTAAAATGCTAATAATTTCGGTGTACTAGAGTTATGAGCCTCCAAATATACAATTTGGCACCCAGAGATCGCCGTCTCATGTTTTCACACTACTACCAGCCGTTCCATCAAATTGCCTTCGAGGCAAAATTCTTCCCACAATTAAGTTCCCATCTTGGAACACATCCCCTCGCTGCCTGGACACCGACTTCCGCGTAAGTGTCCCATCCTGGAAAGGGGCACAACAATATCGCACGTGAGGATGGTTACTCTAGGGTAGTTGGTTTATTAGTTACAGCTTGACCAGGTTCAGCAGATGAACTTGAATACAGCCAAGCTGCTCACAGGTCATCAGGATGAGCGGTTCCAAGGTAGCAGCCTGCCGAATGTTGAATATTAGCAGTGCCCATTCCCCTTATCCCCGCCCATTACTGCGTGTTACAAGGCCGACCCACAGCGTACCATCTTGCCAAACCCGATTGGCTCTCAGGGCAGTATAGGCTCCATAATTTTATGGAGCGATTTAGCATCAGAGACCGCCCTACGCGAATCCTTTCGCCAGCATGACACAGCGTGCTACGGATCCGTTTATTAATTCATTTCGGGAAACCATCCGTTCCCTTAGGGCCCTACTGGAACCCACATGCTTCAAAGTTGCCTTGTGTCGTTCATCAATAAGAGCCCTCCAAACAGATAGAAGCAAAGCGATAAAAAGATTGTTACAGGCTTGATCGGATTGTATTCTCCCGTAGTGAGTTCTTGATCAAGCCTTTTCCAAACCGAGTCTCGTGTCAAGTTGAGCTGGAAACTCAACGCCTAACCTTAGTCCAGAGGTTTTGGTCGCTAGGCATTTTAGTACGATCTTGCGGGCCGCTCCAGAACCTAGTGTTACTCCAGTATCACTCCAACTTACTCCAGGAAAGCTCTGACGCGTAAGGATATATTGGAGCAAAGAGTTGCGGCTAAATATCCTACCAACCTATATAGATTTTCCTCCCCCAAACACTAATTAGTTTATATGGTTCTCTGTCCATTCTCCAAGTCGTCTCTTTGGCGCAATGCGCAACTCGATTCGTAACGATTTGGGTCATGATCTGCAGTTTCTAAGCGATCTAGCCACCAGGTCACGCGGTGTGAGGGTGACGGTGAGACCGTCTTGTCGACGCATCATAATCGCAGCACCTGCATTCTGTAGCATGAGAACAAGCTCGGGAATAAGGCTTCATTTTTTTTCCTGCCGGCTGTATGTAGGGATGGTAATGCCTAGTTTCTACGCTATACCGGGATGTTATGGAGCTGCAACGTACGGGTATTGTGGATCGGTGCTGCAAAGGAATGGGTCGCGATGAGACTGAGTACGAAAAGATCTAAAAGTGTCTGGACTGCTTGATCCGCATGAAAAATGGGGTGATCCTGATATCACTTAAATTACTATCCTAGTCGTATATGGGTGACACGATAAAATCCAATCGGACTTTTTAGTATGCGAATGAGCCCTTCATTTTTCGGAGTACCAAAGTCGTTTATTTTCCTGATTTCTTGTTAAGGCTTTTCATAAAATACCTTAGTCACCGCCATCTAGTACATAAGCATAACCAATATTGCGTTTGCTGCGTCATTGGTTGGCCATGGCAAACATACAAGAAATCCGTGTCAGGCCCCTGACCGCTGCAATTGGAAGCCAGGATGAGATTTTTCAGCTATCCGACTTAGACCATCTCATGCCCAAGCTCTACGTGCACATGGTCGAGATCTTTGAGCTGCCAAAACACGCCGACAGAACCACCATTGTCAGCAATCTCGTCAAAGGCCTGGAACGTACTCTTGTCGACTACCCTATCCTGACGGGAACTCTACACTTTGACAATGAGGCACGGCGTATTGTGGTAAAGAAGCAACCAAGCTCATCCCTTGGCTTGTACGTCAAAGAGGCGACCGACAACGACATTCCCTCCTTCGCCGTGCTTGATAAATATGATTTCCCCGTACATCTTCTTGATTCGCCAAAGGTTTTACCCTCACTGTTTGTCGCTGAGCATTGGAACCCCGTACCTGGAAATGACATCTCAAGTGACGGCCCTGCAGTTGCAGGTGCACAGGTCACTTTCATTGATGGCGGTCTTATTCTCGGTCTTGCCATCCCGCATCAAGTGTGCGATGGACCCGGTTTCGAGCGTCTCCTTACGACATGGGCGCGGTACGCATCCGCCGCCATCAATGGGGCGGCCATCAACGACCTCGCCAGCTCGGCATCCCAAGTTCCCAGTCGCAGTATCCTGGCAGCAAAGAGCAAGCCTAGCCTCAGCCTAGAGGACCTACAGAAGCTCGGCGACAAGTTCCCTACCATAAAGGCACGCGACGGCCCCCCGGCTCCGCCGCCGGCAGACTTCAAGATGCCCGTTGTCAAGACGCGCGTTTGGCACTTCCCTAAGAGCAAATTGCAGTTACTGAAAGCACAGTGCAGTAAAGGACTTGAGAGCGGCACCTGGATCTCGACATATGATGCCATCCTCGCTATAATGTGGCGGGCTACCGTACGGGCGAAGTCGCCGCTTTTGAACCCGGACCCCAGCGCGCCGTCCAAAGCTGTCCATGCCGTCAACGGCCGCGGCCGCGCCGACCCGCCCATCAGCGATCGTTACATCGGTGCCGTCATTACTCTGCCGCAGTCCAAGGTCCTGACAATCGCGGAGGTACTCGGTGACTTGGAGGCGACTTTGCCCGTCTTAGCCGGTACCGTCCGCGCTAGCACCGCTTCCATCACATCCGAGTATCTCGACGACCTAGTCAAGTTTGCCGCCGGCTCTCATGATCTCCGCTGGGTTGAGCTGGAAATGAACTGGATTTTGGGCCTCGACTGCATGGCCTTCGACTGGCACACCATGAAGTCGTACCGGGACCACAACTTCGGCTTTGGCGGGCCGGCAGCGCTGCGGTGGCCCCATCCTGGTTTTGAGGGCTTCTTCTTCGTACTTCCGACAAGGGCGAATGTGAGAAATGCCGGCGAGGATGAAGGCATTGAGGTCTGCTTTGGGTTGGAGGAGAATTGCTATGCAGAGCTGGAAAAAGATGAGGAGTTTGCAAGGTATGCTGAGCAGAGAGGCTTAGGAATATAAGGATTTTCAATGAGCTGAGCAGTTTGGGTTTGGTCGAATGCTCCCCAGCCAAGCGCTAGACAGCAATTTTGATGTTTTGCTGGACGCTAGCATGGTGAAAGGTGCTGACGTTTGACATCAGAGACGCAGGAAATCAGAGCCATCGCAACAATTAATCATTTAGAGCAATCATTTATGATAATTACTTTTTAAATAGTAATATTACTTTGCTATCGAAGAGTCTGCTAATTTATCAATCTATATATTTCTACCTTAGCTCACTTGCATAGCCAGGGCTGTGCAATGCCAAAATATCTTTGTCGAGAACATTATCACCATGTTTCTTTGGGTCCAGCTGGATGTGCGGCAAAGAAGGTATCAAGTTCGCAATTACCCAGGCGTAAATGCAGCATGCTATCCTGAGCCAAGGTAACATCTTAAACCCCGTAGTGAACATAAGGAACCCATAGCAGCCTGTTGAACTCCGGCTCCATCGTGAACTCTATATCTCTGGATGAATCCTGTCCATTACTCGCTTCATTTCTACCGTTTCCCTTCTCCCATATCATGCTCTGCACCCACTCGTCCCGTAGTTGCCGACTCGCCAGGTGCAGCCCGTAACTGACAGACTCATCGCATAGACCTTCTTTCGCTAGGGTGTTATATATCGGTGTTGCCATCTTAACACACAATTCATCATCCACACTCCATAGTGTGCCTATCACGTGTCGAAAGCCGGCCAGCTGGCATGCGCTACTTAGGTGGATGCTCTCATCGGCTGATTGTTCGTCGAGGATTTGGCTCGTTCCACAGGCCGAAAGGTATGCAAGAAACGGCATACGACGAGACAGATTGATTTGCAAGAGGCTTCCCACCGTGAAAGGATCATCTTCCCAATCATCGAGCAGCAGCTGACTCTGTAGCGGCTGTACTGGATGTGTACTACCGTGACCAGCAAAGTGGAAGATTTCGCAGTCTTCTAAGGCCAACTGAACTGCACTTTTTCTTTTCTCGGGGAAGATCGGTTTTATCTTTACCAATTCGCCTATTGTCTTGATTGCTTCGATTTCTTTGCTGGCATATTTCAGTTGGCTTTTGTTTCTAGTGTATTCCATCGCAACAACAACAAGATTGCTCATTGCCTGCTTCAACCATGGCTGTAGACGCGTATGTATCATTGAACGTAGCGATGTCGCATAAGAAGAAACAACCCGATCTATAGTGGTTCGACCTTGATTCTCCAAGTGATATCCGGCGGCGTGCAAGGGAAATCCGACAAGTGGTCCGATAGGGATCCACCATACCCGCGGCCATGGTTCTTCGGATATGGTTTGTGAGAAGCTTAGATGGTTAAGGATAGGATCGACTACGCAGTCCCAAAGCCACTCTAACATGGCAGATGACGGCAACGAGAGAGCTTGGCGATACTTCTTGATATCTTGATATCTCATATTCGGTAGCTCAAGACATTGGATCGTTGTTTTTAAGACGATCAAAGCATCAGAGCGGTGCCGACTAATGTTTATAATAATCACAGGACCGTTCTCTGCAGCTTGTAGTAGCTCATTTTTGGCTGGGGAGAGGAGAAAGCGATCGAATCCGGGCTGTTTCCTGATCTCATGTATAGTTCTCTGGAGCTGCTCATAGGCATGTCGACGTTTGTCCGTTTCTGATTGCATGCGTAATTTATATGCTTTTTGAAAGATTGCGCCTTTTGCTTCGACTGGAGCGTCTGCTTCGGCTGGAGCGTCCAGAATGGCCCGCCAATTATTGAAAGAGTCAGATAATCTAGGGTACTTTTGGCTTAAAATAGACATGTCTGTACGTAGATCTTGAAGGCCACTAACAAGGACGCCGCGGCCCATCTCGAGCCATTGAACTACCGTCGCTGGAGCTTGTTGCATTAGCAGTGCAATGGCAGCCGCGTCTGATGCGAGTCCGGCAGCTTGAAGAAGAAGGTGCTGTTTGTCGGCGTTTTGGAGAGAGTGAGGCGTTAGTTGAGGAAGAAGTTCGAGTGCCGTTCTGGCATATCCTTCGATATCTGGCGTATCTTGAAAGGCCCAGTCGGATGAAAGCAGTCTACGGCCAGCAATAACGCGTTGCGAAATAGGAGCAGTATGTTGAGAAAGAGCGTTAACAAAGTGACGGTAAGACGCTTCCAAATCGGCCGTATCTTGTGTCCTATCGAATTTGTCCCTAAGGTGACTCCCAAGATTGTTCAAGTAAATAGCCAGATTAGGATGGTCTTGAGGAGCGGCATCGACAGCCTGGCGTGCTGTCTCTATAGCCTCCATAAGATCGGCTGGAGCTTCAGTTCTCTTAAATTTGGCCATAAGTCGATTTCCAAGGTTGCTTAACTCAAAAGTATAAGCGGGATGGTCTTGGGGAATAGTATCTATGGCCAGACATGTTGCTTTTATAGCCTCTTCAAGGTTGGCTATAGCCCCTGTCTTGCCAAATTTATCCCCAAGGTAGTTTCCAAGGTTACCTAAGTAAAAGGCCCAGTTAGGATGGTCTTGAGGAGTAGCATCGACGGCCAGGCGCGTTATTTTTATAGCCTCTTCAAGGTCGATCATAGCTCTTGTCCTGCTAAATCTATTCCCAAATTGAATCCCAAGGTTGCAAAGATATAGAGCCCGGTCAAGATGGTCTCGAGAAGCGCTGACAGCTCGGCATGTTGTATTTATGGCTTCTTCAAGATCGGCCATAGCCCCGGTTCTGCTGAATCTTTTCCTGAGTACTTCTCCAAGGTTGTTCAGATATCTAGCATAGTCTGTATGATCTTTCGGAGTTACATTAACGGCTTGGCGTTCTGCGCTAATAGCCGCTTCGAGATCGGCTATAGCTCCCGTCCTGTCGAATCTGACTCCGAGTGCAATCCCAAAGTTGCTTAAATATACGGCCCGGTTACGATGACCTTGAGGAGTAGTTATGACAGCTTGGCGTGTTAAATTTATGGCTTCTTCTAGATCAGCCACATCCCCCGTCATGTCGAACCTGTTCCTGAGTGATTCTCCATGGTTATTCAAGAAATCAGCTGTGTCGGGATGGTCTTGAGGAATAGTATCGATGGCTTGTCGTGTTGCATCTATAGCCGCTTCAAGGTCGGCTATAGCTCCTGTCCTATTGAATTTATCCCCAAGGTGATTTCCAAGGTTGGTCATGTGAATAGCCCAATTAGGATGGTCTTGAGGAGTAGCATTGACAGCTTGGCGTGCTATTTCAATAACCTCTTCAATGTCAACTATAGCTCCTGTCCTGTTGAATCTGTCCCCAAGGTGATTTCCGAGATTGCCCAAGTAAATAGCCCGATTAGGATGATTTTGAGGAGTAATACTGACAGCCTGGCGTGCTGTTTCAATAGCCGTTTCGAGGTCAGCTACAAATCCTATCGTGTTATATCTCAATACAAGAAAGATTCCCAGGCTATTTAATAATGCAGCACGATTGAGATGGTTTTGAGGAGTAGCCTCGACGGCTTGTCGTATTGCATTTATAGCCGCTTCAAGGTCGCCTATAGCCCCCTCTTTGTCGAATCTTTCACCGAGTTGAATTCCAAGGTCGCTTAAACGCAAAGCCAGTTCAGAATGGTTTCGAGAAGTAGCGTCGACGGCCTGGCGTGCCGTCTCAATTCTATCATTGAGTTGACTAATTATGCTGGTCTCTTCTGAAATCTCCATGTTCTTATAGGTTGATGATTCACGGCAAAATATGATTCTGGTCTTTACTTATCTCTATGCGTCTTTTGGAACAGTCTCCAGGGTTTTGATGCTAAACGTGTCGCGTCATAAGTATGATTTGGAATAGGCTCTGGAAGGTCTGTTTATAGATCGGCTTACAGGGCGTTTGATATCGGTGAAGCACTTTTAGGCAACTTAGGATCATTTACCACATGGGGGTGAATCTGATCCAGCCTGCCTTGAGTGATATTGCGATCATCAACCTGTAACCATTAGTTACAGACCTTAGCAGCGACTAGGCGCCCTGTTTCATAATTATGCATAACACAGCGGTGCGATGATGCCGTGATGAGCGCCAAGTCGTCTGCCGCCATAATCGGTTTAAGACCCAGCGTGACAGACCTTTAGCTTTGACGCCGACCAGCTCCTCATAAAAGCGAGGGGAACTTGTAGCAGAGAAGTGCTTGAAGACGAAGGAGGAGGAGTCGTTGTCGTCATGAGCGGGATCTTTTTTCGAGGCAGACTCTGGATTGGGGTATGAATCACGCCCGATATCAGCAGAGTCAGAAGGATTAGGTAATCCGTAGTGGTTTCGTGGAGTCAGACGACGCATGCGGATATAGATGCTGAGATCGAGCGACCCCGCAGTACCCTAATGCACAGGACTTTTGGTGGTCTTCAATAATGCAGCGGCGACAATAGTGATTCCTGAATTAGCCTATCAATAAATGCGTTAAACTACCTACACTGGAGCGTGTAATCCAGATTTTCTGCAAGTCGTGACAGTTACTCGATCATTGCAAAGCGACCCATCTGATGCGGCTGTCAAGGCTTATTCTCCTCCCAGCACCATAATCATCAGCTCAGATACCTGCCCAGAACGTACCAGAATCTAACGCACCTAACCTTTGCCGATCTAACGTTTACGATGCCGCTGGGTGTTTACCAGTCTCGGGGGCCTTTTGAGTTAAGCGTTCTGAGACCTGACCACCCCTGCGATCCGACCTCTAAGTTGCGCTGGACGGAAAAGTTAAGTTATCTAACTTAGCCTACGTGCTTGACTCTGCGTTGGTCTTGTCCCCACTTCTCTGATTTTCGGATGCGAAAGGTTACGGCAGAACGGTCGAGCTCTAGTCTGCCAAGGCAGCTGCTGGCGGTTCGCAACTAGCTGGAAGCTAGAGTGCTGATATGGCATTGAGCAGTGAAGCCGCTAGAAGTCAGCTATAAGCCAATCGCTACTCCGCTGAGGATAGCCCTGTACAGATATAGATATATATAATATACTTAGCGATCATACTTAGCGGCAGCTGATATCTCGTTGTCGCAAGCTGTCAACCAGTTGTTGAGGTACGTACCGAAAGTCTTGGCGACCTCCGTAATGGCGATCAAGTGCCAAACCATGCCGAGTCTACGGATTCGTTGCCAGCTCTAGCGCTAGAACGGGCGTAAAAGCCGGGAAAAGCTAATATCTATTGAAGTGTGCGACGGCTAGGGCAGAGAGCTAGTAGGGAAGCTCTACGACGTAGTAGGGCAAAGCTACGCGACAACGTATTTTTACTTGTTTCGCGATTAACTCTTTGTGTTCTTCAGCTTTCTTATCTTCATAATGTATAAGGCAAACAGCAAGCCAAGTCTTCGTGCTCTAGTGACCGTGACAAAGTGGTGTAATGTGGTTGCCTAGGTGTGGCGTGTGAAGAATGGTCTCGATCACGATCATATAAGTCGTGAAGCCTCGTCATCTTTTAGTTTCAAGCAAGCAAGTAGTTCTCAAGCAATTCACACATATGTTCTCATACTCATGATCAGCCACGTATATGTCAGCGTGCATTGTAATGAACTAACTAGACAGTCGCGGTTTCTAGTTCACCATTAATAAGCTGGTCAGGGCTTCCGAACGACACAGGGGACGTGGCGTGCTAGGGTCCCAAGAGCTAAGCTGGACTTTGCTTATACTTTGTAAGATTTCATGATGACTACAGTTGTATACTGGTATTTAGAGCCTGGCCTAGCTGCCAAGCTGCCCCAGAATCAATTGCGCCTTTGCACACGAAGATGTTCGTTTCATCACGCAAGGATCAGCGTTTGGCGATCTTTTCTCCGAGACTGAGGTACAAGTCGCAATTGATGCTCTTTCAACTACTAGCTGAATAAACATAGCAGGCATTATTGGCTACCGTACAGCCCACGAAGCTGTGCACTACACGGTTTAGTAAGTTTGAAGCCAATCGAGGGGGTTTTGCGTGAGTGAAATTTCTTCATCGTGTCATCTTTACTCAATCATATCATGTTTCCATTAATACAAAGGCGCATAATTACACAGGCAGTCCATTGCAGCCATTTGCGGAAAGGTTTATCCCATATATCTGCACCTAATCACCCGGCTTGTGGGAAGTGCTGGACTTGATTAGTATCATGTAGCGCTATCCGCGTCAAGTGGCAACCTAGTTCCAGTCCGAACATGCCTTGTAGTAAATTCAGGACTTCACGGGAATTCTGATATGGGAGTAGTCGATAAAATATAATCAAAAAGGCGGCCACGGGTGTATAATGTCTCACGATGAAACACTCCATTCAGCCATCTGGTGACTTCCATACACTGTGTCTCAGGTCTACGCGACACCTTACGATGCTCCCAACCAATGAGCTTCGAAGGTTCGGGACGTGCTATCTTCCGGCCGGGGTGAGAGACGGCGGATGCAACAAAAAATCCGAAGAAGGGACCGATACCCGAACTCGGCCCCAATAATATAAAAACTGTTCCAGACTTGTAGCATCCTCGCATAACATACATTTTCAGTATTTGCTCAGAATACTGTCTCATTCACGAGAATGATCAAAACGCGATGCCAGTTATCATCTCATTTCGAGGTTGAGTACTGGTTAGGCCAGCTGTTTGAGCGTTTCGCAAAGTTCATGGTTTATGCTTTTGGCGGTCCGCGAATACGTGAACGTTTTATCAAGTGGCTTTCCAAATAGGACGGCCCATCAGCCCAATGCGTGTTAGCCATTGACGATCGCAATCTCAGCGGTAACCATTTTCTTCAAGGTCCGTTAGTATACCAATGTTGTTGTGACGAACATTTCTACATATATAGTAGCTCGATGCTTCATATCTGGCTGGTTAGAATGCATGAGCTTTGACAAACCTCTAACAAAAAGATTTACAGTTCCACAAGTTTGCCAGTTCCTTGCTAAAGCGCCCTGGGCTGTATTCATAATCCCACAGCCAGTATGAAGCTCAACCTTTCTTATATCATTCTGGCGGGCTTGGTTCTTGACGCATCTGCCGCGCCAACTGATACGGATCACTTATCAGGCCGCAGCGTCGCATGTTTAGCTACTTGCACGATCTATTACAAGAAATGTTTCTGGACACCTGGTACCAAGAAGTCTGTCTGTCTTGCTTGGTACAACGCTTGCGTGGCAAAGTGCTAGTTACACAGTTCGATTATGCACTTGCCTTCGAACCTGTGGTGCGCGCCACCACTTTGCGGCTCAGTGCTGACATATTCGAATTGCTTCGCTGGGAGAGATATACGCGGGAAGGGGTCGAGACCTACGATTTTCTTGATCGAAGGGCGTTGTCAAGCAATGCTAGATCCGGCTGGGTTGTTGCAATCAGCGGATTCGATGCAGGGTGCTTGAAGGAACCATGTGAATTTGTCACGTGCTGGATTTAATGTTGCTTCACATTTATTTTTTCTACGGGTATGGCAGTTTACTACCTGTTGGTTCATATTTTCACTGTCTGTGATAGTTTACTATCTGTCGGCCAGTGGGGATCATGTACAGTTGCTGATAACTCAGTACATTTCGCTTCGTGCTTTTAAAGTTGGTAATAGGTTACTATTTCTGTAGGTTCGAAGACATAAGTCGATATCAAAATCTATCAGCACCCATCATATTCAGCTTAAGAAGAGACAAGTTGTGGTTACTATATCATATCATTATGTCATTAAATGTTTAAGGTTATATACGCTGGCTTCAAATGCAGCAATCATAAAGAGGCTGTCCTATCCAAACTCCACACTGAGTTATCAAATGTCCCGTGATACGTCAACACATTATCTGCATTATATTTACAACAATGCAACAGCACCCAAAAATCCGGCCAAGAGACCACCGATCACAGGCGTCGCCGCGGCGGCACCTGCATTGCCACTTGATGGGGCAGCACTTCCAGCGGCATTTGTAGCACTGGAGACAACTCCACTAACACCAGTGGAGAGAGTGGATGCAACTCCACCGGCGCCTGAAGTGATGGTTGACAAGAATGCGCTGCCGCCCGACGTGATCGTAGACACAACACCACCAGCACCAGAGGTGATAGTGGAAAGAATCTCGCTGCCGTCAGAAGTGATGGTAGAAACAACACCGCCAGCACCAGAGGTGATAGTGGACAGAATCTCGCTGCCGTCAGAAGTGATGGTAGTAACAACGCCAGCTGCACCAGAAGTAATTGTGGAAGCCACACCACCAGCGCCCGAAGTGATGGTTGACAAGATCTCGCTGCCATCGGATGTGATGGTGGAGACGACGGCACCGGCACCGGCAGTGATGGTAGAGAGGATCACACTACCGTCAGATGTGATGGTTGAGACTACTGCGCCAGCTCCCGAGGTGATGGTTGAGAGGATCTCGCTTCCATCCGAGGTCAAAGTTGTGACTACACCACCAACGCCGGCAGTGATTGTCGACACGATTGCGCTTCCTCCCGATGTGATGGTTGTGACAACGCCCCCAGCGGCTGAGGTAGCCTCGCTGGCCACGGAGGATGCACCACTCTTGGCAGCGTCAGCATAGTTCCAGCCACACGATGTTAGGATCTCTCCAAGACCTAGCAAGCGAAGGGAGTTAGCAGGACTCGCATATCGTAGAAGTCATCAAGATGTTAACTTACTGCCGTCAGGCTCGTTCTGGCCGTTGGAGATAGAGCATGCAGCGCAGTACATCAGCTCATTTCGGGCACCGGCGCCACAGATACATTGACGCTCTTCGGCGGGGCTATCGGTCTGGTCGGCGCACTTGGTCGACAGACTGACGGCGTCGTTGCACTGTGCCGAGCAAGCGCCGGGGAAATCGGCTGCACTCAGAGTGACAGCAGCCCCGACGGTAGCCAGGGAGAGGAGAGCGGCGACAGTGTTGGAGCGCATATTGACTTTGGATGTCGGTGATCTGGTGGATTGGGTTGTCTGCGTTGAGTTGGAGAATTAGTCGGCGATGATCTTCTTGCTGCCGGTTCATCTTGACCGGCGGGCCTTCATATATCAAGACAACTTATCGTGCATCGTCATCGCAATCGACCTGCACTTCATTTTCGAACTCATTTGCGGTATCCCTGCTCGGCTCAATCAGTTCCCTGCTTTACTGCAACGGTTGGCCAGGCACAAAAAGGTCCAGTTGCGTTGGCGCGTCAGCCAAGCCCAAACAACCCAGCTTTTTAGAGCGTTCCAAGGCGTGAAGGTCACTTCCAGGTTTGCCATCCTTGTAATACCGCCAGGGGCACGGTCTCGATGTTGCGGTAAACCCTGTATGTAACCATGCCGAAATCCGACATGGGCACCCAACCACCCTGCCGAATCATTTTCTCAGTGCTTGAGCCAATCACAATAGGGCATGAATCAAAAATGTTTTCAAATTCAAGCAAAAGGTGGCTGGATCGTGCCTATGACTCATCGAAAGGCTGGGGGGTATTCTCAATTCAATCGAGTTCGAGTCTGCGCAGTTTGCGAAAGACAACCTTAGTCTAGCATGGATCCACAAACAACCTCGACTCGATCCGGTGTCCACGCGCCTGCATGGCTTTACTACTGCCCTATACAAGAGTACATGCTGTAGTATACAGTTGCGTGCCCATAAGATACGACCTAACAAAGATGCCCCGCACGAATTCATACCTCTAGCGCTAGGCGTTTGTCTCAGTAATACTACGGATTCGTAATAATCTGGTGCACATATTCAATCCAAATGAAGTAAACTACCGTCAATCCCTACGCCTGGCCATGCGAAGGTAACCTCTTATGCATCACAACATCATTCCCTAAATCACAACATAAAATTGCATATTGTGTTAGTACTTTGTCCTACTTTACCTCGCCTATGAACCTGTGACTGCCACCTGAACTTTGCGGGGCATGAAGCTGCATCAATATGTATGTATTCCTAAACTGATCCAGGGGCAAAGCATCTTTATAAGTCCGCGTGCACAGCAATGAATTGTATTGTGTCTGCCTCACTTGACTGCGAAAATACATTTCTACACAATGGGTTCAGTCGTTCATACAACCTCTGCTTTTTTGCCAGAACTCCTAGTCGTGATTCTGCTAGAGCTTGACGTGCGCACTCTGTCGCTGGCTCAGGGTGTCAATCGCCAGTTCTATAGTACCAGTATAAACACAAAAACGCTACGGAGACGCCTCTTCTTTCCAACAGATGATGCCGTTGTGACGGCGAAGTCTCTTGGAGAACGCGGTCGAGCCGTCCGGAACCCGCCCTTAGCCGAGTTGTTCCCAGCATGGTGTGTCAGAGTGGAACTGCTTCTCTACAGGCCTTGGACGGTCGAGGAAGCCCTCGAACAATTGCCTTGGTTCGACGAACCCCGGATAGCTACATTTCTTAGGAAGGGTGCGAGCTGGCGAAAGATGGTTGTACAGGATCCGCCCTCATGGCGCTAGGAATCTGGCATACGAGGCACAAGAAACGTGCGATGTCCGAGTATAGATCTCGTGTGCATCGAACGTATCCTCGCGGAGCCACCATGGACTCCTTGTTTGACAACTCTATCAACTGTTCATCAGGTTATCTGCTGGGCTTTCGAGTGTTTTGGATGGATTGGCCATCGTCTCGTCAAAACTTCCACTCTGCCTTGGGCTGGTACGATTTCAATGCAAGAAGTAAAGCAAGTGCGTTGTCGAGTCGTGTAGACACTATCGTAGAACTTGATCAGGGCACAGACGGCGAAACGATCTTGTCGAACGCGGCGCACAAACACATGTTAAAGCGACGCAAGCTCGTAGCTGCTTTCACTGGTCGCGCGCGACCTTTGGCAGACACCGCACCCGGAACTGCAACCTTGCTAAGAAGGAGCGAGAGGTTCCAGAACAAAACATATCGTAAAGATTCTTATTGGTTTTAGTATCAGCTACTGCCATCGTATCGCCCTAGTCTCAGAAAGTCTCGCCCAAAACTATCTGACCCGTTCCCAATCTAAAGATTACACGACCTCTGTAATAGCAACATCAGGTGCAACATCCACCCACGATCTCTTGACATATCCTCATTTCTTCGATCCTTTTATTATAATTTGTGCTAGTCACGAGGACCATACGTCTGTCAAGTGGCCTATTCATGAAGGTCTTACCTGCCTCTCTACGCTGTGGGGTCTCTCAGATTCAGCTAACAGACAATTTTGCCCACAATATCAAATTACGCTTTATTATGAAGAATACCAGGTACGACTTCAATGGACGGTCTGCGAGTGCCTATAATCCATTAACCTTGACATATCATCTCAGGACCATCTGAGGGGAAACCTTTGGGGCGTCCATGAAACTGAGTAGTTTTGACAGTATCATGCTTATGATATGTAGTAGAAAACAACTCAACATAGACCACCTCATTCTTATTCGGTTAACATATCGTCTCTGCCATAATAACTCCTCATTTTCCCTACGGAAACACATCAAGCTACCACGTCCAATCTGAGCTAGAACCCTAATATTCAGTTTCTATACCGACATCGCAACTGTCCATTTCCTATCCACTTTTGGATGTCATTGTCCACAACATCCCTCAATAGTAGTGGCTCTGACTGTTTTACGTGGAAGAAATATACAAAGATTTTGATCTTGCAACAGTTGCACTACCCTCTTTTTCGGTGTCTACACGTTTTCCAGCACTGCTCTTTCCTTTCTTCCTCTCTTCCTTCCTCCCATTATTTTTTTCTTCCCTCCATTTTTAACCACGCGATCTTCCTTCTACACCTGCAAAAGGCATCATTCACCCGTCATGATGGCGCTTGTACGCTATCGTGACGGTGATTACGGCTTGTGTGACGTTTTCACTGGTATGTCACACCTTTCACGTGGCATGTCACACTACTAATATAATCATCCAGGTGGTTACAAGGTGAGCTACGAAGAAACCTGCAAGCAGCAGCCAGTCAACTCGGCACAAGTTATTGATGATCAAAAGGCCGAAGCCTCCAAGGCACATATTAAACCTCGATTAGCAAGAGCCGTAGCACCTTCCGACACTGATGCGAACACAGCCAAAGCAGCTACCTTTACTTCTAAGTCCGCCCTTGCAGACTTTACTGTCCCTATCTCAAAGCCACCAACAGGACCTTCTGAGCAGATGATCTTTGTTAGAGAAGCAGAGGGACAAGAAGACATTGCTTCTGCCAGGGAAATCGATAAGACAACTAAGACAACCAAGAAAATAAAACTTGCGGATAAGGCCAAAAAGCTTTTAATGTTACTAGACAGTGACGACAACACCGACACTGACGAGAGTACCAATGGCGTTCACGGCAGTCCGGACACCCGAAGCTATGTGAACACTTTGGATTTGTCACAGCTCCCTAACACCTATGCCAAAGATCATGTCGCTGCTAGAGATTCGGGCCAGGGGATGAATAACCCGCCTACCCAATCGGTACTAGAGATCAACCGCGAACTTGACTCTGATGTGCCGACAAATAACTTGGCACACAAAATCAAGGCTCCTGAGAGAGCTTACATAAGCGTTGCCCTTCGACCTTCAGTATCTCAGACGAATGGTAGGCCGATCCTATCGATGGTAGAGACCAGGAGCAGGCTCAACGCTCTGGTCAAGGAGAAACCGACATAAATTCGATATTCAAGATTAATCCGCCCGAATCATCTTGTATTAGCGGCGCCCTCTAGGATTTCAGTCTTCGTTCAAGCCCGGAGCGGCGCATCTACTACAACCCTGGCGACACTGCCATCTGCTCAAACTTCAGAGTCCAACAGCTTCAGCAATCTCTGCCAGCGACTTATAAGCACCCGGTTACTCATCCAGCACCATTATCCAATTTCTACAACATTCACGACTTAGCCATGAGATTCCATATTCTGGAATTACATCATCGGAGATTACGAGCTGCGATGAGCACGGGAGATATCAAATGGATGCCGGAAAGAGATAGCGACCGTAATTACTGAAGCGCAAAGTGTCCGTATCATGATTCGAGACCGCCTTCGAGAGTCTGGGTTTGAACCAGGTCATATTCCCGATCGTGGATATCCTGGCCAGTGTTTCAACGATCGCAAGCCAACTAACGCTTCGAAATATGAATTGAACTCTAGCATATATGGCACACTAGTAGGATGGTTCAACAATGACAATGCGCCGCAACTTGAAGCGTCCAGCATCATGCAGCAACGCGTGGCTCAGGTAAGCCAGTCCGATCATCATGGGGCATATCATCATTCGACGATTCACCACCAATAGCCCCCCTCAAACATTTCCGAAATCAGGCGATCATACACGAGCTGCGATCAGTGGAGATCGCTGTGATACAACCGATCGTGATTCAAACATATCTATCCAACACCGCCGATACTAGCGTATCGGGTGACAACATACAATAAAAATGCACAACGTGTGCTATGGTAGTTGCTGGATAAGGAGATGTGTTTACGAGAGCTGACAGAAATCATGGAGAGGTTGTTAATTTGGGGGGGTGGGTGGGGGATATCAGGCATAGGAAGCTGGAAAAGAAAGAGAAAAAAAGTCCTGCCAACGAGAAAAGACAAGGGAAGAAAGGAAAAAGAAGAAAAAACGGACATGAATTGTATTGGTATCGGCTGTGGACTATGGTATAAGCCGTAGTAATATGCCGACTGCGTGTTTGGTATGGATAATAGCAGACAAGGACGACTATAGCTTGTGTATTTTCACCTATTGCACGTTTGCAAGATCAGACGCCACTTTGACGCCGCAAAGTCTCTTGTACTCTAGGTAGATAGTAATAGCTCTTCGTGTTCGGAAAATACCAATAGTCAACGGTTAACGTGAGGTTTTAGCTTTAACATAATAGGGAAGACCTATTAGAGGCGAGAAACTTTGCTATTCAACATGTTAGTTTGAATTGTGCTGGCCTCATTTTGCAAATAGAGGGGGTCTCGGCAGCAAAGTTTGTTGCTAGTCTAGACTAGACTGAAGGTTAAATGCAGATAACGCAGAACAGCAAGTCTCTCGCTGGTCTAGATGTCGGTACTTTGGCGTCAACATGCTTCGGCCTTTCAGCATCGTCCATCTTATCGCTATTCGTGCCTGAGCATCCCGCACTTCCCCGCCAAATCACATCTGCCCCGCTGCTTACATACCACTATGTCATATAAGTAGGAGCTTTTAAGCTAACATGATAGCTCTGCTTTCCAGTATTCGGCTTTTTGTTGTCCTCTTTGGGATGGTTACTTGGTTCAATAACATTGTCTAATCTGATACATACACAAAGATCAACACTGCCGAATATAGCCATGCCTGACGGATTTGTGGCCGCGGATAAGTCCAAACCCTACATCGCCCTGAATTCTGTAGCTGAAGACCGCGGGTATAAGGATGGTGAAGCAACTGCTACTTGCCTCTGTGGCGCCGTCCAATTGGCATTCGTAAGTCTGCACTGAAGACATGAAGAACGGGCTTCCCATGAAATATATCCTGCTTTACAGCATGTTTTGTTGTGATTGACTGCGCTAAAATCTCAAACAGCCCACAGATGGACCAGGGTTGGTCAACAGCTTCGTATGTAACTGCGTGGATTGCCGCAAGCTCACGGCGTCCATGTTCGCATCCAACTTCGCAATTGACGACAAGTACCTAAAACACATCCGTGGTCGCGACAACCTCAAGGACTGGGTCAACACCGTGACTCCCGTCAGGCCTGATACGAGCATGACGGATTACTTCTGTTTCACATGCGGCACACTCATGTATCGTATCAGCTCGGCTTTCCCAAACGTACCCATCCTACGACTGGGCTCTGTGGATGATCTCAGTCTGGCTGAGACCAAATTGAAGCCCCAGTGGGAACAGTTTACCAAGGACCGCATCAGTTGGTTTCATGGAGTACAGGTAGAGGGCATCGTGCGTCTTGAAGGGAACTCAGATACTTATGTCATTTAGAGATATCGTAGGATCTGCACAGATACAGGGTGCAAGGCTTGCGATGCATCGTGCGAGAAGTAAGAAAGCCCGAACAGACAACTACCATAGTTTCAACAGACAAGGTACTTTTCATATCCTGTACGTAGGCACACACTAGCTTACGCCCGGCTTTGCCGGTCGTCACAACATCTTTCCACTGCGATTTTAATCCACACGAAGCGTGTCTTACTACACTGCAAGAAATGCACCTCACTCTATACAGTTGAATGGGTCCCTATGCTTGATATCGTAACACAGCGACGGCTACCGCTCTAATCTACCAGGTGCCAGGGGATGGCGACGGGGACAATACACTGCTCACATGTGCATGGGACACCAATGGTTTGGACGTTATGAAAGCATGATGCATAGGTCAGAACTTGGGAGAGCGTCAGTTCCATCATGCTGTGTTCAAGGTTGCTTGTGAGCAGTGTGCCGAACCGTGGCTCAATGTTGCCCCAGAACGAACTTGTGTGACACAGGTATTGGTGCTCGGATGACTCTTATGTATGGGCTCGGAATAATACTTCTCCCAATTTGATGTATCGAGATCTATGAATGACCCAAGCGGTCGAATTATGCTTATAAGAGCCAGCAGCCAGGGCCTGTCCAAGCCCCGCCATGCCCCTCACTAAGAGCCTACAGCCCAAGCAGACCAAGTAGTATTGGAGCTGCATGTAGACGTTCTAACCTAGGTTAGACAAGGGTGAAGAGCTGCAGTGCTGATCTGAGATCGGTCAGTAATGAATATATATCACCTTTGATTTAACACAAATCAATGGGGACGCATGTATCAAAGACAGTGCGAAAGTCCAAAAACACGATCGGTAGGATTATAGTTCCTAATAGCACAAAGGGCATGGACGAGATCATCCAGAAAGCGATCGCCCACAGCGAGGCCTCAAAGAGAACCTCCGCGCCCTGGAAGGCAGACCAGCCGCACGAACAGCAGTATTTCCATTTCAATCACAGCAAGCAGCAATGGGGGCCACAAGAGCCGGTCGCAGCGGCGAAACAAGAATCCTCCAAGACCGGCAGTCCGGGCCTCAGCCGTTTAGCACTTTTCACCTGGAACATCGACTTCATGCTGCCGTATGCGGAATCGCGCATGGAAGCCGGCCTAACCACACTGCAGGACCTCGCATCTCGGCTACCGGGCAGCACGGGGGTCGTGATATTCCTGCAGGAATGCGTGCGCTCTGACTTGGCTACCATCTCCCAGCAGCCATGGATCAGGGAGCGCTTCACGATCACGGACACTACGGTGAACAATTGGGCGTCGGGACACTACGGGACCACGATGCTTGTCGACCGGCGCCTCGCCATCGCGAAGCTCTTCAGGGTGCACTACGCGAAGACGCGCATGGGGCGCGATGCTTTCTTCGTCGATATCATTATGGGGCAGGCTGGGGATAAGAGGGTCAGGCTTTGCAACTCGCACCTGGAATCTCTTGCTTTTGACCCCCCATACCGCCCGTCACAGGTGCAGCTGATCTCGCAGTATCTGAGAGATGGCGATGTGCATGCTGGAATCGCGGCGGGCGATTTCAATGCAATCCAGGACTTTGATCGCAACTTGCACAGCGAGAACGGGCTGAAGGATGCATACTTGGAGCGCGGCGGGAAGGAGGACAGCGATGATGGATACACTTGGGGCCAGCAAGCTGCAACAAACTTGAGAGAGAGGTTTGATTGCTCGAGGATGGATAAGGTATACTTTCATGGCCAGCTCGAGCTTAGGGATATGGAGAGATTTGTCGCAGATTTGCAACTACAAGATCCGAAACAAAGAGAGCATCTGGTTAGCCTGGGCTTCGAGAAACCTTGGATTACCGATCATATAGGCGTCAAGACCGAGTTCGAAGTTGTCTAATAAACAGGATCAGACGCAATAGAGGTTAAGTTTAATACAATGTCATGATCGCTTTAAAGCTGTACTAGACGCCTTGCAATGTGAGCCTATTTCAACATGGTGTATACAATCATTATGTATTGGTTCTAAGAGCCAATGATTCACATAGGGGAAGTGCTGCACTCTTGCTGGGTGTAAACGCTGTATTTGCAGTTAGTACGGCACAGCTAGATGACGTAGTTAGGAGATTCTGTCAAGTCTTTTGGTGAGACTGCGCCTCCATAGACCCCTAGATTGCAAGACATTTGCATTCAGCTTTCTTTCTTCGTCTATAAAGTCATACTCGAAGATGCTGTCGTATGTTTATTCTCCATAATTCACTGGAAATTTCGCTTCATCAGCTGGTCCCAAGCCTCTATTTAGACCAGCCTTGCATATTTATTTCTGAAAGAAAATTCAGGAATCGACCAAAGCCATTTGCGTGCACTATTTTACGATCTACACGAATGAGGACTGGCAAGTAGCCTGTGCGATGTTTTGCATTTTATAGCTAAATTATCTGAAGAAGTATTCCCCGTACTGTGTACATGTAGAGTGTGTGTGCTACCGCACACATAGATACTCCCTGATACTAAACCAATACATCAGTAATTATATTTCTCATAACGTGACTCAGTTTAACAATATATGTATCCATTTAGGGGAAGGTGGTCAATTACTGAAATATCTCCGTTATAGTTCCAACCACAAGCATCCACAAAACCTCACACCTACGGATCTGTACATATAACATGTCTGCACAGATGGCAACACACAGAGATCTGCTACCCTGATTAGGATGCCATGATCGATATGGCAGACGAAAAATACATATCACAATAAAAAAGATTGCTGCCCCACTGAGGGTCGAACTCAGAGCCTCCAGATGCCACTGTCCGATTGGAAACCGAATAACAGTCTGACGCGCTGCCAATTGCGCCATAGGGCAAGTTTCCAAGTTATGATGGTGTGGACTACTTGACTTGTTGAAACGTGGTGATGTCATATTAGTATAATAAGGAAAGAATATCATGTGTCGTGGTCGGCGACGATGTCGTCGAGGGAGTGGAGCGTGTGGAGTACAACAAAGCCTTGAAGTATGAGTTGGTAGCACAACGGTGGAAAAACAAAGCTTTCATGATATGATTCAGTTATAGCCCTACAGTTAATCGTGCCGTGCATGGATTATTATTGCCGCAAGAATTTCGGTGGTGATTGTAGAGTCGCATAGAGTCGGGCAGTAGAAAGAAGTGTGATGATAATGGCAATTCATTCCTTTGACGCTGTTGTGGTATGTTGTGGACCTATAATAATGAAAGGCAACTCAATGGTGGATTACGTGGTTGTTGGGTCGAAGAACTGGGTACTGCAAGCAGCATGCATCCAAGTAGGAACGACTTGAATACATATTGACCGATATAAACAAGATGGCCATTTAGTGGTTAATCAGACTGCCCAACAGCTTGCCGTTCTCGCATTTGAAGTTGATGTGTTGATGGTTGATCAGTTTCCTATTTGTGCACCTAACAATCTAAACTCGGATCCAACAGCCATCTAGGTCAGTCAGATCATTGTTGAAATAAATGGAGATTTTGCCTTCTAGGAGATACGGGCCTATCGCGCCGGCACAGTCGAACGATTATCAGAAAGAGAAAATCCCTTTAGGCATAAGCAGGTGAAAAACTATTCACCATGGCTTGCGATCACGCGCACAACGATTTGTTTTGGGGCTCGACCTACATTATAACGCAAATAGTTGGGCACGGTCTTTGACATAGCCGGGGAGGCGACATCGCCTTATAGTGGCACGAGTGAAAGAAAAAAAGACAAAGATGCAGGAAAAGACTTGTCGAGACCACCCACATTCCTAGCTCAGCTCACAGCTCGTCGACCGCACCTTTTCTGTGTATGCACAAACCCCCCAACGCGAACCATAAGTCTGGATCCAATCCTCGGTGAACCCACCCCTCGTGTGCTTCTCGTATGGGACCATACGTTGCCCGTAAAGCGCCATGCCACCCCAGTCGTGCAAGGGAACACCCCCAGCCCATGATAGTCTACTGTCCACCAATAGGAAAGCATGACGAAGCGGCAGGCTTGCCCAGACGGCTCAGAAACGGTGGAGATAGGCGAAGATCTGGGGTAGACATGGGTTGCGGAGAATCATCTCCTAATCTGGGGGGGCGGGGGCACGACTTCCAGGAGCACTTTCGGGAATGGTACGAATTGTGGTCTTGGCGTATACGACAACTCTTATATTTCAGCGCAAAGTCCGTATCATTTAGATCTTGTCTATACGAATCGTATTCAACAGTTTCTCTTTTTTCATTTATATTGAGACGGCTTTTTAGAATTCTTAGTATAATGGCAGACGAAAAGATCGCTGTGGTCGCTAGTGAGGGTGCCCATGTGGATCGCCTTTATCCTGCTGTTGATGCGGGCACCGGCGAAACTGCCAAACAGGAAGGAGCCCAAGCCAAGACAGTCCATAACGTCAGTTCCGACGCAAGGTCTCATGAATCGAAACATTAGCTCACGTATAGTGTCATAGGCCGAGTTGTTCGCAGCTATTTCAGAGACAAAGATTAAGAAATGGAGCAAGGCTACACTTCACCTATACTGTAAGTTGTGAACGAAATAGCTTCGTAGCATGGGCATTAACGAGCTTACAGTTTCTGTCTTCGTCGCATTCTGTTGTGCTTGTGCCAACGGTTATGATGGTTCTCTAATGACTGGAATCATTGCTATGGACCATTTCAAATCAACGTTCGATACTGAGTCCACAGGCACTAAGATCGCCGTCATGTACTCACTCTACACAGTGTAAGATTAGTAACAACTCCTGTACCAAAGCCGGTCTGACCTTGTTTATAGTGGATCGATGGTCGCTGCTCCGGTTGCAGCAGTCCTGTCCGACAAATTCGGACGGCGAATCGCCATGTTCTGCGGTGCAGTCGTGATCATCGTCGGTGCAGTTATTGTAGCGACTTCCAACACCGTTGCCCAATTCGTAGTGGGCAGGTTTATTCTCGGTATGGGTATCCAGGTCATGACGGTGGCCGCACCCGCATATGCCGTTGAGATCTCGCCACCTCATTGGCGTGGGCGATGCACTGGTAAGATAATTTCCATAGCTAAGCTTAATGCTATAGCATATCCATCTAGCTATCAATCCAATGCGGTAATCCTCATTGACCATTTGTAGGTTTCTATAACTGCGGTTGGTTCGGCGGCTCAATCCCGGCGGCTGCCATCACATTCGGGTGTAACTCGATCAACAATAACTACCAGTGGAGAATTCCACTTTTATTGCAATGCTTCGCATCTGTCGTCGTGATGGGTTCCGTTTTCTTCATACCCGAGTCACCTCGATGGCAGATGGCGAACGGAAAAGAGGACGCCGCACTGGATTTCCTGGTCAAATACCACGGCAACAACAATCCCAACTCGCGCCTGGTGCTCCTAGAGCTGGAGGAGATGAGAGACGGTATCCGACAGGATGGAATTGACAAGAGTTACGCCGACTGTAAGTTTCTAAAGTTACACTCGACTTCATGTAGTCGAATTGTTCTAACTAGGAACTAGATCGGCCCTTATTGTTCACTCACAGCGGACGCTGGCGAATGGCACAAGTCCTCATGATTTCCATCTTTGGCCAGTTCTCCGGTAACGGTCTGGGATATTTCAACACGGTCATCTTCCAGCAGCTCGGTATTGAGAGTTCCTCTCAACAGCTCGCCTACAATTTGCTCAATTCTATCCTTTCTGCGATCGGTGCTCTTGCGGCTGTGGCCTTGACTGATACAATGCCGCGTCGTAAAGTCTTGGTTATTGGAACCTTTGGTAAGTTGGTATGGCGTTTGTTATGATCATCATGGAGCGCTTTCGCTGATTTTTTAACTTCCGCCTTTTAGTTTGTGCCTGCGCTCTTGCAACGAATTCTGGACTTTCGGCTGCTCTCGACTCGCAGGGCGAAAATGTTACTACCTCATACGCCCAGGGTGCACTGGCCGCTTACTTTTTGTTCAACATCATCTTCTCGTTCACGTACACTCCTCTTCAGGCTGTCGTGGTGACGGAAGCGCTCGAAACCACTATCCGAGCCAAGGGTCTCGCCGCCTCTGGCGTCATCGTCAGCGCCATGGGCTTCATCAACCAGTTCGCAGGGCCTATCGCGCTGCACAACATCGGCTACCGGTACATATATGTTTTCGTGGGCTGGGATGTGATCGAGTCGATCGCATGGTATTTCTTTTGGTAAGTCTCGTATATCCTCAAGTATGGACGTCTCGCTAAACACCGTATCTTTGTAGTGTCGAGGCGCAGGGCCGTACCCTCGAGCAACTGGAATGGGTTTATAGTCAGCCCAATCCTGTCAAGGCATCCCTAAAGGTCGACAAGGTCATCGTACAGGCCGATGGTAAAGTCACGGAGAAGGTGGCCGATGGATCGGATGGCGAAGCCACAGCATCGCATGTATAGATGCAACGATGGCCCACGTCATCAGACTTGTATGAGGCAAGACGACCAGACGTTAATAAACAACGGTTTACGATTATTATTATTGCAGCAGTGTAATAAGGTAGCTTTACGCATCTACTCGCGGTTGATTTAGTACGCTTGGTCCTACCTACCTCGTTAGTTAATAGGTAATTGCGTTAGTAACATATGAAGATCAAGCGACAAGTCCTAGTGTAACTTCGACCAGCCACCACAGCACATGAGTTTCTTAATGTACTTGCAGTTGAAGATGCTCTTGCATGTTGTCCGTTGACGTCGGCTTGGAAATCACAAGTGACTACGGATCAGTAGCTTGAAGCTTTTACTTCATTACTTATCCTGTAATATTTAAAAGGACACCACATTTCTTCTGAATTCCCTTTTTAGTGTTGATAATTAAAACATTTCTCCCGTGATTTCTTTTTATTTCTTCATAAAACCATACTACCGCCTTAGAACGAGGGTAACCTCGGAGACGGGTTACATTATCTATTCAAGACAATATTAATACACATAAAGGCGACGTCTGAACTACATTTACCGACTTCTTAAAGCTATTTTAACAGAGACCATGACGATATGGGAGCTATACCGGTAAGTGGCAATCACACGATACCTGTAGAATTTACTAAGTACGTCCTTCAGATGCTATCTAGAATAGCTGTTGTTTGAGAACCTTAACCGGGATAATTATGTTTGGATTACCAAAGGGTGCGCATGATACTTGCTACAGGTATCCCTGGTTCGGTGATATCATGCTACGTGTTTCACTACATGTCAAGTGAGGGAACCGAGGCCAAGTAGTCCCTTGGATTTCATTACCTCTGCCTCGGAAGGCGATGCAAGGCAGCTCATGTACTGAGTGGATATGTTACCAGTTAGCGAAATGAAAAGGTACTGTGTTGGGAGTTGACGGACTATGGCTTGGTCGGCCAAGGCGTATATGCCAGGGACAGTTAGCAACCGCGCATTCACCTTGCAACGTGTTGAAAGTGCTCCCGTTTTTCTATACCTACCACAATCCCATTCTTTGCTTTTCCACACGGTGGCTTGGCATCAGTTATATTGATCAGCGCTCATCTGTCGTTTTATTTGATGTGAGAAAATAGTGTAACTTTCATAACGCTGTTTTGCAACAACCCTGTCCATAAATAGTCACGGAACGGGGTAAGGTTGGGCTGTAACACAATTACTATCCGCACTGATGTTACTGGGAAGATCATTGCGCGTCAATTGTCCTTTTTGTCTGGTTCGAGATCATAAACTACATTGCATCCTGGACTGAATGTCAACCAGCTTGATAACTCGCGAAGAAAAACTGCCCAACTACCCAGTTCGATACGGTATATATCAAATTGCTGTCCTGTCGTCTCTGCAAATGACTAAAACTCCTACGTGAGATAAAAGTTTCGGATGTGTGCTTTGGAGTTTCCGAGTCACGATCATAACTGCCCTCGTGTATTTTTATGCGCGGTGTCAGATGTCAAAATTTTGTGGTTTTTGGCGCTGCAGAAAATTCCCGGAGCCTGCGACTCATGTCGCCCTCTTATAACATTATAAAATCTGCTAATGCCCGAGTCATGGTATTGCAAGTGCCGGCTCCAACGAAGGATTTTACACCGATTGTCCCATCAAAAAAACTGGATGTATTGTAGTCTACATGGCGGGAACTCCGACTGGATGGGATACAAATCAAGGAGGCGCACCAGAAGGTTGGCACGTCTCGTTACGCAGTCATCGTTGATAGATGAGTAGGACCGGTCTCCTCCGATTCGCTGATTGTGGCCCTTGCAATCTTTCTGCCCACAGCAACATGCTGCATACTCGCCCCGGGGAAGTGGAGCCGGCACTACTGAGATAGTTGTGGGATTTCCCGCAGTCCCCAATTCAAAAAAAGAACTGTGGTTCATATTCGAGTAGATTGGGAACGTGCGCATATGGCGACATTGTGTACTATATAACCGCGCCGTCAGTGGCACCGGAATGACGCTGATTCGTGAAGTCATGTTACACTGCATGTATTGTTTGCAAATGATGGTATCAGGTTCTGACGGGATGGCGCAATCGAGCTAAGGGTACGGGGACGCTAGGTTTCCAGTCTGTACTATGGTGCTTAATATGCCTTGAACCATAGTATGTATGGATCGACCCTGCGTGGAAATCATCTAAAACTCAATTCGTTCGCAATACCGGTTGTAGATAGCGACATCCAAATTCGTATGGCGTTGTCCGGCGGTGAACAATATTGCCTGTCATGGTCCGAAAGCACATAAAAGGGCTCTTCCGTTGTTGCTGGATCCCCTTGAGTCAGTCTGGCTTGAAAAGACACTGCTTAGACAAAGAGCTATCTCAAGCCATCCCCCAATAATTCCTACCCGTAGATTTGATCGTCCCATGGTTTGGCAACAAAAGGCTTTCCCCTTGTCGCGAGAATCTCTTCCCACCTACCAAATATTCTCAATTCTCTGCAATAGCTCTTCCTTCACTCTTCTGCACAATGGCTGCTGCACAAGTACATCCAGGACAGACACTTGCCCCCAATTTATTTCTAGACGAGAAGAGTGATATCGTCGTGTCGACAATAGATGTCTCCCTCGAGGCCACCGACATCCTATCGAATAACAGCAACCACCACTTGGTGGTCTCACCATATACAGAGAAAGAACACCTTCTTGATTTGAGAACTCTGGACAAGGAGAACGCATTTTTAGCAAGGGCATTGGTGCACTTCAGGAGTCTACGACCCGACTATGCCACGGCCCCCTACACAGAAACCTTCAATTGGGATGAGGTCATTGGAGAGTTGACAAGGTTGGTGCGTGAGGAGGGATACCGGTGGAGGGAGACTTCCTTCTACATTGTCGCTTTCCGCTCACAGATCCCACCGACTACGGTGTATTCGGAGCTCGGTGTTTTGGACAAAGCAGCGCACGCCGAGGCGACAGCAAGTGGTGGATTCCTCAAGTAAGTGAACTCATCCACTCATGCAACGGAAACCACCTACTGACCAAACCGAAGGTACTGGTTTGGTACGCCAGATAAGGACGGAAGGAACCTTGCTACTTGCGTCTGGCGCTCACAGGAAGATGCGAGACAGGGTGGTGTCGGCCCGGCTCACCGCAAAGCTGCAGGTGCGGCGCGCCATCTGTACACGGAATGGCGAATCGATAGACACCGTCTTATCATCCGTGATGATCTGAAGAGCTGGGAGGTTGTCAATTGGGTCGACTGAGCCGACATGTGAAATCCCCGAGGGGGCAATCTTGTCCATGTTGCAGAGAACGAATCTGGGGGGGGCATCGGACCAGGGAGAAAAAGTTTTGGGTCTCATCCTTGCGTTGTCTGGATTCCTCGTTTAGCATGGCGTCATCGGGTACAGAATAATGGAATGAATTTGGAACTGAATCTCTATGTGTCGTCCTGTGTGACTGAAGGAATATTGGTGTTCAAAAATGGTAGATGGAAATAAAATTGGTGTAGATTAGATGTCAGGGTCGTTGAAGGTGGAGCGAAGGTTGCATTGATAATGCTGGCAATCGTCATTGAGGTGATAAGTGTGCAAGGTCGCTGCATCTGGAGCAAGTTATGTCCCACCTGAGCGAGAGAGGAGTTCATCCGAGCCAATGCTGTAACCTGGGGAACTTGCTCAATAGAACTCGTCTTATCTGCTAGTTGTTTTCTCGATTGAGAGGAGTGATCAACCTGAGGTGAGGCACAGCATCACTGGTGGTAGATAAGCGATGAAACCAGTGAGGTGGCACAGGTGGAATTTGAGCGGTATGACAGAGGAAGTCATAAAAACACATTGGACGAGAAGAGATGAAGTTCAAATTGAGGCTCTTCACAGTGGCATGTCGTCAGGATTTAAACTAGAGTCGACACAGAAGACGTGGGGGTTGATGTGGGATATTGGTCGAATGAAGCCTCGTCATGGTCACAAATTGGCGTGGAGGCAGACGCGGGATGATTCTCTCAGCTGAGCATGGATTTACAAAGTAATAGGTAAGTTTTAGAGAGGTTCAGAATGGGTGGTGTGGTGTGCCGTGCATGCTGGCTGCCCAGCCTCTAAGGTTAGGGTGTACGTACAGTGAGACGGGACAGTACAGGAACAAAAGGAGGGGCGAGGAGGGGCAAAGGGCTGCATCTCAGCACAGCAAAGCTCCGACTTCCCGATGGGTGCCTGGGGTGCTTCGACTTCTTCAGTGATTTTTGGGCTTACTCGCCGTGATTCTCCGCCCCGCCCACAATTCCGCAATTTCGCAACAAAACCTTCAAGAGTCATTTGCAACGTCAACGCGCTCGCAACAAGGTCCCGGCTGAGAGAAGGATCGCGCCGAACGACTACACCGAATTTAGCATATTTTTTTCTTTCTTGCTTTCCTATCGACAGCACGCTGAAACATCGCAATCATGGCCGCCGTCATCAACGATACCCCCATTACTGCGGTGCAGGTCGAGGCTTTGGTACGTCCACCAATTCTCTGAAAGCCCAGTCCAAAATTGCCCCTCATTAGCATCGCCGGCAGAGACGCTGCAGAGACACTGCAGAGCAGAGCAGAGCAGGAATACTGACAAGTTGTGGTACTTCTTAGGTGGTGATGAAAATAGTCAGACACGCCACCAGCACCTTCCCGACCGTCGCAACTGGAGCCATCGTGGGTTTGGATGTGCAAGGAACCCTCGAGATCACCAACACCTTTCCCTTCCCTACCGCCGAGGTCGCCCCCTCCGACAACCCACACCAACACCACAGCAATGATGCTTCATCCTTGGCCGCCGCTGCTCCTCGAGCCAAGTCCAACCTCGTCTACCAGACCGAGATGATCCGACACCTGAAGGAGGTCAACGTGGATGCCAACGGCGTTGGTTTCTACACCACCGCAGCCATGGGCAACTTTGTCAACCTCAACTTCATCGAGAACCAGTACCAGTACCAGAAGGAGAGCGAGAACAACGTCGCTCTCGTCCACGATGTCAGCCGGAGCTCACAGGGCGCCCTGAACCTGCGCGCCTTCAAGCTGTCGCAAAGCTTCATGGCCGCATTCAAGGAGGGCAAGTTCACAACCGAGAGGTCAGTATTGTCTTCACTTCGAACCCCACTATTCGCAGCTGTCTAACCCCTCAGCAGTCTGCAAAAGTCCAAGCTCAGCTTTAAGGACATTCTCGTCGAGCTCCCCGTCACCATCCACAACTCTCACCTGCTCGCTTCCTACATCCACCAACTGCCGGGCCTTCCCACTAAGGCCGAGGCCGACTTGCCCACCTCGGTTGCCGACATCGAGAAGGCCGAGGTCAAGCTGCCCCTGTACCCATCAATCGAGACTCTGGACCTCTCCATCGACCCATTCCTCGAGAAGTCTTGCGATCTCCTCCTCGAGAGCATAGAGTCCCACTACACCGAGCTCAACAACCACCAGTACTACCAGCGACAACTTGCCCGTGAGCAGACCAAGATCACAGCATGGCAAGCAAAGCGCAAGGCAGAGAATGCGGGTCGTGCGGCTTCCAAGCAAGAACCTCTTCCCGAGGATGAGTGGCAGAGACTGTTCAAGTTGCCCCAGGAGCCTAGTCGGCTGGAGGGCATGCTGAACGCCAAGCAAGTGGACCAATACAGCAAGCAGATCGATGGCTTCACCGCCAACGTCAGTGCCAAGATGTTCGCAGTCAGGGGCAACCTGATGCCTTCTACTCAGTGAGATCTCGTCGTTTGATGAGTAGAGCGGAGCAGAACGGAGCAGAACAGAGCAAAGCGAAAGGGCACATCACGTCATGATGGATATCTAGGAGAGATTGGGATTGTTAAAAAGTGGTCTGCATCTGGCCTGGCGTTTGGGGTTTCTGGTTGTGAAAGACTTGATCATGGTTCAAGCTCATGTCTTCATTTTGAGCTTGTTAGTGTATAGTCCTTCCATAGACTCATGAAGACTTGACTTCCTGTTGGGCCCAACGGCGCAATACCAAGTCATATAAAATATACTTGTCAATGTTAATGATGCTGCTGCTGCTGCTCCTGTCTGTCTTGCCCAACGGCGTGTTGAAGGTATACTGAGCCAGAAAAAGGAAAGGAAACGTTAGAAAAGAGAAGAGAAAGACAACGCAGAGATGTGGCCTTGGCACGCTTGCCAGAGATGACTTGACGTGTCGATCGTTTGCTTACCGGCTATACTCGGGGTCTCAACCATGCGTTGATTGATTGATTGATGGATGGATTAGTTGATTAATTGTGCAGCGAACCAGATACGAAGCCCGCTTGGAATGATTTCGAAGCATCAGTCAGATCGAGGCTTTCACTTGTGGAAAATGCAGTATCCGATCCTTTCTCTACCTTGAGCAGTAGCATTACCAATGTATTTGTTCGCAGGTGTCTTTGACCAACCTCTTCCAGTACAATCTTGCTGTGCATTATTACCAGTGGAGTGCCAGAGAGTCAGAGAGTGCATGTTCTCACGGAATTTCCAGTAGACTGAGTCTACTAGAATCAGGTGCCGAAGTCTTTGTAAGTGGGGCAATGGTGTGTTGTTGGAGGGGAACTCACCGATTTAGTTATCGATAGCATGGACGCCATACTTGAATGATACTAGTGCTTAGACCTGGGCAGCTCTACAGCCAATGACAGGTCCACATGCCCCTCGGTTGCTCAGGGACATGGCAAAGTCTGGCAACCTCGATGGAGGCCAAAAGTTCAAACTGGGGGCCCATCGACGCGAGGGGTAAAAATTTGAATCTATTGCCTTCAGGGTCCTGCTTATTATCATCCGACACTTCTTCCTCTCTCTTCCCGCCTCGTCTGTTACCTTGAACTCTTCATTACATTTTCCCAGCTTTCCGATCTTTCTTATAAAAAAAAAAGTAAAAGGGTCAGAGTAGATTGTAGGTGCCCAACTTCCGCTTCAAGCTGTGCATTTACATTCATTTCAATTGTTCAGCTACTGACAGTCAATCTTGCAGCCTTCCGGGGTTTTTCTTCTTCATTTTCACCCCGCACTTGATCCAATCGTTCAAGTTTCACCGCTTCATTCAGTGAGTCTCTACGCTTTTTTCCCCCTTTTCTTTTCTCTCCTATTTTCTTCTCTATCTTCAACTTCCCACTTTCTACCGTGTCCAACGGAGAATCAACCTCAAGAAAGGAAAGGACTAACAAGTGACCCAGAAATGTCTGCTCCTGCCGCCAAGTTCAAGGTCGCCGACCTGTCCCTTGCCGCTTTCGGCCGCAAGGAGATCGAGCTCGCCGAGAATGAGATGCCTGGTTTGATGGCCATCCGTCAGAAGTACGCCGAGGACCAGCCTCTCGCCGGTGCCCGTATCGCTGGTTGCTTGCACATGACCATCCAGACTGCCGTCCTCATCGAGACCTTGACTGCTCTCGGTGCTGAGGTCACCTGGACATCCTGCAACATCTTTTCTACACAAGACCACGCCGCCGCTGCCATTGCCGCTGCCGGTGTCCCCGTCTTCGCCTGGAAGGGTGAGACCGACGACGAGTACAACTGGTGCTTGGAGCAGCAGCTCTCCGCTTTCAAGGACGGCAAGAAGCTCAACCTCATCCTCGACGATGGTGGTGACTTGACCCACCTTGTCCACGACAAGTACCCCGAGCAGCTCAAGGACTGCTTCGGTGTCTCTGAGGAGACCACCACCGGTGTCCACCACTTGTACCGCATGCTCAAGAACCAGAAGCTCCTCGTCCCTGCCATCAACGTCAACGACTCCGTCACCAAGAGCAAGTTCGACAACCTCTACGGTTGCCGCGAGTCCCTCGTCGACGGTATCAAGCGTGCCACCGATGTCATGGTTGCTGGCAAGATCGCCGTCGTTGCCGGTTTCGGTGACGTCGGTAAGGGTTGCGCCCAGGCCCTCCACAGCATGGGTGCCCGTGTCATCATCACTGAGATCGACCCCATCAACGCTCTCCAGGCTGCTATGGCCGGTTACCAGGTCACTACCATGGAGAAGGCCTCCAAGATTGGTCAGATCTACGTTACCACTACTGGCTGCACTGACATCATTGTTGGCGAGCACTTCTCCAACATGCCCAACGACGCCATTGTCTGCAACATTGGTCACTTCGACTGCGAGATTGACGTTGCCTGGTTGAAGAAGAACGCCAAGAGCGTCTCCAACATCAAGCCCCAGGTCGACCGCTTCCTCATGCCTTCCGGCCGTCACATCATCCTCCTCGCCGAGGGCCGTCTCGTCAACTTGGGTTGTGCCACTGGCCACTCTTCCTTCGTCATGTCGTGCTCATTCGCCAACCAGGTCCTTGCCCAGATCATGCTGTTCAAGGCTGAGGACAAGGCTTTCGGCGAGAAGTACATTGCTTTCGCCAAGGCTGGCAAGCTCGACGTCGGTGTCTACGTCCTGCCCAAGATCCTCGATGAGGAGGTCGCCCGTCTCCACTTGGACCACTGCAACGTCGAACTCAGCACCCTCAGCCCCAAGCAGGGTGAATACCTCGGTCTCGAGGTCGAGGGTCCCTTCAAGGCTGACCACTACCGATACTAATTTTCGTGTACACCATCCATATCATGTCCACCCTCAACAAGGAGGACTGATATATCTTTCACGACCTGCAGTCTGCTGGGCTTCTCATAGATACCGGCAGGCTATGTTTCAACAATGCATACTGTCTGCGGCATAATCGGCATATAGGATAGGGGCTCAACTTTTGGGGAATCAAAAGTACGGATAAAGCTGGGTCACGATTTTCAACAAAACGGCGTTGACATGATGCATGATGATTCCCCTCATGGCGTTCTTTATTTGTGGTTTGGAAGCGAAAGATCTGATAATAAATCTGGTTAACCAGATAACAGCTTGTTTAGAAGCTGGTTTGGCCCTAATAGCCATGACCCTTCAACCGGGTCAGAAGATAAACAATAAAAAAGTTTATGAATGAGTAATTACTTCGTTTTTCTTCCTCATGTTGGCGTTGTTGTCTACCTGTAAAACTTTTCCAACCACGACAACTATGCCATCTAGCATGGGATATGCACTGAAGCACTGGACGAGTGATGGCGGTCTTCTAGGTGTACGTGTGGTACGTTTGTCGCCGAATTTGACCTGTCATTTACCTTCCATTTGCCTGTGCTTAATTTAATGATGCTGCGCAACGTCTATAGCCGGACCATCACCACTCAAAACCTGCACATGCGCCCCACCAACCTGAACAAAGTTCAAAGGGGAAGCTACGGATTCGTATATGTCGCATGTTTTAGATTCCAAAAAAAAAAAAAAAAAAAAAAAGAGCTCTTGTCCGGGCGGCTGGACTGTTGCAGCCAATTGTAGGCCTTTCCTGAGGAGAACTTGAGCAATATAACCGAAGCTAATTTTATCGCGATACGTAGTTTCAACGATCGCCTCGGGATGAACAAGATCGTTGATCATATTGGAGCCGTGACCCATGTGCCTCTTCATCTCCCAAGGCCGGCTAGCTGCAGATTGATCTGCTTCTCGTCCCTCACCAGTTTTTTGTCTTTCTTGAGCCAACATTTAACTCGAAAACTTCTCCCCTAAGCCTGCACCGAACTTTGAAGTGGTCCTTCGTAAAGATATCTGAACTACACCATCTATCCTATTTAACAGAATATTGGTTGCCGTGCTTCCTGCACTTATCCCCACTCGAAAAAAATATATCTATATACCCCGCGCCCCCGCGTTTTCGGTTCCAGCCGCAGCTTGGAACCAACCAAGTCCCAGTGGTGCCGCTTTCAGATTGCGGTCCATCACTCTGGGCTCAACTTTATTCATCATCACCAAGCGGACTATACCCAGTTGTAAAATTCAAGCTCGTCAGCTCGGCCTTAGTTTCACTTGCGCTGGAAAGAAGATTGTTTGTTATACGGCGAGTTCCAGGCCCGTTCGTTCATCACTGACTCTATATGAAAAGAGATTAGGCCCTGATCAGCTGAACTTACATTATAGCTCCTAGTGCTCCATCATCGTCCTCGCCCACGTCTCAGCTTTGCTTGGATCTGACAGGTTAACGTCCCTCCACGCTCTTATATATAACATTCTGTGGTCCGCGCGATCAGCCGTCATAGTATACTAGTCGTGATGAGTAAGCCCAAGGTCCTCTTGCTCGGGATCATAGAGCAGTAGGTACATATTCTCATAATCTATCGTTTCCCTCATATTCTCCTGAGAGCAGACGCCAGCGCTAGGCCCATTGTTCATAAGCATCCAAAAGATCATGTCTCGAGAGTTTCGAGACAACTCATTACATCAAGGGCTTCGCCTAGGTGTCTATCTTCTTCCAACATCCCACTCTCCACCTCTTACCGCCTCACCTCGAACCAAAGCCTCAACAAACTAACATCCACCCCCACCCACAAAGCGCCCACTTGACCTGGACCTCCCTATCCAGCATCGCAGACCTCATCACTCCAGCGTCCAAAGACCGCGCCTCATTCATCGCTGAGTGCCGCTCCGGCTCCCTCGACGGCACCACCGTGGCCTACCGGACCTTTGACTCGAGCTCCGTGACGGGACCCGTCGATGCGGAGCTCGTGTCGGCCCTGCCGTCGTCCCTGCGGTATATCTGCCACAACGGAGCCGGCTACGACAGCATCGACGTGCCCTCATGCACGGCGCGCGGTATCCGGGTCTCCAACGCCCCAAAGGCCGTCGACGACTCCACCGCCGATTTGGGCATCTGGCTCGTCCTGGGCGCGCTGCGCAACCTCAACACCTCCCTGCTCAGCCTCCGCAAGGGCCAGTGGCGCGGCCGCCCGGCCCCTGCGCTCGGCCACGATCCCCAGGGCAAGGTCCTGGGCATCCTCGGCATGGGGGGCATAGGCCGCAATATGGCGCGCAAGGCAGCGGTTTTCGGCATGACAGTTCTTTATCATAATCGGACTAGGCTCGGGGAGGAGATGGAGAGGGAGGTCGGGGTCGAGTATAGGGGTTTTGAGGAGTTGTTGAGGGAGTGTGATGTGTTGAGTTTGAATTTGCCGCTGAATGTGAGTGGTCTTGTTTTGATTTTATCATAAATCATTTCCCTTCCCCCCCTTTCTCGGATGAGTGGTGATACTGACGTGAGGTAGAATGCAACGAGACATACGATTTCGACGCCGCAGTTCGAGATGATGAAGCCGGGTGTGGTTATTGTCAACACGGCGAGGGGAGCCGTTATAGACGAAGCGGCCCTCGTTGCCGCGCTGGACTCGGGTCGTGTCGGTTCAGCAGGACTGGACGTGTTTGAGAATGAGCCAGAGGTGCACCCGGGTCTGCTGGCAAACGAGCGAGTGTTGATTGTCCCCCACATGGGCACCTACTCGGTCGAGACGCAAACCAAGATGGAAGAGTGGACCATCTCGAACGTCCGGATGGCATTGGAGCAGGGCAAGCTGAAAAGTATCGTGCCGGAGCAGAAGGACTTACAGGACTAGACGGTGGATAAATCGGAGTTTGGAGTAGATGCGAGTTGGAATTAGCGTGGAATTTGAAGATATATGGAGCAGTAGAGTTTGAACGAGCAACGAACCCTTCGATCGTGTACTAGGATTTCCTATAGAAGTATCACTATCACATAGTTCTATCCTCTTATATGATCAAGGGCTTATGGCATGCAAAAGCCATGCGATAGATGTCTAAAAGAGAAAGTGACCCGCGTATCAAGAGAGGTATTCAAAGTCATTACAACAATTCTTTAGCATCCCTATCAGTTCCTCATCCCACTCATTCTACAACAATACCAGACCTCTGAGATGATTTGAAGCATTAAACCGTTACGAATCGTTTGAGGTCGATGGAAGGCGGACTTTTCTTCGGAACAGTCGTCAAATCAACTCAATCTTTCCAACTCATCACACGATCCTTTCTATTATCTTGAGACCGTCTAAGCTAGGCGACATCTAGGCAGCTTTAACTATTTACAACGCAGTTTCATAATCAGCTCACTACTTGAAATGTACAAATTCAAATTATCGATTAAACTCGGATAAGTTCTCTTGACAACGACTTGCGTATAAACTTCGCTTTCCCTCCGCCTCAACAAACACCTTCCACCTTCCACCTTCTCGTCGTCATTCCATCTCCGAACAAGAATCTGATATTCTCCTCGCTTCTCATGTAACGCAAGGACAAATCTTTAACCGTATCATAACATTATCCTTGTCTAAAAGCCTGTATCGCAAGTGACCATACTGACACTCGGTTACGTTATTTCCCAAAGAGTAAGTATGACTGTAACTCGCTCACTTCAATGGACCTGCCCCCGTATTCTAAGCGTTTATCGCAGAGGTATACTGGTATCGACATATATCGATATCACTGTTGATCCGTTACACGCTCTCCTGCAAAAATTTCCCCATTAAACTGGCAGTCAATTCTTCCCTCTTGAACAATTAGCACAATTGTGCTTCCCTCATCTTAAGGGCCAAAGTGGCAGTGTTAGTTCTTCTACGTACATATACTTACGTATTCGCATTTTCGTAATCAAATGTGCTTAATCTCTATCACACCTATTGTTAATACACCTAGCAACTTGCATCTCGCAAAAAAGATTTATCCTAATGACTAGACGGAAATTTCAAGCGTTGATCAGCTTCTCGTTGAGGGTCCCGTCATTGGCTTTTCCAAGTGCATTTTGAGAGACAAGTATTCCACAAACTGCTGTGGCTCCGATGACAATATCATCAAACAAGAGGATATTCCCGAATTCAACGATGATTTGCGTCTCAAGAAGCTCCACCGGTGTAATACGTACGATGTCCGCGAATTCGTCGTCATACCACGTGGACCTAAATCTCATATTAATCGGTCCAGAAAATAGGACCACTGCAGCACACCCAGGAGCAGTAATAGGAGCGAGTAGGCGTTGCCATAGAACGAGCTGGGGTACCTAGGAGCGACATCCGATACTCGAGGACCGACGGGAATCTCCCGAGCGCTCCGAGTCATAAACCGAGGAAGCCGAGAACTTCTAACACCGCGCAGAGAAGATTGCTGTACCTCAAGGGCGGGAGTGTGGGCGATATGGACATCGTGCTGATTGTAGGGTGATTTACGCTCAAAAACAACGCGAAGTACTCTATATAAGGGTCCCGATTTGTTTGTGCAATTTGAATCATCTCGTGCTAGGCTATAAAGAACAATAGGATCATTTGGTACCATATTTGACGTGGCCTAGGACATTAATTGCGATGTACTGTCTAAGCCTATGTAACGCTTCCTTCTTCCGGTAATTGTGATGGAGACCTACACGACCAACCATTACATAACGAGGATCATGACCATAATTTCAAGCGCTGGAAGAACTGTTTAGTTGCTTGGCTACATTCTTTCTAAAATGACGACATGCTCTGAATTGACAGGTAAGAACTCTGAGTTGTTCTCATCTCGTAACTACGGCACGTCGCGACATGCCTTCGAGCCGTGATAGTAACGACGTCGGAATCACAACTATGACAGCCAGGAACATAAGCCCAGATTGCTACGCATCAATCCACAGACCCTGTGCCAGACTTGGAAATATGCATTCAAGCAGAACCATTCATCTACCTCATTACCTCTGTAAAACGACCTAGTACCCCAGGTATTTAGTCATCTTGGGTTCCGCATACCACGGTCAGTGATATATTATTTGAATCGAGCAGGTTATCCTAACTGATAAGTGATGATAAGGCTGTACTATGATTTTTAATAAAAAATCTATTCTCTACCACCATAAATACGCACAAAAATAGCTGCGACGAAGGGGAGTCAAACCCCTGTCCTAGGCTTGGGAAGCACAGATGCTAACCGTTACACCACCGTCGCTATTGACATCTCGGGAACTATTTTGGGATCTCACAATTTCGATTAGGACGGTTTGTTGAACGACCGCATGACGATTGACTAGTAGCTCGCGTGTCCCAAATACAGTTGCAAACATGTTTGCATTCTCTTCAAAACCAATCTATCGGTAGTGGATTTGTCTAGCTTGAGACAGGTAAGAAAAGACAAATTAAGAAGCGCACATTACTTATGAATTATGTATCGCGAGTTTATGTTGACCAGGGCATCTGAAGTAGGCCTCAGTATTTGGTCTTAGAGCCGCAGGTATAGGCCTGATGAGCAATCGGCCAACAAGGGAAAAATGTATATACAAGAAAAGGCCTCCGTAAAGTTGCTTGGATTCGTAAATAATGCTACGGGAACTAGAATACCTAGGTATCGGCACATGATCAGACCCCTATAATGAGCAGGGGTACCTTACCATGCGCTTATATAATATTACACCCGTTTGTATATCTGTTTTTGCATCGCCTGCCATTAACTGTATAACGCTTGTGCAATTTCAAAACTATATTACATCGACGGGTCTATCAACTTGGCGTGAGCCACGGGCAATCTATAAAAACGCTGGTCCCTCACAATGCATCTAAGGAAAAGTCTCATCCTCGGCATCTTTCCCCCTCGTCAACCACACCTTCGAGACCTCATACATTCCCAGGTATAGTCCACTCCCTACAGCTGTCCACACAGCTCTCAGCACCGACCCCCTGAATAGTCCAGGCACACCTCTCTCCTTAATAACCTGACGCGCGACCGCAAGCCCGTTCTGATTCCTGTTCGTCGTCTCAGCCTTTGACTTTCCCTGTCCATCACGCGCAACGCTGCCTCCGTCCTGCTCGCCGCCCGCCATCAGCATCATCCTAGTCTTAACCACATCCATGGGGGTCGTGACCACGGCCGCGAAGCTGCCCGCCAACCCGGCGCTCGTGCCGGTGATGACGCCCGTCTCCAACAAGCCCCGCTTCTCTCTCGCGCCATAGCCCGCGCCGTCGCTCCCCGTGCCCTCCCTGCGCCGCCATATGCGCGTGCGCGCATACTCGAAGATGGGGAACTGGATGGCGGTGAACGGCAGGTTGCGGGCCACCATGGCCGTGTAGCCGCTGAGCAGCTTGTGGGCGACGCCGCGGCCGGCGGTGAGGTGGCCGAGGGCCTGGAGGCTGGTGGACTTGGCGGGCCCGGCGCGGCCGGACAGCATCTGGGCGTTCTGCTTGACGACCTCGGCGGGGGTCAGGACGACGCAGCTCGCGCACTCGGCGAGGGCCGACGCCGCCGAGTGCACGAGCGGCTGCGGCAGGCCGTAGCGGTCCCGCGCGTGCCGGCCCAGGAAGCCCTTGGCCGCCTCGTACACACTGAAGAAGGTCCCCGCCGCGGGCAGCGTGGCCACGATCACGATCCCGATGCCCTGGTAGAGGCCGCGGAAGAGCTGCGGCGACGGGGCCTTGGTGGGCTTGGCGGGGTCCGCGAAGGTCTTGAGGAAGTCCTGCGACTGCTTGCGCGTCTTCAGCGTGTCTAGGGGGTAGATGAGCAGGTCCACCGTGAAGGCTGCTGCTGCGCCGGCCTTTGTGGAAGGGAGGGAGGTTAGTAAAGACCGATTCAGTGTGCGAGGAATATGACTGTGAGTAGAAGATGCGTCGCTTCACCTCCCCTGTGAATCCACAAGAGTTATACATCCATGGTGGAGGGGACTTCGTTTTGGTTTTGGAGTTTCCCCCGTAGTCGCGAGTGATAACGATAGAGAAGACTTACGAGCAGGACATCCCGATTTGAGCTACCGCTCATTGCAGATCATCTGTTCTGTCTGTTTCGGCGAGGGTTGTAGAATGGAAATTGGTGTTTCGTTTGTCCTATAGCGAAAATCCTCCTAATTGCTCCTTCTATGTCAGCTTATGGGAACAGTTGGGCGGCAGTCAGTCGTTGGTTCATACTCCGTAAAGATAATCGGATAGTGCCAAGTACACACGCCCAATTGTGCATGACGACATTGGTACGATAGTGGGTTATGGCGATAAGTTGTGTTGCGGAGATGGTTCTGCTTTGATTTTAGTGGGTGGGACCCCCTAAAAATGCCAAGGGCTGTCATGGAGTATGTGTGTAGTCCAGCTGTCTCGTGGGGACAAGAGTACTTAAGTACAAGGAGTATATGTACCTTTCATGGTTTTAGAGGTGTTGCATAGCTGAATAAAGTTTGTGTCACTTGTTATACTCCCGGTTAGGAGTTATACTACATAAAAGTCACAGCTGCATGCCTAAAATGCCTGGAAAGTCGAAAACCCGTGTTCTTCGCAAGCTATTCACTTCGTGACATGTGGGAGGCAACACAAGAAGCAACAAAAGCAGAGCCAAAGGGCCATGCCGCACAGGAAACAAATGCGACTCAAGAAAAGAAAATATTACTTCTATATCGCAAGCACCAACGCGCTCACGCTCCCTAGAGTTACGTACAAGAAGCAGTCGGATATAATGCCACCTGGACTCCATCCCCTTTACTTTTCATTAGACATAAATCTGCAACCTCCCATACCTATACTGAGAACTGCCCGCTGACACCTAGCCGTCGGTCCCACTGCTCCTGAAAGTGTGGCACAACGCGGCGTAATGATGCGTCAGGTCCAACACGCTCTGATTCAGACTTGTGGCCTGAATGATACTCCTCACCTTGACCGCACCTTCGTCTTCTATCAGGGTGCGGATAGTGTAGAGTAGTTCCGGGGAGAACTCGCTGTACCAGCGGTATTGCCATGCGACCAGACGGATGACGCTGGCGATCGTTTCTCTCGTGTTCTTCTGCTTTTCGAAGACGCGGAGAATACCGGATAGGGCCTTGGGGCTGAAGCGTTGGGACAAACATGCGCGGTATGCCTCCACGGCTTCCTCGTGATGTTGCAGGCGTTCGGCCAGGGAGCCAAGGATCTCCCATTCCTCGGCGGATTTCTTATATTGCATAGATTGGGCGCGGTACTGTGCCATCTGTGTGCGCCAGATGGTGTAGACGCGCAAGTCTTCGTAGAGCACCATGAAAAGACTATCGAGCCAGCGCTCACAAAGTCGCTTATTGTTGAGCCGGGACAAGTGTTGCTCAGTCGTTGCCGTCTGTGGCAGCGTTAGCAATCCGGATAACATCGAGGCAGCAGGTTTTCAACTTACATTGTTAGGGTCCGACTGAGCGGCATCGGACTTGACTTCGCCTGGGTCAATGGCGTGCTCTGGCTTCTCGACACCGGGGGCCTCCTTGCCGTTCGTCAACGGCGGCGCAGTGGAGTCGGCATCTTCAGCTTTGGGTGGCTTGTCTCCGTTTTCGTGGTCCGATTGCTCGCCGTTGGTGGGCTCAGGAGACCCGCGCAAGCCATCGATACTGGGGTTACGATCTGCCGGCGCAGCCGAAGGGGCGTCTTGTCGCTCAGTCCTGTACTCATCCTCCATAACGAAGACGTTGCTTCGGATCTTGAGCAGCTGATCCCAGCCAATCTTTGCCGTCATCTCGGTCAGGATGGCATATGCCTGCTTGAAAGTGCCTTTGTAGGCAGCAGCCCTGAGGTTGAGCAGGCTGGAATCCACTTGCTCGTACTGACGCGATTCGGGCTCGCTGTCGATCTCGTCTAGTCGTGTCTCTGCGAGAGTGGGCAGGTAAACGTCCTTGGGTTCAGGCATCAAAGGTGCATCCTTGTCCTGGTAGGTGAACATGGGACACGAGTTCAGGATGGTCAGAGCATTTTCCCAGTCCTCTTTGGCAACATAGATCTGAGCCAGTCTTGCCCAGGTGCCGAACTCGCTGGGGGCGGCAATGGTGCTGCGATCGGCACAGCCCAGAGCCATGTTGAGGCGCTCCTCCTTTTGTTCAGCGGTGCCAGCGGTCACCGCCTTCTTCATGAGGAAATCGGCCTGGGTGTCGAGCATGACATAGTCCATGGGGGATTCCTTCAGGGCCTCATACAATATGCGGACTCCTTGGACTTCCTCGTTGCCCATGAAGAGGACCTTGGCCAGTAGCGAAGAGACCTCGACGTTTTGTGAGCGCAGCTTCTCGAAGAGGTTTATGGCCGAGGCGAAGCGACCGGTGGTGTGGAAGTATTTGAGCAGTCCCGCAGTGAGGTGGTTGGAGACGTTGTTGGGGACCTGGACGACGGAATCTGAGCCTACCTGCCAGCCCCTGAAGAACAGGTTCTCGGCGGCGCTGAGGAATCGGTGCTCGGTCTCGGTGTTGGTGACGGGGTTGAAGCGGCGGACGCCCATGATCTTACGAATGGTGTCGCCGCTGCCGTCGTCTGCATACGAGTAGGCCCGTAGGACACTGCACAGGTAGGTCTCGAGCCACAGCTCCTCGGTGGCCTTGCGCTTCTCGCCCCGCTCGTCGACGCAGTAGCTCTCGACGGTTCCGGGGATGGTGACGTGCACGCGCATGTCGAGGCGGGAGAAGGCATTGTAGCAGCTGTAGATGCCCTCGGTGATCTTGTTGCCGGCGGTGGGACCCTGCTCCTTGTTGTACGTCAAAGTGTTGATGTAGGCGGCCAAGCTGGCGGAAGAGGAAGCATCTACGCCGGTGACATGGTGGTAAACGCCGATGTGGCGGGCTGGGTTGCTGCGGTTCTGCTTGAGAAGGTGGACAAGATCTGGGGGGCCCAGCTCGCGCAGGGAAACGAGGCACTCGGTTCGGGCATCAATTGACTCGTGGAGGACGTCTTCCGTGATCCTGCGGGTGTCATGACATGAGCTGAGTTCACAATATGTATGCACCATGTATGCGACCAGTGTCGGACAAACTTACTCTGGCACTGCTGGCGCAGGCATGGTGAGGTTGGCAGCAAGTGAAGCAACAGGGGTAGCTCAGGAGGTTTGTTTCGTGGACGGGGTTTCAATAACGCTGTACTGGATTGGACTGGACCGTGTGGGAAACGGCGATGGAAGACAGGTGCAGAAGAGATCCGGGGCCGACCATTCAGTGACGGAGTTTTGGGTTGTCCCTGGTGAATTAATTGTCGTTTGAGTACGATATCGATATCGAACCGTGTCCAACGTGTCCCAGATTCTCGTCGAAGCGGCGCCAAGTGCCTGGACTAGTGACGGGGACTGGGACTGGGATTGGGACTGGGCCTTGGGCTTAGCTTAATAGGATGACGCTCTCTCTCTCCCTCTCTCTCTCTCTCTGTGTTCAGTCTCAATTGTTTCAGCCTAGACTAACCTTTGCAGCACACCAACGGTACACAACTTAGTACGCAGACCTCGTTTCCTCTGCGGGTACAGCTCGCTGGGAGATTACTTACAGCAGATCTAATTTCGAATTCTATCCAAAAGGGCACAGATACCGACAGTGGAGCTTCAGCCACCTGGAGCCTGGAGCCTGGCCCGCTCAACGATCGTCGCCCTTCAGCCCTTATAGATCTGTACCTCTGTAGGTACACACCTGACCTAGCTGGCACTGATAGTGATTGTTGCGGTCTGGTGCTGCAGCTGGAGTCGCAGCCTTGCAGCGCACTACCACTCCGCATGTACTTGGCTCCGTGCACCAGCGACCAGTTATCAGTGAGCTTTTATCCATCACTTCGGCATTCGTCCAAGCCTTGCCATGTAGTTAAGCTCCAATGCTAGCGCAGCCCAAAAAGCGCTGTCCAGTGGTACTTAGTAAGGTTAGTAATTAAGCTGTCGCGTCTCAAGCCAGGAAGCCACGCGACAGCGACAGCAGCAAATCGAAATTCTAGTTAGTCTGCGGTTAGTCTTGACTAAAGTTAGCTGTATCTTCCCCAGCTTCCCTCAAACACCCCGATTCGTTACATGCAACCTGTGGGAAAGGTTGCGCCTGCAATTCACTTCTTTTCATTGTCTCTCAACTTGGATTTCTGGTAATTACTGGCGCATCTCTTGTTTGATATTGCCTTGTCTTCCATTCCTTCACTCGTTGCCTCGTAATTCATCCATGGCCACCGACACCCCCGATGGCGAGCTTTAACCCGCATCTCACCAACTTGCGCCCTCGATGATATTGTTGTCGTGCCCTTGCCAGCTACCTGTGTTACCACTCGGGACTGACACAATACTACTTCTGACCAATCGCCATAATGGTAAGTCCACACGAGTCCCGTTCTGCTCAGTCTTCTGACACACCGAAAGCCTGCATTCACAGCTCTCAACGTTGAGCCCGAAGAGAACATCGACGATGAGGTCGATACCACCCGCGAGATTCATATCGAAGAAGCCCTGAAGCGCTATCAAACAGCATTGAAACTCCATGCTCAGGGCCCCAGACACTACCGAGAAGCCCAAGAAGCGTACCACTCGCTCTTCGATTCAGAGATCTTTCGCTATCCTGATGCCACTACCGATTTCGAGCGCGCTGAGGAGCACGATGATCCTCGACATATCCATGCCGACGCCCCCCTGGCACATGCCTTCGAACTTGCACACGCCGAAGTTGGCGAGACTGGGAGCAGTTTGCCACAGGTTCTCTATCTTGCATACAAGAACCATGGCCAATTTCTGCTGGACGGCATCAAACATCAAGCAAAAGCCGACGGACAGGCAGTCTTCGATCAAGACGACACTCTCCAGAAGGCCCGCAAAGCCTTGGAGAATTTCGCCATCGCTCTCGATCACGATCCCTCAGATGCCGATCTATGGAGGCGGGCTGCACGGGTTGCCGCCTTTCTCGAGAGCACGAGAACCAGCAGGTACTGCCTGGAAGCCGCCATTGAGCTGGACGACGATCCCGCAGTGGAAGAGGTCGAACCGCCTTCCTTGGCAGAAGGCTTCGCGGGTGAACAACTCAAGGACCAGTTGGACGTTCTCGGCGATCATGTTGCCAAGTCGCACCCTATTCTGGCTCCATACTTCAAAAGAGACATGCCTGCGGCTCTCAAGAAGTACCTGGATCCTATTTCCTATCTTCCAAACCCGACAAAGTCGCTCGCCACACCTCATGGCGGACCATGGCCTGCCGTGCGCCATGTTGTGCCAACACCGTTACCAGTCCTCGGGTCTTCTTGGGCAGAGCTGGGCATGTCACTTGTGCACGCATTGGCTGCGACGGGCGGGGGTGCCAAGGCCATGCTGATAGAGCTGCCCGGCATTGCTGAGAGTCCAGTAGCCGCCGAGCAGGTACTTCTCGAGAGGTCCCGCCCAACAGAAGCTGCCGACGGTGCTACATCTCAGGACGAAGTTGTTGACCCTGCGGCTCACACCTCTCCTCAGGAACATGCCGTTGAATCTCCTGTCGACACCAAAACTGAAGCGCCCATGACAGTCGAGAAAACGGAGCGCAGCGAATCCGTCCTTTCGAGAAAGAGGTCCCATTCGGTTGCAGGCATTCCTGAAGCTGAGGGTGAGGAGATGGTAGAGAAGCGGAGCAAAAGGACCCGACGAAGAGAAACCGGCTTCGAAGATACCACCGATGCGCAAATACACTACGCAACCCAACTGGAACCTTTTCAGGCCGCCGACAAGCACCTCTTTCAGACGACCAGGAACATGGCGGAAACCCTCGGTGTGACCGACAGCGGGACACTGCAATATATTGCCGAGATGATCGAGCTTTCTGGTCTGGAGACTAGGACGTCCAGGCTTACCCAGCCGCCCATGATAGACCTTCGGGATGCCCTTCAGAACTTTGACGAAGACATAGCGAGGATTCTTTTGAGCAAACACGAGACAGCTTCTATAGGCTTTTCATCTTTTCTTGAGCATGCCAAGCCTGGCACTCAACTCAAAACCGAAACGCTGCCATTTGACGAGACAAAGAACTTGAAATCTTTCGCCAAGTTAGCCAATGGTCGCGGAATGGGACTGGCAGACATTGCGTTCGAATGGGTCCGATCTGTCGTTCAAACATATGCAGAGTCGAAGTGGTCAGATCCGATGAAGACAGCCGTGGTACAAGTTATTAGCCACCTAGATGAAGAAATCTACAGTCGGACGGTTTACGAGATTGAAGCTTGTACCCAGCAAGACGATACCGACGAGTACCTAGAGTCTCTTGACCACATGATCCAGACCCTTTTCGAGCTTCACCTCGATGTATACGAAAGGATCACCAACCCAAACAGTGCCGTTGATTTCGGTATCCGTGTCGAGGTCAAAGGGAGACTAGGCAGATGGTTCTCTCTTGCATCGCAAATGAGCCGGGATCGACCTACCACATTCGACAAGTCCTTATCGGTCAGGTTTCTGTGGGCAGCTGTATTTGTCATTACTCTCACTGAAGGGGTCACCCGAGAGCACGTGCTCCAGTGCTGGCAGAGCCTTCGTGAAGCCCTCGCGTCCGAGTTTGAGGGCGTCGCCTTGGCGTTGCCAAACAATGCCATCATGCCAGAAATCTCCATATTTGCTGCAGACCGAGAGATTAGCAAGCTTACAACTATGGACTTTTTCTTAGGCTTGTTCCAAGATGATCTAAGCGACCCCATCGGAGTCATCGACAGCCTGGAACCAGTGCTTAACCCTTCCGCTGTCTGTGCCAAGACAGACACACCACGATCATCTAGCTCACCTACCCCGAGCGAGCAATTGAGATCGGCTTCACCTGAACGTGAAGTGCCACAATCAAAGCCAATTACTGACACTGCTAGCCAAGGTCTGCTTGATCTTTGGAAATTCTTATTGGGGGCTAGCACAGAACTGCGTCTTTTCCTATGGAATCGGCTTGGAGAAGCATATCAGGCCATTCAGTACCCCACCAAGGTTTTCTCATGCAATCTGAAGGCTATTGAGATGGTTGTGAGCGATTTCGAGCGCGATCCTTACCTCAGCATGCCGATCGAAGACAGGAGACCTCTTTTCTTCAAGATGTTGAAATTCATTGATGATCTGCTTGTCAAATCTCTCTCAATAGCGCTGAATGATACTAGCGCCTTTGATATTATAGACGATGGCCATCTGCAATCCAGTATCGCAGCACTGGTCAAGCTCGCTTGTATCTTGCATACAGCCCCTATGTTCGAAGACGAAGTACGTGTTGGAATGACCTCCGCACCTTCTAACAATGCGACTTTCTCGTCTTTTTTCAACAAGATTCGAGAGTTGCAAGTTAGGAATTGGTCACTGCTGTATACTCTACTGAAAACTTGTATACTGCAGGCCAACTCCGCTTTTGCCACCCCCGAAGCCGATTTGGCTGATTATCTCGCCGCAGTGCATCAGGTACTTGGTGTTAGGAAGTGTTGCAAGGCTTCAAACAAGATTTTCCTCAAGATGATGCGGCTGGAATTTCTCAAACATAATCTGATTGATAATTGGGAAGACTACATGGGGCAAGTGTTGTATGATCTCTACGGTCTCAAGGGCATTGGCGTGTGGGAAGTGCAAGATCATGGATGTGAGGCCGAGAAACTCGAGAGGCGCAACACGATAAACCTGGTCGAGAAAGTTTCCGCACTGGCAAATGGCATGCCGATGAAGGATCTGCTCAAGTCGGACCTGAAAACGACCATCGAAACTATGCAACAAGCGATTGGGCAGACCAAGAGTAACCAGCAGACTATTCACAATCTCAGGAACTTCACAGAGTTTTTGAGAAAGCCTATTCATCCACTCCGACTATACCAGGCGTTGAAGGGCAATGTCACCATCGATGCAGTCGCTGTCACAACCCCAGACAGTGTCCTGGCCAATCATCAGTGGTTTTTCCTTCTAGGCATGATTGCATTCACCAAGTTCAAAGGAGTTGATCTCAATCGAAGACAAACTCCAGGCGCTACTGACGACCTACGCATGGGTGCAACATTCCTTAGGCAACAACTGCAGTTCACACCAGATCAGTGGAATGCCTGGTTCAGATTGGCCGAGTGCTTCGACTACGAGCTGGATGAATCTGTTCTGTGGTCGGCCGACAAGATGAACAAAGAACGAGCGGAATTAGTGAAATACCAGCGGAATGCTATTCACTGTTATGCCCTGGCGCTGTCAAACTCCCGGCGAGCTGGGCCCGACTTTGACGGAGATGCACTGGAGGCGATCCATGAATTATACCACAAGTTCGCCATGCGCATGTACGCATCGAGTCGTAAACCGTTTGAGATGGAGCCGTTCGAGCATGCCGATCAAGAACGGTTCTTTATACAAAACATGGGAGCTGGAACGTTCAAGCGCAAGATACACGAAGAGATGGAAGACTACAAGGTCTGGAAGTACGCTGCAACATTGTTTAAGAAAGCCATGGCGGTCAAACCCAAGTACTGGAAGTAAGTGCTACAACATTGAAAAGTCGCGATATGGTACTAAATCAGGACAGGAACTCCTACATGTACGCGAAATGCATTTGGAAGATGTACAACAAGACGTACACGTCGCTTGATCACAAAGATAGGCAAAATCGTCCAATGATTGAGGATGTTGTATCAGCTTTGGAGAAGTCTGTCGAGGTTGTGGCTGCGTTGCCGAAACCACGGTCTGGCGAATACATTCTGGAGCCACACTACAAAATCATTTCTGTTGTGCATAAACTTGTCATCTGCGGCCATTTGCAACCACATGAGGGTGCAGACATTCTGCAACGACAACCATTCGCTACCAGGAAAGGATCAGAAGTAGAAGTGAAAACACTTCAAGAATGGGGACCGTATGTCATCGAGTCCTTGCAGCATATACGTGAAAAGGATAAGTCCAACTGGCAGCATCGCATAATCATGCGCCACGCCAGAATTCTATTCGATGAGACCGCAGAGGAACCCGATCATACTCAAGCAACGGCAGCCTTCAGTGTCCTCCAGAAGTCCATGTTCACGAAGACCATGGTAATGAATGTATGGAAGTGCGATGCCGAACGACCCGGCCGCCATCACGTTTATACGGAACAATACGTGCGATTCATGGTCAAAATCCTAATTGTACTCAAGGATCGGGTTAATTTTGAGAGTCTGCTACGACGTATACGCAAGAAGGGTGCAGACTTTTATCACTTCAACGATCTTTGGCAGACATGCTGCGTGTCATATCTTCGGCTGATACGTGCTCATTTCGAGATCGAGCCCGTCCTTGAGGATGTGTATAAGAATGTGTCGCTGGAGGAGTTCGAGATTGTTTCGGAGCGCATCAATGAGTGGTCAATTGATTCTGCAGCTGGCGAAACCTCTGCACTAGGCGGTCTCAAGGAGGCTATTGAACTGAAGAAGCTCAACTCCGGTCTCATGAAGGCTGGAGCTATAGATGATCTCATCACGGACTGTTACACCGCCCTCTACATGCAGATTGGGAAGTCATTACCCGGCCCTTCGCCCGAATCACTTATACAGGAGCGTGCAGAAGCCAAAGCGCGTGACGAAGAAAAACAAATGCGAGATAGCCCTGAAAAGCCCGGCAATTCTTTCAGCATGCTGCTAAATCCACAATCTGAGGCCAACTCTGGCACCGAGGCTGGACCTGCAGCTCCAGCTCAAGAAGGAGTGGTTCGTCAACGCCGTATCGGGATCAGGAAGCCCGATCTTCTGCGTAAGGCGGAACAGGCTGTAACACGCAGCATCGATGGACCAAGCAAAGCTATCGGCTCCAAGTCGCTGCGAGGGTCCGTCTCTAGTGGAAGAACGAGAGGCAGCAAGACACCGGTTGGGGAGGATGGCAGGGATGGCGACGCGGAGATGGGCGAGGGCGCCGGCGATGATAGCAGTGCACCTGGTAGTATACATGACTCTGCGGACGACGAAAGCGACCTCAGCGATGTTCCGGCTTCCGAGTTACTGGACGAAGAGGAGGCTGCGCTCATGTTTCCTGGCCTGGCCAGACGCAGTGTCGATCAAGAACTTGAAGAGGAAGATCACGATGAGAGTGGAGAGGAAGGCGGAGATGAACAAGACGAGTCAGATCTGGAGGAAGAGGAAGAACTAGAGGATGGTGAGAATGAAGGCGACGAGACCATCGAGCACGAAGAAGAAGAATTGGTCGACAACGAGGATGGCGAGCCAGAAGAAGACGACATTATGGACGACACAGAAGTCGTCGGCGACCATGATCAAGTCGAGGAAGGTGTCAAACACGAGGGTGAGCTACAAGATGCAGATGATTTGGACATGGACGAAGAAGAAGAGGAACAAGAAGAGGAGGAGCAAGACGAAGAGGAGCAAGAAGAGGAGGAGGAGCAGGAAGAGGAGGAGGAAGAGGAGGAGGAAGAGGAGGAGGGAGAGGAGGAGGGAGAGGAGGAAGAGGAGGAGGATGAAGAGGAGGAGGGCGAAGAGGTCATTGGGGATGCTATCGAAGCCGAACCTCTTCGGCGGTAGCTTGAGCGATGAAGTTAACCCCAGTATACCCGGCCTCAAGTACTTAAATGATTTGCTAGCAGCGTAGCGTTCAATATGGCGCCCATGAATCGAAGCATTCAGAACTTCGGATTTACTTTACATGACTTGAGCAGAATTGATTGCACAATTTACATGTGATGATTTGTAGACGTTTTAAAATGCACATTCGTTTAGGAGACAAGGCTATGGTCACCTGGCAAGGCCGCTACGATCGGATTTCGCCAGCGTCAAACTGCCATCAAATCCCCTAGTTACAGGCGCTGACACTACAGTTCGCCGGCGACTATGTAAGCCTTGGCATCAAGTTCCCCTACAGTAGCGCCGCCCTCCAATTCCCACGGGCGCTAAAGTTAGGCTTTTATAGGCGCTCCATCCTACTGTTCTATTCTAGCCCCACTTGAGGTAACTCCACCGAAACATGTGTATAGACTAATTAGTATAGATGGTGCAAACTCTATCCAGCCAAGCACTGCCCGGCCACTGCTAGGCTTGGTCTTCTACTAGGGAGACCTAAGCTTGGCTCAGCCTGAGCGACGCGTGTTTTCCCTTTGAGCAACGTCTGACTGCTTCAGCATGGAAGGTAAAGCCATCGACCGAAGTAGTGGAGTATGACCAACTAGGTCTCCATCTAAAAGTTGCTGGGCATCAATGGAAAATCGGATTGTGTGGCGAGTTTGTTAAGGGGATTCAGTGTTTATGTCCAGCATGTAGGGTCTTCAGTACTAAGAATAAAGCAGTTCGTCATCCTGAATGCACCAACTTGCCTCGCTTACTATCACGGGCTTCCTCTGCCCCCCGGTGCCGTTCCGATCCATATATTCCATTTGAGCAGTGTTCCAGATGTCAGGTAATTCCATACTTTTAAATCGAGTTTCCTTCTGCTTGGTGACCACCGTGCGCACGATGTCGCGATGAACTCGTCCGTGGCCCCTGAGCTCGTCTGGTATTGTGAGATGGAATGAAAATGAGCGCGTCTTGCCTTTCTTCACGGTTATCATAGCGTCATGCGTCGGGAAGAGTTGCGCGACATCGAACCCAGCGCCGAGACTTATGACGGCGACGTGTAGGTCCTCATCCTCATAATTCTCAAATGTGTACTTCACTTTCTGCATCTCCGGATACGGATCCCCACCGCTTTCGTTACCCACAGGACTCAGTGATGCTTTGAAGTTCAGATGTTCCTCGCTCCTGAGCCTGCGCAACTGGTCATACCGGAGCAGATGGGCTAGGGTAATAGCACACCCGACAGGCTGTTTGTAAGTCAGGCTCAGCCCGCGCACAGGGCTCTCATGGTTGGTGAAGGACACCGGCGCGAGGACCTCGATTTCGCCGCCTGCCCTCCTTGCCAGCGTGAACCCGCCGCTCACGGCTTGTTCCGTGACGCGAACCTCGCTGCCCGCGATTCTTCTCTGCAATGCTTCAGAGAATCTCTCTCGGAACCTGTCCGAGAAGGCCGGCCCAACGGATATATGAGCTGGCGTGGTCATGCGCCACCGGGAAGACAAAATATCTATGCTCTGGAGTCCGGCACTGGACATTCCTTGCGGCAATTTGGCTTTGCTTTCGAAGTCGTCGACGCTGGAGATCGAAAGGGTAAAATCGGGTGTCACCGAGCGCGTCGTGAACTCAGCACCCACAGTAACACCGTGGATCTTTCCAATCGGAAGAATAACACTATTTGATTTGACCTCAGCCCAGATTGGTGTCGCAGAGAAGAGTTCTCTGTCTCTCAGGAACGCCAGCCTGTCTTGGCCAAAGACCTCAGGTTTCTGTGGTGAAATGACTCGTGCGATATAGTCCCGGATGGTTCTATATGTGGAGACGGTCGCGTCTGGCTGCTCCTTGAAGAATTTCGACAGCGTGGCCGTAAATACCCCGTTTATCTGGCCATCTATCATCTTTTCTGTCGCGGTTTTGTCCGTCTGACAGGCAGCCATCAACGTGAACCCTGTGGGATTGATATCCCATGACTCAGGAAGCTGCGCCTTGCGCATGTCCTGTGCCTCCTCGAGGTCTGACGATTCAGGCTCAGGCTCGATGCCATCCTCATCACCCGGAAGGTTGTGAGGCGACCAGTCTTTTGGACTGCGGATGTCGCCGTCGTTCCTCCATGCGCCAGCCGAGTGGCAGCTGTCCAGGGTCACAATGACCTGGACCTTCCGGTTGTGGATTTTTCTCAGCCATTTGTTCAGCTCCCACCCGCGCACAGCGCGTTTACCGCAGCAGTAGTCTGTGGTCATGAGGGAGGGATCCTTGTCGCGCCCGACAGGCGATCCAGGGATCCGTGGGAGCAAGGCGCCGTGACCCGAGAAGTGAAAGAAGAATATGTCTCCGGGTCGGGCACGGTCGATCACACTGTCGAACTCCCTTTTGATGTTGACAAAGGTAGGCCAGCGGTCGTCTGGTTCTTTGGGGTTCTTGCTGTTGTATTGGGACGGTGAACACGTAAGAATGCGTTCTTCATACGGCTTAAAGTGGGTTTGAAGAAATCCGTGGATGAGCTTGACATCGTTAACACACCCTTGCAGGCTGTTTAAAGACACAGCACCATTGCCTGTGGACCCTCTCGATCCATCGGCCTGGTACAAATCAACTCCGACCAGGAGGGCAAATAGTCTTGGCGAGTTTGATGTATTCATAATGGATGACGTGAACGGCTGGTTGTCGTTGGAGCTTTGATAAGGTAGTGCCGGCCGTTTGACTTATATACCTCCGCTACTATAGAAGCCATTGAGATGAGGCTATGTCCAGGCTCCAAATGATGGCCAACGAGTCACCTGATAACCATGAAGACAAAAATGCTTTGCATGTAATGTCAGCTTTACTATTGGCTCAGTGAGGGGATCGGCACGATTGCGGAAGGCGAACCGAGGCTTTTTATGCATCATGAAGTTTACGGCTGATAAACCAAGCCCCAGGCATTTTATCGTTGCTCGGTAGGCACTACGCGCGGAGGCGACCAAGGATGGAAGAATAAGCAATGTAGAAGGCTGAATGCCTGCCCAGTCCTGTAGTATTGGAAGGGTAGCGTATCTGACAGGCCAACGAACTGGTTTTTGGAGTCTGCCCCGCCCACATCCGCGACCGATAGGCGACAGCGACCCTGTCAGTGTATGCAAGGTATCTTCATTACAATGAGTCCAGAACTGGCGTTGGCCCCGCGTCTGTTGCGCATCATGTGCTGGTTTTGGAGAGGCATTCCTCAGCAGTTCCTCTTGCGCCCCCTCGCACAATCTCATAAGTACGTCCGCTGTCAGATTACCCCATAGCACTTGACCTAAACCAGACAGGTTCCAAGGTTAGGCACTTATGTATGCAAGTTGGGAGTCGCTAGGGATCTTTGCCTCTCCCTATATTATCGTTACATTGGTTCGCACCCCATGTACATATGTCTTCCTCTGTTACGTGCTGCCACATGTCTATGCGCCCAATATAAATGACGGTGTAATAGTTGTTGTCGGTATGTAACTACCTCTACATACCTCCAGTTGGCTTGGGACGTACTTTAATTGACTTCCGAGCTTATCCGCACGCTAGTACACTATATTGGCCTATCTTCAAGATTACTCGAATGTTGATTATTTCCCTATCCCAATTGTCTTGAATGCGCGAGGTTTCCTGCGAAAGGAGACATCTATATTCTTCTGATCCTACTATTTCAAACTTCTCCATGAGATGTTACATCGTTCAAAGCGCTTATTGTGGTCGATACTGACTAGTATAGCAACACAATGTCTGGTTCCGACGACGCGATTCAGGAGGCTAGAATCGCCCTTGTGATCTTGCCAAAAGATCACCCAGATCGTGCAGGATGGCTCAATAACCTAGCCATTGAGCTAGCTCAAGGGTATCAGAGAACAGCAAACACTGTTTTCCTCGATGAAGCAATAGCAATTGGACGTCAGACTCTTGCTGCAATGTCTGACCCTGATTCTAAAGCAACAGGCCTCAGTAACCTAAGCTGTCACTTAAGTGAAAGATACCTCTGCATAAGAGACGTCAGAGATATAGAAGAGGCAGTACAGATCGGAGGCGAGGCTCTTCAGTTAACTCCTCGCTTTTCCTCGGAAAGGCCAACGCGGCTGAACAATCTAGGGGTTGCACTGAGCCATCGATACATGGCAAACGAGGAGAAGGCAGACCTCGACCATAGTATCAAGGCCTTCAGAGAATGTGTGAACACAGGCATGGACAGTGATCCAAACTTGGCAAACTATTTTAGTAATCTTGGATCCCAGCTACGCCAACGGTACCACTCAGTCGGTGCTGTGGACGACCTAGAAGAGTCTATCCGAGCTGGTCGAGAAGCCGTGGATAAAACATCCGAAGACGACCCACAACGGCCGGCACGAGTGACCAACCTCGGAGGTGTACTGGCTGATAGCTTCCGCCGGACCGGGAATAGAGAACATCTCAACGAGAGCACTTTACTAGCGCAATATGCTACTCAAAACACAATGGAGTCCCATGTGGATAGTCCGATGTACTGGAAAATACTTGGAACGCGTCTCAGCACTCAATACTCACGAACGGGAGACATCAAGGATCTTGAAGAAGCTATACAAGTCGGTCGCAATGTGCTAAGCACTACACGGCATACCGATCCAGATCGGGTAGGAAGACTACACTCACTGAGTGTCCGACTCGGATTGCGATTCGATAGGCTAGCAAATATGAGTGATCTCCACGAAGCAATTCAGATTGCACAACTAGCTCAGAAAGACATTCCTGATCATTATCGTGGAAGAGCGGGACTATTGAACCATATTGGAGATTTGCTTTCTTCTCGACATTTAAGAACAGGATTCCTACAAGACCTTGAAGAGGCTATACGTGCCAAACGCGAGTGTGTGCGTATTTGCCCACAAACCTCTCTGGACTTACCATTGTATCGTGATAGCCTCGGCTCAACGCTTGGCCAGAGATACGCGTTACTAGGGGCCATGGCTGATCTTGACGAGTCTATCGAAAACATCCAAATAGCAGTTGCCATGACTCCCAAAAACCATCCCGATTTGCCTGCATGGCTTGACAACCTTAGCACTCAGTTATACAGTAAATATTTGAGATCAAACGACATGTCCTATCTTGAGAGATCGATTCAAGCTTCTAGAGAAGTTGTTGATCTTCTGCCAGACGATGACCCAAGCTATTCCTCTGCACTGAGTAACCTAGGGCATGTGCTCGTGGAGAAGTTCGAAGAGTTGGAGGATGCGAAGGACCTCGAAGACTCCATCCAGACTCTACGGAGTGCTATCGACCTAACTCCACTAGATCATCCGGCGCGCCCTACGAGCTTCAACGTCCTTGCAATAGCATTGAGCAAGAAGTATAAATTGACGAACAACATGGATTATATCGAGGAATCCATCAATCTCGCCCGCCAGGTCGTTATAATGGTCCCAGAAGATCACCCTGATCGTACGATATTCTTGACCAATCTAGGTTTGCGGCTTGGTGACAAGTGTTTGACTACTTTGGACGAGGAGGATATAAAGGAAGCCGCGTTACACTGCGATCAGGCTCTACGCCAGAAAAATTCTTTCATCGTGCAGCGCGTACGTGCTGGTATGCTGGCGGTCAATTATCACTCCTTGACTTCGAACTGGGCCGCCGCCTGCGAGGCTGGTAGCATTGTCGTGCCATTGCTTCCTAAGCTTACGCCGCGATCGTTCGAGACTTCGGACAAGCAGGAGCAACTGGGAGAAATTGCTGGTCTAGCCTCCACGGTAGCAGCAGCAGCCTTGGGAGCAAAGTCAGAGCCCTTCTTCGTACTTGCCCTGTTGGAGCAGGGGCGCAATATCGTGGCAGCTTCTTTAGAGGACATGCGGGGTGACATCTTGAACCTCGAAAAGGAACACCAAGAATTGGCGGAGCGGTTTAAGAATCTCCGGGAAGAACTTCAACCTCCCCAGGACAATGAAGCCGCCGGCCTGAAGCAATCTTTGAGCTCCTCGCACCGATCCCAGGGGGGTCGAATTTACGAGGCAAATGAAGAGCTCGATAAGCTCATTGCGGAGATTCAGCAAATTCCAATGTTTGAGGACTTCCTCGGGGTACCCAGCGAAGCCGACATGAGAGCAGCTGCTAGAATTGGTCCGATTGTTGTAGTTAATGTTAGCGACGATCGATGCGATGCGATACTCATCGAACAAAACGGAATACGGGTTTTACCACTCCCTAGACTGAGAAACCAGGAAATCGAGAAGAGGGTTCAGAGAGGTAATCTTGGAAGTATTCAAACACTAACCTGGCTGTGGGATTCGATTGCACGTAGTGTTCTTGATGCCCTCGGATTTATGGCGCCACCATCTTCTGGATGCTTACCCCGGCTCTGGTGGGTTCTTACGGGCGCCCTCGTCAATTTCCCCATTCATGCGGCGGGAAAGTATTCCCCAGGTTCTATGGAAACCGTTCTTGACCGAGTCATGTCATCTTATGTGTCTTCGGTGAAAGCCCTTATACACGGCCGGCGGCGACGAAAACATAATTTTCAGCTGTCCGGGCAGTCGTCAACACGAGCAGTCCTCGTCGACATGTCTCAAACGCCCCGCTATGGCACATTACCTTTCGCAACAAAAGAAGTAGCTATAGTCCGAGATATCTGCAAAGCAACGTCCATCGAGTACTCGGAGCCTATGCGGACAAAAGACCATGTCTCCTCACAGCTGAAGAACTGCGAAATATTTCATTTCGCCGGCCATGGGCACACAGACAGCCAAGACCCGGCATCTAGCTATTTACTCCTAAATGACTGGGAGGAAGACCCGCTGACAGTGGGTTCTTTGTTTGACATGAACCTCCGCGAGAACTCGCCATTTCTCGCGTATTTGTCAGCATGCGGGACCGGTCAGAATAAAGAGGAGAAGCTGGCAGACGAGAGCTTCCACCTCATTGGCGCGTGCCAGCTAGCCGGGTTTCGTCATGTTATCGGAACATTATGGGAGGTCAGCGACGAGTTGTGCGTTGACGTGGCCAGAATCACATACGAAGAACTGGTCGATGGATTCATGAGTGACGATTCAGTGTGCCGCGGAATACACAGAGCAACGAGACACCTGAGGGACCGTTGGCTCAGGTCATCATCTGCTAGCATCCTTGTGGCTAAGGCCGAGCCAGGGAGTGCGGATGCGGGTGACGAGAACGATGAAAGGGGCCCCAGGAAGGCCGTCTATCACAGCTCCGACGACGAAGACGGCGACGCCTTGTCATCATCATTATCATGGGCTCCTTATGTCCATTTCGGAGTCTGATTTTTAGATATCACGGAACTCCACGTATTGAGGTTTTGATTTCTAAGGCTGTTGGCCATGGTCAACTTCAGCTTAGCTTAATATTTTCGTCTTTATACGGAAGTTCACCGCGATCCAATCATCTGACACCGAATTCGGTTCTTGACCTCTAGCCTCTCCTTGGGATGGATGCTCAACCCTCTCCCCCAGCTTAGGCAATTCTAGTGATAGGAAGGAAACCGGTTTTGTAGTCAAGAAAACCTTTATGATATCTTCGCATTCTTGGAGGCCTTGTTCCTTCATTTCAATCGGTAAATTAAACTGTATCTTTTTCTTGCACGTGCCTGGCGAGTATGAATTTCTTTCCTGCCCTTGGCCCCTAACACGCGCCGGAACGACCAAGTAGTCCCCGTTGAGGATGTTTTCCACCTCATAGGATGGGCTCAAGTTGTAGACATGCAGATAGAGGACCTGATTCTCACTGAGACTGTTCTTGGCTATCAACTGTAGTTTGCCACCGTCGCTGACTGTGATTGTACACTCAGGATGTGTACATGCAGTGTGGTGAGGCCCGAAATTTAAACAGCCAGGGTTAAAAGTATGGCCCACTTCGTTGACTAGTTGAATGTCGGTGAAATCGCTAAGCGGATGCCCCTCGCTTGAAGATGCTTCGTTGGACAACTTCTTCATGAATCCAAATTTGGCAGCATGTTCAAGCTCGTCTAGTAGCTGACTTGCGGCTCGCCTATCAACATTACCGACGGCTCTCTTAACAATTGTCTCGTGGAGATGATTCTGAATCTCGTATCCGTCCTTGGTTGAGATCACGAAGAATGAGACCGACTCCTCGCCTTTTGTGGTTTCGGAACCACTAAGGCCCAAGAACCGCCGCTCGTCAACGTCTGTCGCCCACGGATAGGTTGATATGAGTTTATCATCGAATTCGACAGAATGGCTACCCATTCTGAGACACGTAAGCGCTGTGGCCATCCACCCCGTATCGACTCTAGCCGAGGCGCCGTCAAATAGCTTCAATTCAGAGTCAAAAGCTCTCACGTTAGCGATGCTAGCAATTGCCCCATTCTTCTTTAATTTGAAATTCACATCCATATCTGTTACCTGGTAGACAATAAACTCATCACCTTCGGTGATCCCATGTGCCTGGCCAGCTTGCAACTGAAGAACACCATTCCGCATTTTGATGACTGGAATGGGCGCTGAATCAATCTGCCTGTCGATATGCCCAAAAAAGCCGAGGCTTTTGTTGCCGTAGAACATGGGGGTCTGTTTGTATCCAATCGCACCTCGGAACCTAGCGCAGAGGTGATGGTAGATGTGCTCTTGCCGCCCGCGAATCCCGCCAAACTTAGCGAGTGTCCTCAAAAGGAAGTATGACAGTGCTCCATGCCTCTGACCGCCCTTGACAATAAGCTCGCGTGCCGTCTCCGTTGGCCCGCACGCTGTGAGGATGCAATATCCGTCTGGGTCCACTAGCCAGTTGAGCCGCATCGAGGCATCTCGCGATGGCGGGCCTGGGGCAGAAAGGTGTGCCTTATCGACCTCATGGTCATATGGAAGGTATCGCACCAATTCGCCATCACGCATAACTCCTCCGGAGAAACAGCAGTCGAGGACAAGCGTTATGATCAACCCTTTATCAGCCAGATGCTTGAGACAGTTCGCTAGCTCTGCTCCACGAAGATACCTTATGCCGATAGCATCCTTTTCCTCCAGAAGTACAAGAGCTAGATCCTCAGGAAAGGAGCCAGAGCTATCATCTACGGATGGGGTGGTCGTGCCGTGGCCAGAGTAATGTACATAAACATAGTCTCCGGTTTTAGCAAGCGAAGATACTTGTTCGAAGCTTGACATCACATGATGGTATGTCGGCCAGAACTCCCGGTCTTCGGGTGGCCGGTGAGGATGGGCATCCGTCGCTGAGCTTGCCGTGAACTTGTGCAGGTGCAATCTGGTTATTGCGCTACTCAGGACTTGGGCGACTTGTTCGACGTCGCCCACACATCCATGCAACGATGAATACTCGGCTGGGTAGAAGTTCACCCCGATCAAGATCGCGAAATATCTTGCAGTTGAATCGTCCATATTTACATGTATGAAACCAGTATACTACTAACTAGCAACCCAGATCAATGACTCCATCTAAAGCTCGGTAATAAATGCCGTGACTAATGTAGGAGATTCCCGAAACCGTAAGGCGGCGGGTCACGCACGAGATGCTGATATTTGGCTCGGCTAATCGGCAGGGTTCATGAGGTATCTGCTGTAGTGGTTGGGGCGTATAATTCAGCACCCTTGTCAGGTACTGACAGGGCCACTCATCTTTCAATGCTTTCCTACTCCGTACTACTCCGTACGGTTGACTCGAGTTCTCATAAGAAATCTTGCACAATTCGCTTACGTACCGGGCAAGAGTCAGGCAAGGAACTCTGTGCAGTTCAGCTGATAATCTAGGTCGGCGGCCAGCCTGGGAAACCAATGAGCAAACTTTGAACTAGGCAGCCTTGTTCCGGTTGCAAAATGTATTAACTCAAAATTTCATTTCCGAAGTTAAACCATGGTGAAAAGACTATCTAAGTATAATGTTATAGTCGAAATCACCGACTATAAACTTTGTGCGGAACGTGACCATACCCTGTGATGCCCCCCGCGCACGGTGGCTAAGCTGTTGTCAAGTCGGTTTCGTCGACTACCGCGCCTCCCCGGGCTGTTTGGCCATTTGCGTGGCATATCGTATACTTTCCGGCACCTCTAGCGGATTCGATCTTATAAGGACCTTCAGTTTGTCTTGAACCGGGAACCCGCAAATACACCAATTGTCCGGGGCGAAATTTGTAGGCCTGTTGCAACTCAGTCACTTATGGTCACAGAAAACGTTGTTAGGCCCCTGGCAAAGCTAGCATACCACGCCGCTCTTATGGATTAGCGGTCTTCCATTGTCATCAGGGATCTCAAACTCAGGACTCGCTGACCTGTCACGGCATCAACAATGAATATCTTCGCGATGGGAGAATAGAAAGACTCACCGCTCTCGTTTATCCGAGTCTGCCATTTTGTTGGGGAGAACGAAGTAATTTGTGTACAAACTCTAAAATCGAGAGCAGACGAGTTGTGGTAGTTGTAGAGGGGCTAACTTCCCTAACCTAGCTGTCTTTGACTGTGTACAAAACAGTGGGGTTGAGCTGCTTTTCTGTAGGAAGCGGAGCGCCCGCTTCGGAGAATGCTGCCGAGGCAATGTGCTGGCAGTACATACAACTTGTAGGGGTATGAGTTGTCTGTGAGTCAATATTCCACCAGAAATATCGGTTTCTCGGTTGGTACTGTACAAAGTCGTGTTCTCCAGAGAAACCTAAACAAAATCATTTTGTTTCTTCGATCCATAATTAGAATAAACTAAAACAAATCCCCCAGAAAGATGCAAGCATATATATTATATGTACAAACAGTGAGTAGCTATATTTCTTTTTCAATACTCCGCGCTAATAATATATACACCCAGCAAGGATGTTGGCCAAAGTGTTACCGAGAGGCAAACCAAACCCCTCGCTATGAGGCTGTGCCCACCATCAGGTAGACATGCATTGCTTTTTCTTGGTGGCCTAGAAATCGATGCAGTATGCACGCGCTGCTCACTAAGCATCCACTACGCGGGGGCAAGATCCGAGATCCACAACGTACTCAGAGAATTTTGAAAGTCAATCGTGCAATTCAGCCTCGAGCCTCATTCACTGTGTGTAAAGAAGTTCTATTTCTGGTCTGTTATCACACAGCACGTGTCTTACTCTAGCCAGGTATAGTGTATCACGCCTCCAAGGCCTACGCGTAGACGAGTCTGCATCTCAACGCTTTAATGTCCCAGATCATCGAGGCAGTGAAGGACGGCTTTCATTCGATTTTAGGGTTGTTGAATTTGCTTCTAGCCAGAATGCAGGCCTTTGTCGCATCTTGTGTAAAACACCTCCGGCCCTCTATTCACAACAGCTGTGGACATGACTGCCAACACAAACAAAGTATGTTGCGCTTTGGGACGGTTATCAGTTACGTATTGAACTGATCATGTTCACAGTTGAAGATTACCGACCAGGATATCCACGTTATTCGGCCCTCATTGGCGCCCACAAATCTTTATATATCAGCCGCCGCTTTTCCAATGTGCGCTCCAGACTGCTCCTCTTGAAACAAGACAGAATTGCCAGATTAGAATCACGATTAGAAAAGATAGATGAGGGGGAGACTGCACCACTGTTCCTGGGAAGTCATCGCGAGGATCAAAATAGCGACAGAAAGGATGTTCTCGCAGAATTAGACAGTGCATTAACAGATTATGGTGAGGTCATTCGAAGCGATAGACCCGACAGACAATTGTCACTAACTCTGGATCAGACAACTTCTTAATTAGAAACCAGCAAATGCTGAACTTCCCTCCGGCCAGCCGAAGAGACGTAGAGAGCCTAGCAAACTGGGTGAATAATAACGGATGCCTGAGTTGGGAAGAGACCGAGTATCTCACTCGGTGTAACGATCTTCTCAGTGTGGCACCGACTGATACACAAACTTCTGGCCCAATAGAGACCTGGATGGAGGGAGTGCTAGTTCGGTTCTTCGAAAGACTTCGAGATGTTTGTGCTCTCATTGTTCCGGTTACACATGCCCTTCACAGTACCAAGCTAATGATGAGACAGCCACAACGAGATGTGTCCAGGGATAAGAATGTCCACATATTTTCAGCGCGTTCAATGGCGCGGTTCAATAAACTTGTCGCGATAATCATTATTATTCTAGCAGTATCGGTGCCGTTGCTTATCTGCAGCTACATCACAACCCCTACATCGCGGATCATCATCACGATCTGCTCCTTAGCCACGTTCATCGTAATACTTTCTAGTTTGACGTCGGCTAAACTGGTTGACCTATTCGTAGCTGGAGCCACGTAAGATACGATCAATCCTTTAGTGGCGATAATATCTTCAAGACTAACCTTTCCCCCACTCCTAGATACACTACTGTTCTCACGATTTTCATACCTCAATGAGTTATTAAGTTGTTTTGATAAGACGTGCTCGGGCTTTTTGTTTCGCTTACCCCGCTTCTAATTGTTCCAATACCAAAATCTTAGAAGACCAACATGCAGTTGGGACTAACATCGAATTGATAAAGCTCATGTGCGATGGGTTGAAGCGGAGAATCGTTTCTTCAATATGTACTCAACATCAAATGAAGTAGACTGGGTATTCGAGAGGGTGATACCAGGGCTACCAGCAAATTTTACCATTGTCGATGGGGACAGAGGCATCAATATCTTAAAGGCCGTATTTTATTGTAACATCGCGCTTCAGTATCACTACTGTATACCAACCACCAGATATACATAACCGCCAAAATATTCCATCAAATTTCCCCTCTCTCAAGAACTTTGGTGACCTCTTATCTTTGAGAGATAGAGGGCACGCCGCATTGTAGCAGACTTGCTCACTAGGTCACGCAATTGTTCAATGGCCGTAGGTCCCAGGATAAATGTGTCGAAGGTAATTGAACACGATGCGCCTAAGGAACTTATTCCGCACAGCCGACTGCAAGTTAAGCAGATGCTCGAAGGGAAAGTGTAGATATAGCTCCCAACCACCTGCATTTCAGGTTTTACCCGCGACCCATTGTCCCACATATGCTGTGCTATTGCGCACCTAGCTACTTACTGATATCAACCAACTGATGCATCAAACTACTGTGCATCATCTCGTCCTATTCTGACAAAAGGTACGTCGATACTAGTGTCATAAACAGTCTACCGAGCGCTTAGCCGGTCCAGTCTTGCTTGAGGACTCTTGGCGCCAGAGGACACATTGTCAAGCGGATCAATGCCAGTATGGCTGGGAATCGTGTCTCGATCGTTGCGAACGAGTCCTTGACGGCAATAATTAGATTGGCGTGACGGAGCGGAACATCAGATCATGCACTGCTGAACCCAGAGTAGATCCTGGCAGCTTCTACGGCATTACCATCCGCTTGATATTTCGGAAACGGGGCTTCAGTGACATTGCTTGTATCGAAAATTCCGGAAAATAAGAACTCTATAAAGAGACGCAACAATGACGTGCTTGGATCCAATACCGCCCGTCACTACTTATCTTCTCGGAAAAAGCAGCTTGCATCTGGACATTACAGCCAGGGGTGCCTCGATGACAATTCTCTGAACACAAGCGGTAGAGGCGGAGTCCATGGACTGGATCAGGGGATCACATTCTGGAGGCTAAGACGACACGCTCGAATCTGGAGCTAGGAAGCCAGTACTAAAAACACTCTTACAAGAGTGGGCGATCCATCTTGTCCTACTGATATATTTTTTGTAACTGAATTGAAGACGTTCGCTGATGACACGGAGTATACTATACTTGGCGTAGTATTAACTCGAAGATCGTTGCCCAGTGTAACAGTTGTCATAAGTTCACACGATTCCAAATCTTTCCACTTCCTCAACGAGTGGTCGATATATATAAAGAAAGGTGTTAAATATGGCATGAAAGGATGTATGTCATCGATAGACGTATAAGGTTAGCAATATCGGGACTACGATCACTGATTCGTTTCAAACGAACACAGGCTTGCAGGCTCAAGCTCAGGCTCTCGAAGCTAAGCTTCGGGTCTCCAACGAGTCTTTGTTGGTAAGGTAGGATGCGTGACATTTCCACCCGGTGGTTTACAGTTCTGGGATGCTACAATTCGAGATTACCATTACTATACAGTTGATTTGGGGACAAATACGGTTTGTGTATTTCTTCAAAAAAAAAATGAAAGTCTTCGCACCAATTTCCTAATTCGATGAACATATAACGATGCGCACACTAAGCCGCCGACAGCTATTGCCAATGAACTAGTCTTCCGAGTCTGAAATCCCAGGGCGGTCCTCGAACATTCTATGTACAGACTCCCGATCGGTTTCATTGAGAACATAGGCTTCCCGTTCGACTTAAGCCACTTCCAGCTTACAGGTAGGAGAAGACTAACCTTAAGGCCCTGTTGCCCCTTGTCCAGCGCTACTGCTACCTCTGGGCGCTTAGTCCGTAATTGCTCGGAAAAAGCTATAAAATCTTACAATACGCATTCTCATAAAATGTCATTGTTCGCGTAATCACGCATCATCCCTTCGAGTACGGTGGAATTGCGCAGAAGTATGTAAGACATCAACCAGCGTCGTAATTCTCCACGGATCGTCCGTAATAGGAATCTTTCTACTCCAAAGAGTAGTCCGGTTCATGCTCAAGAAGAGATGGGCGATATGCCACGAATGTGCACTTCGTCTAGAATGAAAGAATGGACTAGATGCATAGTGCCTTCACGGCCATCAGACTTAATGGAGTGCTAGGCTGCGCATAAATTGCAAATGTTCAGATGGAATCATGCTCCTCAGGCACAGCAAAAAGCAATGGATTCGCGGAAATCTAAAGCATGAATTGACATAGACTAACATGCAAGCACGTAAGTAAACATTGGATAAACAATGTGTCATAAGGAGTAGGTCTATACATTGTCAATTTCTCTTTGTAAATACGTGTAAGGCGACGTGAGTGATTTTTCAATTGGCAGATTTGTTGGATGCAACCAAATTCGCAGGGCACATGCAGTACGCCATTGGAACAGGAGCGCCCCACTCCTACGTTTCTCCAATTTCCAGATGACCCGCTCGTGGTCACGGAATCGGAATCGGACGCAACTCGACTTGGAATTGCCCAAGTGTCAGTAGCTCGAGATGTTTGAGCGTAGATACACACAAGGAAGACATTCCCAGGGCGTTGCTAATGCCCACAGCATTTCAGTATCGATGCGAAAGCTTTGCTACCCCGCAAGTTAATAGGTCTGATGCGGAGCCGGAATCCTTTTCCATGGTTCTCCGCCAGTCAACGGCCAGTGGTTGTAAGCCGAATAGAAGCCGGTCAATAATGGAACAAACCACAGGGGCAGAGGTCAAGATATATATGCGCTTCCATTGTCGATACACACTATTGAACCTGTCCTTTCTCACTTTACACCGTTCATAATACTGAGTTGAACGATAAGCGGCCATGTCGTACCAACTTCTAGGCTTTGCTGTGATTGCGGCCATATGTGCCTTGATCAAATTCTTCAACGCGACTGATGTCCCTAAGATTCAGGGACTACCTGAAATACCAGGTGTACCTATCTTCGGCAACTTGATACAACTTGGAACAGATCACGCCCGTGTAACAGCAAGATGGGCGAAAAAGTACGGACCAGTCTTCCAAACACGATTGGGGACCAAGGTAAGCTCAAGTTACGAAAAGCACTATCATGTCCTTCCCACTCATTAAATCATAGAGAATCATCTTCGTCAACTCTTATGACAGTGTCAAGCATTTCTGGATCACCCACCAGTCAGCACTCATTTCGCGGCCAACTTTTCACACTTTCCACTCTGTCGTCTCCTCCTCCCAGGGTTTCACAATCGGTACCTCGCCATGGGATGAATCTTGCAAGCGTCGGAGAAAGGCAGCCGGTACTGCCTTGAACAGACCTGCAGTTCAGTCCTACATGCCCATCCTCGACCTAGAGTCCATGGCTAGTATCAAGGAACTCCTGCTCGATTCCAAAAAGGGCACAGTGGACCTGGACCCTACACCTTATTTTGCCCGATTTGCGCTGAACACATCTCTCACCCTCAACTACGGTTTCCGGATCGACGGCAATGTCCAGAGCGAACTTTTAAAGGAGATTACCCATGTCGAGCGCGAGATCTCCAACTTTAGATCGACCAGCAACAATTGGCAAGACTACGTTCCCCTGCTACGGCTGTGGGGAAAGCAGAACGCCGGTGCTCAGGAGTATCGTGAGCGCCGAGACAGATACCTAACGAAAATGTTGAAGGACCTGCAACAGCGCATTGCCGACGGAACTGACAAACCATGTATCACGGGAAACATATTGAAGGACCCCGAGGCTAAACTGAACGAGGGTACGTAAACGTTTTGGTTCTGGAAGTGAGTTTGCTAAGATGGTACTAGCCGAATTGAAATCTATCTGCTTAACTATGGTCTCTGCTGGTCTTGATACCGTGCCGGGAAACCTTATCATGGGCTTGGCGTACTTATCTACTGCCGATGGTCAAGATATCCAGGCAAGAGCTCTGAAAGAAATCGAAGAAGTATATCCCAATGGAGATGCCTGGGAGAAATGTTTGGTGGAAGAGAAAGTGCCATATGTCACAGCTCTGGTCAAGGAGACCCTAAGGTTCTGGACTGTGATTCCAATTTGTCTTCCACGCACTAGCATCAAAGACATCCCTTACAAAGGCACGGTGATTCCTGCAGGATCAACTTTTTTCATGGTGAGTTATACAAGCTGGTAGCGAACAGGATGGAATCGCAGACTGACACACACTACAGAATGCTTGGGCTGCAGACTATGACGATCAGCGCTTCAAGGAGCCCGGTAAATTCATCGTGGAGAGATTCATTGACGACACCGAGGCCGGTACTCCTCATTACGGATACGGCGCCGGCTCTCGCATGTGCGCTGGCTCCCACCTTGCCAATCGGGAGCTGTACACTGCCTACATCCGTCTGATCACGGCTTTCAAGATCCTGCCTGCGAGAAACCGGGCCGATGCCCCGATCATTGATGCGATCGAATGTAACAGTATCCCGACAGGATTGACGACTGAGCCTAAGCCGTTCAAGATTGGCTTGGAGGCACGCGACGAAATGAAGCTTCGGCATTGGGTGGCCGCTGCGGAGGAAAGGACGAAAGATTTGTAACCAGACTACATATTCATTTGTAATTGAGTTGCTCTGTATATACAATTTCAAAGTATGAAAGATTTCAGACTATTACTCGACTAAACATATTTTATTAATTGTCGTGCCATGAATCACGTTGACCCGCGGCGATTGGCATGATTGTGTGTATAAGTACTACTTTTAAGCTCTTACTCCGATTATGTGCCAGAGGCAATTTCTTATATTAATGCAAAGCTGACAACAATAGCATCACCTTCGTCCGCATCTTGCCTCTTTCATATTCCACAAACTCAAAAGCAAAAAATATTGTTCCATATGGCATACTTAATTGGTATTCGTGGATGCCCTAGTCTAGGTTAGACGGGAAGAGAATTTCATGGACCAGGTTACACGGTGCTTGTCCGTAACTTATCGTTAGTCTAGTGAGTAAATGCTAAACCCTGGCAACTGATTTTAGTGGGCGAGTTCATAAATTACTGCGGCCCAGCCGTGCGCCTTAGTGAGTGAGCCCATAAGATACAGCACCGGGGGCTGTTTTTAGCGGGCAAGGGTGAGAAGTTATAGCGCCCAGCCGAGTCGACAACCAAGCCGCTACCTTGAGACAGTCAAATCACGATGCTTGCCTAAAGCGAATCAGACTAGGCTGTATTTTGATTCATATGATACTACCAGCTAACCGATTAGATAGATGTATGGAATCTTGTAGGAGTTGATATATCACTAGATTAGCTCAATGGAGACGCCGAACCATCACCAGCCATTTAGCTAGGGGAATAGTATTAGAATTTGGGCAAGAGAATTAACTTACAATAGCGGGTTTTCTATACCTATAACTACTTCATCTCAGTTTCAACACCACTCAGGCCGTGTACGGTAGCCAAAATTTCGCCTCTGTGAATAGATACCACTTGAGCCTATTATCAGAGAGATGGGGAAACAGAAGCCTAGCGATGAAGCGGAACATATCTAGTAGCACATTCCATTGCTTAAAGTGTAGATAGGAATGATTGGTCCTGATCAGGATCTCAAGTGACCTCGGGTAAAAAGGTGGCTTATATGATATCTTTTTGAGATCGAAGTTGCAATATCATTGCTTGCCTAAAGCAGATCCTGTTGGAAGTCAAAAGCCACCTTTAAAAGCTGCAAAGCAGCCAGAGAAATTCCAGCTGCTGTATACTCAAAATAGGGCCCGTGTTTTTCGCCTCCGCATGTCGTTTCGGTTACCGTGATAGATTTCGACAGGTTAATACGATACAAGGAAACCACCAATATTGGTACCCGTCCCGGTGTAAGCCGATTATTTGCCTCTGCTATGTCCCATCAACCACAAGTACTATGCGATCTGTTATGATTGTCGTTGCTTGATAATATTAAAGTCTTGGTAGGTAGTTTCCAACCCATAACGGCAGCCTTCATCCAAGATAGTTATAGAAAATCTCTCTGAGATTCTCCCTCTTTCGTGGTCGCCATGGAGTAAAAGTAATTTCTTATTTATTACACGGGGGATCGATGTGGTTTATATTGAATCAACCTGATATAGTGCAGATCGACATTCTTCCAAATTCGGAAGGAATGAAATCCCTGCGAGCATCGCAGACGCCGTGCTTACCATTTCAGCCATTGATCTCCTCAACGTACAATATTACGCCGAATCACTCCCCCCTAATTGCATCACCTGATGAAAGGTCTAGAAATGTTTTCCTTGAATCACATGAAAAGGCTTCCTTGACCCTCGTGGGTAAAAAGAGTATAAGGTTTAAAGCGTGACCGCCCACAGGACCTCACCCCCAGGGCGGACTAGCCGATCATTCCGATCCGACGAATGGTATGCGCGAATTGCCAGGCAGCAACATCAAAGGCTTCCTTAATCTGAGTCCAAGGCGCCGGATAGTCACCACAGGGATATAATACCGACAATGTGACTGTGGTATCCGCCAACCTGAAACTTATTTGGAGTCTCATGCTCCCATTCTAAACTACTGAAAGAGGGCAGCTGCATGTCGTTTGCCAATCGCTTTCCAGAACTCACAAAATGTTCGTACTTCGCACTATTACATCCCGTGAGACTATTTGTAAATATCGACGCGTGAAATTAGGCCATCATTACAAGTCTGTTTAGTGTCTAGTATCTGAGAACATTAAGTCAAAGGGCGTTATGACTTATATTTGCATTGTTGCTACTGTCAGGTGCAGCGAGTAAGCAATAAACACTGATTATCATAATATCTGACTCGGCACGTTCTATGGAACTTGTGTCGCCAAAGGACCTGCTGCTCGATCTACAGGCGCACGCCAGGCAAAGATTTTATATCATTTCAAGAACAGCACCTGCAAGCAATGCCATTATGAGCAGGAGATCGCAGCCATGATAAAAGTAAGATGGGGGAAGAACGGCAGTATGGAATACCATTGCAGTAAACAACCCCGTTAGTGTTCTTGTTACGAACTTAAAACAACATGAAACTACCCAAGAAGGCAAAACGAGCCCACTGAGCCGCGATAAACCGTTTCCTTAACGACCGGCATGATCTATTCCGCACATGCATGTTGGGGTCTTCCGATTCCATGGCAAAGTGGGGAATGTTGCGCTTGAGTTTGTGGGGTAAGCATGTGAATCGTTCCGCTAACACCGCCAAGCTGTACACGGAATGTCTTCATGGCAGCCAGCGGCGCGCCCGTGGATGGTTGGCGTATTGGAAACTGTCGGTTAACTACGGACTCGGATCTTGTGTGCGACCCCAAACTTGGGGTATGATCGAGGGCAGCCCGTATAAGCTTTCAGGTTGTTTGAAAAAATACCTGGTATTCCTAGATAATAGCACTTTAGACATGGCATGATTACCACGCTTATCATCCTTTTCCTACACATACTGATACAAAATGACCTACCACGACGCGAAGTTGACCTTGTACACGTACTTCCGATCCTCTTGCTCGGCTCGAGTGCGGACCGCCGCCGCCCTGAAAAGAATCAAGCTGCATTTTGAATACATTAATCTCCTGAAAGGCGAACAAGGTGCCACCAGCTATACGAATCTCAACCCATCGGGTGCGGTACCCACCCTCATCGTAGAATCCAACGATGGGGGTAAAGTTGTGATCCGTCAATCGACTGCGATCCTGGAGTTCTTCGAGGAAGTCTTTCCAGATTCCGTACCGCTCCTGCCGAAAGATCCAGCGAGGCGAGCCCAAGTAAGAGAGCTGTACAACATACTCGCGGCGGATTTCCAGCCCCGGACGAACCTCTGCATCATCAAACGTGTCAGCAAGTACGGCGTAACTGCCCAGGATTGGTGTCAGGAGCAAATGCCACCGGTGTTGCAAGCATTCGAGGACATTCTGAAAGCCTGCGCTGGCATGTATTGTGTGGGTGACGAGGTTACATTGGCCGACATTGCTCTGGCGCCAGCTCTAGAAGGCGCTCTGCGATGGGGGATTGATATTAGTCAGTTTACGATACTGAATGGTGTATTTGAGAGGATACGCGTATTGCCAGAGTTTGTTCAAGCAGACTGGAAGCATCAAGAAGACACACCAGCGGAGCTTAGGTACGCGCCAGGAATCAAGGGCAACTAGTCAGTGCCCAAAAAGCAGATGAGTTGATATGAAATGAACAGCCATGTGAACAACAACTTTCCTGTGGCCGTTCTCAATATTAATCTCAGATTGCGATGCCAGGATCAGAATGTGATCATCTTGTCATAGTCCATCCAGAAGTCCCCAAGATCCGGCAGTAGACCATCCCAATCTTCCACTGTCGGTAATTGAAGCCCGTCTACTACATCGATCAGAGACGGTTCGATAAGGATGTTATTGGATGGTGAGATTCCAGAGCTACCAGATCCAGTAGTATATAGTAGAGATGGTACCGGATCACTGGGGACCATATCAAGGGAGTTTGCTTGTGCATCGTGCTGGAGCAATTGCTGATTTGGGATTGTAAAGGTGTTTGGAAAGCTATTGGGAGATTGGCTAGTGGGACTTTGACGATGTTCGTTTCTCGGTAAGAACAGAACTTGACCCGCAGTGTCAATATGCATAGCCTGGGATGTATTTTCATTGCGGGCTGCTGATAAGTCTGACAGTTTCCTAGACGAGTTTGATATATGGCTTGTGATTAGACCGGGGTTGCTTGCCTGTGTGGTACTTCTTCCAGATAGTGTAGTGGGTTGCTTCCGCTTCGATCCTTGTGGCGGCTGCCTTGCATCGCTATTAGCAGTCGCAAAGCACCTGAGCTTGTCGGCAAGTTTCCGTGTTATAGATGACGACGTCGACAGTCGCTCTATGACTTCTAACGCGAGTTGAATCTCGGCCGCACAAGACCGATCAGACATTGCTGTTGACCGGCATGTAACCAACAACAAAGCCGATAAAGCCGACTCCAGAAAGTGGTTGAATGTCTTTTGCTGCGCATGGTAGATATTAGATGCTTGACTCAGCTTATCCAGTACACGAATAGTGTCCTGAGCGACTTGTACCATGGCATTGATGCTCGAGGTATCGATAGCGTCACTGCCTGATCGAAGTGCCGATTTGCGATGAATAATGATTCGCATTTGATTCGCCCTTAAGTATAGTAGTAGGCGGAGACGATATTGGCCTCTTGTGCCCTCAAGAGGATCAAAGTCCATGTCGGCTTGAAAGTGCAGACATGAGGGCAAGTTACGGCGCCATTCCCCTATCTTGAAGTCAAGCAAGTCTCGGGCAGAGTCTTTGGCATGGTTCGGCGAGGGCATGCCGAGTGCCGAGTCACGGACTTCCGCAGCGATGCGACAATAAGTGACCATAGCTTTCAGGTACGCTGAGGAAAGGGACTCGTCCTAGAACGCTTAGCTTCATCGATAATCTAGTAACACAGCCAGGCATGTTGTTAACATACCATGAAGTCAGTATCATAGTCAATGTCGGAATCGTGAATCGCAAAAGGCAATCCTGTCCCAAAGCTCCACCGTCGATCAAGCATATAAGCAGACCACAGAACCTTCTTCGCTCTTTCTCTAGCATCTCTAGACTTGAAGCGATGCTGCATGACCGTGGAACTATGATAGCCAAGCTCTTGGAGCATTCTCACTACACAGCCGATATTTCGCCAAGCCAGTGACTCTCTATCTGTCATGAAATAATAGATGCTCTAGTTCATGTCAGTTGCTGTATGGTTGCAAGATCAGAGAGGGAACTGCGAGCCATACCATGAGAATACTGAGGTTCACATCGTGATCACTGACGTTGCCTGTATGTGCTCTCCGCCAGGTACCCACCATGACTCGCTCCGCAAACTCGTCACATAGGCCACTAACATCCGGCTCTTCGAGTACAGCCATCACTGCTAGCACTAGGACGAGAACTTCTTCCAGCTTGTGACTAAGCTTGATATCTTGTCCAGCGTCTTCGGGGTTGGGAAGGTGCGACGATGCATCCCGCAGCTGATTGCGAATGTCGGTTACATCGAGAAATGGATATAACAAGCCAATCTCTTCCTCGTAGAAATCCAATATTTCTAACCATCGCGACATCGCAATTATCGACAACAATGGCTGTGGCTTGCGTTCAGCGCGTTCTTGAATAAGCACCCGCAGATCCTGTGCGATTTTTGGAAAGCGCCGACTTGCACTGGCCTGATCATGGCCAGCATTGGCCGTGCTTGAATCGACGAGAAGCTGCTGCGCAAGATTGAAGTAGTAATCAGAACTACCGGGCCGAATAGGTTGCGGGCTTAACTCGGCTCCATCCGGATTCGCAGTCGCGCCCACGTCGTCAACAACGACGGTGGACAACGCATCTTCGTTGCCGCTCGATTTCCTTACGGCAGCAACAGCAGCAGTCACATCAGACCGCGATGATACCACGGAGCCGCGCCGGCCGGCCCGGAACCGTGTGCTGCGCTCGTAGAGGCATATCGCTTGTACCTGCTGGCAACCCGCACAGGGGTTCTCGCCACTACATTTGACTTTTCGTCGTTTACATTCTTGGCTTCACAGAACACGTCAAGTTTCTATTCCATAATTTCTCAAGTCGCACAGTTGGCGGGAAGAAAAACCTACCAAGCCACGGTTGTGTATGGGTTTCTGCGTTTTCGGGAAGTGGTGGTGGTAGTCATGTTCATGACCGGTGTCGCCATGGGGCAAAGCTCCAAGCAGCAGTGGGCGAGACAAAGAGAAGCCAATGTTGTTGCTTGGAACACGTGGATACAAGTTTGGTAGAGTAGCACATGTGTCGGCTTGCATTCAACTCCGTTCGTAGTGGTTGAGCGGTAGAAAACTGACTCGCCGGTACTTGGAGAAGCGGGTCTTCTCCCCGCAACGAACGCATTGTCGCAAGGATGTGGCGATCTTTTCTCCGCATTCTCGGCTATTGGGGAGCAGCTGTGTAAACTGCATCGAATGTAACCCAGATTTCACGAATGGTAATAAGTCAATAGTGATTCAGATGAGCCCGATGAAACGGGTGTCTTTCCCACGTTAGTGACATCATTCACTCTGGTTTCTTAATCATTTCTTTATTTCATACATGCGAAAGCCGTGCTCACCAGCCGGCACGTGAGCATAGTCAACCACGATAGGCAACATTCAAAAGTGTCATGGTGGTGGGTCTGAATCAGAGACAGAATCATGCCCGGCCTGAAGGATCGGAACAAACAGTACTCAGTTTCAAGTACCGATCCTTCGTCCGTGATTATCACTGAGTCTCAGATCCGCATCTCCTACTATATTTCCATGTCATCTTCGAGCTTCGTTTGAGCAGATGTACGCCATTTTTTGTATCTTGTGGGGCTTGCGCTATTTTGACCACCCTAAGGTTTACAGATTGGGCAGTCGGGTCAGTGCTTGGAGCCGCATCGCCACTTTTCTGCAATACCACAGCACCAGAAACAACAAGCCATATGATGTGTTCCTCATCAGTGCTCAACGTCGAAGATGGAGTCGTACATCCCGGCGTCTTATCACTGTGATTAATAAAACCTCAACCTCACGATCTATCCTTTCTGTCTTTTCAATCTGAAATATAAATGGATACACAAAACCAGGACTCTCATCGCGTCACCCGGCGCGTTCGCCGTGCCTGTGATTGTTGTCGACTTCGCAGAGTAAAATGCAATGGTGATCCTGATGGCTGCCAACAATGTAACCATCTCGACCTGCGGTGCGTTTATTCGACTGGGACTATGGGTAGCTCACGTAACGGTGTAGCAAGAGGGTCCGTGATTTCGCACTTGAGGGACAAGCCTTCCTCTAAAGTCCGCATTGCGCCGCGAGAAAATCGTGGCGTAGATGGTGCTGCGACACCGCATGATAGACATAATCTCACCTCGACCATTGTCGAACGTGGCGGCCAAGTTCATGCAACATCCTCAGAAGTAGCACCCGAGGTCACGTACCCCAAGGAGTTCTTCAGGAAGCTGGTCGACGACTATACCAACTATGTCTACGTCGTAAATCCTATCATTACTCCTCAGGAGATTTTACTGTCAATCGACAGAATGGATCAGCCTGACCATCTGGTTGACTACGCTCTCGTTCATGCTTGTGCAGCCGTCACACTTAATCTTACGAAGCCCAACTGGCAAGTTGACCAAGCAGAGTCTTCTCGGATCCATGAACTTCTCGGGCTTGCTTCGAAAGGGCGTGAGACACTTATGAGACGATCGATGAGTCTACATGGGCCGAGTATCCATCCTAATTTGTCGGCACAATTTATCATGACAGCAATCTTCATAGAAATCTGCTTAATGGCTGTTGATAAGTTCTCGGAAGCCTTCATGATCCTCCGAGAAGCGATTGCAATGATACAGTTGCTGGGAGTGGACCATTTAGTCAGCGGAGAGCAACGACAAAACACGTTCGGGGTTAGCCAGAGATTTGCGGCCAATTCAGAACTTTCACCTGCCGAACGATCAAGGCGAATTCGACTCTACTGGGAAGCGTTTATTCACGAACGTTTCCTCGCTGTTGTTGCTTGTTACCCTCCCATTCTCCCGCCTCTACCGCGAGAGGTATCATTGGCAATCGATGATTCTTCGATATCAAGCCATGTCAACATTGGCTGGCAATATCTTATTCAGTTATGGGCTGTGCTGGATGATGAATTCATCGAAAGCTGGATCCGAAACGGCACCGTAGCACCCAGAAGTGTTACTGCAGGCTGGATCCAGGCGAAAATGCATTACTTGGCTGGTCTATATGATGGAAACCTAGAACCGAGCCGCGGCGCAACTTACTCTTTTGATGACCAGACGCCGGAAACAATGGCATCGCGCCACGGGGATATTACCACAGCTGAATTCACACTTACCACTTTGCAGAAAGCAGACCTCATCATCACGCGACAGTGGTTACTCATGATGCTTTGGCAACTGGCAATATCCAACCTGCCGCTTGCGTCGCACGCGGCATCAAACGAGCCGATGGCCATGTCCCTGCAATTTCCCGCCCGGCTCACACGGGAGCTCCGCCAAGTCGTCGTCACTTTGGGAAGGCAGAGCGTGGAAAGACATGGCTCCTCGATCATCAAGAAACTCTTCGAGATTACCAACTCCCTAGCCGACGTTATTCTACATGTCTTCACAGACAGTGATGAGGAAACTTCCCAGAGGACAAACGACTTCACTTTCTTGTTAGAATTCTTGCAGGGCTGTGCTCCGCTTCCGTTGTATGAAGTCCAAATGAGGATACTGGGTGAGAAGAGTCTCGCTGTCAAAGCAGTGCGGCATCGGCATTATGTTAGTTGAATACGTGGACAGCCGTCAGGTCCTCACGAGCAATTATATTTTCACAATCTGTTGTTGTTCCTTAGAGACTATCAGCGATCATGTATCATATCATATCATGTACCACAATGATCATCGGCACTCTTCGGATTTAAAATGAATGAATAGTAGACATTTAACTCGGTAACCACTGATTGGCCATTGATGGGCGACGTAATAGAGAGGATCTAGTCGAAGAACGAAAGAGCCTAAAAGTGACGGCGCTGAGAATACCCAGCCGGTGGAGTTGTGGTGTCAAACCCCTAGGCGCACTTTGTCCCTTTGGGTTTGTGACGGGATGTTCACGACCGCATTCTCATTTTACTTCTCGAACATTTGTGCCAAGTAGATACATTTCACTATTGCTATCAACAAACGGGTTACCACTGATGGATTTTTTCTATCGTTGATTAAGCACCTAGGTGTGTGTATCCGTCGTTACATCAGTCGTGTCTCTTATTAGGAGGCGCTTTTCTTGGCCTCTATATCTATGATGTTTGACAGGAGCGAAGTTGGCATTGGGGATATGACTAAATTTGGTCCTTCTCAAACATACTGCGTTATCTCAAGGGCTAGGTGTAGTTCTCTCCACGTGGACGGCAAAGGATTCTTTAGCCAGGCCTGCCGGATCGACCTCCGCAACCGCGGTAGTTCGAAACTTCCGAGCAGGAACTCCGGATTCAAACAGCACATCTAGCTCGGCGAATGTCCTTCCTTTTGGTTCTGGCAACCTAAGGAAGGTCCAGACGAGACACAGGAAACAAGTTCCCGCAAAGAAAAATCCGCTTTTTGCGCCCCAGTTCCAGGCTGTGGGATTCAACATGGGCGGCGTAATGATGGTTGAAATGATATTCACGATCTGATACATATTTCTTGCCAGGACGACCGATTTCGTCCTCAAACGCGACGATGGCAACTCAGACACGAGCGTGTAGGCTACCGGCCCGACAGTGCAGTCATACAGGAAAGTATACACCAGGAGTAATGATCCGATGGTCCATTGCGCGGCGATGTTCGATCTGCCCGCCAGAGAGGTGAATCCGATCGTGAGCAATGTAACGCACATGGTTGCCAAGCCATATAAATAGATAGTGCGTCGACCGGCCCGGCCCATCAGAAACCATGAACAAAATGTACCTATCTGTGGAAGTATATTAGTATGTAATATGCAATGATAAGACTTAGTTTAATAAAAGAAGATATTAAGGTAGAAAAGACAATAAACCGTATGTTCCTATACTTACAGCTCCTAAGCAGTATTGCGCAACGGTCATGGTAAAAGAGTTGCTGACATCAAGCCCAGCCTGTTGGTAAAAATAGCTTGAATAGCCCATCAAAGGCGAACCGCTCAAGACTGAGATCATCCATGACATACAGACCAGCTCAGTGCGGCGGAGATTGACACCCCTGAAACATTCGAGATAGGAAGTACCGCTAGACGTCGCCTTGTTTAAATCGATAGTGTAAGTTATCATAGCTACGGTCTTTTCAATGCTGTAGGTGGAATCCGTCCCACTGGTCAGTCGACCGAGTGAACGTTTGGCTTCTTCAGTTCGTCCTTGTCGTACAAGCCACCATGGCGACTCAGGCACGAAGATGCAGCCTACGAACAGGGGAAGCGGCCAGAACCACTGCACAGCGATGGGAATTTTGTACCCCCAAGTATCAGTCCTGTGTACAAGGGCACGGAGGATACCGGATCCTAAGATTTGTCCAAAAACCCAGCAAAGATTAATGTACGTGGTCAGATAGGCTCGCAATTGTGTTGGAACGACTTCGGCAGCATAGGTACAAGCTACAGCCTGGAAACTGCCAAAAGGTATACCAAGAAGGACCTGACCGAAGAAGAACGTTACAATGTTTTGCGCAAAGAACGGAATGAATATGAACGCAGCGATTGACGCGAGTCCTGCCATCATGGTTTTGCGGTATCCAAAGCGGTCTGCGATATAGCCGTTGAGAAAAAGACCAATGATCTGGCCAACCATTGAGCCCATGGACAGGCCAGTCTGCCATTGAGCTGAGAGTTCATAGCTGCCGTCTGCTTGGAGAGCACCGTATTTCTCTTCGAACGCGGGAAACCCCAGAAGGCCGCTGAGAAGGACGAGATCAAAGCCTTCCATGACAATGGCGGTTGACAACATTATTGACCAGGCCACCCCTTTGCGATATATCTTCAGAGACCCAAGAAACCCCATCTCATGCTCAAGATGTGTAGCTTGAGCTGCATCATCGATGTCTGCCGACGTAACGTCGGCGGCAGGTTGATGGCTTGGAATTGATGCTTTGGCTTGCTCAACTTCTGGCTCGCCATGATGGGAAACATTGGCCTTCATCGTTGTCTGATGCTGCCAGGATGGCAGTGGTTTGGATGTAAACTGGAGTGAGCAAAGATTGTATATCCTGCGTGAGTGGATAAGTTGCTCTGTAACATGGTGAGAAGGAGCGGAAACCCGATTATTATATACACTGGCCAATTAGTGAGTTGTATTCGACTTCACTGAAGATGCATCGATTGGGTTTTCTCCCAAACACAGTCTGTGCATAATGAGTTGGTGAAGCCGGACCGACATTACACCAATCAGAATAGTGTACTGTTCCTTCGCGAGATCCGGGCTGGACTTGGCAAGCTCGGTTGTGAATTATGGGGCTGTTCCTGTTCCCCGCGGTCTGTGCGGTATCCTCTTGGCCCGCTTGCAATTCAATTGGGGTGGTCACTTTCAATGAATGTGCAGGAGTAGAACACCCCACGAACTCGGACCGACATATCGCCAATCAGATGTGTTAATATGACGTTTGGTTTCCTAACTTGGTCCTGGGCTCCTGGGGCCGGCTGGTGGTCGCGTCGAGAATGCGGGGTCGCCAAAGCTGGGGACAAAGAAAACTGTCCTGGTTTCTCATTCCGTCTTGCGGATTGATACAAATTAGAGCAACTCCCAGCGAATGAGGAGAGAGCACTATGTGGACTATTCTAGGAGCGACTCCAGTGCGTGTCGGGACGACTTTGCGCAAATGAAGAGATAGCGTCGTGCAGGGTATGCTCGAACTCTCGCTCTTTTCATGTCTGCTACGCTTCGGGAAACGTTTGATTCTGGCACCAAGTATAAATAGAGCCGTCATTAGGTTCATGCGGAAATTTCAACTAGGCACACAACCAAACTCCCATCAATTATTTGGGCATATACTACTCGTAGCTCCACCATCATCTACATCAGCCGATTCCGAACCTTTTGCCAGATTAAGAATTGACCGAGCACACGTATTGTCGCTCGGTCTGTATCTGTGACAATGACCGAAACCAGGGCGCAGAAATGGTGGAAGGAGGGTATCGTCTATCAAATATACCCAGCCAGCTTCATGGACTATGATGGGGATGGGCTGGGTGACATACGCGGCATCATTTCCAAGCTCGACTACATCAAATCGCTCGGTGCCACCACCGTTTGGATATGTCCCCACTACGACAGTCCGCAGATTGACCTAGGCTACGACATCTCAAATTATGAGTCAGTCTACCCGCCTTACGGAACTCTGGACGACATGGACGCCCTGATAAACGGATGTCATGCACGCGGATTGAAGATCATCGTTGATCTTGTCATCAACCACACCTCGCATCTGCACAAATGGTTCCAAGAATCCCGGTCGTCCAAGACGAGCCCCAAGAGGGATTGGTACATATGGCGGCCCGCAAAATACGACGCACAAGGCAACCGCAAGCCGCCAAACAACTGGCGTTCAAACTTCAGCACTTGCGCCTGGACGTGGGACGAGACCACGCAGGAGTACTACCTGCATCTCTTCTGCCCGGAGCAGCCTGACCTGAACTGGGAGAATTCGGACACCAGGAAAGCCATCTACGCCTCTGCCATGGAGTTTTGGCTGAAACGTGGAGTGGACGGTTTTCGCGTCGACACAGTCAACATGTACAGCAAGCCAAAGGACCTGCCTGACGCGCCGGTCATTGACCTAAAGTCAGAGCATCAGGTCGCAGGTAGCCTGTACTGCAATGGGCCCAGGATGCAGGAGTACCTGTCCGAGATGAACAAGGTCTTGGCGCCCTATGACACGATGACTGTCGGCGAGTGTCCATGCACACCTGATCACTCTAGAGTCTTGCAATATATCTCGGCGGCCGCAAAGCAATTGGACATGGTCTTTCAGTTCGACGTCGTGGACGTTGGAATGGGGACAGAGACCAAATATGACACGGCGCCCTTCAATTGGAAGCTCCCAGATCTTAAAAGGGCCATCTATAGCAGTCAGAAGATGATCATCGGCACGGATGCATGGACGACAGCATTCATGGAGAACCACGACCAGGCGAGATCAATCAGCCGTTTCGCATCTGATGCCCCAGAGCACCGTGTGTCATCTGGAAAGATGCTTGCGATGTTGAATACCACATTGTCTGGCACCCTCTTCGTCTACCAAGGTCAAGAGATCGGTATGATCAACATGCCGAAAGAGTGGCCGATCGAAGAGTACAAGGATGTCGAGTCGACCAACTACTACAAGTCCGTTGCGAAGGCGACAAATAACAACCCAGAAGCTCTCGCCAAGGCCAAGGTGACTTTGCAACATCTTTGCCGGGACAATGCGCGATACCCCATGTCTTGGGATTCCTCGGCACAGGGCGGATTCTCGACCAATCCCCAAACCTGGATGCGTGTGCACGATCTAGCCCATGAAATCAATGTTGCGCAGCAGGAAGCTGATGACAGGAGTGTGCTGGCATTCTGGAAGAAAATGCTAGAAACTCGCAAGGATTATGCGGAAATACTAGTCCATGGCTATTATGAAGTCATCGATGAAGAAGACGGGCAATTGTACTCGTACTGGAAGACGAACGGAGCCGATAAAGCTCTGGTAGTACTCAACTTTACACAGAAAAAGCAGGCATGGCGTTTACCATTGACTGAGTCGGGTGCGCAACTGATTTTGGTCATGTCGACACATGACCATCCTGATGACGAAAACCTGGAGGGATATGAAGGACGCTTGTACTTGTTGAACTCTACAGCATAGAATTTGAATACTGAGAAGCGTAGATAGATCATAGAAGAGACAAAAAGATCGACTGGTATAGTAATACACTTTTCCGTAACCTGAATTCACACATCTTTTTTTTTTCTTTTTCTTGGCGATTACTGGAATTACAGAGATTGGCAAGAGACTTATGACCTGGCTGACATTTGCTCCACTCTGTTCGAGTTACCATTCTGTTGTATTCTAACGCCAATAGAATCGCAAATCATATCTTACTCATACCGATGTCACGCTGAGACCTCGGTTCTAAAGCTATATGGGTTTCCCAATACGATCGCTACCCATTAATATTGTCTTCGCCGACTGAATCGTGCTCCATTTATGCTTCCCGACTCAGCAAAAGCTGCGGCTGTCTGGACCTTGTGGCGCGGCTCTTTTATAATCCTGCTTGACTGTATATGCGCTCCAATTGGACACCCCTTGACGGCGTGTCGTTTGATCACCATCTTCGACTTGTGAAACTTCAAGCCGCAAACTTGCTACATGTCTTTCAAGGTGATGGCTGCCTAGTTGTGCCTATGATCTTAGTCGGGCAGAATTAGCCCCTGTGCGCAACCTTTTGATTCTGTTGCAGAGGATGCAGCTCTCAGCCCAGAAACTCCACTCCTCATGGAGCAACCTATACCCAGGAAGGCGGTTTGGCTCTTTGTCGAAATATGTAGCACTGCATACTTAATTTGGCCTGAAACACTGGTTGTTCCATTGATAACGGCAGCGATCATGCTAAACTGCATCGGAGGATTCTCGCAAACGTGTAGGCATACTTTGATCCTCTTCGTGGGGATAAGGGGCAATGGGCATTGAACCCCGTCAGTAATAGAGACCAGTGTAACGCTGCAGATCTGATATGTTACAAGAATATAAACCAATAGTGCTTTGATCCTCCAATTCTCCGAGGAAGCCAGTACAGGGGTGGAACCTGGGGTTCGTAGTGGATGATACGCCAGTGATGCGTCCTCGGGAAGAGGGCTGGTGGAGCAAGGGCTAACCAGGCCAAAGAAACTCGGGGTAGCCCAGAGAATGATGGTGGTCAACCGCTGTAAATTAGGTAGGAAACATTGTGGCAACCAAATCTTACTAGATGACTTTCTCTTTTTGGATGAGAACTGGTTCATGCCATCCTTCGGTTTTCTTATGAGATTGCTCGCTCTTTCAATGTATATGCTGTGTTGCTAACCATTACGGAATGCATTCCGTAGCTATTTGACAACTTGTGAATAAGGTACAATTTTCAATTCCGAAATAGGATAAGTAGCAAGTTCTACCTAGGACGGCAACAAAACGATTTAGCATGGGTATGCATCTCAATTTCTCTTGGTATTAAGTAAGTGATAATACAGTTCAAGCGAATCTATGCAACAGTTTCTCTATAATCTCCATCCACACGTGTTGCGACCTTATCGGATCTCCAACGCATGTCGTCTTTGCTAAATGTCCACTGCGGCCGTTGAAATGTCCACATTAGAGGGAACCTCAAGCTCTATCTCGCCGAAATTTTAGATGTCGTACATACAAAAGCTTATCATACAGTGTCGAGATGGAATGACACAAAAGTCGTAAAGATCTGTCGATGACTGGGATTTGATGGAATCGTGATGAAACATCCAGGCTCGAGTGTGCGCCTTGCAAGAATTTAAAGGTCATGAAAGCCTTAAAACGAGGCAGTCGCAAAGGAAAATGGCCAAATGGTATAATGCAGACTGGAGCTGCTGGAATGCAACGCTGCGGTGATGAAGAATGAAGCAATAACGGCATGATTAGTGAGGTGACGTATCCGTGGTGTTCCATCTGCGTCGCGCGACATTGGCGCCTGGACTGATGAATGCTATGACTGCCAGCTCGGAGAATCGTCGAACAATGTTTGTAGTTCCGCCTGTGACCTTGGCTTCGTCCTGTACAAATTTACGGGCGACTGATAGTTTACTCTTTGGGTCGTTCTCGTCCAAGTGTTGTGGAAGCGTGCTCTCAAAATCTGAAGGGTAATCTGGCGAGAGAGCCCGCATGATTGCGATGGAATAAAGGACGTCACGATTCTCCCTCCCGTCAAGCAACATGCGTATCCTGCTCAGGATTTGATCGCGTTGAGATAGAATATCTGGATTGGGTGGGTCCCCAACCGGCTCAACGCGACAAAACTCGCCTAAATGATACCAGAAATCGAGTTCTCTGACGCGGTGATAATCGCCAGTTGGAGGTGGGCGCACCAATGGATTATTTCCGAGAATCTCGCCAGACAGTAACGCATCAATAACGACGACGCGATTTCGTGCCTCCGCTGGATCGTTGTCCGGAGGAATGACACTAGGCGGATTGATCTTGGCCTCGCTCGTAAGGGCTAGACAAGCTAAATCCCAGACCACACGAAACTCAACGTTGGCGGGCTCGTTCATGGCGGCTTGGTTGTTCTGCTCTGCCTTCCCCACAACACTGAGAAATCCTGCCAGCATTTCCAGAGTCGAATCTTGGAGCATTAGACGGTTGCCGGTCCATTCTTCAGTATACCACTTCGTCTCAAAGAAACCTTCCAGACCGGAAGCATATATCTCCTCATACAGACCGCGAATCTCATCCAGTTTAGGCTGGTCGGGAAAGACCTTAGGCTTAGGAGGCGGAGGATGACTCCAGTTTATGAGATCATCGACGCGCATTTTCTTGGCTGGGTAATTATAGTAAGCCGAAGTCCAATGCGGAGATGGGGCCGCGGGTTGCGGAGCAGAGTATGGATGAGGATAGGAACCGCCACCTCTCAGATTGAGAGTACTACTTGACGGCCGCTGGGCAATAGGGCTAATGATGGGCGCAACTGACTTGACTGGTGGTAGATGAGGTGTCGACGTACTCGGAGGTGCACCCACACTATCCAAGGCAGGATCTATGGCAGGGCCGCCGTACTCAAAGGGCTCGTTCTTCACAGTTGGGGGAGGGGCGGAATGGCTTGATTCATATGCGTTCGCAGGGGTGTTGCTTGTGGATGATGCGCCAGAGTTGTAGGAGCTGGGCAGGACAGAAGGCAGCGAGCCGTACGTAGCGGTGCTGCTTGGAGCTGTCGACGCCGATGGTGACGGCAGCGGAGGACCGTTGGAAGGAACAGAGGTAGCAGGTGCCGGATGGCTGCTATTTAGTGCTGGTTGTATGTTGCTAGGATGCTGCTGCTGTTGCTTGAAGATTGGGTCGTAACCTAAACATTCGCGCTTAGACTTTTGGCAATTCTTGCAAACAGGATGCTGTTCGTCGCACTGCAGATTGAGGTCAGTTTTCAGTGTGGTACGCGGGAGCACATTGGCCCCGGTTGGAAACCACAAAAAGGACAAAGCAAGGTCAACACAAGAAATCCAATTGGTGTAGACTGAAGCTAAGAGCACCTTTGACGTTGTGACAGAGTCGAGACAAGCTTTGCGACTTTGGGAATAGACATCCCAGAAACCGCAATTGAGTCTCGTCGGGACACGACACGACACGACGTCAGCCCGCGCAACCGCGTCTCGTAAGCTCAAGCTTTCAGTGGACTCGGGCAAGGCTTTGGATGGGGTGGGGGGGGGGGGTTCCGAAGCCGCGAGTGTGGGCTTTGGGCGGGCGCATACAAAATGCTTGCTTAGCCTTGAGCAGTGGCAGAACTTAGCGGCTACTCTAAGTTAGGCGGTTGTGGTTGCAGTGACAATCCACGCTTTTGACACTCCACGGCTCGGGCTCATTCACTCGCTTCGCAGTAGCTTGAGGCAAGCGATCTTCACGCGGAAAAAAAAAAAAAACCCCCCCCCCCCCCAATTGCATGGAGCCAAAGAAAAAAAAATCCACCCCGAAACTCTAGCGGTAGATCGCTTTATTTCAACTTCTGCGACGCGAATCACATGTGAAATATAAACACTGGCGGGCAGCAGATGTCGGAAATGGTACCGAGTGCTGGAGGAGCAAGAGCTTGAAAGTGGGTGCGATGAATGAAACATGACGACATACCTTTATCCTGCGCTTGCGGCATGTCAAGCAGCCCGTTTTCGTTCGACGTTTGATCTCCTATAATCCAGAAGATTTGACGCGGTCAGCCAGTGCTCACGTTAAGCCCTCCCTGAATAGTGATATCGGGGTGCGCTATAGGACCCTACCTTCTTGTTGCGGGGATTGCCTAGAAACCTGGGATCGGACGGTGGCAGTGCGTATCTTGACCCCATGGCTTCTGGCGGCAAGCTGTACGGATTCCCTGCGAGAGGAACCGCATGTCCGTAGTATGGAGGCATGCTGGCCTGCACTTGCATCATTTGTTGTGCCATCGGGGCCTGTTGCGCCTGCTGCTGCTGTACCGGGTCGAAGGTGCGCATGCTCGGTAGTGACATAGGTTGGTGACCGCCCGGATGACCACGATATGGATCGCCAGTGGCGCCAGAGGGGCTTCCATAGCCATATATGCCCTGCGAACCGTATGTTGGGCTCGGAAACCCGACAGGCGGTCTTCCATGACCTGGATGATGTGGCGGGTTCGACATGGCTGGTGGTGGGTTAGGAGGCAATGGCGCCGAGCCCGTCTGCAGTGTGCCGTGGACTTCAGCAGGCACGACGTTGGAATGTGTCGGGTCTGAAGTCGGGGCCGAGCCTGAGCTTGCGCTGGAGGGGTCGGTAGAGACAGTAGGTGCAAGAAGTGTAGTATGATTAGTCGGGGTCGGAATCGTTTCAGAGATTGGTGGCAATGATGGAAATATCTTCAGAGTGAATTTGTTCACGTCCGCCGCCGGGATATTAACGTCTTTCTCTGCTTCTCTTGCTCCGACAGCCTCAATCACTCCATGCAACTTTTGTGGATTGGTTACCGAGCCTACCCCCTCTAGTCGCAGGTTCTCTTGCTGATAGTAGTGCTCTTCTGGCTTCGTATCATGTGCTCGAGCTTGATCGTGCGTCGCGGGTGAAGGTTGCGTATGTGTCTCGCTCTCGCCGGGGGCTTGTGACCGCTGTGACGGGTTTCTGTCCAATGCGGAAATGGCAGGCAGATTACTACTCACAAGAGCAGGTAAATTGGTGCCATGACTACTGCTACTTGTGTCCTTGTTAACAATATCAGGAAGAGCAAGGACAGGTTGTGGTTGAGACGACGTGCGTGCCTGTGCCTGTGCCTGTGCCTGTCCCTTTGCCTGTATCTGTACCTCTGCCTGAGCTTGTGCCAATGGCTGTATCCGCGGTTCCTGTGCCTCTGACATATTGATTTGATTTTAATTTGAGGAATTTATGGAACCCAGATCAGGAACGAGCAGGGGGGACGTCAGTCGAGGCCGGCGCGCATCCAAGGGGACAAGGGAAACGAGGGCCGACCGGGGCAGGTAAACTGTTACTGGCGCACTTGGAAGTAGGGAACAAGGGACGGGGGGCCAGCTAGCACTCCGTACACAGGCGCAGGACAGGCAGGGCAGGCGCTGGGATGCGACGCGATGCGATGCTGGGCACGCGGCGCTACCTACTTACTGCTGCTTGCTGCTTGCTGCGTGCTGCTTGCGCTTGCTGGGGGAGCAGCCAGCGTTGCGATCAGTGGTGGTTGTGCGTGAGTTTGTGTGGAGTGTCTGGGCAGAGGTGTGTTGGACGCCGACGCGACCCTGGGCCGAGATTCCTGTGCTAAAGTGACCTACAGTAAACTAGCAGGAACAGTAACCCAAGACCCCAGTAACGCCCCGTGTCGTGCAAGAGGGAAAAAAAAAATACAAAAAAAAAAAAACCACCCCTCTCCGAAAAGAGCGTTGAAGCTAACGCGCCCAATTATTACGGACCCGGCCTGAAGTCAGCGCCTCGATCCGCCGAGAAAGTGACGGCTATTGCTCCTTTGGTCTTAGTGCTGTGCTTAGGCCCTGCAGCTCGTCCAATTCGGTGGGACTTGAGGAGTTGCAAGACCAGCCAAAGGGTAAATAATATGGTAAGGTTGGTAGCGCAACGGAAAGCCGTTGGATGCGTGGTTCTGGTGTGTGCGCGCGTGTCAAAAGTGTATTTGGTGTGAGTGTTAGTTACTAGGCGAAGGGTACTAAATGGCGTGTCCTGGGATGTACTGTCAGTAGTGTGTAGCGCGCAGCAGTGACTTGGCTATGTATTGTGGCGCGGCCGTATGTATGCACCATGCAAGTCAACTGAACGAAATGATGGGTGGGTGGGCGCGAGGGATGGAATTGAATGAGAATGCAGACACAATGATGAGACGAGATGCGTTATTCTGGCAATCGACCCCAACTATACAGGGTACAATGTTAAGGTTGGAGGGAAACAAGAAACGACCGACAATAATCCCTCGCATGCTTGGGCATCCAGGAGACGAAAAGTGCGTCAAGTTCGTCTGATCTCGTTACGCTTTTTACGCATTCCGGTAGATGAAATTGTTAGACGATCCTGAATCGTTTCTGTACCGATTGGCAAACAAATACACGTAGTTAGGCGATGCAAATTTTAGGGATGAGCTAAACAACAGGGGCAGCTGTCAATCCAAGCTATCATCAATCATACGGGCTACGTAAGTTTGTTTCCTTGAAGTTGCCCAGCGTCTATGCTTCGCCTACTCAAAGCAGGAGGTGTTGACGTTGGTTACGGTTCAGTACGGGGCCGAAGACGACTGAGGAAGGACACGCTGTAAAATGGTAACTCGGTAATGGATGGCTTGCGCACGTTATGAGCCTTTCCTATCCGAGTATAAACATCGCCCGTCAGCGGTCGCTAATAGACGCGATGGACTCCTCGCAAGCATAGCCTTAAGCCGGCAGCCAGTTCCTGGTAAGCAAGCACGGACAGAAATGTAATGTAAGCGATGTGAGTGGTATACTTGCTGATCCGTTGTTATGACCAAAGTGCCAGGTTGTTCAATGGCAAAGCGGCTTTTCCTTTTTTTCTTCCCTTTTCTCTTGGTGCCTGCTGAACGACAATTGATTATATCCTCCGCCCGGGATGACGCTTGCTGCATGCATAGAGGTGCATTGATGAAATGAGAAAACATGCGGCCACGGAGGCTGAGATTACTGCATGAGTATGTGGATTCTGGCGTCTGCTATTGACACGCATGATATGACCACCTTGTTTGACGGCGTTGTATTGTGTATGTTGATGCCAATCCCTTACTGGCCGACTTGCTGCATCCTCGGCCATATACGGCGCAGTACGTCGATCTTCCGGTAGCTTGTGAATGTATGTCTGTCTGTTTGTGTTTGTGATATTGTCATCAAACTTGCTCGCCGAGACTAGCGTGCAGTTCGTGGAGTCGCGCTGTTGACCGTTTGGTTTGGCGGATAGCTCGCCTAACAGCCTAACAGGGAAGTCTTCTAGAGCCTCGCTTAAGAAAAGTGGGAGCGATAGCCGAGACGGGACCAACACAGGGGGGCTTGCCTCGCTATGGAGTCACTGTTCGGCGAGCGGAACATTTTGAGTTAGGACATCTGATCAAGGCAGATCAAGGGATCGTCCGCGCAATGCTGCTCATGCTTCCGGTTGTATTTTTCGTCGTCCGAGGTTAGATTAGACCGGTCAATCAATTGCTTGGCTGATATTAGACGATAAACGATGTGATGGTACCTTGGAGAACTTACCTAAATGTCTGGGGCTGTGCGTTAACCTCGACCCATTAAAAGCCGCTGGAGGTCTCGTTTGGTTGAGGCTTAAATTCCTAGTCACGTACCTGAGCGCCCTAGTAAACCCCCCTAAAAAAAAACTCAAATCAATTGAACTCTTCTCCGCCCGCACCTTGACCGACCTTGGCCTTGGCCTTTGACCCTGACGATCCACTTGCCTCTAGAGCCCGCTGCCAAGAAATCCTTCCCATAATTATCAAGAGGGTTTCAATATTCCAACACGACAGGCCGACTTTTTCGGGCAATTCACATGTGAGCTTACGTGCCACTATTTGCTCACAAGCGGCTTCTGATGCCAGCGTGGTCTTTGTCTTGGGCGCATCCTTATGACATTCGTCGCTTGTCGTCCGTCACTCGACCGAACTTGGATGTTGGTACCCTGATTATTATGCAAGGAATCCCATATAGGTTGGCATTTCTCGGTCATACAACCCTACCCACATACCTGCGAAGCAACACCCAGTGCTTCGTCTGAGAGTTGCATTAGTCCTTGTACCCAATATGGAATGTAGTCAATCCGCCGTTCTGGCGATCGGGTGCATTGCTAGTATGGTAGTCGCTGTTGCCCATAATCCTGGCTCTGCCATGTCCGGGGCTCGTTCGTACGAACGAGCCACCACTCGTCCGGAAGTTAGAGTATTTGAAGCTTATGCTGAGGTCGCAGTGCATCTGTCCGTCGCACATCCTCCCTACCGATCCGCCTTATGGCCCCTTTGAGTGCTCAGGGCTCGGCACCCACATGGTAAATATCCCGTGTGGTTTCGCTTCAAATACCCGGATTGCCTGTGTCGCATCAAAGGATCTGATCAATACTCCTGGCGAGTCCTATATTCCACACTCACCGTTCGCTTGCGCGACTGTTTATCCGCCAACTGCACTATGACATGGCCATTCTGTTTAACGCACTCGTGCCGGCGGGACGGTTCAATTTGGACCTGCATTCGCTTCTCAACTCCCGCACACGGCTCGGGTGAATATTACTTCTTGTCTGCAGGTCCCTTTTGAGTCAGATAGCATATCACACATGGCAAACAACGTCAACCAGATGAAATACGAAACACCCGACTTCGTTTTATTCATCCGTCGCTAGCTTGCGATGACCCTTTCAGCCCTCACACCTCCTGTGTTGTGCTGACATGCCCATCGCCGTCTAGCCTCACTTTGGCCGCCGGTTCATTCATATAAAATATGTCGTGATTTACGGTTGTGAACTTCTAGCTCAAAATCATTTGTACAAGCTCTACAGGATTTATCCGGTAGAAATGTGTGCCAATGCCAATGCCCGTGCACTATCTTGTTTGCCCTTCTATCGCACGGTTCTCTTTTGTCTACTCCTGGGAAGGCATGGCCTCAGGTTTATGCGCTCATCAGCGTTGGAGGCAGTTCGTGTATATTCTTATCTGTAATACAGGACGTAACGTAGTGGCTGAGCATCAACAACAGCCGCACCGGAGCGTCGACCCCTGATCCTAGTTTGCCGAAATGTGGCGGCAGAGGTTGTAATCATGTTGACGATCTATTTTATGAAGCAATATACCAGGAGGCTTCTATGTATGCCGGCTGATAGCAATGTCGCCATTAGCCTCTGCCCATGTGTGGCTGTCCTACGGTCCAGACTGCGGTCCAAACTGAGGCTAGGTTGCGGCTCCAGTCGCGAAAACCACTTCATGCCATCTATCTGTAATAGACTCCAGACGAGAAAGACCCAAGTGTTTTAACTTCTCCTTATCTGAGCGTTGTCGCAACATCTTTCTTTGTTAAATGTGCAGGAACCAAGGGATGGACAGGGCCGCTGTGGAGAACCGGCCCGGTCTTCCAAAAGGGCCACATGCGATGCTCACGAAACGCGTCAAATTTTTCCGAAAACGCACAGTTGCAGGGGACTACAGGAGTGTAATTATTCCATGCACTCGAGGTGCTCTTGACAAGCTCCAGCCCGACGTCATTGATGTGAGTCGACCAGATACACTGCTTAATCTTTTTTCTCACGCGCAGCGACTCTATTTTAATAAGGGGGGGGGGGGGGGGGGGGGGGGGGTAAAACAGAATACGAGCATCACAAGACCCGTGGCTAACTACAACTACCTCAACACATGTCTCTTGATGTGATTCGGTGCACAACGACCCTTGATATTTAGATGCCTCAACTTAATTTGAACACAATTTCTCTTCTTATTGTTACTTACACCTAAAGACGTTCCTATTTATGAGCAATGGTTTGAAAGTCGTTCAAAACCGTCACCCCTCTCCAGTCACAATCAACATACAAATCTCTCCGAGCTCGTTTATATTGCCGCTCTTGGATTTGACAGCCTAGATGATTTACTATGTGATGGTTGGTGCTATACGGCGTTATTTGACAAATTGACTGGCATCTGCGGCAGTGAGTTTACTGTGCTTTGCTGACACGATTTAGTACTCGCCCTTAATATTAGAGCTTTTGTACGGTGCATAATGCGTCCAATTTGAATCTTGCCAGAGGACGTTCCAGAGCAGATCTCATCCCGACGTTGTAGCAGAGTCCAATGACGCACGATACCAACGTCACGGCGAGCTTGTGTCAGCTGATAATCCCCAAAACATTTGGGAGCGTTAATACTGGCACATTTGTGCCATATATTTGTGTATATAACTTTATGTTATTCATATTCTCCTGTATTTATGTAGTAGGAACCAGGACGTGTCAAATAGAGACGTTTGCTTTCACTCAACGCAGGAGCCGTATACGTTGACATATTGCTATAGCTAAAGGAGAACAATTCTATTACCTACGTTAACAATCTTGGCATCTCTGTAAGATATTAAAGACTTATTGATAAGACGCTAGGTCATGTATTCCGTTTACGTTCTCTTCATTCATACCATAAGTTTTGAACCGATTACTTGAAGGTCAATACAACTTCCATGATAAATTCAACCTCTCGTTCGGAAACGAGTCTCATGTCCTAAATAATCCCAGAACCATATGCTTTGAACAGATAAGGTATGTACGGTACGTAGCCAAGTGTCATGGTTAGCCCTTTCTTCTTCAACTGGAATCCTGCTGACAGATCCTGTCGAGATATCATTGATTTGAGAATAGGCATTTTGTATATATTGGAGGTCCGCGTGCAAAGATTGGGCTCGGATAGAGTGAGCATTTCTAGAGAAGCAGGTACTGGCAGATCGGGGTAGGTTGTGCAAAAGGATAAGTGGGTCTCTCCTGAACTCTAGAAATGACATTGTGAAAAGCAGGAGGTAGCTTAAATTCGTGAAATTCCGCCACAGCTCGCTTCAACAACCCTAATAAACCAGTTTAAAGAGACTTTCTAATCAAGGATTTCAGATGGCTCCCATTTCTAATTTGGGTTAGAGGAATCCTACCAATGATGGCGTGGATAGGTCCAGCCAGACTAAGCGTACATCCCCATTCCTAGAGAATAGTATGAACAGGAAAAGTTAAAAGATATCCGTAAAGCTTATCAGACTTTTTTATGATTTAAGCATATAGAGTACGATTGAGACTGTCTTGTCTTGCTTGTATTATGATTTATTTCTATCTAGTAATACCAGTGTGGTTACATTTCGTCAATACTAAACTAGCAATATGATGGTATGCCAACGCAAAATCAGACGACTTCGCATTTTATCTCACTTATCTCACTGTAGTCATAGCATCACTGACAGCCTGCCGTATCTTTGGTAATGCGGGCGTGTAACGAAAACCCCTTTGCGCCGTCGTCCTCTAGTCCCGGCCTCAAAGTTAGACTTGGTAGTTCATAGTCTCCGCCGTTTTGGCGACGATATGCGATGGGCTTCGTGATGGGCAGGTTTTTCAATCTCTGGCGAAGATCATGGCTTGTTGCCTTAAAGATTGCATCATCTGCCCGATCGGCCTGATATATAACGAATGACGGTAGAATTTCAAGGCCGGTATAATAAAGCATTCCATGTGTTATGGGGAAAAGTATGTCCTCAATAGGGCCACTGATCCCTCGGGGGGAGTAGTGTTCTCTCCAGCCTCCGATTGTTACGATCAAGAAGGCACGCTTCCCAAATAGCTTCCCTTCTCCAAATCGGTCGCCACATCGTTTATCGCTGTGTTCCCCAACGCCGTATGCAAAGCCGTACGAGAAAACTCTGTCGACCCACCCTTTCAAGATTGCGGGCATTGCGTACCACCAAAGTGGAAATTGTAGAATAATGGTATCTGCCCATAAGAGCTTCTCTTGTTCTTGCTTGACATCATCCGTGAGTGTGCTCAACGCAGTAGCCTCTCCCGATGACATTGCCACCCTTAAACGGGCATCGGCCGGGACCTGCGGGAAATCAGCACGGTCAACTTGTGATTTCCATTGCATGGCGTAAAGGTCAGAAACCTGAACCTCATGGCCCTGAGATTCTAGTTCATTGACTGTGACTCGAAGAAGGGCGCCGTTCAGGGATTGCGGCTCCGGATGAGCAAAAATGATAAACACTTTCATCTTGGTAGATCGCGTAGTATCAGGGAGAGCGTTGATACTGTCGATATGTGGAGGCCCAATGTCTCGGATCGCCAAATTGTACTTGTATAGGAACTAATCGCAGCGGCACAGCAAGCGATGGAACGTTGAATCACGTAATCTTACGGATTGCGGCTTACGAATACTGTTCGAATTGACCAATCGGAGGTTTATTTCGAATCCGCTTACGATTAAATATTCACCCGGCTTATAATCCATACTATTAAAACTGATCGTGTGATTACAAAGAATCATCCATCTCGATGACTCTGTTGTAGTGGCGGCAGTCAAGCATTTTCCACGGTCAGGTCTCTGTGCTGTTGCTGATCTGCGAGGACATCCAAGTCAAAACATGACCAATACTTGCTCTGTAATTACGAAGCAAAGAACAACTGTAAAAAGTATTCCAGCCCAGGACCCATTGCGCCTGCAGTCAACTATCCCTCAGCAGCTCTTAGTACGTGATCACCCAACCTTTAAGGCGTTTGGTTGTATCCTGGTAGGGCCGAGCAAAGATCAAAGCGGAGGCTTCTCCTCGTTAATAATTGCTGATTAGTGTTCGTTCCGTCAGTTTTCGTCCATGAAAGAAGGTCCCTGACTCAACGTAGTCACGGCTGTGACGAGAGAACTTTTGCGACAGGTAGTACAACTCTCATACCGCCAACCTTATGCGTACGCATTTTTCCGTCACTCCAGCCTAAGAACTCGACATCAATTTTAAAGAATATCCCGCTCAATGACACAGGTTCACATCTAATCAATGCAACGTGTGGATATGACAAGTGACGTGGGTGTAATGACTTGTGTGGTTGTGATAGACTTACCTAGCTTGATCTATGACTAACCATGGAGAAAGTTCAATTTCGGCACATAATTCTTGTGAGTTAGAACTTCAACTCGATGTTACTTTTGTTTTTGCCGTGAAAATCTATCACTGTGTGAACCTGCCAGTTCTGGCCATCCATATCCTTAAAAGTGCAGGGTCTGGGTAGCGTGTGATTCGAACGTTTCTGAAACTGGCGTCGATAGCTCACTCGAATAATGGTTCTTCCAGAACTTTATGTGTCGAATTGGTGTCACTAATGCGGCAGCTTACGATTTGACGTATGCGCTGCCTCATGGTGTAGATTCATAGAGGCGTCTGATACTACCTCTTTGAGTTTCAGTCTTGCTTCCGTGGCGTTACGTTGTATGCCACAAGCGTTACTAACTACTTGTCAGCTGAAAGCAAATCAAGGATGATTCTTCAAAACGTTCATCACGACACACAGGAGTGACTAACCATAATTCGCCACCGCTGGGTAATCATTAACATTTCAATCAATTTGCCCTTCCAGCCGGGGCACCGTTCTGGGTCAGTCGGGAACTTCAGAGCATAACCGACAGGATGACATCTTACCCCGACAGGAGGACAGAGTAAGAGTCACTGAATCTAAGAGCAAAGAGTGAACAGGTCACATTAATTAGGATGATTAACTCTTGTCCAGTCTTTAGGTGTAAAGCAATCGATATCGTCAATACGCGCATAGGTAATTTTACAAATGGACCTCTGTGGTGTTTTTACAAGCAACTTGATCGACATGTCTTGATTCTCTAGCTTACGACACAGCCATTGTCAAAACAATCTACTGGCCAGTCAAATAACCCCGTACATATGGCTTCTCAATGCTTCATTGCCAGTTGTTGAAAGAATGAAAACCAGGAATTACGAGGAACGTAACCCAGGTATCGCGATTGCCACCAGGCTGCGAATGAGTCTACGTATAGTCAGCTTAGTGGATTATAGATGTACCGTTATTGTCTTACCTGCGAGGGGCCCCTCCAGAGTGAACCCCAACGTCTCGAGGACCCAGGGCATTAGCAAAGATAATACACCAATCGCCACAAGGGTGAAGAAGATGGTCGCCGCCTCAGGATGCTTTTCAACGAACTCGAAAAACATATGAGTGCATTCTTCGGCAGCATCCGATATTCTTTTCAACTCTTCACTCAAATCCGCACCATCTTTCAGGATCTTGCTTAGTTGTTCGAGTATAGACTTGGCAATATCCTCCGACCACCCCTGCCCATCGACAATGTCCAGCAAGTCGGTTTTCTTGATCTGACGGCTACTTTTGACTTGCAATAAAACAGAAATAACTTTGTTTGCAACCTCTTCGTTAGTGGGGTCGTGGTACCAAGCTCTTTCCGTGTCCTTCTCTTGAACATCTGCTTCTCGAAGCTGCCCAAAAAAAAAGCGCCCGACGCTCTCGCAAATCGATGTCATGTTGAAGTATCGGGCAGATTTGTCGAAGTGGTAGAACTAAAATACAATTTCAATCAGCCTCGTTCATCTCTTTGTATGTTGTACATCATTTTACATGAAAAATAAGCGTGCAAAATCACGGCTAGCCGCTTGATTTTGTCTGATTATATTGTAAGGAAATGGTGAGCGAGAAGCGCGGGGAATGGCCAGAGAGTTTTGACAGTAGAGCCGTACGCTAGATAAATACCTTCGATGGCTCACTGACGTGGCGACTTGATCTAAAGCATGTAATCTCTGCTACAGACGTTTGATTCGTGGAACCAGTTAGGCAGATTCAAATGAAAAGCCTATTATGCCTCAGGCTATGCAGGTGACGTTTGTGTGTAACCTTTGCCATGTCCTGTACAACATGGCCAGCTTGCAAACGTCGCCTCGCCGTTTGACATCTGTAATGCAATACATAATACAACTATAGTCATGGCATAGAGCTACGTTCAGCCTAGTTATTCATACTAATTGTTCGGTTAACATGAGTAACATCTTTTGCTATCTGATGGCTAAACCAAAACATTTGTTCATGTAATTCAAACTACTCAAGTCTAACAGAAAAGTCGTCCATTATAAGAATAGCCGGCGACAAAGTGTGTAATCAAGACAATCAAAAATGGAGAGGTGAGGATCTGGCTGGATCTGCATGCGATTAAAAGGTCAACATAAGAGTGAACAAACCATCAACATTAAATCTTCAAAAAACCTCCAACGAATGCCGAGTGTAAAAATTCACAATTTATGAAAATCTGTAAAGTGAATAACGTGTAACATGTTATTGTTGCATTGTTTACTGCCATGAAAGGATATGTGTAACAAAACTGCATGCCTTGAGGTATGCGATCCAATGCCTGGTGGTAGCAACGTGTCGATTCTCCAAGAACAAATTCCTTTACAGACAGTACACATAAGCCAATAAAACATAGAAAAGGGTGTGTGGGATAACGCGTGTGATTATCCCTTCTAACCCTTTCACCCTCCTTCTTTGTTCCAGTTAATCGATCAATGTATCAAGCAACAAATATCAGTATAAAGCGAGTCGAATCTCGAGCGCATAAACCAATTCCAATTCTTTTTAGGTATAAACACATTAACAACACGCAAAATATACTGGCATCTGTCTCTCACTCTCAAGCACATCAGATAGAGTCAATTAGTCAATAATCGCGTCATATTGAGCTCAATCCTGCGACCACCGTCAAACCACGTAGAAGATGTGCACTATATACTGGACGACGACTTGGTGTAGAAAATGCAAGGAAGCTTCCGAAGAAAACAAAGAATGGATCCCGTGCAATCGGAGCTTTGCGGACAATATTGACGACGCCGAGCTTTGCGAAAATAGGGAAGACGGGGATGCTCAATTTTTGAAAGTTAACACATGTTTCAAATGTGAAGAAGAGGATGACTATGAAGAAGAGACAGAGGCCTAGGCTCATGGAGACGTTAGATACCAAAGGCCGTGGCCCCACGAAACAGTCGGAGCAGAATATTTATAATGGCTTCCGGGAGTGTGATTCAAACGCCACCAAGCCAGTGGGACACCATACATTTCGGGATCATAGGATGAATTCATTGATGGAGTAGATGAGTTCATCTGTGAAGTGAGTGGCTTGTATCGTGTCCTTGAAATCATCAGGGCAGTATTTTGTAGGTAGCTAGCATTAGAAGACTGACAATATTAGCCTTGGCCATTACATGGACAAGTAAATCAAATCCCAAACTTGGTGCTGGACCAGAAGTTAAGCGTCAGACTCGAGTTCCCATTCAGATTATGAGCTTAGCTAGTTGGTGATTTTCAGCTTGTGACTAGGCTCATAGCCTTAGTGTACATATAAAACTCGTCTTAAAGGACTGGTGCGGTAATAAAACTGCTGCTTTTTGGGAGGTTCAATGGTGGCTAACCACTGGTTGAGATCAATTCATTCCCTTAGTTCTTTTTTAAAAAGAATTACCATAGCTAGAAACTACGAAAAATGTTGAGAGCCTGGCACATTACATGCTTGTATGAAGATGTATATTGCCCGTCTGCAGAATTAGCTGAGTAAGCCCTTCCCATAAAGCTATCATGACTCTCATGTTGTATATCTAGTGTTTTAACTTCAAACAGAGACAAAAGATTTCAGCGACCATGACCTCGATATCAATTTCTTGTAACACAAAAGTTGTGACTACGTCTTGTTAATAGCCGTGTACCCTATTATATGCTCTACACCGGTAGGAAATGTGCAGAATGGCAAAGACGGAGCTATCAAGAAATAATATCCTTTTGTAGTCGGTTACACGGCCGGGAAAGAAAAGAAAGGGCTTTGAAAGATCACCCATATCTAAGAAGATTAAATGCCTCAAAAGATGTCCTGGCAACGTTACAAACGCAATATACTAATCTATTTAGGTACAACCACTTGCAAGTACCACGACTTGGGATCAGTGTGATCTAGGTTACTCTTATTGACACATGACTGGACTAGATACTACAGCACCATATGGCAGATGGAGCTAGCTCGTAGATGGTACTCAGCGGCGATCAGTTGATTTCGAAGAAGATGACGGGAAGCTTGGTGAGAGAAATTGAAAGTGCAACGAGAAAAACATCCAATTCAAAAGCTGGTAAAGTATTTTAGGTCAGTACAAGTTTGGCCAAGTTAAGCATGGCAAAATGCGATGAGCGAGTCACAAAAAGCTGTTTTATTTGAATTTTGACCAGAAATACCTCAGGCAGTTTCTGATAGTTCGTATAGAAATATATCCATCAGCCAGGATTAGAGTTTCTCACATTCTTTTCGCCAATTCTCTACGATTGACCGCAAAATTTCTGAACGCGCTCAACTGGGCACAGGTAATACTCTTTAAAATTTCGACTATGTGGAATGATACCGAAACATTCATTCTTATCAAGAAATGTAACGTTTAAAAGATAATTGATCTACGTAGACATGAGTCATCTCCTTTTATTGAATCCTTTCCTACCATAAAGCTCCACACGGTGAACATCAAGGAATCACCATGGTGCAGGGGATATGCAACAATTTTAGCAAGCAAAGTAGAAACCCAATGGAAGATGGTACACCTAACGTAGGCATCACACGTTCGCCAACAACGCCAAATCTTACTCCGTATGATATTATCAACCAGGCTCAAAGCCCAGAATACAACAAAAGACGATTTCAAAAGCTAGTTAAGATGTACCATCCTGACAGATGGCAGCATACCATTTACCACGGCATTCCCAATTCAATAAGGGTGGAAAGGTACCGTCTGGGTGTTGCGGCCAACGTCATATTGTTAGATTCCGTGGAGAAGAAAGCATACGACGATATGGGTATTGGCTGGATTGTGAGGGTGAAATTGCTTTTGATTCAAATACAGCTAACCATAGTTCTGATGGAGCTAGATGGATATGAAAGCCGTGCGGGATGCGATTTGGTAAGGGTGGTGATGGATGGAACGAGAACACAGACCGAGCCAGAGGTAAAAATGGAAACAAGTTATGGCCTTCGCATGAACGAGATTTTCGGTGCGGTGATAATGGTGTTAATAGTACTCCGTGATTGTGTTCGGTCTGCCAGAGCAGACCACTTAGCGAAGAAGGTCGCCAGCGCGGCCACATTCAGAAGGTTCTCAGTGATGAATTGCAGCAAATCCACTGAGGTTCTGGGGCGACAGTCGTCAACGACTGATCGAAGAGGTTATAGAACGCAGATCAGTAGGAGCTTATAAGATGATCTGAAGCACGAGGGATTTCCTATGTTGTGCTTGTTGTTACAAAGTGGTGAGCGCTTTGGTGGATAATTCCAGGCATGGATACAAGTAGCAATGGAATCGATAGGTTTGGGTTCGTGCTGATGGATTTAATCCTTCACATGTGGTAAGAAACAGGGACCATCGGCTTTAGCATGTTATTGCTTGATCATCTCAGTAAGCTGTTGTAAACGAAGGTAATTGAGCATGGTGCTCACAAGTGCCTAAGACCTTTTTAAATCATGCATGAACGGCAATGCACCATGAAATTCTAATCTGCCGGTACAGTCACGCCCATGCATATAGGTATGTATATGGTGCTGGTGACGGCTCTATCTCCGTATATAACCTGAAAAATCCATTGAATATCCATAGCACACCTCAAGAACGGTGAAAGTCCCTGAAATTTGAGGTCGGCAGGCTTTAGTGAATTAGCCGATCCGCCCATATATTATCCCAATTGTCAAAATGAGACGAAGTCATGAGGAGCAGGTTGATTGAGTAGTTAGTTGAGGATCAGTGAGTAGCTATGTGTGCGGTAGCACACATGTTATATATATGGTAGGTGGTTGGTAACCTTTTTCAACACCTACGACCCTGGACCGTCTGTGAATTTTTCACCCCTCGATTGAATGAGAATCAAACGCCAAACTTACAAACTTAAGCAGCATTTATAATATTCTATTTAGAAGTGGAAAGTTGTGTGATTTTAGGTTACATTAACTGCAAATGTTACAAAAGATGGGAAGGGGGGTGAGCATTGGTGCGGCATTCGTCGGTAAGATCCAGGAGGGTCATCGTGTACTACATCACACGACTCGGTAATAATGGCACGTCCATATGACTTGATGATTTAAGAAGGCGATGATGTTAATTGGGCTTCTTTTAGCTGACATTGGGCCCATATTTTCATGGATGACGCATAGGCGTGGTGGCGTCAAGGTCATTAGCCGATCCGATTGTGACCTGCGCGGGACGGAGTAGAAAAGTAGAAGTGACACATTAGAACATATATACCATCGGGAAATCTTATTAGTTGTTTTGTCAAATTCAAGCAGTGATCCTCAAATAGAAACTGGCATGATCGCCACTTCAAACCCTGACGAGGCTTTGGCGAGAAGCCACGTCTCGAACACTGGATAAGAATTATGAATTCTATTATGTATTTAGAGTCACTGATGATTATCGGATCAGAAAACTTTTCTGGACGGGAGAAGACTACTGTCGTTTGACAGGATATTATGTCTAATATCTGCTGACACGCAACCTCTGGAGAAGAGAAGCGTGACCTCGAAGCGGCATTCGTTATATGTTACTACTACATTAGATATCACGTAATAATAGATACGGGATGGCAAAAAGGGCATCCCTCCTGCACCATAAATTGGATAACTAAATCTAATTCCCAATTCCCAAAAAGCTTCAAATGATACCTATAGCCAAGGTAGTGGCGGTCAACGTCGTAGATACAATTGAAAACGATGACGGGCCCGACAAGTAAGGTAGCACAGAGGACCTGCCATAAAAGGAAGTACAACCCCGTCTTGGACGGTCCGAATCTTTTCATAAGAGAAGGTGCGAGCTATGTGCTAGCGAACTCAGCCACGATGGAAGCCATGCGTAAACCGGTAATATGAGAAGAATTGAAACCGAAACTGACTAGGTAGGCAATGAGTTAGCCGGCGAAGTACAGTACGGCCCACCAAAGAATGCAACCAGCGAATGAGGCAAAGAAGGCGGGCGAGCGCGTATATTCACGCCGAGCAATTAATTTTAGCATCAACCGTCTCTCAGGAATGACGAAAACTATTTTTCTCGTTGAGGTAGTCTAGCGAGAGTTTTTGATTGTCAAAATTGCTACTTCGATTGGAAGTCGCATGCTGTACGCTTGACGAATACACCATTTCTCAACGAAAAAAAGAAGCCAGATTCCAGATCATGACTCCTGAAATAGCCAAATGAGGTGAAGAAGAGTCTATGAACCCTATAATAGTCGGACTGATGAGCTTGTAGGCCATGGCAATCCTGCACAGTGACGCATTAAACTCTTCTCGCTTCAAGCTGTGCATCGGCGATAACAACTACCAGTCCCGTTCCAGAGCAATCATACTTGCTACGAATGCCAGTTTCTCTACGGAAACAAGCAGAATCAGAGCGATAAAGTCAGTGAGAGACAGCAGTGGTAGACCGAACTCTATTTCAGGATTTGGAAGTTGACGCATAATTACGAGTAATAGGCATGATATGACTACCAGCCATTGATATGCAACCGACATGCGCATGGCATCAAGTCAGTTCTGATCATTGCTGAAGATGCCTATGGAAGGAACGAAAATCACTGCTGCCAGTGGTCGAGCCAGGCCATATGAGGGAAGAAGGAGCGTCAGGCTAAACTCCGAGCCACGCAGAGCCCACGACGGGAGGAGCTGGGATGCATAGACAGCGCACACAGCATCGGGCTGTTTTGAAGAAGCAGTAAGAGCTGTCGACATTATTGAGGGAGGTGTACACGGCTGCGGGATTGCGTAGGCTGATGCACGACGGAAGAAAGCCGCCTGCCGGGGGCCGACGAAAGTGGGAAAACAACCACGAGCAGCTTTGCGCAAGTTCACAACTCTAAAGTTTTGAAAGTAAGCAATTGCCTCTTTGCTGATACTTTAATCTTAATTAAGTATTTGACATGACTATGAGTCCGTATTTGTATTCAAAATTTCGCTAAACTAGTGTACACGTATTCTGTAACTGGCCGGGTGCATTCCAATCTCGGTGCTTCGTATTCAATCAACTCCTGATCAGCCTTTGAGTTAATATGCTCAATATTCGATAGCCCAATCTCTGGATTGTGGTCCTTCGTGACTTATAAAGCGTCTCGTCCTGTGAAAGATTGATATCATAGCTGCGGAGCACGGCGCGCTCTTTGTACTTCCTCTTCGTCGAGCTCCTATCTCGGGATCTGATCATGGCCCCCGCTATGACAACGTCAGCGGAAGTGGCTGTGGCTCTAACAAATACATCATCAGCCCCAATGATGATGGACGATGGTAATATGAGCAATATGACCATATCGCCAATGGAGCCTATGGCCATGACATTCTTCTCCTCCCAGAATACTTCGCTTTTCTCTCAGGCATGGACACCATCGACAACAGCTTCCTATATCGCCACTTGCATTTTTCTTTTACTACTTGGTGCTGTTATGCGTGGCATGCTAGCCATCAAACCAGTAATAGAGAACGCGATATGGAAGCTTCAGTCAAAGAAACATGAAATGCTTCTTTCAGAAGAAGATTGCAGCGAGGGTATCGACTATATGAAGCATCATGGTCATATACGAGATGGCGATGTAGCAATTGGAGGCTTATATGGCATCCTCCAGGGAATGGTAAAGCGGTGGCGACCCTGGAGATTTAAGCCGAGCGTATCGCGAGCTCTTTACGAAACGTTGTTAAGTATAACTGGGTATCTACTGTGAGTAGCGTCCGTGTTTTCGATGTCTTCCGACAGACCACTAACCGCACCTGGAAGAATGCTTGCTGTTATGACAATGAACATTGGTTACTTCTTCTCAGTTATAGCCGGTGTGTTTCTGGGTACTTTCGTGTTGGGGAACCTGGCGACCAATAGTGCATTATATGAGGAAAATCATTGTTGAGAGGTCTTCGTCGTTGTGGACATCCTGCGTCTATTGCATGATGCTTCAGACCGTTTATTCTTTTTTACTTGTGAAGCAGCCTGGTTTGAATCTTTGTATTTATACTTTGAAAAAAAAAAAGGAATTGTCTTAGACACAGGTGGTGCAAAATTCAGATCAAGAATTCAGTCGCGCGGTGCATTTGAACGAAGCCTTTTCCGTCATTATAAACTAGGTTAGCCGATTTTGCCCAAATCGTCGATTGTTACGTTGTAGCACACAAATCCGACACCGAAGGGTTGACTTCTCGATACAGTACATGGAATGAGAGATATGAACCACTCGTGATGGGGTAACTGAGCTTGATCGTTTCCTTTTTCTTCTCTTTCGGACGTATCCTTTCATCCGTCCCAAACATTCTAAGCAGGTGTATTTGAATCGATTGTGCCTCTGTCAAAATGCCGGTCCCCACTGCTTTTCTAGGCATCACGCGGATACGGAGTATCAAGGCGCTAGATCAGGTGGATACCTGAGGCATCCCATTGTGGCCTTACACAGCACTAGGTTAGAACTGTGGCGCGGCTCTGGCCGGAATTAAATTCCCACTACTGTACAGATTGCAGAGGCATTTATTGCATGCTTGATATCAGGTCCTCTTTGGCGGTGATAGCGGTTCGTTCATAAACCCGTTGTTTGTGGACAAAGATTCTTCCACACACTCCGGTTGACCCAATTGCATCGCTATTTTGAAATGGTCCCGGCAAGTGCTGCGGCTAGGGGTATGTTCTTGGCATTACATGAGAAAGTTTGAGGTCATTATTATGGTGCAGTTTGTTTTTATCTACGAATGCTCTCAAACACTTGCAAAGAGCTAATGGTAATGCATCAACGTGCATTGGTCAAATTAACAATACTGATAGTCCCTACGCGACGTGTTGTATAACAGGTTGCCAAGCTCCCCGGGCCAATCCGGAAGTCTCACTGAGCACGATTGGTCTGATCGTTTCCTAGCCTGTACCAACCATTCGATCATCCTCATTTTGTATTCATCTTATATATTATATAGTATAAAAAAGGTTCAGCTTGACTCCTTGGCGCCCTGCACGCCACGTCCCCGGTGTCGTTCGGAAGTCTTAGCCGGCCTCTAGATAGATATTAGCTTTTCCTGGCTTTTTACGCCTGTTCTAGGCTGCGCGACGGAGTGTGCGATTTACTCTTCTTGTTGTTCCTCGGGGTGGATAGATCCCTCCGAGACGAGAGCATTTTATGAAATCTAAACGCTAATGACCACTTGAATACGGACCCGCACAACCCTTTATTTGATTATTACCCGTATTACCTTCTTAGAAGCCGAACGAAACGACCTTAGGTCGTTTCGTTCGGCTCGTTCTATTTACTTTCAATCGTCTATTTTGTTTTCTATTGATATATGGGACCCAGTAATTAAAAATCAACGACAAACTATGACCCTCAGACAGTAATAACGGATTCCACCGTCAAAACAGAGATCGAAATCCGCCCGCTCTGCCAGCATACACATTTGCCATGAACCCGTCTCCCCTGTCAAGGGAGATGACGTAGTTCAAAAAGAGGTTCAGGCTGGCGTGCTGAGAGCTGAAGCAGGCACCCAACATGATCCACCCGCTCTCCCATTGCCACTTGTGCCATGATCTGGTCAATAAACTTTTGCTAGATGCTGTAGGAAGACACTATGGGGTCACTTGTTCATTTTTTACATCTGCTTTTGTGGAGTACTCGCGTATGCTGGTATTTCCAGTAGTATTATTACGCTGTGCTACGCCTTACTTTCGCCAAAGCCCTGGACAGCTGGGTCCGTACCGAGGGATATCTCTTCTCGCTCATGACCGCGACCCTGGCACTCATCTTGATGACTGCTTGTCAAACTCTCGAGATGCATGCCCCAGCTCAAGTGTTCTACACACTTAGCAATAATTTCATCCACTACAGCAGGATATATTGATGGTGAGGCGTGGTACTGCTCTGCCAAGACGTAGACGTGCGCAAAGTTGACCAAATCATAGAAACATATCATCTGAACTTTGAAGTATTCAGTAGTCTGAATTATAGACTACAGAATGGGTCAATAGCGTTGCAATAATCTCGTCTTTTCGCATTCAATTCCGCGCTGGACGGGCTATTTCGATTGGGTAAAAGGCTTGCACTCTCCTCGGTCCCCCCTAAGTAATTGCTTATTAATCAAAACCAGTCAGCACACTTGATAATGTTTGAAACTATTCCAGTAGTTTAGGCATGCTGAGCTCGGACTTGAAAAGATGTACTAAATGTCATAAAAGCCGTCATTTCATCCAATATCGCAACAAGATTTCGGTTTATATCAGAAGGTATGTTGGTAATTTCATCCAGACTAGCCAGGGAAAGACCGTTAATCTAAGTGGATAGATCGTCCACCTGAGCCGAAGCACTGAACTTCCTCTTTACCCCTGTGCGTCGGTCTTATTCTTGCCAACACCGATGCCCGAGCCAGCACGCAGATGGCGGTTAACATCCCATTGTGCTTTTTCAATATCATTACATTCTTCGGAATGCTCCAAAGCCCTCACACAATAAAACCCTGCCTTTGCTAATCACAACATTCCTGCTGGCAATTCTGCCCATTCCAGCGAGCAAAGAGTAACCAGTGCACATAGTCATCACGTATTCCAGCTCTGGCTTCAAAATGAGAGCTCAAACAGTCTCCATGTGGCCGTGTACCGTGAATCTTACGAAAAATAAAGCTTCTATAAAACATGTCCACCTCGGACTCCGGAGCAATACTCAGACTATAGGTAGGCAGGACGAACTCAATAAGTCGCAAAACGGCTAGCAGACCATCCTTGAATATAAATCGTCAAGATATTATGAATATAAAGGTTTCGACATAGTCACTCAATAGGTATAACTCCGCTATTAACATTTACATAAGGGACCTGACCGATCGTTTTAAAATATTCAGCCTCTTCAAGACCCAATAAACATGTAGTTATGCCCAGGAGAAATGTTCTAAATGAAGACAGATGTCTCCTGTGCCTCTCTTTGCCACAACCAGCTGTTCCTGAGCTACAATGTTGGAGACGTCGTTCTGCATGCTCAGTGGTCCGCACACAAACACACTTAAGTCTTGGGCTTGACTGATTGCTCTAGCTTCCTCTGCTACTATGGTCGCTAAATCAGGTCTCGAATCATGCTGTTGAACGTGCTGGACGTTTTGTGCATAATATGGTTTTGACACATCTGAGTTCGACATCGGCTTTCCTTGATTTCGTTGGAGCTCATGAGCCTTCTCAGGATCATTTTGTGTAGCTGGCAGTCGCTCGGTTACCAGTCTCTGCTCAATTGCGTCAGATCCTGTGTAATAAATCTCAACTTCGAGGCCCGGAGTTCGAAACACCGACAGCGAGTCAAGTATTTGCTGAACTTCTTTCTCGAACCACTCCACGGTTGAAAGTTCTCGTGTGGCCAAGATAATTCGAAGAGATATATATGGTCCCATATCCACCACGGACTCTCGTTTAGGTAACTGCTTCAAGAAATCCAAGATGAAGGGAAATGTCCAACCAGCCCCCGATCCGCCAGCGATAACTAACAGACGCCGGCGACCTGTAATAGTTTTGGGCGATACACCACCATACGGCCCGTCCAGAAGTACTCTAACCTTCATATTCGGATTGGATCCAACAAAGTCGGCCAAACGAGATGTGAATCCACCACGAGGCCTGATATAGAACAACAATTCATTGCCTTCTTTGGAGAGATTCATATCATGTGAAGAGACAGAGCACACGCTGAAAGGATGAATTGTCCAAGCATGCATGCCAAGTGCCATAAAGCGGACGAAATAGTGCTGGCCCACTGTCCACGTTGCCTTTGTGGGTATGCTGACTCGGATGAAGCCGTTCGAGGTGCGGCTCAACTCAGCACGATGGTTGAGGCCATGCTCAAAATATATACGAGTCTGACGATACAGCCATGACAGGGCAAACAACACGCCTGTGGCAACAAAATAGTCCCTAAAAGCCATTAGTTATTGGTTTGTTTTTCAATTTAAGTTTGTTTCGGGATGTTTGAAGAAGCTAGAAAAAGCCTACCATGCCGTTAATGTAGCGTCGCAGTGGAAGAAAAGGAATAGAATGAATATCAATGCGGCCAAAAAGTGAGAAAATTTGAACCATTCATAACACAAGTTTCTGTTTTGCTATCAGCAGGAATTCAACAGCCGCTCAGGTGCAGTTTTTGCTTACCGCAATGGACTCAATGAAGCAAAGGTCAACCATGCTTGGGCGACCAGTGCGACGACCCCCGTCCAGTAAAAGACTGTCTCATTCCACATGTCGGACATCATTCCCATTTGGAAGTTGTATATGATGAAGGGAAACGTATGAACTAGCGCAAGGATAAAGAAAACATAGGAAATCCAACGATGGAACACCTGAAGTCTTTCATGTGACACGCCAGTACAGAAGGTTATGAGGTTAGCCTTTCCTGCTGTGGCAAAGACGAACGGCATACAAGCCAGCCCCATCCATCCTGCTCTGGTTGCGATGGGAGGGGACGATCCAAAATCTGCCGTGACGGGCCAGTAGTATGGTCTTGGGCCAAGAGTCATGCTAAAGAAGAATATCATGGCGATAGCTGCTAACATCAAAAGGCCAATAGGCGCTGAGTTCCAATCTAGTAGTTTGATTCTGATGGTTCGGTAAGAGAGATATCGGAATAGTGCCTTCGTCTTGATCATGGGTCGCGTCCGGAGCACTCTCTTTGGTAAGACATGGCTCGCGATGTATGCTATAGTGAAGACGATGATCACAGCAAGGAAGAATGCGATTGTCGGTAGAGCATATCTATGATCGGCTTCGTACCTGGTAAAGCGTGTTAGCTCTATTTATCAAGTCGTTTTGCACCTGCCTCTCGGCATACCAGAATCTCCAGTAGCCCTGCTGGTAGTCGCACTGCCAGGTCTCGTCTAGCATGCATTCATATTCTCTGTAGTTTCCTGAAAACACCAATGGCATATCAAGCCATGGGGTCTTGCGTCGCTCAATGAGGCTATGCATTGCTGGGTCTATGCCAATACTCAGATTGACTCAGACTATAGATGAATTGTTCCTGATTTTTGCGATGGCCTTTATGTATGAGGACGAGTTGGCGAACGAAGAGGGATTCCTGCGTGGCCAGATGGTTACAACTGAGATGGATACCAAGGCCTCCACATGCCCGCTTCCAGGCTGAGTGAGCACTGGAGATAAGTAAAACCCATGCCGCTCAACATCACTCTATACGGGCTGACTGAATAGCTTCCCATAGTTACCCATGCGCATGCGAACAAATCCATTGTTTCGGGCGGTTCAACTACAGTATCAAATACGCCATGAGGAGAGCCAACGCGCACTTGTGACCCACTCGCTGCGCACGTTTGCGCAAGTTTTCTTGTGCTCCGATTGGTCTTCCAAACCCCTGTGAAGATATCCGCGCATTATATTCAGCGCAATTGCCGTACATGAGCAATATTGAGCGGGGGCCGTGTACAGCCAAACCTGGTAAATCTAGCTCACCCCACGGAAAACTAGATCCAAGTGACTGTATTGTCATCAAACGACCTGGACGGTTAGCTTATATTTCTTGGCCATGCACCCTAATTCCTGCTATCACTAAGTAGGTCTGTGGGCAAAAGGGGAAACCAGGTAGCAAGCATTCATACGGATTGATCACCACCTGGAGTTGTGATTCTTGCCCCACGGACACCCTTCATTTTCTCCCTCTCTTATCTACTGCATCCTGTAACTCCGCACCTTCTGCTTAAACTTTGATTGCAAAAGAAAAAGAGACCCTATAACAGTGACCGCAAAATGGATGTGAGCGGTATGACAACGACCCCATCGACAATGATGGCCGGCATGACCATGACCTCCTCGAGCGCCATGTCGGCTTCGACAAACATGGACGGTATGGACATGTCCTCCCATTCATCGACAACGATGACTTCGGCAGAAATGGCCATGGTATTCTTTCAGTCCGTTACAACGCCTCTTTACTCTAGCGCCTGGACTCCCACCAGCGATGGTCCCTACGCCGGCACATGTGTATTTCTTGTCGCTCTGGCAACCATTCACAGAATCCTCCACGCGATTAAATGTACCGTATTCGATAGAAGGTTGCATGGTGGACGCGCAACGCTAGGGTCTAAAGTGGACGACTCAGAGATTGAGCAAAGTGTTGCCCAGCAGTTGAAGTCGGAATGGTATCAGCACCCTTTCCGAGTCGCTGACGAAACAATTCGTGCATTGGTTGAAGTTGTTGTTAGTGGGATCGGTTACCTATTGTGAGTGTGATCTCATGACTTTGGATGTTCTCGTCTTGAATTATTTTGCCTAAACCACGTCGCTAATGCTCACCTAACACAGAATGCTTGCTGTCATGACGATGAATGTAGGTTATTTCTTATCAGTTTTAAGCGGAATCTTCTTGGGCACGTTCATTGCGGGGAGGTTTGGGTCTGACGCAGACCACCACTGAGGTGTGTCATAGAGGCTTTAGACACGTCAGTCAGTAAGGCGCCATGACTTCGACCAGACTTTAGTATTTCGATGATATTCTCATTATTTTTCTTAGCAGATGTATCTAGGCGGCTAGTAGCTATGAAATGCTCTAGAGAACTGGAACTTCTGTATTAGGTCAGTGTTCACAAGTCAGCGACAGATAGTGCCTCAAATGATATACCCATTGCTCTTAACATCTTCGATAGATAGACCACTCGATTCGTGCCGCAAGGGTTGACTAATTTGTTTACCGTTATGTTATCGCTAACTTCTTACGAAAGACAATTCCATATCCTTGGTAAAGGACAGGATTCCATAAAGCTGTGAACAAATTATATCAAACTAATTTATAAGCCACATTATACTTAATATCTCATAGGTCTGATGCAGTACTTATGTGGGAGTCATAGGGCCTAAGCTAAGATGGTCAAGCTGTTAAGGTTGCTTAAGGCAGCAAGAACTATAGCTGCCTCAGTGTTAGGCATGTTGGCGTAGCCAATGCCATGGCTGGCCTGAGGCCAGCCCTATGTGTTAGTCTAGCCTAACATCTCCCCTTTTGGGGAAAAGAGTAGCTCTAACTAAGGTTAGGTGTTTATGTCCATTTCCTTCTTATCTGCTTTTTCTTGAGCTACAGTTTCTTCGAGCCATTTCAACACCAATCGTTCCTCCACGTCCATGTCGAGCAGCCTCGCTATCGCGTAATTTTAGGTTGTCCATTGTCTTCAGCCAATTGCTTCATTTACGGATAGGTTCGCTCCTACGCTTACGTTGCGATGCGTCTACCTCGGACAGTTCCTCATCAGTATCCAAAGGAATTGTATATGGATCCATAGTTTCGAGCTACTGTTGAAGTGCTGGGATCCTCGTGGCTGCTGCCTTCATTTGGTCACATCCTGGTCGTTCGAAGCCACGATTGTCGCCCTCGCCCGGGGATGCGACAATAAGTTGGAGGTCGACACCCGTTGGGCTCCCAAAAGATAGCCAGCCCTATGCTAGTCCAGCCTAACACCAGGCTATCAAGATAGACATGTGTACATGCTGTGTTGCAAGTCATGAGTAACGTCTCGGGGCCTTCTCTTGTGTCCTACCAAGCACTTGTACCAGTTACTAAATAGTTTGCAGATTTTAGTGCAACAGATATCAATAGCGACACGCCATGCGCCGTGGCATTAGTCCGACGGTCAATTCATGGCACAACAATATGGTGGGCTGGCATCAGCGAAAGGGGACATTGCAATCAACAACGCCACTGGTAGCATGGTCCGGCCCTTCATGGTTGTATAGGGATTGCGAGCATCGGGATCCAATGCCACCTCGGACCTATCGTGCGTTCATGCAAATAATGCAGTTTCTAGCAGCCAGCTTCCAGGACCAAGAAATACAAGCAACAACACCAACGTTGCATTTTTGGCTGACCCGCAGTCTTCCCTAGTAATGATAATATTAGCCGACCTTCTCACAACGGCATTGGCAACGTTGGCTTGAGGAAACTATTTTCACGTTCGAACCCATCAATCTAGAGGGGTCAAGGTCAGACGCGCTGGTGTTTCTCTGAATCTTATGGTAACTTGATGAGATGAGCACAAGTCGTTTGCAACAAGGTTGCATATTGAGATATCAACGCATCTCAGATTGCCCAATCCTATCAGAGCGAACAACAAGGATGCCGCTGTTTAGCGAGCCTATTGTAATCGTAATTAGACTAATGTCACAATTCCGCTTCCGTCCTCCCCGTGCTAGGTCAAAGTCTAGATCTCGATAAGTCTTTTCTGGCCGTTAGTGGCACCAACGTAATAGGGGAGGTCGGCCGGTAGAGTCTCTCGGCTGCAGCTCGTTACTCACTAATATGATTCTGATATATGCAAGGCTTGGCACCACAGTGATTATAATAATCATGCAGCCACGTATCATCCAGAGCTCAGTCCAGCTTTCCATACCGACATATCGCACATTCTGAGCGCAATCGACACATTCCCAGTCAATTGATTCATCTAGGTTTCAAATGTAGCCTTAATCCTGCCACACACTATAGACATCATTACTCGATAAATTTCGATCCACAACTATTCGAGAAGGCAAGGGGAAGACCGCTAAGCTCCAGGGTATCTGCTCAGCCTCAGTGGTCCCTTTTCCTTACCAGTTTCGTTATATACTAGTCGCGACATCTTGATTGTGTGGTGGTTATAGAAAGAAAGGAAGAAGAAAAAGGCAACATACTGGAAACAGGGCTAATCTTGGATGTTCTAGCTTACAACCTCATGATATCGTGGAGGATGTCTCATTTCACGCATTGCGGCCAGCGCAACTACTGCTATAAGTGCCAACTGTGTCCAGACCCTGGTGTAGTAAGCGCTTCTGATCCATGATGTTGGGCTCAACTTGCGGACTTGGCTCGCAGTGGTCAAGATCACAAATGCCTCACAAAGGCTATTCGAGGCCGCAAGCATAACACTCGGAAGAAAGGTTTTTAATGGGATTGATACATAAACGAACGGTCGATGTTTTCCACACACAATATTTATATACCTCCATCCCGACGGCCCGACACCACCTCAATTGATTACTACTACACCCGGGGGTGCTGCGAAAGAGGGTGCAGCCCATCTTCTCTGATGTGGGGAGCCGCAGATGGTTGCGAGACATGTGGCGAGCCTGTAAATTCCTTCTGGATTTCTCGTGGCTGGTTGTAGTGACCTGACAAGTTTGACTGTTGAGGTAGTGTTGAATATCCTTGTTGCAAGAGCGGCATGGTTTGTACGGGATATTGCGCCGAATTCTGAGCATAATACATCTGTTGCGGCACCATAACCACTGTTCCAGCTACCGCGTTTCGTTGATGCGTCTCAACACAGGCGCGCACAAACAGGATGAAATGCACCAAACTTTCATGAAACTAATCAGCACCACAGTAACGTCCAGATGATACAGTATCAGGCATGTACTTACAGCAAAAGAGACAGGAATGCTAATTCAGCCTGCATAACTGAAAGGTATCCAGAGCTGTCTTCATAGTCGTAGTAATACCGGCAGTAATAGTCACATTCAAGCTCGAACGCCACTAACCATGCTGACAGCCCGACAGCGGCACAGAAGCCCAACCACAGTAGTAGATGCAGAGCCACGTGCGCCCCTGGATGTATGCCGCGTTTTTTGCCTCGAGCACATATCGTGATGAGTTCCGCGATGTCCCAAACGAGTGCGACACCGGCTTGAGGAGCTACCCAAATGATTTGGTAGCTCTGGTAGATGCCTGGGTCGACAACCAGTGCGATAGAAATGCCGAGGACAACAATACTGAAAATGATGGATAGCGAGTAGAAAATGATTTTAGTGATCAGCCATGGCTTGCTGTAAGGAATTACTCGCGGTGGTGGCTGGAATTGCTGAGGGTATTGTTGGTATTGAGAATGCGACTGCGGTAGAACTTGCTGCTGATCCGCGCCCATTGTGCCTTTTGTCTTCCAAAGGCTTGTGATTCCAAAGTCAGCGCTCCAACTACCATCGCATCAGATATGGCTGCGCTTCGAATCTTCCGATGATACGAGATCGCTGGTAGTAATATCACGATTGCTCCAGCTCAAGTGACCCGCTCGGCTTTTGTTATGGACGAGAGCTTCAATCAAATGTAATTGAGAGAAAGAATTTCTACGGTTGTCTATTGTAGAATCAGCGCTCGTTGCTATCGCTGGGGGGGCGGAGGGTTATCATCAGCACTCGACCCCTTACCCCACGCTTGCTTTCGCTAAAACAGACAGACGCCTCAACGCTAAACTTCACTTAAATTTAAGCATAGAGACACCGCCCCTTGCACTATTCCCTGCACTATCGATCAGAGGAAGGACGCTAAGCTCAGCAGTCAATGACTTAATTGGCTTTCGGCCTTATCGCCAGGTGCAGTAGCCGGGCTATTGGAGCGCATGAAGGTTGATGCCGGGCGGACGATGAACCTAAACTAATAGAGACTGCCGTCATAATAGCTCCGAGACTCTGGGTTCCTTTATTAGAGTACAATAGATGAATAAACAACAATTTGTGAAACTACAATAAGGCACAACGCAAATTACTGAGCCAAATCTACCGCCACAAATCTGTATCGCTACGTCGCTTACCACTCGTGAAATTTTTTCGGGAAATCTCCCCCCCCCCCCCCCCCCCCCCCTGCGAGAACGCCTCGCCAAGAACGAAGAGATTCAGCCCCAACGCCCGGTTCATAGGACTGCAGGTAAGTTTAAATGCTTTCAGCTGTTCTACCATCCTATTTGCCAGGCATTTCGTGGGTCACGCAATGCTCATCACATTCCATACGTTGTCTATTTTAGTGGTCCTTCAACAGCTGCGCCCTTGGTGTGTAGGTCAGTTTAGTTCTAACCATGCCGACGAATGCTGCGGCCTTGACAACCGTAATAGCAAGTCTGCTTCCATTCACAATTCAGAGTGAACGCCAAATCTGGGCCCAGCCAAGAAAGAATGAAAATGGAAATGAATAAACCTCTGTAGGTAACTCTAAAGCTTTATGTTAGAAACCTTCTCGGGCCTCTTACATTAGTTCTGTCTGGTCTTCTTATCCTTCTCTATAGCCCACCCTCATATTTCAGTCCCCAGTCATATCCATAGTCCTCAATCCTCTGTCCGGCAACAAGCGCCTCTGCGACGAGTCCAATATCCTCCAGAAAGTCAAGGACATCGTAAGAGCCACCCTTCTCAGCATAGTCACAGCAATTCAATATGCGCAAGAACTCATCAACCGGCGCGTACACTGCCCAGCGTGACACACCTGCCACAATCCTCATCCACGTGGTAACCCAACTTGCATCCATCGACGCGGCTCCTTGTCTCCATTCAACAGTTCGCTTAGTACTGCGCATAGGCTCACCAGAAATGCCGCATTCGTACCCCCGAAAGTTGTAAGTTGGACGGTACCTGGCCGCCAACAGGTGTGCGACCTCGCACGACGCTTTAGTCTCGGCCAACTGTTCGATGCCAAACCAGACCCCACGGTCCTCCGCAATCTCATCAAGTTCGATAAGACAACCTGTGTACATGCCATTTATATCGTTGAGTTCTCTCAATTCATCAGCAGTCCATTTCGGGAGCACAATTCTCGGGAAATGGTTCAATCGCTTTCGTAGCCCCCCTATTTCCTGGTTCAATTTCAACTCAGCGATTCCTCGAGCAAGGTCAGCTTGTGTCATCAAAGGCAGAATAGGGGTTGTTTCATCAGTAGTGTGAGGACTTAAATTACCTGATGACGTAGCCGACCAAGCAGCTGTACTGGCAGCCGATGATACGGGAGCTGGAGCGACAGCTCCTGGTTTCGGAGCGTACTCGGCTAATAGAACCCTGGCATCATCACCTAGATCGAATTCCTGCCCAGCGGTCATGGGGGCAGTGGCATCTTGAAGAGGCTCTAAGTGGCCCGGCTGCCTTGTCTTTTCAAATGCACGCACTGTTGTCAAGTCGGTATGCATCTCGCGCCACGTGATTGAGCTCTCACCCGCACGAATGTCTCGAGCAAGGTACCGCTCACACATCCGATCACGACGCACAAAGGCCATTGTCCATGACTCTTTATCATCATGTGGTACTTTATTTTCGCGGTGTTCGTTGTTTGCAAGATTGCTAAAGTCACGAATAGCTGGACAATACCAACTATAGGATCTAGATGGCGGATTGAGTGTGTTCAGAAGGCGTTCAGCTGCCCAAAGTAGCATGGCCATCCTCTTCACCCATTGATATGGCATCCAAGCTGGACCATTGCCGACATGAACATGCAGGCCCATCGACGGGTTAACCTCGATGCGGTACTTCGAGGCCAAAAGGTTAACCGCATACCTGACAACTTCGAAGGAACCCAGCGATTCCCACTCCACAGCTGTGGTAATCTCTACCCGAGCATATCGGACTTTTAGGTGGCCTTGTACCTTTGGAGGGAGTCCCATTACACTCTCATCCTCACCAATATCCCACTGTCGATATCGTCCGAGTCTATGCTCGGACAATTTCTCATTGGTTCTTACCAAAGAGCTTGCCCACCGAAGTTCATAGGATCCAGTTGGAAAGCCAGCCCTGGTCAACGTTCCGCGAATAGAGCCTTCTACCTGCCGCTGTCCATACTTTTTCAAATCCCATTCATCGGGTGTCTCAGTTGGGTAAGGTATCTGGAGCGGTTCAGGCAACCCATCGTCGAAGAATTTCGGCGTGTCGCTGAACATGTCGGTAATGACATAGTATACCGCAAACTCTAGCTCAGCGCCAGTACTAAGTCGAGGAGGTACTGGTTCTCTCAGATTACTTGTCATGTCAGTTTATTTCTAGTCCAAGATAATTCTACTAATGTAAAATTCGGGATTTTGAGACCATTAGATGATCGTGATGAAAGACATCAGGATATAAAGGTGCCGCATCTGCACCTCTCATATAGATTCATGACATCTGTCATACAAACAGCCTGGGCCAAGACAATACCTTTTATTTCTCAAATATCTTAGTGTAACGAATGTAACAAACAATACGCAACTCTTTCACTCATTACCCCGATATTTTAGACAAAGGATCCATGATGAACCAACATGCTCAAACCCCTAACTTTCGTGTCCGCGGCACGTTCGAACAACAACACCATCACTCATCAGCCAACTTACTGTGGAAGACAGTAATAGATACTCTTACAGGCGTTCGAAGCCTCGGGCATGTAAGGGTTGAAGAGTGTTCTCTGGTTGTCCTTGTAGCAGTTCCAGTTCTTGAACCCGTTGCTGCCCGTTCTTTGCATAACATTAGTTTCGACCTATACAGGAAATAATCGGGTAGCATACCCTGACTTGGCGTAAAGACTGTAGCCTTGCGCTCCAGAGTCGATGTGGGAGGTGAAAGTCACACCGGTCGGAAACGAACAGGACCGTGACGACCCCTCCCAGGTTACGAAGTTGTTGCTGGTAACAGAGCATCTATGTGGATATGTCAGAGGTTACGCTCCAAATTCCCGGGGCTCGTGACAAAAGGTCACGGATCAATGCGGTATCTGTGGAGGTTGGGGTCCCTGGACGTTGATATTACACACCGGTTGTTGCTATTGGGAAGAGCACCATTCTGCGAATCGGCGCTGGCAGGATAATACTGTATGGTGTCTCATTAGCCCTGTTATTGGATCGTAAATGGCCATTGTACTTGCAATTATTTGCGAGTAGTTAATGTTGTCTCTGCAGCAAGATACAGCGTTGACGCAGTTAGCTAAATAGACGATCTCTGTGTCACGCTTCTCGAGTAACCCTGCGTTATCTTTCACGATAACATCAACAGGCGAAGCACTGGCAAGTGCGAACAAAACTGTGACAGTTGAGAGGAGCTTCATGGTGAGAACAAGACTGTAATTGACTGGAATCTGGGAGTTGGTGATTTACTATGTGTATTGATCACATCAGTGGGAGTGTAGATCATTTATATAGTTCTTGTGTATGTGGCTACCTCGACGAGGTGCTTAAGCCGGTCGTAAGCCTCGTGCAATTCAGCTGACGTTGGATGTAACCCTATTGTCCTTGTTTAACGAATATCCCATGTCGCTGAAGAAGAGGGAAGCCGCGGGGACGGCTACCGACAACCAAAGTGCGTGAATTTCACATTCCAGACCACTATGGATCAATCCAGGCTTAAGGGGTTGGGGATGGAAATTGGCTTGCAGACGTAGTAGTACAACCCTTTTGCATGATATTGGTTTATGCAGGAGCCATTCCTAAGCTTAAAAAGGTTTGCTCTCAGTCGCCCGCTTATATGTCACAGAGTATATGGGACAATAGCTTCATCGATGTAGAATATCTGATCCTTGACTTTTGGCGCCACTGGTCACGTTCGTGAGTCAGCAACATCCGTGTCACTACTAGTCCGGTCCCATAAACTGAAAAGTGCTACTTCAACCCGCAGCCAATATTACTCAGATAAACTTCAAGTCAGCACGGCCTAAGCAGCCAAACAAGTCGGTGTTGATCCAGATCATGAGACTGCGTTACCCCAATGACTCAGCACCATAGTACCAGGACACGGTGGTACATCCTCCGCGTTTGTGATTGATTAGAGCACAGTGGTAGCTGTTACATTGGGAGCAGTAACTCGAAATCAAATGCACCGCTTACAGTTCCTCGCTTTATATCGCGTTATTTTCACAACCTTTGTGCATTCTTTTCCTCACAATGCGTTTAGAGCACAGATTATTATTTCAATAGACCAGGAAAATATCTCTTTGGAAAGGTAAAAGAAATGTCTTTGAAATATAATAAGAACGCACAGCGTACATTTTATAGACCTCGTGTACTAAAACACGGCCCCAGTGATATAACAAAATCATTTTCGGAGGCAAGTCCATACAAAACATCAACGCGCGGTTGTGACGACATGAAGTACCAATGTATTTTTCGGCTCATGAATTGACAATCGGATGAAGGAGTTCGTGTTCCTAGGCGTAATATGTAAGAAGTGTTAGGTGGCTTTGCTCCGATTTGTGCCTACGTTCGCAACGAACTGTCGTTCTTAATTATCCAAAGATAGAGTTCAAAGCTCCGTTCAATTTAAAACTCGACGAAGCATTACATGCCGTTCGCTCTGTGTCCTTGGCCAAAAGCGTATGAACTTTAAAGGTAAGAGAGTATAAGTTCATCGGAAAAGACACAAGAGAAACTTCATGTCAACCAAATTTGTACAGCAAGACTAGACTAAGGTTAGAAGACGGTGGGGGTGGACCTAATTAGGCAAGCATGTCTATCTTAGGTCTTGCTACTTACCGCGGAACAATCCTCCACATAAGCATATCTTTAACCGCCGGGGCGCTAAACTTGAGATCGACATCTTCCTTTCACGGAGTATAGAGTATAACAGTATCGCAAAATTTACTTAGCTTAGGTATGTCATTAGGCGAACATAGATGACATAACGTCATAATTTTGCCAGCATTCGAAGCATGCGTTAAGTAGCGGACGATTCAACAGTCTAGCTCCATGCCCACAGTTTCCTATCTTCCTGAGCCGTGATTCACTTACTATGGTATGGGGGTTTAGAGAGGGCAACAGGGCAAGCACCGAGTCGATCACATGGGTGTTTCCCCCCGATTTTAAGCCCCGAGCCAGTCATACTTCTATTTGAAAGAACTAGCCCTACTGCCCTTTTCTGGGCCAGTTAATAGTAGGCTCCTCCAGCAACACAAGTACTATATACAGCCCATACATTTTCATAATTTATCCAATTCGATCCAATGCTAGATTCCACTTGTATGGTGTTATAAAGTTAATTCTCTACTTTTGCTAAAATACCGAGCACCCGTCAGCGGACTTCACCTTATGCCATGGCATACAAGTCATCGCTGTACAGATTATGTTGGCCCCGGCGGGCTTGAACCGGCCGTTGTTGATGCTGTTACTACTATGTCGTGAATCTGATTATCATGCCAAGCGTTGTGAGGACGCAGTAGGCGTAGCCCGTCGCCTCTCACCGTAATATGGTATTTCCGACACCTTATCACGATGCTATCCTCTATAACGGTACTCGGTTCGACCGTCATGGGAGAGGACATTAAAGACGTCCTCGGCCTGTCTGCCGGACTACTGATGGCGAGGGAGATACAGCGCCAAAAGGATGTATTAATTTAGCACACCTAAAGACATGGAAATCATTGTCATTATGCTGCAGTCTTGGTGGATTTGAGGATCAACTTCAGTCACGAAGCCATCTCAAAGTGGTCTTATCGACAGCAAAAAAGCTCCTCACGTGAGACACACTTAGCTATGGTGCAGTTAAATTTACTATGGCTACCTCAAGACTTGGATAAGTTTTCTCCGCCACCCAATGCACCGCATATGCACCGCTGCCCCCACCTGATAGGGGCCAGCATAGGCAAGGTTATTCAAAGGAGTGGCCACAAGATATTCTCCAGTGGCTGTGACGGTCATCTATTCAAGTACCTGGTCAGCACTAAGGCCGATCACTGGTGGCATTAGGGAATAGCCGCCTTGAGTAAACCCGCCAGCAACCGCAAGGCTCTGACATTGTCCGCTTGCCACCACAAGGCCCTGGGCATGGGCAGCTATCAAGGCGTGCATGAATTGTGCACCTGCGTTCAACTCTATTGTTTGCCCGGTATACTTGCCCGAATGGGGTTCTAGAAAATCTGTATCCTTCATATTATGGGCCCAAAAGGCAAGCGCTCCGGCTCCAGCAGACTTCCCGAAATAATATTGGCCCGTGTTCCGGATGACAACTCGGACATTTTGTCCGTAGCAAAGCGTATGTCTTTTGGAAGTCTTTATGTCTGGTGGCATTCATGAATGACGCATCATGATGTCGACTTTCTGATCTGCGCCGTGCCGGGTAGTATGATGCTCAAGAGAAACAACGAGCTTGTAAGAATTGCGTCATCATTCTTTAAAATTTTCATTTTTATTAAAAAAAAAAAAAAAAAGGTTGACTATCAAGATAGAATTATTACATTAGTTTCATCGCCGGGCAAACAAATCCTTGAATTACCATCGTTGCCTATCGTGCTGCTGTCTACACACCGTCAATCTTTGAAGATTGATGCCTGCTTTTGTGCTGCATGTTTTTTGTTGGTCGCGAGATACTTGGATCATAAGACATGAGAACCATATCTGTGACTTTTTACAAAATTGTGTTCTATGAGGAATAGATAGCATCAGCTTCAGACATGCTCAAGCTTCGATATGCCTCACCCCTTATCTCCGCCGGGATCCCCGCTGTGGGGTCACGCCTTCTAGCTACATCATCACTATCTATGAAGCAATGTATTGAAAAGGTGCAAGTCCTTCCATTGAATATTGTCTTCGTACCACCGTCCTAACCCATGCTTCAGTATTTTTTCGCGTAGTTCAATCTTTTGTGTTTGTTCGCAAAACGCAGGTGAAGTTGGACATTGCAGTCGTTCGAATAACAGTGCGGGCCGTGGAGAATAGGCAAAGGATACAACCACTTACGAACCTGAGGCTTACTCGAGACTGAGATCGCTGCGTCAGGACATGATGAATTGTATCCCTGGCCAGTGGATGGCCAGGTTACTACATCAGTCATCAAGATGTCACAGCAAAGGCTTTCGACGCGGTCTTCCATCATCAGTGTCGCGTAGTCTGAGCACGACACCGTTCTTCAGACATGACCATGAGATCCAAGGACTGAAAGTGAACCAGAGCCGCTTGATGGATACACTACATGATACCTGCCAATGGGGTCCCGGAAAGCGATGGGGTGACCATCCCACAGAAACGGGCATGTCGCGACTCACGCTATCAGACGCCGACAAGGAGGCTCGCGACTGGTTCGTCCAAACCACTAAAAGCCTCGGGTGCAATGTTACCGTCGATGCGATTGGCAACATCTTGGCCGTGCGGCCAGGAAAGCGAGATGGTCCGGCGACTGTTGTGGGCTCGCACTTGGATACTCAGCCCACCGGTGGGCGGTACGATGGCATCTTGGGCGTCCAAGCTGGTATTGAGATGCTCAAGGTTTTGAAAGAAAAAGATATCAAGACTGAGTTCCCTGTTGGTGTTGTGAACTGGACTAAGTATGTGCTACCCATCCAGTGATGCGAGTGTGTGTGCTAATCTCACTAGCGAGGAGGGCGCTCGATTCCCGATTAGCATGATGGGCTCTGGAGTATGGGCCGAGACGATTCCGCTCGAAGTCGCATATGGCCTGAAATCCGTCACTGGCGAGAAGGTTGACCTCAAATCAGAACTTAGACGTATTGGCTACTTGGGCGAGACGCCGGCAAGCTATCAAAGCATGCCGATCGCAGCGCATTTCGAGCTACACATCGAGCAGGGCCCTATCCTAGAAGCGGAGAGGAGGAAGGTTGGCATCGTCCAAGGAGTCCAAGCCTACAACTGGTTCACCGTCGAGATACAAGGGCAAGACTCTCACACTGGTACGACACCATTCGAAAATCGTAGTGATGCCATGCTTCTCGCAAGCAAGTTTATCCTGCATTCGCACCGTGTCGCCACAAAACACTCGGCGCTTGCTTCAACAGGCATCATCACAGCACTGCCCGGCTCCACAAATACCATTCCGGGCCTCGTGAGGTTGTCGCTCGATGTCCGATCCCCAAACACTGAGACAGTCAAGGCAGTCGAGGAAGAATTAAAACGCGACTTCGCTGCTCTGGCGGAAGGTAAAGACATTGGCGGCCTTCACGCAGACTGCACCCGCGGCCGAGATGATTTCCAAGTTTCGTGGAGTACTGACAGCGAGACCGCCGCAACGGTCTTCCATGAGGATTGCATTCGCTGTGTGAGGGAAGCCACAGTGGATGTTTTCGGCGACAAGTCTGAAGATCTGGTTCGAGACATATCCTCCGGAGCGGGGCACGACAGTGTGTATACGAGCCGGCGGTTCCCGACAACTATGGTATTCGTGCCTTGTCGCGATGGTATTAGTCACAACCCGGTGGAATACACGACTCCTGAGGATTGCGTGATTGGCTCGCAGGTAATATTGAATAGTGTACTGAGATATGACCAGTTGAGGAAATCAAAAATAGTATAGGCGAAGTTAGTTTAAAATAATTTTCATGTGTCCACCCGTCCTATCAAATTCGCGGAAACAAATATGTTGACCAAGTCGACGTGACTCGAACTCCAACTAACCGCTAATTGCGATCCTCGTTGGAAGAGCCGGGTTCTCATTAGACATTCCGCCGTCATGGTCCAGCATCGAACTGCTGTCCAGGACAGCGCAGGAGGCCACTCACGTGAACCCTAGTCCAGTTATTCGTGGAGGACGATCTTCGATGCTACGTGCTCTATATATATCAGATGATACACAACAAGGACGCTGTTCTAGCTTCTCCATTCTCGCCTACTCCCAGGGTCACACATTTGTGCTTGCACGCGTAAATCGCTGTTGATCATGGCTCGGATTACGACCCCGACGGCAAATTCTTGCTCAACCTCTGGGTGTCGCAAATTCGATTTGCTCTGCATCATTATTCATATCTATATGGAAATGGTACAAAGATAGCATCACTCACACCTAAAAGTCTCGATGCTGTCACATGGGGCGAAAAGCATCACAGCGGCCTGAAATCGGTTCGACGCTTAGAGTGAGGCTGAAAATACATTTAACACGCCACTCCTAGCAAGCCGGGTGATTTACCAATACCAGCGGGCGCTTTGAGCACGTTGCTGGGAATCTACGGTGTATCTTACAGACGGTGTTGGCGGATGTCCATCCGGGCGTTGGGGTGCAGTAATACCTCTACGGTACACGTGGATTAGTCCAGCTTTGCATAAAAACACGAGGAGATTGGCTCATCGTGTTGGTGCCTGGGGAAGTAAGTAGAAGAGTGTCCCCATTGAAAAAAAAAAAACGGCCTGGTGATGGTATTAACTGTCAGCGCGTTCCCGACTATGACCCAAGCAATGAATCTTGATCCCAATCCCTTCTCCGACGGAGACTCTGCTTGTCATCCTTCACATTGCCTATCTCGCTCGTCCCATTACCGTTCCTGATGAGCGTAACTCTTACGTCCTTGGCATCGTTCTCCATCTCCGCGATCGTCATCAGCTTTTGGCCGCCATGTAACCCATCAGCCTGATCGTGACTTGGTATCCCATCACCCAGATGTAAACCATTCGCGTCTACAAACTTGTCCCTATGGTACAGCAATGGCAGCACGTTGCCCTTCCACACCATCTCCTCACCACGATATATCAAGCTCCGCGCAATCATCCAGATCAGCAAGACAGTTTCGATAGCCAACAGTGCAATAGGGAAGATAAGCCATTTCCAATTGACGACCGTGAAGGGCTTTGTCCTCGACGACTTGCCACGAACGACGTTGTCCTGGGCCTGGTCGAGGCCCAGTCCGAGCCGAAACTGGCGCGTGACCGCCTCAGCGAAGTTGTCAAATCGACCCGTAATGGTCTCCAGGTTGGCATGTCGATACTCCCAGAACTGCGCCAGCCAGTACTTGTCGGCACAATACACGTTGGTGCCCTGTCGGCTGTCCCATTTGCAGTTGCCGGAGAACACACCCGCCTGGAGATATGAGGCGAGCATCAAATAGAAGAAGGTGTTGAACTTGAACAGGCATTGCGGCGGCGCTTTAATAGACGGGTAATTATCTGCCACAGCAGAAGGCGAGAGGATTCGGACGTCAGACGCGTTGGAGTACGCAGAGAAATTCGAAGATGTATACACGGTCTCATTGACCAAACACGGCGATTGAAGCGCTGCAAGGTGCGGCTCATCACCGGGCAAGGTACCTGCCTCGGGGAAAGCTGATATGTTCTTCTCAACATCGGATCCCGTGTAGCTCATAAGGTCTGGATACATGGGCTGGGTGCTTATAAGCTTTTCATCCAGCTTACCATTGGTTACTGATGCAGAGTAGGATCGTAAACAAGGATACAATGAGCACACGACGGCGTTTGGGGTCTGCTCCTGATACCTGTAATCCTGGGCGGTTTGGCTGGAATTTGAGTTTGATAGAACGAGCATGGTAATATTTGCAAATGCCCAGCGGAAAGTTGCCGCTTGCTCGTACGGGATTATGCTCTCAGCCCAGGTAAGATTTCGGCTTTCTGCCACGCTCATCCAATTCGCACCATCGAAGGCCGTGACATTCAAGCCAGTCGGTAGTTTCCACGATGGACTGCCAGTATTAAGGCTGTTGTTGTATACCGTGACCAGTGACCCTACATCAATGCACTGATTGCACATACCTACAGTCGCGAGGGTTATGTCATGCTCACTTTGTGATGGAAAGCCAGACTCCCAACTCGGAAATGTACAGTTACCAGAAGTACATTTCGACGAGACCGCTGAGTCTTGGCTGAAAGGATTGGATAAAGCTGAAAGGATGCTTGCTCGTACGTCGTATTTGAAGGCCCACATGCCGTAGTCGGGCCCGGCGAGAGTTCTGTACCATGTGTCTGAACCGTTAATGTTCCTGGCGATTGGGACAGATGCCGTACCGTCCTCTAAGACGAAACTCCTATCGACGGTACCGATGGACTGCTGAAAAAACGGCCCAACAGCAAACGACACGGCAATGATCAGGGCAGCAGCGAGGGTGGCCGGGCTGCGTTTCGCTGCATAGGGCAGTAACCTCGCCGCCCCCCATATTCCCCGACTAGCACTATCGAAGTATTGTAGCCGCAACAACGAGATGGGCGACCGGGAAGTCCAAAAATAAATCCATTTTGACTGCGACACAACCTCGGCAGCGACGGCGACCATAACAGCCCGGTAGACCGTTGATAATAATGCGATAAGCGAGTTGAGGTTAAGGAAGAAAACCCAATCATCGTCGGCGTGATTATTTTGGCGGGCCAGGACGGCGACCATGGCAGCGAAGATGCCCAGACCGCCGACAAGTGCCGACATCTCCCATTTCCAGGACCATAGTATCCGTGCTGCGCTTACGGTGCGTGGAGTAGACTTTGGGTGAACTTCACGTTGGGGGAAAGTCGGCGCGCCTGTAGTTGTAGCATCACCGGAGAAGGTGGAAGAGTCGGTGTTTGAGTACTCGTAATTCGGGATGATGGGATGCACGCCGACTTGTTCAGCGCCGTGGGGCGGGGCGTAACCACCATACATCTTCGACATGAATATCTTGACTCCAAGACAGTGACTGCAATGCAAGATCCAGTCCAAGAAAATTAGCACAGATCAACACAACGAGATTGAGAGAAAATATGTATATATCTATTTTTGTATATATAAAAATAAAAAAAAGTTTATTTGTTCCACAGCATCACACAAAATTCCTGCGCCGCCGCCAGTCAGCTGGTTTCAAGTATAGAATTAGACGAGGGCTGCATTTGCCGTCAGAGCTGAAGCTCCAGTAGCATGGCTAGTAAGTCAGTGATCTGCCGCCGGTGCCTTGGCACTGCTAACGTTCGCCAATGGCTGCTCGGGTGGGCGAATCCTCCGTAATTGACACCGCCACAATCATCCCCTGCGGCCGCTGGCGTCAATTGTTATGTCTCAAAACGCCTGCGATCCAGATCACCAGGCTGTGGGGAAAGCGACCATCAGGCTCTGGCCTTGAAAGATGATGCTGATTGCTGATTAGTCTAAACGGACTTGAGTACAGCATTGTGCATCCAATCATAAAAGATCACTGTCGCAGCGACCTCTGACTTAAGAAAATCATAACATTTCGCAAAGAGTGCCGTCTTGAGATTGCAGATATTCGCGAAACTCATGCTCAGCAACTGGGGAGTCGTGACATAAAGATATCGAATGTTTGACCGCAACTTGATGCGTTATGCACATGCTCTCTCCCTTCTACTCGTAGACTACCGAGAGCCTTGTGCCACTAGGACTCTAGACCAATGACCGGGGCTGTTGAGCCGTCTTGGTGAGAAAGTCATTATCTCTGTGTTCTTGTTGCCGTAGCTGTCTTGCCAGCGACTGTGTCGAATCCACCGATAATCTGTTGTTTGGTACCCCCAGGCCTCCCTCGTCGGTGCTCTTGTTCGGTCGCTCGTGGTGGTGTGCCTGGGGCGGTGGCTTGACGTTGCCAGCCCTGATCGTGGTTGTCGTCGTTCCGACACCGTAGTCGTCCAACTCTTGCGGATCCTTAGTCCATTCTTCGTTGTCGCGGCGGGTTCTGCGGCGATGGAATATCCAGAGTGTGATGCCGAGACAGACGAGGAGGACACCACTACGGACAAAGTCAGTAAAGGCCGCTTTGGGACATGGCGCAACGAGGATCCATATGATCGTGTCGCAATAGAGAGAGAGACTTACCTCATGCTACCAAGTACGATTCCGGTGATGGGACTGTTAACGTATGGCTTTTCGCACGAGTTGCCTCCACCGGCGTTGGTGCAGTCGTCGCGTGCGAACACACCGAGTGGTGACATTTTCGGTGATTTGGCTGGGAGCTGGGAGATGGCCTTGGCCTTCTGGATGAGTTTGGATGTGTTTCAAGCTGTGGTGTTGGAGGATCGAGTTGAGGGCTCCGTATGTATCCAGTGCAGAGCTGATGATGGTGACCTCGCCTGAGGGTGTCTCGTCTGAGGGTGTCTCGTGTTTCAATCGCTTTGGCTACGTGCGGCTGTCTGTCGTGTGATTATGCCCTGGCAAAACTACCCATGGTAGAACAGAAAAGCGGACCTCTACCTAGCACTAACCCCTCCAAGAAAAAATAAGATCACGGTCGGCGATGAATGGGAAGAGAAAATAAAGCAAGTCAGCGGTGGATGAATGAGCGAATAAGTGAATGAGTGAGTAAGTGAATGGATGGATGCTAAGAATGCGTGCGTGTGTGTGTGTGTGTGAATGGGTGAGTGTTCCCCTGAAGGGCGGAGGTTCGATAAAGAAAGACGCCGACTGACTGCCCTGCCCTGCCCTGGCACCAGTGTGCTGTACGAGACGAGACGAGAGATAGCGGCCGAACAAGACGAGGTGAATCTAAATGAAAACGCGCGACAGTTTCAATCCCGTCATGGGAGCATGTCGAGACATGTCGGACATGCCAATCGAGGGGCCCTGTTTTCTCCTGAGGATCGACCAGGACCACGGGGTTCGTACGTGTAATTGGGCAATGCGAGATAGTCAGGCACAACGCTCTCGTTTCGGCTAGCACGTTCAGGGACCCTGAAATTAGTCCGGGTGCTACTGACACCGATACGACTCTGATTGTGTCTGCTCCAACCAACGGCTGACACTCTGGGGAACCTTGTAGGCAAAGTCTCTCATCTCTTCATGCAGACACACCTGATCTGTGACACCTCTTGGTCGGGTTTTATTTGGACGAGTTGACACAAGTCAAGGTCTGAGAGCTTGAGATTCCAGCCAGTTGACCTAACCTAGTACAACCTCACGTGGCGCCTTTTGTTCTGTCTGATGCACAGCTATGTATCCTGGCACGCTATGTTAGTTAGTGCTTTGTTCTAGAACACTTCTTCCCCAACCCCCGGCGAGCCGCCCCCAAGACCAAGCCTGAGCCCAAGCCCGACGATCCGCTGACACATCTGAATACGATAGCGCCTTCTACAGAGCCCTCACCTAAACTCAATTAAATGGGTGCACTGCCGCTCCGTGTCCGTATCCTCCCTCCCTCCGTCCGTTCCGGCATCATGGCGAAAACTCCCAGTTCTTGTCAAACTGGCCGAAATGGACATCGGGGTTGCCTTTGAAGATGTCGTCGTATTTTGGAGTGCACGTTGCAGGGTCTTCAGCTTGCTTGAAGTACCAAACGGCTTGCTCCTTCATGACCGGATCATTCCACATTGTGGCCATCCACCGAAGCGCATCCTGCGAGATGCCGTCAAGCGGGAGCTGGTAACTTCTGAATCGCTAATCGTACTCCACGTTAGCGCAAACGAAAGCTTGAAAGGAGGGACTAGAGGGATTGCAATGCATACCCAAAGCACGGGCCAGAAGAATGCATCAGCAATGCTGAAATTGCCGAACAAGAAGCCAGCATCGTCCTGTCCGAGCTCCTGGAGCCGCTGCTTAGTGTGCGATCGTGCGCGATCCCAAATGCCGATCATCTTCGATATCTCAACCCGTGCGGCGTCACTGATGGGAACCTTCCCCGTGTATCTGGCGATGAAGTTGGTGTCGTAACTGTTCCGCAGCTCGGAGAAGCCATCGTGCATCTGCGCCGCCGCGCCACGAGCGAGTGCTCTCAGCTTCACATCCTTCGGCCAGAGTTCGCGGTCGGGGAACGTCTCGGCGAGATACTCGCAGATGGCCAGCGACTCGTCGACGAGGAAGTCTGCGTCCTGCGCGTCGGGCTGTAGCATCGGGTACAAGCGACCCCTGAAGCGTTCATCGCGTGGCCGGTCAGCTGGGTTGAAGATGCTGTAGTATCGCGCCGTGTATGGAATCCTGAAGTGCTCAAGGACAAGTTCGACTCGAGCCGTCCAGCCTGTGAGAATAAGTTAGTCTTCGTGTGCTGAGGTATCGCAATCCTGCACTTACTGGAGTATCTAGTCCAGAATCCATGGAGGATGATTTGTCGCTGTGCACTTTCCTCAGCCATATCAGATTGTTGCATGTCTACGCTTTAATTACATTTGAAGAACAATACCAATATCAGAAGACTGGGAAGTTAAACTATTTTTATAGAAAGCTGAGCGAGTCATACTTGCGACTTGCGGCATGTCAGTTGAGTCATACTTGGCGGAATGTCAATCAAGTCACTCCAAGTGGATGTGGGACGCGCCTGGTGGAGCGTGTGAGTGAACGCCTTTCGAATAGTGCCAAAGTATACACAGTGAATATAAAATCCCTTTTTCTGAAAGCTATGTGTATACAAAGCTTCCAACAGATAAGATATGACTAAACCATCCCGGAAACGATACACATACTAAAAGAGTTTGCAAAAGTCAATAGTATATACGTTTGCCCTTCTTGTATGATATATTATACCATTATAAAAGTGAAAGGTTTTTTGTGGGGAAAGTACATGTCTATGGAGACTTTTGCTCACCCATTGTAGTCCAGAGGTATTGTTTCAGTTGTTTTAGACCGGATACCTCAAGCGCCGCACACATGTCTATTAATGTCGTTTGCATTACCACGCTTTCGACCTTCGCACTTGTCATCGTCGTCGCTCAGAACGCTGTAATAGTCTTCATCCTCCGTTTGTTCATCATCACTATCGGAATAGTCGCCATCGGACTCGCTGTCACGGTAGGGGTGCTTTTCTTCGTGGAGTGGAGATAACTCCAGCCTTGCCTTGGATGCCATCATGAAAATTTGAATGCTTTCGATCGCAAGGACGAGATCTCCTTTCCGCACATCCAGCTCAATGGCTCTGAAAGTTTCTGCCTCCCATCCTATCTTGGCTCGTATCTTCCTCTTGACGAGCTCCCGCAAGACAGCCCGTGCGTCGTCTTTTTTCCCACCACGCAAAATGGAAATGAGCTGCTGGAGCTCAACACATTCAGCGTTGATACCCTGGTCTCTGATATCTCGGAGGAGATATTCAAATGTACTGTTTCCTTCATCTGAAGGATTTTTTACCAATGGTTTTTGGTCCCTGGTGTATATAACGTGTCTGAGATTCTTCAATGGCGTCCATCCATGGTCATTTGGAGTCCTTATGTCAAGGGTGGTAATTTTCGCATGTAGAAGAACTGAAAATAACTCATGAGAGCCATATAGCGCGGCAATATGGAGAATGTTGTTTCCATAATTATCGATGACATCCTTCTGGACATCCTTCTGCAGCAGCAAACGCACCATGGCAGGATTTCCGAATTCGACTGCCAACAACAGTGGGGTTTTGCCGTCTATGTTCTTGGCTTCTAAGTAAAATGTTGCGCCGGCGAGTATTAGGGTTTCGAAACATCCGTCGACTGTGGACGGTGTCTGCTCTACCATACAGAGATAGTGCAATGCCGTCCTGTGGTGGTTATCTGCCGAGTGTATCGAAGCTCCCCTTCGTATCAAATACGACACCATGGATGGGTTTTTAAAAGCGACTGCGACCACTAGTGGTGTAAGTCCCTGTTTGTTGGTAGAATTTATATCACAGCCTGCATCCAGCAGTAGTTGAGCCAAATGTCGCACTCCAGACCATGCAGCTACGTGAAGTGGTGTATCGCCATCTGGATCTTTACGGTTGATATCAGCCCCCGCCCTGATCAGAGCGGTGCATGCACTAACGTCGCACATACGGCATGCAATATGTAGTGGCGCTTCGCCTGCACCATCGATCTCATTGATTGTAGTGGGTTGAAGCGCAATCGCTAGTTGAAGGTCCTGCCCGTCATGGAGGGCCTGGTGAATCGCGGGAATCTCATCCTCTTGTCCCGCTAGCTGGATTATTCGTTGGCAAGTATACGACTCTCTCGCAGTCAAAGTTCTTGTTGTGCCTTGAAAAAATTTTGCACGAAGTGCTGCTTGTCTGTTGGGTGTTACTTACACAAGTGGTTGCTGTTTGGCATGCTTAAACTGACCTTAACATCGGTGTGTCGATGAGTATTCTACTCTGGTGATTTAACCAGTAAAGTACAATTTCCCATTGATGTTTGTGGACGGCGTACTTCGAAATTAGCACTTCAACATATACGATCACTATTAATAGGCCACTCACCTCAATGACAGACCACCCATCTGTGGCTAGATATCTCGGAGAAATCTCATTACGAATCAACCATTTTGATGCAAGTTCTTCGGACTCAGTCTCGATAATGCTCCAAGCATTTGATCGTTCTAAAATAATTGGTACACTCAGACATATTTCAAGACCTCTGGTGGCAAAAGAGATGGTGAAATGAACTTTTCGTCTTGCCAGCCAATACGAAATGTCAAAACTGAAACCTGTTCCTCTCGCGCGAAAAGCACAATTGCAGAAGCATGGACCTCGTGGCAAGATCAAGCTAGACAACAAAGACGGCATTCCCATCGCTCGATTCGAAGCCAAATGGCAGTAGCAACCGCATGAAACAAGAGGATTGCTTTGAAGGGCCCTGCGGGTGCTGTTTGGCGGATCAAAAGCTCCGGACAAGGTCAGATCTTTTGGTTCCTTGGTGGCTTTGCTCGGCACCGGGTATTTCTGGGTGGCAATAGCATGAGCTTCGAACAGTACCTTAGTATGCCAATTTTTCTCGTATCTAGATACAAGAAGTATAATTAGTATATCTCTGACAATGATCGATGACATGAGTGTAATGCTGTGGAGAGTACCGTTTCACAGCTCGGTCTATTCGGTCGCAAGTCACCCAAGTTGGAATGCCAGTCATGGTAGGCGCTGCACTCATGCCATAAAATATACATGATCGTACTCACATTGATGCTCGCATGGCTAGAATTATCATGGCCTTTTCCAGGTACCCGAATATCCGCCGCGCCCTGCTGCAGAGGTCTTTGATTTTCGATTTCTGCCATGCCAATTTCAATTTAGTCCCCAGCTTTCTGAAAGGATCTTGCCGTAAAGCTGTTTCGCAATCGGCTGCTAACTTCTTTAAGTCCAGCAAAAGTCCCTCAAGTTCGCTTTCAGATTGCTGGATGTAGGCAGGTTCGGTGGGTCTAATCCCGTTCGGCAGGCTCTCTGAAAGCAGTATATCAATACAATTCTGAACATCGTTGGAGAGCGCAGTAAGGACTTTGAGCTATAAACAAGTCAGTATCGGGCGCCACAAACAGAAATGAACATCAGACTCACCTCGAACGAAAGTTCGGCTAACTCTTTTCGAGTATTAGCCACAGTCTGGATGATGCTGATAAGCTTCGGGATGCTAGCTAGGGCTTGGCCAATGGCAATGAAACTCGCGGCAGCCCCTACAACCTCCATCTCGTTTTGAATGAGATGATTTTGAAGAGTTCAGCGTTTAGCGCAAAGCGCATTGCCGGACAATTGACATGATCCGTAATGACTGAGGGTTACTTGTCCGCAATGCCTTTATAACGAAATCAAAGGCGGGGGAATTGCGTTATATCGAAAGAGAGCTAAATGACGCTGAGGTTGAAGGGGCTGAGTAGAAGTGCACAATTGCATGTGCCGTCGCCAATCAGTGCAATGTGATACCTTGATCTCATTTCGCGATTGGTCATATATAACGTGCTGCGGTTGGGCTCTTTCCGAGGCATTTATTAGGGCGTTCTCGGCATGCCATTAGGCAACTCATTGCGAGATGAGCCAAGTAGTTCATGTCGATAGATCACATACCACTGCCACAGGCCATGATACTCTGCGAGATCGACTAGTCGGTCGTTTTCAGCTGTATTCAAAATGTTTAGGACGAGTTACATTTGTTGGCGAAACTAGTCTAACTAGATGAGAGATGATGGTCGTGTGGGGATGGCTTAACCTAGATGCTTACCTAGGCTGACTACTATAAGTCAAGTAGGTAGCCAAACACTAACCTAGCCCCTACTATTGGTACACCGTATGTCTACATACGTCTTAGATCTATGATGAGTGAGTGTTAATTGTCTATTCCGTACACAGTTGAGGCTACGAATTTGTTATTGATACGATGCTATTTGGTCATATACTTTTTATGTTCATTCATTCTAAAATGTTGGACTGGTGTCCAACCGGGAAAATAGGGTGTTTTCATGCTAATGACACGAGTGGGAAGCCTTGTTAGTGTAGCTGCTGTGTGTAGCGTGGCGGTGTACATTCGTGTCATCACCTCTAGAAAGTCCATCCGCGCGTCTTCTCTCAGCAGTAAGTGATCCACAACATATATCCTACTTCTTACTGCCATAGATAATGCCATAGATAATGCCATATATAATGCCATAGATAATGCAGTGTGGCCATCAAAGCCCTTTAAACATTTAATTGGAAATGCACCGCATGTCGAGAAGCTTCTCCAATTTTTCTTTTGTTCCCAAGCGGACATTTTCCATCGACACACAGAACGGTTAAAACAGACCATCCCATCAGATGTGATAGCATTTAGTGATGCGCCCTCTTTAAAAGGTAGGCGACCATAGAATAGCTGTTATATCTAACCATATTCCTTATGGTAAGCATCAGCTACCTTCAGTATATCATAGGCCGCGTCTCTGGCTCGTTTTTTAAGACCAGCCACGGAGACGAAGGATCGCTCGTAATAATAGGCAAGCGCGAAGACATCCTAATCACGCCTTTCCCGATTAGACGGCGGTACTCTTGGCCTTCTTGTTCAACCAGTGCAGAAAAAGGTATTTCAGCTCTATCGTTGGTTGAGACGATGTGAAATTACACAGACAAGTAAGAAAAGGGCAAAAACAACAATTCAGGAACGACTTGACAAGGACTTACGAGCTGCAGGGTGGCAGTAACCATTATAGGAATCTAGCCCCAGGTAGGAGAGCTGCTAGACATGGACGACTGGTGATTTAAGCATTGGAGAAGCGTGACGGTCACGTCCCTACACTGGGCGAAATTACTTCGTGGCAAATCTAGGAACTTCAAAGCGAAGCTTGTTATTGTATCCCGTCTCTGCTCTACGATTGTTTTCAATCAAACAGCATGGTCTTGAGATCTGGCGATACGTCAAACTAGAAGTTGATAGGTCCACGATCTCGAAGGATGGCGGCGTCGCATTCAACATTACCTGTCATCAGGACGGCTATAAAGCGATGCTTGGTGCCCGCCGTCATTTGTTGAAATTTTTCATGGCGATTATATTCCCTGCTTCTATCGACAACGCGACGAGAGTGGTATTGTCCTTTGTAAAAGATGAGGCTACCCACCTCTCCATCTAGAGAACCCGACTGCCTCAATGACTCCATCGACGGCAGGATCAATGCCGACAGTCTAGCCTTTTCACTGGCTGACGTACTTTCCATGCATCATAATTCCATCGGCCGAGTGGATATCAATTATGTTCATTTCCTGAGTCGAAGGCATTGATTCTTCCAGCCTGGTAGATAACTGAATCGACGGCTAGGTCTTGAGCAATTCCGGGGCTATTGTTCCCAGAATTTGACTTGGAGATGAATGATACCTCGTCTGGGAAATGGGATCAGCTCGTGAGGCAAACTGGCCCCATGGTGCTACGGTACACTTCGCCGGTCGTGCCCATGCTTTCGTACTGAGTCTCCCACAGTCGGGTCGAATATTATGCTGTTGAAAGGGTCGTCACTGGGTCAATGATGGATTTTCACGATAACTCACAACATTACGTACGTTACCCACGACCTCTGCTCAACGAGAAGTTTTAATGGCAATGGATGAGCAGAACCGAGGATCATTCGAGCAAAGTACTACCCAATGATGGTGGCACAATGCTGTATAACTTTTGCGCTACCTGACCTGTGAGCTAGGTAAGCAAGAGATATCAGTAAAAGGCCACCCGTCGTAATGACTGCGAAGCTGCAACCGGTGACCATGATGTCAATAGTTGTGAGATTGTTATACACTGTCGAGGGAAGAACCAATGGTAATCCTTTCTAGTCCAGTTGCGTTTTTCGCAAAAGCTAGCATTATCAGCCTATAGAGCAGAAGTAGGCTCTAGACTAGACTAGCCTTTTATTTGTGTATAGTTTGTGTTATATAAAAAGCGGGCCATCGAATAATTCTTAGTAATGTACATAACCGGCTTGGCGACGGTAGAAGTTTTTATAGATGCGTAAAAGATTAGCACCTACAGAATAGTCCAAAAGTATTTCGTGTTGCTGCGCTGCGCTGTATGCAACGGAGCTTTTATCTCGATTGCCGATTTTTGCATCTTTCAGGCTTCGTAGCAGCGAACAGCAACGCTTGCGAGGCATTCCTGCTCGATGCAGTCCACCCAACTTGGATGTGTATAGACTTCCTGCGGTGATTTCGTTCAATTTACCCTGATACATGAAACATGGAGTCGTCTGAAGCTCGGATGAGACGTCAGTAAGGCGCCTAGCTACGGGAACAAGCATTGCTTGCGAATCTGTGCATCCCTACGGCCTGTCTATGAAGCATCACCTGCATATGTCGTGATATGACCGGAGGCCTTTTCATTGTTGTACTTTATTGAGACTGATTAAATTGAGACGAGAACTTCGCTCAAGATCAATAGCTAAAACCGTCACCAATTCGAGAGCACATATTAACTTATGTCATAGAGACCAGACATAGCCAAGAGCAAAAGTCTTATTTAAGTCATTAGTATTCATACATTATGTGTCGCGAACTGAGAATTTCATCCTATCATTCCAATCCCGTCCAAACGAACGACAATCTAGTAAGCGACTGCTGTTATTAGAGCGTAAATAGAAAAGTGGTATCATCCCTGTAGCCTCAACCTCACCCGAGGTAGGCCACTTTTCATTAACATTCGAGAAACTGCCGACTGGCTGGTATCATGTCCATTCCCATCCCAAGAGCCTAGTCCAATAAGCTCCGATACAATTAGTGATAAGCAAAAGACAAAAACAAAAGGGTCGCATCTCATCGTACGCCAGCCCGGAAACTTCTTCCTCTTTCCCGTTGAGTGCCGGTGGCCCTATTCCAATCCTCCCATTCCTTCGAGATCTCCATGAGCACGTTGCCCATGACCATTGCGCTGGCCATGAGACCATGGCCTTCGCCTTCGAGCACACGGACTTCACACTTGCGCATCGTCTTACCAAGCCATTTTACATTTTCCACCGGGACTCGATTGTCCTTGCTTCCGTGGTGAATCACAATTGGTCGTGTAATATCCACATAGCGGAAACCGATGGTATGGCGCCGTTCAAGGCAGATCAGAAGGTCCACGGCAGGGTTCGCGCCGGTTGTTGCAAGGTCCCAGATTGCGTAGGTAAGCCGGGTATCGTACGTCATCTGGCGCTCCTTGTCCGCAAAGGCATCTGTGCCTGCATTGGCCACAGCACTTTGCGAGCGATCGAAATCAGAACCCTCAGGCCGGATCTGGTCCATATTCTCGGTTGGCAAAGGCGCTGACTTGCCGCCATTTTCTAACACGTCGTGGGGTATGTTCTCTTTGTCAGGTGTGGGTGTCACATCGCGACGTCCTGAAGTTGCAGCCGATGATCGTTTCTTGGATCGCTTCTTGTCCTTTGGCAGGGAGCTTGTGATGGAGCTGCTTGTCGCGGTCATAAACGAGCTGTTTGCTGCCTTGAGAAAGGGGGTTGGTAACGCGCGAAGGATTCTTTGAGAGGTAGGAATAGCGTTGGCTGGCGGCGTCGCCTGCGACGCACCAAAGACATTCATTTGTGATGGTGGTATCCACGGTGCGAGTAGGTGGATGCGCCCTCGAATATGTTGTGGCATGCGCAGTGCTGTTGCGAGAGCATAGATAGCACCTGCTGAGTGAGCTAGTATGGAGAACTTGGTGATCTTCAATGCTTGGCAGATGGCGTAAACATCGTCTGTTTCAATTATTAGCATCCTACGGTTCCACGGCATCCATTTGAGCAACTTACCAGGCCAACTCAGAGGAGTGGCTGTACCATCTGCATATGGCTCGCTGTCACCTACACCAGGACGATCCGGCGTAATCAATCGTAGCTTCAGCGTCAGAGCAAGCTCGTCATAGAATGCCATGATGTACCTCGTCAATCCCATGCCGACACAGCAGAACACAGCTGACCCCTCCGAATCACCAACCTCAGAAAACGAGATGACTCTACCTGTTTGTGGGTGCTTAATCTTCTGAGACAGACGTGGTGAGCAAAGGTAAGACTCGACTGCATCGTCCACCGAATCAGTGCTCAATGGCCTGTCCTGACCAATACTTGGTTCTGGAGATGGACCCGGTCTTTCTTCTTCGGCAATCTTGAGGCCGGCTGATAATCGCTTGAGACCAGAGCTGCTTCGTTTCGTCTTGAGTGCATCCGCTGGTTCGGGTGTTGTACGCCCTGATTTCCTCCTTTCAGCGCTGCGAGTGCTTCTGCGCCTGCTAGAGGCGACAGCTGGATATGGTGCGCCATCGTCGAGCTCTTCTAATGTGTCTTTGCCGTCATTCATACTCTTTGCATGCTGCGAGGCCATGCTGGTCGATGCACTTAGTCTGCTCGAGTTTCGGGCTTCTGATCGTAGAATACCCTCGCTCAACTTCCGGGTGTCGGCTTCCGAGGCGGACCGTACTGGCTGCCGCCGTGCCGATGAAGACATGTCGTAAGACCGATCGTGCTCTTCGGTCTCTGGTATGCTGTCGTTGACACCGTTCTCGCTATCCCTCTTCGATTTGGTCGATCGGTGAGAAGACCTCTTCGCATTTGATCCCGTCTTACGCAGAGAGGAATCTCGCACGGGAATTGGTCTTTGTTGACTTTGGTCGAGAGATGAGCTTCTTTCCGGGAACTTATCCCTCGTGGCCAAATCAAGGTTCGCCGGTTCTTCGCTAATGGATGTATCCACGAGAGAGGGGTCCTGCCGTGGTGACAATGCGCCACCGAAATAGTCAAAGCCTGGTCCGGCGGCCCCAAAGCTTGAACGCTTGCGCTCAGCTTCAGTTGCACGTAGTCTCTCCTTCGAGCTCATGTACATGAGCCCCTTGGAGTTGCGACCCGACTTCCTGCCCCAGCTATCGTGTGATCCCTTGCGCTGCAATTCTGGTGTAGGTAGTCCCCTTTCGATGGAGAGGTTGCCGATGCTCCTCGTATCATCCTGGGACGAAGATGCAGAGCCTCTGGACGAGGGGCGCGACGATCGCAAGAGGGACCTGAGCCCACCGGAAGACTCGCGATGCGGGGATCTTGGCGATTTGGGCGCGGTCAATGGGGAGAGGCCGGATGGGGGAGGCGCTGTGCGGATGATGGGCGGGCTTGCTGCCAGTTCGTCAAGAGGAATGTCTTCCTGCTTGATCCTGAGGGAGGGGGATCTGTATGCACCGTAATCAACGCCGAAGCTTCCTTGCCCAGGCGAAGTGGGTAAGGAGAGCGCACCCAGGCTCTGGTTCTCGAAGAGGTTGTTGGCGGGTTGGGAGATGACGGATAAACTTGTGATCAACGAGGAAATTACTTCTGGGGAGGCGGGAGTGAGATGAGTGCGACCGCCATCGACACCATTACTGCGAGCGTCAACTCGAAACGGCTTCCGTTCTGATCGGTGATGGGATTGTCGGGGGATAGGGGGTGCAGGTACATAAGAGCCGGCGGCGGAAGTCGAACTGGACGGCGCGTAATCCATGGCTCTGGTTGCAGGTAAAGCACCTGTGCAAGCTTGACCGGTTTGTAGTTTGTAGTTCGTAGACTGCAGTGTACTGTATGTATGTACGTACTGAACTCTGCTCATGCGACGGCCGAATTTGCCTAATTGCGACCGACTAGTCCTGCGTGTCTGACGCCTGACCGCGTCTCCTGCATGCAAAAGAGTTTTGGAAGTTCCGACGAACACATGCGGTGCAATGATGTATTACTGAGGGCGGAAATGACCCTGCCCTGCCTGCGAGCCTTGAGCCTCGAGCCTGTAGGGGTCCTGCAGTTTTCGTTGTCCAGTGTCCAGTGCCCAAGGCGCTGGCTGTAACGGGACAAGCTTAGGTTGGTTAACCTAGGTTAGTACTGAGGTTAGACGAACGAACAAGGAAGGGAATGGAAAGGAATGCTTGATTGACTAAATGAGCGCTGGGCCAGCAGCTCCAGCTACCCAGAAGAGCTAGAGCAGGTGGGATAAGGCAAGTAGCTCGGACAGCTAACTCCCAGATCTACCCGCCGCGCTGCAATAATAGATTACATACTTGATTCGAGTTTGGAAACACCAGTACGACTTCGTGTAAGGCCCCAAATCCAGGGTGTAATTTGCCTTGGCTTGGGCGTCGAGGGAATGATATGCAGCTAGAAATGCTCCAAGTCAGGGGAAAGAGGAAACAAATTCAAATTATGCAGGTGCGGCCCTCCATTCAATCATACAATGTAAAGCAGGTGTCATGCACGCCAGCGGGGACTGTAGATCGTGCAAGGTCAAAGCTAACTGAACCATGTGGGCTCTATGGATACAAAATAGGATTTTATAATATCAGCTTTCAGGGCATTAGACTACACGTGTAGTGACCAACGACGGACATCAAAGGCAGCACAGCTGTCACATCCGTGCGGAATTCCCAATCAACAGGCGAGGACCGAGTACCGAGAGTCGAACAACCTTCGAGGAACCACTCGCGAATCGATTGCTTCTGGGTTGGCCATGTCTGTTGTGCGTCTTGATTCCAGTCATCTCTCCAGGGATACTTTCTGCTGAATCTTTCCATGCGAACAATTGACTCTGAATATGGCCAAGCGTCATTGTTCGGGTCCCCAAGCGGGGCCTTCATCTATTTCCCCAATCTCCCGGGCTGCTGGATCCCGGCGCTACTTTTTTATCTTCGCCGACACAAAGCCCCTGAGCCACTCAGATTAGTAAGTTACACACTCGAGTTGTCAAAGGGCGAATATTTCGATCATGTCAACGACGTAAGTTATGTAGTCGGCCTGCACTGCACTCCCATTTTACACTGCGGAGTAATCTAGAGGAACCCACTGCGAGACTGTAGTTTATCGACGCATTCGCCGTTAAATTTTGTTACTTCGAAATCGTCGCCAGATGATACGCATCGCTCCTGTGCAGCGTTGCAGTGACTCGCGTCGTGTTACATCGTCGAACTCGCAATGCTGCCGTGATGACCAGAGCTAATTAATGGTTTCCAGATCTTCCGAACCAGGTGGGTACCATCACTCGGATCTTTCGAATACGCTTATTATCAAGTTGATTTCCCCACCAACGAATGTTACCATTCTCCTATATTATTATGATCAAGCTGCACATAACAGGCAAGAGGCTTCTTGACCAGATCTTGGGAGCTTTAGAGAGCTTTGTGGGGGATAAAGTCCTCGCCGTAAATCACGACTAACAATTCTGATCTCAGACAACGGCCTGTCTCATAGCTGTCAGTTGAGTTGGGTTCATGATTATTGATCCCGAATAGCTGCTGAGGCGCTCTGGCCTCTTCCGTTTTGGTTCGTTGAGTCTTATCCTTATAAGTAGGTCTTATCCTTATCAGTGCTGGTTTGGTTCAAGTCCATCGTGATAGCATAGACTCCTAATTTCTGTGCAATGGCATAGCATCAACCCAGAAGAAGCGAGCCCAGTAAGGCATTCTCTGAGAACTAAACTGATCTCTAGTAACAGTATATCACAACCTTGGGAATCCTTGTTGCGTCCGAGGTAAAAGAAAAAGAAAAAGAAATTCATCTTGAATAGATCGGTCGCCGCACGTGCAAGCTACAACCCAAGTGACCGCAAAATTGGCGAATCTGAGTTTATGCGACGCTTTAAACATTTGATGTTTAACTTTCCGATTATAGTCCTTACTCACACGGGAGTTGGCGCGCCAACCCTGTCCACTGCAATACTTTTCGCCATGGAAAGTCTTGCTATTCAGCCATTTCAGACTCAACAGTCTTTGTCCTTCCCAGCCCACCACTACTGTAGTAGCGTCTGATGTAATTACGTCATACCCACCAAAATTCAAGTCTCAGCATGAAACAAGGCAGGACAAACCAAAATCATCGAGCTCTGTAAGCGCATCGCAAAATATTATCTTCAATAATATGTGCTTGTAGGCCATCAAATTTGTTTCATATTAAACTGTCCGATTCAGTGATTGAATTTCGTTGCGACTTGACATAGTCGCAAAATCCTTGATCATGTTGGACGTTCTCATGTCCCTTCCTATACTGTCCTACTTCGCTGCGCCAGCCCTGACATCATGGTCAACCTCATTGAACATATTATTTTTCTACATGACATGGATGACCCTCGTCCTGTCTTATTCGCCGTTGAAGATCGAGCTCGTCGGCACCCTCGCCGTACGCGTTGCTCTATGGTTGATCCCGTCTTTGGTGTTCCTCCTATTTGATGCGGGGATACCAAGCCTCTCGGAATCCATCAAACTCTATGGATCTACATCGCTACCCCGGCGCAATGCGACAACCTTGGCCAAGCAATTGCTTCTCGCAGTCGTTAATCTATTGCTGTTCTCGGCCGTGCAGGCTGCTCTGTCAGTAGGCGCTACGACACTGCTTAAAGGTCCGCTGTTCAAGACATCGACGACACTTCCGCTGCCTTGGCAGATGATCAAGCATATCGGATGGCTCTACGTCAGCCGAGAGTTCCTGACATATTATATCCATCGTCACTTCTTGCACTCGCGCGGTCTGTTAACGAATCTGCACTCAAGGTACGGACACTGCCACCGCGGCGCGCCGTACTCACTTATGCTTTATGCGGACCACCCCTTGCCTTTGATGCTGCACCGCTTGCTGCCGGTCTACCTGCCATCGCTGTTCATCCGCCCGCATCTGTTGACATATTTCCTGTTCACTATCTTCACTACGATTGAGGAGACAATGTCTATGTCTGGATACAGCATCGTGCCGGGTATCATAATGGGCGGCATTGCGCGCCGTACAGGCACGCATTACGCGAGTGGAGGGCAAGGCAATTTTGGGGCTTTTGGAATTCTGGACTGGATTAACGGGACAAGTGTTGGTAAGAATGTCATCAGGGACATCCAAGATGAGGCAGAAAAGCACCAGCTCAAGGAAAGGGGCGAGAATGCCGCAGATGATGCTGGGAACCTGCTGCAGGATGGCGTTGATCGTGTCAGGAGGAGCAGAAGGAATGGGAAGAAGGACTAGTTTGAGGTTAACATTTATTGAATTGAACAGTTGTATGGGCGAAAAGTAGATGGTTCTGTGAGAGTTTGCTGCTTTGACCTCTTACGTTCGTCGCTTACCAACATGTGAGTATGATAAATAAATTATTTACATCTGTGAATTAATGGAAGCACGTATCTAGTACATCTGGCCGCGTTATGCAATGCACATTTATTGACAAGCGGTAAAATGTGGAAACTGCTTAAGCTTAAATATATTGAAGGATTCAAGGATGGTTTATAGTGATAGTGGCAACGTGTAAGCGGATAGGTCAATTCTCTACAGCCTGCCTCCTTCGAATCTCAAGGGATTTGGCTATTCTTAAGGTGTCTTACGGGTAATCGATAAGATATCCGGAGTTCTAATAATAGGGTTTTCAATATAATTTATAACCTTATCGGCAAGTCATAACCTTATAGCCTTGAGTTATCACATATGCGGTTGACACCGTTTGCGGCTTCTTTCACATATTTAACTGTAAGAACTGCGATAAACCCAACCTGGGCCAATCGGCCATCTCCACGCTGAGAAGATTCTGTGATAGATTGTTGGCCAAGTGCTTGCCAATAACTCAGCTTCAGCTAAACCACGACAAAAACAAAAATTGGCATAGTCTAAAGCTCGACGGAACTTTAGTGAAATACGAAGGCAATATGAGTGTAGAGGATTTTGAACTACAGATCGCAACGGTATAGTGGTCGAGATACGAAAAGTGTAGGGCAGCCCGTAAAGTCCTTGTTTCATGCGCTGGATCGAACGCCAGATCCTGTGAGTTGCTGATATCTAGATGCAGTAAGGTAACAAACTCTAGCAATTCGAGGCAACGAGAAGGAGAATATTGTTATGTGGAGATGGGTAAGGCAAAGCAGCGTGCCGTTGGCGTTGTTGTGATGGATGTTGTTGGTCCAGTTGATGCGGACATTGAAGGCCACAAATTAGGAACTGTAATGCTTTACAACAAGGGAAGCTGAAAAGGCCATTTGGGCCAGGTCAACACAATTACTAACCGATGGGTGGGTGATACTATTCCGACTTTCCTGCCTTTCCACTCCCTTGAATAAACAAAAGGGCTTGCAGAAAGACAGTCGCCGCTATACATTCCTATAACTGTGCGGGCCCAGATATCAATCAAACTGCACGAGGAGATCATTTTGCCAACTGACAATTTACAGCATATAGCCACCACGTAGTCTGTTCCACTGCGGTACGTAACCGTTGTATATTCCAAGAGTTCCTGATACTTCCGCTACATTTTGAAATCAGAATAGTCGGAAGAGTTTAATTCCCGGTGTAGACTTTTATCAGATAGGAGACAGAAGAGAGAATACCAATAATTGACAGAGAAACGGACGAATACTAATTTTAATTGCGGACGAGAAGATGTAGTAGGGTGACTAGCTCATCCGTTCGATCCACAGGGTGTTAAGCATGGTGTAGATAGAACCATTTTGAGAGGTGAGTTTAGTTGGCCGAAATTATGTCAAGCTATGAAGGGGAAAGGGCAAAGAATCGAAGAAAGCTGAGAGGGAATAAAAGATCAAAAAAGTGAAAATAAGGTATGAACAAAGAATCATGTATTAAAACACGTTAGCAGCTAAGCCAATATTGGTGCATCTCGAAATCCACTAAATTTGAAAGCCTTCTATAACAAACGATTTCAATGCGTATGTGAACTTGAATTTTACAGCAATTTCTGGATCTCTGGGCAAATGGCAGCGAGCTTTTCCATAATTTCATGCCAAAGTCTGCATTGCAACTGAGTTCCTGCCCTACTTTCCACAAGTGAAGATGGTCTTAGGTACACATGAATTAGCAATTAATCTGAGGGATGGACGCATGTTTGATTACGTACCTTGCTACTTTACAATCTGCCATATATTGTCCATGGCTCTCTTCCCCGGCAAGAATACCGCCTAAGAGAGTTCTGCTACCGACTTCCGCTGTTCTTCCAATCACCAATTTCAATATTCCCATGCTTGCTTTTTTTGACCATCCAAGATCACGATGAATGTCAGTACGGCAAGCACCTGGAGTGACATAATTGACTATGACATTCGGCTTCTCTGAGCCGTCAATTCTGTGAGCTAGTTCGCGGGCGAAGAATACCTGAATTAACTTTGTGGTGGCATACCTAGGAGCAATCAGTGGTAGATAATTAGACGTGATTGAGTGAATTTCCCACCTGTCGTCCATGTCTGCCAAGGACTTCGTATTGAGTGCGTCCATAATACGATTTGATTCTTGCTCTACAAATCGAGCCACAAAATGCGATTCACTCACCACAATGCTGATTCGCGGTGTTACTGCTTGGTGTACAGCGGTCTCACGTAACTTTGGCAGAGTGAGGAGCATCAAAAGACACGGCCCAATGACATTAGTCATCAGAGTGATCTCCATATCCTCGACTTCAACCCATGCTGTAACTGTCATTCCAGCGTTAAGGATGATTGCATCAAGTCTTTCAAGGGTTTGGAGCCGATCAGCGAATGCCTGTATTGATCGAGGAGAGCACATATCCACAGCCCAAACATCTGTAACGTGTTTCCTTTCGGGAAAGGTGGCATCGATGCAAGATTTGGCGATTTCTCCCTTGGCTGTGTCTCTGACAGCGAGAATGACTTTCTCCGCCCCTAAGCGTACACAATGTTTCGCTGCTTCAAGGCCAAGACCGCGATTTGCACCAGTGATGATCACCACCTGATTTGTGAGATTTTGAGTAGGAATGGGCGGCGTAACAAACAATTGAGAGTAGAGGAGATCACCAACGAAACCCATGATGTGCTAAAGGACGAGTTGGGTATTGGATCAATTCCATATGTGGCTTGTTTTAAAGACTGTTGGTTAGCTTGATGTCGAAAGCCAAGAAGTCTTTCACCTTATAAGCTAAAATACAATAGCTAGGTAGACAGCAGCTTACGAATTGGTGCTTTGCGACGAGAAACGACCACGTCAGCGTCAGGATTAACGGTCCAAGGGTGGGGATTGTAACTTTCAACCTAGTCAAGGGTGAAATGGGTGAAAAGAGAGAAGATCTCGGTGACTTTCTGGTGATTGAAAGAAGAACGGCGCCGTCTTTACACCGTCGTAAATGAGATGTCGTACCATAAATTAGTAAGATTGACGAACAAAAAGAGGACTCGGTAATTCTGCAAAACGAAGAAGATCGGTCACCGTAAAATTTCCTAAGCACATTCAAACTCATTGCAAACCAACTGTTGTCGACAGATTGGTCAAGGTGGCTCTAAGGCAAAAAAAAAAAAAAAAGTAGACTACTGGTAAATCGGCGGGGTTGTCAATGCTATTAATACGTTCCGTGTTGGTGAGGTGTTTGGAAGGTTACCGAATTAGTAAATGTAGTTTTAGCGCAATCTGTCTCCAAAATGCGCCTTAATACTGTACATCGCCAGAAACTATGAATCAATGTATTGAGTAATATGACAAGGAGGTGTTGTTAGTCTTATATTGAGGCACGCTTTCTATGTCAAAGCTACTCGCTCTTGCTAACCAATTGGCGTCAATGTATATGATATACAAAGGCTGTTCGTTGAAAAAGCTTGGTACGTTAGTATGGTATGCCTCCATATACCCATGATCGTACTTAGAAAAGTTGTTATGTCCTTAATCCCACAACTGCCTCTGGTTGCACGTGGATTTATCCTCTTCTCCGGGTTCTGATACTTCGTCGTTATTGTTGCCAGACTTATATTCTGAGATCTCTTCCTTAACTGCATCCACCAAATCATATACATCTTCCTCTTCTTCTGTTTCACAAAGATCCCGGAAATTTATATTTTCAAGAGCGCTGCCTATCGAGGTTGTATTTGTTACCTAACTTATCGCCTAGGTGAGACTCAAGCATTTCCCCTAAGATCGTCGGTCATTATCTACTCATCCACTTGTCGCGGAACTTTCTTTGGGAATGTATCGGACACGATAATATGTGAAGTAAAAGGGTTAATAGAAGGAACCACAGCGGATGCCAAAGAACTCGTCCCGCGAGCCAGTCTGTATACGAGGACTTTCAGACATATGATCCGATTTAGGATTGGTTTTACCAAATGGATTAGCAACAGTCGTAAGAGCGTCTCTTACACTCTGAGCCACTGCCCCATTTAGCTTATTGTTGTTTGCCGTTGCTGTTGACGTATCTCCCGTCTAGTCAGATCCTGAGCTGGACTTTGGTTCTAACCAATTTCAGCTGGCCAACGTTAAACTTCGAATTAGCCCTGGTTATCTGGATCGAACTTTTTGTCTTAAACATGACGGCGTCAATTCCCTGGAATTACATTTGTCAAATTGAAATGAGGTGTCAAGAGTAAATTGGTTCATGAGTTGGTAAAGTATTTGTAGGTGACTATTCATACGGTGGCACATTAGATATATATGACAAATAGGTGGCTAGTAAAGCCTGAAATATAAGTGGTTAGGACCTATCTCAACATTCATAGTACTGTTTGTTGCTATTATTGTTGTTGTTATTGTTATTGTTAAGTAGGTTTATATAAAATGGAATAGGAGGTGTTCCTTGAGCTTTTGGCCAATCATATATATATAATTTATATAAGTATTACATTGATAACAGGCCAAAAGCCCGGCCAAGACTTTGCTTTCTTCCTCCTAGCCTTGGCACATAACTCTAGTAAGAACTTTTCAAGTTATCTTAACTTCTTATAGCCGTCAAATCTATTCATAAGGCTCAAATCGTAAATAACAACAGACTTATCTTGGCTAACCTTATAAAACCAAGCCATTTATAAAATAGAACAGGGTCAAGCGTGCACTCACCCGGGCTGCAAGATAGACTGTTCACACTTATCTGACAAGGCTTCCGTGCTGTTCATCTAAAGTGACATTGGCGATGTATGGGAGCTGAAGCTGAATTTTCGGCTCAGTAGATTTGACATTGATGGGGAGGTATGGTATCATCCCTATTTAAGCTCTGCTGTGCTGTAGTGGTCGAGTTCACTGTCAAAATAAAGTCAAGGAGAAGGCTGGCGAGCCAGCTCAATACCGTGGTAGTGTGCCGTTCCTCGATCAGTAGCTAAACCGTCCGAAGAATGCATATAACTCTCGAAAAGCGACAGCCTGTCTTTGCTACAAGGTGAAGCGGCTTATGCGCCTATGCCTGGCCGATGCTAGGAGACACTTGTGAGCAGAGATCACAAAATCAAGAAGGGGGTCGCAGTAACTTGATGCACATTACCATATTTATCGATGCCTATGTTAAACAGGCGTATCTTGAACGTAGTCAGATGCACGTGGAGATATGCAGTTCCGTTAACGTGATCTGTATCCCTATGAACATCCAAGACGGCTGCTCGTGCGGGCGCGAGATGAAACGCTGGTGATTGAACACACGGATGGCATGGTGGAATTGGTAGAGAGCTGAAGATATCAACTAGCTATGTTAGAGCAGCTGCGTGCCTAATCAGCGCAGGAAGATGTCACAGCCGTCTTGGGATGGCTGTCTGTGATTTCGGCCCGCGTCAATGCCGCATAGTGGCTAGAACGATTTATGTAAGACTAGCATAACAAACCAATGAGCAGTGGGTATCAAAAATCTTTGAACATGCAACACTATGCAACATATAGTCTGGAGGCCGAATGAGGAAGTTTTGTAGTGCCTGTGTGTTTTGGTGGGGCTTATGACCAAAGTACATACGTACACAACTGCTTACTGGATGTACATATGCAGCGGAGCAGAGCAAACCATGGTGGTAAGAGCTCTACCAACGCAGATCAAGCACATGCACACTCATGCAACAAGAAGAGGTTGAAGCATTTCGACGTCATGAAAAAAAAAAAAGTGAAATGTAACAGAAAATGATGTTATACTGGGATTCAATAAAATGAGGAAAATAGGATAAAAGCAAGATCAACACTACTATAGAGAGTCCATAAGCGCTCACGGCGCCGTTTCAGGCGGGTTGGGCGGGTTGGCGGCTAGCCGGAAACATTTGCACTGCCTTGTAAGTGGAGTTGAGAGGATTCGCAATGCTGATCACCGGCAACGAAGGCAAAGTGTTATCAAGCTCCTCAGACTGCATCGTTGTGAGGCACTTCGTCTTCTACTTCATCTATTCAATTTGGAGAAACGAGGCTGGTCTTCAAAACAACTGCAGCCTAAAATCTTGCGTTGGTCACAGCTCAAGCGCATCGCACGGATTCTTTATTTGGCCTCTCTCCAGCTTGTGCGACGGACAGCCACCAGTATCGAGATCTGTCGCATCTTATCTGGCACCAGTTGCACCATTTCAACGTCATCGACCCAGCCTCGAGCAAGACTGAGCGGAGTCGCGAGCGCTCATCATTTCAACCTACGTCGCAAAGAACGGGGACCCCTAAAATCTTTCAGTGTTCTAGCTGTCATTCAAAATAACCTAAGCGGTTTTTCTTTCCAGAATGACTTGGGACCTCAACCGTCGTCGCTTCGCCCGTGCGGTTAACAGCAAGTTCATCTTTGGTCGTATTGTAAGTTGCGTCGAACTGACGTCGCAGTTCCGCCTTCTGTGTCTTTGGTTCCTCCCCCTGCGGCCTGTGTATCGCAACACAAGTTACCAAGCATGGTTCATGCACAATTCTCAACCTTAAATCATAAGGCGAACTTGATTACGGCTGTACTGACTTGCTGATCTCTCTATCAATATAGCCTCTACTCCACGCTGTAATATTCTTCATCGAAATGACTATCGTTGCGAGGCTAGTATCGAGGTTCAATGCCTACTATGACGAACGACCAGGTATGCATTGCTTCGTCGTATCCGTCACTACTTCTACGGCTGGGATATCTGATGTCCCAATCTAGTTCTCACCATGATGGTGACCAACGCTGTGCTCGGTGGCATCGCCGACACAGTCGCCCAGACCATAACCTCAGTACGAGAGCGAGCTCTCCGCAAGCCTGGCGGCATCACAAAGGACGACTCCATCGCAGTCGAAATCCACGAGCTCGATCGCAAGAACCCACTGTACGAGCGCGACCTGATCCCCGACTCGAAACTTCTGCCGCCGCCTTTCGACTTTGAACGCCTTACCCGCTTCATGGCTTACGGCTTTGCCATGGCGCCGGTGCAGTTCAAGTGGTTCTCGTTTCTGTCGCGCGCGTTCCCGATCACCAAGACGGCTTCAATGGGACCGGCAATGAAGAGGATGGCATTTGATCAGCTTGTCTTTGCGCCTTTTGGTATCGCTTGTTTCTTCACCGTCATGACGGTCGCCGAGGGCGGTGGTAAGAGAGCTGTCACGCACAAGCTCAGAGATATGTACATCCCGACGCTCAAGGCCAACTTCATGGTTTGGCCGGCTGTGCAGATGATCAACTTTCGGTTGATGCCCGTACAGTTCCAATTGGTAAGTTGTTTCCAGCAGATGACAAGCTGTCTCTCGAGTCGGTAGGCTAACGGGGTGTCTGTAGCCTTTTGTGTCGACTATCGGTATTGCGTGGACTGCCTACCTCTCACTGAGCAACTCATCGGAGAACGTACCTCAAGCCGTCGATGCTCCTCGCTCGCCTGACATTCGCCTCCCCTAGATTATTGTTCAAAATGTACAGTACAACGACAACGTGACAATTGGCCGAACGAGAAGATTCGGTACAACCGGATGTCAAAAGTCAGACGCGCATGTCAGGTCGTGGGGTTTGAGCAGTCCCCATGCGAGGTTTGTTCGGTAATGCGAATTGTTTGGCATGGCGTTCGGTCTGCTTTTCCAGGTTGGATCATAGGTTGGCGTTTCGCTTTGTTTCTCTTGTGTATGTAGACTATGTTCTAAACATGCATTGCTAGACATTTTGGTATTGGTCCCTCATCTCGTGACATGGTGCGACAACCAGTAGCCATGTCATATCGTAAGATTAATATCGGGCGAGATGCAGAGTGCAAAACTCGGAGTCCCATCTACACCTCCGTATTGTCCCGGAGGAACGACGAACATTAGCACAAAATAATTATAGGCGGAACGACTATAGCACCACTTAAGTTGCCGAGTGCTGCCGCGGTCATACAATTATGGCAAGCTGTAATGCATTCGCTCGACAGAAATCAATGGGAAGGACGCTAATGGCTGCGCGAGAACGTCACTGCTCCAAGCAACCCGCGCAAAGAGGGACCCCAGAAGCTGAAAGCCCGACAGCATCATGCGGTAGGCAAGGAGAGGGAACGAAAGAAGGGCCTTTTTCAACCCCCCCCCCCCCCCCCCCACCATGCAATCAAATCGGAGTGCCCCTCCAAGGCCCCCCTCCTTCCTGACACACAACGAGACCAAGCTTCCAAGAGCGCCCAGCATTCAACCAAAGAATCTGCGTGTTTTTTTCTCCCCCTGCTACCCTCAACAACTTGGAATAAAAACCTCAAGCTGCTTCTTGAATATCTCTTATCATCCCGAAGCTAGTCAGGAACTCGCTTTTTACATTCGGCCACAGAGAACATACACGAATCAAAGCTATCATCAACATGTCTCTCTCCAGCAAGCTGTCCATCACTGATGTCGACTTGAAGGGCAAGCGGGTGCTCATCCGTGTAAGTCAACACCGGCTCATGCTCACGTCGTCAAGCTTATCCTGCTTCCTCCCTCCTCCTCTTCCTTCCTCCCTGTGTTGATTCCTTTTTACTCTGCCATTGAGCTTCGGGTGGTTTCCTACTTGTTTCCTTTCGTTGCCTAGACGAATCTAACATGAGCTCCAGGTTGACTTCAACGTGCCCCTCGACGCCGACAAGAAGGTCACCAACAACCAGCGTATCGCCGGCGCTGTGCCTACCATCAAGTACGCCATTGACAATGGTGCCAAGACTGTCATCCTCATGTCCCACTTGGGCCGCCCCAACGGATCCGTCAACCAGAAGTACAGCCTGAAGCCCGTTGTGCCCGAGCTCGAGAAGCTTCTGGGCAAGAACGTCCAGTTCGCACCCGACTGCGTTGGGTCCGAGGTCGAGGAGATTGTCTCCAAGGCCGACAATGGCCAGGTTGTTCTCCTTGAGAACCTGCGATTCCACATTGAGGAGGAGGGCTCGGCCAAGGACGCCGATGGCAACAAGACCAAGGCTGACAAGGCCAAGGTTGAAGAGTTCAGGAAGGGTCTGACCAAGCTCGGTGACATCTACGTCAGTAAGTTGCATCTCGCACACTTTTTTTCTTTTTTGTTGGCTACCGCACAAATCGGTTATTGACTTGGGATGTAGACGACGCTTTCGGCACTGCCCACCGTGCCCACTCCTCCATGGTCGGTGTTGACTTGCCCCAGAAGGCCGCCGGTTTCCTCATGAAGAAGGAACTCGACTACTTTGCCAAGGCCCTCGAGTCGCCCAAGCGACCTTTCCTCGCCATCCTCGGTGGTGCCAAGGTCTCTGACAAGATCCAGCTCATTGACAACCTGCTCGACAAGGTCAACAGCCTCGTCATCTGCGGTGGTATGGCCTTCACCTTCAAGAAGACCCTCGAGAACGTCAAGATTGGCAACTCCCTCTTCGACGAGGCTGGTTCCAAGACTGTCGGTCAGCTGATGGAGAAGGCCAAGAAGAACAACGTCAAGGTCACTCTTCCCGTTGACTACGTGACAGCCGACAAGTTTGACAAGGACGCCAACACTGGCTCCGCTACCGACAAGGACGGCATCCCCGATGGCTGGATGGGTCTCGACTGCGGCCCCGAGTCCATCAAGCTCTACAAGGCTGCCATCGATGATGCCCAGACCATCCTCTGGAACGGCCCCGCTGGCGTCTTCGAGTTTGAGAAGTTCGCCAACGGTACCAAGGCCACCCTAGATGCCTTCACCGAGGGTGTTTCCAAGGGCAAGATCGGCATCATTGGTGGTGGTGATACCGCTACTGTTGCTGCCAAGTATGGTGCTGAGGACAAGTGCAGCCACGTCTCAACTGGTGGCGGTGCCTCCCTCGAGCTTTTGGAGGGCAAGGAGCTGCCTGGTGTCACTGCTCTGAGCAGCAAATAAATGTTCGACTCTAAAAGGTAAACTGTAGTAAACGTGAAGGTGACAGTAAGTCTGGGACAAATAATTCGACCCAGGAGTTCAGAGCCCCGGCAGGCATGGCGAGAACGATAGCCTCAACGGACACTAGAACGCCTGCGTCATGAAAACATGAACGGTAATGACTGATACGCCAAATGGCCGGGTTTACGGGTAGACTGGATGGACAAGGTCGGACTGAAAAGGATTATGTCCATATCTTAGAACAAATGAACAAAGAATCGTACAAATGTTAGGCCCACGCTTTCATGTGCCCATGTGTGCTCTACGTGTACATCACTTCATACAGCGGATGATGAATCATGCGCCCCATTCGAGTTTATTTCAGGTTTGCTGGCCGTACTCGCCGGTCACATCTGACCAACATTTGATTGGGAGCCACATCTTTGCAGCCGGGGGCAAGCTACCATCTCAAACAATCAGGCAATGCCTCCTCATCCGAGTAGTGATAAGAGTAGTGATATCACGGGGTCACGAGACAAATGCCTCAAGCCTCATCAACTTCATGCACGCCATGTATCCATCTGCGAATCTGACTTCCAAACCCGTCCTCAGATGTCCTCCCCTTCCTTAAACCCCCCCCCCAAAGCTTTGATCCCATATACACGTTTCAGGACGCCTACGGGCCCCCTTCATCTCCTCTTGGCGGCGTCGACCTTCTTCAGCTCCTCGCGCAGCTGGGCGCTGAAGTCATCGGATGTGTCGTCGTCGTCCCACGACTTCTCCCAGAGGTGGTTCTCGCCGTCCTTGCCGCCCTCGCCCTCGCTGGCTGCGGCGGCTGATTGGGCCGCTTTCTCGGTTTGGTCTTCGGGCCAGTCTGTTACGGGGAACAGTCAGTTGGTTCCCCAAGGCATGGGGGACACGGGAGCGGGGGAGGCGGGAGTGAGGGAGGCGGTAAAAGGGAGATGGGTCAGAGAAGCAGTGTGCGAGAGCTGCGGTGGGTGCGTGTGCGGGAGTGGTGGGCACGCTCTTGTCGTAGGTTTAGGTAGAAGCTTCAGGTAAGGAGGAAAAGGAAAGGGACGGCGCAGCAAGGATACATACCCTCGACGGGGAAATCTTCAAACTCGTCGTCTTCCTCCAGCGCGGCGGCCGACTTTTGTGCTGTCTGGGCCTGCTCGGGCTTCTCTGCGCTGGTGGTTTGGGGCTTGTCGCTGGCCATGATGGGCGAGTGTGCAGTGGCCTATTCCCGTGTAGCTGCTTGCCTTTGTGATTGCAGGATGTGCGCAAAGATTGATTGACTGGAAGCGTTAACGTGATGTTTTTCGTACGGTGACTTGATTTGGTTGCGTGGTGTTTGATTACGGAATGAGTTGCTTGTCTGCGACCGAGGGGTGGGACGGACAAGGCTGCTTAGCAGGTGAGGCTGCCAGCTGTAACTTAATCCGTACACACATTGCAGTAACCTAACCTAGTTATGTACCTCTTCCGTACGGATCCAGACAGTAGCTGTGGAAGCTCACGGAAATGGGGACAAGGATTCCTGTCGATGGGGGCGCCGATTGTGAGCCACATTCAACTTCAACATTGGATTGAGTGGGGTTGGATTTCTACAGATCACCTGCCGTCCCTTGGCACACCAAAGTATTGTACCAAGTATCAAAGTATGCAATACAATACAATATACTGCTGTGTATCACCTTTCCAAACCGTTAGAGACCTTCTCTCGTATGTAGCTGTGGCTGTTACCCGGCTTCTGCGCCGCCCCCCACCCCCCCCTTTGTGCAGTTTATCACAGATATTGGTTGGTCAGTTTCCTGCACCATCATTCTTTCATCGATTTATCCGCCCCAGCATTTTATGCACGAGACCAGTTTCCAAGCCTGACCGCTTTGTTTCGTTTACTATACATCTATGATCTCTTCAAAATGGCAGTCTGATTCTAATCCAATCTGTCTCATCGAAACGAATGGATATACGTAACTCGGTGATACTGCCAACTCCGCTGTAAACCCACAGCCCTTGTCCGCTGGACGTTGTTCCGGATCTCTACTAGACGTCATCCTACCGTTTCAGCGCCATCGTTTGCTGAGCCGCACCCGCTTACTAGACAAAGTTCCTGCTGTAGAGCCTTTTCGCAACAGCTTTCGTCATCTAATCATCCCGTGTGCATCTCCTTTCCCTGACCATGGCAAACTAGATTCGGATACTTCGGCCATTATCTCAGACTTTTATTCCAGGCGCCCAACATTTCCTTCCATCTCGCTTTCGGGATGTAAGCGCGCGGAGTTACCGGACACTTGAATCGAGAAGGACCCCTAGCCCCACCACTTTACACTTCACACTTCACGCCTTACATTTCACAATTTACACTAAAGGAGGCATTAGTCTAGGGCAGTGAGGGCTTTCGTCTTTTCAGTCGTTTGAGAGAGCAAGAGAGACACTTGTCTTTTATCATCCCTTTTCTTTCCTCTTCTTTTCTTTCTTCCTGGATACCCCAGGACTTAGAACAAAAACTCGCCAAGATGAGCAGAATCGGTGGTTGGCTACGGGGCTCGAGCGCCAAGACAAGCGCAAAGGCGAGCCTCAATGCCAGTCCAGCCGGGTCGATGACTGATCTACGCGCCGCTGAGATTGCGCTCATGCAGGATGCCATGACCAGCGCCGCTAAGATCATGAATGATGACATTGAGGGAGCCGAGGAAGATCTCAGGAAGGGGAGCTCCGCCTTCCATGCCCTCGGTCTTGGCATCACCACTTTCATGCGCAGTGTGCTCGGTTTCGAGAAGGAGATCATGGCAGAGGCGAGCAAGAAGTTGAGCGAATGCGAGACACTCTCGTGGAACGAACAGAAGAAGGCCGAGAAGGCGGGAGTAGGTGACAAGATCTACCCGGCCGGCAGCGAATATGCTCTGGTTTATGCAGAGGCCCAGCTCATGAGTGCCATGGTCGCCGTGCTGCACGAGAGCTACCTCGAAGCTGCCAAAGGATTTTGGGGATTACGAGGTGCATATGCCACGCTCGACAGGATGATGCAAGCTGAAGAGGCGTTTTTGAAGAAGAGAGGGTTGCAATTAGGTGGTAGCAAGGACAAGTTGCCGCCAGCCCGAACATTGGAACAAGAGGGTATAAAGCCAGCTGCAGTGGACGACGAAGATGCCGACCTTGAGTTTGTGGAAGCACCAGATCACCAATCTGGGACAGCGACGCCATTACAGTACGAAGGACATTTGAGTAGTGGAGCTGATGATGCAGAAAAGAAGCTGGCAGGTTTGGCAATTGACGAAAAGTCGAATGTGGCCGAAGCGAAGGAGCAACAAGACCTCTCTGCTTCACAGGTCCTACCGCTGGAAGGACCTGAGGCCGAAATCTTTACTGATCCAGTCGACGAGTTCGTCCACAGTGGTGCAAACATGTGCTTCGGCATACTACTTCTCATGATCTCAATGATTCCGCCATCCTTTGCGAAGCTATTAAGCATCATTGGTTTCAGAGGCGACCGGGAACGTGGCGTGAGGATGTTATGGCAAAGCTCGCGATTCAACAACATCAATGGAGCCGTCGCCGGACTTGTGCTACTAGCCTACTACAACGGTCTACTTGGTTTCGCCGACATATTGCCATCAGAAGATGAGGCGGAAAAGGGTGCGATAGTGGGATACCCGAAGCAACGGTGCCGAGACCTTTTGGCAAGAATGGTCAAGTCATATCCCGAATCCAGACTATGGCGCATGGAAGAAGCACGAGGATTGTCGAACAGTCGCAACCTTCCTGGTGCCATCGAACTCCTGCTCAAAAATACCGATTCCAAGATGAGGCAGGTTACTGCCCTCAACAACTTCGAACTTTCACTCGATACCATGTATGTCGGCCAGTTCGAGGCTATGCGCGACAACTTCATCCGCTGCACTGAGTTAAACGACTGGAGTCACTCGCTCTACTTCTTCCTCGCGGGGTGTGCTGAGCTCGAGCTCTATCGCAATGCATTCCATGCTGAACCGAAAGACGAGGTACAGATCCGTCTGCACAAGACGAAAGCGGAAGAGCTCTTCCTTAAAGCACCAACTTTGGCAGGTAAGAAGAAACTCATGTCGCGACCACTACCGTTTGAGGAGTTCGTCCGCAGAAAGGTTCAGAAATGGGACAAGCGTAGTGTTGACATGAAGATATCTCTGGTCGATGCTGTTGGCACAAGTCCGCTGCAGGAGATGGTGTATCTCTGGAATGGTATCAAGAAGATGCAGCCTGTGGAGCTGGAACGTGCTGTTGGTATGCTAAGCTGGACTCGCCTGACTGCACCGGAAGAAGCTGCCAAGAAGATCAAGGCCGAGAATGATGAGATCGCTGTATCGGATGTTTGTCTAGCTGCGGCCTACAGAGCGCTAGGGAGACTGGACGATGCCACAGATCTCTTGAAGACGGTGCTCGCCATTGATAAGTACGATCACCTTTACCCCGCACACATGCCTCTGGATCATGTTTACTGACTCTCGCATAGATCCGCATTTGACGGCAAGATCCACGATGACTGGGCACAGCCGGCAGCTGCTTATGAGATGGGCGTCTTGGCATGGGTAGAAGTAGAGCAACCCGGGTTGAGGAGGCCTACAACATCATCAAGAAATGCAAACAAAACAGATATAGATGTGTGGCGTCGCAAGAAGACAGACGAGTGTCAGAACTGGTTAGACAAGTGCGCAGCCTGGGGAAGCTACATATTAGACGCCAGGATAGGCATGAGGGTTCAGACCGGTATGGACACGCTGAGATGGTATAAGAGGACTATGGGGTGGAGTTCTGTATAAACCCTCAAGGTCGAGGCAACTCATATGCCGCACCTATTCGCAATCTAGAAGACTTGTGGATGGCGCATCGCCTCTTGTGTTTGTGACGTGGGCTCTGTTAAACATGGTCTTCGTCATCAGCCTACATCATATGCATTGAGATGCGAAAGCACAGCATGGTTTGGGCCATCTGCCGCAGAGCGTTACTGTTGTCGCGCTTCGTTAGTGCACCATGGTGCTATGCATCGATGAACTTACAACTTGAACACAACTATGCAGCAACCTACTAGGTTAGGGCATGCAGAGAAAATCGGCACGACAACCGATGCAGATATTAGGATCCTTTCACATTGCGAGTGTGAATTTGCTCTCCCCAGTATACGGCATGTGCAACGGCATCTTTCCCGTATACTCCGGCCCCAAGGCAGGGATTCTCCATTGCATGGTTCTCCGCAATTCGTGGAGCGGGAATGTTCCGACCAGGGGTCTTGTGTAGTTCTCCTCGGCACGCCAGTTATGACAGAGAACGCAATTGATGCGGGGAATAGTGAAATAGATCAGACGAGGGTAAACATGGTACCTAATTCCGGCTCGACGGCATGTAACTGCATCATGTGCTCTGTGTTGGGGACAAAGAAAATCACGTCGTTGCCTCGCTTAGCCTAGAGCGCTGGAGCGTTCGATGAGAACTAACCGACCATCACGGCCACCGCTGTGGGGTTTGTGATAAATACCCTCGATATGTCCCTCTTGTTGGATCCAGTATGAAGCTACAGGTTCCAAGTCGCAAGTGTGGGAGGCCGGATCAAATTCTTCGATAGTAACCATGAAGATCGCCGGGCTCGTTTCCCTCGCCACTGCGTGGGCCGTTAGCACAGCAGCATTGCCGACCGAATCTGCACGGGACATTCAGGCTGTGTCTGTATACCCCGTCGGTACATCCAAAAATGCCAACGCGAAGGTTGCCGGAAGGCTGTTCAACATTGACGGCAAAGTCGGCTACTTTGCAGGTAAGAGAACAGCCTTTGGTTATATCCCTCTGGACCTTGGGACTAATATTTCATAGGAAGCAACGCTTGGTGGCTTGGGCACCTTAGCAGGAACTCAGACGTTGATACCGCGTTGAAGGAAGTAGCCAAAGTCAGTTCAGTCACCCTACTCAGAACTCAACAAAGTGAAGCTCTAACACCCACACTATAGACAAAGTACAAGGTTCTCCGTGTCTGGGGCTTCGGAGATGTGACAACGATCCCAGATGCCTCGGCCACAGACCCGAACAAGGTGTGGTTCCAGTATCTGAACGCGACGGGGTCGCACATCAACTACGGCGCCGACGGGATCCAGCGGCTGGACTACGTCGTGTCGGCGGCCGAGAAGTACGGTGTCAAGCTAGTTCTGAACTTCATCAACAACTGGGGCGACTACGGTGGCATCGCCGCCTACAGCCGGGCTTTTGGCACCAACGCCACCGAGTGGTACACACACGCGACATCGCAGCAGGTCTACCGTAACTACATCACGACCGTCGTGGCCCGCTACCGCAAGTCCTCGGCCATCTTCGCTTGGGAGCTGGCCAATGAGCCGCGCTGCAATGGCTGTCCCAGCTCGGTGATCACCAAGTGGGCGACTGACGTCTCAAAATACATCAAGAGTCTTGACTCGGACCACCTGGTCACCCTTGGCGACGAGGGCTGGCTGGTGCCGGACAGTGGTGTCGGCGACGGCTCGTACGCGTACAGCGGCGCCGAGGGCATCGACTGGGTTGCGAACCTAAAGATCCCGACGCTGGACTACGGCGTCTTTCATCTCTACCCGGACTCGTGGGGCTACGAGTACGAATGGGGCAGCGAGTGGATAGAACAGCACGACCAGCTGGCCAGGAAGATCGGCAAGCCTATTATTCTCGAGGAGTACGGCGCGCCGTTCCCGGGAAACCACACCGCAGTATATCAGCCCTGGCAGGACGCCGTGTATGAGAGCGGGGTTGCGGCTGATCAGGTCTGGCAGTTCGGTACGCATGATTTGAGTATCCCTGGTGAGCAGTTCGGGGATGTCAATTCTATTTATTATAATGAGACCGAGTACAAGGTCTTGGGTTTCCAGCATGCTGCTAGGATGTTGGCGAAGAAAGCCTAAATGGCATAAACCACTTCCTACATGATCAGCACGGAATGCATGCTGATATTTGGATAAAGACTTAGTCTTTCAGTGCTATGACAACAAGTAACAAACTGTAAAGTAGTGGTTGAGACCATTTCCGTTTGCTCTGTGGCAGTTAAGCGTTGACCGAGTACAAGTAACAACGAAGGTCGTTTTACTAGTTGCATCCATGTCAACCGATAACACGGTTATCAGGGTACGAAGGTTTGAATACCCTGAATACTAGAACAGCGTAGTTGTTGATGAGAACCAGATCGACAATTTCAACCCCAATCCACATTCCGCACTGTCTCCTGCCTTGGGTAGCCTGTACCGAGCTCATATAACAGCGGCCTCTCGGTTAAGAAGTTCTCTTGCAAGGAACTTCTCCCAATCTGACGCTGAGTTGACAAGAGTAGGTCAGAAACGCTTGGTAGAGTCAATAGACGAAGGTTCTCGTAATCGACACCTACATCGAATCTGAGTTTGCAAATTTGCCTTTAAGATTATCCTCGTGGATCTGACAATCTTTCAAGCCTAGAAGTTTAAATCTGAACTTCTCCTCCGGTCATGCCATCTCCCAGTTTGTATCGCGAAGACCTCTGAAGATACTATACTGTTCCTTGACATCCCACCCGAAACTTGATTAAAGTGGATACATTGCTGTTCCACCTAGTCTAGTTTTCATTGGTTGTCATAGCGTCGTAGCATATGAGTACTGGAATTACTCTTTAATTGCAGAAGCTCGTCTTCTTCCAAAGTCGCTTGGTGTACTAACGCCGAGGATGTGACCAGATCGCAAGCGCCGACTCATCCTTGCCTCCCGGTTACTGCGGTTCTTGTCATGGTCTGGTCTGATACTCTTAATCTTGGGCTCCATCTCAACTCCGCAGGTGTACCAAAGGGCCCATGTATTCATTCATGGATGAGGCTGTTGAACAACTTCTGACTCATTCGCGTGCATGCACAGTTTTGAGTAACAGACCTTTGTTCATGGGGCTGCTTCCACCAGATGGGAAGCCACTGTTTTGTACCATGACCGATGTTTTCCATTAAAGCAAGCGTCTGTACTGAGTACCCGTAGCACTCGTGCAGGTGAAGTAATGGACACCAGGCCTTGTCCGGCTCGGTGCTTTCGCCCGCACGCGCCAAGGTCACTCCACCGCCTTATGTTCTTCCGATCTCTGAAGGGCGAACACTTTGTAAGTCTGAACAGTTGAGCCGCTGATCAACGAGCCGAAGTTTGTCCTACAAGCGATAATCACTGACTTTCCAGGTTTTCGAGGCAGAGCTAAGCTCTCCGCCCGTGTGACCACGGCCCCTCTGGGAATGGCTGGTTCTGGTACGCTTGGCCTGAAACTCGCAACGGGCATGATCATCATGCTTTCTAACAGGTACATGACAACTGTTACGTACAGTCCCGTCAGAGTCGGGCTGTAATCTACTGGCAGATATTGCTTGTTCACAGGTTGGGGACAACCAGGATATCTCGTAAGGACGCTGGTGAGACTCGGCGCTGCTAATGTTTATCTCGAGCATCTGTAGCTTGTAAGTAAAAGTGTACAGACAAGAACAGTCATAAGGTTGCACGTGGTGTCACAGCTCAATTTTAGTCAGTATTTTTCGTACCATCCATATTTTTCTTTCTTTCCTAATCTATTTTGTTGGTTGTCGAAGAACACTTTGAGACCATGCCACGTATGGGGAAGATCATCCACATCCACTGTAGATAGCTCAGGAATTTCAAACATTCGCTCTGTGTCATACTTCTTTAGTCAGTCTCAAATTGATCAGACTGCAGTTTAAGGTCCTGAACACTGAATATGTCCTGTCTGATCCAATCTCTTCTGCAAAGGCAAGGACGCTGGGCTAGTTTGCAGAGGTCGTACAAGACGGGAATTCTAGAAAAGTAGTCTTCGATATATGAGACCCCAGTACCATTCGTCGAAATACGAGATCCTGGTGATAATGGATGGAAAGGCTTTGTTCTTGGAGCCATTCCAATGTGGACCCCGAGCTATCACACGATGCGCTTCTGGGTAAATAGTCCTCATGCGAAGGACTACTCTGGATTTTTATTCGTTGTCAAACTGATCGATACAGAATGCATCGACCCACAAGAACCCTGGTCCCGCTCTAGGGTGAGAGGTGATTTAGTGTCTTTGCTAGATTGTAGACGATCAGAATGTTTACGCCGTTGACCTGTGTTGAATACTTATAGGATGGCTTTGCCTCGTACACATGGTCGTGCTTCATACGGGGCTTCGTATAAATTTCCCTATCCATGAACATCAAGCCCCTTAAAATGAATGGCCGCCGCTCCCATCAAGTGGCATTCATACCCAGAACTTCCTATTGACGGTGGGTCAATTCGGAGCAGTCATTTTGGCCAAACTCTTCGGACTGGTGAGGCGCTGTACAAGTTTCCTGACCGCCGCTTGTTGGTCCTCTTGGCTCATTTCGCTCGATTTGTACGGGTGACAGTTGATGAAGAGAATTCCCTGCGAGTCCCTAATTTAGTGAATTTAGTGAGGGGTCAAGATAAATGTATTCCTGACAGAAGGCAAAGTCGTAATGTACCGATTTGCTGATTATAATGGTGAGTGACCGGGCATTTGCATGCACCGTTCAGTTCATCGGGCCGTGCAGCAATTCGGATACACGAAGACTCGGAATTCCTGCCTAACAACACCATGGAAAACAGCCTCTCTATTGTAGCTCATCAAGTTCATAACTGATTCTACATGTCTGACATCATGCCATTCCACCCAACCAAGCGCAAAAAGGAAAAGAGAAAAGGAACCTGGCACAACCACGTGACGATCCTTTATCCCACAATACTCTATTCGCACTAGACTGGCTGAGACGTTCGACTTATCACTGAACCTCGGTCGGAGTGTACCTCTATCTCGACTGTCGCATCAATACCATTGGCGATATCCTTCCAAGTGGGGGTGTCGTTGATCCAACCGACATCGATCTCACCGCAACATACGACGAAAAGCTTCTGTTTGCCATTGATCTCTGGGCCTAGTTCAACGCAGGTAGGGTTGACGAGCATGCTTAAGACCGGCTCCGATGCTGCGCTCCCACTCAAAGCCTTCGTAAGATCGCTTCGAACTAAGCTTCCGGTATTCCAGTTCAGAGTATATGCAGCACTTCCGTCTGGTTTTACTTGGAACCCATCACAATGCCCAAGATCGTCCACTATTCGTTCAACGGAGCCGGTAATGCGTACTGGCGCGTGAGCATTGGAATTATCCAACTCAAAAGGCACCCGGTGGATCGTGCCAGCGCTGTAATTTGAGTACCAGATGTATTTGCCCACGATGCACATCCGGTTGACACCGAAGAAAGCATCCTCGCCTTCGGGGTCCATCGATTGCTTGTCGGACAGCAGTACTGAGCTCTTGCCCGTCGTTACGTCCAATACCTGAATACAACTCTGTGCGGAATCCGCTACGAGAATAAACTTCTCTGTCACCGGACAGAGCCCAAGAACGAGAATGATGTCTTTCACCTCGCCCTTCTTCGTGGCTTTAGGCTCGCCACCCGTGTTGAGATCCAAATGCCATACTGCGAACCCCTCCCACCTAGTCGATGTGAGGTCGCTGACTTCTGAAGTGATGACACTATACTGGTCTGGCCGCCCAGGGATAGGCGCTAAGTTGAGAGCCGCTGCGACGCCTGGGAACTCAAATACTGTTTGAGGTTGTGCCTCTGGATCTTCTGGATCTATCTCGTAAACCACTGGCGCGTCAAGCCGTGCGGCCAAGACATGATTGTTTGGGCGGATTGCGAATCCTTCGCACCAGGAGTCCGGAGGTAACTGGGTCACCAGAACGACGTCTAGCGTGCCATCATCGTCTACCATCGTGAGCTTTATCTGAGGCTCTCGTTGTCTAGTGATATTTACGTGTCAGTAAATATATGGTGAACAGATTCGAAGCACTTGAAGTGCATCGACAACCACATGTTTATCCTAAAATGCGGAGTACGCACTACTTAACGGAAAACCTACGAGTTCGAAACAGATAAAGTCTTTTAGAGTTCAACCATTCGTTTTTAGCGCGTACTAGTTAGTTCCATGGAACAGGATCAGGAACCTCAGCTCTGGTTAACACTTCACCAAGGATGCCTGCCCACTATCATCTAGCCTGACTCGCGCGGCATATTTCATAATTGGTTCACCACTGCCGATTGAGTTCTAAAGGCTGCGGCAACTTCGATCGTGCCAAGAGGTTGTGCGAGACAATCCGAGATTTTCTCCTTGAGCACTGAAGATATTGATTGCTACTAGTCCACGGACTCCACGTCACATTTTCCATGCTCACCCGCGGGTTAATTCTTGGCATTGTCGCAAGATCACGTGATGCTCGCAAACTGCCGTCGAAAGGTTCGATCTGTGTACAACCCATATATCGTGCGTAAGGTAGAAAGCATGCGCATTGTCGCCTGACAAGTTCCACCGAACAAAAGCAATGAAGTGGAAACTTGGATCCGCAGAGGATTCTACACAAGGGTCTAGGTTGCCGTCCGATTGGTTTATAGGGGCCATATCGTTGGTTACCGGGGTTGATCTCCGACTATTTTACACGTGTTCACGGGCACGTTGTACGGATTCGGCCATGATCGCCGCACAACCCAATAAAACCTTGAGATGTTGATGGCGATCTTTTTGTGAGGTTGATTGGAATCGAATCCAGACGTATATACATCAAAATCGGCCCGCATTTACTTACACAATCTAGCGGTTAACTTTGCCATGTGCAAAAAGGTGTTCTTACCGAATGAAATAGTGCATACACTGAATAAGGGCCAACCAAGCGATGCGTCAAAGAGATGTGATAAAAACAATCCTCCAAATTTTTTTTCCCTCGAGGAGATATTCAAGTTTGGATCGACACCGTCCCAGCTCACTCTTATTCCGTGTTCTTTTGAGGAAAGGGAATCCACCATGGAGCCCCACATATAGGGGCTAACTGGACTGCCCCGGCTTTAGAGTCTATAAGGTATACTTTCGGCCTTGTATTCCTGTCCATGTGCTACTTTGCAGAACACCTTGGCATATGAATATAGAGGGAAAGATGGTGCAATTCCTGGACTGCCCAGGCCACATGACGCTCTCTGCCACAACCATCGACATCCAGATCTCGCGATGAGCAACATCGGTGTGTCGAATACCAATGTATATGTCATAGTTCAATGAACTTGAAAACACGGAACACATGCGAATTCCAGCGGCGGTGCCTGGCAAGGATGACCGTAGACTTAATTAAGCACTTCCATATCACCTCAGATAATGTGTGTACACGGCCTTACAGCTCTGATGGACTGGAATTGAAACCTTCAAAACCTCACTTGAACACCTCGTTAACGCTAAGGTTTCCCGTGTGTTAAATGTAGAAAGATATAGCCAGCTCGCCAACCATTTTAGTGGTGATCTTTTCCGAGGAGGGTTTTTGTTCCGGCTTGATAATGTAGAAACTCTTTGTATTTGGACGAAAGGCAATGCGCTTCTGACCACGGTGCGGTGGAAACTTGGAGGCTACCTCTGCCGGGCTCAGAACACACGATTGGCATCAAGGAAGGAGTATGTCATATCAACAAAGTGTGGTTCGACTGTGCCCTTGTGACTGAGTATATATTAATGATATCTATAGTAGCCACTGTACCTGGACTCCTTCACGAGTCTATCAGTAGTAATAAAGCAAATTCCATGTACCGGAACAACAGTACAGATTGGTTCTGATAAGTATGAATCTACTGTGATCTAGAATGACCATATGTGACATTGAATTAAGGGTCTATTCACACTTTCTCCTTCTTTGTTGTCTTATTTCCTGGCAACCAAGTGAGCTTCACTTATCAAAACTTTCCGCGCCTATTTGGGCATTTAATTATATAGTCAACAAACCATTACCTAGGATATCATTCTTTCTCTCTACCAATTCCTCTATATCCCATTCAACCGTTAGCACTGTACTCAAGAACTCGCTCCTTATTGGGTCCGCTACCAGCCACACCAGGATAGCACCGGTTAAGCCAGGGTTGTTGAAGTTAAACCCAGCAGTTTGAGTCGTCTTTGAAACCATCTCCGTGTCAGTCAATCCAGAATTACCCTCAAAAGCAAGTACCGTACCAGGGTAGGATGTGGACAGCGTAGCTGTGTAGTGAATTAAGGCAGATTTGCTGTTAGAATATGCCGCCAAGAACGGCCACAGACCCCAGGTGCTTGAGCTGGTCATGTTGATCAGCCTTGCAGGATTTTTCGGCGTAGGCCACTGCGTTGTGGCCTTGAGAAAATGATGTGTCATCGCATAAGTTCCTTTCATGTTGGCTTCCTAAATGTGAAGTGATTAAATACGAATGTGTCTCTATTACGATATAACTGGACGGATGTCGTGGTCATAATTAACAATTCTGGAAGAAGACGTCTGGGTCTTTCTCATGGGCCTTATCGCTGTCTTTACTCTTTACAACAGCATTCTTGACTAAGATATCGATTTTGGTGTACTTGAGGTGCATTTTTTGACCAAGGGCATATTCACCTGTACTGCAGAGGTGATATCCACGCCAAGAAAAAGAACTTCGATATCCGGGTTGATTTCATTCAGCTCATGCTCAACCTCTACTAGTCTTTTAGAATTTGTAGCAATGAGAACCAAAGCCTTGATGCCGGCCCTGACAAAAGCCGGCGTGATACCTTGTGCACTTATCCCGCGTCTGGCGCCAGCCACAACTGCTATCTTGTCCTTGAGTGAGTTCTCAGCTCGGTTTGGACCACTTGCTGGATATAAATCTGTATAAGCTTTTCTGGTGAATTGGCCCAAAGTGACGATCTAGTGTTTCGAAAGCGCCTCGAGTTGCGTCAGTACAGAAGGATTGCTCATTGAACGATTGTGTTAAAAGAAGACTCCAATATATTTTATTAGGGGCAGTGGATGAAGAAACCGGTCTATCTAAAACATAAGATCCATATTTGTAGCTATTTCTAAGACTTCTCGTAGAACATATCTCGTGAGAGCATTTTGATTACTATTCAAATATAGTTTACCATTCCTCCCAGATGCAACGCTTTCATATACATAGAGTTATGTTAGGGCGAAGACTGTTCTGTACGAATCGGCATGATGGACTACGCCTGGACGTCATGGTGCTTACTGCATAACCTCGGCGTTTATTTTAGAGCTATCTTGTCAGCAGACAGGATTACGAAACTCCACAACGTCATTTAGTAATGGACGTTATTATCAGCTGTCGATTCTCCCCTAATCCCGGTTCAAGAAGCCGACAGTGCGATGAAAGCCTCAGTTTCAACGAAACTCGATTCAGAAACTCCTCCATCTTTTGAGCCCGACAACCTGTCAGCCCAGAAGTCCACAAATAACATGACGAAACCTGCATGAACATGCGTGAGAAGATTTATAACACAACAGCCAATATATTGTACAATGTCGTTCAACACCAAATTATCAAAATCTTTCCGAGTTTCGACTAAATCATCTCCGTGAACCGTAAATTTGAGCCTCCCGAGAACCTCAATGGTTATGATGAGAGCTGGGGGTGGCAACCAGATAAAGCTCAAACAAACAAAAATGGCATATATTACCGGATCATGGTTCACAACGTTCAAAGAAATGAATACTGCTATTGGTAGGCAATTGTCGGCTTCGGTTTCTCATCTAGGTGAAAAGCTATTGTAGTTTAATTAGAAACTAAGTTTTCTTTTACTGTATCTTTTCATTATCAAAGATATTAGTCTAGAAGACCATGCCCTTGACTTGGGCCACCTTTCTCAGGTCGATGTTCCTAATTAGGAGCATCCAAATGAGGGCCAAACTCATAACACCTACGCCAGCAGCAAGCATTCTGGTCTGAGAGTATCCGTACGCGGCCTGGATTGCCAATCTTGCGTCGCTTCCAACAGCGTAGCTCAGCTGTGTGTCAAGATCCTCGTAGATCGTGTCTAGATCAGGTAGATCCGCCTCGGGTAGGTACCAACCAAGGGCGTCGGGGAACGTATTCGTCCAGATTGCACCGGAGATGGTAGCACCCATAGCGTCGCCTACAGTACCGACAACATTGAGCAGAGCGAGAACGGCAGCGACGTGCTGATGATCGACAGCAGCAAGTATGGAGAGCTGTTCGATTATAATAAAAATACTTCCACCAATAGAGATGAAGACTTGACACATGACCAGGTAGCCGACCGACTGGTTGGGGCGTCGGAAATAGATCATCAGACCCTGTGCGAAGATGTAAAGCGGCACTGCGATGTACAAAAGCCACTTGAAGCGGCCTGTTCTGCGAATCAGGTAGCCGACAAGCAACAGTAGAAACCCAGAAACTACATCGAAAGTGTTGCTGACGTATCCAGCTTCAGCCAAAGTCAGGTCGTTGACCACTTGCAAAAATGACGTGTAGTAGTTGGCCCAGCAGTAGTATGAGATTTGATACGTTGCGTCAAGCAGACATGCGCCAATTACAGTCCGATTTTTCAGAAGTTCGAAGTTCAGCAGTGGCACGGGGGCAAAGAAATTCTCCCAGAGGAGGAAAACAAAGAGCATGCAGAACCCGATCACAATCATAGCAATGATATAACCAGTTGACCAGCCGTAAGGTGCGGCGTCGGCGATGCTGAACGGAAGCAGGAAAACAACGAGGCCAATCGAGAAGAGTATAACTCCAAGTGCTGCGCCAGGATTAGCATCGTAAATAATAAGCTTGTGCTTTTGGTCTTACCATCAAATTGTACAGTGTAGTACCAAACACTCTGAAGTATTGTCCGGTTGCTCTTCTCTCTAACGAGCGTACCTTGCTTCTCAGCTTTCTTGAGATTGGACTTAAGGATGAAGTACAGCGGAGCAGCAACAACTGGGAAGATGATAGAAAAGGCGCCGAACCCCCATCGCCAGCTGATGTTATAGTAGAAGCCTTCCGAGGCCTTGGCGCCTGCGAAAGCCGTGATGATATATGGAGAAGAGGTGAAAGCATATGCCAAGCCTCGGTTCTTCAATTTCGACGAATCGGCTGTGATAACATCCACACAGTATGTCATGCCTCCGAAACCAAGGCTGTAGAAGACCTGGGATTGAGCATGATTAGTTTCAAGTCTGATTAATTTATACTTCCTGCCAGATAAAGTATATCACAGGGCACTTACGTATGCGGCGCAGAATGTTGGGAGATCCCTACACACTGCCATAAGGACCAAGCCAAGCGTAGCAGAGCATGTCATAATGAGAAAGCCTTCAGCACGGCCCCAGACATCGAGAATCTTGGACAGAGGAATGTAGCATGCTGCTGTGACAGCATCTGCGACGATATAAATGACATTCAGAAGTGAATGCGTCTCGAAATCGCTCGTTACATATGGTAGCAAATTGGAGAGGATCGAGGACTGAAACGCATTGACGAAGTATAATAACCAGATGCTAAAAGTTTCACATGGTTAGCGAACGAACATCGACTTAGTCAATGGGCATCCAGGGATCAGATACTTCATAAAAACTGCAATAAGAGCATTTCTCGACCAGCTCAAAGTTACAGCCTCTACATCTTGAACACCGCGCTGTGCGTCCAAGTCAGGGAGCTCTGCGTCCGGTTTGTAAGGCTCATCGTCGTTGGCCTCATTGGCGCCGGCATTACGGACAATCTTGTCTTCGGTAGTGGTGTCCATTGCAACAGAAGTTGTGACTCGTGAGTGTCAATGTTGCTGAACCCAGGTCCAGGAGCCAACGGGGCTATCAGTGTATAAAAACAGAAACCTCATGCAGGCTCATGAGCCTTGTGGGACCCTAACCCATACCACCGGGTGGTCCTCCGAGTTCGGCTGCTTGGAATTATGGCAAGGGTAGGGGCTAGGATCGCTCAACGTCAATCAGTAGTCTCGATCCTCCATGCGATGCTAAGTGGGCATATAGCACTGAGAACTGATTTTTTGACCCAATTTTTCTTTCTTTACACCACTCACCTATTAGCTTTGCTCAAATTAAATCCTCAGATGAAATAACACAAATTATATTCGGGAGAGACAGGTCGGAGCCGAGGTAGCGCGCCCGACCAGAGCCAGATGTGGTGAGGACAGAAAAAAATGTGAAGATGCTAGAACAGATAGAGTCTACCTTCCCTTCCAAGAACGAGGAAAGTTATCAGATCCGTCTTGCCAAGAGGCTAGCAATCACTAAGATCGAGTCAGTGGATCTTGCTTCGGCCTGATCACACCATCTTGTCGCGCTCGAATTACGGAGGATTAGTATGCGATGGACACAACAGTACCTCATTCAGCACCGTTATAAAAAATAGACAGAACGGCAAATTAGACTCAAGGCCGTTCGCGTATGTCAGAAGTAGCTCGGCTACTATCTTATTATGGCATTCTATGGTAGATGTAAAGCTGGGCGTTCCGAATTCATCGAAGCTTGATCGCTATGCGAGAAGGTATTTAGTCAAGGACTTTACACTAACTAACCTAACCTAGTCTAGTCATTGAAGTGTCTCGAAGAGCCCATAAGACTCGTCCGTGGGATCTGCGCTAAACCATCTGCCCACTTTGATCCTTCAATGGTGAACTCCATCTGATAAAATCAAGAAGTACTGTAGGAGGCTTGGGAGGGATGCAGCATCCGGTGGGACTGGACCCGAACCCAGCATTTCCTTAATAATATGGCTAGAAACTCGTCTTCTTACATACGCACCTCCACAAGATGCCCACCGAGTGTTACTCACATGATCATACTGTGTACGCAATAATGGCTGGGATTGACCACCAGCCAATCTTTAAACTTGCTCAAGAGCGAATTTTCTTCAAATCGAGACCTGCTCAAAGATAGAGAGAGAGCATTGCAAGACTGGGTTTAATTGTGGACCACAAACTTTGATCGGAATGACAGTTATAGCATGCTCTTCTGTCTTTTAGAGTGCAATGGCGACAATCCCAGCGCGACGGTTCTGCTCCACCATCGTGTTAAACATCACCGACAACGCCATGTGCACTGCACTAACCTTAGCTCTTTACAACATCGAGAATTCAGTTTTGGGAAATCGATACATAGTGGCTAAAATCAAGGCCGTGGGTCCGACTTGATCAGAGTCGCGGGAGCCAAGCTTGCGCGTGACACATCCAAAATATCATTGGTTTGAATTCTGTGAAGATATCTGAATGGGGACAGTCCGGTCATCGTCTTTTTGACACAAGCCAAAGATAGCCCAGCAAGGCCGAGCGACCAGAAGATCGTCCCGAACTTGCCCTGCGGAACTCTGGCGGATATTACCTCGGTGCCGAGTACCGAGAGCCAATCAGTGGTTCTGATCTCATCTGATTAGATTATCGTGATTATGAATTGATGACCAAGAACTAGATTCTACGCTACTGTACACGACCCAGCCAATGATACGGATTCGTACAGGACCAGATCAAGGACATACGGGTCTGCATAATGACCGTAGCTTGCAGCGCGATTTGCGGTGAGGACAAAATTTGCAAGAAACCATTGGAAATTGGTGGTTTGAGTGGACCTAGTAAATCCACCTTCCTGTTCCCGCATGCTTTCGGCACCGATTTGTCTGATCTTGTCACTGCTTTCTCCGAGAGACATAGACAACATCGAATTCCGATGTGATATAAGCCCACAAAGACATGCAGGGCACCGCTTCAGTAGTACGAATACGCAAGCCTATGTCGAGTATAGCCAATTGAGCAAAATTGATGTTGAACTCAACCCACCAATGTCCGATCTGGTAATGATACTTGGACTCACAACATATACGATCTCATGGGATGTTGAACGAGGTAGACATTAACCATTGCGATTGCCTTGCTATCAAACTATCCTTTCGGAAAGATATGTATTCCAAGTTCTGGCCCAAAGGCGGGCTGCCAGGGATTTTGCATCATTATGTAAGCTGTCGGTCTGCTGCTTTGATAGTGGAACGTCTAACGTGCCCGTCGGGTAGACGGAGAGTCTTGTCACGTTCGAATATGCGTCACATGGCGCCCATCAACCTCATAGTATCCTCTTTGTCGGCGGTTTGAGCGACGGTTTGGGAACATCATCATACACGGTCGACGTTGTACGTGCCTTACAGTCGACACCGTGGTCATTCTTCACGCTGAATCTCTCGTCGTCATATCGATCATGGGGTCTCGGACATCTTGACAGAGATACGGACGAGATCGCGCGATGTCTACAATATATCAAGGAGTATAAGACCGGCAAATATGGCAACGGCTGCAAGATTGTACTGATGGGCCATTCTACCGGAAGCCAGTGTGTCTTGCATTATTTACATCGGCCAAATCCTCATACTAGTACTTCACGCTTCGATCCCGATCTGGAGCATCAGCAACGGCCGATACTTGACGGAGCAATCATGCAATCTCCTGTTTCTGACAGAGAAGCTGTTCAGTCTGTCCTGCGTGATGGTATTGGGGACAACTCGTCAGCCGAATGCAGTGCAGCATATGAGAAAGCGCTTGAGCTGGCCAGAAAGGCTGCCAGTCTTGATGAGTGCTACGACACTATTTTGCCTATATCTTTAACTTCTGTGTTTGGTTTTGGAGGCGACACACCCATCAGCTGTCGAAGATTTATGAGCCTTGCAAGTCCTGACAGCCCACGCACGCCCGAAGAGGACGATCTTTTCAGTTCTGACTTGAGCGACGAGCAGCTTGCGAAAACATTCGGGGCTATAGAAAAGCAAGGTTTACTGAAGGGCAAGTTGATGGTGGCACCGTCAGGGGCGGACCAATCAGTCCCCGATTGGATCGATGTAGAGAAGAACCTGCGGCGCTGGAAGGATGCCACTAACCACGGGTGTAAATTCCAATTCTGGGATTCAACGCACAGTGGGGTGGTACCTGGCGCTTCCCACGCCTTGAGCGACGATGACCAAGCTGGGCCAAGGAAGATTTTTGTGGAGAGTTTGTTGCGATACCTTCGAGATTCTGTGGGATCGGAGAAATGAGAAGGGTTTCATAGATAGCGCCTAATCGAGTGAAGATACGATACACTCAATGATCAAGTCACTAAGACACGGGCGTATAAGGTAATTAAAGTGTAGAAGCTCAACAAGATCGGCAGCACCACATCACCTACATCCATAGATATGCATGCCGTAACAGATTATAATCATCGATGCCGTGAATGACTGAACAGCCTCGTAGGAGGGCCTCTTAGGGTCTAATTACGGCTGCTCGAAATCAAGTAAAATAATAAGCACAACTAGGACTAAGTCATATCCATCTTACCACCACCAAGCAAAAGATGACTAGAAAAAAGCCATGAATATTCAGGTCCTTATCAACACCCTTGTCAAACAAACATAGAGCATCGCCAGGAAGCACCCCATCATATTGTACAAGTGAGCATGATCGGTCGACCTACATAGATCTCTTCATTTTGGTCATTTTTTTGCGCTTACGCCGTATGCATCGTAAGCTTATGTTTATATAGGAGCTTGATCTTAATTATCACAGTAAGAAGTTACAAGAATAATTAGGAGCGGTGCATTGAGGTTAGAGAAGGCGTAAAGCTAAACTACATGCTCTAGACACCCACGCAGATGCTAGCTGTTCTTCTCTGGAATCCCGTTATCCCCGACCGCCGGATTCGAGCAGTTTCATATTGTCTCTGTGGCAGCATCTCAGCTGTTCCTTGAGTCCCAGTCAAGACATGATGATGATTTGCGCAATTATATCCATTGATTACATGCTACCCGTGCCAGCGAGACCGGAAAAATGTCTGTACCAAGTATGTCACGTCGGTATTTTCTCCGCAGCTTGTGTCGAACTCTCTTACCTGGTCCCGGAAGTTCCATGTCGTCGACCCATGAAACCGTTCAAGCCAGTTGGGTTGTTCCAATAGAAGGCCATCGACCACAACAGGCGCCACCCAGCCCATGGTTATGATGGGAATATGCTCCTTCTTCCCTCGATTAGATCGCATTCTCCCAAACCTAATCTACAATGGGAAATTTACATGGTGATATATTTGCCCTATCTGTGAAATATTATTGTGGCGGTTTCCTTCACCGTCTTGGCAGATACAAAAGGTATTCTCCCACATAAAGGGGTGTTGACTAGGTGATAAAATCTTTTCATGTTTGTTGCGGCTGTCCGTGCCCAGACGTTGCTCAGTGCAACATGACTCTGAGTTATGGAAGAAGGTACGATGCATCCGAGATCAGTGTCAACGAGTCGCAAGTTGGAATGCGGGCCCCCTTCCTTGGTCATTGATAACGGCGAGCTACTATATTACACATGGTCAGGCTCAGAATTCTTCATCCAACTAGCCATAAGTCTAAAACGTATGATGCAGAGTAATTATTCATGCTCTACGAGATAGGTCCCGACACCGTCGCTTGAAGAGTTGAGACTTCACTACTAATTCCATCGGCCGGGGAAATTATACGGTCATGACTTTGAGACCTGGCTGCAATTCCCACATCACAACATGTGTTGTGATACTTCATTCTGTATGCCCATCGCTGCCCGATGACACCGAGATTTTAGCTGCTGCCTCAATTATAATACTGAAAACTTATCCTTTGTTCTCATGACAAACGAACGGACAATAGCTGTGCAACAAGTCAATAATGATTCTCTACATTACCTATATCTTTGTTACGACTACTTCGTCATCGAATGGCATTTTGACAAGAGCCTCGTGGTGTAGTACCCTGTAAAGTTTCCTGATCATGAGCCACCAACCGTTTCCCATTTTTCATACCCACTTTCAATTCGAGGGTAGCGGCAGGTCGCATGGCCAATGCCACGATTCACAGATAAATTTGCAAAGGAGAAAAAGGGTGGCAAAGACGGCGGGTTCGTTCAAAGGATTATGAGCATGCACATGATCGCACAAATGGCCTTGCGTATGCGACTCAAATTTATGTGTGTATATAATGTATAGATGTGTATACTGACCTTGGTTGTTGCTGGCATGAATAGGATTATATTATTAGCTACTAGCAACTGTGGTGTACAGCACGTAGGGAAGGTGAACAAGCTGGCCATGTTTTGTCAAGATGTGGTATTGAACTCGACGCCGCCGATTTAGGGTGAAAATTGTGCCAAGGATTGCCATCGAGTTTGCAGGAACCCATTGTTGTGTCGGTTCGGACGGAGATGAGGGCAAAAAAAAAACGAACAAACAAAAGAACAGTAATCCTCATTGCTGAGGAGTGAGAACCAGGGTTAGGACAATTCTAGGCATGACGATGAAAGCCTGATTGTTGGCTACTTCGCCTTGTGGTTGAGGAGGAGGAGGGCTGGTTCCATCTCTGCATGACTTCAAATAAGTGCATAGTGTAAAGAGCTTCTGGGATGCTTGTACGTATACTGATGCCAATAGGCAGCTCTTGAACGGCTTGGCTACGTCTACATACACTAATAGTTTTGCTGTGGCATCCGGTAAATGGATATAGGTGCACTGGAAATGCTCCGCTTTCCCTATCATGGTGGGGCACGGAATTTGATCCGCGCCTGGGGCTTTGATAATTGATTTTCTCTGATTGCCCCGCGATCCCCGATGTCGAGCTCATCTCATCACATTACCAACAGACGCAAACGCAGGCAGACCTTACTTATCTCACCAAGCTACTACTCTTGAACGTACACAATATCCTGTAGTTCCCCAATATACGGGATCCGACTACGACTCTACGACTACGACGACCAGCCCACACGACAGGAGATGGCTTCAGCAAGTGCGAGCGCGCCTGCAACCGGCGCAAAGCCCACCGCCATCGTCTGCGTCGGCATGGCGGGCTCGGGCAAGACGACATTCATGCAACGGATCAATGCGCATCTGCACGGACAGAAGGAGCCGCCATATGTCATCAACCTCGACCCGGCCGTGCTGAACGTGCCCTTTGAGTCCAACATCGACATCCGCGACTCGGTGAACTATAAGGAGGTCATGAAGCAGTACAACCTGGGGCCCAACGGTGGCATCCTGACCAGCCTGAACCTGTTCGCGACCAAGGTGGACCAGATCGTAGGACTGCTGGAGAAGAGGGCCGACCCAGAAGAAGGGAAAAAGCCCATCAAGAACATCTTGGTGGACACGCCGGGCCAGATCGAGGTCTTCGTGTGGTCGGCGTCGGGCCAGATCCTCCTCGAGTCGCTCGCCTCGTCGTTCCCGACCGTCATCGCCTATATCATCGACACGCCGCGGACCGCCTCGACGAGCACCTTCATGTCCAACATGCTCTACGCATGCTCGATTCTCTACAAGACGAAACTGCCCATGATCTTGGTCTTCAACAAGGCCGACGTCAAGGATCCCTCGTTTGTCAAGGAATGGATGACGGACTACGATGCCTTCACGGAGGCGCTGCAGGAGGATGAGGCAAACAACGCCTTTGGCGGTGTCGAGGGCGAGGGAGGAGGCAGCGGATACATGAGCAGTCTTCTCAACTCAATGAGCTTGATGCTGGAGGAGTTCTATACACATCTGAGCGTGGTGGGAGTGTCGTCCATGACGGGACAAGGTGTGGATGACTTCTTCGCGGCAGTCCAGGTGAAGACGGAGGAATTCAACCGGGATTACCAGCCCGAGCTGGAGAGGAAGCGGGCGGAACGCGAGGACGTCAAGCGCAAGACCAGAGAGAAGGAACTGGAGAAGATGATGAAGGGAATGGGTATGGATTCTGGCTCAGGGAGCGCTTCAAGGGATGTCATCAAACCACCAACAGATGATGACGATGATGTCCTGGTACCCAGCGACGACGACGACGATATCGGCGACGACGATGAGATGGACAGGGAAGGGCTGCAGGCAAGGTATGAGGCAGCCATGCAGGGCAATGCCGACTCGACAGCGGCAGATGCGAGCTTTGCCAAGTTCCTACATACACAGAGGCAGCAGTAGGAGGCCGGGCGCAGAATCGGCAATCTGTACGGACGAGTAAACATGATAAAAGCAGAAAAGCCCATGTTCGCATAGAAAGAACGGCGGAAAATCTTGGGCGGCGTAATAATGATACCACTGTTGATTCTTTTTATTTTCTTTTTCGTTTCCTTTGGTCCACCAAGCCCCTGTGGTTGCAACATCAAATGAACTCCTGAACTCCTTGACCCACCCCCTATGTGCTGGCTCCGAGCCCCCATGCCGCTATGCGACCCGGTATCAAGATGTTCCAATGCTTCTCCCGAGTTGTGCATTGCATAGTCATGAGCAGAGTGTTTGAATCCGGGTGGAAGACAGCGCGCGGGTTTTCGTGGAGCTATTGCGCTGGACCCGGTGGTGCGTTTCTGATACGGTTACAATGGCAGTCCACCTCACCTCGCCTCGAACTGAACCATTCTGTGATGCATCGTTAGCACTCAAGTCCTCTACTGATAGCTTCTTCTTTCCTGGGGCCACGCGGCGTCTTGACTCACCTCTTGGTGCGCTCCTTGTAGAGCACACGGCAGCCGCACTCAATGCATCGGATGGTGTCGCCGCGCTTGAGGGGGAACTTGGTGCCGCAGTCACCACAGATGTAGAGCATAGGAAGGCCTTCGGTGGAGATGGAGTTGTTTGCGGCAGCCGCGTTGCCAGCGCCGGGCGCGCTGGAACCCTGGGTGGGGATCTGGTAGGATTCGCGGGACATGTTGGGGGTGATGGAAATACGACAATGCGCTGTGGGGGGTATATTTGGGCAGTCTGAGATCGTGGGATGCGCAGGTTGTACAAGTCGTTCGGGGGAAAGTGAAGCTGTTGACGTAGCGGGCGTTTGGGTTCGTGATGCCGGAATGCTGCTATGACATGCCCTCTTCGAGAGGGCATTCAAAGAAATTGAGGCGGTGAGGCGCCCCGCGGGTGGCAGAATTTTGGCTGCCAGTCAAGCAGCCAACCAGTCTGTCTGGTGGGGTTCTGGTGGGGTTCTGGCGTCTCCCAGCCTTATGTACATAACCTAGTTAGGTAACTACTGTGTATCACTGCACTGTAGACTAACCTTGGGTTAACTAACCTTAGTACCTAATTCCGGCCGTGCCAAGCAAGCTTTGTACTCATCATCACTGTAACTATGTGCTCTAACCTCGGTAGCTGACCTGACACCCGGCGAATTGACAGCCGATAGCTATCGCCAAAGTCGAGCATCTTCTTGTCCCGGTTTCAACAGCAAGTCAACCAAATTGCCTAGGACTCTCTCGCCATCAGCTTGGCGCAGTTCGGAACATTGTGCAACATCCCACAGCACCACCAGACCTCTAACCTAGAGCTCTAGACCCTTTACTGGTGATCCTGTAGAGTACGGAATAGATCCTTTGCAATCTTCGATACACGGCTCAGTCTGCAACTCGCCATGACGCAATAGCAGCACCCTGAAGATACCTCGCACTCAGATCCAACAGCGCCTACACAACGCGCGCGTGCGCTTGCAGTTGTCCACTCGCGATTTCGTGCCCGGTAGATGTTTTGAGAGCACCGCATCGACCTACCTGTATTAGACTACACTGTACTCTACTTGACTGCACTATTCCGTACCGTGCCTGACTGCACTCTCAAGGTCGGTCCTGGCTGGGGGTTGAATCATATACAAACATCATGGCGTCGTCCCAATCTTTCGATCCCACCGTCCTCCCCCCAGCAGCGCCATGCCCTTTCTGCAGTATCGCTTCCACCTACTCTTCATTCGACCCCTTAACACCCCCTGCGATCGATTCACCCCTTATAGATCCCGAAAAGCTCGCACCTACTAGCTTCATTGTTCTCTCGACACCAACGCTGTTAGCATTCCTCGATATCCTCCCCTTATCCCCAGGCCACTTGCTGCTGTGCCCGCGGCGGCATGCATCCAAGTTGACCGACGTGACCGCGAGCGAAGCTGCCGAACTGGGCTCGCATCTGAGAGTCCTTAGCAAGGCTCTGGTACGAGCCACTGGCGTGGGCGATTGGAACGTCGTCCAGAACAATGGCGCAGCCGCTGCCCAAGTCGTCGACCACGTTCACTACCATCTGATCCCACGCCCCGAGATCAGAGCGAGCGGTAAACTACGTGATAGTTTCACAATGTTTGGAAGAGGTCAGCGCGAAGAGCTCGATGATGATGAAGCCGTCCAGCTCGCGGCCAAGATACGGCAGTGTGTCAAGGAAGTTTTACAGGAGGAGGCCGCCAGAGGGAAACTATGACATGGTCACAATATCACACCAGAAACATTACTTCACTCAGAGCAAACATCCGCCTCAACGGTCCAGAATAGCCGCCTGGGCTCATTATGCTGCTATCTCGACCTGAAATGGCAGCCATTCTATCCATGGCCTGCCCTCGAGTACCGTCGTGGTAATGCCTACTCGTCGTCGCCGAAGAAGACCTTGACAGGTAACCAGTCGTCGCCGCATACCTTGAACCGATCCGGGAGGCTCGAAAGCTTCTGCATCTCCTCTTCTGTCAACTCCCATCCGTCGAGAGCAAAGTTGCCCTTGATGCGCTCCTCAGTCACCGACTTGGGAATCACATCGTAACCGCGCTGAATACCCCACTGGAGCATACACTGCTGTGGCGTCTTGCCCTTGGCCTCAGCCAACTTCAACAGGGTCTCGTCCTTGTAGAGAGGCGAGTTAGTGCTACCCAGGCACGAGTAACCAGTGACGTGGATGCCCTTATCCTTGCAGTATTGGACCAGCTTGGGAGATGGGTTATTGGGGTGCAATTCAATTTGGTTTACAGCGGGCTTGATCTATGGTCAAGTGTTAGTGACCTATGTTCAATGAGGAAGGCATGTAAACCGCGGGTCAGAACGTACCTTGCAAGAAGGGTCATTCAACAATTTCTCGAGGTTCTTGATGCCAAAGTTGGAAACACCAATGTTGCGCACTTTGCCAGTGCCCACCAGCTTCTGCAACTCACGCCATGTATCAATGAAGTTCCAGTCATCGTAGTGCTTCTTCAGATCGTCCGGCCGCGTGCTGCTGGGCCAATGCATGAGGTAGAGGTCGACGTAATCCATGCCCAAGTTCTTCAGAGAGGCGTCAATGCCCTCTGCAACGCGCTTGTGCCATGGGTTATCCAGCTTCGTAGTGATCCAGAGCTGCTCGCGAGGAACACCAGCGTCGCGAACACCCTTGCCAACCTCAGACTCGTTGCCGTAGGCGTAGGCGGTGTCGATGTAGCGGTATCCAGCGTCAATGGCGGCCTTGACGGCCTTGGAGGTTGCGTCCTGTGGTGATTGCCACGTACCCAGACCGATGGCGGGCATCTTGTCGCCAGAGGCGAGGGTGTAGGTCTTCTTGGTGTGTTCGGGAGCCATTGTGAAAGTATTCTTATTGTATATAGAGAGTTTGATTTACTATCAGAGACGAACAAAGAGAAAGAGATGGAGAAAACAGTTGATATAAAGAACAAGAACAAAGGCAGCTTAATGTAATGGGGATTACGAACAAACTTATGCGGGGGTGTTGGCACACGCAAATCAACCACCACAAGCGAAATGGCGATTCTGCATCATGTCGCATAATCTTTTTACATCGTCATCATTGCGGGTCAACTGCCTTGCCCCTCCCCCACCATGCATCTGGTCTGCTTGTTCGCCTGCAAGGTCCTCACCCAATCGACTTGGACTATTCGCTGTATCAATAGGCCAATAAAACCGAGATTCCCCATTTGCTATACTGACCAATTCGGACCGAGTACCGATTCCTTCAGACGGATGCCTCCATCATGCCCCAGTTGCGATTTTGCCTCATCCTGTCCACAACCTCTGCCGCGCCAATAAGCTGTCATGGATAGGGTTCCTGAACTACTATGATGGCATAAAATGTGGAGGTTGGAGGGGGGAAAAGACCTACATCCCCTGCGCTTATTTTTCTTTTTCTCTCGGATTCGCCTGGTCGATCTACACTATAGCGCATCATGGTTGGTAGCGGCTCTGCAGTAGATTGAGAGACCCATCATGCTCTGGATGCCAAGCGTGTTCAGTCGGCTCACAGTATTTGAACCCAATGCTCCCATGTCATCGAGCTCGGCCGCGTGTGATGATCTCTTTTCTAATATTGTTATGCTGCCACGCGAAACCCCTCCCATCATCGAAGGTCGACAACACTATTTGAGAAGGTGGTTTGCGAGAGATGCGCCATGTCAAAGTACTTGTCTATCGCGCCCTAGCAACGACACATCTGACAAGCCGATGTCGCCCCAGCTCCCACAACATGTAACTCCCTAGGCTCCACGATCATGCCATACCACTTGTTGTCGAATTGAACCATGCTTGAGTTCGGACTGACTCGGCGGCAAAGCTGCGGATTATTCTAGAAGTCTAGACATCCCAAGCCTGTGGAGCACCCGGAGCTAATGAGTGGGAATTGGTATTCCGAACGTTTGATAATGCGAAGCTACCGTGGTCCACCATTTTTTCCATAAAGTCTTGCTGATTTTCTCTCCCTAGGGGCAGAGCGATTATTGAGTTGCTGTCTTCAATAGTTAAACATCCTTTGTCTTCTGTCGCCCGCGTGCCCACTAACGCTCGAAGCTCAAAAGAAAGGAAAAAGCAGAAGAGAGAGAGAGAGAGAGTAAGACGAAAAAAAAAAAAACACCCCAAAAAGAGAGGTTGCAGATCGACCTTAACATAACTCGGCTTCCCGAATATCGTGTCCAGTTTTGTACCCTCTCGATCTATCATCCCAAGCATGCCCGACCTGGCACTCAAGTTTCGCCCCGCGACACGCGACGACGTGGAAACACTCCTCCCGCTCATCCGCTCCGCCTACCGCGGTGAGGAGAGCCGCGCGGGTTGGACCACCGAGGCAGACCTGGTGGAAGGCGAGCGCATCGACGCAACGGGTCTGCTGCAGAAGATCGAGACGCCAGACTCAGTAGTGCTGGTCGTCACGGACGAGCAGGACATCCTGCTCGCGTGCTGCGAGGTTGTCTGGCACGCCGATGCCGACGCCGGGTATTTCGGCCTGTTTGCCGTCGACCCCAAGCGCCAGGGCGGTGGTGTGGGCAAGCAGGTCCTGTTGTATGCGGAGGATTATGCGAAGCGCCAGTGGGGTGCGCGGAGGATGGAAATGACGGTCATCTGGCCCAGGGCAGATATCATTGCCTACTACGAGAGGAGGGGGTTCAAGAAGACTGGGGAACAGAGGCCGTTTCCGTACGAGCTTCTGGCGCTTATCAACGGGAGAGGTCTTAGGGATGATCTTTATTTTGAGGTCCTGGTCAAGGACCTGGAGGCTTGAAGTCGATTGACATCCTTCCGTATCACGCTAGTTGAGTGATGGATATGAAGATGGATGATGGAATGCGGTAATTTGGTGGAAATAGCTGGTTTCGATTCTACGAGCGGTGTTTCATCAGGTATCAAGATAAGTTGGGGGCTGTCTATACAAATACTCATCGATACTGAACGGGCGGGGAGCGAGTACATGTATTCAGCCATGTTCCATGGGTTCGAAATTGGGCCCAAAGGAGCCTCAGATCTAGATGATTGGACCGTCTGCGCCTGACAAGATTTTCCAGCCTCGGCACATAACCGTAGATTCGTACGACGCCCCTCGTGCTGGTGGACTTGGAGTGGTGGTCCACTGCACGATCTGGGGATAGGCGACTCTTGTGGAATTGCACCACATGACCGGTGTCCAGCCGCTCAAGCTGATGTTGCTCATTCCATACACCAAAGAGGCTGTCAAACAGAAATTTCCAGCATATCAACCTTGATCGTCCTAGTCCATTTCCTCAATGTCCCGTCCAACAGGATCCCAATCCGGTGCACCTTAACTCCATGTTCGTGTGCGAAATCCTTTTCGATTGCTCCTGAACTCCTTGCATGCTGTCAAATAAGGCCCAAACGCCGTTTCCTGCAGCGGAGACGTAATCGTCTATTGCTCATACACAAGATAGCATGGAATGCTTTCTTGGTTGCAGTAGAAAATGCGTTCAACCATCATTCAGGCTGTTAACCGAGGCCTGAAAGCGCCGCTAACGATCTCATCAGCGCTGTGTTCGCTGTTTCTCATAAGCGTCGAGCGCGGCTTCCAGCTCTGCTAAACTTGAGCGATCTCCATAAGCAGTCAACATTGCATCTTCTTCTTGTCGTCGCTCTGCCTGTCGCTGGGCTGCTGACTGTGGTAGTTGCGCATGCTGTTGTTCACTTCGAGTCTGTTTGTACTTTGCGAGACCGTAGCCTATTCGGGGGTTAATTACGCCCGAGTCTCTCGCCCGGCGGAGCTACTCACCAATGCCAACTGTTGCGACTGCAGCAGGAACTCTTTTCAACGTCAACATGTCGGACTTGGAAGACTTTCTCGAAAACCGCAACATGCAATGCCAAGCGGGAGTAAATGGGAAAGAAACGTACAACTTCTTTTCCACACGACTAGCTCTGTGTAGACTGGGCAGATATGCCGGGTAAACACCCGAAATGGTGGAGAAAGGCCGGACTGATCGCTGGGACATTGTAGCGAGGAGATGTTTTCTTAATTTCACGGGGGCAGTCGATATGCAGTTACAACAATGCGACGTGCAAATGAGTGGTCAGTACGGAAACTGTGCCTAGACTTTTATTCGTCTCTTTAACCTGGGATCGAACGAGAGTGAGGCGATCACCGGGCATATAAGCTTTTTGCAACATGAGTACAGCTCAAGGCCCTCGTCAGAAAGCACGGCGAAGGTCCAATTATCTTTTACCACCTTAGCCGTAATCTATTATTGACATGCATCTGTCGCAAGAAGCATTTCAAGTGATGTGCCCAAGTGATACCCGAAATGTTCCTAATTGCCCCGCTAATTGGCTTGTTTAGCCTGCGTTGGAAACATTGATCAGGGGGCTGAGGGTACTTGGTACTGATAAATTGGTCCGCCCATGGGACGAGGTTTTAGCGGGGAGAAGATCGTCTATCGTCTGATCGTGGGGTTGTGCTGCGGCCAGGCGGGTTGGTAGCCAAGCATAGCCGAGCGCTGATCCGAGGTCCAGTGTGTCCATGTGTTCGAACTGGCTTGGCTCAATTGAAACGGCTTAGCTGTTCTTGTATGTGTGAGATTGGAGGATTCAATACATGTATATATTCCACTGCAGCGCCTGCTTATCCGGAGCGGGTTCCCGTAGATGTTTGATTTCAAGGGAACTGTATCACGTACCTGTGCTCTCTCCTCTCTCGCAACATGGCCAAGCTTATGCATCACTGAGATTGTGGAGCGTCCAAGGGTGGAACACGATGAATATGCTCGAACGATCAAAGAGATCTCATCGCACGACCGCCCGCCCAGTTAGGCGTAACAAGTCGGTCCGGATCATCGTACGTGAGTGTGCGGAGACACAGTAAAAGTCCAAAAAATGCTACGACTCTTGGAAACACAGCACGATAGTCGTGAGAGGGGGCGATTCTGGAGCTTTTCGGCGTTTTGCATCGGATTGCCTACACATCAACTTCTTGGTAACCGGTGTTCGCCGTAATATTCACTATCGAATCCCTTTCTTCGAAGCTGCTGAAGACACCTAGTGCACTGGCAGGGCGATTATGGCGGCAGGACCAAGACGACTGGCGTCTATGTGCCGTACGATCTCGCAATATCAATGTGCCTGCTGAGACTCAGACGTGGTTTGTAAGGCTATCGTCCTGGCAGTGTCACCTCGGTACCTGAGGCATCGTGGTGGCTCCTGAAAATGTGACCTCCAAATTCCTTCATCACGCACGACTATATACATCATTGTATGTCTGGTCTTGTAAAATTCAAGGTAGCACGAACCGGAAAACCTAGGCGATGCAGGTGGTCTTATCAAGTAAGACTGGCGGTAGTCATCTTAGAAGCGTCTAAACATGGCTTCGTGTGTAAAGTTCTGCATAAAGGCCGCTCACAACTCTCAGGGTGGATGGAGCTAACCCAATAGGTCATTTACCGTACCGTACAGCAATAGTAGAACGGTAGCACTGAGTTACGAGACTCGAGCCGCAAGGCAGCTGCATGGTTTTTAATGTCACTATACACACAATGGTTGCAATAAATGCGACGAGTAACATAGTCAAGCTTATTCAAGGTTGAATTGCAAAAGTGGTCGAAGATTTGTTGCAGCCATAACGCCTAACTAGTGCTAATTCTGCAGTCCTCGTAAGGCAAGTCATAATAGCGACTTATCCGAAACTCCGCAATGTCAGCAAATGCGGAGCGGAGCGCCGAGCTTGCTGACTTTACTCACTGTGATAACATAGCCAGACCGTGGGTAAAAGACTGGAGAATCTGTTTCACAGCGGCAATACCTGTTAAGTATAGCAATCAAGACTATTGACGAAGGCACACTCGCGGTCTTCCGTTGCAGTTGCACCATTTCTACCCGATGGCTCCCCACGCTGTCACCTCGAGGCGCAAGAGCTGCGATGCATGTGTCCGCGGTAAGCGTCGCTGCGACCAGCGGAGTCCCGCATGCTCTCAATGCATCAAGAAGAGGGTTTCATGCCTCTACAGGAACCAGCCTAATAGAAATACACCAGTCCTCAACAATGCGGTAATGCAAGCGGAGGACGAATCTCCAACCTCAGCAAGTCCGCACCAAGATCACTTAGAGTCTAGCTTCCCTGATTTCACAGGAGGCTATGACTTGAACTTGGATCTAGATGGCCAACATATCCAGATTGAGCCTTTGTTTGATTCTCTGCTAGACACAATAGCCGAAACCAGTTTGCCCAACGGATTTTGGCACAATACCGCGTTCACAGAAAACTTACAAGACGGTCCAAAGCATTGTGAGATGGTCTTGACTAGCAAGGACTATTGGAAAATGGCTCACATATGTGTAAGTTGCTTTACTTGCTATGAAGCCCTTCTGCGCTGACTTTTCAGGACGGCTACCGCAAGTACTTTGTTCATGGGCAATTTGCTTAATCTGACCTGTTCTAGAGCCATGGCAACTTAGTGATCCTAATACAGAAGCAGCTTTCGGAATGGGGTTCATTAAGAACTTGGTAAGCAAAGATTGCACTACAATCATTCATTTGGAATCTGCGTTATGCTACAGATGGATTGTTTTACTGAAATATCTTGACAGCTTACTCAGTTCGCCAATCAAAGCTCTACACCTTTCCTCCACCGGCATCTGTATAAAACCCATGTTAGCCCCTGGATCACTCAAGTTTTCTCTACTTGTGTGCTTTATACCCACGTCAACAGCTCCAATCGAGGCATGGTCCTGCGAGTTCTACACGAGAACGTGACCAACCTTCTCGAGTCGGCGAGTGGCACAAATCTGGTCCCGCAGCAAAAAATAGCTAGAGTCCATGCGTTGATGTTATACCAGGTAATCAGGATGTTCGATGGTGACATAACCTTGGGTACTCAAGCGGATGCCGATGTGGCTATCCTTATGTCGTGGATCGATGACCTGTGCACAGTCCGCGACAATCTCAAAGAAGAGAGCGGGATGAGAGATTCCATCATCCGTAGTCGACCACCTGAGTCTTGGGAGGTAAGACTCCGCAGTTCCATAGCTTACTCGTTTCGCCTTGACTAAATCCGCACAACTAGCGCTGGATATTCGCGGAAAGTGTTCGCAGGACCTGCATTTTTGGTTATGCTCAAATATTTTTCTGGAACTTATTAAAGTGTCGCGTGAAGTCTGGTGAGGCTGCTTGATCACTTGGACCGAAGGACGCTGACCGTGACAGATGATCCGGGTGTGTGGGCCCAAATCCATCGATGGACACTCTCAACTCATTTGTGGAACGCCAAAGATGCTTTCGATTTCTTCCAGGCCTGGAATAATAAACCATTCTATATCATCTCAGCGCTAAATTTTCATCACTTTCTGGAGACTGGCAAGGGACAAGACGTCGACGACTTTGCTCGGTTCTTTCTGACAATGTTAGTACTCTACAGCCTTGGACTGCAACTTTGAGGCTGACTTTTAGAACAGCTACTTTGGCGTTAGCGAGATGAAAGCTTTCTGCGCTCGAACGGAAGATAGTGAAGGTCAAATCAACCATACTGCTCGAGTCTAGTTAATCGAGAATTGCGGAAGGAAGCGATTCCCGCGAACATCAACTTCTACGGTATATGGTCCGCAACTCCGCAACTCCGCAAGCCGTTCACAACGCTGAAAGCAACACGAGGAACAGTATATAAGCCTCAACCTCCCGGATTAAGGCGGCTATTTCTTGAGACCTGTCTCTCAGAAAGATGACCGTCCCACTCCATTGCAAGACTCGTCACTAGCTATCACGTCCGCCTAAAATTTAAAAACGCCGACACACACAGATCAAGGACAACTTATCACACTTTCATCTGCAACATGCCTGAAGTCTCGACTCGGCCGCTAGGTAGGAACGGGCCCATGGTGCCGCGCATCGGCTTCGGCACCATGGGGCTATCTTACTCTTACGGCGCACCGAGGCCGGATGAGCAGCGACTTGCTGTCCTAGACCATGCCCACAAGATCGGTGAAACATTTTGGGACAGCAGCGACGTTTATGTATGTGTTACATGATGTAGGACTCTACGGTGCTGACAGAAGGGGGTTTTAGGCGGATTCCGAAGATCTTCTGGGAAAGTGGTTCGCCCAGACCGGCAAGCGATCGGACATTTTCCTTGCCACTAAGTTCGGCGCTATCTGGTATGGTCCAAACGACTGGTCTTTCCGTGGAGACGCCGCGTATGTACAGGAAGCTTGTGATAAAAGCTTGAAGCGACTTGGGACCGATTACATCGATTTATACTACCCCCACCGCCTCGATGGCTCGACTCCGGTAGAAGATATTGTTGATGAAATGGTCAAATTAAAACAGTAAGCTTCACCATCACATGCTGATGCTTATTGGATATTTAATCTGACGTACCCTCAAGGCAAGGCAAAATCCGCTACCTGGGTCTATCTGAAGTATCCGCTGAAACTTTACGCCGGGCATGCGCAGTCCATCCCATAAGCGCCGTTCAAATGGAGTACAGTCCCTTCACAACTGACATAGAGGACCCCAAGATTGGTGTTCTTGAAGCCTGTCGCGAACTAGGTGTTGCAGTCGTCGCTTACTCCCCACTGGCGCGTGGCCTTCTGACTGGCCAGATCCAGAGTCGTGCACATTTTGAAGCCTCTGACGTTCGCCGCTATTTCCCACGTTTTTCAGAGGAAAACTTTCCTAAGAACTTGGAAATAGTCAAGGTCCTTCAGGAGATTGCTGCGAGCAAGTCTTGCACGGCTGGGCAGTTGGCTTTGGCCTGGTTGCTTAGCCAGGGAGATGATATTTTCCCGATCCCAGGGTAAGCATAGTACACGGCAGGGTTGAGCTAGCGTCCACTAATAGCAACATAGAACAAGCAAAATCAAGTACCTTGAAGAAAATACGGCAGCCAGTATTGTGGAGCTCACTCAAGAAGATATTTTACGCATCCGTGGATTGGTTGAGAATGCTGCGGCTGGAGCTAAATGGCCTGATTTCATGGCTCTTGCATTGTTTGCAGACACCCCTCCGCGATGAGGTCGACACGTCCATTTATATGAAGGCTTCATCGTATAGAGTAAAATTAGGTGGCTTTCACTTGCGTTTTTTTCGACGCCGTTTTTTGATGGTGCCGTTCTGCGGTGGTTTTTATAGTTTACAGCTGGAGTTCGCTCAACATCATTTCAATAAGCTTATGAACCATGCTCATCCCTTCCTGTTCCTCGTCATTAGCCAACTTCGAGCGACTTCCGTCGAGTCGACAACACCGTAGCTTTCGAGAATAACTACTTCAAAACTGGAATTCTTCATTCATAGAAGGGGCTGAATAGCGTGCACAATATATAAGCTACCGACATATCTTTCGAAAGGAGATAACGACCGCTTCACTCGCTGGTATTCGAATTGTATCGCCTTTGAGCAGCTCAACAACTTCTTGCCCTACAATCACCCCATCGTCTGAGACCTTCCTACCGGCCCATTCAATGTCTTCTTGAGTCGATTCGGCGCCAGGAGCTGTAAACCGTCGAACAACGGCAGAACTCTTACCATTGAGCACGCTCTCCGGCAATTGCACACTTAGGCTGGTCCGCTCACCTCCTACTGTCGAGTTGTACAGGACCAGATTCAGCAGGACGATCTTATCCAGTAAAACTGTGGTCTCAGTCTTCTTATAGATCCCATAAGCGGTGAAGGATGTCTCGTTCGCGAGAACACGAACTTGCTTGTCGCCGCCCGCGAGTGTTGATGCGGCAATGAGGTTGCCGTAGTACAGAGGACGAGGTCCGGCCTGATTGGTTCCGTTGACTACTGGTTGCCACGCTGCATATCGATACCCGAGCCCCATGTGAAAGTACATAGAGGATACGTTGAGCGAGGCTGCATATAGGGCGTAGTCAATGGACCATAGAGCAGCGCCAAACACGTCAGACACCCCTGCCAGACCCTGACACTACGAGATGTTCTTAGTCATGAGCAAAAGGAATTTCACTTGGCTTACTCACAGCTATCGAGTTGGTCTCTCCAATCACATAGCGTACTCCATGCGATGTGATGAAGGTTGACATCTCTTCGTGATAAGACATGTACGATGTTAAATACGTATGATTGAGCAGGGAATCGGCCAGAGTTGGTTTTACTGGTCTACATGCAGCACCGAAATACTAGTACAGATGTTAGCCATGTAATAAATCTGTTTAGGTGTGGAGACGATCCGACGAACCTGATGTATACTGAAGGATTTTACTTTCCCTGTAGTGGCAATGCCGTCTTCGAAGGCAGCCTTCGGGTTCCAACTGCTATCATTGCTGACCGTGTTGGGTGCAACGAAAACACCAGCTTGGAAGATTGCCTCGACGTCCTGGTCAGCGATGACTTCCGCCGCTACTGCATCGGTGCGCTCGAGCCACTGATCCACGTACGTCTGCAACTTCCATGTTTGAGTCTCTCGATCCACTGGGTATGCTATGCATCAATCTTATCAGTTTCGATACCTCTAGAACGAATCAGGGGTAGTCACCGTCAAACTCATTCCCAACTTCAAAAGCATAAAGGCTGCGGTTCAACACCGAATATGCTTCCGCCGCCTCCTGGATCGTCTCAGTTTGTCCTAAAGTGCTAGAATTGAAGCTGAGACCAAGTGTATACTCAATGCCCTCCGGGAGCACATCAAAGTAATCCAGCCATGTTGGGCCCCATGTTACACTGTAAGGCTGATCTGCTCCGGGAGTCGCGTAGTGGAGAATAATGGGTTCCTCTTGATCGCTCACGAATACTGCATAATTGGCAGTTGTACCACCAACACGAATGTTTGGGTAGGATCCGCCGACGTCCTTCAAGTTGTTGATCAAATTGACTGACAGCTGATTCGGAGTGCTTTTCAACTATTAGCCCGACTACGTACTCTCACGGTCTATAAGACTCGGTGGACGAACGAACGATTCCCGGTAAAGTCATCCAAGTCAGCGAATTCGATTGAGTATGATATGAAAGATTTCCCCACTATCGGTGCCCCGGGTAATGGGTATGCTGGTACTTCCAACATCGTGGTCCTAACCGTGCTGCTGATCACGCACGGCAGCATGGCAGCGACTGCCCCATAAGTAAGTATGGAATGCATCACTTTGTCATGCAGAGATGTCTGCACATCTCGAGGTTGTTCGCAAGACAACCAGGGAGAGGCCTTATTCATATAACAAGGCAGATACCAGTATCTTTATGTTCTGGCGGAGCCGATCAATGTCGCCGGCTCCACCAAATACCTGACGAGGAAGCCAGGATCCGATGGTTCGACGTCTGACCTATCATAACGACTCTTCAGCCAGAACCCTTGCTCAAGCTCTTTCTTCTACAAGCCATCAAGAGCAAACGCTACCAATAGGGGTTGAGATGCTAGAGAGGCGGAGAAATTTATCAATAGCCGATGCAGAGTACAGTGGACTATAAATCCCTGCAAACTGGGGTCCCCGCATCGGAGACAATTTTGAATGCGGAGTGCATCGGAAAGCCCGGTGGGCTTCATCCACCCACTTCGGAATTTCCACTCGGCAAAAATTAATGACGAGATTCTCGGAGGTGACCGTCATCACCTCGAACTTTGGCTGAGATGGTCGAGTCATTTCAATATCAGATGCAGTCACCTTAGGGGGATAGACTCTCCCTTGAGGAAAAAGGCGTTGGAGGTGTGCATTCCAGCTCGGGTGACATGTCGCTCAAAGTACGGCCGCCGACCCAACAAGTTTTCGTCTTTTATAGGCATGAGAAAAACCAGCGGAAGACTGCCGAATCACCAAGCTAGTTATGGGGGTATCTTGGCTTCGATTGAGTCACGTTGGTGTCGATAATCAGAGCACAAAGTGTGTACGGAGTCGAGCTGGGCAACAAGTGAAGTGTTTGCTTACTAGCCCATCACTTTATATCCCGATGGCTTCTTATCGCCACAAACGTGAGATGAGACAAAAGAAACACCATTGTGGAAAATTCCGTCAGTTCCTATGCGTGAGAGGATTACAGACATAGTGGATATAACCAGGCATTGACCACATTCTTAACGCGCTCGAATTTGTAACTCGCAGTGGAGTGGCAGATATAGCGGGATTGGGGTTTCACGAAGAGGACGCGTTTAGTATCAAAGGTATATTATGGTTCTAGGAACAGCCTTGCACAATCCATTCGCAGCAATTTGCTCAGTTTGTTTTTATTAGACTCCGTCACATGATCCTCATCTAAGAGTATGTAGGAGCTGTGTCTATTGTTGTAACATTCGAACAAACACTATATCTCTGCAAGACTTAGCAATGTGACTGTTAAATTTGAGACTGGTAGTTTGCGATGTTGATGCGGTGGATGCCTTGGTGCATTACCTGGTAACTGCATGACTAGAGCGGCTGGCGGGCTGTGGTCATGCCGTCAAGTATGGGCTGTCGTTGCCTGCTTCCAGTCGGTCATGAATTGACAAAACCCGGACAACGGTGTGTCATTTAGACTAATATGATTTTTAAATACCACAAACATATTCAATAAGGAGAACCGGCTATTATTGGAAGCACTCGAGGCCAGTATTGACACTCACAGTGGCGCTTGATGGTGCCTTGTACCATTACGAAGGCTTCTAGAGTCTAAATTTCGTCGATGTTTGATGAGTTACAGCCATCCAAAGGAGAAAAAGAGTCACCTTGGAGAGCGAACGCTGTAATCCGTGTCGCTTTCTTTTCCTCTTTGCCGTACATCCGGCTTCCTTTCAGTTGCACCTTCATCCCCTGCTTACCAGTCTAGTGCGGACGTGCCTAACGACAATATCTATCCATTTTGTCCCGTGTTTATTGTGGAAATATTTAGTTTTGTCTAAGCTCAAGTTAATAACAGAGTATCCTGGGGTCTCTTGCTGGATATTAAACAAGGAGCTCATGCTAATACGGTGGACTTAGGGACTCGGTGGCTCAGCCACTCCCGTTTTCATCAGAGTATGATGACATGTTCTGAGCGGATTTGCTTTTTCGACAATAAATATGTTGTATTTCCAAAGATATAAAAATTTTAAAAAGGCCAGAAGGCGCCATGATACCGCTAATGTGAACTGCTTTCAGGATATGTTTTAAAGGATACTCTGGGTGTGATACTCACCATTGAACCTAAAGTTCAAAACAACCATCGAAATTTGCTTTTATTACAGAAAAAGTAGTCCCTACGAGTGAATATGATTTGAATCGTCAGGTATGTTTGATAGGTGACTGCAGACTCGGCATAGTCCATCATCTTCTGTACTGCCAATTGATTTAATTACCTACAAGCAATTTCTATTTCCATTAACATTTGTGTTTCGCATACCAATTCTAATTCTATTGGAGTCTATGTTTCTGCTGATATTGTTTTTACACGTCATTGTCGGTGTACCTCGAAAAGTATTCCTGCCTGACATATGCCCCTTCTTAGCTTCGGGATGAGGCTTTGCCGTGCATTCTGCAGGCAAAAATGGAGCTCGCCCTTACAGTAGATTGGACCGGGGCGGCGTCCGGGTGACGTTAAGCTGTAGCATCAAAGGTGTCACCACCCTTCTGACACTAACAGTGATTCGATGTGGTCTTTGTTGAGGATTGCACTATGGAAGATGATAATTGAGACAAAAGGCAACAGACCTGGTTCGTGTATCTGACCGTATGGCGTGAGAAATGCACTCAGCACATAGTTGTTACGGCCGTTCCTCAGTCGTGCGCTGGAGTGTTGAGCGGCAATAAATGTCAAGCTGTTTGTGGCAATGGGTACTGGCGCACTAACATTGCCAAGCTTTCAGCTCGCGCGGCTGGTCTGCAGCCAATTTCTTTTTATCCAATTCCCAGGCAGCCTCTTCACTATGCGAGCCAACAATATTTATAACGTTGCGACTGCGCCTTTTCTTTCCATGACTGAGTTTTTGACAAGCGGGAATGTCTCGCCCCAACGTTGGTGTCGTGTCTCTGGCCCAAATTCTCAATTTCAGCCATTGTCGTAGAATGGTGGATGTAAGAACGAATGCCGCCGCATGAATTTGGATGATGGTGCTTCACCGCTCGATGACTGTCGTCCCAATTCACCTTGTACACGAATCTGAACACGGTCCTTGGCATCAGACCGACCACAAAATCTTAGAAAAGCTGTTCTCATCGAGATTCATGGACCTTGACCCTTTCCTAGCACGGGATGTGCGTCGTGGCTATATGCGGATATGTGGATATGTCTAACCAAGACGAACAATGCATCGAATCATAGATTATTTGGCCATCACATGCCACGGGAACTTCGAATTTATACGAATAGATGGGATGTCGCAACTGTTTCTGTTGGCCATCCACCTAGACTGGAATGCATGAAGTCTCACTTTAGCAACATTACAAGGAGGCTATGCCGTGTACCATTTATACCATCGTGATGACGGATGCTGACCTGAAGTTAGTCGAAGAGTATAACGCCCGAGCAACGACCATATGGAGTATCAGATTATGCTAACTGTATGAAAGGCGTTTTGGTGCAGATCATCGGGTAATACTCTCGAGATGCATGGTGCCCGCGGCAATTTCATTGCATGATGCGTTACCATTATCAAGCTTACTATCTTGATCTATGAGATGGTAGAAGCCTAAGATTGTGTATAAAAGGAGCGCTGCAATCTGTAGTAAGGAAGGCCATTCAGAAAGCTCGCAGATCAGTTTACTCGCCACCAGACAAGTCTTTCGTTATTCACTATCAACCATACCAAGAAGCCCAAAAGCTCCTTCAAAATGTTCAAGAACATCGTAACTTACACCATCTTGGCCGCAGCTCTCGCCAATGGCGCGCCACTCGTTGACCCCCTTGAGCTTGATGCCCGCGATATCCTTGCACTCAGCGAGCGTGACGTTGATATTGCCGCACGAGAAATCGCTCCACGTGTAGTTACGAACCTGACAGGTTTTGCGGATTTCGAAAGATTCAATGTCAGCGGAACCACTATTACCGAGCTTGGATACTATGGTGGACTTTTCTTCAAAGGCCTCGGTTGGTATTCCAACATTACTTCTAGAGGAAATCAGACTAGCTAATAATGAATATAGCCGCTGTCACCAATGCTTTCCTACCCGCCCTCCAGCCTCGATCACCGGTGAATATTGCTGCATACGGAGCAGCTACCACTACACTCAACAGCAACCCTTTTATCACCTCCAGATTCTCAGGATCCAAAACCCAGAGTTTTGGGGTGTCGTCCTTCTTCTTCGGCTGCGCCGACGCAGATGGCACTGGTGCTGTAAGCTGCAGGGTCGCAGTTGCTGGCTACGATACATTTAACAGGCTCCTCGCTTACCAGACCCTCACCTTTAACCCCACTGGTACATCATCTCCATTCGCCTTGGCCCCTGCGGTGCTCAAAGGCGCCTTCGGTGCTGGCATTAGCACCCTTCGATTGGCAACACAATACGATGGTAATGTCGTCGGAACGACTGCCCTTGACAACATCAGGTACTCGATCATCCAGGACAACTCTACCATCACCACTCCTACCTCCCCTTCGACCTAAGCATGATGTGGAAATTGATCATGGGGCGCATCCAATGAAGTTGAAAATTTGGAAGGCGGATAGCTGGGTGGACGTTTACTCAAATGGAGATACAGGACAAATGAATGTCGCGATGGGCTTCTAGTGAGGAAGACGAACCGGGGACTTCGAAAGCCTAGCGCGTGAACCAACTACGATGTTACGACGTATGATTTAATTCCCCTCACGTTGCGCCCCTTGCGCGGTTTTCTTTTAATGTAGACAGGCCAGTCAATACACTCTTTTCTTTACATCAAGTGTTACTGGACATGATAATGACTATGAGATGTCGATATCGTCTATATAGACACACTGATGCATTATATACATTCCAAATGGGTATGCTGTGCCGTAATCTAGCGTGATCTGGACCCCATTGGACGACCAGGTTGTCAAGCCGAACTTACTCAATATGATCTACTACCTAATGATCGCTCAATCATCGCCATCGACGCTATGGAATATTTTTCTCATGATAAATCACGTCAAGAGCATTGACACATGAAGACACATATTTTGAGGTGGCCGGATTCTCTTTACCTTAACCTGACGAGGGTTCAAGTCAGGGGAGCCATCCACTAGGGATGACGCAGGATTATAGCTAGCCGTCTAGACTATCCTCGATCCATACTGCCCGCTTTCACAACAGCAGGAACCAATGCAGCGATTATCTTTCCCTCCTCTCACAACAAGAGTTCTAGATGTCACACAATCTTTGACATGGGAGATGTCATGGCAGCGAAGAGGTCGCGCCAGCCTGTGGTCCATTCGTCCTCCCCGCCTGCCCAAGGCGACGATATTTTCCAAGAGTATCTCGCTAGGAGCCGCTCCGTGGAATCCAACGTACGCCAAAAAAAATAATTTTTAAGCAACGCAGTTTAAACGACAGACTTCTTCAGTTTCAGTTGTAAACTTTCCCAATCTTTGAACTGATGTCGTGTTACCGCCAAGCAAACCGATTTCGGAAAATCAAAACCCGGTACAAGCCTTCCGTGCAATAAAATAAAAACCTGTCCAAAAATTCCATGGATAAAGACAATGTAGAGTTGTAATTCGGGTCATTAGAATAGGAGAGAGACGTAGGCAATGAGAGAATTCGTGTACGTTCATGCCCCCTCTCCGTGAAAGATCTTTTTCATCAAATAGGTCGGCCAACCTCTGGAGAAGTGGAGGTTTATATGAAAATCTCCCAAATGGTTTTCCAATCTGATGAGTGCAATCTGGGAGAGATTGAGTGGGGAAAGAGACAACGAAAATCATCATATACCTCGTAGCAAAACTCAAGTCCTCGCGAAAAGAACACCCATAAAATCAGTATCCCGAATGACCAGTGTTCAATGACACAAAGCGCTTGACATCCTTTAAATCGACTTTGGTGTCCGAGCATTGCTCATCTCCACGACGTCGTCCAGATGGTTGCACATGGCCACGAACAGGTCGAAGAAAAGTTTACCACCCCTTTCCATCTCCGCTTGCATGGTTCCGCTCCTCTTAAATGTCTTGCGACATCGGATGATCAGGGCGAGATAATGAGCGCGGAGCCGCGAATCCGAGTCCGGCGTGTTGTCATAGGAATATTGCGCTGAGCGCAGAATGGTGGCGACATCGATTCCGCTCTGGAGACCTTGCTTGCGCAGAGCCAGCCGCTTGAGCTCCTCCAAGCCGTACCTCTCTGCTGAGCAATATATGACGGTATCCCTGAGAAGGTGTTGCCCTTCGCCGGACATGTAAATTGTTGCTTCGACGGCACCGCGGCCGCCTCCGTTTTCTGATGGCACTGGTGATCTTCCCGTGGCTGGACTAGCGTCCTCAAGTTCCCAAGAGTTTCGGTGCTTGTTGTGAAGCAAGCGTGGGTAGTAGTCGCCCTTGTAAAGGTATTCAAGCACAGCCGAGAAGACCTCAGGCTCTTCGTCGGGAATTGTTATCCTCTTACTCTGCGCATTGAGGTGTTGATTCTGGCAGACGCGTTCAAAGTACGGCGACTGGCACAAAACTTCCTCATGCGCCGCAAACAGTCGCCCTTCTCGGCCCACCGTTAGAGTGACGATAGGTGAGCTGAGAGTTTTCTTCACAGGCATGCTCTCTTCGAGCGACCGCTGCAATTTCGACAGCTTCTGGGGATCATTTCGAATCGAGTTCGACTTCTTCAACTTCGACGCCTTTTCCACCCGATCCTGGGTCCGGAACGAGCGCTTGAACATGACTGTGGTAGCTGATTGAAGTGGTGATAGAAATCAAGACGTGATGATTCGAAATAATACAAAACCGAAACTAAAAAGACTCTTGAATACAGGAAATCAAGCAGGACCGACTGTTTTCTGTCTTTTATGTTCTGGTATGACGTTGGAGAGAGCGACGAAAAGAGCGTATAATTGTTGGCTCGGAGAGGACTCCGGTTTCCTTATAGAGAGTGAATGTGAGTTGACACACAAATGATTGACACGGGCCCGTGCGGTATATTCCAGAGTACAGTTCGAAGGTAAACGAATGACACTGGAGATATCCTTGGTACTTTGCGACCCAATTGGTTGTGGTGTGGGGAGGGAGAGCAAAGGGAAGAGAGAGCAGAATGGAGGGGCACGTTGTTGATATTTATGTCACAATATTTAGCCAGGGGTCTGATTTCTGGGAGGTCTGGGCGACCAGGATGATTGTTGTGACTGTGTAGGCGGCGCTGCAACATGTGCCAAGAACTTCAAGTCTGCCTGTTGATTCGCCACTCATGACTTAGTCCTTTCGCCTATCTGCTGTGTGAATCCTGGTGAACCACGGTGAACTGTCTCTTAGGACAGGCATCAACAGCCCTGCTGGTCGCCTCCATGCGGCCTAGAGCTTTGCGATGGAGGCGCTTGTGCGACGGCACATGCAGCCCAATTATACCCGGGAACAGCTTGAAGGATACAAGTGTGTATGGAGTACATACCAACAGTGCTTCCATGAGCCATGTGATGCGGTGTCGCTGCTGCGTGGTCAGGTATACTGAGGCAGCAAATGTGTGTGCGCTGGACCGAACACTTGGAACGGAGAAGATACATAGCGATCGAATGCGAACGGCATTGGAGGCACATCAAGTAACTACATATGTAGATCTCCGCTTTAGTGCTAGTCTAGACTAAGTTAGTTGCACGATTGGGCCACCTTCGTGGCACTAACCTTAGGTATTTAGACATTGGGACGAATCTTTCTGAATGGCCAATTCACACACTGCTAGCAAGCACTGCCCTCTTGATCTGGGCGCGTCGGTAACCGAATTGATCAAAGCACTCAAAGAGCATGCGTTGTAACAAGCTTAATTCACTCATGTCGCCTTTGAATTGACGCAAATTTTAGGTCTGGTTTGTGTAAGGATGTGCATTTGATAGAATACGTCATCGTAGAACAAGTTAATAGAGCGACAGCGCTATCAGTACTCCGTAGTTGTGGATGCGCTGGCTAAGTCTTGGCGACCGGGCGGTGGTTGGGGGCCAACATGGAGCCAGCGATTTGTGGATGATGGGCGGGGTTCTCAGTGAGCCTCTCGGAACAGTATCGAACATGCTCCATACAAGCTCTCGTCTATATCCAAACATTTTGCGAGCACATACTCCGTACACCTTCCTAGGCAAATACTTAGTTTTATCGACTTAGACTAGGTGGCTTGGGCACTAATGAAAACGCACGCTTCTACGGTCGTGCGCCACTCGATTGCGGTGACGGGTTCGCGTTTGTTGTCCATGAGAAAGCCACGAAACTGCTGTCAGCAGGTCTAGCTACACGTATTCGGTTGGGCGACACTGGGATCTGCAGCTGGAGGCGCAGTCTACGGACTGCAATTGGTTTCAGCAGGAAGACAAGATGATTGATAATCTTTGTGCAATTAATGCTTTCTACACTCTGCCAACTTACATCCCGACCCAAACAACCTTAAACCGAAGTTGGAACCTTAAAACCGAACGTGGGTCAATTTAAGCTTAACTTGCCTCCACGTCGTGAACATGGTCATGGAGCACATGATATACTGCATGCCATGTGCTACAGCAGATTGCCATCTCTATCTGACGCCGGCGCCTACATTCTTATACCCAATGAACACTCACAGGAGAAGGTGTCCCGTTGGTGTTGCTTGGCATTGCGTTGTCTTGCGCATGATCCCTCATTTTGGTCACTGAGCTGCTTGACGTGCAGTCATACTCTCCCGCATGGCGATCAACCCATATAGATAGGTGAAGACTGTTCAAGCAAGCGGTCATCAGTGGTGTAAGGCCATTAAAGGGGTCTCTTCACTTACTTCCAGGCGTCAATGCGAGGAACCCCAGTGTTGCAGCAACACTGGCCTTGGTACTGCCTATCATCTTGGTGTCCAAGAAGAACAGCCCAGCGTGGCCAGTGAGAAGCTTTCCAAGACCGGCCCAAGCAAGATATGCCGCAGTAGCCAACACAACACCCACAGAATGGCTTGCGACAGGCTATTGTGTGATGTGTTAGTGGATGATGTGATTTGACAGGCTGTAGAACAACTTACTGTCTGGCGTCTGATACTGTTGAAGAGCAAGACCTCAAGAAAGCCTATGATCGAGGTAATGGTCCAGACGTTGATGATGCTGAAGGCCTTGATGTCATCCTCTTCAAAGAGACCTTTATCTAGGAGATGTTACTTTTGTATCCCCAAATTCGGGATGGGACAAGGATAAAATAAGTGTAGATGTCTAGCATGTCTACATACTTGGATTGTACAAGAAAAACGTTGAGTTTGTGCCAGGGTTATGGATGTGCGGCAACTTCGGAGCTTTGAAACCACCATGTCCTGATGGGACAAGCACAGCCCAGTAGAGAATGGTGTTGGTAAAGGTGAAAACATGGGCGACAGTGTAGAACAAGCTGTAGAAGAAGCGACGCTTTGGGCAACTAGCTTGTGCGGGAGGTGATAATGCCTTGGTGATTTTTGCTCTCATCACATGTCCTTCGCACTGAGACGGATCTTGCTGGGGAGCTTCTGGTAACAACAGATGCATAAGTGTCCAAAGCTAGTAGTATGAGTCAGCATGGTGGCTTCGAGTTCGACAGCGGTAGTCCTGGGGCTAGGTTGTCGACTTACTGCGGCCTGAAGGTTGTATGCGAGGAGCGTGAGGAATGACACCGTGGAGAACTGGAAAGGAATTCTCCAGTTGGTATGTTTGTCCTTAGTTTCGAGCTTGTACTTCAAAGAGACACCGGCGACTGCGATCAGGTAGCCTGTGACCAGAAGACGGAGAAGCGTAAGGAGCTTTGGGCTGATAAAGCGCCATGATGAGTGACAAGCTCGAAGATAGATGTGCTGATCGTATCAGTGGGCGGCTTTACCCTCCAATCCTAGGAAGCACGAAGGGGAAGGTCCATAACGTACATGGCTGTCTGGTTGTGGTGCGCTTGCTGGGCGCGGCATTAGGGGGGTGTTCTCTGACATTGTGGCAAGGGTGGAAGGGCGATAGTCCATCGATTGAGCTGAGGATTGGTTGCTGAGTCCAGACTCCCTGGACACTGGCCACCTAATTGCCGGATGGATTCTCAAGAGAAAGGGTATGGATATAATAGTGTAATCTAGGCAATTGCTAGTTCAGAACAACGCATGGAGGAGCTCTATAGGAATGAAATGCCTGAAGACAGCTGAACTTGAGAATATGGTCTGGGAGAGGGATTTACAATTGAGGGGAGTGATTTGGAAAGGATGCAGAAACATGCCATAGCGCAGTCATTGCGTTATCATGGCTGGAGTGTATTGAAGGAAACTGCGATAGTTTGTACTAGTTGAAACAACTGCTCGAAGTAAGGGCTTTCTGAGCCTTAGTGTACAACCATAACGAGACTTTTGAGGTTGGCGTAGCTTCCGAACTTGTGTGATCCGCGATCCTTCCTAGAGCTGCTTGAGTTGTCGCAGAAATCATGTATCGTGAAACTACAAGTGAGGCATCTCAACATAGCGGCGGTGTTCACCTGGTATCCTTTACACAATCGCGACTTCCCCTATGGATAGGTCCAGTGTCTGAGCCCACAGTAGGCAGCCGGTCGCAATCAGGGAACATATTAGTTACCTACTCATGCGAGCACATGGGCGGTTGGAGTGACGTTGTGGTCGGAAACGTATCATGGAAGCAGGTGACTGCATTCTATCCGAGGGTCCGCTGCAAGGCCGATAGTGGTGATAGTGTAAGTACTCTATGAGGCCGGCGACGTGTCAATTAGACCGAGCCCGCCTAAACAAATTGACATTCAAGGAACATTAAAGTTATTGAATTATTCTATTCATGTCGCCTACTAAGCCCTCATAGAAATCTGCTCCTGGCCGCAATAGCAGAATCATGTGAATATAGCTAACACACCTATCATGCATGTTACAACATGTTTTCGGACCAAAAAGAAAAAGTCATGAAAGCTTTGAACCACTGTTGCGAAACGCGCCAGGACTTTACCACGATGGGAGATCTTCTCGATATAGAGGTCATAAAAACAACCCGCATTTGGCATTCAAATATTCGAGACTTTCTTTGCCGTCAACACTCTCGCGAACACGAACAACTTAACTAGTTAAGTAGGTTGGTGTTTGTTTGCTAGCAACAGCACAGCTGATTGGAAATAGCGGCCGGCCGGCCTACTGCTATCGCCGATAAGCAATCCCCCAGTGGAGCCTCAACTCCACCACAAGTTGTGCCTGCAGGTGGCAGAGCCTCCAACTGGAGCGGTGTCTGCTTACTTTTAATGTACTGCATCGCTAAAGTGCTTACATACCTGCTGTGCAGTGCACACCCTGGAGCTTTGAGGCCACCTCACCAAACCAAAAGTTGGAATAAGCTGTCTCCGACGAACGAACGTTGGTCTTTCGGCGCGGCCACGAATTCGACTTCTTCTTCCCTCCCATTGGACTTTCCCACTCATCACGGACTCTTGCACAGATTGCAACACAGCCAAGATGCTCTCCGGCCTACAGAATCCGCGACAAGCGGCTGCTCAACTGCTCAACTTCGGGCTGATCCTATCTACGGCATTCATGGTACGTGCCGCCGGCTTACACGTCGCCATTCGTCGCAAGCGCTGCTTGGTCTTTTGCTCGCCTGACACTGATACTCTGTGCAGATGTGGAAAGGGCTCTCCATCATCTCCGACTCACCCAGCCCCATCGTCGTTGTCCTCTCCGGGTCCATGGAGCCCGCATTCCAACGCGGTGACCTCCTGTTCCTCTGGAACCGCAACTTCCTTTCCGAGACCGACGTCGGCGAGGTGGTCGTCTACAACGTCAGGGACAAGGATATACCCATCGTGCATAGGGTGGTGCGCAAGTTCGGCACGGGCGAGCACGCGAAGCTGTTGACCAAGGGAGACAACAATGCCGCCGACGACACGGAACTGTACGCTGTGGGCCAGGACTATTTGGAGAGGAAGGACATCATCGGCAGCGTGTTTGGCTACATTCCCTTCGTGGGCTATGTGACCATCATGTTAAGTGAGCACCCGTGGTTGAAGACGGTCATGCTGGGCATAATGGGTCTGCTCGTGGTCTTACAGCGGGAATGATTTCAGCATCCGTTTTATGTATTACAAGATCATTAGGTGGGAGTACTACAAAAGCAACATTTGCTCAAGACACCCATACCCCTTTGAAAGTTTGCTATTGCCTTTCAGCAGGACCTGATGTATGCCCCGTGTCAAATGTGGTTGCGATAGTAATAGCGATGGTATTATGCAGCATGCTTTCTACTGACCATCAGATAGCACTCTGGTCCAGTCAAACTTTCGCCATTTCTTCTTGAAAGCTTCGGTTCTGCTGTCGTCTTTGTGCCACCGGCCTTGTCTCTTGATCACATCTGGCCCAACGTCCAACATGCCTCCCAAGATTTCCCTCGCGAAGAGATCACCCTTTGGCCAACGGTTTGCATCCTCGACTACGTGGCCCAGACCACCGTCCAATGTGAACCAGGCATGGAAGTAGGGCATCTCCTTCGCGATGGACCGGCGGAACGCCAGTTTTCCCATACCATTCCTCGCGTTGGCGCCTGTGTCGATGATCTTCTTATGCTGCGACCACTCCTCATCCGCAGAAAGCATAGCCTCCTTGAAGAAAGCCGGCGCTGTATCGCCAAGCTCATAGGGGATTGGGACGGCCTGTAATGCAGCGTGCATGTGTCGTTGGGGAGTAGCTGCGTTTTCGTAGAAGACAACCTCACGACCTTGGTCGTGATACATCCGTGTCAAGCACTTCATGAAATTGCGCATCTCCTCCCATTCGTCATCGTCGCATTCCAGCAGATTGGTGCGGTGTTGAATAGGAACGATGACCGCGCCACCCTCAGCCAGCTCCGGCTCAGTAGGCAGGGTCAGATATACCCGGGTAGCCAAGGATATCATGGGCGCAACAGGTAGCTGATTCTTGTCTTCGTGGTGGCAGAGCTGACACTTGTCCAGTATGCTGTTGATCTTCTGAAACTCGTTGACAGCCGTATTTCTCAGGTTGATTTCGGACTTTTGAATGCGTTTAGCAAGCTTCTCTGCATTCTCATCCATGTAGTCGAGGTCGTCGTCGAACTTTCCGTCCTTGGCGATGCGCTCAGCCAATCGCAACCCTTCGCCTCCTCGCTGACCTCTTGTTCGCCGCTCTTCTCGCACCATGTCTTCGATCGTCATCTCGTCATTTTGCTCCATGTGACCCCGTTCTCTTCCTCGTTTGGTTTCGACAGCCTTGGCTTCGCCCCTGGTACCAGCAAGCAGTCGGTTCTCCATGACACCCAGGACAACGGCACCTGGTCCCTGTTCTGCAAAAGCTGCCGCTATTTCATTGTACTCTGCCTCTAGTTTGGCAGCATCTGGCGCCTTCTTTAGTTTGGCCTTCATCATCTGAGCGCGCATCTTGTTTAGCGCCGACTGATCAATAGTTGTTGCAGATCGAATCATAGCATCGTCGGGGATGACGGTGCCCTGGTCAAGGTCTCTCTGGTCTGCTGATCGCTGTCTCTCCTCGCGAGAGCCCATCTTCAACTTCCTCTCCTGGAATAGCTCTCCGCTGGGTTTCTCTTTGCCTACATAGCCTTCGCCGTACGTTGCGCGCCTGTCCATTTCAATCTGCTCTTCCCTAGCATCGTCAAAGGCGCGTAAATCGCCAAACCTCTCCGCTGCTACCTGGTCGACTGGCCGACCGGTCTGTTCGGCAGCCTTGTAGACGGCCTTGAGCTTCGTCATCCTCCAATGGTTACCTTGGTCCCCAAAAGTATACGCCACGTCATGCTGAGCAGGTCTGTCGAGTTCGTCCAAGGCCTTGCCCTGGTTGAGATGCTGTAGCTCGGCGGCATTGATCTCTCGCGAATGTATGGCTCGCGTCGGTTCTTTCGACGGTGGCGGTGTCTTTTCGCGCTTTGCACCTCTCTGTGTATAGTCTATGCCGAGGGCGGATGGATATGTCATCCAATCGTCTCTGGCCAGTTTCCCGGGTTGCGCATCCTCGGCAGCGATCTCTTCGTCGGGCAGGGGCAGATCTGCCTTTGGGTCAGACGCCTTCAGGTGACCGTGCTGCTCCTGAGTCAATTTCGCATCTCCTTCACTGTCTCGGCCATGCTCTCGGTGTCGATGACGATGGTGGTGCCGTCTGTGTTCTCCCGGATCATCTTGGTTGTCCTTGGAGTGTCGCGAGCGTTTGTGCCGATGCTCGTCTTCAGGATCGCTTCGTTCTCGAGCGCGGTCTCGTGATCTGTGACGTCGGTGACGGTGGCCTTGGCTGTCTGGCTCTCGGCCTCGGTCTCGGTCTTGGTCTCTGTCTCTGTCTCTGTCTCTATCTTGGTCGCGAGACCTATCTCCGTGGTGGTGTCTCTGCTTGCGACTGCTACGCTCTTCGGCACGCTCGCGCTGAGCCTTCTCTGCAGCTAGCGACTTTTCAAAGTCGTCAAGGCCGTCCATGCTATGAAAACGATCATACGCCACAGAAGGAACGATGATAAAACGGTTGTATGGTAGTTTGTATGCTTGGATTATCCCAATCTATGTGTACAAGCATGGAGCTAATAAGCTCTCGACATTTACTGCAGCTACACCATGTATGACGAAATGCTACAAGCGGGCGCTGGAATATGCATTTTGGTGAGCGGTATCGCTCTAAAGCAGATTTGCAGGGAAGCAGAGCAAGCCAGTGAGCAGCTCCAGCGTAAACCCAACCAACCTGATGGTTATATACATAAATAATGGGGGCGGCTGGCTGGCTGTACTGGGTACTCGGTGCTCTGTTGCTCATCAGCTGTGAGCTTCCACAGCAATCTTATTGTCCTCGGATTGGCTTCAAAGGTAGGTCACGAATTGAAAGAACGTTGGAAACCGTTCGATCAAGCACTTGTTCTGACTGCACAGAACAAGAGGGATTAGCTGATTGATTAATTTGAGGTAAATACTCAAACCTATGGTCGTTGAAAACGTGAAAAGACAGCAGCCAATCCAACGATTCGAACTCCAATCCCCCCGCCATGAATTTGACTCACTCAACTTCAGAGTTCAGCGCTGTTCCAAACTTGCGCAGTTTAGCCCCCCACTTTGCCCACTGCACCAACAGACCTACGCCAAAACTTTCTGAACACCATTCTCCACCACCAATTTCCGCATCCATTTTGCCATTCACCCAGCATTGCCAGTCCTGACTTCTATTCCTATTGCGACCATCACTTACACGGCTTGGCGCCTTGATATAATCTACTCGGCGTCCAACGCCAGGGCAGTCACACATGCCAAATTGGACACTAACCTCTCTCCTGCTGACTCTGGCTGCCCCAACAGGTCCCATCTGTCCTACCGCAGGCAGCCATGTCCTTTTTCAAACCCAACAAGACCAAGAAGGGCGGCTTCTCCTTCAAGCCCAAAGGTGCCACCAGCAATCATCTCCGGGATGCTGTCTCTCGACTTGATCGCCAGACCAGCCTTGGAGGCTCCCCGGCACCAGACGGTCCTCTTTCTTCTGCATCTGCAAATGTCGTTCCTAGTAATCGCCGTACTTGTCCCAACCCACAATGTCCCAATCCTTCAGCCGGTATCGAAGAGGGATACTGTACTGGATGTGGTCGACAACTCGAAAGTATCGACATTGTCAACGAAATCCAGTTCGGTGAAAGTGCATCTGGTGCTGCCGTCCTCCAAGGTAGTTACATGGGCGCAGATCAGGCCGCAGCTCGACTGGGAGGCCCAGGCATGCGTCGCATCGGAGGAGTCATAGGCGATTCGCGAGAGCGAGTCATTCGAGAAGCCAGGACCATGATGACACAGTATGCCAGTCAGCTGAAGTTGTCCGATGTTGTCATCAACGAAGGCATCCAGATCTTCAAACTAGCCCTCAGCATGAACTGGATCCAGGGTCGTGGCATGATCAAGGTTGTTCCTGTCTGCCTCTATGCAGCCTGTCGTCGCCAGGACAGATGTCGTGTCATGCTCATCGACTTTGCCGACTTGGTCAAGGTCAATGTGTTCGAACTCGGTCATGTCTTCAAAGCACTTGACGACATCTACAGTTTCAGCTACAACAAGATCAAGGCCATCATTCCCGAGGATCTCATGTATCGTTTCTGTGATAAGCTCGACTTTGGCGACATGACGAGGGACGTTGCCGAGCTCGCGGCACGCTTCTGCAAGCGCATGGGCCTTGACTGGATGGTCATGGGCAGACGCCCTTCGGGTATCTGTGGTGCCTGTATCTTCTTGGCTGCCCAAGTATGGGGCTTCCGACGAACTGTCAGAGAGATCGTTTATGTTGTCAAAGTCACCATGCACACGATCGAACAGCGATTGGACGAGTTCAAGGTGGTCGAAAGCAGTGACCTGACGATTGAGGATTTCTTGAAGCAAGAGTTACTCGAATCTCGCCACGATCCACCCTCGTTCTACAGAAAACAAGCCGAGTATCTTCAAAAGATGGAGCAACGTCAACTCGAGACTGGTCGCAAGCGGAAACGAATCATTGAAGACATTGGCGACGATGAAGATGACGAGAATCACAGCGGCAGCTTGCCCAGCGACATGCCACCTCCTCGTCGGCCCACACAGTCGATGCCTCCGCCGCCCTTACCTCCGCCCGATACCTCCAAGCTACCCCAAGTCACTGAGTTTCTGGAGAGGTCAAAGGATCCCGAGACAGGCCAGCTCATGCTCGAGGCCTTTGACCCTGATAATATCCCTGCCCCTGCCCCACGAGTCACGACTGCTGACGACAATGACAATGACGATGACAATGACAAAGACAAAGACATTGAAGCAGGCGTGGATGCAGACGATCCTACTGGTGAGGCAGCAGTCGATCATTTAGCAGAGGAATATGCAGAGAACGAGGATGAGACGCCAGCTGGACGTCGTCGCCGAGTCAAGCGGCCCCAGGCTGAGCCACTCCTGACCTTCAACGAAGAGTGGGAGGAGGCGGAAGACCAGCTCACGCAACAGATTGACGAAGTCATCAACGATCCTGCCAGCGACACTCATCGGAAAGCGCTAGCCACAGCGGCCATGCACGCTCGTGTCAAGGCAGCGTGGGCCCGTTCACAACTCCCGGTTCAAGAGACCAAGATGGATGAGGTCATCGGTCCTGATGAATTCGCTAACGACCCTGAGGTACAAAACTGCCTGCTTGGCCCAGAGGAGATCCAAATCAAGGAACAGATTTGGCTTAACACAAACAAAGATTGGTTGCGTAAGCAGCAGAACAAATTGTTCGAGAAGGAGATGGAGGCACTCGGTCCCAAGAAGAAGAAGCGCAATCGCCTCAAGAAGCCTCGTATCGGCGAAGGCGCCAGCGCTGCCAGTACACCAGGTGAAGCAGCCGTCACGACCATGAAGAAGTTTGCTATGAGCTCACGTATCAATCTCGACGCCATCAAGAACCTTTTCGGTGAGAGTGGTGAAGGTGGGCCGGGCAGTGTTGCGCAGAGCAGCTATGCCGACAGCGAATATCAAGAGAGCGAAGTTGGTGATGATACTCTTCGACAGGCACCAGTAAAGGCCAAACAGCAGACAGGCGCACAATCTAAGGATGCCGAAGGTGCTGCAGGCGATGATGAAGAGGAAGAAGAGGAAGAGGACAACGAGCCTTATCCAGACGATCAAGGCTATGATGAGTATGATCAAGGTGATGAAGAAGAGTGGTACTAGATGCAGTCATAGGCAGGAGTTGTGGCGTTTACAGAAGAGACTTCTTCAGATCTCAGAGATACCCCGCCTACGTAATAGAGCCATACATTGATGATACATGCACTACGCCTGAATTCCTGATCTTTTGCGACATGTGCCCATCAGTCCCAGCGCCAATCCTATATCACAAGCCTGTCAATATACAGGCCAGTGTGGGCGACCATCTCAGTTGCCAGTTAAAACCTCCCTCGGCTCTGTTCACCGGCGCATCTTTCATCTCTAGGTCCATCTGTTGTAGGATTGGAGCAGTCTTCTCGCAATCCATGAGTGAAATGTTGAGCTCCTTGTTCATAACAGAACAAGAGACAAGTGCGCTTGAACACATCATATCCACCGTACTGATCAAAGTACGAATCTTGGAATTATCCACGAGATTGCCGTCGTCTTTCCACTTTGATCCCCGATCATTGCGACGAGCACATACATTACATACCAGGGATACCTGCTCCTTCTCGGACCTTGACCTTAACGGTGTACTCAGGTAGACGGCACATCAACAGAATATGTAACAGTGCATAACGTTAAAGATAGGGTCCCATCTAACAATCATATTGCGACAGTCCAAACCTGTGACCAGGTAGCACCAACTCCGTTGTCAACCATGATCCTATGATCACTGGCTGCCCATTAGTAGCCGTAATCTCAAGGCTACTTTGAATTCAATGAAACAATGTCAATAGTTCTTTTTTGCAAAAATTCTATCTCGCTCACATCCTTCTCAAGTTTATCGTTCGCAATCTTTGGTTCCTGGAATAGCTCACTGGCACAAATCAGCACAACAATGTCACAACAGCCCCATCACTGGCACCTACATAGTATTACGGTACTCAATTCTTTGTTGCTTCATGTCCACCTCTTGTCGTAGCTGTTCAAGTTGAAGAACAAGCTCCTCCAGTCTCTTCTCCATTGATTGTTGATCTTTTAAAAGGTCCAGTCACCTTGATGGGCTGTCAGCACTGGCCCGGATGTACTGGTATTCATCTAGGACTCCATTCACGGACCCACGTACCAACTGACAGATATTCATACCAATGCAAGCGCTTCCATTATGAATGGCTATATTGATGATAACAACTGACCGGCAAGAGCCCCGATCATCAGTTTGCCGACAGAGTATCAATGCAATAGCCTAACATAACCAGCATCCTTATTCAACCTTCTCATTGGATTTGGCCGGTTCGCTCGAGGCATGACAGAAGCTCATGTAATTCGGCATGGTAAGTCTGACGTACTGACATGCAGGGATAGCCAGCGCGTACAGTAAGGCTGCCTGCATGGGGTAGTGCTGCGACATGGGCATGATATGACAGAACAGGACATTTATTGCATCAGTTAGACTGCAAATAGTCACCTGATTTGAGGTATTGGGAATTGGAGGGTATGACGCACATGGCTACGACCCTATCACGGAAACCAAACAGATGGCTGCTCGGGCTCGACAAACAGCGAGTAAACACATCCTTCGCTCCGAAGTTGACAACTCGTGCAGTCGGAAGACATCACATACAAACGATGGAATATCAAAACAAGGAGGTTGTCACGATATTCATCTACATTTAGAATGTTATTGTATCCCTAAGTCACTCCGAGACCAGGCCGCTCTATACATAGCACTTGAGTCTGTAAAGATCAGTATCTTAGTTCCAAAGATTCGGTTCGTCGGATCTCTCGGGTTCTCATCGCGACCACTCGTGTGCAGACTATTGTAGCCCGGCGCTATACGGTGGCATATCGCCCAGTTATAGCGGTATTATAGCCGGGGTAATGTGTAGCGAGCTGCGGCCCCGTAGTCTTGGCTACCGAGCCGAAATACGTTTCCTGGATCAGTACTGCCTAATTGAACTATTTGCAAATTTAGACGTGCTCTGCTTGGTGCGCGATAGCCTCTGCTTACGGTTTGAGGCCCCTTGGCCATAGGTATTAGCGACCATGTCGTACGAGTCAAATTGTACAAATTGGCTGACTGAAAAACCAGCAACTGTTATGCTCGGCGTTCTAAATTTTAGACCGAGTCAACTGCCGATCGATCCATTACTTAAGACAATCTCATGCCTGTCAATTTGCGGAGCACCCTGCAACCGGAAAACTGTACCATGCTGCCATGGCAGCATGGTAGTGAAAATGCGGAGAAGCTTTGTGGGGTACATTAGCAACTGCTCATCACATACTGAGCCTTGCATATATGATATCCACATTGGCCGAGCCAGCCATGACGGAAATTCCGGTATGAAGGCTTCTACTGGCAGATGCCGAGATAGATGCCGTATCAGAATGCTTAGCAGGGTATTACACCGAAGTCACCTCCACTTGCCGTTCCGCTCTTGGCAAGAGAAACACATGGAGCAGAAAACGATAAAATGGGACTATGCACATGCTTCTGATTGAGACATCCCTACAGTGGTTTGCCGACTCAAAGATGTGGTCGTCAGACTGGAAAGTAAGCATCTACCTGTTGAGTGCTACACTGGCTTCTTCGGCAGCCGTGCCCACATATTGGATGAGGTATGCCCAATGTCATTGCCAATTTAGAGAAAGCACTGACAGCAACATAGGCTGTTTGAAGGAGATGTCTTTTTGCCTCGAGGACTCAGCGTAGGGACGGATCTCTCTATGAACACTGGCAATGTCACTGCTTTTACCCTGAGTGATGACCAGCCACTGGCTACTATAGACTATGGAACTGAGCGCGCTGGATACCCATTCTTCTCCATAACAAATGTAGTACAGCCAGTCCAAATCGAAGTCAAGTACAGTGAAGCGTTCATTGGTCTTTCTCATCCCTGGGCTGATGGGCCATACACATTTGCGACAGGATTGTCGAATTCGTTCCGCGTCGAAACTTTCAACATCACCTCTTCCGGTCGAGTCGTTGCGCCTCTGATACAAGGCGGTCAGCGTTGGCAGTCGATTCAATTGTTGTCGGAGGGTGCTACCATCACATTCGGAGAAGTTGGTTTCGATGCTACGGTTGACACCACCGAAGCGACGGAGTATCCTGGTCAGTTCGAGTGCGATGACGTACAACTCAATGCCATTTGGAAGCTGGGAGGAGCGGCAGCATCGACTGCTTGCGTAGAAGAAGGCACTCAGAGGACGACCTGGGAAATCGATGGTACCAGTGGTGCTTATATTCGGTCACAGCGAGCATCCCAAGCTATCTCCGGCGCCTCCTTTGAGAACTACACCTTGACCTTCGACACTATGATCGAACGTGGAGGTGTATGGTGGGCTGTGGTACGACTTAAGTTTCACCTAACGTAATTCTATAACATATTGGCTGATTGTGGTTTAGGCTTTTCCAATGGGCCGCGGTGAAGGCATCCACTTGCAACTAGTCAGCGAACTTCCGGAAGACGCGACGTTCCTCAATGTTAACAATAGTCTAACACCGGCTAACTCGATCTTACTATCATGGGGCTACGACTTTGTCAACCAAACGACGTTGACGTCGTACTACCTAAACACATTCACACTTCGGTCGGCTGTCGCTCAGGGTGTATGGCATTCTATCAAGACGGTTCTCTCCCCGGATGGCCGACTTTCCGTCACTCTAAATGATGAGGAGGTCATTGACGTTTCATTATCAGAGTATTATACTCCTTCCGCCATCTCGTTTACTGGTAGCTTCGGTTTTGGAGCATGGCAAGACCAGGGAGCGTACATTCGCAACGTGGAAGTAACAGATTCTGCCAATGGCACCACGCTCTACACAAATCCGATGACTTCTGCAGATGTTCTGATAGAGCATGGAACTCAGGGCAACTTGGGATCCGTATGCCTTGATGGACCTAAAAGGGATCGACTTGTGTGGCTCGGCGATTTCTACCATACTGCCAGGATCATTGGTGCAAGCACGTCTCGTCACGACTTGATCAAAGGTACACTGGATTTCTTCCTGGAGACGCAGATTGCTGATGGAGAGGTTAATATCTGCCCAGCAATGGGTTATGATCCCTCGATCACTTTGCCATTCACGATTAAAGGCCGCTCCTATGGCCTTTCTGACTACCAGATGTTAGGGCTTGGCTCGCTGTACAGCTACGTCCGCCAGACAAACGATTTGGTTTGGCTAGAAGAAAACTGGCCCAGGTGGCAATCGCAGGCACAATGGATCATCGAACAAGTAAACAGCACTGACGGCTTGATCTATGTTCCGAGCGCATTCCTCGGTGCTGCCAGCGCTGGTTCTGCTGTGTCATGCCTCGCTGTACAGAGCTTACGTGAATTTTCAGAGCTAGCTGAGGCGATTGGTGATACAGAAACGCAGTCCAGGTGTACTACTGCGGCCGACGGTCTTTCGGAAGCTATCAGTAATCAGCTATGGAATGAGGACCTTGGGGTCTTCTCGTTGTCAGCAAGTGCGAAAACAGACTTCTCAGTGGCTGGTATCGCCTTCTGCATCACATCGGGGGTATCAAACTCAAGCCAGACGATGAGAACGCTAGCTGCTCTTGATGAACTTGCTCTGTCGCCCGGCTACAAAGACTCGACGACGGCCAACTCGTCAGATCCAACTGTTCTCATATCTCCCAACACAAATGGATTTCTCCTAGATGCGCTGTTCAAGGCGGAGGCCTGGGAAACCGGTGTCTCGCTGGTCAGATCTCTATGGGGAGCTATGATCAGCAACCCCGGGACCGCCTCTGGTGCGAGCTGGGAATACGTTGACCAAAACGGAGATCCGGGACTCGGTTTATTTACCAGTCTTGCCCACCCATGGGGAGGTGCTGCAACCTACGTACTCACAGAATGGGCCGCTGGCATCCAGCCGGCTGCCGGTATTGCCGGTTTCGGCTATGCGCACTGGATAGTTTCGCCAGATGCAGGTCTGGCTATCGGACTGAAACAAGCAAAGGCCACCGTGAAAACTCCCTCCGGCTTGCTTTCTGTTGAGTGGGAAATGACCTCATCGGATGAGCTGCAGGTCAAGATCGATGCACCGCCAGCGACCTATGGGATTTTCAAACTAGGCAACGAGACGAAGTCTCTGTGCGGTGACACGCAGTACGAAATGACGATAATTATAGGATAGCGTGGCCGTGGAGAATGACTTCTTCTTGTCGACAATACATATCAATAGCAGAATTCGTAAACACCCGTTACCATCACATGCAAATAGTTGTGCGAAGGCTATCAAGGAACACACTCTAGTCGAGCACGTATGCCAGACTCGCTATTGGTACTCACTTATGAACACACGGGGTCCTCTGTGTGGTATAATTTGAATTATAAGAAGCGAAATCTAACACGGCTGTGATTCAGTCAAAATGACAAGGTGAGTGGTAGCATGCCGAATAGATGTTCTGATCTCGAAAAAGCGCCAAGGAGACCAACGAATCGCTCAAAGCCAAGTCTCCGGCAAGATCCGGTGGCGCATCTTCACAAGTCGGATGTCGGTCGCACAGGGACGAGCGTAGTCATGAACCTGATTAGGAAGGTCAAAACGGTGCCAAGAGTTTGCGGGCATTCCAACCTGCGCAGATCTGTACACCCATCTGCACTTGCGCGTCTGCAGCTCTTCAGCTCCCTTGACAGGGCTGTGGCTACTCCCAAATGCTCCAGTCGCTTCATTGGCACTTTGGTCATGATGAGCTGCAGCTGCAGCAGATACCCAGTAGGTAGGCCCTGACGCTTGAGCCTGCCCGCTGAACATGCTATACAGGCGTGGCTGTCAAACTGGTGCCAGGAAACCAGAAGAGGTGAATGACAGCGTGCGCGGTGTAATATATACGACGATCTCCGGTTATCGCCAAGGGGTGGAAGGGGTCAGCTTATCCGTTGGAATGCTGTACGATTTCGCCTCATATGTGTCCACTGCGATCAGCTGGGTCAAACGGTGGAGCAGATAAAAAGCGCGGCATACGCGTTTGCTCCATCAGCCAAGCCGGCGGGCATCGATTAAGCTCTGTCCAAATGGAGTTCGCTATCAAAGCCGGTTTCAATGAAGTGTTGCTTGACAGTACAAGGCATGATGGGGTTCATTAGGATTTTGAACCTCTCAATATGTGTCAATTATTTGTTAGACTGGTGGGCTCTTTGAGTTTTCATGCTGCATTGATGTTCATACCGCCAAGAGACAAGTGCCTGAGGTTACAGCTGCATATCGCCAAGTGCTTTTTCCAGATGTCCTGTCAATCTTATACCATGTAACTAGCCGTTTTGACTCGCATACGACAACATGGTTCCGCAAGGGAACGAGGGGAACAGCGCACGCGACACCACATGAATCGGTGATGCCGCCGGACCGAAAGCACAAGAGGTGTTGCTATCGGGTTCGCCCCACTGGTATCTTTTGCTTGGATCTTTAGATCTTGGCTTTGTGGTCTTTGCAACCTTGAATATTCTTGGTCATGATTCGATAGAGGGTGTCGGCTTGAAGGGGTAGTGATTGACCAATAGCCAGTGGAACGCCTATCATTTCAAGTTGAGTGTCCCGAGGATCTGGTGGCACAGCGAGGCCATATCTGCCAGGCAGCCCAGGCAGCCAGGGTATTTCTAGACGTCTTCTAGTGTAACCGGCTGCATGTTGGGCAGGTTAGCAGGCTAGCGTAAATCGTGGTTATAAGTGCGGGAAGTTCGTGTGCCTCTCCAGCCAACGAATCACGACTCGTAATTGCGTTGCCACGCCCGCAAGTAAATTCCTTTTTCTTCTTTTTTTTTTTTCTTCCACGAAATGGACCTGGTTGGAAAGTGGAGGACACGTCGCCAGTGTGTGTAGTGTCAGAACATTCCCTGGGCCCTATGTTGCGAAGAATTATTGAATTCGAAGCCGTTAAGCATGTCGCATACACTACCGTTTTGGAGTTGTTCACATGTTGCAAATGATCATATCCTGACTGGATAACCGAGCGGAATCCGTCGATTCTAGAGTTTTGGTAACGATAGAGGCTTGACCAGGATTTGCATTATTTTGATGGGTTTGCCGCCGGTTTTCGCCGGCTGTGGACCATTGATTAGAGCCCGAAGCCCCTAATTATCCACTATAGTCGGCATTTACTGGGGGCTCTTCTCTACCTTAATCAGACGAACTGCTCTCCGCACAGCGCTAAAGCGATATCTTCTTTAGATTCGACAGGCTAAGGCGTGCGTCCTCCTGGGGGGCAGTGGTTCCCCATCCAGTGGCCTGGAGAACATGTTCCAGATCTACGACTTGCTTTGCTCTTCGCTTGGTGGAAACGAAACACCGTTTGGATGAAGATTTGAGAGTGTTAGCAGCAGAATAAATACCATGAACAAGTGGATACAAGTACAAGTATCGGTACATGATTGGCACCTCTAGTGTCGGCTAGCCTCAATTACCCCTTGGCCTTCACAAGTAAGCATAACTGAATATTGCAGCATGCCAGCATGCGTTTACAGAAATCCTGTGACCTCGAAGTTAAATCGAAACCTTGCTCCCTTATCATGACAGTCGACCAGCCCTTAGCTTCTGCTTGAAGATCCAATAGTATCTCATTTCCGATCCTCCCCAGAGGACGTGTATCGCTTACATGTTTCTATCTCGAATGTGTTCCAATGAAATGCCTGGGTCGTTACCGAACCCTAGTTGAGCTACCCTTGCCCGCATCAGTCGGACATACTCCCCGCTTCGGACGGCCAAGCCGCCATAGATAGGCGTCCTTCCAGAGTGGGAAAATCTCCACGCTCTAGGGTCTACCAGCATCGTCTAGACCACGCGATCACCGCCGGTCCAACACCCAGCGGAAGTCGCATACGTTTTCGGGGACGCTGTCTGCAATATCTATTAATTGGTGCTTGTCCTGCCCATCTTACCATTCCTCCGGGTCAGGCTTCCTCTGCTTTCACTTTCGTCCCCTAAGTGAGCATTAGTTCCCGCCCGGCCACTGGGTCAATCGGTGAGGTCTCTTTTTCCAGTCAGTCTACCTGCAGCAAGAAAAAGGACTAGGACAACTTGCCGGCCGATTTTACAATGGTTTCCAGCAGATCGAGTAAGGAAAACCTGGGGCTTAAGGGTCACAATGCCTCACCTCAGGTGGGAGTCGCCCCAAATCCCGACCCTGCTCTCGACTATGCGCATGAGCACGAGCACGCCCATACCCACCACCACGGCCCTGCTGCACACCAAAAGGAAAAGGACCACGATGCTTTTTACAGCACAGGTACAACTGAGAAGGGCCGAGACCTGTTGGATACTCCTCCCCAGGATTACAATTCTCATGAGCTCAAGGACACTACCCTGAACAACGAGAAGTCCGTCGACGAGGAAAGCGGCAATATTGGAGGCATTCAAGATGCGGAGGAGGTGAAGCACTCACGCATGGCGTACCGCTGGTATCGTAAGGCTCGGCCCTTCATTCCCATCGTTGTGTGGCTTGTTTTCACCGCGTAAGTTCCTATTCTCCCCCAGAGCATGCTATTTCTTTTCGTTGGCATGGTCGTCGTCCAAGAGCCCTTGTCTAACAAATGCGCACAGTTGGTGGATTTATGGATTGGTCACTGTTGTTGTTTGGAAGAGATCGGATGGCTTTTCGTGGCTCAAGCCTTTCTTGTTCTACCTCGCCGTCACGATCCGCGTTCTTACTCTATGGGTCCCCATGGCTTTCTTCTGGAAGCCTGTCCGTTGGGTATGGGATCACACCGTGTTCAAGGGATACGAGATGACGCCGAAGAAGCTCCACCGACCCATCGCTGCTGTTGTCACTATTGCGGTCTTCCTGATCGGTAGCATGGTTCCCGAGGAGACTGGCGAAAACACCCGTGCAAGCCGCGCCATTTCCATGTTTGGCCTGGTCGTCATGTTGGCAGGACTTTATGCTACTTCCCGCAACCGATCCGCCATCCCTTGGCACACCGTCATCGGTGGAATGTTATCGCAGTTCATCATCGCTGTCTTCGTTCTCCGTACTCAAGTCGGTTACGATATCTTTGCGTTCATCTCCGAGATGGCGCGTACGCTGCTTGGTTTCGCAGCACAAGGTGTTACCTTTTTGACTGATGATACTGTGCCGAAACTGCCTTGGTTCTTTACTGGTGTCATCCCACCCATCATCTTTTTCGTTGCCCTAGTGTCGCTTCTGTACCACTCGGGCATCCTGCAGTGGTTCATCGTCAGATTTGCCCACTTTTTCTACTGGACTCTCCGCGTCTCTGGCGCCGAGGCTGTCGTCGCCGCTGCTACTCCCTTTATTGGACAGGGTGAATCCGCCATGTTGATTCGGCCGTTTATTCCTCATTTGACTCAAGCCGAACTCCACCAGGTCATGTGCTGCGGTTTCGCCACCATCGCTGGATCTGTCTTGATTTCTTATATTCAGATGGGTCTTAACCCTCAAGTCCTGGTTTCATCCTGTATCATGTCCATCCCTGCTTCTCTCGCTATCTCCAAGATGAGATTCCCTGAGGAGGAGGAAACTTTAACTTCCGGTCGTGTCGTTGTGCCTGATGACGATGAGCACAAGGCTGCCAATGCTCTCCACGCATTCGCGAACGGCGCCTGGCTTGGTCTCAAGATCGCTGGCATGATCGTTTCTACACTGTTATGTATCATCGCGTTTGTCGGTCTCATCAACGGTTTCCTCGGCTGGTGGGGAACGTACTGGAACATCATCGAGACACCCCTGTCGCTGCAGCTGATCTTGGGTTACTTGCTGTACCCCGTAGCCTGGTTGCTTGGTGTCCCCAACCAGGATCTCCGAACTGTGGGAGAAATTATCGGTATCAAGATCATTACCAACGAATTCGTCGCTTTCGACACACTCTCCGACCCGGAAACAGTCCTCACCACTCGTGGCCGTATCATTGCCACCTATGCCTGCTGTGTAAGTCGTTCCTCCGATATTTTTATGGTAAACAAGACACTAACATTACGCCCCAGGGTTTCGGAAACATTGGTTCTCTTGGTAATCAAATCGGTGTGCTATCCCAGATCGCACCCGGCAGGGCTGGTGACGTCTCCCGCGTCGCCGTGAGTGCTTTGGTCGCGGGTGTCATAGCAACTCTGTCTTCGGCATCTATCGCTGGAATGCTGTATACTGACGCTATCGCTCAGAACGTTTAAGGGAGAGGGACAGCGCGGAGTCATGTTGTTACGATGAACGGAGTTGTTTTTAGTATACCCCAATTGCCGTATATAGGCTTTATTAATTAGATGCAAAGGCCATCGCTCTTCGTTACGAGATTCACCACCGTAATCTACGTCCTGTTAGACTTCAACACGATGACATCAGTCAACTGTGATATCCGCAACGATGGGCTATCCGATCTGGTTGCCCGGGCCTTGATTCACAATCTTTTTACTTCTGTGAAAGTCCTTGCCTGCGACTTACACTGGCTGGATCAAAGTAAGGCTTCTCGCCAATGCTCACGGCCCTGGAGCCACTTCGCTCACCCAGGCCTTCTTCCCCAATGTAGTCGGGCGTCGCAGCATGGTAGACACTCCTATTGTCCCATATGGCAAGGTCATTCACACTCTGCCAACGGTTGCGGACCTGAAGATCGTGGTTTTCGGTGATTAACTGCACAAACCAGTCAAGGAAGTGGCGCGACTCCTCCTCGGTCAGCCCGTTAATCTTCTGGACATGGCTGCCCACAGCAAAAACGCTTTTCCAGCCCGTGACAGGGTTGGTGCGGATGACTGGGTGGTTCGCTTCGAGCTCTTCTCCTATGTTTTCAGGGGACCCTCGAGGGCCAGAGTACAGCTTGAAGCCGTTCCTCTCGGCGCTTTCGTTAAAGCCCGGCTGGGCATAATAAGCCGTGAGGGAGTCGAGGAAGCCCTGAAGGGGCTTGGAGATACGGTCGTAGACTTCGTAGCCCGACGCCCAGAGTGTATCTTTGAACGAATGTCAGCATAGGTATGATGTAGTGTCAGCTATGGACGCCCTTACCTCCTCCCGTCTTCGGGAGTTGAGTGAGACGTAGTAATGCGTAATCGCTTGGGACTGGCTCAAACGTGATGTCTGAGTGCCACTGCTTCCGCTGGCTCTGCGTCTTCTGGAGGATTGTGCTGTATATCTGCTTGGCCTGCGCCGAGGAGATGACACTGATTTCATCGTCATTGCCTCCGTGGTCTCGCCCCGAGTTTGCAACGGGGTGGATATGGAGGCCTGACGACTCGGGTTTGCCAGTGAGCTGCCCAAGTCTTTGTACTAGCTCCTTCTGCAGCTCGTTGGTGATGTTATCCTGCTTGCGAAAGAAAACCACGCCTCTACGCGAAACTGCAAACGGTCAAAATCTTGTGACGAGAGTGATGCACCTACGGAGAACTTACTGGTGATCGCAAGTTCACGAATCAACTCATCCGAGTTCGGTGCACGTAGCCATTCTGCAAGGTCGACACCAACGAACTCTCGTCCAATGACTGGAGTGACATCGAACTGCTCGTATTGATCGAGGACACCCCTCAGCTGCAGAGGGTCCCTATGGTTTGTCTCCAGTCTAGGCTCTCCATGCAGTTCCGTGGCACCCACTGCAGCAGACGTCTTGGCAGGCTTCTCGACCGCCGGAGTAACCTTTCCCTTGACGCTATCCACCACTTGCGTAGCGGTCTCAGTTGCCGAAAGGGCCATGGTGTACGATTGCAAATAGTTTGTTAATCAGAGATGATAACTTTGGACATGACGGACTCCGAAAGAGTGTCAATCAGCTTGTAATTATATTGAAAGGCCTTTCTCCTATTCTACTCTCATCATGGAATTGCACAAATGGGTTGTCCAATGAGGTGCAATGTAATTGCGCAATCACACCCCAGATATCGCCATCGTGGGGTATGTATCCCGTTTGGGTGGGAGCCACACGAGAGGCAGTATACTATAGGATGGTATTGTTATCACACCCCGAGGATATTTGTAACTCGTCAGCTTTTCGCCGAAGGCCGACTACCGCGAACGGTTCCGGTTGTGTGGGATCCAATTGACTGGTCCTGATAGTTAGCACGCATGATGGTGTGATACTCGATAGAAGTGACGTGATACATCAAGTGATAGGGCAGCCTCGCTGAATTTGGCTCTGGCCAAGTCGGGGTGGAGATCGAGCATGTAAAAGGCAAACCGATCCCAAACGAGCGCAGCTATTTTGACCTTGTGCCCAGGATGACATATCCGGGCAAGCCTAGAGTGATGGTGAGCTACAATGTGAACAACCCTGTGCCGTTACTGACTGCAGAAGCTCGACCTGTACACAGTCAGTGTCTCTCTCCAGTGAAAACATGACAAAAAGTTTGTTGACGTATTTCTGTCTTTGTCCAGTTTCACCATTTATTATCAGTGTGATCAAAATGAAACCCGACGAGATGTACTCAACTTTGCCCACGAACGACTGGATTGTGACATATTTAACAGGACACGTTGCATATTAGAAATTTAGGGTCGCGGCGTCATTGCTTATAAGTACCGTAAAGCTAACTGGAACATATCCAACGCATGCAGGGAACATATATGCCGTGGTCCAGACGAACGAGTCAGACAATTAATGCTGCCACGTTGCTGTGTATAAATACGTAATAAGGGCTGGCGTCCAGCGGGATTTTGATAGCGACTTGTACGAACCAGAGTTCCCTCGACAGCTGACATACAAGAACATAACCAGTTATTTCGATCCTACAAGGCGCTGATTCCTAATGATGAGCCGTATGGACCAGCGCAATCTGACGAGCCGGGGCTGTCTTGACTGTTGAGCTCGACGCCACGGAGCAAGCTCTTCATTCACCTCTTTGAATTTATATTGGTAGGCAACTCAAGGGTTCTTACAGCCTTCTTCTCGTAGCCTGTCCTGCCAATCTCAAGGTCCACATACCTGAGAGTTCGACCTCAACCTCGTTGTCAACGACGAGGTTTGGTGGTACAGCCCCGGAAGATTGCTCGAGTCAGTTCCTCACTTCTTGGCGTCACCCTTGGCATAGCGTTCTACGTATTGCTTCGCATTCTTGTCGAAGCTGGTGCGGTCATTCCTATACTCTTCGGCGATTCTCTGTTCCAGGGGGTCGTCTGGGTTGGGTTCGACGAGCAGATTGCGGATTGCTTCAAGGACGCCCTTTATGCGGCTGGCGGGTTTCCAGTTCTCGCTCTTCAAGATGGACAGGCATATGTTGCCCTGGCTGTCGTTGGTGACATTGGGATGGTAGATGCGTGTATCGAATGTGACAACGGGTGCCTTGAATGGGTAGTCGGTGGGCAGCTTGAGGGTGAGAACAAAGGAGCCTCCTTGGTAGACAGAGCCTTCAGGGCCGGCGAGGGTGACAGTCCACTTGTGAATGTCGGACTCATTATATGCGATAGAGGTATCAGGCGGTGGAGCCTTTTGGCATTCGTCCAACTCCTGTAGGAAAATGGAGGTTAGCTGTGAGACTTCACACGCACATGCATGAGGCCGTGCCAAAGCAGACAAGCGGGGAATGAGGTACGGTACCTTGACAATGCGCTTGGATGCCATGTTGAAAGTCTTACTTGTCAGATGCCCTACTATGCTATGTCGTGGCGTTGTATGTGTGTAGTTGTGCCTCGGTGAAGACTGCTCGATTGGAGATCCCAATAAAGCGTTAGGAGTGGTTTGGCTCACACAAGTCGAGTCGACCAACGCAGGTGGACACAATAGTTTGTCAACCAAGATCACAGCGTTCAAAAAGCAGTTGATCAATTCTCTGGTTTGCGGCTATGTTCCACTCCCATTCGTCCTAGACTAAAGTATGTTGGTTCTTTGTCAAATGTTGCGCACCGGTTCTGGGGTGAATGAGACAAGTCGCAACAGTCGTGTCAGATTCAGGCAGCTAATTGATAAATAAGAACATAAATCTGAAGTGTTCTTTCTTCTAGACTGGTTTACGTTAATAGCCAGCCACGTCACCGTAGATGATCAGTCTCGCATCACAGCTGCAGCAGCTGAAATCAAACCAGATCAAATCAGGCACAGCCGCGGGGTACTGTAATTCGCGCCTGCTAGTCTAGACTAGACTAAAGTCTGAAGGTGAGCTACCCCGCCAAATACCTCACCTCACATAAATCAGGGTACAGAGAAGAGAAGAGCATTGCAGCGCTGCATAGGGAGTAATTGGGTCATAGTAGTTCATGTCTTGATCATATACAAAGTGAGGCCGTGGGATTTTGCCATCAAAGAAACATCTATTATCACATGCCACAGACATAGTTGAGAAAGCGGTGGGCTTGTATCGACATATAAGTTTTCAACCATACCTGTTGCAAACGGGTGCTTGTACCTTGTCAGACGAATGATCCAAGAACAAAGCTGCCATTGAGACAGCGGGAACCCAAAGAAGACCGACAGCATCAAGGGGCTGCTTTGGTTGCTAAAAGCGCCATGATTTTGCGCCTGTGCTGCTCAGATCGATTTCTGTTGCAATTGCCAGCGCAAGAGCCTCGGCTTGGCTGCCACTCAGCCCGAGGAACAAACAGAAGCCCATTGCATCCCATACCATTTCCTAAACTCCCAAAGTGCGAATCATAAGAGACGTCAACAGTGTGCAGATGATGAGCTATCCAAGGTAGCGCCCAAGGACGTCCATCCAGTTGTACATCTTTGCCCGGGATCAGACCTGGTATGTGACTGGCCATCCAGGTACGATCATACCAAATTTGCCTCGCGAGCAAGTAATCATGGAAATTACAACAACGTTAGACGCAGAGGTCCCCAAGGAAAATAGCTCTAGTATCCATTTGTCTCCTTCTGATCTACCCTATATCATCTCCCGCCAAATGCTGCCTCGTTCTCTCTAAATGTCCGCCGAGGCCCTTTCCCCTGGTGTATCATATGCTACAATGCCGCCAAAAATGCAGAATCTAGACAACCCAGTCCCTCATTCGCCAGCAGATGCAAGTACCTATCTCCTCGGATTATAATATTCCCCAGGAGTTGTGCCGTTTTCAGACAAACTCCCCAACTTTTCCATTACCAATACATAAATGCAAGTGGCCGTCAAGTCGTTAATCGTGATTGGTTCTGGATCAAAGTGCCAGAAGGCATGTGCCCACAACTTCGCTTCATTGTTGCGGTTGCCAGGGCGGTGACGAAATATAACAAAAGAAAATAGTGTTTATAGTGGTGTGATTAGCAGACTCCGGCTGCAGTCACCTGTCTTGGCACTCGGGTGCTTATGGGTGTAGTCGCGTGATTGTCGCGAGGGCTAAGTGAGTCGAGTGTGCCACGATACGCGCCCTGCTCTGGTGAACTATCAGACCTTCCATCACGTCGACGGGTCTCTATTTCCTACCAAAAAACGTGTTCTTTCGCTTGAAGCTGTCAGGATCTTCGGCCAGTCCAGCAGCCATACGTTCCTTCTCCAGCTTCACATTTCTCCTGCGCTCCATTCGTCTCTCTTCGATGGTATCTTGGCTGATGTGACCAAATCCGTTTCGCCGCCTGAAGCAGGCCTCCATCATGGCATTGGCGTCAAGTAATTTTCTCGGGATGGTTTGCACCACCTGGAAGATCTCCATAGGGTCGCCAACGCTCTTGATCTCATTCTCCCCCAGTTTGAAGATGGTCAACGCCATGCGGAACAAGGTTTTTGAGCCCTCGTAGAAGAAAACATCCCACACACGGAGGGTCGTCTCAATGGGAAGCGTGCCAATGAAGCAGCTCATGAACCAGGCCGTCATGCACAACGTCACGGGTGGAAGGCGGGTGGGGATGGTGCCTTTCCTATATCTTCGAGACTTGGGCTTCACCGCGTCTGTTCCGTCGAGCTCCCCTCCGATCTTGGCCCAGACAGCTGGCATGGTTTCCTGGACCGATGTCATTAGCACCCCGAGATCCACGTTTGCGCCTTCCAGACTCGTCTCATGGGTGCCCGGCAGGTAAACCCGGGTGATGATGTTGAGTAGCCAGAAAGACTGTTCCTCGGTTTCGGAGAAGAGAAGGAGAAGTCCAGCGAGGAAATTGAGTGATTGGCAATACCCAATCCTGGGATTGTATATGGAAAATGCGTGCAGAACTCGGCGAAGCGATGATATCATGAGGGTCTCGCCTGGTTGCGCAGGAGGTCCTTTGGCAGTAGACTGGCTGCCCCTTGTCTCTTGGCTCTCCGTGTTCGGGGTTGGCGAGGTATTGGCAGCTCGAAACTTGACATTATCTGGAAAAGTGCGGTGGAGGTCTCGTTCAATCGCTTCTCTGTCGATATCCTTAGCTGTCTGACCCAGAAGCTCATCGTAAACTCCACCATGCTTGGCCAGAATGGCGGGACCTCCTGCATAGTAGAACCACGCAGCACCTCGCCATTCTGGAGGAATGCCCTTGCGCACAAATCTCTTTGTCTTGGCGGATATCGGAGGAAATCGAATAGGGTTATCAGTGATCAAGCCGCTCTCTTTCATCAAGACTTGCCATTTCCTTCTCCTCCGCTCCAGGTAGCCCGAATAACCCGCATTCCAGCTATCATACTGCTCTTGCGTGACGTACTGGTTGCCCTTGCGAAACCCGTATCTGTCTCTGGTGATGTCCGTGTTCTCAAAGCTCACACGTTCTGCAGGCTGTGGCTGTAGTTGTGACTGTTGCGACCGCATCCCAAACTCGTCATGGTTCGTGGGCTTCTCCGAGTCTTCGTTCTCTACTATGGCCTCGGCTAGAGCGGCCGTCTCGACGCTCGAAAACAGGGCAGTAGATTCGCGGATTGCGGCCATCTCAGCCTTGCTGACTACCGGAGCCTGTACATCGATATCAGGCACAACATCGGCCGAGTCCTCTTCGAGCTCTCGCTCGCCACCTGAAAATGCTCGCTGTACAAGTATTGAATCTGAGAAGGCCTCCAACAAAGCTGTCTTCCTCCTGCTGAGCTCAGACTTGCCCGTCGGCGGTCTCGACTCGTCATCTTCTTCAATATGGCCATCTGCGGGAGAGTCGTCGCGGAAGCCCTTTTCGTACATTCCCATGACGTCGTCTACGCTGAAACCATCGTCGACTGGTATATAGATGGAGGTAACGGAGCTACTCTTGGTCAAAACACTGCTCCGTTCCGTATGCAAGGTACCGGGCGCCGTAGATGCCGACAACTGTGACCTGTAACTAGATCTGAGCTCATCTGAGGGCATGGAAGCCATGCGCGGCAAAGGCTCTCGAGGAAATGAATGTCCACTGCTATCGGTACGACTGTACATCATGGGCTGGCGCGAAAACGGGGGGTGTGCATTTCTGCTTCTACCACGAACACTGTCGCGGTAGTTGAGATCTGGCGAAGGACGAACGGGCAATGAGGCAAAAGACGAAGTGGATTTGTTTGAAGCAATCGATTGTCCTCGCTCACGGGCCAATAGGTACTGGTTTGGGTGGTTCAAATACTCATGCTGCAATGAGTCTGACTGCAGTGGCGGAGAGTATCCGGGACGATAGCGGTACGAGTCCGGGGACGAATGCTTGATACTAGGTCGTCGAGGGCGCGAAAAGTTGTCCACTCCCATCGAGTCACCCGCGACAGAGCCAGGCTCGGGAGAATACATGTTGTTGCCTCTTTTCTTGATCGGGCTCGGGGATGAATATGCAAGTTTGTGGTTTAGTCCTGCAGCCAATGAATCCACTCTCTTCGGGTGCTGCTGCTGCTGCTGTCCTCTGACGGGTGTCGGCGTCGAAGGTCTGGAGAAGTGGGTAACTAGAGGAATAGAGGTACAGGTACCGTGCTTGGACGAATTTGCATGCTGATGCTGGTGCTGATAGTGCTCCTGTCTGAGGTGATCGTCTATGATGGTAGAACTATAAGCTAGTGAATCCCATCGTGGAGAAATGGGTGTGGTCGGTGATCTGGGCGGTGAAGGCGTCCGCGAATCAGAACCGTATCTCAGCTGTGGAATTGAGCTGGTGGTGCAGTCCGTAGCTGTCGAAAAACGAGAGGATTGAAGCGGAAAAGCCGGGTTGTTTGTGCTGGTAGCGACCGAAGTTGAAGTTGCGTAACAAGGCCAGTCGTCGGAATCAGCAAAGTCGCTTTGTGCTCCAATTGAAGAAAAAGAGAAAGAAGAATTACGTGCAAAGGTTCGCTGGTGGTGTTGACGGCGTCGACGATGGTAATGATGAGAAGAAGCTGAAGCTGAAGGATTGGAAGCGGATCCAGCAACCGGGCTGGGAACTGGAACCGAGACTGGGACAGGGACAGGTGTGGGTTTTGTCGTCGTGATTGTTGACGATGATGATAATAACTCGAACCTGGGATCAAGATGAGGATGATGAGAATTGGCTCCGACCTTGCCCTGGCTCCCACCATGAGCCTTGGCCTTGGAAGCGTAAAGTCCAAACTCCCTAAATTCCCTAAAGTTGATGCTCCGCTCGCGTGGTGTGAGAACAGACGTAAAACTCTCGACAGCCCCCGGCAAAGTCGCAGCTTGCAAATTGCGACAGGGGTGTCCTAGACGCTGGGAGCCCTGTAGGCCCTGCCCCTCCGCCGCTAACGGAGGCCCACGGCGCCCTATCATTTCAAACTGCCTAGTAACGGCCACAGGGTTCTGGTTCTTCTCGTCAAATAAAGCAGCCATTGTTTTGTTCTTGGGGCGCCTGAACTTGGGACTTCGGCTGACTGCCAGGTAATCGAGAACCCACTGTAATGATCTCCGTCAAATCCTCTCGTCCCTGCGGTGCGACCGCCTACAACAGAGGCGAGCTGGACGGTTCCAGATCGGCTGATCCGAAGAGAAAGCCTGCTGCTCCGGCTCGACTCGTCGTCAACTGGACAAAGTACCAAAGCTGATGACAAACAATCAAATCAATGGAATGGAAATTGGCAAAAAAAGTCTCAGGCGACAGTTAGCAAGCAGCAAGCAGCACAGGAAAAAAAAGACTTTCGTGCTGCAGTAGTGCACAAATTCGTTATAGTCACTCCTGCAAGTTGTGCGCTTGCCCACCGTAAATCAGGTACAGACTGTACAGTACCTGCAGGTGACTGATTAAATCTATAACCAATCGTAATGGACCTGCAGTAATCTTATTTTCTGCCCTCCCAGCTCCCATGTAAACTCTTCCGAGAGAGGGACTCACTACGTTGATTGTGTGGTGTTCCCCAATCTCTGGAGCCGAGCTCGATGCCTGTTTGTGTACTGTATGCCTGCACTTTGTTGCCTGTGCCTGTGCCTCTGTGCCCGTGCTCGTACACCTTGCTCGCTTGCAGCTTGAGCCGACGCTATTCTTGGCTTGTCGTTGACGAGTTTTAAAACAAAGATATCTGAGTGGATTGTCGTTGGCGTCGCACAATGCAGATATGATGCAGCCACTATAATGCGATGCAGCATGCAGCTTGAGCCGTCACTGACAATCGACCTCGTGGTTTGCGAATTCCCTGACAAAGAGGCCTGAACTCTGCAAGTATGGCTTGTTTGTGTTGTTGATTTGTCTGGCAGGCCCCCGCACCCTCCCCTCTCGCTCGTGAAAAGAAAAGGAGGATCACTTTTGGTCATGAGCCACACGGTAACCCCGTCCTTAGCCGTGATTAAGATGAATTGTCACAATTGCTGAACTGATCGAGTACCGCTTCACTGTCAATGTCACCCTGATTCGTGGCAGCGGACAAGCATTATAGTAACCTAGGCATGGTATTATTGTACTACCGTACTCCGTATTCTACCTTATTCCAACTCGATTACACCTCTTTTGCCTTGGCTAAGAACTGAAATTGCTGTCAGGCAAACTATATAGACCAAAACAGCCCAGACAAATGAGGTCTCACCTAAAAGCAGCCACTCAACGTTCAAGATATCTTGATGCTAAAAGCCTGCCGTCACGGATGTTACTCTTCGACACGCTAAGGTTGCGGTTACGCTTCCCCCTCCGCCAAAGGCAGGTTTTTATGCATGTCTCGAGTTTTGTGCTACTGGTCGACACGGAATGTGCGCCGCAAACTTTGGGATTGGGCGATTTGTCTCGGGCTTGGGCTTCACTGAAAAGATCGAGGAGTATGGTTCCACCGTGTATGTTGCATGTCCATCAGCAAAAGCAACTATGTTTCAAACTCTCAACGCTCTGCCTCCACATTACCTTTGGATGTTGGGTACCCCGGCGAGAGCGGCACAAAATGCACAACCGCACGGATAGTGTCCGGCTTCACGATTAGTTTGGGAATAAATGGATGTCTGATCGCAAAGCTGTTTATGCATTTCTCTGGTCTTGATAACAAATTTCTTTCGCAGAGTGCTACGTCGCATAATGTAGAGGTGAGATCGCCCGGACGAGTTTATTGTAATCAAGAGCCACAATGCGAAATACCTATACTGTACTTGACATGTGCAAATGTACACCTTTGAGAGCCTCACCAATTTTGCAATTTCATAATTGCGTAGCAGAGCCCTCCCGCTGGCCAAAGCTGCCGGAGTTGGCCTTGCGGGCGTTAAGAATCCTGCCGAGTTATGCTAATAAGTCAATTTGGCGTGCCTGAATAGCCAGCATCATTGTCGGAAGTGAGATCTGCTTTCGACTGTTGATTGGCTACAACTATACATAATCAAAACAAAAGCGGGAAAGCAAACAGAGATAGAAGAAGAGACTTTTCGATATGTTGCAATGATGGTGTCAAGGTTCTCGGTTCATTTCCGGCGGCCGGGGATCATGCTGTCTTGCTGCTATTGATCACCCTTTCGGTTCCACTGTATTTTGTCCGTGTCTGGTGCATATAGTTTTCTAAATGCAAAGGATACGCCGTCGCAGTTGGATTGTCATTTACATAGACTACTCCAGAAACTCCTCCATAATTCACGGTCGCCTAGCGTGTCTGGGTGGGAGTGCTAAAAGATTAAACAATTGACGTTGAGTTTATCATTGAACTACATATTACCACGCAGCTTCTCCGTATGCACTGATTTCTAGTGATCAGGATTGCGGCAGAGTCGATCAGCTTCAACGGCACGCGGCCGTCGTCGGCAGAGTATTTATTCATATATCGAATGTGCCCATCCAGCCTTCACCCAGCCTTCATACATAGTCTCCACCGGCCGCTCAAGAAGCACGGTTCATTAAGTCGACCACGACGACTTTGATGACTTCCCTACTAGGCACCTTCACCAGCTCTCCTACAGCAATAGATATGCCAAGACAAGCACGCCTCGGGCAGAGAGTATGATATGCATTGGTTCTCCAGAGCAACGAGATCTCTTTACAAGTCATGGCTAGTTTTTAGAATCACCTCATCTGGTGTCTCGCTTGATTAGCTGATTCCCAAGTTCACTTTGGAATTGTGACTGGACGCGCTGATAACGACCAATCATGATGTTGCACAGGCTGTCAGCACGCTGGCTCTTCAGATCACTTACAATGGTTGATCAAAGTAACACTCTCCGGAGGAATATCTCAATTTTGAATTCATGCAGCTATTTCTATTTCCATGTAAGTGACGTGAACGTTTTGTCTAGCCAAGGCTGTGTCCACTTACTGGTAGTTGGTTCCTTCTATACTCTGATCATGTTAGATCCGTATAGGACAATCTCCAGGATGTATGTAGTATGAGGCGCAAACACGACCGGTGAAGATAAGCAATCAGAACGCAGCAAGACTAGCTTTCCTGACACGATTTTAACATGCAATTTGGCGTTTACTACCACGCATCAACACGATTTGGAAACCATCACCGGTCATCATTCCATCGTTGAGTAATAGCCGTTTCCAGCTGAGGAGCCTGAGGTCGTAGTAAGAGCCATTAGCCCGACGCGCGAACAACACTCTTCTAGCTCAAGACATTGTGTGCAGTCGCAACGAAGAACAAAAGACCTAATATACATGTGCGGTTGCATCGGTTTCCGTTTGAAGATGTGAGAACCTCTACTTTTGCTTCTAGACTAGCAATAAGTATGCCATCACTCGATTTGCCCACATGTGCTGATTGCGTTCTTCGATTGGCGAACATGATAGAGCGGAGAAGAAATGGGGACGGAGAAAAAGGATGTCGCGCATGCCGTTTGCTTTGTCGGTCGGGGGTAACACTTGCCACTGGGATGACGGGAGGCGTGTGTTCAGGCTGCGGGGATTTGAGAACGGTTGCAATTAAAGGGTACATATTGCAGCGCTTCACACGTGCCTGGTCACATGTATTGGCCAATTCAGCAAAGGCCGTACGCAGAACAACAGGGCGGCTATAGAGACAAATCATTGCTTCTAGTCTAGACTAGACCTCTGCCATAGCACTCTCGTGTCAGGCTGCACTTCGTGCGTAGAAGGCACTCCCCTGCACAAGTCGGCCGTTTATAGTCTGCTAAGCAGTACTGCTCGGGTCAAGTCGCGATATCTGAGGATCGAGGACTCGGCAATTACTGTGTAGTAAAGAATACCGATATGGTTCGTTGCGACGCGTTGCCTTGCGATGCGATGCGAACATTGAACCTTGTCTAGGCGAACCCCTTTCGGGGCAGGGCTGGCCATAAGCTGCGGGAAGCAGGGATAAGCTCGAGGAAAGAAGAGTCTGAGCTCTAACATACTATTTCCTTTCAGGTTATGGCGACATCAAACCTACCAGCCATTGTCTTTTCCCAGATTCCCCTTCTTTTCAATCAAGCTCCCCCGGTTCAGCCAGGTGCAGTATGCGGTCCGAGTGTAGTATTACTTGCAGTGAGACTTCGATGGCTTCTTGCAATGGTCCACAATGACAGAATGACCCCTAGGGAGCTCTCGGCCCAGCCCACCATCCTCCATTGACCCCCAGCTTGCACCGCCAGACTGCACGGGCACCCGGCTCTTTGCACCGAATGAGTGAGAGGTCAGCACAATGGTATGGTCAGCTCCCAGCAAGCAGGCTCAGAGCTCCCCTCTTTGTCCCCTCTCAGATCCTCGATTGCTCTCCCATGTCCCAGCGTACGGTCATCTACCTCCCACTTCGTCCCCAGCTATCTCCCTACCTCCGTAGCCCTTGCCCAGGCGCGGTAGCCAACGCTTCCCTCATACCAGCCAAGTTCTTCCCCTTTCCCCTACATATCATTGTTCCTCCTTCCCATGTCACCGACCTGTAGTCTATAAATTCATCACGTACACCCGCTCGGGTTTCCTTCTAAACCTTCAAAACAAGTCAAATCGTCCCCCAACTTACACATTTCGCCATGTCTTCCCGTAAGAGAAAGCAAGAAGAGCCTGAAGAGCTCGTCGCTCTCCCCAGTGACGAGAGCGAAGAAGAAGAGGAGTAAGTCTCACACAGCCAGTCTTGGTTCGTACCATCGAGTGATGGTTCGGACCGCCGTTTCACAACCTGCTTGTTGCCACGAGCCGGTACGAGACGGCCTTACCATGCGAGCGCATTGACACGAGCTTCGTCGCATTAAGCATGTCTGTTCAATCGCAAAGCCATCGGGCGCATATAGTGTTCCTGGTGCTGCTGGCTTATGGTGGTTGCGTGGTTGGAACAGTGCCGGCTAATAAGACTCTAGATATATCTCAGAAGGCGATGACGACGAAATTGATGATGATGAAGAGGATGAAGAGGAATACAACGAAGAGGCTGAGCCTGAAGCCGACGGCGAAAACGGTGTCGAACGTACGTCATTGTCCAGGGCTCTTTACGTTCCATCTTCTACCACGTGCCTCGTGCTTTTAGGCCTGAACATAAGCTAACCTGTCTCTTAAAGCAGAGAAAGCACCTCCTTCAAAGAAGCGCAAGACCGCTCCTGCCTCAAAAGAAACCGCCCCCGCGGTCGATGACGAAGAAGAGGTGGACCCCGAAGAGGAGTTCGAGGAAAATGGTGATGTCGATGAAGATGATGATGAGGGAGATGAGGACGATGACGATGCCGCTGATGATGCCGTAGAGCATGTGAAGGCTAAAGTCAAAGGCGCCGCTCCTGTCGCTGATCTCGAAGGCGACGAGGATGAAGTCGTCGGAGCAGGTGGTGATGAGGAGGATTAAAACACCTCTTGTCACCTCTTGTTGCATGTGCTTCAGCTCTATTCTTGCCCATTTGGAATAGCTTGACTTTGTCTTACACCTTTATAATGTGCCCTAATCTGGCTGGAGAGTGGATGCATAGTCGCATGGAGTACAGTCGCTCGAACCGGGTTTCGACTAGACTAGTATAGAAACCTAGCTTCTCTTGTGTGTTGGTGTCCAAATCTGCGCGTCGCTTCGGCCAACCACTCAGTCCAGGGCCTGAAGACTGACTCGAAGTTGAGACATTGACAGCGTCTTTCCGGCTCGGCATACCTTGTGGCGGCGCAGAGAAGTTCTATGACTTCTCAGTGACCATACCATCCAGGATGGGTCGATGTAATACAGTGTCTTCTTAGTCTTGATTGAAGGTGGACATTTACCCAGACCGTTGAATTGAACTTCGAGAAGCGTTTTATTTTGGATGTGTTCAACTGACTCCCGAATTGACAACAAGGAACGCCGCGCTTCCGTTAGTTGATGCTCTCTCTTTTTGTTCTTTTTTTTTTTTCCTTTTTTTACTGGCAGATCGCTACGATATATACTCGCTTCCATATAAATAGACCCACCGAGCTATCCACATGCTTAGTCGCGAGACGTTCGAGTAGCGACAAGTGTCAAAGCTCTCGTTGGTGGATCGTAGGCCAATGCGACCTTTTGTTGCGGCCCGACGATCTTAGGTCGCTGAATAGTCTGGGGTCAGTCATGTGGCCCACATACTCCCTGACTGCATGTAACCATTCTGCAACTATGTCGAGTCATGACGAAAAAGGGCACTCGGCGAGAACTAATTGAAAGTTGAAGTGGTCCCTTTCTGCTTTCGCCATTATGCTTATAGCTTTGTAGGACCGGACAGGTATATGGAGGGTGATAGCCACTCATTGTACTGAAAATCAAAACCTGGTCATCAGGAGCCATTGAGGCTTTTTTGTAAGGGGCATGAGCTTCCAACAGTTCTCGGTTAGCTGAATGCCTCTGCTCTTGCCCTGAACCTGACAATTTCTATGCAACTCCTCTATAACTACCCCGTCGCTGCCAAGTTACTATAAGGTAATATTCCCTCAAGCACTACAGTAGAGATCCACCTCACCTTGGCAACTGACCAATGATAACGTCTGCACTGTACCCAACACTACCGTGAGGGTCTCTATAGCATCTGCTCTTGTAGTTGGGTATGCTCGGCTTCATCGTAGTCCTAGACACCGCCGCCTCTGAATACTGGCTTTCAGTTGTCGGTTGAATATCTCATACTGTAAGCTTATCAACAGTTCCGTTAACACCATGAAGTTCCGAACTCTATCTTCATCCTACACATGCACGTTGGCATATATATTGACTTGATAAGTCCATGAACCAAGACGCCATATCTACTCCAGGTCACAATGTCGGCGAAAATCGGCCATGTCAGCCGCCGTCCGCCAGGTTCGGTCAAGCAAGGTCATTCACCATACGTATGAAATTTCCGAATACAGGCATGAGATTGATTCAGCCGGCATCAATAGCCAGCAGAGACCTTTCCATAACATACGTCGTTCAGAGCTCCGCATGTTAGCGTAAGTTTGAAAAATGGTGGTACTAGAGGTGGCCTGAGAGATACTGTCGCAGGGGTAACTCTGCCCATGCCTACATACCCTCCCTATCGTCACGGCAATTATTTAGTCGTCCGACAGAAGCCATGAAAAATATACACAACATCTTCCATCATTTTGAGGCTACTTTCTCAAGCACGAATATCTGCACGGGGTCCCTTACCAACTTTGCTTCTATTTGTCGTGTCGGCGAGGCTCACCTTGCGACTGGACATAAATTAAGTACCGTGGAAGCTAGTGCATGTCCATGGGAACAGGAATCTGCTAGTATTAGCGCTAGCCATTGCAGCAACTTGCTAGGTTAGATACTTGTGCCTGCTTCTGTACCAACGTCTGCAGATCATAGTGGCTGCAGCCTTGCAGCAATTTAAGCATACAATTGAACAATACTAAGTCGGAAATCATGGCTTCTGCTTATACTTAGCTCCTTGAATGCACCGGACCGAGCTCGCATCGTGTGACACCGAGATGATGGTTCTCTGTCACGATCGAGTCACACGTATTTGAGCTGTCAGAGCGTCCGCAGCCAATAAGCCGGCGTTGATTTGTACCTACTCCTGTGTCGATGAAATAAGTCACTGAGTTACAGCACGTCGCGACCTTTGGCATTTCGACTGTTTCATAAAAACGATGCTTCTTTTCCAGCCAACTTCCAGCGACCCGATCGCAGCGACGAAACTTCAAGTAAGAAGGTATAGAGCCTACGACGTTTAATCTACAATATGGACATTGTCAGCGACATTTATAATGTCATTGAGCTTAGCGATTTCCAATGGCCAATTTGCAATAGATGTGTCCCTCACTCCTAGTCAAGGCTTCTAACATTTACTAATTTTTATCCTTTAGTCATCAAGTACATCCCTCAATCGTGCACTTTTCTCTCATGTTCCTTACCACCGCCTATTCTCCTGACATGGTCTACGGCCTTGCGTCCTACCTTTCTCCTAGCTATGACAAGCGGGGCTGTTGAGTTCTGGGAGCTGTATAAGAAGGATGGACTTAACTACAAGAATAAAAAGCTCACAAACCAGGGCAAGAGTAGAGACAATATTATTAACCGCAGCATTAATACAGGAGCAGCTTACGGTATATTGAACGCTATGGCGTTCGGACTAAGCACGTACGCCATATTCTTGAGGTGGAAGGTTCCACAATTCGTTCCAGGATGGGCTAGTATCTGGTTATCTGCACTGGCCTTTCCAGGTCTGGAGTTGAGTGCTGCTCTTGGCGGAGAACTAATGTATAAAAAGGGTGTGGGCGTACAGAGAATGGGCAATGTAAGAGACGAGAATATTGTAGGTATAGAGGAGTATAAGGAGAAAAAGGTCCTGTAAGTATAGATCTTTGCCCGGACCGTGTACGACGGAACAAATACCAGTAAGCATGACTTACGTCGACTATGACATGCAACGGATATATCATTGTTAGTACGGTGGAGAAGTTATTATCAAGGGGACTTGAGTTCACTCATGGGTTATTAAGCGCTATATATGATAGCGCTTTACATTTATAAGTTACAGGACTAGTATCATCCTAGAAATTAAATGGTAAATAACACAGTGACTCTTCATCGTATCGTATAAGATCCAGAGTGTGAGTCTAATAGCATCGGTCGTATGAGAATATTCGACATATAACGCAAGGCTAGTCTAAGACTAATTTTAAAAATAAAATATCTCGACATTATGAGAATCGCCTTCGTTGTCCTGTAATTTTCCAAAAAAAGAAAATTCGTACTTATGTATTACTCGAGGTCAATATCTAGCGGTTGGACACATTCTTAGAAGCGTGGACGGTCGCCTTACCCAAAGTGAGTTTGCCTTTTTGTCACATCAAATTGACAAGCGCACTAGGTTAATACGGTGTTGAGGACAAGATCCGACGAGTAGCAAAGGACGTCTCCGGCATTATATCCAGACGCGCCAGTCCTTACACATATGTCCGTTAAAAACGTCGAAAGCTATAATAATGACTAGGAAAGTGGAGAACTAATAGCTGTATTATCTACCCGGCACCATATTAGTACTATCTCGATGTTACATACTGTCTTCAAATTAGGTTTTTTGCCACCACACACTCTCTCTCTTTCCACCTAGGTGAGAAACCTAAATACTTTCGCCACGTCAAAATGCTGCTCCACATGGTGTATTTGTCGCAACTGTGCCGATAAGAACTATCAGCACTTAACGCCTCTCTTTACAGTTGATACATTTTGCACCGTATTCAATATGTGTCCCCACGATATAGTTATTGCATCTGTAGGTGCAATCGTGGCGTTCGTGGCGTCTGAAGCTGGTGGCGTCCGTTGCAGCATTATATGATTTGCGTTGATTTCTCTCCGGCAGCGTCGATCCATCTAACGGTTGATTGCAGATCTCGCAGACGTTGAGTTTGAAGAAGCAATGTTTCTCGAGATCATAACTAGGATCAACCAATTGGATGTCCTCGGCCGTGTAGTAAAAGCTTATTGGCCAGGACTGATACCAAACTTGCGACTGAGCTGAGGACATAGTGGAGCCTGGATAGTCCTTTAATGTTCTAATTTCACAGGCGGATATTTTCGGTTTTGCTGATGTCTGTATACACAAGTTTAGTTTACAGCATTAACAGCACGCTAATGCTACAACAGTCGGTTGTTTCGGTATAGATCTTTCTTTAAGAAAATTATGCCCTGCCTCGGTTAAGACTGCTAGACGGTTTGCGAGAAGTTCTGTCAATCGTTTGAGGAAACAGCTAGGTTTGTCAAGTGTAGAAGCGGTGCTTGATTGTTTCTAAAGTTAACCATGAAATCAGGGGAAAGAGGTGAATTTATAGATTCCAGGCTCTTTGTTATGACTAACAAGAATGTGTTACATCGTCTCTGATTGTGTGTCTACACATTCCCATTGTGTGTGATGATGTGTTCATACATTTCTGTTGTGTATGATTGTGCGAGGAAGACCTGTTAAGCTTCTTCAAGGCAACCGCGACCTTAGAAAATCCCGGCGACCTGTTCTATGTATTGCCTCAATCATTGGCGAGCATTGGACAGATAGCAAGTAGTTTTGGGTAATCTCTTAACATTGTGATAAGCTTAAAGCAGCGAGATATATATATATCTAAAATTATGACCAGCTCTTGGGTCTGGGTAAGCGACATTTGAGTTATTGTGGCAATATGGACGACTATAGAGGGCCACGGTCAACGGAGAGCACTCCGCATAGTAAAGCGAGGAGCTCTCGGATCACCTAACCCTTGGAATGGATGATCACGTGACTTAGCCAGTGGGCGTATGCCCACTTTCTGTACACCGATATTCTCTTTTGTAGACTTAGACTTCTATATCCTACTTGACAGTACCTATACTATCATTCCACGCTCTAAGAGCGCCACACTTGTTATTTTATGCTCGAGTAAAATCAGGACCTCCTTTTTTGTGCATCAGATCTATCTTCCTCCACGCAGGTTTCTATACCAACAGTAGAATCTGTCATAGTTATACCACAAGAAGGAGTCTTGGGGTAGCCTTCCAGTCCTGCCATAATAGATGACAAGAGCGAATGGCCAAGATTCGTCGCCAGCGGACCGCTTTAGAGTTATTCATGGCTTCTGCTAAGTGTTGTCTAGATTTGTGATTTGTGATTTGTGATTCAGGATGCATTCATACGTCTGTCTGCGTGAGTTTTCGTTTGTCTAGCTAGTGATGCATACCAGCGTCGTTCCTTGGGCTATGAAGAGAGCCTTGAAATTGGTACCTAACGTAGAGCAGACTATCATACTTGAATCCTTGGTACATCGCTACCAGGTTGTTTTGTCACAGCCAGAATTCGAGTTACCTAGATTTGAAGTATTCCGCATTATTCGTGGCGGAGTTTATTAGTTATGGGGCCGGGATTTGGAGCGAACTTAATGATCATTTCAGCTACTAGCCAGGTACTAAATATATGAGCATTGTCTCACCATATCCGCGTGACTAATGCAACCTTTTCACTTGATGTACTGATTTGATGACTTAAACATCTGAACATCACAAGCTGCATTTGGACTTCACATAGTAAGCATTCAAGGTGATATCTCTGAGCAGCTGCTAGCCGAAGCCAATTATGCCAAAAGAGTTAGGCCGCACTGAGGATGGGACAGCTTCGTTGCCTGTGCTACTAGGGCATCAAGTATTGACAGAAATTCAAAGCATATCATATCATCATTTCAAATTTTCTTTTCCGAAATTACATGGACAGTTTATAGTTGAGGGGCAATGGGTTTGACCCAAAGCTAGGAACAGAGAGCTACCCACAACGTACGGAGTCCTCTTTGGTGCATTTATTCTGATGTATCATGGTTCTGGGTGAAGGAATGAATATGTCGAAAAGAGGCTGTCTTGAACTAGGCCAAGCATATTTAATATGCTGATACATAACTAGAACTCTCACAGACACGCGTTTTTTTTTTTTTTTTTTTTTTTGGTTTGGATGGCTAAAGTACCCTCCTTATAGAAGAGAGTAGTTATCCAGTGCCTCACTGAAAGACGCATCCAATTGTGCGCCCAGAGCTTCTGCCGCTTCCTTGAATGTCTTTGGTACCTTGTCCGCAATAGCCGCGCTCAACTTTTGACTGGCATCCTTCTGCGTTGCCAAGGTCAAGTAAATTACAGGGCCAAGCAACAACTTGTCGAACTTTGGCTTAGCTGCCACGATTTGTCTAAGAGTCGAGTTGGTGTCTGTGATCAAGCCGGCGGTAATGATAGCAACGTTCAAGGTCTCAAGATCGGTTAGTGCCGCAGAAGCGTCTGCAGTCTTGGTGGCGTTATTGATATTGACTAGGAGTGACGTGGACTTGACAGTGATAGGTAGTGCACCGAGCAAGTCACCCGACCATGAAGCTACGGTCGAGTTGAGAGATGCCGTATCGGAGTTGATGGTGTTGAGCGCAGTGGCAATGGCTGCTCCGTCGGCCAGCACATCACCCACCAGTGAAGCAACACTGAGCAGGTTATACGATAGTCTCATTCTGTTGTTATTATGGAGGGCAAGATACAAGGTGAACAAGTCAGGATTTGTGAAGAAAAGTGTTACGAAATTTTGTTTGTTGCACAGATACAAGCAGCTCTGTTCGGTTTATAAACCTTTTTTTCTTTTTTACCTTATGTGTCGTGTTCAGTTGCGGTAACGTAAAACAATCCAGCTTGCTCTCCCAAGAGGCCCGCTCGGTATCATGTGTAATTCTGCTCAAGCGACTCAAGTAATTCATAGTACTTTGTCGTAGAGATGGTCTAGACTTTTCTTCATCGCAAGATGTGCTGCCAATCATGTCGACCGCTCTAACATTCCAGGGCCCCTACGCTGATATGCATCGTCCATCTCGCAAGTATTCTCAAAAGGCCGGCAAATTTGGATGTGACCCTCTAAATGCAGGCCTGTCGCCGAATTGTAAGCTTATTGCCGGAATTTATATCATGATGAAGCGCAATTGGTTGAGAATTTCAGCATTCCAGAAGCTCAGGTCGGGGCACCCCTGGATGACCTGGGGTAATATCCCTGCATGCCGCGGCGATCGGCGTCGAGATTCAGGAGCATGTGAGGACAGTCTACCAACGCGCAGGTAGATGCAACAGGCCTAAAGAACAAGTCAAACGTTTTGACATCGAAGTTCTGACCAACACTGTTGCACATCCATTTCCATATCCGTTTCCATGACGGAGGGGTTGACTCTTGCTAATAAGAGGCACTATGGTATTCATCGAGCACTCGTCGCGTAACGAGTAGGACTCACAGGCTGTTTTAAATCATGTGTTAGATGAATAAAAACCTTGATACGAATAAGATGGTAACGATTCAGCATGAAATGAACTCGTTCGAAAGGAGTATGAAGTAGGAAAATGCTTGGCAAAAGTATTAGTGCAGCTTAATCCATGTTTTCCTATCGTTGCAATGGGACGCAGATTGCGGCGACATTCCGTGAGTCGAAAGAGTTGAGACACGGGTCCCAAATCATGAAAAATTGAAGAATGAAGGATGTCAAAGGTCATAATCAAAGTAAACGATTGCGGCCAGGGAGAAATGACAACCAGGAATGCTACCAATGTCTTACATCGACGACGCGGTAATATCGACAGCACGTCGACATGCATGCTCTTGAAACCCTCATCCTCTGGTTAAAACAATGTTAGCAGTAACAAGTCTTGACATGCTCGAAATGGCTTTGGATATCTATTGGGTCAGCCTTTTCGTTCTGATATTATGCGTCGTATTGCTCTGGGGACGTAACATCGTACTTCGGCCATTCAGAAGTCCCAATACTGTCATGGAGATGGATGCAAAACGGGATGCAGATGCAAAGACGTTTAGATGGACATTCCTGCAGGTGTATCTGTTGGTGATGGGATCAGAATGGCTCCAAGTAAGGCGATCGAGGAAAGCAGCTGATAATCAAGCCTAACCTACACCAGGGCCCTTACATGTACTCCCTACTTCGAGATGATAAGCATCTTTCTCCTGCCATCGTGGCCATTCTCTATACAGCAACATATGGCGCCGCCGCGGCGTCAGCACCATGGACTGGCTACCTGACCGACAGGTTCGGAAGACGAGCAGCCTGCTTGTGCTTTTGCGCCATACACTCACTGGCAACGGTCTCCATTCTCTTCGACCGCATCGAAATCCTTGTCCCGGGTCGGATGCTGGGAGGCATCGGACTCTCTCTACTATGGACTGCATTTGAGAGCTGGATGCTCAGCGAACACAAATCGCGTGAGCTAGAACAGAGCTCAATACCGATGAGCTCCATGTTCGGGATCATGACAACGGCCAACTGCATGACAGCAATCCTGGCTGGTTTGTTTGCACATTGCGTGGTCCTAGCTCTCGGCTCAAAGACCGACCCGTTCATGATTGGCTTGATACTGGATGCTGTCGCAGCTGTCTTGATGCTGTGTACGTGGAACGAGAATTGTGGTGCTCAGTTATCCTCGAGCGTGGAACTCAATGCAGACACCTGGATGAAAAAGAAATCGTGGCTGCATGAGATCGCCAGCTTATTCCAAAACAGAAAGATATTGATCCTAAGCCTGGTATCATGCTGCTTCGAGGGAACCATATTTCTCCTCATGTTCTACTGGCCAGGTGCGTTGCAGGAAGCGCACAGCCTTGATGGCGCTGATGTTGATGTTACAACGCCGTACGGGGTCATCTTCGCGAACTTCATGGCATCCATGGCCCTAGGCGCTCTTCTTTTCGGTATCCTGATGGACGAGAGTAGCGGCCTAGAGAACTCAGCGAGATCGCTCCTCCCAATTGTCCTGCTTTCCGGAGCATTGTTGCTTGCCGGTCTCAGCTTCCTAACTGCGGCCCTTGCCAAGACAGAAACGCAACTCTTTGGTGCTTTCCTTGTACTCGAGGCGTGCAATGGCTTATACGTGCCAGGTATTGCGTATCAACGCGGAAAGATTGTGAGCGATGCCGGTAGAGCTAGCGTATACGGCTTGATGAACATACCACTGTTCGTGTTCGTTATCATAGCACTCTTGACAACAAATAAGGATAGTGGTGAGTTTCCATGGATCAATTGCTTGCAACTCGTTTGATCGACGTCTCATACTGACTCATGTTGTCATTAGACGAGCACCAGACCGTCGTATTTATATTCTGTGCAGCACTGCTACTAGTAGCGGCCGTTGCAAGTTTCTTAGGGCTGCGTGATAGTCCACCCTGCGCGGGCTTCACCGAAATCGGCTCATCTGAAGCACCAGACCAGCAGGAAAAGGAGGATAGAACAGAAGCAGTTTGATATGTGTTGTATGTATCGACAGAGTATCATTGACAGGGTATCATAATCCGCACCCAGGAAAGGGTACTGAGAACTTGGTGGTAGATTCATGAAGAAACCTACATTGCCCACGGTCAACTAAACGCCAAACGCCAAATGTAATGCAGAGAGCCAGCATCCCCCCATCTTCCAATGCAGGTTGGCCCGAGACTACTCGTCATCTTCCCAGTCATGTTCTTCCATTTCCTTGCGCGCAGCATTAGCCTCCTCTGCATCTCCAGCCAATCCTTCGCTATCGACCTCGTCTTCCTCCATCATGTCGTCAAAAAGATCACTGTTGTAGCCGTCGTAGTCCATCTTCTCGTCCTCATCATCCTCCTCCTCGCCTTCTGCCTTGCTGCTGCCTTTGGCAGGCTTCTCCTTCTTCTTACGATCCACGTTCTCCTTTTGCTGTTTCCGGCGTGCCTCCTTCTCTCTAGACTTTTGTTCCCAACGCTTCTCCAGCTCCTGGATCTCTTGCTTGGACTTGTGGATATGTTCGTGCCACATGACTCTTCCACTACAGATGCCCTCTTCAACCTTGGTCATGCGCAGCTTCATGCGCGGACCCAACTCGACCAGCTTGACAGCTCGCCTTCTGACATTGCTCTCGTGGCCTTGTCCGTCCTCGTGGCCGTTCTCCAAGGCTGCGGCACGTGCCTTCTGTGAGAGGACCTTTCGTGTAGCCGTGTCGAGAACCTCGACTTGGTTGTCTTCCTCCATCTCGCTGTCATCGCTCGTGCCATCGGTCATGTAGCCGTTACCATCCTCGCCACCAATCATATAGTCGGCGATATCTTCCAGCTTGCCCAGGTTGGGGACACCACCCTTTCTTGTCTTCTTGGCGTTGAGCAGCTTCTCGGCAGCATTGAGCCTCCTCAAGGGCTTGGACAGGCCAGCAGCCTTGGTCGTGATGGCGTAGTGTCGGAAGTTGAGGACGAAGCTGCCGTCCTCCTTGGGCTCTCGGTTAAGCAGCAGAACCCTACGAATGGACTTGATGGGCGTCTGTTGAGGGTTGATTGGAGGGAAGAGGGAGCGGAAGACGGTGGTGGTGAGAGACTCGAGGTGCTTGGGTACATTGGAGGAGGAGTCGTTGTCTGGGGTGATGAAGTTGTTCATGACGAGCAGAGGGGGGGTGAGGTATTCGTTGCCGCCTCCTCGGGGGTGGCGCTGCGCCCTCCTCACGTCTTTGCACAGGGAGTACTTGTCGACGCGGAAATGGAGGGTCGGGCCTCTCGGAGCGACGGCGACGCGCAGGTTGGTGTTGCCAGACTCTGATCTGGAGAAGAGCATGAGATGTGTGACACCAAGGGGGCCGGCCATGGTGACATAGTCTCGTAGTCGGTTTGCGCGACGCTCCTTCAACCGACTGGCAGTTCCAGGCTCCATGACCAGACGGACATCTTTGGCCAATTGACTGATACTGGAACCGACCTCACCTGCGCCCATGCGAATGACCATGCTCTTGGGGTCTTTGGTGCTGGCATGGCCGAGACTTACAGCGTTGGACTCGGGGTTGCTTGCGCCGACATGGGTGCGCTTCTTGGTTCTCCTCTTGGCCATTGTCTGAGGTTGGATCGAACGACAGGAAAGAGAAGGCGATGGCGTTTGTAGAGAATTGAGGGTGTAATAATTGGACTTTATGAGGCGGATGGAGATGAAGCAACGGGGTGCAAACTACTAGGCGTCGAGTTTACTTACTTTTTTACACGTTAAAAGTTTGGCGCCTGCAGCTTCTGATCTGGTCTGATTCGATCCTGACGCCGCAGCTCCAAGAAATTTTTGGGCATGTCCCGCTATCAGAGTCTTATCGCTGCGGCAGAACCAAGCTTAGCGACACGATAAGCACCCCTGCCCCGCTGATAACCTTGAAAGCGGTCAAAATTTCCAGCGGCGTCCAGTGAATCAACTTGACTAGCTAGTGTTTGGTTTGAGAGGCTGTCCAAAGCGACTGCTCTGTTGGCCGTACCATAGCTCTTTCAAACCTTGGTAGAAACTGGCACTGTCGAGTCACTCAGCGGGAGCTGCAAAAGCGAACAATACACAACCTCAAATCTCTCTCTCTCTCTCCATCCCTTGTTCAAAATCCCGAACAGCTTCCACGGGCGCAATCACACCTCTGCACACACCAAGATGCTGGCCAACAAGCGAAGGAAGGTGTCTTCTGCACCTTCCAGACCCTCCAAACCTATTGCTTCCGCTCCAGCCAAGAAGCCACAATCCGGACAAAAAAGCCGGCAGATACCACCCCAGCAAGATGAGGACAACTCTAGCGAGAGTGAAGCTCTCCCCGAAGAACCCGAAATCCAAGAGGATGACAGCGAAGACGAGGATGGCGATCAAGAGCCTGCAGAGGCCGATGACGCCGGCAACGCTGTCGACGGAGAAGAGGCCGCAGCAGAAGACCTGCCACAGACGTTCAAAGAGCTCGTGAGTAATGCACATTGATACTGAGTCTTCATGCTAGCCTCGTCTGCTGATCCCGTTTCTTACCAGGGCGTTGTCGACACACTATGCGAAGCCTGCGATGCTTTAGGCTACAAGAAGCCGACCCCGATTCAAGCGAAGTCCATTCCTCTGGCCCTACAGGACCGCGATATCATCGGCCTCGCCGAGACTGGAAGTGGAAAGACTGCCGCGTTCGCACTCCCTATCCTGCAGGCACTCCTCGACAAGCCTCAACCGCTGTTCGGTCTTGTTCTTGCCCCCACGAGAGAACTGGCCCACCAGATCGGCCAATCGTTCGAGGCGTTGGGAAGCATTATATCACTCCGCGTCGCCGTCATCGTCGGTGGTCTCGATATGGTCCCTCAGTCCATCGCTTTGGGCAAGAAGCCTCACATTGTCGTCGCCACGCCTGGACGTCTATTCGACCATCTGGAGAAGACCAAGGGCTTCTCACTGCGCTCCATCAAGTACCTGGTCATGGACGAAGCCGATAGACTACTCGATATGGACTTTGGTCCCATCATTGAGAAGATCCTCAAGTGTCTCCCTCGAGAGCGCCGCACCTTCCTGTTCTCTGCTACCATCTCCTCCAAGCTCGAAAGCCTGCAGAGAGCCGCCTTGCGCGATCCTCTCCGTGTGAGCATCAGCAGCCACGATCATCAGGTTGTCTCCACCCTCATTCAGAACTACATCTTCATTCCCCTGGTCCAAAAGGATGTCTATCTTGTCTACCTATGTAACGAGTTCGCCGGACGCACCATCATCGTTTTCGCTCGTACCATCGTCGAAACCCAGCGTATATCTATCCTGCTGCGCATGCTTGGCTTTGGCGCCATCCCCCTCCATGGGCAGCTCTCTCAATCTGCCCGACTGGGTGCTCTTAACAAGTTCAAAGCTGGAGCTCGCGAGATCCTCGTCGCCACCGATGTCGCCGCCAGAGGTCTAGATATCAAGGGTGTAGATCTTGTGCTCAACTACGACATGCCACAAGACTCTAAGACATACGTTCACAGAGTCGGTCGCACTGCTCGTGCTGGTAAAAGTGGTCGCGCCATCAACTTGGTCACACAGTACGACCTCGAGATCTATCTGAGGATCGAGCATTTCCTGGGCAAGAAGCTGGTTGAATACGAAACAGACAAGGCCGAGGTCATGATCTTCAAGCCTCGTGTGGAAGAAGCACAACGGCATGCCAAGATGGAAATCAAGAATTTGATCAACGACCGAGGCAAGAAGGGAGCCGTTCTTAAGGGCAAGCATATCAACGGTGTAAAGAGGAGACGGGGAGACCACATGGATGCTGAGGAGCGCTAGTGGTTTTCCGTCCTCCGTCTTGATGATACCCAATTTGGCGCATTGCGGAGTAATCGTGGAGTTTGGTTGTCTTTCTTGACTCAAAAGTTCCCTACCTGGTGTGACACTGGTATTGGTTTTGCTTTTTGTCGTGTATTCTATCTATCAATGCAAATATGCATCTGCACCGAAAGATTGCTCGTGCGGGACATGCGATTCTGGCGACTAGGCGTAGCTCATAATTGAAGCTTGAGGTATCGTAAGCGCGCAAAATGCCCCTTACCGCCATCAATTGCTCTTTTGTGTGCATGGCACGGTACACCACGTCATCCATCCTTAAAGTCTAGAAACTTGGCTGCGACAGCTGGGGATGAATTGCTACCTTGACATATGACAGTGTAGCGCTATATCTTTCGCACTTAACAATTGCGCGATGTGATTTGGCCCGACTGCTTGGCACGGAGGCATATGCCCACCAATGCAGACACCTGAGACTCCCGATTACGATCGACATGCCATTGCAACTGGGTTGTAGGAGATTGCAGTTCCAATACGACCCTGACTATAGACACTTCGCCCCGCAGTTCACTCCCCTGCCCATTAATCTATCCGAATTCGAACACCGGACCCAGTTTCCGTGGTCAACATGACACAGCTCCCACCGACTTGGGATCCCCAGCACAAATGTTTGCCGGAGACAAGATATGACGTTCGATGTGTAGTCGATCTATGGCCGGAACAATTTTTGTCATGGAACGAGTTCGTACGGAACCCAGAACCTGTGTCCGCTAAATGTGTAGGCTTCTCCAGCTCAAAGCAGTTTTATATATCTAGCATAATATGCCATTATTTTGCCTGCGTATTATTCCCTAGCTAAAACCTGTGCTTTCCTAACCAGAGACTGCGTTTCACTATGGGTCTTTATCAGTGGCTGTCTTTCGCCGCCGTGTCGGCACTCATTCACAACGCTACCGCATTAGTAGCGTTTCCCGGAGCCGAAGGTTTCGGTCGAAACTCAGTTGGAGGCCGAACCGGATCGGTTTACCATGTGACGACTCTTGCGTAAGGTTTCAGAGCCGATAGTGCATGTGTATCTATGGTATTGACGCATCGCTAGTGATTCTGGTGCCGGGTCCCTTCGTGATGCTGTCTCGGCAGACAACCGCATCGTTGTCTTTGACGTTGGTGGCACCATAAACATTACGGACCGAGTTGTGGTCTCAAAGAATATATACATCGCTGGACAGACTGCTCCTGGTGGCGTATGTTTTTCAGTTCAGAGATTATGCCAATGATTTCGTATTGATCACAGGGTTTTAGGGCATTACCGTCTACGGTAATGGGTTATCGTTCTCCAACGCTGACAACACCATCGTACGGTACATCAGGCTTCGCATGGGCAAAGGTGGGGATTCTGGAAAAGGTGAGTACATGTCATGTCTACTTGACCCATTTGAATAATTTTCACACATGGCACAGATGGCGTTACAATTGCCGAGGGTGAGAACATCATTTTTGACCATATTTCCGTGACATGGGGCCGTGATGAGACTTTTAGCATCAATGGTGACGTATACAACGTGACAATCCAGAACTCAATCATCGGCCAAGGCCTGGAGACTCACTCCTGTGGCGGACTCATGCAGTCAGATTACGGTGTCAGTCTGTTCCGCAATCTATACGTTGATAACAAGACTCGCAATCCCAAGGTTAAGGGAATTAATGACTTCCAGAACAACGTAAGAAAATGGAGCTTCAGTTTCATCTCGTTTCACCAGCTAAACATATATTCAGGTGGTCTACAATTGGGGCGGAGGCGGAGGCTATATTGCAGGCGATAGCAGTGGGCAGAGCTACGCCAACATCGTCAATAACTACTTCATCTCTGGTCCTAGCACAAGCGTGACAGCCTTCACTCGGGGGAATGAAAACTTCCACGGTTGTAAGTTCCCCATCCTCCAGCCACCAACCACATGTTTTGCGATAATCGCGTACCATTTCCCCACTCGATGGGCTTTATTAAAGCAGAAGCTGACAAGGGTGCTAGACGTCTCGGGCAACTACTACGATAGCGACAAGAATGGCGCACTCGACGGCTCTGCTTTATGTGTTAGTACTACTTGCTACTCCGACATTGACATCCAGACAACCAAGTACGACTACCCGGGCCCAACCACTCTCTTGACTGCGCCCAATGCCGTGACCTGGGTTCTCAACAACGTCGGTACAAACTACCCGTCCCGTGATGGCATTGACAATCGCCTCGTCTCTGAGGTGCAGACATGGGGATTAACAGGCGAGCTCATTAGCGACGAGACCGTCAGCCCTATGAACGGCCCTGGATATATCATGAGTGGCACCAAACCAAGCGATACCGATGGCGACGGCATCCCCGATGCGTGGGAAAAGGCAAATGGTCTGGATTACCAGGATGCAAGCGATGCAATGAAAATCAGCAGCTCTGGGTACGCGAACATTGAGGTATATATCAACTCACTGGTATTGACTACGAACGGATCATGATACCGTATTACCTGGCCGTCATTCCGTAGATGCGGGCTACGGGATATAAGCTATACGGCGAGACACTTAGAGTTAAATAACAACTGGAAGTATATCACAAACTCCATCGAGCTGAGAGACATCAATACCCTTAACCGGCTCATCTTCATCGCCAAGTATTACAGCTTTACCCTGGTCGTAGGTTCCCCAACCCGATATGCGTAGGCCATACTCTGGATCTCGTGCAAAGTCAAGCCAAAGGTCTTGCATACTTCTGCTCACAGCGTTTTCATATGCAGTAGATACTCCATGAAAATCACCTGCTGTCCCGAATATCAGCGGCAGCTCGGCAGCATGATATGCGCCGGAATATTTAGACGGCGATATATTAGAGAAGTTGCCGTCATACCGGTATCTGTATGTGGTGAGGGAGTGGCTTTGACGGGCTTGGGATGTGAGCGCCGCCGTGCAAAGGAAAATCTCAATTGTGTTCTTATCGGAGGCGGATTGGTTGAATGTAGGGCTGAGAGGAGTGGGGATTCCTTCGTTGAATTCATGCAGGTTCGTGCCGATGAGGGCGGGGACCGAGGATATGGCATTGATTGCGTAGCGGTCGCTGTAGTTTTGAAAAACGGTGACATTGTCGACAATGGGCAGGAATTTAAGGGTTGGATCTGCTGAGAGGACGGCTTCGATAGCCTGCCACGTTACACCCCTCAGGCAGTTGATCTCTGAACTTGTGCTATGACAACCAAGAGCAGCTGCAACAGCAGTGAAGTTTGTTTGAGCTGTATCGAATGTTCGGCCTCCTGCTCGAGGGAAGAGAGCAGTGGCAGAATCAAGGATCGTGCCGCTGTAGATTGGATCGGAAGGATATGCAAAGTTAAGATAGTCAACAGCCTCTGCTCCTCCGCTCTCACCCCAACCAACGATTTTCGCTGGGTTTCCGCCAAAATTGGCAATATTGTCTCGAACCCATTCAAGAGCGAGACGCTGGTCAAGCAGGCCAAGATTCTGCTTCATCAAGCCCATAGCGTTAGGGAAGCCAAATATGTTTGATCTGAAGTTGACGGTGACCATGATATGCTTTTGTGTTCGTTGTACCCAGGCTTGAGGGTTGAAATATGGGGAATTTGTTCCTCCTTGAACGAAGCCTCCACCAAAAAACCATACGATGACCGGTAATTTCGTCTCGGAGCTAGAAGGTGCCCAAACATTGAGTGTTAAGCAGTTTTCGCTGAATGAGTTGAGAGGAAAGTATTCGGTATAATTCCCACCGCTAGGCGAGTACACGCTCATCCCAGACTCTGCACCGCCAAAGGCTATTTGTGGACAGGCGGGTCCAATGCTGGAAGCGTTAATCGATGTACTTGACCGCAGTCTCGAAGGGGGAAGCCATCTTCTAGGCCCAGTCGGTGGGTGGGCGAATGGGATGCCCAGAAATTGACGGACATGAGGAGCCGATGACTTGACAAAACCATGAAGCAGACCACTGTCGGTCTTGACTTGCAGATTAGGTGCCGGACAGCTGGTTGGATAGCAGGTACCTATTGATGCAAGGACTGCGAAGTTTATGGCCAGAATGAGGTTCATTGCTGTAATGGAGGTAATGCCGTTTTTGATTGGTACGGTATGGCGATAACAGGGTATATGGTGTTGATAGTGATAAAGGAAGAGAGCTGAGCATGCAAAGGTAAAGAAAGCGAGGTCAGTCTTATAGTGTTTTCCTTATGGGCTGAGCGAGCACCTCCCATCTGAAGAGATACTTGCTAACTTATCAATCGTGGATGATCGGCCTGTGACTAGTAATCTTGCTAACCGAAAGCAGAGGGTGTTCGCGAGGAAAGTTCGCATTATATCAAGAATTGTTGAATCCACTTTATATACTAATTGTGTTAGGCAAGAAAAGTAACACGGATAAGCTCTTAACGGGCTGTACAGCTGACGCTAATCCTAAAATGGTCCTCTTCCCGACAGAGTTTAAGGGAAGGGCTTAGCGTGATCTTATGTCACACTTTTTCAGACTAGGGATTATGTGTCCCGGATTTTCCTGTCAAGTACGTTACCTCTACTTATACACATTTATAGATTGTTAATCCACGATTGCCTATCACCATACATTAGCAATTAACTGCCAGCTTTGAAAGTATATTCTACTTTCATTACTTTTACAAGGATGGGAAACAACAAGGGTCGTTCTAAGGCTTGTATAACATGCTTGCGGCGCCGTGTCATGTGTGGTAAGTCCAGCGCAGAAAGAAAGGAAAAAAAGAAGAGAATAGAGGGGTGGGGGGTGATGCACGGGTTAGAGTCATGCCAGTCCTACTGGTACATGACCATACGCTTCAATGATTAGCTTGCAGCTGATTCTTCTCTCATGCTTCAGATCAACAGCGCCCGGCATGTCTTCGGTGCACCAGGTCAAACTTCGTCTGTCTGGGTTATCGGGAGATGCTTTTTATCGATGCAAAAGCACAAGTCTTACGAAGGATAGGCTGTACATCTCAGTCGGTGCTAGGGAATAAGACTCCCTCGTTAGAGGTGACCAAGGAGTACCAGACCGGTGGCCATTTTGCACAGCCTGCTGGCCCCCGTCTTTTCTGTGATTACGAAACAACTACCATTTGGTCGGCGCCCTCTGAAGTGGCAATGCGACAAACTCAATTCATATCCTACCTTGTCGCAAGACTTGACGGCCCAATGGAAACCATATGCCGTAGTCAGCTCTCACCAAGCTATCACGCAGACTCCCTAGAACAAATGGCCAGGAAACAGTGTTTTCTAGCCCTAGCAACAAGTTTCTATGGACTTGCTCATTCACAGCCACCTGTTGTACATCACGGTAGACGACTATATCTTCAGGCTCTGAACATGGTCAACAGAACCATCAGCGGTTGTGACAGCACAGGAGTTTCGGAAACCCTCAGTTCCGTAGTTGCACTATGTCTTCATGAGGTAAATTACTCTCAATATGGCGCAAAATAATCCCGATTGACTATCTTGATTTAGGCCATCGCACCGACACACAGCATCGATCACTCTTGGCTGCGTCATGTTGACGGCCTCGAGCAGCTTTTCTCAATGCATGGGGCCACATCCAGAAAAAGCAATCCACTCGCCGTCGCCCTACTTGAGGTCACTCGGCCCATGATGATTGTGGCAGCTCTCTATGCCCGCCGCCCATCGTTAATGGCACAACCAGACTGGAGTGCAAGAGCCATTTGCGTACCAAACGATTATTTCCCACCTTCTCATAGGTCGGCCCTTGCCTATTTGCTGGACGCATTAGCACAAATCCCAGCACTGTATCATGAACATGATGCAATTTTATCAAGACAATCCGCGAACTTACTCGGACAAACCACCAGTGAAATCAACAGACGAGAAGCATCAACATCGGTCCAAGCCCTTTTGGGTCGTTCCCTGAGTCTTCGGGACGACATTCACGTTCAAGATGCGTATTGGACAGCCTCGAACCCTAAGTTCAAACTTTTTAGCGTGTCTAGAGCCATCGAAACTTCAACACCGCCCTATCCTTGCAAGGATAAGATACATTTTTCTTCTCTCCAGGCTGCAAATGTCGCCACTTTATATGACGCTGTTGTCATACTGATCAACCAACTTGTTGTTTCGTCACTCTCACTTCTCCCCGGCAGTGATGTCCATGTCATTGTGCAGGCAGAAGCATCTGAGCAAACATCAGCAGCCATCATACATATAATCAAGAGCGTTGACTTCCAATTGTCACCCCCCGGAAACTTCTATCTACTCTTCCCTATCCGCGTTGCGCACCGAGTGCTCTTACAATCTCAAGTTCCACAGGACATAGCCAAGAGATTGTGGCTTGAAGGCGTCCTTTGCAGTATTAAAGAAAGGGTCGGGACGTGGATGTCAAATGACTACATCTTTGGCGCCGGAAAGTCTTAGAACTACTGGGTAAAAAATGTCGAGAATATATAGAGAGATATCCTCGATATCTCTAAACGCTTCCCTTAAGTAAGCTTATAAATACATTTACATATACTCTCTTTATCCTACCTCCGAGTATTACTTTGAATTAAGTGCTTCCGCCTAATTAGTGTTAAATGATATATATATAACCTGAAATATATATTTAAAATTATCTTCTTTAATTGGTAAAACCTTTAAATAATAACGATTATCTTGGTTACTTTTAATTACAGTGAGTAACGAAATCGCCTTCCGCTGTTGCGAGGCAGAATGTATTCTTACAGTAGTACAGCCAATTTAGGGACTTTGGGCTTACACAGTGCGGGCTCCTACTATATGTGGGGTAATACTGATAAGGTACTTCAGGTCAGCCAGTATAGTAGTGTCATGTAAGGCTAGTGCGTCAAACGCGATTTCCTTTTCTTTGTTTTGCCTGGATTTCTTCTCTATGATGCTTGCTCGGTCGTTGTTACATTTGTAACGCAGCATATAATACGCAAAGCAGTAAGCTGTTGTAAGTACGCAGTATATATTATCACTTTGAAGTGTCTCTAGAAAGTTGCAGAACCTTCTATCATGATAGGTACAGTCATACGTTCGAAGATAAATATAACCGATATTCTGGTGCTCTCTTTTGCAAAGATATGATAAATGAAGAGCTGAATAGCTGAGTATTCCTACTCGAGTTATACAGTACTCTATGCATTGCAATCGTCTTATATGCCAAACACCTGGCTGTGCTTAAAGTCTAACGAGTTTTGACGATCGAGCATCTTTTCGGCTGTTCGAAGTTAAGCAACTAAGCTGTCTTATATTGTCATATATACAGTAGCATCTAGTTTTTCTTTGTACCATGTTGTCCAAGTTTAATTGTTATTGATTATAACCAAATTCAAAAAGTTCGACGGAAAATCTATGGATTGGTGTAAGGATTGGTTATCCCGTCTCCAAACTAACCGTATGAAAATAGTTGATCCAGCTTAGCATACTTCTCAGTATACATTTGTGCATTCTTATAATATTGGTGAATATCCCTTAGATAAATAGCGGCAATCTCCGGAACAAGCGGATCGCCGATGTCGGGCTGATCCATAAGAGCAATAATCGATAGGACAAGTGCCCACATGGGAAGTGCAGCTGGCCACCCAGACGGTTCTAAGTAAGAGAGACACATCTTCCCAGTAGTGCCAATATTTGGATGATAGATCTTTGTGAGAAGCCGCAAATTGGGTGGGACTCTTGGATAATCTGCCCCGAGGACGATTTCGAGATGAAAAATCCCCTTTTTATAAGGACTCTGAGGGCTGCCCTCAAATGCGACCATGATAGGCTGAAGTGCGGACTGGCCTATAGATAGAACAGTCATGAACCGATGTTCATTGACGCCCTTGAGGTCCCCGTATATCCTTTTTATGTACCTGTGTGAGCTTGGAATCAGCTGGTTGAAGTTGACTGCTGGCTGAAGTTTCGCCAATCGATTTCCCCATCCGGAGTCGTCCAGTTTCGGAGTGAGGCTGAAGGGATTAACATCTCGAACAAATTTGGCTTTGGCTTCCAAAGTCCCCCTTTCTACCTCTTTTCGCCTCTCTACAAGGCGTGCACTTATGCCTGACCAAACAACTGTAATTGTTATCAGATTGAGCAGTTTTATTATGATCCCATAATAATGGCGGTGGTCTGACAAAACGGAGTAATCAATAGTTGATAATAAATAGGCGAAGAAATCACGACTGGTCGATGGGGCTTGAGGATGGCGGAGATGTGGCGCCTCTAAAGATGCTAACATCCCTCCTGTATGCTCGGAAGATCCAGGGATCTTGGTGATTATTTGTCTCTCGCTGCTTAATGTGATGCCGAGAATGCGTAACCCATCGTAAATTTCATTTTTCAGAAACAAATCAAGTTGGGTAGGTTCTGAGTGCAATTCTGATACCACTGAGGATAGTAATAATTGACCAGTAGCAAGATTGCTGCACCATGGTGATTCCCGTCCACCCCGGTGGACACTTGTGTAGACTCTTTCCAACGAATCATCCAAAGTATTGAATAGCTGTTCAGCTGTAACATCTCTCCGAGTCAAATTATGGAGACGCAGTCGCAAATTGACCATTTCTGCATCGATAGCATCCGCAAAGGCATGCATTTGATCGACTATTCCGCCCGCAGGTAATTCCAAGTGTGATGATGCTTGTACTAAAGGGTGACCAAGTCGAGCTAACATATTTTCCAATAATCCGTAATCGAAACTTGGAAAATTCCATTTGCTCGCCGCATGAAGTACTCCGCAAATTGTAGGTTGGCATCGCAGTGTTTTTGAGACGTTTTTCAACACCGTATCTGCTCTTTGGATAGTCGATGCTTCCAAAGACACAAATATAGTTAATATCTCCAGATCAGCTGATATGAGTTGGGTTACCAGATTTCCAAGGATATAATCTTTTTGCAGCTCTGCAATTGCAGTCTGTTCAAATTGGTTATCGCTCGATAGCTCAGAAGAGTTCTGCCCTGACGGTGTGAGTACCGATCTACTGGCGGCGGTGTGAAATGTGTAATCACTCGACTCTCTGTGCGGTGAGCGACCGGATAACGTTAATTTCTCTATGATCGAGCCAACACCTCGTAAGGCTAGTCGTTGACTAGATGCCTCGGATACTATATCTGGTTCTTTCACCATTCGAGAAGAAGATATCATGTTCGAAAGGGCGCTAATGTCTGAGCCATTGTCCACCTCATACTGCACGGCACTTTTCTGCATTTCGAAGAGATCCAGGTTCTTGCACACTAATTCCAAAGCCTCAATGCATTCCTTTAACTGTCCGTTGAGTTCTTGGAACGCTTTCTTGTCTTTTACAGCCCACTGTAAGGCACGCCAGACTCCAGCCTGCCGCTTGGTCTGCTTTTGCCTCTTTATGAACTCGTATAATCCTTCTTCAAGAGTGTCCGAGCTACCAATGGGTGGTATCCAATAAGCATGATGCTGGTATCTTTCGATGAGCTCATACCGCTTGATAAGCTTTGCTGCATCTAAAAACAGCAATGAGATACAGTTTAGTTGCTTCTGCACATGTTGTCGCCAAGAAAGTTGGTCTAGTCTTCTGTCGTATCCATCATTCTCCAGGAATCCACACGCCTTACCCCAAGCATAAAGACGAATTCGGTAAGCGCTGAATTGGCACTCCGATACCATAAAGTCCCTTCCTACCGACACTGCATCGTCGATAAGATTGAAGCAATCAAGACAGACAGACAGAAGACCTGCCAAACCAAGCGCGCCAAGCGCAGTGCCGATTGGTTCAGCCATCAATGTTGAGAGCGTTTGCTAGGAATGGAGTAGGCACGCTGCTTAGAACAAGCGGGGAAGAGAGTAGAGAAGTCATGCTCTAGAAAGATATTATCAGCCAAAATTGGACTACTACCCCGCCTTGCCCGTAATGCCACACACCTTGCAAAGCGTTGCTTGCCGTCGCCCTGCTATCGAGCTCCCATCCCTTTGGGTGGGTTAATTTTGCAGTGAAGCCATCGAGGCGACACATGTGGAGAAAAGCGTTGCTTGTTATCGCCCTGCTACCGTGCTCCCCGGCAGGGTTTTGATCAATCCACCAGTCTAAGCCTCCTAGTGTGATTGATTTCGGGCTGGCACAGATGATAAGATGCCACGTGCACGAATGCACGGCTCACATTTAGTCTTTAATCCACTGAGACCTTCAGTGGATGGATTAATCAAAAACCCTAGTGCTCCCATCCCTCTAGGTGGGTTAATTTTGCAGTGAATAGCCTTTTGTACTCTCATCAAAGTAAATGAGAATAAAGCACCGTTAGCAATGCCCCATCCTAAGCATGGTTGGCAAGTGAAAACATTTGGGAACTACTAGTCATATAGTACAGCGCCTATAATCCATAACCAAAACTTGGCTGGGCCACGAGAAGCTTGATACCGGGTGTATCGGTTAACCTGTTATTGAGCGTACTAGGGTTTTACTGCCATGCGATTGTTGCCAGAGTCAGTAAAGTATGTATAGTATATATACGTTAGTGACTGGAAGTGTACAGTTAATTAGCAAATAATGACACTGTGTAAGCGCTAGACCTAGACCTCCTTAACTAAATTTCTATTGAAAATGGCGGGAGCCGATTTCGTTACAGTCCGTATACGCTTTATAACTTTTAAGAGTTCTAATAAAGATTATATCACCTTATAAATTGAATTAACAATAACATTGGAAACGTTTATAAAGAAAATGAAATAAACGGCCTTTAATGTTACGCGCTTTATTATTATTTATATTTAATAATATAATAATATTACAGTACGTGTGCGTCTAGCGTACCGTTAGGCTAACGAGCCAAAAGTGTGTATCACGGAGGTTATCCATGATAGCGTAATTACACTATATATGACCGAGGGGCGTCACACTTATGTAACATGTGCCCCCCCACACATAGAGAATTACCAGCGTCCCGCTAGAAGCCCGGGTCCTCCGGGGTGTCGAACACGACACGGGGAATCGAACCCCGACCTAGGTCACTTTGCACACTCCCAATTGACGCGCGCAGCCATTTCAGCGCGCCAATTGTACCTCTCGTTATTGGCTATAACGCGTAGTGAGGAGGTAAAAGGCTCGGCTCGAGTACGGGGTACCACTTATTACAGTACGTGCACGTACTGTAATAAATAACTACGTGTTATTTATGTTCGAATTATATTAATATTAGGTTTTAACAAGAAAACGAAACGTTATAATGTTAAGAAAGGCTTTAATAAATATATACGTTTAAAGTAAAGGTAAGAAAGCTATAATGAGAGAGGATCCGCCGTTTATTGTTAGAAGAAAGCTTCTAATAAATTTGCTATAATAATTACTACTTAAACCTAGTTTATCGAGACATATTGAAGTAGTGAGTGTTGGCTATACTAATACTACAAGGGAGCCAAGTGGGTCGTACGACCTTCGTCGGGGTTGTTCAGGGTCTGATTAGTATAAGGTCAAAGGGATGGAACTTGTAAATAGTCTTATGGGCCATGCTTTTTCACACTTTTGACAGAGTCGCGTTGCTAGTTTTTGTAGCAGTGTATTCGCAAGACAACGAGAATGGCTCGTTGTCGCTAATTAATGTTATTTTGGTCACCAAGTTCATTCTTTCCATTCATTTCTTAGTGATTAGTCCACGAGTGAACCTGCGAGTTCGTCGTGAGGCTCATAACCCAAGGGACAAAATAGTGGTCCTGGTTCAATATACGCCGTTATAAACATCATAATCTAGACATTACGTTATATATCACATATTTCTATAAATATACTTAACGTTATAACCAATACTCGTCCAAAATAGTCAAGCGTAACACCACAGAAACAGCGGCTATTCTATAAGGGAATTAAGACCAGAATTAAGTTACTAGCGGCAATACTACTTGGACTATTCTGCAGCTGACTTGTCGCCTGTTTGTATATGTCCTTATAAAGCATACTGTGACGTGACTGCTATAGTATTCGGGCTACTTCGGTCACCCCGTCACTTCCGGACTGGTTTGATCTTCCATTACTGAATGGCAAAGCCCTAGTCGAATTGATCGGCCGGCAACATAGTGTGCAGCCGGGGCCGTATTGTCTTCGCTCAGTGTGGGTGTCGTTTCCGGAACTTTAAATGTCGGGAAAGTAGACCATTATTTACTCGAACCTGCTTTAGAAGCTCTCGCTCTGTTGTCCGTCCCGTTGACTGGACGAGTTGCCTGCATTGTTATCACCGGGATTGTATTACGCATAGCCTTTTGCCATTTGTAATAACTGAACCCGAGCTTTCTAGTCCAAGATCTTCGCGGTTACGCTTCGTGGCCACATGGGTCTTACTACTCATAGCCTCCCTTTCACAATCGGAGACACGTCTAGTCGATTTCAGAGCAGTAGGGCCCCCCATACAATGTCCAAGAACCTGGCTCAGCCTCTCTTTGTGCCCAAAAGCTGGCCATATAGGGATGTCTACGGGTTGGATCTAGAGTTTTGTACCGGGTAATCGCGCCTTCTATGGTTAGTCGATAATTCCCAAGACCACAGCCGTCACTGTGGCCATAGATATAATAAATACCTTCCTCTCAGTTAACATAGTCAATTTTCGAATAGCAACACCACAAGTCATAGACGTCGGCTCTAACAAGACACCCTGGTGCGTTGCGTTCTATGCTAGTGCAATGATCGTTGCCATTAGATAGGGGTCTTTGTTAAGGTCTCTCAGGGCCAGCTTTTTGGATCGCAACTTAGATAAATGATTGACGGGATAATTGTGGATGCATTTTAGGCCCTAATACTGTACAGGGATTACGTCTTTGCTGTTCCAATCTCGATTTGTTGATATAAACGAATGCCGGAGTGTCGTCAGTCGCACTAACACTCGTAGATTATGTAATCTGTCTAAGCGATCTTGTATTGTTAAAGAAGTGTTCGATTTAGCGGGTCTAGTTATATGAAGACTGTTCCACAACGTTTTAGCTTCGATTGCCATCTTATATACCTGTTGTCCGAATCTTACGCTAAACTTAGTACCCTCCTTGCATTATAGCGATGGGAACATGTTAGAGAAGAGTTCCTTTAAGGTTTTAGTTTCGCTTTAGGTATCGTGACTCCTCTTCTAAGATGTTAAAGCCATCGACTCCCATTCTATCTGGGGAATCTGAGATAGATACGAGGAGAACTCTAAAGATCGTTGTAATAAAATTGTAAGATAGTAAATGGATGTTCTTACAAAACGGCATTGTAGAAATTAAGTGTGTATGTTAGTCTATTAAATGGGCAAGACATAAAGCGTTGTGTGGTTATATGTAATAATTATGCCTAGTAATGAGCCATCTTTAAGTTTTGTAATTCGACGCTGTACATTTCGCTTTGGAAACTCGCTCGTCATTGTCGTTATAAAATAGTAATCGTATTAAAGATTGTTAACCTTTACATTAATTAGCGTATACTAGTAAGATTATATAACGACCTCTTTTATAATAGAAATCTTTAAGTTACCTTTATGTTATAAGACTAATAATAATAAAATATACTTATAATGTAATGTATTAATGGAATGAAATATAACTTAGTTAAGGGCTTAAACATTTAAAGCGCCGGACATTTAATATAAAGGCTTTAACAATTAATAGCGATAATATATAAGAGCTAGTATTTATAATAAGAGAATAACTAAGGGTTAATAACATTAAATGTAATATAATGGCATAGTAATTAAGATTTTAAGACTTGTTAATAAGCTTAAAAGGAGCGAAATAAAGTATATTTGTTATTCCTTTATACTAACCAGGTTAAGAAGCGCGCCGGTTCCTCGTTAGCGTCCCTTACCGCATGGAATAAACGCAGCGCGAATGGAAAGGCTTTGTACGAGACGCCCGCCGTGCTCTATTAGCCATTTCAAAAGTGATACTCAAGGTGGTCGAGCTTAATCTCTAACGCCTTAATATAAGCATCACGGGGCGTGATAAAGGTCCCGTCGACAAGCTTATTTAGCAGACCGACCTTTTCGCCCACGTTAGTGGTGTCTGCGACGCATGGCAGAATCGTGAATAGTACCGCGCTAGACTCTTCGGCTCGGAAGTTGTACTCCCTTCCGGTAAGAAGCCAGACCTAGTCGCCCTAGGTGAGGGAATGGTTGCCACCGCCGCGCTCGATAGAGCCGCTAACGACGACCTTAAGCGCGCCGATCTCCTTCGTGTTTAACGTCCGTGGCGTAATAGCCGCCCTAGGTGCGAGGTAAGTCGTATACACGCTAAACCGCCCGGTCTAGTTAGTAGCAACACGGGGTATATGGGTACGACTTAGCGCTTGACGCCCTCGAAGGAAGGCGAGACGAGATTCGCCAGTTCCGGCTTAACGGCGATGAAACCCGGGCAACGTAAAGTAATAACGCCCGTAACCTTGTTATTCTCATAACTAAGGCCGTTAAGAATCCTGTCGACGATTTAGACGGTTATAAAGAGTTTAACGCTATCGTGGAAAGCGATTGGCTATATAGCTAGCGCGGCTAATTCTTTTGGTATTGGTTAATACGGAGTTAAGTGCTCGAATAAAAAACCAATAGGCCACAGCTTAGGACTTGTTATATAGAGCATTTACTGTGATCGGCGTAAGGTAGGTACAAGTAAGCCATATAACCTCGTAGGATCGCAGGATACTGTGAAATTGCAAGGTTATAGATATAAAAGAATATCTTACAAGACTATGAGATTATAAGGTTATAGGATTGCTCCACAATTCATAAGCGATATAGGCTATACTATTAAAGTCCGGACACGATATCGTGTAGGTAATAGGGTTATTAAGCAATGGTATGCGATGGTTAGAAGCCTAAATATCGATGCCGGTAACAATGGAAGAGCCATGTTAGTCGTTGATCGTTAGTCGTTGGTCGTCGCCTCCGCACGCGGAATGCCACCTCGGTGTGCCGCTGCCATATAGCAGCGAGCTTTGCTCCTGCCCGGATCGGTTGTTTGGCACGTCGGGCGCGGTATCGTACTATAATGTTACATTGCGTACGTACACCAGCGTACATACTTCCCTTTCCACTGTCTCCTTTCTTGTCTTCTTGGAACGAAACGAGATATGGGGTAAAGTTGCTAAGGCTCGCTAGAACATAGTACGAGATGCTAGTCTAGTCTAGTCTACGCTAAACCTAACATATTTGCTAAGGTATAAAAGATGATTTAGGTTAATGTGCTCGGGCCATGCTTCTACTCGCTTATTTCCCGAGTTAAGCTTATCTCTCGAAAAAGATCCCGTAAAGGTTATAACGTTTTTAAACGGGTTATTACCTCTTTCATTTTTATTATCTTTATAAGTAAAATGTATATATAGTTAAATATATATTTTAATAAGGTTTAAAATAAGCTTTTAACATATAACCCTTTATAATTATAACGTGTAATTATTATAATTATATTATATAAGTACAGTAACAATGATTGAATTAAATTAAATTATTTTGATTACTTTTGCTGCGGTGTCGCTGGCTATTGCTGCCCTTGGCCGAGGCACGACTCTTCTCACTCGTAGCTTTCTGGGTTCTCTACTACTATCCCATTAGATTGCTCGGGCATACAGGATAATTAGTATAGTAGAGATGATTGGCAGCATGTTAGGCTCGCTCGTATTGGCCGGAATTTTCACTTTTGGCTTGTCGTTAGGTGGCACGTGGATTGGTCTGCCATTTTTCGTCATTGGTCTAGTATCGGCAGCTTTTACTGTTATCATGTTCGCCGTCCGCTTACGAAAGGGCGAAGATGCCTGTGTAGATGAGGCATGAGATGTCAAGAAGGGAGTTGCTAACCACGTAGCGCAAATAGCAGTTTTACACGGTGTAAATAGTAGCTCTCATCAAGAATAAGTGAATATAGATTTAGATAGGTGGCTGATAAATTGGTACTTAAATACTAGTAGTACCACATGGTATGTTAGGCTTCCTTGGCAGAGCCTCAGTCAATCGTCACACAGTTACTGCAATACACTCGGTCTATTAAGGCTTATATATGACTTACAGAGAGTGCATAATGTGATACCCGAATGAATCACGCACCCTATTTGGTCGCACATTTTTCGGTAATATGCCTAGTAACATTCTTGCGCAAGCCAAGCTTGCCGAAGAATCGAAATGCAGAGGACAGACAACCTTTCATATATCTGCGTTCATTGTACCTATTGTCAATGATCGGCTGACATGGCCCGATCAACCATCCCTCATACCCTCGCCCAGACCGATTCTCGTTCTAGCAGCAAACGCGTACCGTGTTGATAAGTGATCCCTGGACATGAAGAGCTATCTTTGGCTCTACATTTCCACCTTCTTCCCTTGAAAGCCTTGGCGCTGTTTGAAATGTTAATTATGGCAGCTAAGCCACTGTCTCGGGGTGCTTGCCTTGCAGACTCAAAAAGTGCTTGGCAGCTTGGATATAGGTTGGGATCCATCTTTGGCGGGGCCAGCCCAGCTATGTACTGTACTGTACTGTGTGAATCGATTTACTGCGCTGACTATGGACTTGGCTACGTATAGTAAATGGGCTATGGGCTTTTCCATTAGTCAGAGTCTAACTAGCTGCCAGTATGCTGCGTGTCATTGGCCGTTAAGTTTCCCGAGCTGGACCATTCTTCCTCCAACATGGCCATTTCGACAACGTCCCTCCACTCGCCCTCACGCCAGAATCGTTTGCGTCATCGCCCTTCTTCGGCAAAACTCAGCTTTCGATAGACTCTATAAAGCCCTGGCGTTTGTTGCATCGGCGCTGAGCTCGATACGACGATAGCCAAGAGTCATGAATATATAATCACACATCAAGCGTTGAACTTCGATACCCAAGCCTCTGTCTGCCAGTAAATTCATCAGCGGTAGGACCATGACGCAACGAACGACATCATTTGCTGCAATAGGAGGAAGCTCCTCTCTGATCATGATAGATGATGGCGATGTGATTACCTACTCACCTTGACGCTTCTCATCCAACAGAATCTCAAATGATACAGTCCTGCTCGTATCCACAGCCCCGCCGACCTTGTCGATATTGAGAAAGTCAATAGCCGGGTACCTGGCCTTGCCATTTGCAGTGCGAAAATAGTCATCGTTCGGAACCAGTGCTGAAGGAAGTTCGCCCTCGGCCGCGGGCTTTTCGTAGATCATGAGCCAAGGCAGGGCGTCCTTATCTTTTGCGCGAATCTCGCGGACGTGCTTCGACATCTCGCGTGACCACGATTGAGAACCCTGCACTGCGAGAGCAGTCATTGAAGGCACGGGGTTGGTCCATTGGAGCCAGATGTTGTTGTCGACTTCGGGATCGAGACCACGCAGCATCAGGCGCTCAGTGAAAAATATGACGATTGCGCGTAATGCAACGCAGCTAGGAGGATGAACTAGCGAGATATGGGTTGCAGCTTTCAATGAATGCGATTTGCCTAAAGGGCACTAAACCTTAATGCTATTCTATATGGGGGTTCCCCTGTTCTGCACCTCCGCACGGTCGCCCCCCACCGAGATAACATATAACGAAGAGGACACTAAAGTCAACTGTACTTAAGTACAGTACCTTAGGACCTCCGGCGTGCGATAATCACATATTGCGGCACATGCATCAACACGTGCATACACCAGGAGGGCGAATGCGGATTAGGCAGGCAATGCAACATATTACGCCGCAGGGTTTGCTCGAAACATTGCAATTTCCCTGTCTCGGACCGGATGTGCTGGCGAATGGTATATTTTGTCCCTCACGGGCTCACAGCATGTCGGCCAGAAAACCAACAGGCTCTTCTCATTATGCATGTAGCCAACAGGTCGGTCTGACATCACGTCACGTATTACACTGCTTACGCAATTAATCCCTCTACCGTCTACGTCACTGAGACGGGCAATTTGCTGTATGCTTCAAACCTCCGTCAGACAACGGGGAGACTCACGGCAGGCAATATTCTTTTACTGGGTGGCCGCTCTAATCCTTTCTAGATATCAAGGTTGGACGACACTCCTGCTAATTTTTGCAAACGCTTATTTCACCGACACCCAGACTCTTCCTTACTTCTGCACGCCTGTCCATACTATCAACCGAACATGTCTACGTCAGGCGAGGAGAGCGGCTTGGCCACCAACATTGGCGTGCCACCAGCATCACAGCTTCAGGACGAGTCGGCGCCAGTTAATCTAGAACTATCGGAGCAGGCTCGGACGCCACAAGGTTTCAGCTGGTCCACCAATAATAGCTCTGGGAAAGCCAAAGAGCAGGAAAAGCCATCAATACGGATAATGCAAAGCAACTCGACCCAGGTAAACGCAGCGGTCCCTATCACCGGCGAGGTCAATGATACAGTTAGTCATAAGGAAGATCAAAAGAGACGCTGGACCAAGATTACAAATCCCTTCAGAAGGAGAAGTAGACAAGAAACACCGGTGCCGATAGAGAGACAACCTAGTCCGGAGCACAAGGCCGGTTTCTTCAGCCTCCTCACATTTCAATGGATGGCCCCTTTCATGCAACTCGGGTATCAGAGACCACTCGAGCTGAACGACATCTGGGACGTCAATCCGCAGAGAAGTGTTCCCGTGATGCAAACAAGACTGTTAGCTTCGTTCGAGAGAAGAAGGCAGAGTGGCGACAAGACGCCTTTGAGGAACGCGCTTTATGATACGTTTCAGAAAGAGTTTCTGCTCGGTGGCTTCTGTTCTTTCATCGCGTCGCTCTTGCAGGTCCTCTCGCCCTTCACGCTGCAATACCTCATTCAGTTCGCCACGGACGCGTACGTGGCCTCTCATGGCGGTTCCAAGGCTCCGGCCATCTCCCACGGTATAGCATGGGCTATCGGCATCACTCTTCTGCAAATTGTACAGACACTGTGCTTCAATCATTTCCTCTATCGCGGCATGATAGTCGGAGGTCAAGCGCGCGCAGTCCTAATCGCGCTCATCTTTAACAAGGCCACTAAGCTGTCAGGCCGAGCAAGAGCAGGAGGCGTGTCCGTCGAGATACCCCCACCTGGCATGAAGCCGGGAAGTGAAGAGGAGAAGGAATGGATGCAAAAGAATATCAGCAGGATCGAGGCCGCCACCGCGGTCCGACCAGGCTGGTCAAACGGGAGGATCGTAAACTTGATGTCTATGGACACGAGCCGTGTCAACCAGGGCTCGATAATGATTCATTTTCTCTGGACATCACCCATCTCCATCCTTCTGGCTTTGGCACTGCTGTTGGTGAACATCACCTATAGTGCCTTGCCAGGCTTTGCATTACTCATCATCGTCGTGCCACTACTTGCAAGGGCAATTAAGGTAATGATTGCAAGGCGCAATACGATCAACACAATCACAGACCAGAGAGTATCATTTACACAAGAGATGCTACACGGCGTGCAGTTTGTCAAGTATTTTGGCTGGGAGTCGGCTTTTCTAGATCGCCTAGCCGGAATTCGAAATCAAGAGATTAGCCGTATGCGGGTGGTGCTTGCTATCCGCCACGTCATTACCGCGGTCGGCACGTCCATGTCGACTTTTGCGACGATGTTGGCCTTCATTACTTTTACGCTTTCAGGTCACGAGCTTACGTCAAGCCGCGTCTTCTCGTCCCTATCACTCTTCGGCGTGTTGAGCATGCCCCTGAACCAGTTCCCTCAGATACTCGGGCACGTCACCGATGCGGCACAATCAATCCTCCGAATCGAGGAGTTCTTACTTGCCGAAGAAGCACAAGACCCAGTGAACTGGGAGTTCGAGAATGAGAACGCCGTCATCCTAGAAAACGCGAGCTTTACCTGGGAGCGGAACGCTACGAGGGAAAGTGACATTGATGATTCGACGACTGAGAAGGCTGCTGCTACGGCGGAGCAGAAGAAGGTGAACAAGAAGATGGGAGAACATGCAATGCACTATGGTGGGGAAAGACAACAATCAAAGGTGTCAGGAAAATCGCCGACCAATTCGGCACTGGATAAAGAAGCTATCAGAGGTGAAGGTGCTGAAGACCAGGCCTTCGGCCTCAGAGATCTCAACCTCACTGTAGGACGTCACGAACTTGTTGCTGTTATTGGTACTGTTGGGTCCGGCAAGAGCTCTCTTCTTTCGGCTCTAGCCGGAGATATGAGAAAGACGGGGGGGTCCATCACGCTTGGGGCCTCTCGGGGATTCTGTCCACAATCTGCGTGGATCCAGAATGCATCTGTCAAGGAGAACATCATCTTCGGAAGAAAAGACACTTCGACGTCGTCCAAGTCCGAGCAAGCCAGTAACAGCCGCTGGTATAACGATGTCCTCGATGCTTGCGCCCTCCGGCCAGATCTGGATATGTTTCCGTACGGGGACTTAACTGAGCTCGGCGAGCGTGGCATTACGATTTCGGGCGGTCAAAAACAACGGCTCAATATCGCCCGGGCGATCTATTGCGATGCTGATTTGATTCTCATGGATGATCCCTTGTCTGCGGTAGATGCTCATGTGGGTCGACACATTATGGATAACGCTATTTGTGGTCTTTTAAAGGACAAGTGTCGCATTTTAGCAACGCATCAGCTTCACGTACTTCACCGTTGTGACAGAATCGTGTACGTGTCCGAAGGCCGGATCATCGCAGATGGCACGTTCGATCATCTCATGGCAAACAATAGTTCCTTTCAACGTATGATGGCGTCTGTCGTACACGAAGACGGGCAAAGAGAACGCCATGAAGGGGAAGACGAGGACAAAGCCGAGGAAAGTAAAAGCAAACAGAAGACAATGAAAAAGAACCCACAGGCGGCGACCGCGCTCATGCAGGCCGAAGAGCGTGTTGTCAAGAGCGCAGGCTGGTCCGTTTATGCGGCCTACGTGCACGCGTCCGGGACCATCCTCAACCTGCCTTTGATGATCATCCTGCTTATCGCTGCTCAAGGATCTAATGTCAGCACAAGCCTGTGGCTGTCGTGGTGGACATCGAACAAGTTTGGCTTCCATTTCGGGACATATGTAAGGAGCAGTTATTACTAGTCATCTTGCATCTATACCTCATCTCAGAGTATTAGCCACTGACCGCATCGTTAGATCGGGATCTACGTAGCCCTCGGATTTATTCAGATCTGTTCCGCGTTAGCTTTTTATATACACCTAACCAGGGCTAGCACCAGCGCATCTCGAGTCATGTTACAAGCAGCAGTGACACGGGTGCTTCGCGCTCCCATGTCCTTTTTTGACACGACACCCTTAGGCCGGATCACGAACCGATTCTCTAGAGACGTCGACATTATGGATAACAACCTCTCCGACACTCTCCGCAACTTCTTAACCTCTAGTGGGCAGATTGTTGCCGTTTTTATCTTGGTAATGGTTTATTTTCCTTACTTTGCCGTCGCCCTCGCGGCGCTTACCATTATATTTCTCTTGTCGGTGCAGTATTACCGATCCTCTGCTAGGGAACTAAAGAGACACGATGCTCTGTTACGAAGCCATGTCTTTACGCGCTTTGGGGAGGCAGTCTCTGGTATTCCGACTATTCGGGCCTATGGACTGGAACAAGAGTTTACCGCATCGGTAAACAAGGCGTTGGACGACATGGACGGTGCATATTTCTTGACATTTGCTAACCAATGCTGGCTCTCGGTCCGCCTAGACGCCATTGGAAACCTAATGGTTCTTACCATTGGGATCCTGGTCGTGACATCGCGACTATCGGTCAATCCAAGCATCAGCGGTCTAGTGCTCTCATGCATCATTTCCGTCGTGCAATACCTTCAATATTCAGTTCGCCAGTTCGCTGAAGTGGAGAATAACATGAATTCGACAGAACGGCTCCACTACTACGCAACGAAGCTTGAAGAAGAGGCCCCGCTTCACACTGCCAATGTGCGTTCTACGTGGCCAGAGAGGGGTGAGATTGTCTTTGATGACGTGCAAATGCGATACCGGAAAGATCTGCCGCTTATCCTCTACGGCTTGAACATACGTGTTGCGCCAGGTGAACGTGTGGGGATCGTTGGTCGCACTGGAGCAGGTAAATCCTCGATCGTATCGGCGCTCTTTCGGATAGTCGAGCTAAGTGGTGGCACCATTACTATTGATGGAATAAACACCGCAACGTTAGGTCTTCACGACCTTCGCTCGCGTCTTGCTATTATACCTCAAGAACCGATTCTCTTCCAGGGGACCATCCGCAGCAACCTCGATCCTTTCAATAAGCATACCGATGCCGAGCTTTGGTCCGCCCTCAGCCAGGCTGACTTGGTTGACCAAGATCGAGACATGAAGGATAATTCCAAAGGCCGCCGCATCCACCTCGATGCACTTGTCGAGGAGGAAGGCGCCAACTTCTCGCTTGGTCAGCGCCAACTGATGGCGCTGGCCAGGGCGCTCGTTAGACGCTCGCAGATTATCGTTTGCGATGAGGCAACCTCGTCTGTGGACTTCGAGACCGACAAGCGGGTCCAGCGGACTATCGCGCGCAGCTTCAAGGGCAAAACGCTCCTATGCATCGCTCACCGGCTGAAAACCGTCATCGGATACGACAAGATTTGCGTCATGGATGCCGGCAAGATCGTGGAGCTTGACCCACCCCTTGCGCTGTGGGAGAAAGGCGGCACCTTCAGGGCCATGTGCGACCGTTCGGGCATTGGACGCCAGGACTTCAATAATAGTGATGAAGCTAGTTTCGCCAGCGAGTGACGACCAGGAAGGGAAAGAAGCACACGAAAAGAGGCATTTTTAACTTCCTTTTAATTTATATAATTTTATATAATAATTAATAACTTTAACATTTTAAAAGGTAAAACTAATCGTTTTATCTTTTATGTCTTAAACTAGTCAAAATTCGCTTAACTCGGTTATATATTAAAGTAATAAGTTGTTGGAATATATTATTCGCGGTCTCGTACGACGGTTAACTACGTAGTATAGGTAGTCACCGGCGTGCTGGTAGTAAGCCACCACAGCCACGATGTGGCTGTCGGCAGCTAGCAGCCGTACGGGTGAACCCCAAACCCCTATCTATAGACCACGTACGAGGGGAAGAATCCCTTCTTCTCCTTCGTATGACAGCGCTGAATAAATCTATTTGTCGCCCACACTGTACGGAAAGAATTGAATGGAGAAGCCATTTTACATTAGTGTTAATTATATTATTATGATAAGGAAGCTAAGTACGGTATATAGCCTTTATTAGAATTATTCTCGGATTAATTATTATAAGGTTTGATAGATAAGACTTATAAATAGTTTTCTTTATTATGCTTTTCACATTTTTATATAATTAGTTATTAGCGTTTTATAATAATGTATTCGGAAGATAACGAGAATGGCTCGTTATCGCTAATTAATATTATTTTAGTTGTCGAACTTACCCTTTCCATTCATTACTTATTAGTCAGTCCAAGAGCGAGCTTACGAGCTTATCGTAAGGCCCGTAACTAAAGGACAAGACAGTGGTCCTAGTTTAATAATTACAGAGCAATATATGTAGTGAATGACGAGCGGCTACTCGTACTAACACAATTATCTAAGATAGCATCGCTTACTAAATGCCTTTTGTAATCTTCGGCTAATTGATAATTCGTTAATTAATAGCCTTTAGTAAGAAATGATTGACTGGAAAAATAAATAGAAAGGACTAGCTAGATTACCGTCAAAAGGAATGCACAAGGTCTGCTTATCCATGCAGCCTATAGCAGGGTTGCCGAGTAGATGGTACGCCGAGACGAGTGACTTGCTAGAGAACCACGAAGCGTGACACCAAATTTCCGCTGGCGCAAACTTTGGAGAGAATCTTACTTCTTGATTGCTCCTTTGGGCGTATTTTTGACAGCTCCCTTGATAATACTTAAGGTTGGTCGGATGTCTCCTGTAGATATGCCTGCACTCCCAGACAATCCGTTTGATGTATCCTCTGGCTTGATGAACAGCAGGTTTCGTCTCTTGTCGAGATTACGTAGTCTGACCCGTAAGATAATGGATCGCAATGGTTGCTTGAATACGAGGCAAAATTTTATAGCTGATGAATAATCAGTCAACTTCGAGTGACCACGGCGGTGTGTCTGGTATACCTTACCGAGAGATTGTACTGAGTAGCCGTGTCTCGAATAGGGATGTGGGAAGATAACGGCTTTAAATTCTGACTAATAGCAAGTCTGCATGCCGTGATTGGATCTTGGAATAATTCAAACGTTTAAGGGCAGAATGGCTGAATAGTTATGCCAAAAATCGAATATATAGATGATATAATAGTGTCAAGAACGTAGACGCTTAAGTTATATCGATAATTGCCTTGAGTGCTGCCGGCGTTACTGTTGCTGAAGTAGCGGCGAGAAATAGAGGAAATATTATACCTGTAGGCGTGCAGAACATAGCCAGCACGCATTGGTATCATGAGAGATACGCAAGCTAATATCCTAATTGAGTATGAGATACGACGCTGTCATGGGTTTGGAAGCCACGGACTCGACGGGAGGTTTAGTTTGTGAGTGTCCCGCTTTCGCATGATGCAAACCAAAGTCTGATGAACGGCCACTATGGAAGTCTTCCTGATATCTATGCACAGCCATGGAAGCCAAGAGATCACCACCCTAGTAATCAGTTGATTTGCATTGGCCGACAAGCAGTATCACATGAACTTCGATGCTATACAACAGATTTCACAAGGATATGTTACAACGACAGATACGGGATACCGGCATTAATTCCCTTATAAACTGCATGTCGCTAACATTTACAACTTAGTCTGGGAGTTCTCTTACATCCTCACCTTTGGAGGACCTTGAGGTTGGCTTACCATCATCTTGCTATATTATAGAAATGGAATCACGTCCTACACTAAGCTTGCATGATGCTGGCACAAGCCCCGGGACAAATCGAGATGGTATCCACAAATGATTAGCCTCGTAGGCTCCTGGATTACAGATGGATCAGCCATAATCATGATTATATTGTGGTCTATACAGGGATAAGCAAGATCAATTGGAGAAAGTGTCCGTACGGAGAAACCCTGACATTACCGGACCCGATCAAGACCGCTGTGGTCTGCTCCTATTGACCGTGTATCTCCCCGAAGTACAGCGAAGTATTCATTGTATACACAGCCATACATTTATAAGCCCACCCTTACGCCAGTGCACTACTATGCATTGTCACGCATCAATGCAGGTAAGTGGAATCGCCAATCAGCAGTCTTGGATAGGTTCGAGCTAATAGTATCCTTTGAACAATAATCAGAACGAACCACCAAATCTTCAAATATTTATGCGGCCGCGAGCATGGATTAGAGACATCGCCTAAAGCCACTGAGACTATGCTTCAAGTTGAACAGCTAGCGGAAAATTAAAACTTATTCTTATTGCATTAGATACGTATCATAAATACTTGGGACAGAGACCCACGGTTCAGAACATCTTTATAACCTGTATCAGACGTATAGTAACAAGTACAGTACGTTTGACTGTCAGAATTGTATTGTTTACAATGGGGGCTGCACTCTGGAAACTTGAAGCTAGCGAGAGGAGTTATGGATTATGCTACGGCCTGAATACATAGACAAGGAAAAAGAAAGCAAAGTACTGCACTGCACAGTACAATAGATTGGAGGTGTCTCATCACACATATTTCACACAAGTGCAATCAATATCTTGTATAATGCAGGCAATTTCGAGCTAGTCGGCTGTATAGAGCATCGATAGTCTTTCATGGGGTGATTTTTGGAGGTATCTTATACGTAACCCACCAAAGGGGCATTACCGGCAGATACACCGGTTCCTCCTGAGCCCTGATCTCTTACGTTCGAATCTGCGTTGGAGTTTCTATGGCAATAATCCTTATCCTCATCTTCGGGCTTAAGACAGCTATATGCAGATTCGTCTGGCTAGAAAATTTTAGGCATCACCCGTATGTGGGATATTTTTTCGTGAATAAAGGATTAAAATGAGACTTCGCTGATGCGGAACACTACTTTTTCGATGAACTTTAGACCAAGTAGGACGCCATCCTCGTCATGCATTTCCTCTTGATCCTTGAAGTCTTCGCTGTCATGATCCAAGCATGTCAAACAGGTGATGACCAAAGAAGTAAACTTATCACCCATTCTCCTGGGCAGGCTAGACCGGGCCAAGTCAACCAAGTGATCCTTTATATGGCCGTATGATACCGTCCATCCTATTGCTCTAGGTTCGAAATCCTCAGTTTTCAAACCTAAAGCCTTAGATGGCGTAGTATTTCCGACGGGCGTTTCGGTGCCATCTCCATAATCCACGAAACTTGACCATAGGCCAATTTCCAGAAGGCAAACACCAATACTGTACACGTCATGTTGCATAGTATACTTGTCATGCGCATTTAAACCTTGGCGCGATGGGTGGCGATACAGATTTCGCTCCCAAAAATTGTCCCCAGTCCGCATTGTATGGAAGTTGACGCTGCGGAATGTGTCAAAGCCCAGCAAGTACGTAACCCTTGAAGCATTGGCGTCGTTCGCACCATTGAAGGCAAACGAAAGAATTGTCTCAGGCCGTATGTTCTTGTGAACAAAATCACAGGTATGAACAAAGCTTACTGCACTCGTGATCTGTCGAGCTAGCTCTAGGACTCGTGTTAGACTGAAGACTTGCGGTTGCAATAACTGTTGCCTAAGGCTGATTGGTGTTCCAGATTGTGGAGGTAGAGTGAATACCATATCAATTGACGAGATTTGGCGGGTCAGCGGGCTTTTTCTCTTGACTAGACCATAACACTTCAAGAGGCCAAAAACATCAGGATCAACGTGCTGCAATTTGTGCGCTAGTCGTTCTGTATCAGCTCGGAGTTGGGCCAGTTCTACACTTGAGAGACAGTCGATAGAATCAATAGCGTACTTCCTAGAGGAGCCAATCTTTGGAACCATCGTTGTTGTCGAATACGCGACGGTCTCCGCTTTCGTCCAGTCAAGGCCATTTCCTGGTAGAAACAGAGGGGATCTGCTACCGGCGTCACTTTTCAGCATATTGCGCAAGCCCTGAATCGATTTCAGGCTCCCTGCCGCCTCCGTCGCTTGATTAGACATTATGTGTACAAGAGTTGTGTTGATAGTGTTCGCAGCTGTGGATAGACTCCTGGAGAACTCTTTATCTATCACCTCATTCTCAATCCTTAGGATCAAGTACCATGTGGGATCGAACAGACGTTGCCACATCTCGAGCTGTTCACGCATGTCATCGAGAGATGATCTCAGAAATGGTACTCGCCACTTCTTCACAGGGTTTCCTTGGTGTGAGGGTTCGATCAGTGATTTAAGTCGAGATTTCGCATTCGTAAGTCTTGCTCTGAGGATTTCAAACACTTCAATGTGAATCCTGCAATGCTCAGGCGCCATCGTTTGAGCCACGCGTTTGACGAACTCAATCTGACTTACGGTCCGGCTCCAGAATGCCTCGAGCCAGACTACCCTACTCAAAACAATTTCATCAGCATTCTTGAGATCCTGGTACGCCTGTATGAGAATATTGCCGTATCTAGTAGAGTCAGCAAATATGTTTGAGTTCAAAAGTGTTTTCGCCTACTTGAGACAGAGATCTGCGCCACCAACAACTGCAAACACCAATTCCGCGGACATCCTATAGATCGCGCTATGTTATGCGAGAGATATGGAAGACAAGAGGTGAGAGTGTACTGCACTATCTTGCCCTGATAGTTGGTAGTCCTGCCAGATGATCTGACCATTACCTTAGGCATTCATGCATATTTCGTTGTGAGGCTGTACGGCGTATGATTCGTCACCCAACACAACCCCCGCACTTTCACAGGGCCGAGGTGCAATTCACTTGGAATACTCGTAGTTGATTAGGCTGAACTTGATCCATTGCTTCACTTCCTGGCCGATTCTGGTTGAAGAAACCACATTTGATTTCCAGAGGCAAGCCAGCAAATTATCGGCAACGGTGCCGCTTTGATGCCAACTCCCTCCGTTTCCGTCTGCCCTGACCGCGATGTCCGATTTCGGTCAGCTATCTGACCTTGTCCGCGACTCGAGGATCGAAACTGAATTCCGTGGAGATGAGTTCACACACGTCTTTTACGATTCCGGCTCATCAGCCAGAGAGCGACGTATCCGGAGGGAAGAACTATGGCAGCGACAAGATCGGATCGGACGCGGTACATACGGCACCGTCTATCTAGAGAGATGCATAAGTGACGACTTTCGACGACGGCGAGCTGTGAAGGAGATAAAGATGCATGACAGGCGAGAATATGCGCGGGAGCTAGAGGCAGTTGCCAAATTCTCTCACAAGAAAGTAAATGCGCCCGCAGATATTCCAATACGTTCTGTGAGCTACGGCTGATGAGCAATACAGTACTCGCACTGCTTTGTGCAGTCATTCGGCTGGTTCGAGAGGCATGATACTCTTTTCATTGCCATGGAATACCTAGAACATGGCAGCTTCCATGATTACTTGTTCCCACCACTGCCCGAAGTGGAAGTCGCCGAGATCACCTCACAGATTCTTGAAGGTTTGTCCTACATGCATGGTAACGGCTTTGCTCATCGAGACCTCAAACCAGAGGTATGATCACTGCCCTCAAGCATTCCATGATAACCAAGGCTGACAATACATAAGAATATACTGGTCGTAGAGCGAGGCCCTGACTGGTTCGTTAAAATCGCTGACTTTGGTATCAGCAAACGTAGGCCAGAAGGCATCACTGCTTTCAACACTCTTAACCGAGGTACTCCTGGCTTCGCTGCACCGGAAGTATACAGGAGCATGTTTCACGGTGAGTACACTTTCGCTGTCGACATGTGGTCCCTCGGCTCTTTGGTTTTCACAGCTTTGACCAATACGATTGCTTTCCCGGATGAGTCTGAGCTGTTCAAATACTTCTATAGGCGTCAAAGGTTCCCTAAAGCCGAACTAGAAAGGTCGAACATTTCAACGTTGGCTCAAGATTTCATTTTCAAGCTGATGGAGCCTCACCCAAAAGACCGTCTTACCGTTGAGCATGCGAGAGGTCACCCATGGCTCCCTAGGCAGCCATCCGACGATCCAGAAACACCACCCAGGTATGTATTAGCTTTATAGGAAGGTTCACAGACGGCTGAAGATTTACTAGTCCGTCTTTTGTACCACATCCAGAGCCCTCGACGTGGACATGGGACTCAAGAGCATCCAAGGATTGGAGTACAGAAGAGTTATTTGGTCACGATAGAGTCAAGGATGACAGCCCGACCCTCTTCCAAGCCACAATGAACGAGACGGACCAGATGGCCATGACTGTGCTATTCGACCCAGACAAACGAGAGCCCAACGTTGTGAGCGACAAGGACCCCGTCAAGCATCTCAGAGTTTCCAACTACAAGAAACCCTCTCTGGTGGACTGTTCGGAAGACACCGCCATCGATCATGAACTCAAGCTCCCAGGGGACTCAGCAATACTCATTGAGGTTATTGAGATCCCAGACGCCGACACACCTGCGTCAAATGAGAAAATGAAGCGAGATAATATTTGCACTACAGAGGATATCAAGGAGATTCAAACAGACCCAAGCTTTCATGAAGTTACGCATATCGAGTCGGCACAGAAACCAGCTACGATTCTAGAGTGCTGCCCCTATATCAGAATGTCGACAACGCCGATAGAACTTGCAGGACAACCACCTACGATTACGGGACCCGAATCTTATGACAGGTTGTCGATGACTCCGATAGAGTCTGCAGCAGGGGCGAGCAATAAAGATGTTCAAAATCCCTGCATCGGTCCCGCACTTGAGGTTGCAGCCGGCCACCAGGCAAACAGTAGAGATGCTTCCGAAAGAAGAGACACAGGTTTTTCAACACAACCCACACCTGAAAAGAAAACGCAAATTGACCTGTTAGAGGTCTCAATGGATCCTGAAGTTCTAGTTGACGAAACGAGCGAGAGTTCTAGTTCACATTTGTCACTACAGTCAGACGGATATACAACAACTCAATTATCTCAAAATAGCTGGAGCTCAGTGTGCAGCCAGTCAGAGGAGTCTTCTGAAGCCTCCTTACGAAGCCAAATATCTTTTTCCAGCTTCGAAGACTTGTCTTCTCTATCGTTGGTGACTGGAATCAATCGTATCGGGGTCATTTCTCAGAATCAACCTGAGATATTACACGAGGATTCACTATCGCCACCATCACCTGAGGCTCCACCACATTACGAGATGCCCTCTCAGCCGTCCGAAATAGCTTACATTGATAAAGATTCGCCTGAACTCAAAGGATGGTGCCACGCTGTCTGGTTAGCCTTGCGAGCTTGGAAAATACCGCCAGCTGGGAATGATATTCAGGAGTGTGACAATGAGGGTGAAGCAAGTATGTCTGAAGGTGAAGAACCCATCATCTGCGTGTCTGATCTTCAAGATGCCCCACTACAGCATCCATTAGCGGAGGGTTTACTTCAAGGCGAATCTCAAGTCATGAAAGACGGTGCAGACCCATACCATATACCATCGGAAATCAAACGTCGATCACACATTGAGAAAGTAAAGCTTCCCCAATCTCTGGGTCATCGTCTGAGGGTCTTGGCAGACCGTGGATCTAATGTACTAGATACAATTTCACGCCTGTCCACAAGAGCGGCAACTAAGGCGGACTCAAGCGCACAGGAACCGGCTCCAGGTACGCAACGAACGAAGGCAGTGGATCAATGGCTCTTGAGAGATTATAGAGTTAGTATCGCAACGGGGCAAATTCCATCCAGTCGGTTCATATGCTACTATGAAGAACCCTTCACAGTCTACGACACCTCAGTGCCGCTGACACATCCTGTTGGGGGCCATGAATCTGGATTCAAAGTCGAGAGCGATGACTACCCGAATGAGAACTATAAACCATGTCATTGCGATAGTGATGGCTTGTGCAAAGCCTGCTCCTCAACCGCGAAAGAACCTGTATGCTCGGACGAACCTTTAACATCAACTAGTACTGCCTCGGATACTTGCATCTACAAGCCAGCAAGGATACCGCACAGTAACCCATTTGGCCACTATTATGGCTGGTCGTGGGTGTGAAGATGTTATTAAACCAGGACCACTGTCTTGTCCCTATAAGTAAGCATTGCGCTATATACTGAAGTAGTGAGTGTTGGCTGTACTATTATAGCAAGGGGGCTAAGTGGGTCTTACGACCTTCGTCGGAGTTGCTCACGGCCTGATCACTATAAGGTCTAAGGGATGGAACTTGTAGATGGTCTCTTAGGGCATGCTTTTCACTTTTGGCATAGTTAAGTTGTTAGTTTTTATAACAGTGTATTCGGAAGACAACGAGAATGGCTCGTTATCGTTAATTAATATTATTTTATTCACTAAGTTTATCCTTTCCATTTATTTCTTAGTAATTAGTCCACGAGTAAATCAACGAGTTCGTCGCGAGGCTTATAATTAAAGGGATGAAAGATAACAGTCTTAGTTTAATTAGTTGCTTTATTTAAGGTTAAACTTAAAGTGTGGCAATATGGATGACTATAGATGTCCACAGTGTACGGAGAGCACTCCGTACACTAAGGCGACGAGCTCGTGGATCACCGAACTTGGGAAGTGGTGATCACGTGACTAAGCCGGTAAAAGTATATGCCCACTTTCTGTACACCGATATTCTCTTTTATACTCTTAGACTTCTATATACTACTTGACAGTACCTATACTATCATTTCACGCTTAGAGCGTTACACTTACGATCCTATGCTTAGGCGAGCACCGTATTCACTATCCTATGCTCTAGTAGATTTAGGCTCTTCCTTTCAGTGCATCACACCAGATCTTCACTAGAACAGTCCTCTATATCAACTGTAGAAACTGTCATAATTAGTCTAATAGAGATGGATCACCTACCGGGCTGGAGATGGACAGGTCCAAAGCACCGCCTCTCCTTCCGGTCATATCACATTGACACACTTCCGTTCGTCTTGTCGCTATGTCAGGATATCTGCGACGGCTCATATCCAGCCGAGGCTGTAAGGTTGTAGAACCTTGGGGACCTTCTCTAGCACTATGTACCAGATCTCAAGGCCGTGCGTAAGAATCGAAATCACACAGGGTGTGGCGGCCTTGCTTGTTGACCCTACCGGAAGACCTCTTACAGTGTTGCATAGCCTTCGGATGTGGTTCGCCACTTTGCTTGCCCTACCCGTCCAGTGCTTAACATGAGCCTTGAAGATGGAGCGAAAGTTTCCAGAAATGTGAAGTATATTCCTAGCGTCTGGGAAAGGACGTGGAGTTCATCTCTCCTGAGAACGGCTATTTAGACGTCGGGCTGTAACTAGGCTTTTAATTTAATAAGCTCTTTATAGATGTACTTGTGGAGGAATGACAGTGTTGAATTATCAATGAGTGGGTGAAAAATAATACATTAGGACGCATGTAAGTTCTATCTGCTGAAGTAGGCGAAGACTCCTTGTGTATACCTGCTGTGGGTGATCTACAGCAGTATTCTTTGTGAAGGTATTGTTCGCGATTGGATTATTCTCTTTGTAGTTATTGACCATACCACCACCTGAACAATGAAATCTCAGATGTGTACTTTTAGAACCGGCATCAGAAACAAACTCAGTATCCAAACGAACCATAATTTCTTCCACAAAAAGTCGTCTGACCGCTGAGATCGATGTAAAAAGAGTGATATGTCTAACATCATTGTTGTAACTAGTGCAGCACTACAATCCACCATTCTAGCCTCCCAAAGCCAACACGAAATATATGTGAAGCAAGCAGCTGATACAGCTGCAAGGATTCTGGCATTGGTATCACCCATTGCAATAGGAAGGGTTACTCGCCCAGCAGCTCCATCACCAGGCATGTCTCGAAAGTCTTGAACATGAACTGTCATGACTATAGCACCTGCAAGTATGATAATCCATTGACCAAGTCTGCCATTGTTGCTTGTTGCCGGATCCTGTAGAAGCAGTTCGAGAGGGCCGGCCATGAAACATGTGATCCCAATTCCGTTCAAAAGATTCTTCAGGAGTGGGTCAGCGCTGCCCTTGAACTCATTGTACCACAAGCACGCAGCGAGCTCTAGTACGGATACTCTTAAGCCGCCCACACATGCGGACATGCAGACCATAAGAGGATAGAGGAAGTACAAGAGCTCTACAGTCTGTTGTTCACTGATTCTGCCTCTCGGTATCGGTCTCCATGGCTTGTTGATGGCATCTTCTGCGCGGCTCCGTAACTGATTATGTAGATTGAAGACTAAGAGATGACCCCAGGACCATAAGATCATGATTGGGACTGCGTGGAAAGTTTTTCTAAATGGTAAAGGATGGTGACCGTAGAGCTCCTGGGCCACTGTCCCATTTAAGATTGCAAAGAGAACCCCAACAGTAGGCAGATTATATACATCGTTGCAGATGAAAAGCCAAATCGTGTATAAGTGATAACAGAGTACTTTGCACCAAGTTGTAAAAGTCCGAACTGATGCGTACCGGAGTTCCGGAAGAAGGGGCGCTTGGATATGAAATCCGTTTGCTAAGAACATGATGAATATGATAAAAGCTATGGATTCGAAGTTATGTCGGTTTACAGACTCGGCCAATGCAGCAAGAATTAACGATGGCTTGGAACACGTAAATCGACGCTGCTAAGAATAAATGGAAGTTTAATTGATGGAAGATGTCCATCTTTTATCATTCTCGATTACTGGACCCCAATTGACTTAAAGTGAGCAAGAAAAGACTATCGATCTGCGTAAATGTACCCATTATTTCGAAGGTAATAGCATACTCCAAAATATCGATCCAGGACGCCTAGAGACCGTTGGACCTTGGTTCAAAGGCTGATAGTAGTTAGGGGCGTGAGCCGAAATTTTCTACAGAAAAGGCCCAAAGAGGATTAGGCATATTGGTTCTTAGGGTAGGTAGGCTGTCCGCTCCGCGTCGTTCACCGAAGACTTTCTGTACCATCCATGAAACTACGGTCACCATACCATTGCGCCCTCTACCTTACAATCATGGAAAATAGAAATCATTGGTGATGCCAAAGTACATAACAGCCTTTTATCACTTATCTTCAGATAATATCGTCGGCGATATTAGTATCGCGACCGCGGGGCAGACATGCTCGCCAGACGCTTTCGTTGTCGAGCAAGTCTTTCGTCAATTACAATAGAGCGAAGAGTTGTGTAGAGTAACCTGTTTACATATCTTTACTCTAAAACTACGAGGCTCGCTGCTAAGCTTTCGTGGAAAGGCTTCGGTAGTGGCCAATACCGCCCTTAAGCAACCACATTGTCATATGTAATATTGTCGCTGACGCCGGCAAGTCAGATGAGTAGTGTGTGGCTCATGAGGCTGCGAAGCGTAAATATGTCGAGGTGTATCGATTAACTCGAATTTCTTGTAAATAAAAGTTCTTTCCTCGGTCAAGAGATGTCAAGCTTGTAGTAAGGCTATAAAAGTAAGGCTGCCCCAGTATTTATTTGGCGTAGTGAAATAATATTAGAAAACCTTACTGACATACGTAGTTTTGCTATTATGCAATTGTTGTTCATCTATCAACGAACTTTTACAACTATTTTTCTTGGCGCCCCGCTGTTAGGGCGTGACAAGGCAACTACGCTAGTTTAGTGGCACCACTGGAGTACACCCTTAATATCTCTTGGCATTCGAAAAATTCTTTTTGACCTGAATGACAACCCCTATAGACCAGCCGCCTGGCACACCCGCTTCCAGCCCGGGGACTATAAGCGATGGAGCCTCTCTCCCTCGCACCCCAAGGAAGCCATGCGGCCCCACTACCCCGAGCAGGCTCCGCCAAGTCCTACTTAGCGACATTGCTAGCAGCCCGTCACAGGTTACTGAAACCGACTACACACCATCCTCCCCCCTCAACACCAGAGGCGGTACTGGCAAGATCAACAGCATCATCGGAGCTAAGCGACCACGGATTGAAGACATCACCGTTGAAGTCAACGACAGAAGATACACTGCCGACGATGATGAGCGCAGAACGAGCCCTGGCAACTGTCAGAATCAGGTCGCTGCAGTTCTTGAACGCGACCTGCGCATCCAGCAAGAAAAGATAAAGCTGTTTCAGGACTGTGCGCATGCAATTGATCAAGTCCTCCAAAAAGCAGGCACCGACCTTTACCTCGATGCAATGGAGTTCTGCTCCTTCTTCGCTAACCGCCTCGATGATTGGCTTACAGAACATAGGTCGGCACGGCGGAAGGCCAATGCTGCAGCGCCGACAGGAGAACATGTCAAACCATCCTACGCCCAAGTAGCTGCCTCGAAGAACACTTCGGCTCCATCGCACAGAGCTCAGCGAAATACAGCAGCTGATGAAAGAGGCATGGACCGCATGGACCGTACGGACCGGCCACGCCGCAAGGAGCAAGAAGACAACCGCATATTTGTGCGCATGGATAACTCCCGACTCGAACCATATGGCGTCAAGTCCACCCTCGTGCGAAGACTCGGACTCGACTATCTGGAACTCCGCGAGGTGACCCGGTGCGCTTCCGGCTTTACGCTGCACCCACGGGACAAGCCAACCCAGGCAAAACTCCTGGCCCTCCAGAGCGAGATTATCGACATTCTCAAAGCACAGAAAATTGAAGAACATGTCGTGTGGCACCACTACAAGCTGCGGGGCTGTCCACGAAAAGTCATGACAGCGGAGGGGCTTACAGTCGAGATCGACGAAACGGCTGTTGCCAACGAGGCAGAACTTCAGACAGGCGTAAGGCCTGTGAGGTGTGTCTTGTCTAAGCATACATCTGATGGTGACGCAGAGACAGACTGGCTCGTCTCCTTTACGGGGGAAATCAATCGGCCATTCAGGCTCTTTGCACACTCCATGACGTCGTACCGTCTACGCCGGGAACCCCGAGTTCCCCAGTGTGGAGATTGCTTCTCCTTTCATGGCAGAAATTACCGTTGTGGAAAGATAATTTGCGGAACCTGTGCCAAACCAGTGCACGAAGGCAACTGTAGCAAGCCAATCCCCAAATGCGTCAACTGTCACGGCCCGCATGCTGCCACTTTTGAGAAGTGCCCGGCACGGCCGAAAGTGGTGAAAGGAATTATTCGCAGACCAGGCGCGGAGCAATTACGCGAGATAAGGCAGGCAGGCGACCGTGCGAGGTCTCAGGCATTTAGCTCTGCAAAAGAGAGTACTGTCGCTCCAGGAAGCGGCAGGACCGAAGCCAGGGATGACAGGCAGAGCGCTGATGCGATGCAAGTCGAAGATGAAACAGGCACGGCTCACGAGAGCCAACAGGACAACAATGAGGAGACGATTATCGTATGCCCGTAAATGCAACTAGGAATCAGACACAGACACGACGCGGACACCTTGTTGTGCACTGCGTGAATGCGGCAGGGGGGCAGAGGAGCATTGATCCGACTGAACTAGCTCTTAACCTGGCCGACTACGAAGGAGAGAGGGCGGACATTATTCTGATGCAGGAGCCGTGGATCGGCGTCCCACCAGGCAGGAGAATGATGGTCAAGGCGCATCCCAACTACAACGTGTTTTCCCCGGTAGATAACTGGGACAGTGATACAACGCGGCCGAGGTCGCTGGTCTATGTGAGGAAGCACCTTCAAGCCCAACAGCTCCGGCCTTACCAGACCAGGGACGTGACGTGGGTCAAGGTGCGAGGTATTACTTTTGTTAGCGTATACAGGTCAACCACAGACCCGCAGCAAGTCGACAGGATTTTGGAAGAGTGGATTCCACCGTCTGGATGTGTCGTTGCGGGCGACTTTAATGCCGGCGACGCCTCTTGGGAATCGGGTAACCATAACTACCATGGAGGGGAGATGCTGGGTAACATCATGTCTGCACATGGCCTAGACTTGATCTCCGAGCCCGATGTGCCGACGCACGACGATGGCCATGTATTGGACCTGGTGTTCTCCGACATTCCAATGGCAGAGGCGGCAGTCAGCGAGGCACTCCACTCGACGTCGGACCATGAAACACTCCGGGTCGTGGTACCAATTTCTAGGGATCTGGAACGGGTGACAAGGCCATGTAGATGGACCGTACCAGTTGACAACATACCTGAGCTGGTGGAAATGGTCCATGACAGGCTGCACGAACTTCCATCGCTAGGTTATACTGGGGAGGAGCTAGACGGCTACGCTCAGACCCTGGGTGAGATTATCTCTAGCTGCATCAAAATAGCTGGTCGGAGGACGTCACGATTCCGATCTACGGTTTGGTGGAATGATGAATGCAGAACCGCGGTTGAAGAATACAGAAACGCAGCAAAAAGTAATACGAGTCAAGGGGACAAGAAAACCGCAAGGAAAGTTTTCCGCCAGGTTGTGAGGAAGGCTAAGAGGGAGTATTGGCGGGGTGTGATTGACGGAGCCAAAAGCCCGAGTGATCTGTTCAAAATCATATCCTGGCACAAGATGACAGCAGGTCTGAGCGCGCCCCCGATCATAACCGGTAACAGAATCTTTGAGACACAGCTAGACAAGGCGAACGCACTGCGAAGGGCCACGCTAGAGCGAAACAACGGGGAAAACGACATTCCCAATCCTTGGTCAGTTCCAGTGCGACAGCGGACACCCATCCCCTTCGAAAAGCACGTATCGCTAGAGGAGGCCGAGGCATGCACGGTCGGGGTTAGCAGCACCTCGCCTGGGGTGGATGGTCTTACCGTGAAGATACTCAAGGCATGCTGGCCTATCATTGGGAAGCATGTAACGGACCTCTTTCAAAGGTGCTTGATGGTCGGGTACCACCCGAAGCCATTCAAGGTAGCCGAGGTGGTCATGATCCCCAAGCCAGGGAAGAAGGACTACTCTGACCCCAGGACCTATCGGCCCATCTCTCTCCTATCATGTCTTGGGAAGGGGCTTGAAAGACTAGTCGGCAAAAGGCTAGCATGGACAGTGATTGAACGCGGCATCTTGGCACCACAACACTTCGGGGCCTTGCCGAAGCGTGCAGCGACCGATCTAGTAGCAGCACTCGTCCATGATATTGAACAAGCTCTCGACCAAGGCTTAGTTGCCACACTAGTAACAGCGGACGTCAAAGGTGCCTTCGATGCAGCCCTCGTGGGTCGACTGGTTGTGCGGATGAGGGAGCAGGGTTGGCCCCACTTTCTGATCAGATGGACAGAGTCGTTTATGACAGAGCGTTCTGCCAGGGTGCGGTTTGAGGATACCCTGACCGAGGTCGAACCGCTCCACTGCGGTCTGCCACAAGGCTCACCAACGTCTCCCATACTGTACATGCTCTACACGGAACCCATCTGCGGAAAACTGGGTACAAGACGGCGGCGATTTGGATATGCAGACGACATTGGGATCCTCAACGTCGGGACGACACTCCAAGAAACGGCCGTCGAGGCGACAGAACAACTGAGAGAGCTCATCGACTGGGGACAAGACAATGGCGTGGAATTTGACCCTGCCAAGACCGAGATTATGCACTTTTCCAGGAAAAGAGACACCAACAATCCTATCGTCACCCATGGCACCGCCCGAAAGAGGGCAGAGCCTTCGATGCGCTGGCTTGGAGTATTCCTCGACAGGAAACTGACTTTCAGAGACCATGTCAAGCACTGGACGGGCAAGGCAAGCCGAGTGGCGAACCACATCCGCAGTCTATGCAACACCGTCAGAGGTCTTCCGGTAGCGTCGACAAGGAAAGCCGTCACGTCCTGTGTGATCCCGGTCCTCACGCACGGCCTTGAGGTCTGGTACCCAGGACGGGAAAGGACGAGGCAGGATAACACGACTTCGTCATGCCGTGTCAAGAAACAGCTCCAGCAGATGCAGTCCGTTCTACGAACGGCAATGAGAGCCATTCTGCCTGTGTGGAGAACGCACCCAAGCCATATTCTGCATTTCGAGTCGCAGATGCCGCCGGCTGAGATACTGGCAGAGTCCATCCGCCGACGCCACGGTTTCCGGCTTGGGCGGGTCGACAAAGAGCATCCACTAGTGCGGCGGCTGCCACTACAAGCGCGAAAGGACCCCACAAGACTCCAGAGATGCCATCAGCTAGTCCCCATATTTCCGAGGCCAGAATTGGTCCGGCCATCTTTCAAGAAACCACCACATCGGGGAGGCAAGGATGGAGAAGCTGAGCTGCTCAAAGAATGGCTCCGGGAGAGAAATGAGGAAGAAGAGCTGATCGTGTACTCGGACGGCTCGCAGTTACAGGAAAAGGGACACAAGCGCACAGGCTGGGGGTTTACCATTAGGAAAGGCGGTACCACCGAAGAAGTGTACCGAAACCGAGGCAGGCTGCACCGGGCAGAGGTCTTCGACGCCGAAGTGCACGGAGCGTTGCAGGGACTCGCAGCGGCGAGGACGATCGGGCCGAATAAACGACTGTTTGTCTGTCTGGACAACACATCCGTGGTGGACGGGCTAAATGGATCACCACCGGAATCGTCGCAAGCCATCTTTCTACGTTTCCAGGAGCTTGCATCAGGGCACAGTCCTGGGGTGACGGTCAAGTGGATCCCGGGACATCAAGACATCGAAGGAAACGAAGCTGCTGATAAACTTGCCAAGGAAGGCGCAATGCTCGAGACGAGGATAGACAGTCTGCCTACGGTTGCATGGGTACGGCGACATCTCAAAGGAAAGAGAAAAGACGATTTTGCCCGCTGGTGGGCGGCGCAAGACGAAGCCAGATATGAAGATGTGCATTCATATGCGGCGGTGTCAAAGAACCTCGTCTCATTCAAAAGGGCTACGCTGCACAGGCTCCTGGCGGCAAGATCTGGCCACGGCGACTTTGCAGCATATCATGAACGATTCGGGCATACGGACTCCAATAACCACTGCAGTTGCGGAGAGAGAAAGACACCAGAGCATATTTTCTTCTGTAGGAAATTGCAAGGACACCGACTGCTCCCGAGGCACACGCCAAGGGCGGCTTATACACAATATTTGGGGGAGAAGAGTGCGCAGTGGGCGCGTTTTGTAGAGAGGAGTAACTTTTTCACAAGGACATGCCCGAGATGAAGGGCCGTTTGAATTGACGGACTGAGTGAGTGTTCTCACTCAGGTCCTGCAATAGCGTGGACTGGCACGTGCGCAGGCTGGAATGTATGTAGATACTGATACCTCCAAAACCCTGCGATGTATGGCTCTGGGAGGCGTGGTTTGCCCTAGTAAGGGACGGTCCCCACGTTAAATACAATCAATCAATCAATCAATCATGCAATTGTTGTTCAGTCGCACAAGGCTCACTAGAGGCAGCGCAGTAGGCAACAAAACTTTGCTCCTAATGCAGCCCCATGGTACCAGCATCTTGCTTTTGAACAACCTATTTTGAGCTGTACCTTTCTCTAGCGTAACCACTTTCCGCATGGGACCGTGCAATTGTTAGCTGAAAACAAGATGCTTTCCAGCGTTACGTGGCTCTTGAAGGGAAGCGTTAACACCGCCTCCACTCTTAACGTCGATCGAAAACGCTCCAAGCATCGCACCTAGGAGACGGAGGACTCCAACGCAATCCTACGACAAAGGTAAATACGGATTTGTGGATGATGCTGAGACACGTTAGGCTATTCTCGAATGCGTAAGAAATTCTCAATGACAAAGGGCTTAATCGCGGGGCAAAACATTAGCACAATTGGCCGAATGGGCGTGGCCAATGACGACCCAGCACGGATCCATGACACACCTCTCTATGCTACCCCATGGCCAATCAGCGCTAATCATGCCAAAGCTTCCAGGCCCTTATGAACGGCCAAACAGACCCCTGGATGCGGCCACTTTCGGTGTGAAGTAGAGATTTGACCTGCATGCGAAGGCAGAATTTTGGCTAAGGCATACACCTACTGTACTTACTTTGATACACATTCTAGTTGTCCATAATCGAGGCTGATAGCTACGTGTTTGTTATGCTAAATAAGAGTAATTATTTTAGCTGGATTACGCATCAATACCAAAAACAGGCGCTATGGTAAAAACCTTTGCTAGCTTGTTTTTTTGCCAGACCTTACCTTGTATGCATCCTTATACAAGGTATATGTGTTCCTAGCATGGTCGAATCCATTCCGTAAATTGTCAGTTCGAATTTAATGAGGAAATACCAAGCTTATTGCGCCAAGTTCAAAATGATAGCACAGGGGGTATGTGCATTACCAATTGTAATATACTATTGATCGAGTTAAAGAGGTAAGAAAAACACAAGCCGGCTTCAAGATGTTTCCTCTTCTCTCTTCCCAAACTCCCACTCATGGCGCATACTGCACACCGAACTCACAGCATTCCATGCAGATCCAAAAGCCACCACTATTACAGATTATGCAGATACAGTAATCAGTATCTCTCAAATATCCAATGGGCAGACATCACACCAGCCTGAGGTATCATTCAGTGTTGCCGGCCTAAAATCTCTACTTTCATTTTCTGCATCATTGAGCAGATGCTGAATCAGTATAATGCTTGATAACATTCACCAATTGCGAGTCTCCCGTTTTCCTCACCCAAAAACGAACAGTTCGACCAAAAGCATCTATAGAGTCCAAAGGCGCACTGTCAATGGGAGCAAGCCACTTGCTATCATCTCGTGTCGAAATTCGCGAAGCCACAAACAATGTGTAGCGTTATAGTGGTCCTTGGTGTAGATACCGGTAAGGCTTGTTGATAGTAAAAATTGCAGGACGTCGGACTGGCCATATATGCATGTTTACACGCTATCTCCACACAACTCGTTCGAAACAGGCTGCCTCGTTTAACACGATTTGGCTATTAAATAACGAAACTATACGATTGTCGGCGATCAACCTTAAGAAAGCCTCACAAAATATCGCGCTTTTACCTGGAAGGCGTGGCAGCTATTTGTCCTAAAAATAGATATGCATGTTTCTAAAGTGGATTTTCGAGGATTGCAATGCCCCCCCCTTCCCCGGGTGGCCCCTGGCTGCCCCCCTAATGGCGCCTCGGGCGGCTAGTCCCGATGACCGTGTGGCATTATTTGGTTGGATGACCGGAGCCAAAACTGTTCGCCTCAGGTTCTATTGAAAGATCGCCGTCCACCTTTCTACATTTCCCCTATCCAATAGGCACAGCCTGCGCTTTGAACTGAGAAAATATGTGTCAGTACCCGTAGCTAGCTATTAGATGTCCAAAATGGTTGAGACATTGGGGCTAAGGCAAAAATTTCGAGCAGTGCACCGTTGTTGGAATCTTGTTCCTGTACAACATTAACCTCAAAGTCTAGGACGTTTGTAGTGGTACACAGTTTGCGGACTAGGCTATGATCGCAGAGTTTTGGTCATAATAACAATCACGTTATGTTTGGGTGCAAATGGCGTTCAGAACTATCGACAGCGAACTCCCAGAACTAAACCATCGAGATGATCGATATATAGAGGTCGTACCACATGAATCACCTCAGGTCATGCCAATGTCGCAGCCGCTACAGAGTCATCCTGATGGTGCACTTGTCAACACGCCTCGGCCAAGAAGAAAGCTGTTCGGTATTCCTTGGTCTACAGTCGCGTTTTCCGTTACTATTGCATTCGTGGTAATTGGCGCTTCAGTGGGTGGTGCAGTCGGGAGCACTCAAGCTTTGCAGTAAGCAATACTCGTTCTTATGGATTACAGTTAATGGAAATCAAACTGGTAACTTTAAACCATAGCCACCAAACCGAGTATCAAGTTGTGACTATAACATCGATCACAGTTGTAGCCGGCACACAAACAAGCTCTGTGCCAACCGCATCTGGAACATTGGTTGCACCATTCAATGTTCCCACAGCAGATGTCACGTTAGCGCTAGATTGTGAAAACCGGGACGGCAAGACTGAGCCTCTTGTTTTCAATGATACAACATATGTTTTCAGCCAGCATTGTGGTACCGACTTCGAGCGCGTCACTCCCAGTAGTGTAAGCCTCGATCTTTTTACTGTTGCGGTATATACTCTGCAAGATTGCTTGCGAGCATGCGTGAGCTACAATCTCGCACATGGGTCAAAGGAGTGCATAGCTGTCGAGTTCAACAGAGGTATCTTAGTCACGTGTATCAACAACTTGGGGCTTCGCATTTATACTGATTTGAAACCGGTGGAATTACATTTTCGATTATAATAACACCGAGACAATCCCGGTGTTCTGTTCTCTCTCTTTTCTCCTTCGTTGATCTCGTTGGGTTGTTCGGAGCCTTGCCCACATGCGTGACAAAATCCAGCTATATGTCGTTTCTCATTTGGCATCAAATATAGTCTCTAACGCCGTCTACGCGTGTTGTTAACATCGGATTGGCAAACCGACGCAATAACCTCGTCGTTCTGAGAAGTTATTAGTCCCGCTCTTGCCCGGTCAAGAGCATCTCTTATTTCGCTCTCCGTCATAAGATTCATACCCCCCCCCCCCAATAATGTCCCTAGTCATATCTGCCAGATCGATTACAGCGCGATGAAACCCATAAAATCTTCTGATTCCGGTGTAACTCTTCATTCTGTACCAAGTCACCCACAAAATAGATGCTGGAAGGACATTCAATATGGACCACAGCAATAGTAAATGCCATGAAAACCCCCACAAGTATAAGCCCTGTGCCGAACAAACCAAACGGTACATGTATGCGTCGTATAGTGTGATAGGTTCTCCGTCAAAAATGACCCAAGGTTCTGTCATGTCATCGAATGATTCATAATATCGAATAATCAGTTCTTCGCCATCGTTTAGAGTGGCATTGGCGCCATCTGGCCAATGGAAGACATTGCAAGATTGAGTACAGTTGCGGTATACTTTAATCCTTGATTAGCCAATTTCTAGTATGCGCTAAGATGACCTACATCGATTAACTTCCGTACGCAAAGCTAGAATTTAAAAGGTAGTAAGTCTCGGTGGAGATCCTGGTTGCATTAGACCGCTCTTATGGCCATTGCCCGTAGCCCACACGTACGTCGGGTCTGATAGACCTAGCAGATGCCCGTTGTCGATACTAAAATAAAACCTGGCAGTTCGATTAGTAGTTATTGAAGGCAACAAATCGCCGTTTGATGATCGCCAATACATCGTGGATTCTGCCTTGTAGCCCGTCATTGCATCTGTCAATATGGGATAAATCAAAACAAAAGAAATACAAAGTGCAAAGCTGAGCAATTGAACTTTGTGCTATTTCCAAAGCTTGAAGCCACGTTTCATGTTGATAAGATGCCAAAGTACCACGATAGAATAACCTCTAGATGAGGCAGTCTCTCTCACCAATTGATATGGCACGCTCTGCGATCTCATTCTTTCGATTAGCCAAGTGATGATGACTCTATAACTCACGATGCCGAAGACGATTTGACCCATACGGCTGACAACCAAATTCCACACTGTATCGATAGCTTTCGCATTCGGAAATGTCAATGGACCCCAAGCCATTGTGATACTCAAAGGATTCATTTGAAATATGAGTCTCATCACAGTTGCCCATTGGTCGGTAGTTGAATCATTTTCAAAGTTTGTTTCGTTGTAAGCAGCGGCGAATGAGATTGAGGCCACCTTGTTGATGTTATCTGTGCATATTCTATCAGGTACAGCTACACTGAAAATGCGGGCCGGCAATGCAATGAACATCATTATAATGAGGACGATAGATGCCAGTAGAAAGAGTGTGGTCGCTAAAAATTTCAGGCGGACAAGTGTCTGTCGCTTAGCATGATGTGATTTTCTGTTCACACCTTCCGCCTCTGATGGTTTGTCGACTAACGAAGCATTCTCCATTTCCTTATGAAAATAGGCAGGCACTGGGAGCAATTGGCGTGTATAACGAACGACGGATGGGGGGAAAAGAGGTTCGGAGGGTTTCGGTTAGCTTTATATGTACAAAAGAAGCTTTCTGCAAAGGCCCTGGTCTTTTCTCAGCCCAGTCTTAGGATTGCGAAAACTCTAACTACGGTGTGGTGGGTGATCAAGCAGGAGTTACACGCTTCCACTAGAACAAATTGGCAAGATCACCGATTCAATATGTACTGTGCCGGAAATGAGATATATGGTATGCGCCAATTAATTTGTTAATAGCCTTGATCGATGATCGGTGTGATGAGGTATTACGAGACGAGGCTGTGGCTTTCAACCCCACCCGTACTATTTCTTCAGCTACATGCATCCTTTCCAAGCAGCTGAACACAGGGATCCGAGCAGCATCTTAGCGCCATTCGCCCGCATTCGTACCTCTCAGGGAAAGCAATTCTATCCCTTTCCATCTTTTCAGTGGCCGTTTCCTGAAGAACAAAGATGTAGCACGGAAACGGAAGCTGCCGTGTGGCGACCACTTCCCTCTGTCGTTGCCAACAATTTAATTAGACGCCAGCTTTCTACACAGGCAAGAATCGGCGAGCCTTATAGCAGCTAGTGTCCATAGTCGTTACACTCCGTCTACTTCTGCGACACAGCCTGAACCCATGCCTCCTCCTACTCCTGATCCATAGTACCAACGGCTACTGTACATTAGCCATAGCCCAGTATCATCCAACCAGTGACATTCCTGGGTGTATATTGCATTACTTGTTATTGCTGAAAAGTCCACTGACAATTAACGTTGGTACTGTACTGTACAGTGGTTGGATGCTAATCTCAAAAATGACTTGAATCTATTTTTGGACTAGCGCTAATTAATGCTATTCTGGGCCTTTCTATGGAACTAGAAGCGATAGTACACAAAACCCACTGCATCTTATATACATGATGGAATGGATGACTATTCGACTCGAGTGTAGGTGCTGCGATCACCCCGTAAGAACAAGCACGAAGACAGTTCTGAGTCGAAGACGAAGGCCGACAGTCATTACGAAAGGAACAAGACAAAGCATTGGTCGAGAGGGTGGTTCCGCACCACTTTTTCTCTACATACATTTAGGGCTGCCTTTCTACTATAAAGGGCGTAGTTAAGGCTGTTATAAAGAGAGCGGCCAGCTAATCGGTTTTAAGCTATTCCGCCTTAGTCTTTTAAGTCCTTACGTAAAGTGAACGGTTATAAGAGATAACACGGGAAGGGTGTATATAGTTATTAGGGTATCCTTTAGCCTTTAGCGGGATAAGGAGACCCCCTTCCCCTTATAAGTATATATTACGCCGTATACCCTTTACGGATCTAAATTTAGTGATAGAAAACTAGCGCTAAGGATTAACTAAGGGTATACGAATTTTTAAAGGATAAGTATATAGATTTACTAGGAAACTAATATTCCCGTTATTATAACAAGTTATAATTTTAATAAATAAGTAGTCTAATTATTATGATTTTGAATGACTTATTAAATTCCGGATTAAACTTATAATTATAAAGATATTTTAATTAGAAGAGTTAAAATATAAATGTAAATGTTTTACGTTAAAAACTGTAATAAGAATATTAACACGGCATCTTGTTAAGTGAGAAATTAGCGTTTAAATGCATATTTTACCGGTAGTATACGGTTAAAACTCATAGAGTTATCCGTTATATAGTTAGTAAGAGCTCTAAATGTTCCTTTTTGTAGAATGGCTTCTCCATTCACTTCTTTCCGTACAGTTTGGGCGACAAATAGATCTATTCAGCGCTATTATACGAAAGGAAGAAGGGATTCTTCCTATCGTATGCGATCTACAGATAGGGGTTTGGCCTATACGGCTGTAAGCTGCCGACAGCCACGGTGTGGCTGTAGTAGCTTGCCGTCAGTACGCCGGTAACTAGCTAGACTATATGGTCGTGCGAGACCGCGGATAACTATATTCCAACACTTATACTCTTTTCCCCACTTAGGCGAAACTACCTTATAATGGTTTCGCCACCAAAGTTCTCTTACGTTCTATTTACTTTTACAGTTATTATAAATCCACTACGATTTATAATCTAAGTAATTATTAATCCAATGGATTAATAAGATTATTCTAGATTATTCTAAGGTATTTTCCTTAGTATATATAAAGTGATATCCTCGATATCTCTAAACGCTTTCCTTAAACAAGCTTATAAGATACATTTACTTATACTCTCTTTACTTTACCTCCGATTATTACTTCGAATTAAGTGCTTCCGCCTAATTACGTTATATAATATATATATAACCTTAAACAGTTTATTATTCAAGTGTTTTTATGCATTTTTCTCGAATTATTCTCTGTTCCCTAGGGTAAGGAGTTCTTATTTCAATAAGAGGTTAAATATCCGTTTTGAGAATGGCGTTCCCGGGTAGGGTAGTTCCGGGTATATTCTCTTTCTTAATTTTCTCGGTGGTTCTTAAAGTTCTTATTACCGCTTTTGTTGTTTTCGAATCGTGATTTCTTATCCGATTTTACGTAATAACTGTTACCCATAAATTCATTTGAGGGTGCTATACCCTTGTTTTATAAGGGAGATTGTAAATACATGTAGTGATCAAGGATGTTCTGGAGACGGGCGGTTAACTAGGGTTAGCACCGAGATTGTCTTTCCGTTCTGTAATATAACGTTAGATGTCTTCCACACGACTTTAGACTGTACGAGACTGTTCTGAATCCTTGACCGAGATTAAAGCTTACATACCGGATATCTCCGACTGCAATCTCGCTATGATTGATGTACTACGAACTCTACCTCTCGCACTTTATGCTTCCGGTGACAGATAGAGGCTGGACCACGTTGATGGACTGCTAAGCCTAACGGTAACGGACCTAGCTACTTCACGAGGCACAAACTGCATTTCTAACGTTACGTGGTTGATGGAGGAATAAAAAAGTAATATAGGGCCTTTGGACAGAATAGTTCGTTAAACCAAGGCCCTCACTGGCTGGAATTCTTTTTGTAGCTCATATTAAGAGCATGACTGGTGCAGGAACCACAGAGGTTGTAGTACTTGCTAGAAGCTGGCATAGCTAGTCGTGTCGACAATATCTTACTCCCTTCCTAGCACTATTGAATTGTTAAAGGCGCTAAGTAAACTCCGTGGCTAGTATATGTACGTTAGTACAAGCATCTCCGCTATATTTTGCTGATTATGTAAGGTTTTTATGGCTTGACTCGATCAGGTAACTCTTTCGTTGGTCTCTGTGTTACCAAGAAATTGCATCTTCTCTTGTAAAACGACGTTGCATGCTAGGTGATCTCGACACGTTGTAACGTCGTAGTCTCACTCCTTCCTCTTATTACTTGGTTAAAACAAAACTATATGTACTTACTTTAAAGAATCCTGAGCTGAATATCCTTGTTTAGGCTAATGCAACGTGTTCTTTAAGTTTAAATTGTATTAGCCAGTGGTAGTCTCTTCCTCCATTACTAAGATTATTTATAAGCTAACAAATCCTTTTACAAATTTGACGTTAGATTAACATTATAAGCTCTGGTTTCATGTCGCTTTGATCTTTTATTGAAACTGGACCTTCTTTCTCAAATCATTGTACTCCCGGCATATATACGAATGATGTCTGACAACATTCTCTGCCTACTCTAGTAAGCTAAATCTACACCAAAACTTTGCCGTGATGATATGTGCTAAGCTACTGGAATTTTTATCTTAGCAAGGCATCTGCTCTACCGGATTAAAGCCTTTAACCACATGAACGGAAGCCATGGTTTTTGAAAAACGGCCGGTATTATGGAAATTTCTGCACCGGGCGCAACATGCTTCCCGTAGACGAAGTAGAAACTCCTTCCTCTTTGCCCAGAGCTGGTCACCTCTTAATACTGACCCGTACATAGGAGGAAAAGGATCGAATGGACATGATGCATGAACTTTTCTGCATCATGCGTAAGCCAGATACGACGTACGGCCTATATGAAGCTCGACTTCATACAGGAAAACCATTGATCCTCGACTTGGGATGCGGCACCGGAATTTGGGCACTGGATATGGCTGCGTAAATTGAACTTAGTGGAAATCGAGTGTTTATGATCAAGGGCTGACAGTGACATAGCAAGTACCCAGACGGCAAAGTCATTGGGCTAGACTTGAACTTTTGGCAACCGGAAAGGTAAACAAAATCGACTTAGAATGTGCAAACACCCAAAGGCTGATTTGAGCGAAGCATCCCACCCAATACCGTGTTCAAGCGCCAAAATATCGAAGAGCGCCAATGGGATATGGAGTCAGACTCTGTTAATCTCAGTCACATTAGAATGTTATCAGGAAGTATCCGGGACTGGTGTGGCTTATACAAAAATGCTCTTTAGTACGCTGCTTCTGCCTAAAGCTGATGTTTGTACAAATGCTAACCCAATTACAACTCCCCTTGCAGATATTTAAAGCCCGGCGAAGGGGTAATCGAGCACGTGGAAATTGATTGGGAACCCTTGAGTGATAACAACAGTTTACCATCGGATTCAAAATTCCGGCTAGAGTTCAATGACGTCAACTTGGCTTACGAAGATGCTGGACAGCCTATTAGCCTTAAATCATCACCAAAGTCCTGGCTCGAGGAAGCAGGATTCGTTGACATAAGGTGTAACATTAAAGAAATCCCATGCCATCCGTGGCCCCGTGATAAAAGTTTTAAGGAGGCCGGAACATTCTTCCAAACCGCAGCAATCACATACAGGGGCATGGAAGCATTGAGTATGGCGCCTCTCACTCGATACAGGCAATTCACCAAAGAACAGGTCACTGCCCTTGTTCAAGGTGTCGAACAAGAACTCCGCACTGAATCTAAGAGAGCGCACTGCCGTATATGAATAAATTCATGGTAACTTGACGCGGTAAAGTACCAAAGCTAACTGGGAAGGTTCATTCACACTGCTAGGAGACTATCAGAGTAAAAAACATCCCGACCTATCGACATGCTTGATATGAAAGAGCCCCAGCCACGCCCAATTATTGCTGGGCTAGTAGGAGGAGGAGGCGGCGGCGAATTAGTTAGTAGTGGTGGCATTATTAATCTCGATGAAACAGAGACTGAGAATGGGCCTCACGGAGTTGTCTAAGCTTACAGGTAGAGCCCAAACGAGGGTTTGATCAAAAATTAGAGTTTTTTTGTCTATACGGATGCTTCCTATCGTATTTTATCCTGAGCAATCTATTCTATGCTTTGGTGCAGACAATTCTCAAGACTTTTGGATATGTCACGAACTATGATTGGCTCAGGCTCGGCCTCGGGAAGATACTAATCCGCGCCATTTTCTCAAAGTCAGGGCCAGACACGTTAATGTCTTTGTGCTCTTTTTTGCATGAAAGTTTCGCAACGATCCATAGTGGTATAACAGCCAATCACCATCCTCGTGTCGTGACTTTAAAAGGCACCATTTTTCGCTCTACACGCTTCTCAAAGATTTCCCAGTGACCAAGCACTACTCATCATGGCTTTGCTTCCTAACACAACAGAAGAACTACTAGACATCATCGCGGGCCTTGACTGGTCGAGGCACAATGAATCCTCACTGTCTCCACTTGGACAACCTGATGTCCGCCAGATACCTTGGCGGTCTGACTTCGACAGTGTGGTCGCTCAGTAGTAGGCCAGGCAGTACGTGTTTAACCTCTTTTTTGTCTGGAAGACACTAACATGTGCAGAGCCCTCTGCTCAAGGAGCATGAACCGAAGGTTCTGAATTATGTCCCAACTGCTCTCTTAATTCAAAGTGGAGGGTTGCTTGACTCGAGGACCCGTTTTAGCATCATCGTCAAGCGGGATAAAGAGACTATGGTCGATCTGAGACAATAAGGCCAGCACTTTACTACCACTTTACCTCAGGTGTTCACCTTGACCAACACGTAAGATTAGCTAAGGCAGAATCTCAGAACGGTTTGCCTTGCTTGCGGATACGATGCTATCTGAAGGAGCAGTATATAGAGAAGTTCGGACCGGAAAGCTGGTCAGACGAGAAATGCTAGCTATACAAGACCGCCAGGGCCATTGTTGGTATTATGGAAATCCAGATTCATGAAATCATTCTAACCAAATCCGTACAAGTCTTCTACTCCCTGGTGTTATATTATCCCAGATGTTGGCACGACGCACTCTATATTGGTATAAGGAAGGAAATGAGCATGCTGAGAGGTGCTCTGCGGGGTTGTTTGCATGTTCAAGTTTATGGCAGCCATTAAAAACTCTGCACCAAATAAAGCAGAAGGGATGTATGTGTTATCATTGAGGTGAAAACAGCCTGCATTAACAGTGATGACTGGTGTGTTGGCCGTTTGGGCCACTGAGGTGTTTTCGGCGACTGGCGTCTTTTCGTCCGTAGCTGAGTATTGAAAATCACTAGACTTTGCATTGCTGATGCTTTGACCCGTGCCTAGACCATCAACATCGCCAAATTGGTCGTCGTCTGCACCTCCACTAAACTGCGGATTGTCTATGCCTGTATCACAAGCGTTGCTCATTAGCCGTTGTCTGTGTCTCCACTAGATTGCGGACTGCCGATGCCTGAATCGCCGCTAATTTGGTGGTTGTCATAGAGACTTTGTTGTCCGCTATGCGCCTGGGTGCAGTCTGCCGTTCGATGTCTCAGCAATTTGCTAGGCAGACCCTTTATCACCCTATGTCTCCTTGTCACTTATCGTTTAGGTGCGGGCTTACAGGGCAGAATACGAGAGAATGGCCATGTGGGCTTCCCTCCCTAGGCTATTATACGCGTTTCTCCATATGTTGATCTCTAGGAGCCACGCCTCGATTGGAGGCTTGGTTCTGATTCGTTTTTACGCTTAAACGGCGTGCATCTCGGTATCCTTTTTTTGGTAGCCTAGCGCCAGCGGCAAGGAAAAATGATGATTTGATAAGGTAAACCTTGCAACCATAGTGGCTTCGAAACAAGTGCTAGGGCAGGGCTTTGGCATTTAGGACCAGTTGGTGTATCCTTGAAGGAGTTGAGGAGTCAGAAGATCAAGTTCTCCACTACTGCGATGGGGGAGACAAATCCAATCTTCGGTTACTATTACTATTTACGGATAGCTGCTTATCCATGTGTATAAATTCAGCTGCTTTGTAGTCAACAACTTATTCGACCTTATTTCAAGGTCAAATCTTTTTCCTTTCGATCGGTGGTAACGTCTTTGGTCATCTCGCCACTTGCCTTTTTCTTTTCTGCTCAAATGGCTAAGTTTAAATTCAAATTTGCTGAAGTAATGTCCATGGGACAACAGCTTGCAGCACAAGAAGAAAAACGTGAACAGCGCGAGCGGGAAAAACAGTCGGAACTACAAGAGTACCACCCACGCCTAGGAACAGCACAACTACAGCCATTGCAACATTTCCTTCAAATGCAAGATAGTTCCGCAGAAAGACAGATGACCAGTACGTATACAAGCCACGATGATTCTCCGGATTCTTGCTGATTGTCTTCAGGTAATTCAAATGCAAGCCTTACTAATGATGTCACTAAACACTGCGATTCCGAGGAGGACAATAATCTGGAACTTCGAAGCAGTACAGAAGAACAAGATCTTGATGCTATTTTTGGATCAATGGGTATACTAATGGCAGAGCTACAGGAGCCCCTCTCGACTCAAGGTAACCCTAAAGGTCTACTATTTGTAGAAGAAGATATACTGAATAGTCTCAGATGACTTTGAAACTCTCACAAGATCTAGTTATTGTGATGGCAGTACAGATAGCCCCTTTGCTGAAGTCTATACACCGGAGGTTGACACTCTTACTGCACCGAGCCCCTTGCTTTCCACCACAATCACCACGACCAAACCTGCTGAGAAGTTACTCACTCCAACCAGCCCTACCAGTCCGCGCTTACCTGAGAGAGGTACTTCATTTGGACAGCCTATCACTTTGTCTCCTACGCACGCTAGGGACTTGACGTTAAACAGCACCATTCCGCAAGCAGGCGCCAACCAGGAGCCTTCCACCAATAAACGGCGGTACCAAGAAAATTTGAACTTATTTGACGATAATGTTTGTTCACAGAATGCCAAGCGACGTAGATCACAGCTTGCCTCTAATGGTCTACCTTTTGCGAAATACGACACTATAGGTAAAGACTGCGTAGAAGTCTCATTAGGAGGATATCCCGAGTAGATGATTTCTACAGTACTATCGTTTAATCTGCCTTCTGTTACACGTACAATCGGCGACAAGTCAATAAACGGCCCAGAAATGGACACGATGCGACGATTACACGATCTATGCCAGGATAGTGCTCCCATTTTTGAGCCTAGCCGAAGTCAATGCCTGAACTTGGAGCCAGAGTTGCCGGCGCGCGATTGCAATACGTGCGGTTTCGATGTTGGACGCCTTCTACAACTGACGGAAAGGGCGCTGTGGTGGAGTGGCAGAAGTAACCAACGCCTAAAGCGAAACATCAATGCTGATACTAAGTTATCCGAATTCGACAAAAGCGATTTGATGCTACGGCTTCACCTCGAAGAGCTTTGCGGTTATGCCTTAGGCCTCATCCTACGCAAGGAGAAAGCTGTCAGAAATGAAGGGAAAATGGAGCCTTCGACATTGAAAAGCCCATGTCGAAGCGATGAAGGCGCACCACAATACTTACCGCCGGGTGAAGAGGACACTGATTCAAAGTCATCCGTCGATGTCAGCAGATCAGGTTCACCGGTCACCGAAAATGGCAGTGCGCCTGCGAATGCTTCACAGCAGCTTGCGAAAGCAGGCCGCCAACACAGGGGCCGAACTAGGAAGTGGACAGCTTTTGAAGAAGAGCTGCTTAGGTCTTACATGATAGAGCAAAAGGAGTTAAAATAGATGGCCGGGAAACTGGAGAAAAGTGAGAGTAATATCAAGACATAGTGTTTAAGGATCGGCCTTAATCAATCGGGAGGTGCTAGCTCTAAACGCTTGGCCTCGTTCATAATCTCTGAGTGATATGACGAAGCAGTAGGCAAAAACGGGCCTTGGATAGCATGGGAAGAGAACTCTATGCAACGGCGCAGGAAGCCTAGATCAAGGACAAGGTGCGACGGCTCCCTCCAAGCATAAAATCAAAATATAAAAGGGTGGACAGCTGCCCATTTCCCCATCGTGGTTTCTTCCTTCTCATCTTAGCGCTCTTCCATCGTTTCCTACACAATACCTTCATTATGGCCATCTCGAGATTCACAGACAACCCCCATCCTCTTTCTTCACCCGACATCATCTACATTAGTGATGATAGCAGCGACGAAAGCGGTGACGAAGACTATAATGCTACGCTCTATAACATCAGCAAAGGCACTCTAGACGTCGAACTAGATTTTAGTGACAGAAATTCCACTAGCACATACGCAGCCAGTGTGTCGCCGGCATCCGATAACCCTAATGCTCTTACCATTGCTACTGAATTCGAAGCACTCGACGACGCGAGTGATGCAGTCAGCGCTACTACGTCCTTTGATAGAGATGCTCCCAGTACAGAGACGTTTAGGCCCGTTGTCTGTTCTCGTAGCAATAGTTTCAGCAGCAGTGACATGTTCACGTTCGAAGATACGGATATTGAACTAGCTTAGGGGTTTCTAAGGGACTTTCAGCCCGACATGTCTACAGACACTGCTGCTGTCAAGTGCCTTACCGTTGCCACTTCTCATATATCACAGATCGCTCAAGACTTGGCTGAAATCCGTGCCTCCTTGAAGCGACTCGAGGCAGAGCTCTTCTACAGATCAATTCCCTGGGCTTCACCGATACCCTCCTCGGGAATCAAGAGGGGTGGAGATAATTGCCTGGAGTCTAGTTCAAAACGCCAACGCACTGGTCACGAAGTTAATATCCGAGCAACACGAGCTTGGTTGAAAATCAACGACGAAACCCACGAGTATGTCATGGAGCCAAAGCGTGGTAAACGAAAGCAGCGATGGAAGAGCACGTTTATCAGCCAAAAAGAAGAAGTAGATGGAGAATATCTCCTCACCTTCTCTGATGTGTTGTCCATCGAGATTCGGGCGAATGCGGACTGGCTTCCTATAAGAGTCACATGGAACGACGAGTCCGGTTTATTCGAAGGTACAGAGGGTATTAACGGGAAGACACTTCAAGTGACTGATGTAGTGATGATAAATGTTATGGGAGGTGTTGGGAACTCATATATCGCTTACATCATCTAGCAATACTTATTGTCAGGACTGTGTTACTTGACTTGTTTCAAACCATGGCCATATCGGGTTTATCTCACCAGTAAAGCATTTAGAGTTGTTTAAGTTATATTTGTTCCCGCGAAATGCGTATATGTCGGTGTCCTTTGTGACTATTTCTAGGTATTATCCGATGTTTAGGAATAGGACCTTAGATGTCAATTCGAAACAAGTTAGGGGGCGGGGGGCTGTTTATGAAAAGAAGATTGGATAGAGACTTATTCTTACGATGACCACGACGTTTTAGTGATGATCTATTCGATGAATGGATCACGGTTGGCAAGCTGAGATGCACATTGAGCCTTGTACGGGGGAGTCCTAGCTCAGACCTAATTTCATTCTAATTCTGCCTTGCAACACAATATAAAAGAGCGAGAGAATCCCGTAGTAACTCCACCCATCTCCTCAATCTTCCTCTTCTTCTTCTACTTCTTCTTTCTCCTCTCATTATCAACCTGTCGACTTTATAGAGCAAAATAGCAATGCAGCCTAGTATGAGAGACGATGGTAGAAATTCCTTTGTAACAACTACAAAGATTCTTGATTTCTCGAATTCACAGTGCGTTGCTCTGTCTATTTCTTCTTATCGTTGCATTCATTAATTGACAGCTTTGTAGTAATGAGATGGCTATTGCCACTAATACTTCTATTCCGCCTAAAGACATCGACGAGAGCTCTGATTCCGAGTTTGGTCCAGATGGGGCGTTCCCAGCCCTCAGCGTTCTTATCAAGCGTGAGCTGGAATTGCGTGAAAGTATGCAGACTCGTCTGAATAACCACGGTCAATTTCTGACGTCTTTAGAGCATCGCAATGCCAGATCACACCAGACAGCTGGGTGTAAGGCCAAGAACCCGCAGGGTGTCAGGCGATCGGAACGAATCGCGGATCGAGGAAAGACAGTAAAAGGCGACGGATAAAGAAATGTTGCAAATAAGGATAGCAGTTCCAATTTAAGTACCTGGTGGAACAACCGCTTTCGTGTAGTTTGCCGACGCCTCTTCGCCGACAACCACTTGGTAGGTATATCGGTATATAAAAACTCAATGCAGTACTTGCGGGACGTTTCTTCTCGACTTTATGGCACTCCAGGCATAATTCATGGCGACCGCCTTTCAACTAAAACAAAGTGCAATAAACAGAGGCGAATAGCTAGTAGTATGTAATCAACCCTTGGCTGCAGCTTAATGCAGTAATGAATCTTGGTAATAGCCATCACTAATGAAGGATTGTTCAAAGGTCAAGTAGAACGCTTTATATAATTTCCATCGGCAGAGTCCTAAATCAATTACTTCGATTGTAGGATACGTCAAGACATCCTGTAATGCGCTCTACAAATAAGATTGAGGCATCACATCTCCTCTATTTACCGGCGTCGCGAGGCCATAGCCGCTTCCATTTGACTTTGTGTGCATGTGCCATGTATCGCCCTGCCAGTACCATTTTTAAAACTATATGTCCACGCCTGCTCATCTGCATCTTCTTGAGGGCGGAATTCTGGCGGCGCACGAGGCGGCAAATCAGGATCGGTGGGATACCGCCATTCTATCTCAACTGCACGGCGTGCCGTAGGTGTAGTCGCTCCTATATGTGCCTCTCGCTCCTGCAAATGGAGGAGGAAGTTACTTCGCAACTGCCATGATTTGCCATAGTCAGGACATGAGGCAAGCTTGCACGGGTAGGCCCACATGCGCCCGGGAGGAAGGAGAGCGTCGTCAACCTCATCATCAAACTCTGAGGGAACGGAGAGATCGGTGTTCTTAGTAGTCATGGTATGTCTGTCGACCACTGATTTGACGATGGTGCTGCTTCAACAGACATTAGTTCGAGAAGCGGGGGCGAAATCGTGAGCATCTCGCATTGGCATATAAAGGCCGACCCCATATCCATATGTGGGGTGACAGCGACTTGCCCCAGTGCAGAGAGTCACGGGCTCACATGTGTACTGGTGTTGGTCTCCACTGTTACCGGTTCACATGTGAGATAGTGAAGGTCTAACCCAATATACTGTACAGTAATTCGAACCTATTACTAGTGTCAATAATTCTACTGGTACAACGTAAATTTGCCACTAATTACTGAAGTATCTTCACAAGCGCATGAGACCTAGAAATGTACAATGCATACGGGAGTAGAAGGGCTAGATCTATGCTTTATGGGAGTGGGCCTGGGGATTGATGACTTTTTAAAAGTAGACACGTCCTCGATGCTGCCAAGCACGGGAAGCGACCATTAGCTTCGTCGCAGTATCAGCTAGGTGATACTTACGCTTCGCTCATATTTGACAGCCATGGCCGAGCGAACTCGGCGCATTGCACAGACTTCTGGATTTTGGCGATACGGTGAGCCTGATTGCGATGCTTCTGGCTATATCGCCACATTCCGGCCAGCAATAAATACGACGTCGGGATATGGGGCCCTACTACGGGATCAAGGTAAATTACCTGAGTCGAGGATGTATTATCAAGGCGCATACGACAACCTTGAGGCATTGGTTGGACCCCAACATGAACACGTACTATTACTTCGCAAGGATTTACTGGACGTAAATCAGAGGATGCATGGTGAGTTACTATCTAGCTCTGGCCATATAAGAGGTGCCTGCCATTCCGCTCTCCTCAACATTTCCTCTTTTACTTTTTACTCCTCTCTCACTATAAACTTTAGTTTTCTTTCGAGAGATCTCATCTCGTTTCGGCGCACTATTGTCTCAAGAGTCATCACGCCTTAACCGCTCCTTCATGCCTGAATGCAACTGAAATCTCCAGTGGCAGTTGGTGTGTTATGGCAATTAGTATAGGAAGGAGAAAAGGGGCTTGTCGAAGATGTTTTGAGGTCGTCTTGAAAGAACTGTTGTTTTGCCCGAATTTACTAGACTACCTAGCTGAAGTGTTGCTTTTGTATACATATGCACACCTAGTCATATACTTTCTTGGGGACAACTGTGACTGAAGACTGCAGGTATATATGACATGTTTCCGGAGCTGTGGCGTCGGTCTCAGATTGGAAGTCATTGAATGCCAAAAAGGCCCAATTCAACTGCAAATCAGTTACTTCCCCATCTATTGCTGTCAAAATCCGGGTGGGGGCCATGCGGCGGAATGGGGAAATTGGGCTCGTAATCAAAGATAGTCTTGGCGAGATTTTCCTTAGGCCACCAGCTGGGATTGGGGGTTTGCAGCGGGACGCCGCCATTATCATGCCTCTCGATCCAGTCTAACAAGTGGTTGAAATTCCGGCACTTGTGCATCGTGTTAAAGTCCGGGATCGGGCTGTGGTGGCCGTGCACCCAGTTGGAAGGGACCGGGGTCATGTCGGCCTTGCACATGATGAACTGTCGGAGATTGTCGACGCAGTGATCGATGTGGTTGAAGAACATCTTGTCCGACACCATGAACTCGACGGGCAAGTTCTCAGGTCTCGAGTAGTAGTCGGCGTAGATGACCTTGCGCATAAGGTTGAGGCAGTGCAGCTGGTGCATGGCTTCGATTTCGACCATGATGCCTCCGCCCTTTTCCGGAGGGTACAGTATGCCAGAGTGTGTCTTGTTCAGCTCGACGCGATGCTCTTCTGGCATGGAAAGGGGGTGCACTGGATCGTCGATGAATATAAGGTAAGTCTCTCGTGTCAAAGAGTCCTGCAAGGTAAGGCACTGGAAGGGTAAGGTACACACATTTTACTATTCGGTCCCAGGCAGCATCGAGTTCTGGCCGCGGGTGTCCCTTAAAGACATTCGTATCGCTCAAGTCCCCCTGGAACTGGTAGTCGTGATACTCTACTTGCTCAAGCAGTGGCGAGTAGGCCGAAGTCATCTTGACGCACTCGAGCACGGTGCACGATTTCTGTGCTGTCGCGAACCAGAATCCAACCGTCCCGCCCAGAGCCCAGGCCAATGCTACTACAACAGCAAGTAGAGCACATCCCCGTAGCGTCGATGGCCTGGGCACTAGTCTGCGACGCTCTCCTGCCGTAGTGTAACGGTCCCCCTTCCTGTTCCATTGCTCGTCAGAGAGGCCATCGTGTTCCGTGTTGGCGTCTCCATCGGCATCCCCGTATTGGAGGAGATTTTCGCTTTCTACTCCAAAGCTGGGGTGATTCTCCTCGTCATGCGGTGATATTGGTATCTTCTGGAACTTGGACATCATGGGCATTCTGGTTGTCGCCTGCCTCCACAAAAGTAATTGGTTGCCTGCGCCTTAGAAAGGGACGAGCAAAAGGCGAAAGACGCAAATTAAGGCAGAAGAAAGGCGGGAACCGACGCAAATTGTTGGCATCTTGCCTATAAATGTTTAACGCCGAAAGAATGCTAGAGATCGTGCCAAGAATTTGGTGCTTATCTGAAAGGTCCTGTTCCAAGTCCGAAACCGAAACCGAGTCCGGGTCCGGGTCTGGGTCCGGGTCCGACCGTTACCTGTTGGTAGTTTCCGAGCCCCGGATTAAGAAGTGACAGACAAAGCAGAGCCTTTTGCTCCACCTCGACAGTCAGTCTACAGGCTCTAGGGGGCTGAGGCATTAGGTGACTAGCAGGTTGGATAGTGGTGTTTCAGGTATACGGCCCCACCAACCCCCACTAAAGTCGAGTGCTCTGCAAAGCTACACTCAAGCTTACCAGACTAGTATGTGGGCTGGGAACGGTATTGATATGGTGTTGGCACAGTTCCAAAACTCAGTACAGTACCAAAATCGGTATGGTTGCGCAGCCATGCCAGACCGTACTAAGGGTACCAAAGTAACCCCCCCCCCCCCCCCCGCGGGGAAATAATTCGTGCCTTCTTCTATTTTATTCTACCAATTAATTTTGAATTGAATTGAATTTTTTTAATCAAGATTCTATGAGTTTCGAATTACGAGTTCACAAAATTACAGAATAAGAGTTAACTACGGTAATTAATCAATTGTTAGGATGAAAAAGAAGCTGGTTATTTTGGTAGGTACGGCTTTGTCACCAAATATTGGAAGTCGTAGGTCGCTAGACATTGGAACGCCTGGTACGTTTTGGAACGGTATTGGTATGGTACCAAAAGTTTGGAACTGTGCTAACACAGTGACAACCTGGTTTACCCCCTACCATAGTCCTCCTTACGCGAAATCACAAACAAGACAGGTGCTCATAAGGCGCCTAACGGATCAGATTGGACCGGTTGTGACTTGATTTGTTGCCAGCCACAGCGACGGTATATTAAGGCATGAATGAGAAGATGGTAATGAACGACTAGAGTCAGATTTTTTATACCTAAAATCTCACGAGTGTTTGACAGGGAGAATTGAGTGCCTTGCAAAAAGGCGTGCGTCGTCGCAAGGTCCTTTTCGCTACCTCAAAACACCGATTTCCTGCATAACCCGAGTCGGTTCCTGTCCCTCCTATAGACCAAAGACTAAGTGCTTCAGCTTTGCAGGACAACAGGAAACACAACACACGTCCGCCTTTCTCTTCCTCTCAGTGTTTGTAACAATGGATCCGGACAGATGTCGTACATGTGGACAGGAGTCGTACATACGGACAGAAGTCAATCGTACTCCTCCTTATCCGCAATGACGAACTCTTCACGTTATTCATATTTCTCCTTGTCCGCAACGACGAACTCTTCACCTCGTTCATATTTCTCCTTGTCCGCAACAACGAACTCTTCACCTCGTTCATATTTCTCCTTGTCCGCAACAACGAGCTCTTCACCTCGTTCATATTTCTCCTTGTCCGCAACAACGAGCTCTTCACCTCGTTCATATTTCTCCTTGTCCGCAACGAGTTCCTCGCGGGGCTTGAGAATTGGAAGAGCCAGATCGGCACTTTGCCCCTTGTTAGTATGGACACTAAAATCGTCAACACTGAGGTCATGCCACTCACATATGGGCAGCAGGGAGGGCAGCAGCAACCGCCAGGGTGGCGATGGAGGCCATGATCAAGCCGCTGGTGAAACGCATGATGACCGTTTGCTTTCGGCAAAGTTGAGTATCGGAGGGAATTGGTGATGGCGTCACTAAAGGAGATAGACGGCTATGTGACTCGGAAGAGAAGACCCCAAGTTGGAGATCAGGTCATTTCGGTGCTACATGGTCCATTTCTTATATGTGTCCTGGCTCGGATTGGACTCAGGTCTCGCAGTTCCAGCTCTGTCGCGGCCATCAGAGTCACGGTGACGATCCCGAGGAGTTCTGTGATGCTTGAATTACCGTTAACGAGCCTGGAAGGATTACCGAGAGACCGACGGAACTGCCAAACAAAGAAACATGTCGCAATCTTCCCAACGCCGAGATGGCCGAGGTGGAGGAGTCGCTCGGTCCGACGGCCACTAAAGTGAAGACCCGGCCAAGGAAGGGGCCCTCCACCGCCCATGGTCAGCACCAGTTCCAAGACCAATCCAATCCGCCATTCTCTACCATATCATTTCAACAGATATTGGCAGTTTAGTTGCCGCGCTTGCAAACTCTTTGTCGCCATAACGAATAGAGAGAAACAGAGATGGCTAGTTCAGAGTCCCTTCGCTGTGTTCCGTTGTCAGCATGCTCCCACTTCTTCACTCCGGGCGTTCGCCCTGCGGATGAGGCGTCACAACTGGGCGCAGCCACGGGCTGGGTGTATCAGTTCATGAAGCTTCTTCCGGAGGATCAACATACTCGTCGCCTGCTCCTTGACCAGTATGGGCTGTATGCCCAGCTTTCTGCGCTGATCCTCTTCTTCCTGGCCGTGATGTTGAGGCTGGCACTGCAGTCCTTGGGGAGGATGGTGCCGAGGCGGGCGTTGTCCGATGCCGAATCGATGCCGAGATCGCCCGGTATCCCGAAGCATTATTTTCATCGATCCCGATTGTCGGCTAGGTTGTGCCGCCTCCAATGGTGGATGGACGAAAACATTAAATGCTTCGGCACCAGCATTGGCCAGAGAGACGAGTTGGTCTTGAGCGTTCTCTGGACAGGTTGGCTGTTGTTCTTGTGCCTTCACCGTACTGGAAGCGGTAAGCCTTAACATTTCCATTACAATGCTGATTTGTCTTGTTCTGTGTATGTACTGACCGGCACGATTTCCTACAGACTACCACCATTTAGCAAGACGATTCGGCATTATTGGCGTCTCCCAATTCCCTATCCAGTACCTACTGGCCACAAAACGCTTCAATCCCATCGCGTTAGCTCTGGGCGCATCTCACGAACGTATCAGTCGCTGGCATAGAGCCCTCGGCTGGACCAGCTCCTCCTTCCTTGCTGCCCACGGCCTGCTCTACATGAACTTCTACATCCAGGTCGGTGGCCTCGGAGCCGCCTTATTCCGTCCCGTGCCTGTGCTCGGCATGCTGGCACTGTCGGGCATGACCCTCCTAGGCATTTCTTCGACAGCGTTTG